AGGACTGATCTTCGGAGAGAGGGAGGAAAGCGATGAGGAAGCAGGATCCGAGAGCGAGTTAATCAATGATGACCCAACTGTGGCGGACGATGACCCACAAGACCTTTACACGAGAGATTTCGATGCTGAGAACGAGCAAACTCAAAAAGAACTGAGAGATAACGACGACGAGACGAGCCTTGCGGATAGAATTAAAGCACTCGCAAGCAACATCAACTCGGAAAGTTCCGACGACGACTCCTTTCAGGTTATCTAATTTCTTCTATATCTTTATATTCTGACTTTTATCTTTTAGCCAGCTAGACCTTCGACTCCAGTCAAATTTGACTTTCAAGACCCCACAAGGATCAATCCTTCAACGCCTCGAAAAAAGAACCCGTTCTTATATCGTCAAAAGTAAGTCTCAATTCTTATTGAGAATAGTTCTGACTCCAAAATTAAGACTCGCCGGAAAACCGGCATGGAAAAGATTTTTATTTCGTCGTAACTCGGAGGAGACTCAGGTAAATGCAAAGTAATCCTTTCAATCTCAAAGACCTTATTCAAGGAACCAGCTACGAAAAAAGCGAAAACTGATGCAGTCATAACGATTTCGTCCGACTCAGACGAATAAAACAACTCCTCCAGTACTCGACTTATTATAATTATTCATCCTCATTGTTTAACTCGTCTTTTTATTCTCTTCATTTCACAGATCAACTTGTCCACTTTTTCGCCTCTTTTTCGCAAAGAAATAAAACTTCCGCGACTATAAAATAACAGTGTCGATTCATTTGCAAACAGGTTGATTGGCTTAGTTCACGGTTCCGTTTTTGCACCTCAAAATAGAAAAAAACGAAAAAGGACGTAAATGAAGGCATTTTGTGCTGTTAATCCGGATGAGCTTGCTTCTGTAATCCCAGAGAAAATAGACAGCTGGGAAATTGGGAGCTGCAAAAATCGGCAAAATTCCGTTAATCCGTTGATTTCAACTGCTGGGCTGGTTATGTTTAAAAAGATGATTCCTGGATGGGGACTCAATCTTTTCGTACTTAACAGCAGAAAAAACATAATTAAAGTGACAATCACAAAGAAAAGAGCCGATATCGATAAATTGTGGAAAGACTTGGAACTCTTCGCCGCAATTTATCTGGAGAATTTCAAAATATCTTGGCGTCATGACTATTCCGGAATCGTGACTATTTGTTTATGGCCAGGGTTTCCAAATGATTTCTGGGCCTGCTTAAAACTCAAGAAGTTGACAAGTCTTGACGATGATAACATCTTATCGGGTATAATAAACGGCAAATTTTGTAAAAACGTAGAAAGGTAAAACGCCAAAAAACATTCAAACTTATTTATAATAACAAGGTTCTTGCCGGTTATTCCCCTTGATTGGAGTTCTTTCGCGTCGCTGGAAAAAGAAAGAAGAGATTATTTTGATTATGACATCTTTGAAAATTACGACGACATAGAGGAGATAGAAAAAAATGCCAAGAAATTCAACGACCCGTCTTTACTACTCGTCGAATTTCAAAGACTTATCGTTTTTTTAATGTAAGAGGAATTGTTTGTTATTTAGCTGGCAAAATTTAGTACGAACTCTGAATCAAAACGCAAACAAATCGGCTTCAAAGAATTCCCAGATATTCGAAACCTCAATCAAGTCGACTCCCTTCAGCTGACTTATAAATCTGAATCTGAAATTCAAACCATGTTGCGAATGCGAAGTGACTGCATCGAAAAATACAAAGAGTATTGAAGGTAGTTATTTATTTTATTCCAATTATGTCAGCAACAAGTTTCAACCTGTTTTCAGTGTACTTCGTCAAAGAAAATCATCAATCAGCATTCTCGTCGTCGCTCAGATCATCCAAATCTTCATCCGCCTCTTCGAAACCCTCGTCGTTGTTTTCTCCTTCATTTTCCATAGCATTGATTCTCACGATTATTTCATCCTCAACTAAAGTTCGGGATAAGTGTCTTTATCTGTGTTAAATTTAAAAACTTACGTCGATCAGCATCATTTTGCGCTAGCTGTGCAAGTGCTTGATATCTTTCTCTTTCCTGCTGGGCTTCAATAACCCTTTCATCAATCTCAAACAATCGTAGTTCCAATTCCTGTCGCTCTTGTTCCAGTGCATTGATTTCATCTCCCCCTAAATCGCATATAATCTTTCTGTCTTTCTAAATATCACACTTACTTTCATTCTCTTTTTCGTGAGCTAAATCTCGAAGACCGAGGCGGTCTTCGCGTTCTCTCATGAGAGCGTCGATTTCCATTGTCAACAAAAAAAATAAATTTCTTGGATAAAATGAGCCTTGTCTTCACCGGCGTTTCCTTATAACCGCTAAATCGGTCTGACTGATCAAGAATCGTCAACTGAATCAGACAATGATGGCGAAAAAAGCGAAGCTCCTAAATCAGACGATAAAGGGATAAAGGACCACGGAAATAGAAAACAAATGATTCGAGCATGCTGTTCATAGCTTTACGTTACAAGTCGGACAGATAAGGACAATTGAGGGCAATAGTAAATTTCTGAAGTAGGTCAACCAAATAACATCGCTCGGAAAAACTTTTTGAACGTCAATTTCTAGGTAGTTCAAATATTTACGACTCTTGATCTCATGCTACGTGCCCTATTTTCTAGTGAATATAAGAAAATAGTTTCTCCTTCACTTCATAAATGAAAAATGAGGTGAAAAATCCCTTTCGAAAGAGACAACTCTTCAAAATGCAGCCAAATTAGCTATATAAAGTAGATTTCGCTTAGAAACGCTCCGAAGTATTCAAAATGAAACATTATTTGTGGTATATCTTTGTTTATTCCAAGCAATTTGATGTTTAATTAGTTAAATTAAATTAACCTTTCTCAATGAGATATATGTTGTTATCATGATAAAATGAATCGTTATAGTTCACCTAAACAATGTACCTCTTACCATTTACTCTGTTAAAACTACTTTATACTCTTACTGCTTAATTTTATAAAATGATTAACTTATTCTTCATTATTGCCATAATAGACAACCTTCATCATATTCGTTTATTAAGTGACAAGCAATATTAGCTTTATTAAATTTGTTCATCAAATGACAAGCAATACTATCTTTATCAAATTTTATCCCGAAACTTTTGCTCTTTTCCTGCTTTTTTGAATAAAATGAAAAAATCTGCAAACTCCATGCAACTTTTGAAAACTTTCTTGTTGATGAGATATTTGCAGGAAATGAGACTCGTCTGTTGCTATCTTTTCGTACTTTTGGTGAACCAAAAAGTCCGATTATCATGAGAGGAATCCAGAGTTGACCGATAAGCGTCTGTCCTACGAATCTGTTGATTTTGAAGGGAAGGCTTCGCCGCATAAAAAGAATTAGTAAAGATAGCGAGGAAAATATTTGGCTTTTTTTTTCTCCTTCTTTTTATTTTTACTCCGGAAACAGGTGCTTTTTTGGACTCTGAAAATTGCATCTTGGAAGGTGATCGCTATTTTTCCTTCAATGAGTAAGAATGCATATTTTTAGTACAATCCACGTACATTTCATATCTCACTTTAGTAAAAACTGCGTACCTGCGTCCTTTAGCATTATATACATGCACGAATATCAATTAAGCCCTTTCTTTTGCGTAGGAAAATTGCAATGGATAATTAATACTTCAACAATATTACCGCTTCGCGGTATGCATGCTTCCTAGGATTCAAAACTTAAGAAAAGACAAAATGTCCATTTCGGGCTTTTGTCAATTGGTAAAATTGATAAAATAGTTTATTCGTTTACGAACAGAGACCACAGTCATAAATTACTACCCAGACATTATTTAGGTATTGGCACAGAGAGCTGCCAGTTGATTTGGGATGGGCGGCCCTCCCACTAGAATCAATTGTGTAATGCGCGAAGAAGTTGATGAAACGGGGTTGAACGCAGGGAACTCGTTGCCTGATGGCTGTAATAGTTTTATTCTGAAAGAAAATGTTTGAAAGGGTTCGAAGTGAAAAGGATTCTTACCTGAAAGGTTTTGCAACTTTAGCATTGAACATTAAATTCTCGATAGGTGCAGGATTTGTCGAATCAAAAGTGACTAGCAGTACAGGAACATCACTTCTGTCTTGAATTTTATTCTCTCCTCGGACAAGGATGACTCTGACTCCATCATCGTCGACAAGAGTTCTTGTCGTCGAAGAAGCCTGGAAATCAGCGAGATTGACTTTGATTCCCGTCAAAGCCGCCACTTCGGGTGGAGTGGGCCAAACGGCGATTTGGGGACTGGCTTGGCTCGTCATGGCGGATACAGAAGGTGCTGATGGGTTAATATCCAGCAGAGTTGGCTGACTGAAAAAATTGTTAAAACTTCAGTAATCATCAAAATCGACGAGTAAAGGCAAAATTGTTAGCTGATAATAAATGCATGCATAAATGAACAAAATCCTTTATAAAACTACCTCTGCCAAGGATCGTAGCTAATAAATTGATTAAGAGAATATTCTTGAGACTTACGGTGCTTCTCCCATTGGAGAGGACCCAAATATACTGTTCAGAGTTTTCAAATCGTCGATCACATTTCCACTACTTTGAGCTGGTCTGTTCGATGGAGGATCATCCTCGAAGCCGAGCAGGTTCAAGTCGACGCCGAGGTCGTGGAGGCGAGAAGTTTGGCTATCCGGACTTGATGTTGCAGTGAGACCAGATGATGGAACGCTGCTTCCATTTGAACTTGGCGTAGAAGCGCTAGAATGCAATAATAGGGAGGAAATATGAGAAAGAATTTACTTCGAAAGCTCCACTACATCGGGGTATTTATCTTTCACGACATTGATGACTCGATTGACTTCATCTGTTAGCCTGAGGACCGCCATCAACTCATCGTTGTTTTAATTTGCTTCTGACGCGAGACGGAAGAGCTGTGGCCTCATTGATTCCAAGTCCGAATAGACTGTTGCCATCGCCGATTTCGCTCTTTATTCAGAGAGTGTTAAAAAATGAGAGAAGAACTTGGCCTTACGTAGCTGCAGCAGCAATCATATCATCCATGAGCATGTATTTTCCTTCGCTTCTGTCATCAAAAGCATTTTGCGCGCCTCTCGCTCGGTCTTTTTACTGTCTTGCTCGTACATGGTTTTGATCATTTCATTTGCCAGGGCGATGTCTTCTGGATTCTTGGACGCAAGAAGTTCCGCCAGTCGCTTTTCCTCAGCATCGTCTCTTATTAATGCGCACCTGAACAGTGTTTCAACACTGATTTTGATTAAATTGGTACCTTTCTTTTGGTTGAGGAGTAGGGAGAAATCTTCTGTCGTCGAATTTCGGGTCCTTCTTGACGATGCCTTGTTTCTTGAGCATTGAATACGCATCAGCAATCTTTATTTGGTCTAAACTCAAAGTCAGTAGCTGTAAGAATAAGAAAAGCTCAACCTTTTAATGCAATAGTCCAACCATACATCAATTCAATAATTCTAGTTTATCCTGCGGTGATGACCTAAAAACAAAATAAATTTTAGTCAAGTGGCTTTTCTTTGGGAGGTCAAGCAAATTACAAGTCCCTACATCTGCGTGAGGGTGCAAAAAGAGGCCCTCCGAATGGAAGTCCTCCGAACTCGAGGCGAGAGAGGGAGCGCAGCGGACTGATGCTCATGCGATAAGCCAGGTTTTAAGCCACGTTACCTTGGTCCAAGATATTTGGGAGAGACAACGCGGATAAGTTCATTTAAAAATCTATATTTTCCGATTTCATTGTGAAAGAGTTTTCCAGAGGATCGAACGCAGATTTCCAACAGATCCAGGCCTCGGACAGCTTCTTTTTCTAATGGGCTCTGGATCTTGTAAGCCAACAATTGTTGTGCATGAAGAGGGACGTCGGCATTTAACAGGCAGCAAACAGCTTCGTAAATGGATGATTGATCCTCGGGGAACTTTTGAAGACTTCGGATGAGCTCTTCTACTGTTCGATTCAGGCATTTTTGGACAGAAGACGGCAGCAGGACAGTAATCGATGGGTAGAAATTCTGAAATAAAGATGAAACGGAGAAATAGCGCCTTCTTTATAAATTTTTCGCCCGTAAATTATCTTTTTTGCCCATTCTTTAATGATTTTACCTTATTTCTCGCCTAGAATCGGGCAAACAGCTCGTCAATACATTCACATTCTGATCTTCCAGCAAAACAGGAACTCGCGAAGCCAGTTTTACGCAGTTATTAATCGCATTCAGGCGAACAATTTCCAATTCATCGTTGAGCATGTCTACCATGTAGTCCATCGACTGCTTGGCGAAATCTCCAGTGGACTCTTTAGCGGCTAAGGTGCAAAGAGAATTCAGCGATGCAACTCTGACCGTTTTAAATTCATCTTCCAGGTCGTGAATGAAGGCCCTACGATCTCGTTTTAAGATTGGACTTACCTTCGCAGCGCCGACTTCCACCCTCATTCTTGAGTAACTTTTCCGCTCGTTCGCGCAAAACACGTATAAACTTTCCATTCTTATCAAGAGACTTTTCTTCGCTTCCTTCTGGAATTCTTTGCTCGAAAACGAAATCGTCGCGAGCTTCGCACCAAGTTTGTTTCTCTTCAAAGCGGATCAGGAAAAACTTCCTAGGAATTATTTTCGCTTTTGTAAACTGAACCTGAAAATAAATTAATAAACTTCTACACATAAATGTGAGATATATTTGTAGGAGAGCCGGGATCCTAAAATGACAGCTTTTCCGGTTTTATAAAGAGCTCGAAAAATACAAAATTATAAAATACAAAAAGAACAGCTTCATTTTAATTCTTTGTTCTTTTTCTTTTTGTGGATTGCGCTGGTTTGCATCCATTTTTCGCCACTGGTCCACGGCGTGGCAAATTCATCTGGCTGTTGCCAAGTGGTTGCATGAACTGTCTGTGATGAGGAATCTGATGATGAGGACGAATCTGATGATGAGGACGAATCTGCTGATGAGGAGGAATCTGATGATGAGGAGGAATCTGCTGAGGGGGGCCAAAATTATTTTGGGGAGTAAATCGCTGGTTGAAGCTCATTTGAGGAGGTTGAAATTGCTGTGGCGGCATATTTGACATTTGACTGTGTTGATGAGGAGTTGCGATCGCTGGCTGATGTGGCTGCCGTTTTTCTTGGTTGATTCTGTCCAATTCATGCTGCTGATTGTGCCAGAGCACCTCTTCGCCGAAAATATCGCTAGACAACTGCTCCAGCGATTTTCCCAAACTTGCGACTTCCATTTCCAAGGGTGCAAGCCCTTCCTTGCCGGCGGTTTCGACGAGATGATGAAGCTTTTTCGACATTTGATCGTAAGCTAGACGCAAGAAGTCGATCATAGAGCGAAACCTCATCCTGTTAACGCTCTTATTATCGAACTTCTGGATTCTAGCGCCCAGCAATTTGAGCTTTTCGTTCGACTCCCAGATCTTTGCACGCATTTCAGCGATCTTCTGATCATCCAAAGCAGCGACCACCGGCTCTGGAGCCGCAATATCAGTAGATGCTTCATCGCTTGAACTAACCAAAGTGTCTTTCTGTGGCTTTGGTGGTCCGGCTTCTTTACCACTGATCGACGAAAGCATCGCTTGCTGTTGTACATCGGCCTTAATGATAAACTTAGCTCTAAAATTGATTATTCCTGCTACCTTTGCGTTGAAATCCTCATCGGAAGACGAATCGTCTTCAGTGACTTCTGTATTATTGTGCTTGGGATTGAAAGGCGATAGAACAGGTGGCTCTTCATCCGAGTCTCGTTGTTTCTTCTTCTTCTCATCGCTTGAACTAGCCGCTGCGTCTTCCTCGTCACTGCTCAACAAACGCTTTCTGCGCCGAACAGGCTCTGAATTCTTGTAAATATTGTTCTGACTTAAACAACTTACTTTTGCTGACTTTCTCCAAGACGACACCAGTTTTTTCTCGATACTCGTTTCGTTTTACTTCGAGCGCAGGCTGTTCATCTTCTGCCGAAGCGATCTCTTGCTCCTTTTGCTTTCTTTTCAACGTAGCTTGATTGACGCTTTCTTCAGTTCGTTCACGATGAGCACATTCCTTTTCCTCTTCTAAAAGTGAAAATAAATAAGTGATCCTTGAGCTTGATTTACCTTGCTGGCAGATACTTAACCATTCGATAGCTTCGTCAGGAGATTCATCGAACTTTTTCATCATTCCGAACTCGACTTTTGCCTCCTCAAATTTCTTTGTTGCCATCAAAATCTGCCCTTTCAAGGCGTAGCCTTTTGGCCATGTGGGCTCAAGTTCAATTGCTTTCACCGCGTCACTAGAAATAAATAAGAGATGGATAAAAATTGAATCTTATTACCTAAGAGCTTCGGGGAACTGCTCTTGTTGGAGGAGCGCGTCCGATCGATAACCGAAGTAGACCTTGTTCGTCGGATCCAAGGCGATTGCTTCGGCGTATTTTTCGATTGCAAGGCTGATATCTCCATCTCCCTCAGCTATCGCGCCCTCTTGGGCGATTCGAGTCGCACTAGTAGAAAAATGATTAAACGGTAAATTTACTCATACTGACTTTTCAAAATCATCAATATTATCAATTTGCACAAGATGGGATCTTGCTGTTATATCACCATATCGGGCATGAAAATCACTTGCTGATTGTCGTATATGTTTCCGGAAAACTCCATTCGTCATTTTGCTTCGTTCTTTCATGTAAAGTTTGTAGTACCGATGTTTTTTGGTGATGAAACATTCAGCGATGGACTGGAAATCTTTCCATTCGAGAATGGGGTAGTTATCAGGCGAGACGTACAATTTAACTTCTTTTTTTTCTTTTCTCTTCCATTTGCTTTTTGGTGTATAAATAAATGAAGTAAGTTCGTGGCGCTGGGGAAGACAAAATCGCTTCTTTTCTGCACAGAGAAGTTTGTCGATGGTGTGTATGTACTCATCACCTAAGACAGCCCCATTCTCATCTGGTGTTATGTTTAGAGAATAGAACAAGTCTAATCTCTCTATGCAATGTCTTAACTGGAGCCCATCTCGAGTTTTTCTTATTTCCTCGACAACCGCGAAGTCGTAATCGGAAAAGCCATCCAAACCAAAAATTGGCTGAAGAACAACCCCTATTGCTGAAGTCTCCCAAAATTTCCAATCTTTTTCGCGTTTAGGGACCCCTTTTGATCGCAATAGTCGTAAAAACGACCGGTGGGGCTTGTGCACGAATTTAACACCATTTTGGAGATTATCACATTGGCTGTCAGCTTCCTCCTTCGACTCGAAAACTGCCACTCTCAAGGTTCCATCGTGAATTTCTTGGACTTCATGGTCTTCTGCGTCTGTCGCAGAAGATTCGACAATGTGAAGTTCTCCTTCGCCGTCAGATACCGGCATCGGAGAATGAGCAGCAAAATCGTAGGTATCGGGATCAAAGCCATTGACTGTCAAAAAGTCGGATAATCTTTGGAGAAGTTCAGCTTTCTTGCCCCTCGTACTTTCTTGCACCGAAGCAAGCTCTTTACGAATTTCTCCTACTTTGAGATCGGTCAACAATTTCACCATTACAAAACTGTCTAAATTTATGAGCGCTGCAGACAGATAAGGATAACTGTCAGAAATATCAAACGAGTGCTGAGTTTTCTATTTCCATCATGAATCTTATATTGGAAAGAAAAGATAAAACACGAGTTTTTGAATTAAAGAATGCGTGTGAACAATCGCCTTTGTATTGAATGACTAGTTGAAAAAAGAAACAGTGATGATAAGAAAAGAAAAGAGAGAGAGAGAAATAGTTTGTCTCGTTGTTCTTGCAAAGTGAGTGGTCGGCTTTGTTGAAGAGTTCGGATCGAATTGCAAAAAGACCTGCTTCTGTACAAACGTTTCGCAAATCAGCTCCATTAAATGTATCCGAGAGCTTGACAACCGCCTATTAAAAAGGGGTGAAAAAGGGAGAGAAGCGAGAACAAGATTACCTTGAAGTCAATTCCTCCGTGAGAAGCGAGTGGATGCGAGTGAATCTTCAAAATGTCAAGTCGAAAAATGTCAAGTCGAACTTGTTCATTTGGCAGTGCTAGAATTGAATTTAGATCAAGGATTTTCTAAGGTGGCTTCTAACAACCGGGTCGCAAAAGTGCAGGATCCAGCGTGTCAGGTCTGTTCGTCGCCATGATCATTTTCACCTTTCCGAGCGTGTCGAAGTCGCCCATTTGATTGAGCAATTCCATCAGAGTACTGCGAGCGACATTAAACTTTAGTAAAAATAAAGTACAGCTACCTTTGGATTCCACAATCAGCAGAGATTTCTTCTGAAAGACGTCTGCTACCGATAGCGTCGATTTCGTCCATGAAAATAATAGAGGGTTGATGGTCGCGAGCGTAGTTGAACTTTACGCGGATGAGACGAACAGATTCACCGATTTACTTGTCCACGATGGCAGATGATATTACCTAGGAAAAGATGCTCTACCGTGCGTTTGCTGTAAGATAAGCTACCATCAAAAATAAGCGTCGAGTTGACTAGCAACAGCTCGAGCAGGGAGAGTCCTAGTGTCAGCATTCTTATCTCCATCAGATTCAGTCGAGCGGCCAGTAATCGGCTCTGATGATGAGGAACTATCCAGTAATCGGCTCTGATGATGAGGAACTATCGCTTTTTCCAACAGATTTCGGCGTGTGCTTCGGGAATTTTCGATTTTTTTCACCTTGTTTCGGATTTTATCCACTTGCACGATCATCATCGAGAGTCGAGCATTTCTGATTGATGCTTCTGACCAGACATCGGTTGTACTGCCCTTTTGTTCTTTTTGGGGGACGCCTGTGCGAGAGACATCAGAGCAATCAGTTCTTGAACGGGACTGATCGCTACTAGAAACAGCATTTGGGAGATTCGATGAGCTCGTCGTTTGTTCTGTCGAGGAGGAAGAGTCTGAGGAAGTTTTTCTTGTGTTTTACCCGTAGAACTGCTTTTCCGACGACTCAAGCGTTTCTCCCTCTTTTCACTTCTGGACTTTTTCGATCGATGCTTCGAGCAGTAATGTCTACTTCTGCTTGTACTTCTGGATCGATTCTTTCGCCGGCGGATAGGACTGCGCGATCTTGAGCGATGCTTTCGGCTTTTGAAAGAGTTGAAAAAAGAAAGATCAAAATTGGCATGCTCTAAGGGAAATTGCAACTCTAACTTGGACTAGAAGATCTCGACCGCTTTTGTTTCTTTCTTCTTTCCCGGATATCCGACCTTTTCCGGTGCATTCTTGATTTTCCCGGCTTTGAATCGACAATCACAAGATCATCATCTTCTTCTTTGCTGGAAGGTTCGATCGGATCAACGATTCGTTTCAACACAGGCTTGACAGTTCTGACTCGACGATCTCACTGAAGAGTTGATTAGCCAGGTTTTTTTCATTTCTAGAGCCGTTTCGACCTCTAGAATCGTTTTTACCTGTCTAAATGATCATAAACTCTTTGCAAAATCGGTTTATTCGACGCTTTACTGCTCATTACAAGTCAGTATTTGAGCACTGTATCGGACCGTGCTCTACTGTATTTTCAACTTATTAGTACGCACAGTTTGTATTTTTACTTTGATTAGCTGATACCAGTTACTGTGGGCTACAATGAATTGCGGGGCCAAAACAACGAATGGCCGAATAAATAAGAGTTTCAGTTTTTTTTCCTCAGACACAAAACAGGCAAAATTTTTAGTAGTTGGATTTTTAGAAAGTTTTTTGTTGAACGTAAGGGAAGAGAGGGAGGTTTGTGCATGTAGGTGCATTATTTTAATAAATTACTGAACAACAGGAACGGAGGTGAGAAAAGGGAACACACAAGCTTTAAGGACAATAGTTTTTCTTTGTGGAAGGAATCAGTACTTTGTAAGTGATAGAATAGGTGGCTTATTTGTACAATCGACCCTTGGCGCCCTTTCGGAAAGCGTCGTTCATGAATTTGTCCTGCTCGATCTTGTGAACCTGAAACGCAAAATAGCTTTTGCAAATTTGGCTGAAATCTTACTTGTTTGGAACCAGCAGCGGCGGAGGCGGCGGAGTCTCGGCCAGCGTAGTGGACTCGGCGGGACCAGTTGGATGCAGTTCGCAGTCTAGGCTTGCAGAAGTCGTAGAAACCCATGTTCTTGTGCTTTTCCTGGACCCAGTAGACTTCGGCGTTCTTGTATTTCTCGAGCTCGGGAATGACGAGATCGTATGGGAATGGAGCGACCTAGAATAAAATGTAGCCTTTGATCTCTCTAAGCTGAAAGTACCTGTTCAACTCGTGCAATAGCGATATCGTTTTCGAAGCCTCGGGCAGCTCGCTCTTTGACGAGATCGTAGTAGACCTTTCCAGAGCAGAATATCAGTCGCTTGACGTTATCTGGGTTCTGAATGGAGCAAAGTTTAAGTAATGAATGAAGGATATTATTTTACCTTGGAGGCAGCGCCTTCTTCACCGATGAGTCGTCTGTACTGTGTGCCAGGGTCCATTTCTGACCATTCGGATCGAGCTTCTGGAAGTCGAAGAAGAGATTTGGGAGTCATGAGAATGAGGGGCTTTCGGAATGGAAGAGCGATCTGTCGTCGATGGACGTGCATGACGTTGGCTAGAATTTTAGTGAAGAAAGATCTAAATTGGTAAGCTTTACCTGGAGTAGTTGGGTTGCAAATAATCCAGTTAGCGTCGTAGAGCTGCTTGATGCCGAAGTCAGCTTCCTTCCAGTCGCTGGGGCTGAAAATATAGTTTATTTTTTCTATTTTAACGTGTTAATAATATTATCTACTAAATTCTATTAAACGGGAGCACAGTGCTCACAGACTAAAAAATCTAACTAATACTAAAAAGCCTAACTAAGTCTGGAGCGCATTGCTCACCATTTTAGATTAGATTTGAATTTAGAAAAATTATAACTATTAAATTTTTAAATATAATGGGAGCACGATGCTCACAGACTTAAAAATCTAACTAATACTAAAAAAGCCTAATTATGAGCGAGAAACTTCCCAGGACCGAGATCCAAACAAGTGATACCAAGCTCTCCCAGTTTTTATTCAACCCTTATTTTAAGTCTGGAGCGCATTGCTCACCAAATTTAATTTTGAAATTAGAAAATTATTGAATTTTTTACTTATCTTTATTTCTTCTTCGTTGATTTTCTTCATATCTTCTCGTGTTTTTTCTCGAAAGCAAATCTATAAAAAACCTGGTAAAAATACTGGCTATTACATGAATTATTCAAGAATTCGTGTTGAACAATCCAAAACAATACAAACAACAATACAAAACATGCAAAACTTCTCTTTTGAGAAAAATGATTTTGAACTTGAATTTTAAATTTTGAGCGCTATTGGCGGAGCACCCGCCAATGAGCGCGCGCCCCGCGATGTTTGTTCTCAGAAGAATAGTGCGAACGCGCAAAACGAAAAGGATAATACTACTCTCGACTAATTCTTTCATCCAAAACTGGCCCTTTTAAGGGCCCCAAAATTTCTATTTTCATAAATTCAATCGGACAGTACAAGCAATCGTCGATAAGGCGACATCGCTTGCGTCAGCATAAACGAAAACCCTCTTGAAAGTTTGACATGTTATAATTAAAAGTTGCGATTATTTTTTCTTGCACACGAAGGAGGGATCAAATCTCCTACTTGTCTTCTGATAACTCCGACTGAGATTGGTAGAACGCGGCGGAAAGGACTGTCGCATTTTCTTTTTGATCATGACGTCCCATCTCGGCCGCAAAATGAGCTCAGCTAAAATATACAACACTCAAGTTACTGGAACAGGGGAAAACCGAGCCCTTGAGTTCGCCAGACACGTAACTTTTCCGGTTTAACTGTATCTTTGTTACCATGAAGTTTTACTCTTGATGGAGAAAGTCCCTGGGCCCCTTTCCCCGATTCCCGCGCAATGCGATGTCGGGGGATTCTAGAAGTTTAGTCAAGCCTATGTTTGGCGCTTCCTTGAATCTCGAAATTATGTGCGGACGAAAATTGTCCGCTGATTGGCTAGACACATCTGGCGCAGAGTTAGGCGCGCTCAGAAATGAGCCTCGAATAAAGCCTATGCATTTTTTCGATGCTCAGATTCTCCCATCTCCACTAAGAGTCAAACTTCATGGTAGTACCGGAAAAAAACTAACAAAGAATAAATTAAAAGATTCTTTTAAAGATCACTAATCAAAATAAAAATCGACTAAAAAAGGTAAACAAGAAATCAGAATTTTAAGTACAGGGCGGATGCTACCTCCCCGAGTCCATAAGAGCTCGTCATTACGAAATCGCAATTAGCGCTGCGACCGCCACTTGTTGATTTCGAGGCAGCGGGCTTCTAACAGAAGGGCAGGAATTTCAGAGTCATGGCGCGTGGCCTATACTTTTAAAATTTATGAAGGCAGAGAGACCAGAATTATGAGTGCATCTGACTCACTGCAGCAAGAAATACCAAATTTATTTGTTGGTTACTCCATGAAAACTGCTAGTGCCTGAATTCCTGGGGTTCGATTCAAACCACGTACTATCTCCAGGAATCCTTAGAATAGAGCTGGTGCAGCAGAAACCCTACTTTCTCATTTAAAACTTGTCGTTGCTCCTCTTTTTTGAGAGTTTTAATTTTGCGTTCTTCGAAATATGTGCATTTTCAATTCTTGTAATGAGTCGGTCTTTCATAAAAAAAACTGCTTTAAGAAACTTGAGTTTGGCGAAAACACGAGCCGGTGAATTTTTACGATAATAAAAAATACACGTAAAAATGCATGACACCAGGTGTTTCGATGCTGTCCATGAATTTCACGTAACGTGTCGTACACCCGTTTGATATGTTACTGGTCAGTTACATATAGTAATAAGCGGTTGGAATGCAGACTCTAATCGATATGGAAAATAGGGAGATAAGTGGCATCCGCTTTTTGACCAACAATTGGCGGGAACAACTACGTTTATTCGAGCATTATCATCAGAAATGCAAATTTAAGACTGAAATAAAGTTTCTTTCAGACTTCCTACGTGAATAAAGATCCATATCTACCAGGCCAGTAAACAGTCATAACTGTAACTGATTGTATACGGTTAAGAAGCATCTAGAGCTTCCAGAACCCGAGTGGTTTACATCCTTATATGACTGCGAAAATGGTCAGGACGTTTGTCTGCCGCAAATATTCGTCCCTAGAGTCTAGTGCCTAGACTCTTACAATTCAGGAAAAAGGATGCTCGGTAAACCACATTTTTCTCACACGAATTCAGTGAAAATCAATTAGACACCGTCAATACAGTAATATTAATTATCAATAAATTATCAATCAATTAATTATATTATTAGATTACGAAATAACTGATTACGAAATGAAAAATTAACAAATGTCAAATGTTTAAGGAAATGTCGAACGACCAGAGCACCGGATGTCGTGGAGTAATCATTGTGTCTATTGAATAGCTTTAGCGAAAACGTAAATAAGACGTTAGAAACTTGTGTTGCTTACTTCTAAAACGTCAATTGCGCTGTTACAAATTCAAGAGCCGCGTGAATTTCACTTTCCTGTGATTCTCGGAAACTTGACTAATATTATTCAAATTGCAATGCTAGGAAAAGACTGATTTTTTCAATTTTTATTGCGCGCAACAAAAGTCAAATGTATTTAAAATGTAGAAAAGAACCGGACAAGGAAAGAAAAAAAAATGTTAGAAAATGGAATCCCGGGCGCACGCGAAATGCATGTGCCTAAGATTCACTGGGTGGCGCCACCTACAGAATGCTTGGTGAAGAATTTGTAGGCACAGATTTTGGTCGATGGAAAAATGCTCACAAGACGGTCAAAGATGATTAGAAAAAGTAGCAAAGAGAAAATCTTCGTCGCTTCTTAGGTGTATACTGCCCTAGAAACGAGTGATGATCATCTTATTGGTTGTAATTCTAAGTCGTTATGCTGTTCGATCGTTGTTTGTTTACTGCTGGTTGAGCTGGGCGGCTAACTGGTTGTTGGCATTGACGTTTTCTTCCAAGTAAGGGTATTTCAAGAGAGTATCCAAAAGCTAAATCAATCGAGTTTATTCTGCTCTGAGGTACTTGATGAAGGTACCTGGAAAGATTTCGACTGGGTGGTCTTGTGCGCCTTAGCTTCGTTCTTGACAGCTCTGTAAGTAGCGGTGGATGTATCAACCTGCACGTTCTGAGTTCCAAAGGTGGTTGGGTCGGGCACGTCAGCTCCCATCGCAGCGGCTTGGCTAAAAATTCCATTCCTTACCAAAGTCTTATTATGTTTATTTGTCTTATTATTCTACAAAATTTAAACGTTTTTAAAATTCCGCAGAAACCAATTTCTAATTTGATAGAGTTAAAAACTGTTACCGATGAGAGGATTTACTTTTACTTCTTTAGATGGCCTTTCTTTGTGGCTAACCCAAAGAAAAGTTTAGATCTTATCTTGATACCTGATCAAGGTGTTGGCGATCTGCGCGTCCGAGTACATAACACAAGGAGTGTTGTACTGAGCGTGGCGAATGTTGCCACGAACTGGGCCAGAAATCTCAACGGCGCGATTTGGGTAGGCCAACGCGGCAGTCTTCAGCTTGGTTCCAGCGTCTTTTCTGAAAAACAATGATATGACTCTATTTTTGGAGACCAGGTTGGACGAATCAACTACACTTGGACAGAGGATTACAAATTAGCACAAGCATTTGCTCTGGGCCACGTGGTTCGCCTAAGTGTTAGCTGTGGTTCAAATAATGTTTTACTCTTAGCTCAGGAACACAAGTGCTTGGTACCTAACAATAAGTGTTTTATTCCGATGAGTCTGGTTCAATTTTTGCTGACGCAGAAATTTGCAGCATTGAGTTGTGACTCGGTTGAATACGAAGGATACAGTTCTACATGTAGAATGTCTCTAAAATCTAATAACAATCGGATCGGCTCACTCAGTGATTCCAAAAATAGAACTCGGATTTCTGGGCAATTGGGTACTTGAGCTCTGGCTTTTGTGTGGATTATGCTGAGCAGGAAGCGATAAAACCGTGCGATAGCTCACAAAGTGATAAAGGTAAATTTCTGTTTGTTAAATTATCGCTTATCGAGGCCAAGTGGTTATCTAATTTGTACAAAAATGGAAATCCATCTTTTGCTGCTCAACACATAATTGAGCTGCCGCAAAACACGGCACCGCCGTTGATACCAAACGCAACGTACTCAGAAATCAAGTTTTTATGTAAACTCAGCCATAATTAGCTTTTTAGATAGAGAGACGATGATTAAGGGCCTGCAAACAAATCATTTCAACGGGCGACATTTCAAATTAACAATTTGAAAGTGTTAGATAAAATGTATTCAAGACTGTACAATATACGACTGTCCTTTGTACTGGGCACACTTATAGTTGACATACCCTGCTTCGCCGCCAGGAAGGGTGACCTTAAGCTTCATCTTGTTGTGGAGCCAGTCAACGTTCTTGCCGTAGTCGGGAACTTTCTTTTGGGGTCGAATGGCCTTCTGGATGTACGATGGCAAGTTGGCGAACTTGAAACCTTGTTAGAAGAAACAAAAGGAAAGTTTAGTGTACTTCGTCTCTGGTGATTTGATGAGTCTTGTTGTATTCGTTGTCGGTAGTCATGCCAGGGTCGACATAGTTGGGGTTCTCGATAGCAACTCGCTCAGCCTGGGCTTGCTGAGCACCAGCAAGGGTGTATTCGGGGTCGATCTCAGATTCGTAGCCAGCGGGTTCGGTCTTAAGGTTTCCATGAAAGAAGAAATGGAAATGATTATTAAAGATTTTTCTCAGTGAAGAAAAACACCATGCAAACCATTTGACTCTCAAATGCAGGTTCCTCAAGCTGCTGAGGGAGCACCTGCTGGACTGGAGCGGCTTCAGCCTGGGCGACATCGACTGCTTCAACCTCGGCTTCTTCTTCGGCCTTGGCGGCGGCTTCCGCATCGGCTTTGAACATATCGTATTCTTCCTGTGTCAAAAGGGTAAGATTGACAGTGTCACCGGAGCCTGACTGGTGTCATGATTTTCATCTTTTTGTGTTTAAAACATTCGTAGAACTACTTTCTTTCGAAATAATCTAAGACACGCCACCTTTGATAAGTTCCATAACATTCAACAAGGAGGCATCCTTTCCGCGGCTCGATGAAAAGAGTGAGCGGAAAAATCTGACCGAAATCTTGGCACCTGTTGAATACATCCCCTTATCAACCCGCAACTGAACCCGTTTTCGGTGAAATTATGAAACTGTTTTTTTATCTGAGTAAAAAACAGTTGATAATAGCTTGACTAACTGAAAAGAATCAAGTGTCCTTTTGTACGAATATTAATGATTGCCTTCTAATTGATAGAAAAAATGTTGGAGAGAGTCAAAGAATCATCGAGCCATTCCTGAAGAGCTTGGTGGTTGACGGCGAGAAGAAAATCGCCAACGCAGACATTTGCTGCGGCTGCCTTTCCACCGGGAGTAACTCGGCTAAATTAATATGAAACAAAAGAAAGAGGCTAAAATAAGGGCTTCCTTGAGAAAAAGAGCTAAGACTTTGACCTTCCTGATAAAAATCAACAATCAACGTGGTCAAGAACAAAGAATGTAGGCTAACGAAGGCTTTCGTAACACGTTAAAGCTGGTCTCGGGTCTCGCCCTTATGCGGCCCCTTGCGCTAGAACGCATAAAGGCAAATAGAAAAGAAAAAAGGAGATTAGCGCAAAATAACCACACCTTTGCTTTGTAAAAATAAGCAAAAATATTGAGTAAGCAGTTTTGGGGGTCAGGAAATATGTTTCAACGGACCGTGTTTCCCAAATAAATGAAAGAAACAGGGTATCATGTAATTTCGGAAGCGAGGATAACGTGGTCATCAGTGGCTTATATGAGTAACTTCAATGATATTTAAAATCCTATCAACATTAATTCAACTTTGAGAATCTTCTGGATGTTCTGCTTACTTGACTTTGATTCCATCCGGGCTTGGGTGTCCGCCAGAGAGTCTGAATCCCCAAGGAGCACCTCCGGAAATGGTGACTTCGTAGGGCATCGTAGATTCGGGTTCTTTAGTACGATTCTCGACCTCTTACTGAGCGAAAGATTTCTCGCCCTTCGAGCGCAGCGCTGATGATCTCTTCAAGAACGTTACTCACGCGGCTTTGCGCCCAATGCAAAAATAAAACAGACCTGTCATGTTGCTGAGTTAGGCACGCAGCACGCCCGCGGAGGGATAAGAGACATGCCAAAAGGGTTAGACTGTTCTTTTCTGGGAGTGAAAAGTCTGTCAGAGAACGCCGAAAAACTTTGCTTAATTTTTAATGAAATAGTACTGATGAAATCAAAGATGAATTTTCCTCTTTGAGTTTATTGGAATAAAACCAAAATAACGCCAGAATATTGTCTTTACGCCCTCTCACATTCCGAGTATCCGTTTTCGCTTTCAAGAACCTTCTGCAAGCATGAATATCCAAACTTATGTAAAAGATTGTGATGCAGGATTCTCCGCCGTTATCTTCACCGTACAAAATATCAAATTGTGGTATGAATTCTCCGACCCTGTAAAAAATCTTTGATGTTGATAATATGGCGCCTTGATCATGAATTCAGCATTGACGGCGCCGTAATTTCAAAAGTACCTCTCAGAAAATGAAACTAATTTACTCAAATTGTCATTATAATAACGAGTTTTCGACAAATATATATTCGGAATAGGTCATGAAGACTTTCAAAGAAGAGAATGAAATCAAAAAAATGATATTTTTGTTGAAATTGTCCTTGTTGATTTCAATTGGGCAAAGCAGGAAAGGAACTCGTCCAACCGGGGGCGCTGGATCCTCGGATTACAGAATGACTGAAAACATAGAGGATGATCCTTTCTACCGAGCTTTCCGAAGAATTTACATGCCCGAAGAGCTCGATTGGATACCCGAAAAATATTTGCCAATGGTTGGTTATTTTGCTTTGGTGATCATTGCATTTTACGTCGGTTAGTTACGGCGTTGTTTCACAAAAAGTCTTATTTTCAGGGCTTATAATTTATAGATCAAGAGTGACGTATCGCCGTTTTCAATGGAGCAAAGTTCCAGGTGCCCATTTTAAGGGTATCAGCCTGTTCATTGTCTAGTAATTATCGTATTTCTTCTAAAACAGCAGTAGCGTATAATGAGTTATTCGACTAGACACCTGTAAAAAGTGAAGGACAAAAGAAGGCTTTTGGACCCCAATTGCCCAACGAGACTAAATTGGGCGCTCATTTTAAAGAATTTATCCTTTTTACATAACATGAGCGCAAACAAGTTGAACATGAAAAAATCTTGGACAATCTCTGGCCACAAGGGGATAAAAGTCCGCTCTACCAAACTGTAGCAGAAAACGAAGCGATAGAAGATCAAATGTGCCAAGTCACGTGGTCTGATAGAAAGTAATTACGAGCTGCTTCCTTAGTAGGAAGTTATTACCGCAATCGCTCAGTGGAAATCAGCCAAAATTATTATTTTCTCCCGTTGCGTGCGGAGACGTGCGCCTCTCCTGACAAGCGAGCTTCCTTAGAAGTTATGAAGCCTCGCTACTTACTGTTTGGGCACACGCCAGAATCAGTTCTGAAAGAACGTTCCGCCGCGGGACGCTCCCATGGGCCCGATATGTGCCAAAATCGCTGTTTGATCAATCGAGGCGGGACTACTAGAATAATTGAGCAGTACTTAATCAGCCACGCTACATTTGAATTGACCGAATTGATACACCTGGCTACGTGTTGAAATAATAATTCGAAAATTAGACCGCTTCTAAGGGACACGATATAGAAGGTTATCAGTCGTAGCTAATTACGCGATGGCGGATCAGGTTTCGAATGTGTTAACGGCAAAGAATTCTGTTTCAGGTGATTATTACTTTTTAAGCACTGGTTAACTAGTTTTGTATACAGTTCGTTCTCTCACTGAAACCCACCCAATAAGGTTTTTTATGTTTATTTAAGTTTGGAACAAACAAGCAGCAAGCTCTGCTCGAAAACGACAAGTCTCAAACATCTCCGTTGACGCAGGTTCATTTCCTCAATTGCGCAAATTTATAAACAAAACCCTAAGATCATATGTTTGGAATGCGAAGTCGTCTATCACGAGCGTCAACAAGTCCGACGATTTTCGAGGATCCACCCGGAAAAGTCAACATGTTTTGATCAATTTAGTGTGCTTACTGGTTTATTACAGTAAATCATCGTGATTGGTTTTACAGTCTTTGCAAACAGAGTAACCAAATTTAAGAATTACAGCATTTTGAAACTGAACTTTTTTGTCATGGGCATGTCGGAATGCGAATTTGTCGAGAGGCGAAAATCGTCGAGCGTTTCTTTGAAATTGTGCAGCAGGATTTTGTGTCAATTGAAACATATAAAAGTATATACAGAATAGATAGTGTTATGTTCTGCTCAACTGAGCGTCGTGTAAAGTGACGAGGATTGGCGCGAGTCGGAGTGAGGTATTTGTGGCGGCCTAAACAAAGAGTAATTATACCGATAAACCCCCTTATCTGATGTATGAAAGTATATTCGTGTAGGGACTTACATATGAGCGGCGGTGGAGAGAAGCTCGGGCTTTTGAAGAAGATCAAAGAGCATCTTTTTCAATTGCTTGAATCCAGGTCGATCTTCTTGCTTATGTTTCCAGCAATCGCGCATGATTTCGTAGATGGCGTCAGGGCATCCCTAAATTAAAATTTTAAAACGTATTTGTCGCGAGAGAAGACAAATAGAAGTAGGTAATAAAATTAACGCAGCCACCCAGGAAAGCAGGTGGCGAAAAGGAATTAGCCTTCAGTCGGAAAGATCCCTGGCGCGGCTGTCTCCGATAAGCTCGTTACCCCGCTGCGGTCGAAATTTGACATTTTTGAAAATAACCATCCCGTTATCTTTTGCTAAATAGCTTCCACGCCGTCCAGGAGTGACCGCGTCAAATTTTATCAATGTTTATGTTTTAAATTGTAGACGAAGCAGTTTTAAGGTGGCTTCAATTCAACGGATAATACACTTACATAAGGCTGGGGCAATCGCTGGCCATTTGTTATATTGCGAATTACTGCGTCATTTGTCATGTCCCAATATGGCGCTTCTCCGTACGACATCACCTCCCACATAAGGACCCCAAAGCTCCAGACGTCGGAGCCGTGGGAGAAGGCCTTAGCGGAAATTGCCTCTGGAGCTGTCCATTTGATGGCGATCTTGCCACCGAGAGCGTTGTAAGTAGCGTTCGGGTCGTTGGCTTCAACGATTCGGCCGAGACCGAAGTCGGCAATTTTAGCATGGCGGGTGGCATCAATCAGGATGTTTCTAGCAGCCAAATCTCGGTGAATGAAGCCTTTGTCTTGGAGGTAAGCCATTCCAGATGCAACATCGTAAAGAATATTTACCATTTCGAGAACTATAAATGAATATTAAAACTTGACGATGTTAACGTTGATTACCTGAAATTCCATTTCTGTTATTTCTTAAGAAATTATCCAGACTTCCGTTCTCCATATATTCAGTCATGATCATAAGTGGCATAGATCGAGTAACAACTCCCTTGAGCGCAATAATTTGAGGGTGATCGAATCCGTTCAACACTTGCCCTTCGTCTGAAAAATCTGTTAACTAGTCGTACTTGAAATATTTCTTACCAAGAAAATCTGATTTGTAGCGCATTCCAACGCCGGATTTGAGGCTCTTGACGGCGACTGGGATCCGCATGCCGCTGTCTGTCGTCAGATATCCTTTGTGAACGGATGAGAATTCTCCCTCACCAATTTTCTCTTCAGTCACGTGAAAAGTGCCGGGTTTGACTTCCAGTTTTCCAAAGGCGCCGAATGGACTTGGGCCGGTATCGTAAGCGTTTGGACTGGTGGGAAGAATTGCTTGATCGGGGAGAAATGGAACTGTACTTCCTGTGCCTGAATTTTGATTTATATAATTGACCCTTTGTCCATTCATTCTCAGAGGAGGGAATGAATAATTGATTAAGCGGATGGGCTTGATTTTAAAAGGGTGGGGACAAATTAATTCAATGCCCAAGGGGGTGCGAGATTTAGGCTATCTTGGTGATGGAACGTATTGATGTTTCAATTAATAAAGAGGGGTCTTCATGCTAAGGGTACATCAATCTAGCTAACTGATTACCTGACTGAGAATCTTTTTTGTCTTCTTTTCTCACACCCTTTCGGCACAAAATTGCACAGACAACGATCAGCATGACAAGCACGAGTCCCAGCCCAGCAGCAATAACCATGGTCATCGCAGGTGCGTCATCCTCTGTGACTTCCACTACTTCGGTGGTCTTCCCAGCGCCTGCTGCATTCACAGGAGTCACTCGTGCTCGGTATTTCATATTTGGAACAATATCTGTGATGTTGAAGCTGGGAGCGGATATAGTCGCAGAGTGTTCGTCACCGGCAGAGTTTGTGAATTCTACTCTGTAATGGTCAACTTGGCCTTCTTTGGGCGGCTCCCATTGTATAAGAAGCGTCTTTTTGTCCCGCGACTGGTCCATGGTCAGTCCAAGGACTCGTCCAAGTGGCGTCTGCTTGGTAGTGAATGTTTTCTTCATGCTGTTGTGATCGCGGTAGGCCGTAACGCGGTTGACCGCAGTTATGGTGACTTCGTACTTTGTGTCCGGCTGGAGCCGGTCGAACCGGCGCAGATCCATCCTTGATTGTGAAATATGCTCATTTGTCCAAGGGCATGTAGGAGCATTGCTAACGGTGCAAATCGTCACTTCGTATCTGAAGTCTGTGTCTGGCTCGTACTCAGCTTGGTCAACAGGGGGAACGACAGATAGCGTTATCGATTTATCATCAGTAGCGGAGTGAGGAGAGTTGATGATAGGAGTCGAAGCAGGCCTGTAGCACTTGTCTTTTTTGTCGTCTGAATTTGAATCAGCACGGAATCCTGGCTTGCACTCGCAAACTGCGGCTCTACCAAAAGATTCTCGATTATCAGGACATGGCCGGCATTTTTCGGTTTTTCCCTTGCGGAAAGTATCGACTGGGCAAGGTTTGCATAAGTTTCCAAAGCGTTCGTATCCATCTAGGCATTCACAGAGATTCGGGGTCGTAGTGTACGTTTTCATATCGACACATTTTCCCGTGATTGGCACATTTGGATGAGCAGGCACGGCATTTGGCACACAGTGTCCAGCGACAGTCACGTGGTGGCCTTCTATCGAAGGAATTTTTGGAAAAACGGCAAGGTCGATGTTTCTTTCAGGGCAGACTTTGACGAAGGCACGCATACGCGAGATTGAAACACAACTTTGGCGGGTTTTGAAGGCCACATAGAAACCGACTTTTGAAGATTTGAAAGTAAGCGTTTCTGTCGTCATCTGTGCAGAACTGTCGCCTTGTTGAAAGTGCTCCTGAACGAGCGAATTAATTCCAAATCAGCAGAATCGTTAATTAAACGCGGGAATAATTCAAAGACCGGGTCAGAATGGAGAAAATTACCTCCGCTCATAATTCAAATAGGAACGGGCTAAGTGGAAGGTCAGTTTGCCAAAAGTCGCCAAATAGATTTATCACCGAAATATCAAATCGAAACGTAAATAGTGGTAATTATGTAGCTCGCGCCCCTATCTCATCGGAACGTGTCTTTTGGGGGCGCAATTATAAGTTCAAACGGTGGGGAGGTGGCTCGTGTAATGGGCGGAAATGACGGTTTTGACAAAGCCGGAATTCGGCTCTTCCATCGGAATCGTCAATACCCTCCGCTGGTTCTTGAGACAATGTACCCTCTGAATGCTCAAATAGCTTCAAAGGCGTACCGCGGGGTCTTGGTCGAGGTAGTCAAATAGAAATGAACATTCCGCGAGGCCCCTGTCTTGACACTTTCTATTGAATCTCGCCAACAGAAGGACCGTAAGCGGCCAAAACGCAAATCTTGGCTAAGTCTAGAACTAATGACTCCGGACGTGACTGTCATCAGAACTGTCGCACTATTTGCGCGGGTCCGCGCTGTATTTTCAAGTAAATTCTGCCCTAGCAGGTCCCTGTACATATATTCCCAAAAATGAAAACACAGATGCGTACCTGGGCGGCAATGGTCTTGAGCTTGTCATAAGAGCTGTCCGACCAAGCAGGGGAGATGTCACCAGCACTGTCAGTGTCGCGCTCCAGCTTGAAAACTTCGAAGGTGTATTTGCAATCTCCATCTGAAGACAAAACTGTTATTTATTGTTTTCGTTAGATACTGTCAATGCATAAAAGATGCCCCGATTTGTCGGGAAAGAGAGCTTTGGCAAGTCCAATTTTTTCGAAATAAAATAAATGAGCTTAGTTGTATCCGCTCTAATTGATGTTTTCGGATCATCCCTAATTAACAGTTGCACATGAGCGGCGATGATGTGGAGATTACACCTCAAGAATGTGGCGATGTTGTGATTCACAAGCTGTGAAAAATTGTCGCGCGGGCCCAAATATGCTACCGCTAAGCTTCACTAATCCTTTTCTAAATTTTTGCACCTGAGGAGCTTCCCAGTTACAGCACAATTGCCTAATAAACAAGGCGATGTTTGGGTAGCCCGTAGCTGCGAGGCCCCGCTCACACAGAAATATTTTTTGATCAAGTGGCTCTTGGGGCACACCCTCGAGTGCCCACCATGTGCCCAAGTGTGACTCGTTGGGTACTACTTTGCGGAGACGAAATTGATTGGGATTTGAAGAGTCAAGTGCTAAATTAGCGGTCCGGCACCTCCGAGCTGCTAACTGTTACTTAGCGAGGCCTATTTGAAGTGAAGCTCTAAATCGATTTCGGAATTTCTTCTTTGATCCGCCTTGAGCCACCTTGAGCTCGAATTGGGCTCCCTGCCGACTTGACATTTTTAACTTTCAAGTGCAACTCGGCGGGGGAGGTCGCTGACCTGCCAAGTTCCGCCTATCCCTCTTTTCGGTAACATCTTTCAAGGGGCTTTATTTTGTTTAAATTTAGGGTTTAACTCACTCAGCGGGCAGTCGGGAAATGCGTAATCAACTTGAATGGAGATCTCGGCGTCGCGAAGTTCGGCAGGTATTTTTACGTATTTTGTCCGAAGCCATTGGTCTGACCAGACTGTTTTCGCTTTGTTTACGTCGCAGACTGAGTAGACTCGGTGGCCATCGGGTCCTGTGCTGTCCGACCAATTCTCCGTGAAGAAATAGTCGTAGTAATCGTAGCTACTATCGTCGTCTTCTTCGGAATATTGATTGAAAGTCGTCCAGTTGAGAGAAGTCGTGTATTTCCACGTATCTTCCAGTTCGTCTTAAATATAAAGTTAGTCATTTTATCGATTTAAAAAGTAGCTCGACTGGCAGTTCCGTTTGCTAGGTCTTTGGAATTTAATGCCTCCGGGTGGTGTCCAAAGCAAACGCCGAGGAAATACGGTGGATATGCGGGCGCGCGAAAAAACCGCGGAAAATGCTTGCACAGGAGGGAGGCCCTCTCGAACGCACGAGTCGTTCGATACAGGGTACATCCGACACCGAAAACGGAAATAAGGAAATTGCTCACTTTCCGGCGCGCTCACTTGAAAATTAAAATTACGCAGATTTTTTGAAGCATTCTTTTAAGATCAAGGTAGCGCGTCCTAATTGACCTTCTCACACTCGAGCTGGATCACGCTTGAAATTTGTAATGGTCAAAACAAGGTCGTAACTATAAAAGTGTTTTGACTTCACGATTTTGACCTTTTTCGAAAAGAAGCGAGGGAGATAGAATTGACAGGGGAAGGTTCCCTTAGCTGCTGAGTTGTTTACGTCGGCTCCTGTCAAACAAACAAGTCTGATTTCCGCATACTCCCGGGCTGATATGCAAATCGTTTCCGGCTCAGAATTGCGCCCAGTTCTACCCGTTCACCAGAATAATTAAGTACGCGCTTGATAAGTCTCCCCTTATGCTAATTCCTCAATACACAAAAGTAAGACCTCCCGGAGAGCCCTTCTGAAATGCATAATTAGATTTGCTATCCAAATTTAATTTCTTTCAATAAGCTTATATTTATTTTCACACGGATTGGGAGAGAAAAGTTGCGAATTGTTCCCAGGGGAATCTTTTTGTGAAACCTAATTACCCGGCGACGACCACAACAGGATCTCGCGACAAATAGAATTTGGAGGAACGGGGCGAGAAGCGTTCCAACATTTTTGGTGGAAATATTTTTAGCGCGAAGATGCGTTTATTTAAAATGCCTTTATAATTGGCAATCGAATATTTTCCCAAAAAAGTCCTTGAAAATCTCCGAAGCGAGCTTTGAAAATTTGAAAGATTTCTTCCGAAAGGGAAGAGAGAAATAGTTGCTTTTGGCGATTTCTAAGGATCACTCAAATTTGTATTCAGTGGCACTCAGAACCTCTTTTTGTATCTCGAGTACCCGCGCGTATGATAAGCATTATTTTAGCGATTATATTTTACTTGCGCCTTTTTCCTTGTTAGTCATTGTGTACCACTATCACAGTGCTACGGCGTTTCAAAGAAGGAATTCAAAAGTCAGCAATTAGCCGTGCCAGCTCATAAATCTCCCAAGCATTTCAAACTACGATAAAGACTCACTATCGTCAAATTAGTTATCAGCTACGCACACGCGCCATAAAACAACAATTTCAACTGGGTACTCTCTGCTCCGCGTTTTACTACTAATCCGATGATTATTTCGTATTCTGAGCTGAAAAAACGATAAAAATGGATCACCGATTCACGCAGATTTTTTGACTCTTCCGTTCCCATGATTCAAACTTTTGTTATCCAGTCAACATGTCTTATAAAATCCATCTTTCTACATCGCATTACATTATATCAAAATTATGAGGCTAATTTACGATCGGCATTTTAGTGCTTTTCAAATTGAACTTGAAAGTGGAGCCACCGCCTTAAATCATCAAGTCCATTTGTGAAATTCCAATCAAAATTTACTAAAACAACATTTTCCGTATTCCGTATGTTCAGGCAAATATGCGCCCGCTGCACGCTAAAAGGGATTCCCCATATTTTCGTAAAAAGGAAAGTGCCGAGTACTCAAATAATGCCAAATTTGTATCTGGCCTCGAGTTTATTACGGCAGTGGTGCTTGTCATCGTCAGTCACGATCTAACGCTACCGCGCGTTTTCGACGTTTCCGGGCCACCGCCGTGTATCAGCTGCAAATGGATGCGCATTCTTTAGGAAGCGACATTCCAGAAGCAGCGATTCAGAGGAGTTTGGGAGAGTCGTATTTGTTTTATGACGAGAATAAGCCCGGGAATGAGTGTGAACTTGACGAGCCATTCATTTTTATGACAAAGTGAGTGATTAATCTCCAACAAACATGTCTACAAATATACACGAGGTACTCAGTAGAAGATCATCGAAAACTTTCCGTATCGAAAAACCATTATCATTTCTATACAAAATTTTCTGAAATAAAAGTCTTGTTTGATTAATTCGAAGAACGCTTGTTAGATTATTTTGGGAGGTCGTATTTTAGAAAAAATGGCGTTTACAAAGTGCAGCAACTCTTGAAACAAAACGAAAGCGAACTTACAAATTCCAGGGGGTTCTCCTGTGACTGAATCAGTCCGAACTGCTCTGGATATCCGAACAGCCTGGACGGAACTGAGCAGGATGATTGCCCATTCTCCGATCATAATTCTTCGATTCATTGAATTCCAGATCTTCTTCAGTTTTTCATCAATCTCTTTTTTGGTGTTTCTTCTTGATTATCTCTGGGTTAGTTGGTTCTAGTGAAAAGAGTTGAAATACGCTTTTGTTGTTTTGTAATTTGTTTCTGTCGTTGTTGGGGATTTTTAGTGTGAGAATTGAATTGAGGAAGGCTCTTCGGCCTCGGGGCGCTCCGGACGCGCAGAGTGCGATAGCGCGCTCTTGCACGCCATCGCGGACACACACATTTTTTCTCGGTCGCCGCGGAGCATCGAGATTCTGATCTTCATCGCATTCCATCGATAAGATCCGATTCTTGGTGCACCTTTAGTTTTCAAAACCAGGGTCCTTTTTAGGCTTCGAAGATCTTGGTTATTTCTTCTGGTTGTCTTCTGATGTTAGTATAGATGGCATACAGTCAGTTTTGATAAGGAAAGATTGATTACTGTCTCTCTGATCCAAACTCGATATAATGCTTCCCTTGGGAAATACAGGAGATACTTCAAGGAGCACTCATTTATCTTATTTGGACAATAATTTCTGCTTGATTCTTGAACGATTCAACATCAAATTATGTTTATTTCAAACTAAACACTTTCAATCCTGAAATTATTCTTAACCCAAATTCATAAACCCGTCCTCATTATTGTTTCAAATCAGCCAACTCGGCGGGTTCCTAACACAATCCAGCGTGGCACTAATCCCGTAACTGAAAACCGTAATAAAGAGAACGCTCCTGTTTCCAAAATGCACGCTCCAGGCTCCCCCAAATACCGGAAAATTAAACCGAATCCTATCAAGATTAAAAAATTCCATGCTTATCTAGGTCTATCGCGACTCGCCATGTCAGGATAACGTCGCGATGTCCCACTGAGCAGTTCTGTGCTTGATTTTCTGAGCTGATCTAATGTTGCTTGACAAATGTTTTTACTTGATCATGCTGTTTTTGCATTAGCTGGGATTTGCTTTCTGTAATTGGGATTAGCCAGCGGCCTGATAAAAAAGGGACATTTCGCAATCTAAAATTTAGAGTTCTAAACTGTCTGTACGACAAATAAAGAATAAACAAACATGCAAGACTCTAATTTAGCTAGAATTTAATTATCCCGGCTCTTTTATTCCCAAGCTTCTTTTATGCAAATCGGCATAACAAATTTCAAGCTGAAAGCGAAAGAAATCGCCGGGCTGGTTTTGACCTTTAGCGGCGATTGCGACTTTGGAGCGCTGGGCGTCTAATCCGGAAGCGGAAATTTATTTTACCGGTGGTTTGTTGTTGTCATCCTCTCTACCGAAAAGTTCGCCCCTTCCGCTAAAAATTGATTAGCTTGAAAATTTTTCAAGGACAAATTTATCCGAAAATAGAATTTTTGAAAAAAAAAACTCTAAAGCGTAGTTTTTCTTTGAAAGAATGGGACCTTCGAAGAGCGTAAGAGACAAAGGGAGGATTTAATCTTTCGATTTTGTCCCTAAAGCGCGGTAAATTGAGCTCTGAAAGGGAGCTTTACCGACTCGCTAAATAGCCATTTTCACAGTGGCCCATCGATTTTTTCTCTTTATTGTTAGGCCCTTGTGGCCCCCCCATAAGGGCTACATTATTGTTTGCTTGTAATAAAGCGTTTTACTGTTCATTTTTTTATTCCTTGAGGGCTTCTAAAACTTGTCTCAGAAGGCAGAAGAAGCTGATATAAAAATAGAACTTGCTGAATATCAGACAATCTCGTGACATTTCCTAGTTTTGCGGAAATTGCGCGTTCTTTCATTTTGTAGAATTTCGTCTAATAAAAATTTTATCACGTGCGAAAAGTTCGTTACAAAATTCAAGTCGCAGTGTTTCAACTTGACGATGGAGGTAGTTTATGGACCCACTAAAGTGTTAATGGCCCTTTCAAGGACAAATTCCGACCTCATCGTACATGATGACTCAAATTTGTTGAAATTTTTCAAAGCGGAATTTAAAATTGAATTGATCAGAAAAGACGAAAGCATCTAGCGTCGCAAAAGCAAAAAGAAAATTCCTTAGTTCGTGGAATTTCCATAAATACTATCATTCATCGAGTACTACTGTTTCTTCCTGCTGGGGAAGTCATTGAGAGGGATTTATCGACGGAAGAGGGTCACTCTCGTCGAGTTTTCTTGTTTATAGCAACATAATGAAAACTCAACGCCTTCAGGAAAAACAAATAGCCACTGTTAAAACTATTGAAAGAAAAAGCGTTGATAAAATTTACGAAAAATAGAGTATTTTCATGAGTCCTATAATTTTTTTATGATGAGTATGCCGTTATAATTTCTCTTTCGGCAGTTATTATCTCCCTATTCAGAATTTTTACGGGAGTTCAAAGAACGAAGAAAAGCTCGATCAGCGCCAAGAACTTACATCCTGACTAGGCCCTGTCTTCTCCCCTGTCCGGTTGTTTTACGTCCATAAAGATCTTATTTTTATCCTTATCCGGCTTTATAGCTAGCCTTTTCAAGGGGGTAGTAATGATGTGGCGATTACTCAAATGCTTTGCGGAAATCAGCCGGCATCTAAGGACTTCCACCCGACTCCCTTCAAATCGTATCCATAGTGAAGTCCAAAATCAGCATCTTTCCCTCAATCAGTTTGTTTTACTACAGTAAATTTCAAAGGAGATCACCTGAAACCACAGAGAAGTCGAGATTAGAGTTACATCTTCCGGAAACTGCGTTTAAAATGCTATTGACCTTTTTTAATTCTGCAATAAGAGGAATAGAATTACGAAACTTCTGAATAGAAAATTGTGGTTATAATTGCAGAATTATAATTCGAGTGTTGGAATTTGAAGTCAACGACCTGAAAAATTGGCTGCAGAAGCAGCATTGAGGAATGTTGCCAAGATGGGTAGCGGATGATGATAAATCAAAAACATCGAGCTGGAGAGGATTCAGCAGGAAGTGCTCGAGGGTTTGATGTCCAATAAATTTTCCCTGGCGATTTCTCAAGGCCGCCCAATCAAGCTTCTATAAAGCACTAAAGAGGCGCCGCCCTGGCCCAACTGTAGCATGCATTCCTAAGTCGACGCCATAATTAATAAAAGGGCATAAAAGTTTATTGTATCAGAGTGGAAACAATCTTGGTCAAATGTTAGATGATCAAATTCTCACAAATTTCATGGAAAATTTTTAAGACGTTTGATGTGGCGATATCCTACTTTTGCAGGTTCCAACAATCTCCAAGATCTTTTCTAGTGCAGCTGGCTCACCGCTCGGGCAGCTGGGAAACACGACGCTTGTCACAAGTTGCCGAGAACAAGTTCCGCGGTCAAGCAGTAAAGCCCGCTTGCAGTGATAAGACGTTTAGATTTTATCACGCAAAGGAAGCTGGCACCTTGCCCGAAAGATGCTGGCGACTTGCAGCCTTTGCTTTTGCATTTGTCCGTAACTATCACCTTCTCAGAAACAACGACTTCCGACGATCGCGCGTCAAAGCAGCTGTATGTACTAGAAAGGTTAAGACTGATAACGGGCTCTTTTCCAATTCTATCGCAAAAATACACAATTCTTCAAAAATCCTAGGCTTTTTTTTTCATCAATCAAATTAAAAGCGTTTTAATTATTTTCATCTTTAATTGAATCGCCCGGCATTAGATTGATCTTCTTCCCATATTGATCTCACACAGGGCTAATCCGAATTACAGCCCACGAAGAGCACAATACGGGGTCTCTGCGAGTTTTTGCATGGGTCAGTAATAATTGAGCTCGTTCTGAGCCTCTTGTTAGTCTGAGGATGATGCTTGAAATATTGGCAAGTCTTAATATTGGCAACATCTTTCAGTAAAGCTTCTTGTTAAAAGTCCGAAGATCTCGTGCGACCCTTATTTCTAGTTTTTAACGGTCTATCATTGATTGGAATGTGTAAGACATGAAAGGATTAATGATGGGCAAATATTTGAGGTGCTGAAAAAGCGTTGTCCGGGAGGCCAGTTAACGGCTATTGTTGGCCTGGTGAAGAACAATACTGAAAAATTCGTAAAGATCGAATAGAAAGCGCACCTGTAGGAAACGTAATAAGTGGATACGTTAAAACGTCGTAAAATTTGCGAAACGTCACAAAGGGAAAATGAAACAAGATCAATTGACAAGTGGAAATTCCAGAGTGAACATGTCATTTTCTTTTGATGGAAAATTTTAGTTTGAAAGTTCGCTTCTCCTCCTCACTCATCCGCCAGCAGGATTTACTAACCCATTCTTGATCCCTTTATCTGCCATCTGATATAGAAATTTTGAAAATGTTGCGGTCGGCCAGTTTCGAAAGTGTTGCCATGTCGGAAATTGAAAAGATTTTGAAGCTCGATCGCGATTGAGTTGACTTCCGGAGTAATCTTATCGCGCCAAGCACACCGAAGCACACGCTCGGTGAACCTTTCACGGGTGGTGTAAACACCAAAACTGTGATAACATCGAAAATAGCGGAACTAGAAGTTAGTAGACAAGAAAATCCTCTTATAGAAATAAACAGGGCTGAAATTAGCCAACAGAAGTTCGGGCCGATCAATCCCTTCTAGCGCCTTTTTCTCGCCAAAATATAAGTAGAGTTTCCGATTTGGAGGAATAAATTTGGTTCTTCTGTGCAATCAAGCTTACTGACGATAAATTTAGTAAGAGCAATTGAAAGTCCGCTAAACAGCACGGAAATTGCTCAACCTCCTTTAGAATAACATCCCTTCAGACTGTCTGCACGCTAAATCGTTCCACCTGCTCACCCTTCGATAATATGCAAAACTAGGTTCCCCAGCTGATTTTAAATATTTATCGAGTCAACTATGCCAAGCTCAGCTCGCAATTTTTCACCCGCTGAGGATGCGTGAAGATGCGGATTTCACACGCACTAGAATTTGCTCGATCCTGTGAAACCCGTTGCCGAGATGTTCAAGTTTTGATAGAGGGGGAAATTATACACTTTTGAAGAGTAAGGGTGCCAATTTCCTGCTTGACGGTTATTTTTGCAGATCACATGGGCCCTTCAAGATATTTATATAAGCAAACATAACTATCAAAATATAAGGGCAAATTCACTATGTTTTTAGCAAAAGAAGTGGAAGCTTTCAGGGCGAAAATGAAAGAAACACTCGATAATATGATTTTTATTTATGAAAATGATCTAGCTTTGGCTACTAATCTATTAGAACTTGAAGTAATGGCGTAAGTTAAAATAGATTATTCTGCTTTGGCGAGGATGTTGGAATGCAATTATGCACCAGGAGGTGTAACCACTAAGCAACTACGATGCCGGTGGTGCTTCGCCGCGGTGGAGGTTGTAATTGAGCAGCTACAGCTGACTTGGCCTTGCTCCAGCGAAACACCGACCGAGGTCGACCCCAATTCGAGGACGCCGCGACATTGCGGACCTGATAAGGTCCTTCCATCCTTCTAAGCTTATTATCACTTGAAAGAACGGGTGGGTGCTGGCAAAATTGGATAACGAAATGCAAGTTTTTATCGTTTCTATGATTAATTCTAATTTGATCAAACTGTATTTGACGAATTTATTTTCCTTGAAAAACAACTAACGACTGGCACCCTTAAATTTTGAAGACGAGCAGCTGATAGTTAAAAGTCTTACAGTGCCCAAAATAGCAGTGTGAATCAGTTGTCACTGAGAAAATTCTCACCACGCCGAAAATTTTAGGCATTACTCTATTTCTTGCAGACATTTGAAAAAGATTTTGAAGTAAGGAGATTTTTTGTAATGGAAGACAAACAGAGTGTTAGAGATTTTATCCTGAACGGATTGAAGTTTTCCTTCTTTTGCATCGTCATGTCGCTTTTTGTAATCAATTTCTGTAAGTTATGATTCTGGTTTTTCTTTAGTTACTCCTTATTGCTAGATGTTACCGTCAACCTGTGCCAGATGTACAAGAAGCAAATAGAGATGAACGAGATTTTCGTGACTTCAATCAACGAAATTGGAAACGGACTTGAAGGTGATTTGATAGGACTTTTCTTTTTACTCACATTTTCATCTCAGACCAAGCAAAGCATCTGCTCAGCGTCAACGACGTCGTCGCCAACTTTGTCAGCAAGTACAGTTCAGCACTTCAAATCTTAGAATACTGAGTATTCCAATGGGCCATTGGCATTGGCAATCCACTGCATTCTTGTTAGCCTAGCTTTTTCTCGAAATTAGACTGTTTGTTAATTATAATAAAGTCTTCAAATGATTGCTCGTGAACTGGTTATAAAAATTAAGATTATTGACGCGAGAAAGCCTAGCCCGACGGAGTTATCGTTACAAGGCTCCTGCGCTTATTAATTTGCTCCTTGAGGAGAGATCTAGAGTATGGAAGGGGTTCGCGCGAACGCAGAACCCCACTATCAGAAATTGTGACGGACACTCCACCGATTTGGCAAAGAGATACAGGTCAGCCGCGCCGGTGTGCAATGGTACGGCCTCGCCATAAGGGAACCCCCTACGTGATCGAGGTTACCCTCCGCCCAGGTAAGTATGAGTTGCATGGCGCGCACTGAAAAATCCATTTCGACGAGCGCGCCGACTCGTTATGGTGCTTCGATCTTGGGCTTCTATCTCCGCGCGCGCCTCCGAGAGTCGTGGAAAACTTGATTTTTTGTCGTAAGTTATTAATCCATTTTTCTGCATAGAACTTGATAAAATACGTTTGAATGTTCAGTAATTGTCTACTGAAATAATGGTAGAATATCCGTTTATTTTAAAATGTATCTGTCAGAACTTCTTTCAATATATACATTTGTAAATAGATAGGAGCTTTACACCTCTGATCCGTGTAGTAAAGCGCGTAATCTGGCAATTTCGGCATCTTTGTCAGCAAGTTGCTGGGCGTTTTCGCGCTCTTTCACGGCGAGCTGCTCTTTCAGAAGTTGGTTTTCTTTGTCGAGCTCGGATATAAGCGCGTTGCGCTCGTTTAGGAGCTTCTGGAAGTCAATAGGGTCTGATTGTCGGAAACAGTTTTCGAGGAGAATTCGTTGTGCTACAATTTAAGATGTGACAGTAGTTAGGCGCTCTAGAACTTACCAGTTGGACGCAAAAGTGGATCGTAATTTATCATTGCTTCGATCGTCTCAGTCACTCTACTGGCTTTTTCCTTCTCGCAGTAGACTGCCAAATGAGGTTGAAAATCGAGAGGCAGTTTTTCTTTTTTCCTGATAAGTTCGAAATGGCGAATTCGGTCTCCTAGCTCGCCAAGAGGATAGAAGGCTTCGAAGATTACGAATCCGGCCGAGTAAATGTCTACCAGACAGTTGTAGTCCTTTTTGTAGCGTTGTTCTGGAGCGGCGTACTGAAGAGTGCCAATTCCGCTTGATAAGGCTCGATTGGGAATCGCTACAGTCATGTCACTAAAAATAAAAATCAGGAATCAGTCTTCAAGTCAATTTTACCTGTGGTCGACTTTAGGCGGGTCGGATTGCGTTGCCAGTCCGAAATCACAGATCTGCCAGAGCTTTCTACTGTCATTCCATAAAATGTTCTCTGGTTTGATGTCGCGATGAATACAGCCTTTTTGGTGCAAATACTCAATTCCTTGAATTATATGAGTGGCGATTTCGAACGACTCCATCACGTATGCTTCTGTCTTTTGGTGAGCCTCTTCATCGGACAAGCTAGCGATATAATTCCCGGTGATGTACTGGTTTCTAAGACAACCTTGAAGCCAAGTAAAAGAGTTTCAATCGTACCTGTCGACAAGATATCGTCGTAAACTCAGTGTACAGAATTCCATTTGAATACAAAGCGTGTAACGAACTTCAATTTCAGAAGTGGTTCTATGAATTCCAGATGACAGCCTCGAAGACCTCATTGAACTAGAAAATAATGTAAGTTTCAAAAAGATAGATTTTTTGACAAACTTGTATCCAAATTGAACAAGCTGTGCAGAATTCTCACTATCGGGAATACACTCGACATAAGGACTAGCACTGTTGATCAAATTTTCTTCCGGGGAATCCTCCTCTTCGTCGTCATCAGACATTGTCGAAGCCCAACTATCTTCCCCTCCCCATTCAATCGCGTTTCCCGAGTTCATGACCACGTCAAGATGATTCAAGCTTCTCATAGACACCTAAATGATATGAAAAAGAATGGACAGAATTGACAGTTTACCTGTTGAAACCGATCAGTAAAAACATCTTCCTCTTTTGAATCCGAAGATAGCTCGACGATGTCGGGCTTTTTTTCGATTTCTTCTGTATCAACCCAAGAGGTTATGTATTTGACAACATTGGGGTGAGTGAAGGCCGATGCTAGGGTCACTTCTTTGCGCATTTTTGCAAAAGAACTGTCTTTTTGTGGACTCGAAATTTATTCCTGTGAGAAACTCTCATATAAAAATTGCATGTGTCACAATTTCAGTCCGCCCCTAATGGATCAATCTCAATCTTCTTCACGGCAAAAATCTTTTCATCAAGCAAATGTCTGCATTTGTAAACCTTCCCGAAGCCACCTTTGCCCAGTTCACCAATAATTTCAAACTCATTGTTCAGCCGCTGTTTCGCACGAAAGCCACTTCTCAGCCCCGCCTGTGGAATGGTATTGTTTTGAAGAACTTTGGCCAATGCAGTTTGGAAGTACTTGTTGTCGTATGATAGCTTAATTGGTTGAAAGTCGATGTTCAGTTGAATGCAGTAGTTTTCGAGTTGTTTTAGGATTTCCTCTTCGTTTAGTGTTCCATTTTCAGGCACCTGATTAGGGGTTCCGTTTTGCATTCAAATCAATGGAAGTGCGAGAATCTATTTCGATAATATTGTATGTGAAGTAAAAAGACCCCTTCCTTGCAGTTGTTTCTGAGAAAATAAGCAATTATCTTGTACAAGTGATCCTGCTTGTCACGGTCCGTTCTTCTGACAATTTCATTGCCCGCACTTTGCACCAGATCTCTCGCATTTGACTGAAAAAGTATCATTTTGCTAGGAGCTTTGAAGATGAAGTAGTCTTTTGTGCTCCCAAATGTTTGAAGACTGCATTGAAAAAAAGGAAAAATGGAAGGAACACAAATATACCCGTAGGCGTGATATCGTTTATGTTTATTAGCATGATCGATTTTTGTAAACTTACGGAATTTTCACACTCATTACGGACGTATGGGCAAACCGCGAAGGGATTTTCCTCGATGGGTGATTCAAAACGACCCCTCTTCGTCATAATTCGACGGTTTTAATCACTTCAAATCTTCTCTTTCGCATCTTCTCATCGATTCCCGATCATTTTCGAAAATTCTAGACCAGATGAGTTTTCGAAATCAAGGAAGAGAATTTTTTAGAATATTCGAGAATATGCCAGAGCCAATTTTTGGCGATCGAAACAGTTTCGAAGAGCGAAAGTAAAGTTGGGTATGTACAGTAGTAAAAGGCTTCAAAATTTTGTATAAGGTTATAAGATTAAGGTTGATGAATGAAGTGAATAACAAGTTATACAAAGTATTGTTCTGCAGGTCGTTCTTCTGCCGATTTTCTTCGTGATCCTTTTTCCTCTGCTGATTTCCAGGGCTTTTTAGAAAAAATCTTTGGGAATTTCTTTTTGCAGCCAGGTGATTTTGAGTCAGACATCGACGCGTATTTCTTCAGGATTGGATTATCTGAAGGGGGTATTTGAGTCGCGTCGACCATTTCCCAGCTTTGAATGGGATTATAAATGTCAATTTTTAGAAAGCTAAAAGAAAGATCACCGATTGTGAGAGTGAAAGCTTTTCTATCGAGAAAAGAGACACTCTATAAAACATTATATTAATTGATTTCTACGTTATAATCGCTTCAAAACGCCTTACTATCTCCAGATGATGCTGGAGAGCCTTCGCTTCTACGAGTTGGTTTTGGAACGTCGGTTTCGCTAGGAGAACGAAGAATATTGCTGAGAATGTCAATTTCTTCACGAGAAGCGGCGTTAATTTTCAGAAGCTCATCAAGTGGCATTTCGTAGATATCAGCGTCTGATGATCATTTTAGAGATTATTCCTTATTTTTATGAACAACGTACCAACAGTTTCTCGTAGTCGCTTTAGCTTCTCTCTGTTTGTATTTATCTTACAATCGATGTCAGCGATTTCAGTCTCTTTCTGCGTAATTTGCACGTTTATACTCTCGTTCATAATTTTCATCGTGTTGATAAAGTCCTGTTGTTCTCTGATTATCCTGTTTGTGCGCGCTGGATCTACACGATGCGCTTGACAACCACATGATTGCATCGACATTCTTATGAGAAAACTAACTAGAACTTGAATTTGAATATTTATGCAATAAAAAGCTTTTCTGAACCATGGGCATTAGAGTACGATTTCGGAAGAACTTAGATTTTTTGTGAAGAAATTAATGCGTTATAAGTTGAATCAGAACATGTGAAATTGTTTATATAACTGTTCATAATGATTTCTATACATATTTACAAATAAATAAAGTTTTTGAACAGGGGGTCTTGTTATACAGGTGAAGAGAAACTGCCGTTCTTTTCGTTTTTAAATTCTTGGGAGTCGATCGTTGGCGCGGCTGTAGAAGAAGATTTTGATGCATTATTGGTGCTGGAGCTGGCTGGAAATATGAGTCGATGGAGGGCAGATACGAGCGAACTGGAGGAAATTGAAGAGCCACTTTGGTCAACATGAGTCGAATGTTCTGCGGGAGAAGAAGGAGGCGTATCAGTCTCACTCAGAATTTCTTCTGGAAAGAGCTGTTTGCAAAAATCGGTGTTTTCGTGATCTGAACAGCTTGTTGAACAAGCAAAAGGTGGTGATTACTTACCAAGTCTCAAGGGATTGTTCTTGACCACTGGGCTTTGATCAGGACTATTTGACGGGATTCTTGGACGGCCAGATGTTGGTGAACTTGATCTATGTTGGCAATAAAGAGCTTCAGATCCTATTGGGTCTGGACGTTTTGGAAACGAGAACTTGTGTCTTTCTGTAGGACTATTTTGGTGTTTGATCTGAATATGAATTATTCAGAATTTAATTGCAAATCGATTGGTGGTTACCTCAGATACAGCAGCGTCAAGGTCAACTTGTGACATTTGCCTCCATTGAGCCATTACTGGACTGCCTTCCATCGTCTTTATTAGCTTGTATTTTTCTGGGCGTCGGGGTTTCTGATGATGGTAGCTTCGAAAAAACATTAAATAATCTGTAAAGCTGAGTATATTTACCTGTGAAAAGAGTCGTCATTGACCAAAGAGTCTTTATAAAGTTTCGATCTGTTTCGTCGTTCCTGGGCTCTTGCGGTCTCGGCTCTCCTCCGACTTGCTAATCTATTGAGCGCTTTGGCCAGATCACTTGACCCTGGCACTCCAGCTTTTCCGATAACTGGAGTGTTGAACCCAGAGCTCATCATAGACGAATATGCTGACTTGACTGAAGTGAATGATGTTGAAAGCGCAGGACTTAATTTGTAAAGTGACTCTATTATGAGACGAAAAGCTACCTCAGAAGTCCAGAATCGATTGGAGGTTTAGGTGGAGTACAGATTGGATCGGGCAGCACTCTAGTTGGGGTCTCGTACGGACGTCCACAATGGACTTCAGCAAGAGAGTTGTGGGACATGTTATGCGTTAGGTTTTTAGTCTCCGCATCCAGTGCTAACAGCGTGGAACTTAGGAGTTCCAAGCCCGAATCGCCCATTTTATTCTGATCATTACTCTCCGGCTCGAGCTTTTCTATATTCTTCTCTTTTTGTTTGGCTGATTTGCCGCCATCAGATGCTCCTTTAGGTGTCTTTCTTCCAGGAAGGGAAAATGGCGTTTGAATTTCCATTATTTCTTGTTGCAAATTTCTTTCATGGCAGTTGCACGCTTCGCTTGGGCTCCTCGATTCTTCCAACAGTCTGACAGTCTCCAAATACTTTTGCTCTAGTTCATGGAACTCGGCGATGATCTGAGCTTGAGACCTTTGAGATTCTTCGAAGGCGTTTAGATTTTCTTCAGCTTCTTGTTCTTTCAGTTTTTTTAGTCGCTGAGCATCAACAAGTTGAGTCAAGAGCTTCGTGACTTGTTCTTGTTGTTCGAAACACTCGTTGGTTTTCTTTGTTAGTTCCTGTCTGAAGTACGCCAGTCGTTTGCTGTGGAAAAGAATAATGTTAGCACCCGTTTTCACCGCAACAGTAAATAAGAAAAATGTATGGTAGTCATCTATGATTTCAGTTTCTCATTAGCGGGATAAATCGATTTGTCAAATCAATCAATATTAGAGAAATCAAAGAGGAGTAATCCTTCTGGCTAATCACCACTATATCTATTTTGTCTAATTGGATACCTGACACTGTCTAAATCTTTGACGGAGCCATCGACTAAATGGCAGTATTCCTCCTCTTTCGTTTCTAATTTTCCGACAGTTTCATTGATGTCCTTTCTGAGCTCATTATTTTCGCGTTGCAGACGCTGTATTCTCTCTTCTAATTGATTGATGTGTTCTTGCACAGTATAACCGCCTCGGAAAATCCTTCCAGAAATACTAGGGGTTGATTCACCGGAGCAAACGCCATCATCGAAGCCTTTTAGCAGCTCATCTTTTAGGTATATTGAATGCTTGAGCTGAGAGTTCTGCTCGGTTGTATCATCAAGTGCTTCTTCGAGCTCATTTATCTTGACATAATATATTTTTCGCTTTTACGAAACGCATACCTGATCTACAAGCTGGCGATTTTTCTCGAGCAAGGTCTGGCCAATTCGTGCCGCAAGTTCCAAGTCTCTTTCTCTCTCTTCCAACAGGCTTTCCAATGCCTCAACGTCATAGAATGCTTGGGACATTGAAATGGTACGAAGCGAGGTATCCAAAAGGAACTGGAGCGTTGCTTTCGCCTTGAAAAATATAATTAAAAGAGGTTTAAATTGGGTTTCTGGAGTCCCCTGGGTAGACGTTTATCTGTAACTGAGGGTTGAGCCGCTACCCGAGGTGCTTGGATGGATGCCAAGGTTGATAAAAAAAGTCTGAACTGTCTGAAAGGGTTGAAGCCTCGGGCTGTTGGAAACTGACGTGCAATTTGCACAACACAGCTTAGGATCAATTGAGTTCAATAATATTTATCAAGTTAATTTTGAAACAAGAAAATGCAAATTTACCTTACAAAATCGACTCAAAAAAGTCAAAAAATGCTTGCTCTATCTGTTTTTCTCTACTCTAGTGTGCTTGCTTTAAAAGATTCTACTAATCAAATTTGGTCGCTGAGAAGCAAACAAAAAAGAATAAAGACCATAAAGAAGCACGCTCAGCGCAATATTGGTGGTTGTGTCCGCAAGTTCAACGCTATTGGAAGAAACAGCTACCGGAGTGTGAATATTTTATGCAATTGCCCAAAGAAGGGATGCATATTTCATTAATTGGGAAGAAATGCTGGACGGTGGTTTGTTTTATAAATGTGTATTGAGAACGGTATATTAAGACAACATATAAATATTTGGGAAAAGAAATTGAGTTATAAATATGACGCTCACATAATTCTGCCTCATTTTGGCCTAAAATGATTTTCCAGAGTATCAAAATGAATCTATTGTCGACTGCCCGTTTGAGCATCCGGACATAACGACTAAAGTAATTCTACATTAGCATCACGAAACATAATATACTTTTGAAAATAAATGAAAAGAGAATCTATTTGTGTCTTTAAAATGTGTCAAATCATCATTAACACACAAGTAATCTTTGTAAGTAAGCATTGGGCATATGTCAACTAGCGATGCGTTGAATATGACGCACACGGTCAGCACGATGCATGGAAATCGATGGTGGCAATTTACAGTTTTATTGATGCTATCCCCCTAGATCTACTTCTTAATTAAACCCAAGCCCCTCACTCTAAGAGAAGATTAGATTAGGTACATCCTTTATGAAATCATTTCGCATTTCCGTAAATAAAAATTGACATTGGAAGCTACACTAATCGACCAGAGCCATTGACACAACCAACTGCAATAATCAGTACCTGTTCCGGAGTAAGTGGGTCGTTATCGTGGTGCAAGTAGTTCCGTCTTGCCGGTTGAAAATGAAGAGTTGAAGTTTTTTTCTCGGAAAAAGCTCTAAGTTTGTATCTTTTCGGCTCTATATCAGTCGCTTCTTCGCCTTCCTCTGCCATCACGTGGACATTCCATAAAATCTACTCACTCTTCTGTACCCTTCTTATCTCTCCAAAATGCATTGAAAAAATATTACTAGTTAGTAATTTACAGATTGGTCAACAACAAACTCCAACAACAATCTCAGCTACGCCGGGTGCGATCTATTTCCCAGGAGGGATGATTGCATCCTTCGTTTTCCTAAAATTAGCGCCATCTAGAGTAGTGCAGACTTTTTCTCGCTTTTTCCCGTCATTGATTATATTATTTATGTACTGTACTCACTCTTGCGTAAGAGAATATACGGCTGCTGATAATTTTCGATGCGATTATATAAAAATCTGAGAGTATCCTCTGAAAGTTAAATAAAATTACAGTCTTTAGTAAGGACTCCTTATATTAAAGTTAGTTGCTGATCAGCTGAGACAAAATTTCACCGTACGTAACATGTAAGTACTCAGCATTTCTACCGTCAATTATATCCTCTGAAGAACTTACTTGGGATGAACAGTAAGCCTAACACTGGAAAATCTTTACATAAGACCTTCAGGAAGATTCCTTCCTTCTTCGGTCGGTAAATTATCTATTCATCTACTCCCAATGGCAACAGTGCCTGGTCAGACTTGTACGTGATCCCCATCTCTTATTAAGGATATACCCGATAAAATTGAACTTTCATAGCGTCGAAATGGGGCACCGGGGACTCCCAGTACCAATTGGTACTGCCAGTACCAATTTGGTACTCCCAGTACCAATCTTGGCAAGGCAAAATTTTAGTCAGCAAAAAACGCCCGCTCCGCGGGTTCTGTGATAAGAAACTTACTGATTCGGACTGGATACACTTCTATTTACCCGCCTACTATTGTTCCGACTGAAATATTTCTTAAAAATATCACTCGAAAAGCCGAAATTGGTACTCCCAGTGCCAAAATTGGTACTGGCAGTACCAAAAAGCTTTGGTACTGCGAGTCCCCGACCCCCTCGAAATGCGACGTAGGATCATTTTTATTTCAAAAGCAATTCTACGTAAGAATGCACGTAGAACTCAGATTTGGTACTTATTTATATTTTCTCATTTGAATTTTTCTCTTTAGAGCGATTTCAAATCATACTCTCTCGATTACTCAAAATTTTTGGACTAAATCGGTCGAGATTTTTCGATAGATAAGTTCTTTAGACCTTTATCTACAATTTTGATGGTTTACTTTTCGTTAATTCCGAAGGAAACCGATTCTAGAGCCATTTCATTGAGGGCTACTCAGCGCGTAAAAGCTCTACAAAGCGGCGCGCTGGGAGCTCGCTCACTCGAGTCCTCTTTTCCGAGAGAAAGTGCGTGGTTGAGCGCACGGCTCTGATTGGTAGCACGCGAAAAAACCCGCAGAGAAGAAAAACAAGGGTATAAAAGAAGAGAACACTAGAATGAAAATTCGATCGAGTTTAAGAATTTGATCCCATAAATTTTGTAGCTTAGCATCATTACAATACAGAATACGGTTCAGTTTTAGCGATTTAGTGGAAAAATTTCGAGAAATCGAGAGAGTTCGTTTTCAAATCGCTATAGAGAGGAAAATTCTTATGAAAATTTCTAAAAAAGTACCAGAATTTAATTTAACGCACAATTTTAAGTAGGATTGCTTTTGAAATAAAAATGATCCGACTTCGTATTTAGGCGCTATGAAAGTTCAATTTTATCGGGTATATCCTTAACCGCATGGGACAGAAGGTGCATTCCACTGTCATTTAAGACTTTGAAGGTCAATATCTCAAAGACTACAAATCCAATTGAGCTAAAAATTAAAATAGGATTTCCTATGCCATTTGTCGCCCTAAATTCTGAATTTCGAGAAATTATCGCTCACCAGCTGAGCTCAACACCGGATTAAGTACAGCGCTTTATCCCTCCCGCCGAGTGTTTACACAGGGGAACCGAACCAAATGTAGGATTTTTGTGATTTTGGAAGGGTTTTCATATGTTTTTGATCATGGAGATTTCGAATATAAGGTTTACTTTGCTTAAAAAGCATCGAAAAAATATTTTTTTGGAATCAGGCCTAGACTAATTTCTATTTTTTATCAATAATAAAATTTTCTACGCTATTTTTGCCAACAGATTTGAAATCTACGGCCCAGAATTAGTATTGACTGAAATTTTCAAGTCGATCCGACCAGTAGTTTTCTTAAGTGCAGTCGAATGCACCTTTTGTCCCAGCGCCTCTATCCCCCGATCTGGCCCATGCGGTTAAAAGCCCGTGCGCAAAGTTAGAGCCTCTCCTGATCTTCAGCGAAGATTGATTTGTTCCCAACTGAGTCTGAAAAAGTAACAATCGAATTATTAAATATTCACTTATTCATGAGGCAAGATTGAAAGATGCTTCAATCACGTTCTGACTTTTTACGAGGTCAACAAGGACGTCGATCAATTGAAATTCGTTCAAATGATGAAATCGCGATTCGAAAGTAAAAGTAGTAAAACTAATAATAAATAAAAAATATGTATCGAAGCAATTTTTAGGAATCTCTAAAGGCAGGCCAAATCTGGCGAAAAGGAATCGGAAATTCGGAATAATAAATGAAGGCACAAGCGGTGGGTGAATTTGAAAGACAGCAGACGGTATCACCCGCTGAAATGATAACAAAGGAAGATGATTGGTACAAAACTTCACAGCAAAATAAATGAAACTTTAGCTTTCTGGGGAAAAATAATGAAGAAACATAAGCACTCAAAACACATTAAATACAGACATTAGGCATGCAGCCTTTGGGGCCAATTTCGAACTCGACTGTGTTTTTCTGAAATAGCTCTCTTAATTTTTCCGTCGATTGAGATCGATGATACTTACATGGAAGATAATCTCTTCATACTTGATCAGCTGCTTCCAAAATCCGATATTTGGATTCACGCACGATCTCTTGCTTCGGACAAGCTCAAACGCCCGCCTTAGCGGCATTCCCCAATACTAATTAGAAACTTAGTCAATTACCTTACTTTTGCGTGTGGGCTTAACGCTTCTACTGTAATGCTAGTTACCTTCATTAGAAATGCGAGAATTACAGATGTTGATCTTGAAACTCCCATATTGCAGTGAACCAAAACTGCACCTCCAATTTTTAGCTCTTCGTTGATGACTCTTGTTATTGTATCAAAAGCGTTCTTTATAGGTTCTGATGGACGATCCCTGTAGTTGACTGTAAGGAGGTCGCTTTCGCTCGGAAGGCTTGGAATCAAGTCCGTGATAAACGACCCAACCTGACTCTACAGAGCTTGATGTCCCGTCTTCTTTCAGTCCAGTCAGCATTTGGCAAATTATGCGTGCAATTGACAATGCACGAAATTTTGTATTTCTCTGCATTCATCTCGTTGCACGCTGCATTTCCCGAAGAGAGATACAATCCTGGAATTATTTCGTTGTATCCATACAGATAAGCCATTTTATCTGAAATTTCAGCGATCAAAGACGATAATTTTATAAAAATAGGTAAACAGCTGGGAAATTGAAGATGGAAAAGTTAGTTCGCACAAAATGAAGAAATTTCAATACATAGTTAGCATCACACAAAGACTCAAAAGGGGATTTCGACTAGTTTTTCTTGATGAAAGCAAGGAAGAATTCTCCATTTCCAGCGACAACTGGAGGCTTTTCTATTTCAACCTCTTCATTTTTCATCGTCAGTTCTTCCGATTTTTCTACATCAACAAGTGGCTCTGGTTGTTTTATATCTTTTTCAGGGCCCTTCTGCCCAGCGATTCTATCCAAGAACGCTTTATATTTTTTCGGCCTCGCGCTGGCTAGCTCAAAAATCGTATTTTCATCCGGCACTTCAAATATTTTCGTATTCGTCTCTGAATGGATAAACGCTTTTTGACCAAGACGCGATTTTTTCAACGACCACCCCTCTGGAAGCTCCATTCTATTATCAAAAGATCAACTGTCTCATCTCCCAAACAAATAATTCCGTGATATGTATCTGTCTAAAAGTGCAGTACTGTAGGTCAACGCCCGGTTTATTTCGCACTTCGAAATTTGATGACAAACATGATAAATTGATAATTCTCAATAAACAAAGCCTGCTTTGAGTAAAAAGAAAAGCGCTCAATATTTGTAAACGAGAAATATTGAGGATTCAAGAGGTAAGTTAAATAAGTGCCCTTTATTGCATATTGTGCTAGTGAGGTAATGTCGTGTTTTTACAGTGATTAGGTAATATAAAAATAGAGTTCCTTTCTTACAAAAATATCGATTTTTTCCAAAAAATCTTAAGTTTTTCTTGATGACTTCATGCTTGATAATGTTGTAATTGACTGACGAGATTCTTAAGAAAATAGTTGTTAGCAAAAATTAAAGCCTGAAACTCTTACCAGATCCTTTTAAAGTGCTCTCTTTTTTGGCTCTTCTTGGCGGCGCAAGAAGTCCCTTCAGCGCTGCCTTTCTAGCAGCATGTTTTGGATCGAGAATATTTCTTGAAATACAGCCCAAGAAACAGCCAGACCCAGTTTCAGAAGCAGGAAGTCTCAAATATTTTCCAGCCGAGCCTTTTTCAATGACATCGATCGGCAACTTGAGTGGTACAGGCGCTAGTTTGTAATCGGACTTTCCAGGTAGTTGCGAGATTCCGTACTGGATGACTTCCTCGTTTTCTTTTGGGATAGAGCTTCGCGTCAGGTAAAGCGTGGCAGCAGAGCGAGGGAGAAGGAGAGAAGCAGCGAGAATGACCTTCAACCCTTCTTGGGGCTGAGAAACACCCTTGGCTAGAGCGTGGAGACGAGGGTCGTTGTCATCAAGTCCTTCCATAAGCATAAACCTGCGAAGAAATGGTAAATATACGCTCGGTTAATTCTCTTGTACCTGAGAGGATCAGCTGCAGCTGAAAGCGAGCATCGAGGCTCAATCAGCACGACTTTTACATGCATCAATCTCGGATCTGTCGGCTGCATCGTCGACAATGGTGGCACTATTTCAAAGACATCTTCATTTATTCCGTATTCTGTCATCATATCCCGCACTTCTTGGTGTTTTTTCGTCGCCATACAAACTAGAAAATAATGATGAATGAAAGCGACAATAAATGCTTTTTACCGATCAGTTTTGGCTTTCTCGCTTGAGATGTGTTTGGTTCGTCCCCACTTGAGAATAAAAATCGTGACTGATTGAGCTCCTCGTCCAGTAATTTCCCTGCTTTGACAACAACTTCAGCTAGCATCGGCAAGCTACTTGTGCAACCACCGCACAGTAAAATATCTTCGGATTCTTCACCGTTCAACAAGTTTGCCACTGCCTGTGGTCCGACCAACGTCGTAGAGTCAACAATCAGCATCTTCTTTTCTCGCACTGCCTCGCTCATTTCAACAGTAGTCAGGAACTCATGAGAAAAGATAAAAAGGCCATCTTGAAGGCCAGTTCCAGGTTCGAATTCGATTCCAGCGCCCTCGAACTCGTCCGTGATTTCTTTAACACTGGCTTTGCGAGGGTTGACCCATCCGTAGATGGGCAGTTGCGAGCGGATTCTTTCCTTATTTCGGAGTTCTTCAGATAGAGTGTCGCCGAGTGTGAGAGCTGACTCACGAATTCTCATGCGCGCCAGAGAGGCGGCCAGTTTAATCGCATACTAAAATTTGCTCTTGATTTTGAAATTTGTTAGTAACTTACATTTCCGAGCTGTGTTTCGACTTCTTCGACTTCCTCGATTCTCTGGCCAAGTTGAAGCTTGCTCCTTGTTCCTCTGGAGACAAACTTTCTCTGGACGAAATCCCAGAGCATGACAATAACGAGGGTATTGAGGTCATCTCCCAACGGTGCTCCGCCCAAAAATCCCGATTCGATGAGCAACTCCTCCAAATGCGTTCGATATCTCAGACAAGAGAATGCCAAATCAAACGCAATTCGCATTTCGCGGCTTTCAAATGAGCTTTGTGACGTCAAAGAAGTACTGTAAAAGCGATGTCAAGCTCCTGTATGCAATGTACGGAAGTTTGTTTACCTGGATTTTAAGTATTTGATGGGCTCGGATTCTGTTGTTTCTTCGCGGTGCGCCAAATTTGCGAATTTTTCTGACGCGATGACGAGAATTTCATCTGACAATAAGGGCGTGCCCAAGAATTCCTGAAAAGTTGAAAGGTCTTGAACGGTCTATTTAAATCTCTAAAATACCTTGGACATTGCCGTAGAAACTTCAATACTGGTTGTGCTCATAATTTCATTTATCTCTGCTTGTAGTGTCTGTACTTTCGATTTAACGACTCTGAAAATGTTAGAATGGAGATAATTGCATTCTGCCAAAACAATCAAATCGATTTAAGCAACGACCATTGAATGGCTATGACAGTTTGAGCAGGAACAAGAGAAATCTTTCTTTGGTGAACCGGTTTTTCGTTTTCTCACCAAGATAGAGAGAGAGAATAAAAAAACGCACAGCGGGCAATAAAAATATAAGATGGGGGTAAAACGGGATCGTAGAGATGTTTTTTGAGATTTTTAATTTTTTCTGCGAATTGGTAAGTATTCGGAACGGTCGGTGCGGCTCGCCTCGGGTCAAAAGATGCGCTGCCTCAGGCGTGAGCTGAGCGGATGTAGTTGTTTATGTGTGTGCTGTTTGAATTAGGTATTGGATGTAATGCAAGGAAAGAGAAAGAAAATTTGAACTTTTCAGGTACCAGAGGATGGCTAGAGTAGTGGCAGCGCACAGGCCTTGAGGCAACGCTACTGCGAAGCTGGGCACACCGACCGGCCGCTTCAGATTGTGGCAGTAAAGAGTGAATAGTGAGCATGTGGCGGCGGCCGATTGAAGAAAAGTTGTGTTAATCATTTTTAACAGCCGCTCACTCTACGCAACTACGCAAAATCATATCACGAGTTCTTGAGTTATACAGACTAGGAAAGGTGCACATTTAGTAGAAAAGCGTTTTTAAAACCTGTTTTTGTCTGAACAACTAAAATGAAAACCGGCGATACTTGAGCTAGCTCGAAGGCTAGCCCGAGTTATTGATTATTTTTTATGAAAATTTAAGATTTCAGAAAACCCGTTTCAGGCTGATACAAGGACAGTGAGTCATACAAAGTAGATGTTGCCGTTGATTTTTCTCTCGAATTGGATGCCCCCACAATCGGGTTAAGTTTAGGAGGCGATTGTGGGGGCATGGGTGTATGTTTTTTGGGGAAACAAAAAATACTCGCACAAATATACTCAGTTGATCGGCAAGTCGCGATCTTCCAAATAACGGTACTCGAATGTGAAGCCGTCTTTCCTTCTCTGTGCCCAGCGCTCGTAGTCGAAGTAAATATACGTACCCTGAACAAACATTTTAAAGAAATCGTTGCTCTAGAAAAGTGGCTATCTATAAGCATGGCCGAATTCGTTTAAGCTAACTCTGACGCCTGTTCTCTTTACCTGTTCAAATTCTTCATTAATCTGCTTTGGCTCTTCATGTCGCTGAAACCACATCATATACTTTGTATGGAATCGCCAAGATTGCTTCTTTAGCGTGACGGCGGCCAGGTACTGGGCGCGCGTGCCTTCCATATAGTAGAAAATGTAGAATAGCGTCTCGACGGAGAGCTTGAGGAAGAACTCAGGAGTGTGCATGTCATCGATGCACCTGCTAGGGTAGAACTTGGGCGTTTCGACGGGATAGCGGGGCAGATACTGTCGTGGCTTTTCCGAGTCCGATAGTTGTGGCATATGGCGATATGCAGCTTCTACCTGTGCGCGTTGGTTGTCAAACTCCCTCTGCGCCTAAACAAATTTTAATACTAACTTTTTTGATCCTAAACCGACCTCAGGAGAAACCTGCACCGGACTAATGAGATCAACAAGCGTACACTCTTTGAATAGCATCTCAGAGCTTGACCTTGAAACGTTGTTTTCCGAAGGAATCTGAATCCAAAACACAGTAAATACAAAGATAAAAAACGATACTGTCTTGAATCAAGACTCTTGTATTTGAAATCAAGAAAGAGAACACTCACGTTATCGCTGGAATTCAAGGACGCGTTATTGTGAACTTCTCCGTTTTGTCCATTACTATGTTGAGAATCTAAAAGTAACCGAAAATAAGTACGAAATCAAGGGGTTTTCCATGCCTTGGGTGTATTGATGGTTCGCAATAGGCTCTCTTTTAGGCATCACAGGAGTGAAAACAGCTTCCGCAGGCGGACTTGTTCGCTCAGCTTCGTCGTTGTTAATATCAAGCTAGAGATTGTTTAGGAATAATCTTCACCGAAAATGATATGTTGAAAATTATCGTCGCTCTACTGAGCTAATCCGAAAATATCTTGATTGCTCTGCTCGCAAGGTGCTTTCAAGCCAATAAAGAGATTATTTGAAAATGGTGCAAACACCAGAGGAAATTCTTGAGTCATCTTTTCGACTAAACGTTAACGAGAAAAACTATAAAACAAAAGTCTTTCCCGAAGAAGAAGATGTCATGTGCATGCACTTTGACATAGGCATCAGCATCAAGTACATCCGAAACTGGTTTCGCGCTCGGAAGAAAGAATTCATAAAAGAAGTTGAGAAGGCTAAAGCAAGAGAGGCACGTTTAGAAAAATTCCGAGCCCCGATTGAGGCTGCTTCTCTCAAAGAATTGAAAATATCACTGCGACCTATACCAGAGCATATCATAAGAGGCCATCAACAGGGAAAGAAAAGAATTCATGCATCTTCCGATGAGCTTGCGATACTGAAGGCTGCGTTTAAGGGACCCGGGCGAGTGACGCGGAGCTGAAGTTCACGCGCTCGCCGTTACTCTCAAACATGATATTTTTTGAAATTTTTTTTTGCAAACAATATCTTCAAGTATTCATCTTTCATTTGCGACTCTTAGTTTTTCTCTATCATTACTTGCTGATGAGCTAGAGTGAATTAAAGAATCGCAACTTCAAAAGGATTCAACTCCTGCAAACTTCATTCGATTTTCCTGAAACGGGTACCATTGAAAAGCCCATTAAATTCTGAACAGATACCACGTAATGCGCTAGCTAAAACTGTACCGATTGCCATTCGCGCGCTGATATACAAAAGAACTTAGCGCTCTAAGCACGGCAGGACGCTCCGATCGGGCTATTTTGGGGTCCCGGGACATGATTCCCGCTGAGCGCGCGCTAAGTTATCTTGTTTATCTAACCTTTATCGCCAATTGGTACAGTTTCAGCCTAGCGCATTACGTGGAATCTGTTCAGAATTTAATGGGCTTTTCAATGGTACCGGTTTTAGGAAAATAAAATGAAGATTGCAGGAGTTGAATCCTTTTGAAGTTGCGCTTCTTTAATTCACTCTAGCTCATCAGCCAGTAATGATAGAGAAAAATTAAGAGTCGGAGATGAAAGATGAAGACTTGAAGATATTCTTTGCAAAAAGAAATATCAAAAAATGTTATGTTTGAGAGTAACGGCGAGCGCGTGAACTTCAGCTCCGCGTCACTCGCTCGGGTCCCTTAAGATCAATCCACACCCAACAAATGCTGATATCGAACAAATGATGGTAGAGAATTTGCCGGGCCGGACTTTTCGATACATTAGAAAATGGTTTTACTCCGAGCGATGCAAGAATAAGAAGAGCGAAGTCATAGTAATAGAATAGATAAAAAAAATAACTGAAGAATATTATCCTGAATTTGCATGCTACCTTTATTATAAGAGAATAAATTGACAATTGAAAAAAATATGTCACTAAACTTACTTGGTTCATATCTCTCGCTAATGAGTTCTGGTTCGAAGTCGCCGACTGATTGCTAGGCCATGCTGAGGTATTGCTTGGACTTTCTGACAGTCGTTCGCTGACGTTGCTTTTTCGTAAAAGATTTGCCATGTTCGTAACTTGATTCGGATGAGCGGGCTGTTTCGGCGTTTGTGCAGGAGTGCCAGGGAAGGCGGCTGAATTGACGCTGCTTTTTGATGGCTTCCGCGGCGATAACGATTCTTCTTTCAGTGATTCACTCGCCGACGGCGGTCGATCAGGCGCTCCCGAGGATTTATGCCTCGTCCTGAATTGTTCGTTATGAAATACGAAGAGCTTTACTACCTGTCCGACTTTTCAGAGTTTTCAGAAAGTTTTCTATCGCGTTTGGACATTGGACTACTAGGCGACTCCTCCTCCTTTTCATCGGATTTCGTCGAAGAGTTCTCATGCACGTTATTCGTCGTGTACTCATCATTTTTCGCCATTTCTGGCACGAACTCCTCGTCAAACTCGAAATCGTCAAAGATCACCGCATCATCGAGATATAAGTTTTCATCTAAAAGGATATCCGTATTACTGCTCTTGTTTTGACGCCACTCGAGATCGTACCGTCTTCGTAGTTTTCCACATAGTATTCGACGTCTTCTCGGATATTGTTTATTTCGGCGGCATCGATTTTGTCGTTGTATAACAACCTCATCAAAGTTTCGATATTTTTCGTGTAGAGCATATGTCGGTCCAGTTTGCATTGAAGGTCGGCGCGTTGATCTTGACACAAGAGTTAAACTCACAGGAAATGAACCAGCAAAACTAACCTTGGTCGGACTTTGAGAGTCGTTTTTTGTTCTCAAGACACTCGATTTCAGCCTCGTTTTGCTCAATGTGCCTGCTGAGCGCGTCGAGACTATCCTGCATCCATTTGTTGCATTCATCTTTCTCTTTTTGCGCAGGGTCCTTTGTCACTGGTCCGACTAGGCCTTCGCGACTGAAATCGAAAACATTAGTTTTACCCACAGATAAAAGCTTTCCAAAGGAAAAATGGAAAGGTAAATTTACACTGTACCTGTAGGGCTTTGTCTTCGTTTCCCTTTCGACAACTTTGAATCTCTCCATTTGTCTTTCGATTATATGGCGATATTCTATCAGTTGCGCCTCATCGTTCGTCGCTTTGCTTGCTTGCCAGGCCTGAAACACACATGTTATACTTCGACAGAAAAATAATTTCGCGAGGCAAGTGTAACTTTCACGCGCCCTGTCTACCAGACGGCATTTATGCTTTCACAGAAAAACAACATGCCTCAGTTGCCAAACATCATCAGTTGGCTACCAGCCTCAGACATAGGCCAAATTTAAATAACGTTTTCTCTTTGAAATTATAAAAAAGAATTTTTGATAAGACAAGAGATTATCAGTTCAAACCAGATTTCGAAGAAGAGAATACGTTGTTTTTCTGCTTGAAAATAGCGTATAAAATGTAAGTGTAAAAGTACCTTGATCTGGTCGCGCAGCCTCTGGAGCTTTTTGATGCATTTTTTCAGCTCTTCCTCCTTCTTCTCCTTTTGATTCGAGTTGGAGGAGGATTGGAGTTTATCCCAGACTTCGTTAAACTCCCTCACGCCTTCGTCGACTTTTTTATAACAATTTTCTATGTCTTTTTTCAACTTCCGAGCCGTTGCCATGTGGAATCAAAATGTTTCTTAATTCTAAACAAGAATTACTACAGAGATGCATATCTTTTCAATCATTTTAGTAAGGCAGTTTTTCAGTTCTCGTTTTTTGTGGGTATTTACCGGTTTTTTCGTTTTTTTCCCTTTTTTGATAGATTTCAGTAGTTTCTTTCAATAAAAGTTCAGTTTTTCCAATGGCAAAATGAATGTTCAAGTAAAAATGGGTCTAAGTTCTTTATCATAATTGTTTATCGGTTTACTGGAAGAAATGAAGGTTTCACCCCGTTGAGAATCATTTTTTCTTGAAGCATCGGACAGAAAACTTCCTTTTCCGTCAGAAATTGAAAATCAAGCAATGTCTTCTCGCTTTTTATCGCATTCAAGACCTCTTTTGCCTCATTCGAGTCGCCTTCCATCTGCACTCCTGCCAAGATGACATTTTGCGCTTGCCGCTCGACAACTTTAAATTCCTTGGGAAGGATGTAGCAGTTTTTGTGCTTGACATTCATCGAAAATCCGTGGTCAATCGCTTCCACAGAAAAGTACGTCTCTGTTCGTTCTTGAATTTCACCACGCATCGCCCGTGGTCTGCCATTCGCCGATTTTGCGATGAAAAGGCAGACATCTCCTTCTTCGAGCTTCTCCGAGCTAAAATAAAACTTATCATCCCTTTTTTCGTGCAAACTACCTCTCGAGAAACTCCTTTCCATATGTAATGTTGACTTGCAGCTCATCCGTGAGTCGCTTTAATATTTTCGGCTCATCTGTTTGAATATAAATAGATTTTATATCACTCGCATCGATGTGAACAATACGGCCAGATATAATGTCCCCAGGGGAGAAGCCAGCCTGGTTGAAGATCGCGAACTGTTCTTCTCGATAAACTCCATCCAGCTTGTCCGCACACGGCTCAAGAACGTCTTAGACTCGGTTGTCATTCGTTTTCCATTTTCTGATAATTTCGTACTACTGACGACATATAAGAATTTATTTGTTTTCGTGGCCAAAAATATTTATTATCTTGATATCATTTAGCATTTGAAGGCGCTCATAAAGAGTAACTAACCAGTTCCTGAAGCATTTTCAACGACCTCCAACAATCCCCTCTTGACAAGTCCTTGCAATAAAAGACTACCATCTTTGAGCTCAAAGTCAACGTGTAGCAATCCATCCTTATCAACCCCATAGCAGAGCATTTTCAACACCCTGTTTTCAATCTTCTTAAACTCCTGATCGAGCGCGCGCTTATCAGCCGAGAAAGATTTTTCAACTCCGAATAATTTCACCTTCGCGCCCGTTGGTACAACTTTATCCCGATACCAGTACTCGTATTTCGCCCATTTTCGAAGAGGATACTTGTCGCCACGATAGTTTTCGATATTGTGTTCGTATCCAGAGTCCAGGTCTCGGAAAATTACGTGTTTCGGGGTCGATTTAACGCATTTCACACGAACAACGATGTTGGTTAATTCAGGTCCAAGGGGTCCAACACCGGTGAAATCATTCAATAGATAGAGCTCATCCTCTTCTGGTCGTTTCTTATCGAACTTTACAATGCCATCATAAACATAAGGCGCATCATAAGCCCAGTCCCAAACTTCTATGCTTGGGTTAGCTTTCCATTTGGTCAATTCAGGAAGAACAGTGAATCCAAGGTTACCATCGTAGCCCCCGACAACGACTTTGACAGCTTCTACGGTCGCGTTGTCGACTTTGAATTCAACAGAACCAAATTGAATTTGCTTTCCTTTGCTGTTCTTCGTTCGTGTTTTCGCGATGGATAGCTTCAGTTGGACTTCGTTGACAGTAGGAGCATTGACGTTGAATTTTTCACAGGCTTCATAGGCAAATTGCCCTCCTTTGAAAACTATATTTAAAGTTAGAGTACACGGACTCACCTCTGAGCGTGATAAAAGCATATTGACTTCCATTATCTCTTTGCTTTACGTAAAGCTTCGCAAACTGAATGTCCCGAGCTTTTAAGAGCGCACGGATTTCGTTAGTCGTAGTGTCTTTGTGAATTTTATGGATCATCACGTGGCGGTTCAGTTCGTTTTGCTCGGCTGAATGGAACTCATTCAACAACACTTTCTTCTCGCCATCAAACTAAACAACATGTAAATATTTAAAATGGTCATATACTCACCAGTTTATTCTCATCATTCTCTGTCTCCATCATTTCCGCAGCTGAACCCTTATCAGAGGAAATAAGATTGTTCTTAGCTGAACGAGTACGTTTCATTCTTCAATTTCAACTTGATCATAAAATGAAGTAAAAGTGATATTTGAAAAGCGAACAACTTTGAACATGTGGTATGCAGCTGGCAGGAATGTAAATGAATTTGAGAAAAAACAACAAACTAGCTTGTCGGTAGTGCAGTTACAGTATAAAAATCGCTGTAGTTGAGTGACCACGAGAGCGTTGATAGTGTTTGGTTGCTTTGAGTTTTGATAATGTCCAGGAAGGATCGGACCATTTGCTGATAAACATGACGGATATTTCCCAATGTGATGGTGTGTTTGATCAGGTTTGTCGGGAAGGCGGCATTTTGATCAGGGAAGGAGCAAAATGCTTCCGTCTCGGAGAAGACCTTCTTGGCGAGTGTTTCGAAACGCACGATTTGGTCAAAAACAGACCTAAAAAGACTTATGTTTAAAAAAACAAAAGCTTACTCACCTTATAGTTTGAACTTTCTGCCAATGCTCCTGGCTCAAGAGACAACCGTCCTCAATTTTCCTCAAAAACTTGAGATGCGCCTCAAAAAGATCATCAACATTCTTTGCACTTTCTATGTTTTCTTCTAGCCTCGACCAAGCGACGCCAACGACTTCGATATTGATAAAGTACTGTAATTTATTGACGAAAAAGAGCATTTCTTGCAGTAAGCGGCTTATTGAGGTGAAAATGTCGGTAACGTTTGGCAGTGCGCGTGGGTAGTGCTTCAAACACATTGACTGACCCCAAACGTAATTGAGATTGTGCTCCATTCTCTTTGCTCGGAGCAAGAAGTTGAAAATCCTGAAAAAAACGATGACTCTGATTTGCTAAAAACCAATCGATATGTTACCGTATATATCGGCGCATAACAGTAACCGGAAAAATCGCTACAAGTGGTCCTTCAACAGAATAGTTCAAGCTGAAGACATCCCATCCAGTATCTCCTGGATTTATATCGTGCAGTCTGACGCTCACGCATTTTTTCACATATTCCTTGTCATTATCAGCTGTTGATGTATCGATCGCAAACGAAAGTGGTTCTTTAAAGTTGTGGCGGAAGATAACTTCGGCTGGCTGGTCAAGATCGCTAATAAAAAATTCGTTATGAAGTAGGTAATATAGATAAATACCTTCTCAATTTGTCAAAAAGAGCTTGAATGAAATCGCCGTGCCCTAATAACATGTATTGCCTGAGCCCGACAAAATGATCTTTTAGATGGTATTCTTCCAGCAGAACTTTGACTACTTTTTCTGATGTTGTTCGGGAGCAAACTAGAATTGATTACGAATGCTAATCAATCAGAAACTCACATTTGACAAAATGCTCAAGCCTATCTTTATATTTCATCTCTTCCGGAAGCGCGTTATAATCCGCCACGGCTTCTTGCTGAAGATTTCGAACCACTTGTCCACACTCACTTCTCAAGAAACTAATGTTCTTGCCACAGAGAAGAATTGCATCAGCAAACGAGGTTTTAATATAACTAGGCATGTGGGTTTTTCGGAGGTAGTACTTGTTTGACCAGAATTCTTCTGGCTTAGCGTTTCGTCTTTCATCTATCATAAACTCATCGCAGGAGTCTTTGATCTGTCCTTCAAAAATCCACCGGTAGATCATCTGTTCGTAGGTTTTCTGTAAAACTGCTAGAATTCTATGGACCATTTCTGAAATTTCCGCTCCTCCATGAACAGAAAAATGATGCACCACGGATAAGATCGGTGCACCTCGCTTCTCCCGAATATTCCATGTGATCAAATACAACAATTCCAATTTTTGAAGCCAGATATTCCCTGCTGCAATGATACTCATGAATGTGACGTTTTTCTGCGTTTTGAAATTGGCTACAAACTGCTTGTATTCATTCATTATTTCGTGGAGTATAGTCAAAAATGTGCGGCAAACTACGCTGTTGTCATTCTTTTTTATTTCAAAGAGTTTTTCAATTTCGATAACGTAGAAGCCGAATTCGCCGAGGCACTCGCTCATCGAAGCGTGTCTCGGGTCAACTCGAACACCAGGGTCGACGATAAATGGGCGCACAGAGCCATTTGCCGGGTCGATTTTTACATAATGTCCGTGAGCTCCAATCATGACAAGGAGGCAATCTCGGACGAGCCTCGTTTCTGGAATAAGCTTGCCCGTTGCTCGGCCGACTAGAGTGAGGTTGTCTGCTTCGCGAGGCTTCCAAGTCGAGCTGAGCGAGCTATCGAGATAATCGAACGAAGGAAAATCAGAATTCTTTAGTTGCGTAAACAGCTCATTATCACCATCGTTTCTGACGGAAAAGGAGGAGTTCCAAGCGGCCGGGCGAGAAAGAGCCTCGAAGAATTCAAAAACTTTGTTGGTTTTGGATAGGACTCCATTTGATTCAAGCCTGCTTGATAGTTTCAAATATTTTTGATAATCCAGTGGTGTCAATCGAAGAGATAAAAGATTTTTTACATCAAGGACAGGCAACTCTCCTTTTTCGCCATAAATGTCACCAATCAGTTCCAATTTGCTCGAGCTCGATTCATAAGTAGCACCAAGCACGGTAAGTAATTTTGATATAACGTCAGTGCGTTCGGAGTCGACATGCTCTCCTGCTTCTGAGTTGCCGATTTCTGTCTCCATTTCTTGAAAAAGGGGTTTATCAAACAGGTTTGAAGAAGAAAGGTGAATTCACCGGAATGTGAACAGGCATTAAAATCATTTCAAATAGCAGAATAAAAACAGATAGAATAAGTAAAAGTTCAATGTCGGAAGAAATTTGCATGCTGGTTCAGTGCGAGATTGGTAGGTTAGATTGGTGGAATATTCAACTTGGCAATTCAAACTTTGCAGTGAGGAGTTTAGGATCTGATGCTAAATTTTTGGAAGATGGAGTAGATCACTCGCATGATGGACTTAACGTCGCCGGAAACTATATCCCTGAATTCGAGATTTATCGAAGTCTTTTTGAGAATAGATCAAACCTTGCTCGGACTTTTGTTGAACAGCCAGCTTCTACAACAAGATCCAACGCAAGCTCGACATTTTGGAGTCTTTTATCATCCGTGTCCGCTAGAAAAAGAATCAGTGAAAGAAGATCCACTGAATACTTACCAGGAATATTGTAAGAATGCTGCGAAACAAAGTATCCATCAAGTTGTCCAATCAGCATGATAAGATTGATTCCGTCCCTGAAAGCAACACCAACGTCTTCGAGCATTTCTTCCTCAACTCCAAGGCAGTTGAGGTTATTGGCAACGTAGCGGACAAGAGTTCCCTTGAGCTTATCAAATTTCTCGCGGCTATCTCGATAGAGCTTTTCGAAATTGTCCCTAAATAATGATTTTTAAGTGTAAAAGAGAATAGAATTTACTCATTTTTTCGGTGTGTTGGGTATCCATTCTCATAAACGCTCGTAAACATAGGTTCGCTTCGAGTCTGACGGGTGATCGTGCCATCAGGATTTTTACGCAGAAAAACCATCTTGAACTCTATCTTTTCTGGAAGTCGGACATTGCATTTATCGTCGTAAAACTTGGTCAGAATGACGAGAAGATAGCAAATAGCGAAGTAATTTTTCGTGTAAATACTAATCACACACCCTCTCTATAAAAATGATAAATGAGATGCTTTTAATTTCATTCAACCTTTCTTCGTCATCGTCTCCAAAAAGCTCTCGATGATAGCCCTCACATCTGTCTTGAATCCGCTTCAGAACATAATTGAGCTTGTCGAGCTGGCCTTGTTTCGTGCAAACGATGTCAGGCTTGTCTATTTTCTCCTTTCCACCCTCAAGGTGCTCGAAAAGTCGCTGAAGAACTTGACCGTCGAAAAGATCTTCTTGTAAATCTTTAACAATGATTCGTTGTCCAGCTAGGCACTCGTTGATCCATTGTTTCAAGCATCGGTAAAGTTCTAGGACTTTTTCCGAGTTTCTGGAGCTATTGCAGCGTTAATTTTGACTGTTTGAATAACGCTTACCTTGGAAGAACGAATGAATATGTCATGCGAGGGTCGACAGAGTTTTGAAGCTCTCGCTCTTTCTCCAGAATGAATTCTTCATCCTCATCTTTTTCAACTTGCGTGACATCTGGGTTCTTTACAGAAAGATTTCGAAGAGTTCGAAAAAGCGTCGTCATTTTTTACTAAATATAAGTTTTACGCTTGTATTTTTGATTGAATTAGTCATTAAATATTTCGGAAGAACTAATTAGACATTGAAGAATAAGACGGAATAGGGTATGAATTGACAGGGAAAGATCAGTAAAAATAAGCTAGTAGACAACTTTGAATTTAATCGTTAGGAAGAAAGGCATTCATCATCCGGTCGCCGTTGATTATTGCAGTTGCGGCAAAGATGAGTTTGAAGCGGTTCTTTTGCGCCCAGAAACGCAAGGCAGAAATTTCAGAATAAGTGATTCCTGAAATAAAAAATTGAATGAACAAAAATCAAATCAAACAGCTCAACAGGTTTTTCACACCTACCTCCGATAAAATAAACCAAGGCAACGTGCTCAGGCGAAGACGATCTATCATCTGGCCCTGTTTTTCTGGCCGTCTGTTTGACACTACCTCCCTTTACTCTGCAAAAATACTCGCCAGTAATATGCTTCTGAAGATCTTCATTGCCTAAGTCGACCTTTGTCAGCGCCAATTCAACAAGTTTACAACTCAATGGAATGTAACAACCGCCGAAGACGTAGCCCATTGTTCGAGGGAATTTTAAATCTTCGCGGTCGCTGGGGATGAGGTGAAGGCGTTTGCGAAGTTGCTAAAGGAAAAATAAACGTTTTCATAAATACAAAATTTATTGCCACGGCAAGTCGACTATTGATGCAGTAGGAAGTTAAGTATTCATTTTAATTTCAATCATGGTAAGGGAGAAATTTACGGTACACATAGGATAGTTTCATTTTAAAACATAATTCAATCAGAATTACTGAAATATGCCACGGGAAAGCTTTAGTCGATGGTGCTCATACAGAAGTTGCATTTTAAAAACAATTATTTTTGTCCATACATTTTATTTTTGTGAATGCATAAACCACCCTTTTATACCTCAGAAAACGATAAGATCTCGGAGGATTACAATCAATCAAACCATTTTTATGGATCAAACCAATTTGTTACGTACCTTGAACATATCCCGCTTGTTGATAAAGGCAAGAGCCGTTGATGCAATCGCGTTCTGGGCATAGTTCTGACCCGCCGAGTCTTCAAGTAGCAAACCAGCTCTCTGCAAATTGAACCAAGTGAGAATGTGATCATAGCCATAAGTATGGGCGTAGAGCCGTTTTAATTCTTTGTACTGAGTAGTTGGAATGCCGGAGTAAGTTGAGGATAGCAGGCAGAGAAGACGAAGGGTTACGTTGGGGCTGTAGCGGCGGCAGATGCATTCTTTTATGTATTCTTAGTTTGGTTCAGAAGTTATCAACAACTTAGTTAACAACTTTATTTTATTTTGATTGAGAACCTTATTCTATGGCACGGTTAACATCCGACCCGTCCAACAAAATCTCTTCTACCTCAAGCTTTTTATTCAATGGCGGATCACCTCCGAGTGTATCTGGAAAATGATTCGAGTTTTCAGTATCCAGCATTTTGAAAATATATTCACACGCCATCCAATGGATTCTGATGTTTTTCTGGTCCTGCTTATGCTGTGGAATAGCCTAAGAAAAGCATACTATCATGAATCGTGTAAAAAAAATCGTGTAAATACTTTGACGAACGTCTTCATATTTTTAGCATCGAGCTTTTCAAGTTGTGTTTCATTTGTTGAGTTGATTTCATTCAATTTGGTGCGGAGCTTTTGAGTTGTTACTTGAATATGCTCGTCGCGGACAAATTTGAATATTTTATCATCCGAGTTTAGAATATACTTGAACGGCTTTGTGACATCTTCGTTGATCCCGACTTCGCCAGGGAACGTAATTTTGCCGCATTCTGAGTTGAACCAATCATCAAGAATACCAGTATAAGTTTGTTGGGTGCATAGAGGGGTAATAAAGTCAACGTTTCTGTCGATGAGAATGAAATTGCCAATAAGCGGTTTTGTTTTAGGCGGTTCTCTTATCATTTTGTTCAATTATACCATCATTTCAAAGCTGTTGGAAATGAAATTCGAACAATTTCCTATTAGACATATTCTGCACGAGCTTATCGACAATTTTCGCGGCGGAACCCTGTCCATAAATATTCGTCGGATGGCCGAATTGAGCGATGAGCTTGTTTATACTGCGAGCAACACAATGAAGGGAGGTATAATCTCTATGAAGAAAAACTGAACGAAGAAGCTCCGGCTGCTCAAGGGAAAGAATATCGTGGTCAAGTAAGACGAGGTCTATGTCGAGTGATTGGGTTTCCACGTGACCCATGATTCTTTCGACAGGTTTTTCAGAGGCTCTCATGAAACTTACAGTAGATCACCTGTCTGGCCTATTTCAACCCGTTTCCATACTGCTCCAGAGTAAATTCAATAACCGGCGTCCGACGAGGAATAAAAACCAAATGCCGTTTTCTCGGGTATGTTCCCTTCGCCTGTCTCACGCGAACATCGTGAGCTATCTGCGCACAAACAGTTTTCACGTTTTTAAGAGAATTTCTCATGAGATAGAGATGCTTGTCGATCTCTGATGGTATCTCGAGCTTCTTGGGATCTATCCGATGTACGGATTGGACGCCGTTTTCGCGCAGGAATGCCATTCCGGCGATTCTATCTTAAATTTCTGATGAATGTGTTTCGAGTCCCGGTGCAACAACAACTGAGAGCGCAGAACATTTATTACACCCATAACAACTCACCAAGGATAGGAATAATGTCTGGATCAAGAATAAGGTCCTTCGGCCCATGGCACTCCTGAAGTACACGCCTCAGCTCTTGCCTTTGCAACTCCTTAATTTCTAACAACTCTGACGATTCCATTGTCACTGAAATAACATCTTCTTATATAAGTGCATTATGTTGGCACATATTAATTTTTGACCGAATAAAGAACGAAGATTTAGGCAATATTGAATGCATTTATTTTTCCGTCGCTTATGAACAGTAAAGGGGTAATTGGCTGTGAAATACGTTAATTTTTCTTTTTCAATGTGAGCATAATGGTCTTGACAAAATTTGATAATTCTGTCGAAAAATAGATAAGTGACTTCTCATAATAAAATATCGAAGTAAGTGAAAGTTATTTTTTGATCGACAGATCGGCGCCTTTGACAAAGGTCTTTTTTGAAACTGTGACTTGTCGATGTTTATGCAGATTATCGACTACGACCAGATCTTCACATTCCAAAGTGGAGGAGGATGGCCTTTATAAATGTAAGTTAAATGATCAACAATGAAATTATCTTACTTATCATCTGCATTTGTGAAGGTAATTTTTACCTCTCCTGGCCTCTGAGTGAAGTTTACGTTTCTTGCAGAGTCTACCGAAAAGCTCTTTCTTCTTTCCGGGTCTTTTTCAAGATTTACTTCACGAGTGATGTTGACAGAGCCGAGAGATTTCGAACGGGACTCTTTTCTTACTGGTGGGACTATTGCTGGAGAAAGAGGAGAAATGCTCATATCCACGGTAACCCGCGAAGTTTGAGGAGTTTGAGGATTGTTGAATGTAACTTTCGCTCGTATTTTATTGTCATCGGGCTTGTCGTCTTCGTCACTTGAAAATCCTGGCGGATCTTCGTCTTTGATGTCATCTTTTTTCTTCTCAGCTCCCTCGTTTGTAGCTGGTGGCAAGGGGTTTTCAACTGGCTTTGACGCACTCCTCAGCAAAACCCCTGGATCATATGATGGCTCTGGAAACATCTGGTCGAATTTTTCCTTCAGGTCGTTTTTCTTCCAGCTAATTAGCTGACTGATTTTGCTGTTAATCGTGGAGTATGATGAAGTCATCAAATTCGTATGCCCATCCTCGATCTCGTTTCCTCTAAGGAATCCGTTAAACTATTATCGGAGTTAGAATTTCTACCTTTGGCAATGACGTCTGCCAGCAGCGATGGATTTGGCCGGCTCCCATAGTTTCGAATCTCGTTCGATTTCCATTTTACGCGGTTTATACTTGCCGCTCTCATCTTTGCGCCACTGCTGATAGTGTGCCTTCTTCACCTCGTTGTTGTCATATCTGTACGGAGCCATGAAGGGAACCGTTTTTCGCATCATGAACTAATAAATTTCAGCTTGAATCAAAGGATTTATCTTACCAAATTATCGTCTGTTTCTTTGCATGCCTCCAGCTGTAAATCCTTGATCACTGGTGGCCCATTGAGTTCAGCATCAAGTGAAGCGTATTTTTGGTCGATTTCAATGAAAGCATCTCTAGCTTTTTTCCTAAAAGGCATTGAAACTCTAAAAGTGTATGCAGGGCTCACATTTCTTTTTCATCTGCGGATCCTGGTTGGAAGTTACGATCCTCGTAATAGCCAAACTTCTCTTTCCGCTTATTCCGCTCAACTTCGACCACGTCGAATTCTTTCTGCAGCTTTGCTCGTAGCACCGGATCATGCTTCTCATTCGGCATTTCTATTGAGTAATCTTCACCCTTATAGAAGCTCTCAGTTGCCTTGTGTTCCGGGAGAAGTTGTGGATTAGCAACCAGATCATCAAAGTATTTCTTGTCCTTTTTCGTGCTTTTGCAAGCAGGAATGTCCCCCTTTTGAAACATCGGGAGGAAGCCCGGCGTTTCACTTTCACTTCTTGCGTCAAACTTTCCTCCGAAATCGTCAACTTTTTGTTGTAGTTCTTTAAAGGCTTTATCATCCCCAGAATTTGATGGATCTGGCTTGAAACCAGAAGTATCAGAATTAGAAGCAGCTGGATCTGATGTAGGTCCTCCTTGATTCGATGAGGATTCTCCGATTGCCGCCCGAGTTCGCTCGATATCCTGTGAGAAGCTCAAACCCTTCTCTTGCTTAATTTTTATAAACATTTCCGTCATCCTTTTAGATTCTTCTAGTTCTCTCTCCTCGTCTGAGTCTAATATAGTCCCTGCATTTACAACTTCCGTTTGCGGTCTTCCAGAAGGAGCACTCTTTTGAGGAGTCTTTGCTAGTCCATTCTTCGGAGTTGTAGTGGACCGTCGCTTTTCTTTCTTTCTCGTCTTATTTTCTCCATCTGACTTTTGTTTTTTAGGTTTTGATGGTAGCGTTTTCGCTACCGAGGTCTTTGTCGCTGGAGTTTTCGCTGACAGATTTTTTGACTTTTCATTCGATTTACTCACGTTGTTTTCCACAACAACTTTACTAGCGTTCGTTTTCTTAATACCCCGGTTCTCTTTATCGTCCGACTGGGTATTTTTCTTTCTCTGTTTATTTTCTCCTGGCACCGACAATTTCTTCTTCGCTTGTTCTTTGTTATCTCTTTTCTCCACAAAGACTTCCAAAGGCAGATCGTCATCGATTGAGTCTGGCTCTTTATACTCCTCCTCTTCTTCTGCAATTTGCTGAACTCTCAAATTGATTGGCTTTTCCTTCACTTTTTCCGCCTGTGTCCTTGGCCCTGCTGGTGTCACTAGTGTGGGAGTTGCTGGTGGCTTATTTTGTGAAGAAGGGCTTTGCGACTGTACTGTTGCTATTGGTACTTCGGATGCTTTGACCTGTATCTGCGGCTCTTTGGATAGGCTTGATCCAAAGTCTATCGGCGCCGACTCGACGTCATCTTCCTCAAGCTCATCAAGAACAGAGGTGAAAATTGGTTCGTCAGGGTTTTTATTTTTCGCTTCTTTCTCGGAAGACTTTTGAAGAACACCTCTTTTGGAGTCAAAGATGGTTCCGACGAAGACAATGTTGACTTTTGAGGGGTAGTGGGAGGAATTACAGTCGAGGAACACCCTTTATCGATGGGTTTTTCTTTTTGCTTTCCTTGAGATTTTCTGGCCGCGCTAGACGCACCTCTTGAAACTAATTCACCCTCTGGTGAAGTCGATAAGATGAGCTTTGGACGCTTATTAGATTTGATCACTTCCTGATTTGAAGAAGTCGAGGCAGACATAGACTTTTCGTTCGCATTATCTGCAATCTTATCCGCTTGTGCTTTTGGTGGAGAAGACTTTGATTCGGCAGAAGATGCAGAGGTAGTCTTCGGTGGAATGACCACATCTTTTTTTGGGCTGCTCAAAAGATCCACTACTGGAGTTGGGTGGCTTTGTCTATAAGCTGCTGTTTGTAGCTCTACTCTTGGGCGGCTTTTCTTTTTAGGGGGATCCTCTTGATCATCATTATTTGCGGCTCTTGGGGATTTGAGAGAAACTGAATCTTCACTCATATCAAGACTCCTGGATGCTCCTTTGCTTCTTCTTTTGATTTTCGCATTATTTATCTTTTCACTTGATTCGTTGTTGAGATTCGGCTTAGCTTTTATGGGCGATGTTTCGACTAATTCAGCGGTTTTTCCGCTGTCAGTAGTCCGTGTAACCGCATTTCCTTGAGCCGAAATAGAAGCGTCTATTGCCTTTTGCACGGGTGACTTTTTCGGTCGTTTTAGACAAGAAAGATTATTCAAACTTGATTTGGCAGAAGCAGAAGTCGAAGTTGCTTGGGCTTTCTTTCGTGGAGATCTTCGTGGTGCAGGTAAATTAGCAGCGTCTTTTTGGGTTGCTTTCTCACCTTTTTTCTCATCTTGTCTACTCGATTTTCTTCGTCGGTCTTTTCCGGAAGTCGCATCCCCGTTGATCTGAGCTGGCAAGTCTTTCTTTTCGACTAGATTTGCGACTGGGACTTCGGAAGCTTTGGGCACAATGGGGGTAAAAGGTTGGGGTTCTGTAGGAATTTTATAGGAGTTGTAGTTCCTGAAGTGGTCTATGGCACTTTTAGGAGGAGAATCTTTCTTGGCAGTTTTTGATGATGATGTTGGAGTCTCCAAATCATCATCTGTCTCATAAAAACTGGGCATCTTATCTATGGTTTCAGCTGTTTTGGCGGGCAACGAGTTTGTTCCTGGATTTTTACTGGAATTTTTTTGCGAGGTGCCTTTATTCTTTGCTTTGTATTCATCTAATGAAATTTTTCTCTTCTTCTTTGTTTCTGGCAGAGAGAATTCTGGTAAACCCGGGATCGAACAGGTCATGGTTTTACGTTGTTCTCCTGGTCTCTTCAAGGCCGATCTCAGCGGTATATTTTCGGTTTTCTTTGGGGACTCGACATATTTTCTCGTCTTTGATTCTGGAGTCTTTTTCTGGGCAGTGGTGGAACCTGGAGTAGAGTCACTCTCTGGGGAAGACAATAGACCGATTGGAGATCCTTCGGGTGAGTTTGTGATGGTAATTGGTCGTCTCTGTGGCTTAGAAGGAGTGGAAGATGAATCCGGCAGTGTTGATTTTTTTGAAAGAGGAAGAGGAGACATAGTGGATACATTAGAAGCCATTGGGTTGGAAGACGACTTTGATTTGGCATCACTCACGGGGGATGTGTAGTGATCAGACGGATGAAATGTTAGCGACTCTTTTGTCGGCGGGTATTTTTCATTGAATATGCTCTCGAACATCATATCAGATACATCTCCGGAATCTGAGCAAAGCGAGGACGAAACAATATCTTGAACGTCGTCATCTGCAAACAATTTCGCGTATTCGCTCGGTTTGTCATTTTCTTCTGTGTTTTCATTCTCTGTGCTTGAGACAGAGGCTCCAGAAGTGCCAAAATCAGTCATGTCCTTAAGCATAGAGCGTGACCTTATTGTCGGTGCTTTTGGCTTTCTCACTTTGACAGCAGATCGCAGGGGTGATTCTCTCTTTTGTGCAGCGGAAAGGGCTTCAAATTGCTTCAAAATCCCGTCTTTATCTTCAATCAAGGGCTTTTTAGCTGGAGAGGCAGGAAACGGGACCGTTTTTATCAGCGTTTTACTATTTCCGAGATCGTTATGCTTCAGTTGCTCCGCTTTTTCGTCTGTTTTTCCTGTAGCAGATTTGGAGGAAAGGTTTTTCGCCTAGAGAAACCATACTTCCTTTTCAATAATTAAAAAAACCTACATTCTTTGTTTTCTTTCCCGGGGCTCTCTTCTTCCGAGTAATCTTTTTCTTTGGCTTATCCTTTGAGCTTGAAGCTTGTGGCTTCGAAGGTCCAGCATCATCATCTGATGAAAGAAGACTTATGACAGCAGGAATAGTGTCCGATTGCGACATGTCTTTAATAAAATGAAAGCATGAGTTGAAGTTTTTTTATCTATCTTTTGGTATAAGAATTCGGAAGTAGTTGCACATGTAGCGTTCAGGGATGGAAAGAAAGAAACAGTGAAATTCTACTCGCGCTCGCCAACTTCTCCAGAAACGCGCTTGAACTCGTTCATGTTCGTGGCAGACATAGGCAAACCGATCAGCTGCAATTTGGACAAAGAAGTCACTTCTTTATCGCCTTGGTTATCCTAAATAGCGAATATTCATTGGGTCACATGAGCATGATGTTACCTTGAAAAATATGGTCAAATTATTGACATTTTGAAACTTGACAAAACGGAGAACGATTGGTTTCGCAAGTTCAGCGAATTCTAGCTCAAATTCTTGCGTTGCTGGGCGAGTCTCTGCATCATCAAAAGAAAGTGGGTTTGTTTCGTTTGCAAAAAGTCGAACTGTCTAAATGAAAAAAATGAAGTGATTTGATGGGTAAGTATGGAGTCTTGTTGTCTCAAAACTTGTTTTCGACTTTTTCTCACCTTTGGAGCTTGTTCCGCGTCGGCGCCTGGGGAAATCAAGATAGAATGCAGCTTGACGGGCTGTGAAAATTCAGTGCGAAGAATGAGCTGCTCATCGCAATCTGAAGTTTTTAGAAAATGCGTGATAATGTTGCCATACCAGATTTAAGTTCCCCTTGAATATTTTCGTCGATGATATTTTGCCAGGTGAAATCGTCGTCTTCATTTAAGCACTCAGATTTCGACTGAAACGTTTCATAAAGGTTTTGAACCTCCTTCAACTCCTACCTTATCAATAATAGCAGTAAGATCTGTCATTCCTTCAGGAACGCCTTCGATGGGCTTGGCCCCAGCTTGGTTAGCGAGTTCTTTGACCTTGGACTCGAGGACTTCTTTATTTCCTCCTTTTATTGTTGCCAAAGTCTGGCCACCTTTGATAAACGCAAATGTTGGAACAGCTCGGACACCAAATCTTTAATGACGAAATAGATATCTATGCTAATGAAAGAATTTACTACCTCATGGCGGTTTCTTCGCATTTCTCAATGTCTACTTTGAGGTATTCTAGTGAAGGGTATCTCTTTGAGAGATCAGTGAAAAAAGGCGCAATGACTTTACAGGGTCCACACCATTCGGCGAAGAAGTCAATCGCATAAATTTTGTTCCTATCGCTCGTTTTAGCGGCGAAATCGGCGTCTGATGTACAGCTGTAGACCATTCTAGGAACCTCTATTTTGTATTTTTATAAGTGCGAAGAAAAAGGGTTAGAAGAGACGCTACTGTAAATAATGTCTGCAGAAGCGAGACTGTATCTAGAATAATAAACAGTCGATGCTTGATAATTGAACTTTTATTTTTCCGTTGTTTGTTTTGGACAGCAAAATTTCGAACGAAATTTTGTCAATTGAAGGTAACATTGAGAAAACCAAAAATTAATATAATTGCACATAAAGGAAGAGCATTTTTTCGCCAGCCCATTACTGTAAGGGCGTTAAGCTGTGAAGTTGGTTATATAAATTATGTTTATAAATACGTAATATGTGTATCGAGTAAAAAAGGACAACTTTGAGCTATTTTACAAAGGGCGAGTTGAACACATGTCGACGCGATTTAGCTATTTTCACCGTGGCATATGATAAATGAAGGTAAAGCTTTTACAAGTGTAACTAAAGTGGTTCAAACAATCGTTTTGGCATCGAGAATCGTTTCCTCTTCAGAGTCTGATTCCAGTAAATTCTAAAATCGAGTTTATTTGAGATTCGATATCGAATGATCTTACTCTTGCTTCCTCCTTATTTTTCTTTCTATTTGAAACATTCTCAGTCAGGGCGTTTTTCGTATTGATTTCGACCATATCCTCTTCGTCGATTTTGAAGTAGGGATTGTTGCAGCCGGGACGGAATTTCCATCCTGTGACGCAGAAAAATACGAGTGTGGCCATTTCGTTACAGAATTCGGCAACCCATGATTTTTCAGGAGGAACAGTGATTCGCATAATGTACACGACCATTCTCGTGAAGTAGATGTAAAGCACTAAAAGACAATTCTAGCGTTCAGGAACTCGCAACAGCCCTCCTCTTACCAAACATGGTGAGAAAACTTCTGAACAACTCTAGCTTCTCCATATTTCTCTGTGCCTTGCCGTCGGTCAAAGAAGCCTGAAGTTCTCCGTTAATACGAAAAGTAAATAATAATGACTCTGGAGGCCTTTCTACTTTCGCCCTGATCAAAGCGCACCCGCCTCGGGGCGTGGCAATGCCTGCAGGTGGTACGCGTCTAGTGCCACCGAATCGGAAAATTGCTCGGATCACACTGTGCCCGACAGATTGCAGCAATTAGCAGCGATTTTACGGAAGCTACTCTCGGGCTCCAGAAATTTCAAGTATAAAAAGACTACTAATTGGAGTAAAAGTCATCATTATCTGAGAACAATCAAAGTATCTACAGGAGAAAAAAAACAATCAAACGATGCTTTCAAAACGACCGATGAGCATTTGCTACCAGAACCGAGCCGAGGCAGTTCGCAAATTCAACCTCTCGCGACACATGCATCAATCAAGCGTCATTCTTGAGGCGCACGAGCAGAGCAACTTGCAGCCAAAGCTCTCTATTTCGCTCAAATCACTCAACATGGAGAAAAAGTTCAAGTCTGCGCGAAAACGAGGTCTTCAAGCTTTGCGAAAGTTTTTCACGAAGAAAAGCAGCAAGAGATTCGCGAGACGAGAGAGCATCGCCAGTGTCGAGTTTTGGGAAGAGGACATGACAATAGTTCAGGCTTGAAATCTAACTGCTACTGTACTTACTTGCTGTAAATGTCGTATGCTCCAATAAACTGGGAAAAGGATAAACGCGTAGCAAAGCATATCCAGCAAAATCATAATACTCGACCAGTTGCTGTAAGGCTATGAATGGGTTCAAAAGAGCTTAAACAAATGGTGTAATCTTTTCTTTATAAGTTTCAACCCTATCCTTAGTTCCTTCCTCTGCTTCGTAATGAATAATGAATGCAATATTCACGAGGATTTGAAGAGGAATAACAATCATAAACAACCGTTTTTCTTTTTCAGACAGAACGTATTTGATAAACGCCCAGCCAGTTCCAATAAGCGTCAGTGTTACAATCAGCACAGCTCCCTAAAATATTAATAACAGTTTTTATTCGCAGCAAAAGCAATAAACGAACCTTCAACAAGTGGACAATGTAAAAAATGATAGTCCAAGCGTCTGATTTTCCCTCAATATCCAAAAATCGGTAATCAAGAGCGTGGAACATGAGCGAGAGAGCTTTAAACAGGACTAGAGCCAGCATCAAATAATGAATTTTGAATACCTAAAAGAGTTTTACTCTGGCATTTTTTTATGACTCATAAATTATGAGGGCTTACAGTGTTATCTTTTTGTCGAAGGATTCCGAGCCAGAGGAAGCCGGCAACAAGAAAAAGAATGGCCATGAAGCCATAAACCTAATTTTTAAGTTATTAAAGCATGTAATTGCCCTCAAAGTACCATGGCAAACTGTACTTCGCCCATTCCAAGATAATGAACACCATTCTTCTCAGTTAAATGCATGTCAATGTTCACAGGAAGAAGCTCCCGCTTTCTATTGAAGCAATTATGGAAGGACAACTCATATAATCCGTTTGTTTCTTTCTTGCTGAAGCTCCAGGTCATCGTGAATCTATATTTCATGGCGAGAACGTCTTTAATTTCAACTCCGTCTTGTGAGATGTCTCGCTCATCCGTAGATGTATCATCTCGTCTACTTGTTTCGCCATCATCATCCTCTCTTCGCTTTCTTGTATCTGATTCAATATCGTGGTTCGGGTCGAAATTATCGTGAACTTGAAGACTTATTCCGTGTTCTTCAAGCGTATTCCATTTCATCACCAAGTGGTCGTAGGTTTTCTCCTTGCTTCCGTAGCTTTTCTGCTCGAAATTCAGCGCAATAATCTGTCTCAAAACATCAGGATCTTTAGACGGTTCATTAAGAGCACATTTTTCCCCAACAGTCGGATCCCCAGCCATTTGTTCATATTTAACGTTTCCTCGCGAGTTCAGTCGCTCGAAAATAAATCCAAGTTGGGGAAGCTCCCCGTTGAGCAGCTGCTGAAATTCAGCATCTTCCGCCCTTTTCTTTCGGAATTCATCCTCATCAATTTTAAATAATTCGAACGTGAGATTAAGGAATCCCTAGGTTGAACATCAGCAAATGCTCCTTATTGCGGAGCGTCAAACCTGTTCGTTGTACACAAATGAAGACAAATCAATGGTCAGCCGAGTATCATCCTCGAGCTCCAAATGGTGGATTTTACAAAAAACAGATCCGAGAAACAACGGCCATTTTATCATTTCGCTGAAAGCCGATTCGACTTCCACTGTCTACAAAATGCCCTTCATTTACTGATCATTTTTGCAGATTAACGACAATAATAGTTCCCAGTTTCAACGTTTATTAAAACAGAATCAACAAAGGACCAGCATTTTCCCAAAAAATTTAGGAAAATTACTTGGCCTTGGCAGCTTTCTCGGCAGCGTTCTTGGCGGCCTTGTTGAAAGCGGCTCGCTTCTGAACAGCGGCGTAAGGGTTGAGCTTGAGCATGGTCTTGATGTTCTTGAGTGGGTTCTTCTTGACGGTGGATCGCTTGGTGGCAGATCGTCGGGGCTTGAGGGCAGCCTAAAAAGAGTTTAGTCTCTGATTACTTCACTGGAATAGTTTACCTTGATTTCATCGGCCTGGAGGATTCGCTGGAGATCAGCGTTGGCGAGGATGGGTCGTGGCATGGAGAAGCCCTTCTTGTTGGCAGAAGAGTAGACGGTGTCAAGAGCCTTGAAAGCGTTGGCGGTGTAGATGGTGAATCGTCCAACGTGGCCACCTGGGGCGAGCTTGAGGAGGTTGAGCTGGTCGACGGGGAGGAGGGTAACGCCGGGGATGTTTCGCATAGCCTGGACGATACCGTCGTCGTTCTGGTAAACGACAAGTGGACCTCGCTTCTGGACTCGTCGTCGGTTTCGCATCTTTCCTCGGCCGGCTCGGAATCGTCGGGTTTCCTTGACTCGGTAGATGTCGTCGATGGCGCCGACCTTCTTGAGGACGGAGACGGCGGCCTTGGTCTTCTTCAAACCTTCGACGGAAGAGTCGAGAACGAGTGGGAACTCAGGGACGTTGTTGACAACGTGTCCCTTGGCCATGGCGAGGGATGGGATACCGGTGGCGGCGATGGCAGAGACGGTGGCATATCGTCGCTGGGTGACGTTGACACGTCGGTGCCAGTTTCGCCAGGTCTTGTTGGGGTTGAACATTCGACCGCCTCGGCACATGTTACCGAAAGCAGCGGCACCAGATCGGGAGGTACCACCACCTCGGACACGGGGGATACGAGCAACAGCTCGGCCAGTACCCCAGGACTCGGCAGAAGTCTGTTCACCAGCGGTGGCAGAGACAGCGTATGGCTGTCGAGCGTTCTTGGCGATGTTGGAGTGGACGAACTGGACGACATCAGTTCGGATGGGAGCCTAAACTTGGTGATGACGAATGTTTTAGAAAATTTAATTCTACCTTGAAGACGGCTGGGAGGTTGATCTGTTCAGCGGTGGCAGAGCCATCAGCGCCGTAAACGGAAACTACTGGTCGAGCAGCAGCCATTGGTCCGGATTCAGTCTAAGATAGAGGTTCATGTTGATGAAAGTGAAATATCTAGAACTATTTGAATCATTCTATTATATCGTCGTTATCTGGGTTAACAGTAAATATGAAAAGATATTTTGGAGGCTAGTTGTTCGGAGCAGGAGTTGATTGCTTGAAGAAAATGTAATATGAAGAGTATAAAATGATAAAGGGCGGGAGGCCGAAGATAGGCGAGCAGCCGGCCAAGTTTCCATAGGACCAGACGATCTGGTAAAGAGAGAAGACACGCAGACCAAAAGTAATCTTTGAAAGGGTTTAAATTTGCTTCCAGAAATGGCTGTTAACATAAATATGTTCAAAATTTAAGACCCTTTCCGGAATGAGTAAAAAGAACAAAAGGTTGAAAACGGACTTGAATGGATTAACTGTCTTCTCAGCCCATTTTCTTTCGGCAAAATACGATGTGTAGAAAAGATATGGAATGACGAATGAAATCATACTCCAGAAGCCTTCTGCGTACATTTCATGTCTTGTGTGCATTTCACCTCTGTAGAAGATGCCGAAGGAGAAGATTACACCAATTTCATCGCCAATGACGTAGCCAAGGGACCAAGGAAGGAAGGCAAACCAGATTAGCCATGCAAGAAGAGGATACGAAAGGTGAACACAGAAGGGCTCTTTGCCAAGAAGAATTTGAATCCGGAGAAGGAATCTCCAGCGTAAAACGAGAGGCTTTTGGTTAGGTTCTTGATATGCCCTCTCCTTAAACTTTTTATTACTTTTGCAAGTCGAAGCAAATAATAATTAGTTGTCGAATGTAAAGAACCGGACCTGGCGACGGACAAATTTCCTGATGAGAGGAGACATAGAAAACATGATCCCAATTGATAGCAGCGTACCCACCCAGAAGAAGAAAGTAAAATAAACACAGAAGTCGACGGTAAGAAGAAAATTGCCAAGAGCAGAGTATCGATGGGGTCGGATAGAAGTGTAGTTGGGAATGAAATCGCGAGTGATGCTGTAAGTCTGGCCATTGTAGTCGACGCTGATTTCAACTTCACCAGCTTCGGCTGGTTTCCAAGGTGCCACCCACAGATCTGAATTGTCGACACGGGAGAGTGATGTCGTTTCGCCGAGATAGGTCATCGTTGGAGCAAGGTTTTCACCGCCATAAATAAGGACACGAATATGAGTAGACTTGGCGATTCTGCCGACTGGTTGACGATCCGGATTCGTCAGTTGCCAGACGGGAAGGTTAGTGATGTGGAGGTACACTCCATCTTTCGACCATTTCATATCTGTCCAAGAGAGCAAATCATGGTCAAAAGAGAGAATTCGGAAAACACGATTTTTCTTCCAATCGGCAAGTTCAAGCTCTGCCAAGCCGCTGGAATGGAGCTTTTGCATTCGAGGAACAGAATCGTGCAAATGCCCAGAAAGATAAGCAGTTGCATAAGTGCCGATGAAATCGCGGTAATAATACGATCGGTGAAGCGCTGAAATTAAAATTAGAATTTGAACAATTCAAAGTGAGATTAACTTACTCGGAGTTGGATAGTGGCCGAACCAAATTGAATGATTGGAAGTGCGAGTTCTCTCTCCAATTTCTTGAAGATTGATCCTCTGCTCTTCGGAAATGTAACCAATAAAATTGTACGGACGTCTCATTCCTGGCTCAGGAGCAGCGTTGATTCCGACAATGGTATAGTTTCCGAACTCCTTCGAAAGCGTGATTTCTCGATTTTGTTTGAAGGCACGATCTTTGGTGAATATCTGGTAAGAGGACTTTTCGTAAGTAAGGACGTCGAAAGCATCGTGATTGCCTCGCAAATCGACGACTGGAAACTGAATCTTGTCAACAATCGCGGAATAAGCTTCCCATTCTTCGGTGTACTGATAAGAACCGTATTTATTCGCGGTTTTGGCGTCTGTTAAATCTCCAGAGATTAGGACAACTTCTGGTTTTATTGAACTCAAGGTTTTTTCACTAGAGCAATTGATAACGGAGAAGTAAGATAATGGATAGCTCACCTAAAGATTTTAAATTCGGCTATTCTTTCTGGATCGTGGAATTTTGACACGTGGATGTCTGATATTTGAACAAAATGCAGCAAATTCTTATTTTCATCGTTTGGGAAAGGCCTTGAATCTTCTACAGACGAATTTTCGAACGTTATTTCTTGTGTGTAAATTCTGTATAATAAACCAATCGGGATAATTGCCAAAAGGCTAAAAATCGCAGCGAATAAAACTCTTCCGAAGGCCATTTTCGTTTCTTCACACTCTCTTTCGCCGAAAATTCGTCAACTCATTGTTATTTTCTTCATTATCACGGGGAGAGAAGCACTTCTTTCTCGGACAAACTCTCTTGATGACGCACCACGTGAAGTGAGTAACCACAAGCAGCGCCCAATCAATGAGCGCCAAATGAATTTCTACTTTCGAACGCGTAAATTTCCCATCGTTGTCATTAGAATCATCAGCAAAATCTCTATTATCGGATGTCCATTGGCAAAACTTTGGTTACTCCTTTCATAGGTGCCTAATCAATTTACATAAAAGAAGAACTTAAAACAATAAGCTTTATAAGAAAGTTTTTTTTTTATTGCAAAGAAAATTGTACACACAGAAAAGCATTTTTCTGATTAACACTCGCCAAGGGACAGAATTTCGCCTCCACTGCAGCAGTTTCTGTTCGTGTTGTAGGTAGCACCCTCACAGCAGGCGAATCGACCGCCTTTGTCGGAAAATGGAAATCTAAAAATCTCAGGCCGAAGGAATCGACAGGATCTTACCTGTTCGGATACTCTCCGCAGCATTTCATCTCAGGTGGGTTGACAGAGCCGCCGCCGTTTCCGCCATTTCCAGATCCAGGTTGTCGAGTAGTTGTTGTCATTGGAGATTCTGTCGTCATCGATGGACATTCAGAGGCAAAGTCTGTTCTGGGATTTTACATTTTTCTTGGTTATTTAAAAAAGGCTTTTGAGCAATTTCAAATCCGGTGGCAAAATTTCCCTCTTGCAGAAATTGAGGGTTCAAGCTTTCTCCTGCTTTCAACAGTTCTGTCAGTCCAAATGCAAGTTCTTCATCGCACTAAAAACAAGATAGCACTGATTTCTTTTTTCACTTCTACCTTGCAAGGATTAACTCGGCATTCGTCGGTGGAAATGCACTGGATTCGGATTCCATTGAATCCAACTTCATATGCGATTCCGGAGTCCCAGTCACAGCCGTCGAGCTTGATGCATTGAATGCACTGTTGGTACTTTCGGCCGAGCTCATCTAAAGGAAGAGGTCAAACTGATGGTTCAAAAAAAGAAACTTACCAAATGGATCGACTGGTTCGCCAACTCCAGGGACCATTCCGTCCTGTCCCGCGTTTCTAATCTGAAGCCAGCAGCCGTAGTTCAGCAGCTCGTCTCGAAGGTTCAAATCTAAGCCCGCAAACTGGAGGTAGATCGACAAGATGTTGTGGTACAGCGATTCGGTCGAAGCAAGACTCCTGCTGATTTTGAGACCAAAGACGGAGACGAGCGAAGAAATCGCAACAAGTCGTGTGAACACTTTCATTTTCGCGTTTCTTCCAAAAGTTGCTTTTCGCTTTCTTTTTGTTGAAAAAAGTAGTATTTACTTTTTTCTTTTTACCGTTTTTTGGTGATGTTACCGCATCATTGGTTGGTTTTTAAAGAAAGTGCGGCGGCGCTGTTGCGCTGAAAATTTACATAAACTGTCACGATAATAATAACCAAGTAAGGCGAGCAAAAACCACATAGGTCGATGTATTAGTCAGGCATCCAGGCATATTGTGACAGTAATCAAATTGATGAACTTAGAATGGGGGACCGCGCGGTATAGAACTGGGGATGACCACGTGTCAATTCGAGATGTCAATTAGAGTAACCGATGTTAAGAAAACGAGATACTTGGCGGGAAACAATTCTAATTTCATGCCAAGTCAGAATATTGAGACGTAATATGCTTTCTAAGATAGCTTCTTATTAAGGAAATAATATTATCAAATGCATGTGTCGTTGAAAATTTTGAGCTTGCTGAACTAAGTGAGCTGCAGCTCGACTCAGCTGATCTCAAATAAAACTGATTATTATTTTGAGAATTGCTTTGCGAAAACACGATCAACAGTCGAGAAACTAACAATAAATTTTCCGAGCTTTCCTTATTATAGGGACCTAATATGAAATTTGTCCTTTTGGTCATGAGCGTATCGAATCGTATTGAAAAGCTCTTTCAACTTTAGAAAACTCTTTTGAAAATTAAAGTCAGAGCCTTCCGTCTCTGGAATTGACTGATCCAAGAGTTCAGGGAATGTGCTTCGCCATGGTCATTTTTAGTCGAACTGTTAGGTTCCGGACTCTAGTTTGTTAGGTAAACCATTTAGGAAACCAATTTACATGACGACTGGCGCGATGAGGTTTACGTAGAAAAAGGGCGCGAGTTTATTCTTCCTATTAAGCCAAGTTTGCCAAGCAAGTCTGGCGATGTTTTAAATTAGGTCTCCCGCCTTGGAAGCCCTGTTATTTTATACAACCAAATGCTTTGCTGGCAGAATGCTTTTCAAAGAGTAAGGAAACGTGGGATAAAGGTAAAACGACCGTGAGTTTCGTTTCTTGAATACGTGCATAACACATTTCAACGTTATTTTTTCTCAGGGTTTGAGAAGCTGGCATATTGTGCGAAACTTCCAAGTTCATTATTTTTTATCTAAATAAAACTGTTGATAAACTCAAACGCCTTCCTCGTTCACCCAAGTTCTACAAGTACTTTTTGCGTCACCAGTTTTAGATAAGCAAAATTCTCAATTACCTCCTTTCCCAGGTTCCTTCTCTTATCCTTTGTTGATCGCTGTAAATCCGATTTCTCAAGTTCTATTTAAAAAAATGAAATTTTATATTTCGAAATGAAGATTTTTTATGACAAACTGAATGAAGACCGCGCCGTCTGAAGGTGAAACTAAATTTGCTTCATCAAACCCTGTGACGCCGGTTTGTGGTTTGCGACTTTCCGGGTTTCACGAAATTTTTAAAGAGAAATTTAACTTGAAGATGATTTTTATAATTGCTAGAATTCTTTGAATTATCATTCAGAAAGTGTCAATTTTGAATATTTTTTTATTTTGCAAAGATTAGGCAAATAAGATGAACAAAAGTAAGAACATATTTTATCAGTGCTTCTTGTTGATCTTCGAGTGTAAAAGCCAACCAGCAAAAAATGACTACTCCTAGAAATAGCCTCGATTTCTCAAATTTTCGATCTTTTCCTGAGCAAGATTGGCAGATATTAATTGTTGAGTGAAACTGAACAGGGGATTTCATTAGCTAGAGATTATAATTTATAAACATACCAAGAATATAATTACTGGAACGCATGAAAGTGCTGAAAATTTCTGCTCGTCATCGAATTCAGAATAGGCAGATTGGCGCTCAAGAAAATAGCTCATCAAGTATGACGCAGAAAGCATTTGAATAAGCGTATAGAAGCTTTGCTTTGTTGACATGTAGGGGTCGTAGATTCTAAAGAGGTAAATTTTCGAATAATTACTTTTATTGCATCTTACTTGTAATTAGGGTATCCTCTTGGATAGTCCTCAATATCTCCAAGTCGCATGTTTGGCTTCTCTTCACTGTAACCCGGTCCTTTTGCCATGAAAATATAGACTTGCCGGAATTTGTCCTTCAATGATGAATGTTTTTTGATCTCATCAACCATGAATCGGTAATATCGAAGTTGAATATACGAAAATGAAAACGACTCCGACCCATGAAGTAGTCCATAAGCAATTTTCTCATCTTTGTGATCATTCTTTTCCACAAACGTTCCATAAATTCGGTCCCAGATGATCAAAACGCCGGCGTAGTTTTTGTCGATGCAGAATTTGTTTGTTCCATGGTGCACTTGATGATGCTTGGGCACGTTGAAGAAAAAGTTGTAAACGGGTCCGAATCCATCGATTAGTTCAGTGTGGATCCAAAACTGGTAAATCAAACTTATACCTAGAACGAATTGAAGACTAGATTTCTGTTTGTCTGACCTAGGTGAATCATGAACATTTGTGGAGGGATTCCAAGAAGAGCCATTGGAATATAAAACGGAGCAGAGAAAAATTTTTGGAAAAGACTCTGGCGAATCCCAGTTGACAAGTTGAAGTCTTGACTCGAATGATGGACTAAAAAACAAATATTCTCTAGTTGACCGTTGGCATTTTCTGGTTTATTTGTGAGCTACCGGTTTCGGATATTAATCCTTCATCAGGCTAACAAGTACAATAAACATATATTCCGTTGAAAAGTAAGTTACCGTGAGGCGAGCGAAAGCACGACTGAGGTGAAAGCGAGAAAACAACAAAGATCATATCGTAACAGAAATGGCAAAAGGGGCGCCAAGAATGGATTGATTGATTGGCCAGGTGTGACTCAATCGGCAAAAAGATCCAAAAGATTATTAAAGAAGTGACACCGTCATTTCGAGTAGTCATGGCCTGGAAAACAGTTCGGTTAGAATCAGTTATTTACCCTAAGTTGAAAAGAGAAATCCCTTTCCGAAAGAAATCTTGTGTAGTCTACGAGTACAAATGCTTCTGTGGCACTAGATATCATGGAGAAACTATGAGACCTTTAGAGAAAAGATTCCACGAGCATTTCGATCTACCCTCAGCTAATTTGCCTGTTAGGTCACACTCGTTAAGTTGTAAGAAATTTATGGACAGATTTAACAACTTTAAAAGTGATCCAAGCACTTTGACTAAATTCAAACGAAAAAACACTTCTCTTGCTACACTTCTATGTGAATTCGCTTTTCAATCTGATCTTATTTCCATAACTGAAACTTGTCTTGATAACTATCATGAACGAAAAACTTCAGAAGCTTTCCATATTAAACTCACAGATCCAATCTTAAACCGTCAAATCAAGAGTAAAAGTGTCAATTTTCTGTAAAAGGGGCATACATCAATCCATTCTTGGCGCCCCTTTTGCCATTTCTGTTACGATATGATCTTTGTTGTTTTCTCGCTTTCACCTCAGTCGTGCTTTCGCTCGCCTCACGGTAACTTACTTTTCAACGGAATATATGTTTATTGTACTTGTTAGCCTGATGAAGGATTAATATCCGAAACCGGTAGCTCACAAATAAACCAGAAAATAAAAAACAAATGATTTACTTTAGCAGAACTCCTACGACCTTGATGAGCAGCCCAACCGACCATTGTTTCGTGCAGAAAACGATGTTCCCAGTAATAGCCGTGGTCGTTCATGAAAAAAGCAAGCCACCAGGCGGTTCGTGAATCCCAAGAAAACGTATAAAAACGGTGGTAGGTGAAGAAATATGTATACACAAGGAATGGAAGATGTTTTTCGCCGATAAACTCAAACACGCGGAGCAGATTTGAATTACCAAGGGAGACGAGTGCATCATTGAACCGGAATCGGCCTCTACAACTGTTTAAACTCAAATGTAATCATTTAAAAAAAAGGATGATAAATGTTACCTGAACTGGCAAATCAATGCTTCAATAAAAATTAAAACTACGAAGACTGGAATAATTTGAGAAATAACATCTGGTACATCTTCGGGTTTTTCATAAAGAGTCTCTCCTGGAGTTACAAAGTACCAAAAACATCGCAGCGGAAAAGAAACTTTCCAAAGATTCTCTGAAAATAATTCAGAGGAGTTCATTAAGTAAATACATAAGTATACTGGTACAAAAAAGAACTGGTTAGTATTTTTCGGAACGTACAGAATGCGCCACGCCTTCTTTTGATGTTTGTTCAGTTGATAGTATCAACTTGATACTGATTCTGAGCAAAAAATGACTTAGCACGAATTTCATTGAAAGAAAATCAGTTATTCTCAAAATAATTTTTTTTGCAGTTGGTTTATTAATGTACGTGCTACGTTGCAAAAGGACTGGTTCATTCACAAGAAAATCAAACGTATCAATCCTCATAAAATGAACCTTTTCCCAAGCCGGTGCCAAGTGCACACTTTTCATCAATTTTCTTCTTTGATCCGCATAAGTCCTCCGCTCTGATTTGCGTGTAATCATCCAACACTCAATTACGGAGCAAGGAGTTCTGGCGAAGTAGAACAGTAAGATTGATGACCATATGGACATGAAGAGAAAATCATCAATTGACGGCGCAAGAGAGCCCATGTGCCGCGCGCCGCCGCCTTCCGGAGATCCTCCCTTGGCAAGGTTGATTAGTCTGTCATTATACAGTAATTAAATAACACGTTTTATATTCAATAAGAGATGAAGTTGAAGCACAAGAAATTCAGAACAGAACAGAGCGGAAAATCGAGACTTGGCTCGTTATCGGACGACGATGACCTTGATTTATTCAAAAGGCCCGAAAAGATTGAAATGAAAAGAGTGAAATTATTTCCGACGGTTGGATTGCTCGTTTCGATCTGCTCATGTTTTCTCGGGCTGAGTATGATTCTCGTTTCTCTTTGGCTCAGTGGAGTTGTCCCGTGGCTTCCTCCTCCGTCAAGGCTACTGAAAAATGAAGCTCACGAAACTACTATCGCCCCTGAAATGACTGAACTAACTCCGAAAATGGTTGGTGCAGGTCTTTGCCGACCAGTCCCGCTCGAGTGCAAAAATCTATTGCCTTATCAATGGACGTCCACCGAGCTTCCTTTTTTATCGAACTTTCACGGCGACCCCTCAAGTGTGGACAGCTGTTTCGAAGACGGAGGAAAATCGTTAATTCAACCTTTTTTATGCTTCCTCAAGTATCCGGTAAGGATCGATTCTCCGCTTCTTAGCTGCTCTAATGGACTTTGCCATTCATTTTTATCATTTCGAATTTTCAACATTGTAAATTTAGCCGTGTGCGAAGTCTGTGCCGGATGTCTGTGCGACAAGTTGTCCATCAATGCACTGTCTTGCTCGAACAGCTCGAAGGTCGAATATCACCAATTACGAGTTCACTTCTTTCCCCGCGCCAGGTACTCTTCACTTTTGAGCTTTGATTCTAGCGTTTCTCTTCAGATAAGGAGAGAAAGCATTCGCTCACAAATCCAGACATACGAAGGGATTACTGCAAGCTCTACGATTCCAGTTGCCTTGATCTTGGAAAAGTAGAACCATGCAAAGAAGACGAAATAAGGTGTTTGATGAGCGGAGCATGTCTGAGTCCGGAGTGGAGATGCAACGGAATAAACGACTGTGGTTTTTGGGAGGATGAAGTTAACTGCCCAGGTAAGAATTTCGGATCTGACTAAAAGCTGATCGACTAAAAAAGCCATATTTTTACTTGATTATGCGAGTATTTCCCGAAGAAACATTGATTAATTTATTCCCTACTAAAGTAGGCTCTGTAAATCTCATAAAGTTTCATTAATTATCCCCAGCGGGCTATTTATGCAGTAATCATCGATTCAGTGAGCCTGTCGATATCAAAAAAATCCTATAAGGTGCGCTTCATGAACTTGACTCATTTTATGCCTTGGAAGGTGTCCAGAAGTGCACTCTTTGATGAGATCATTATAAAACAAGATTCTACGCTTAATTTGATTGAGTCAGGGTTTCTCACACCCCAGGGCCAGTTCCATAATACCAAAAGAAAAGGAGCATAAATTTTGGGTTTGAAAAGAAAAACGGAAATCGAGCACTGGAAAGGTCAGACTCAAATTACCGTTGACATGTTGAATTTATATGGGATGTCCCTTTATTTTCAATATGACAAAGATATGTGCTAATATGGGCCCAATCTGTCAACTATCGATCAATTTTCGCTTTTTTGAACTTCAAGTCCTCGCTCTGCGGGAGGCAATATGTCCGTCAAAATGGTGATTTCCAAATGAAATAGCTAAAAATAACCGGCTCGCCAGAATTGATAATGAGACCCCACAATAAGCAAGAAATTAGCTTGATTGAAATTTTTAAAATCGACAAGCTAATGTTTAATTCAATAAATCTTCAAAATGTCTGATTTGCTTATCTTTGGAAAAACTCGAAGCAAATCATGTTGGCAACGGGCACCTTTGGCGGCTCACGGGATTGATCTTCACGGATTATCCGGACGCCTTCTGTCGTATGAGGATTCAGTCAGATCCAGTAAAGCCTGGCCGGATCAATTTTAAATGAATTAGTAATAAAACTGTATTTTTCCGGACACATCAATCACCACTCTCCGTATGGTTAAGATTCAACTCATCTTTAGGTTGCTCGGAAGACGAGTTTACTTGTTCCTCTGGCGAGTGCATTTCAATGGAAAAACGCTGCGATGGGTACAGTCACTGCTTAGACGATTCAGACGAGCAAGAATGCGACAGTAAGTAAAAATATTACAATGGCAGATTTTCGGTCTATTTACAAAAGGGGCTAAGTACCTAACGCCCAAAACCGATAATTGAGCCGCTCGATCAAAAACTCGGACACTTGGACATTAATTAGGACGCCACACTTGTTGACACGGTCCCACGTCATTCAATTTGTTACTTCCGACATAACTTGACAAATTTCTTTAGTGTGTTTCGACGGCCAGTTTTCTTGCGGCGACGGAAAATGCGTTCCGGATTCGTACGTTTGTGATGGCGATTTTGACTGCGCAAATGGCCGAGACGAAGAGGGCTGCTCTTGTCGGCAACTAAATGGCTTCGAATGCAACGACGGGAGCTGTTTCCACAAGAGTCGCCAATGCGATGGGCATACAGACTGCCTGAACGGTGAAGACGAACTTAATTGTGGACTAACCGCACGTGGTTGTGAACGCGATGAGTTCTTCTGCAAGAAAGATGGCAAATGCGTGCAGAGAGATTTCGCATGTTCATCTGGATGCGGTGAGGAAATCTGTACTTGCAAAGAGTCCGAATTGCCGATTTGCGGTGGTCTAAGAACTTTTCCGTCCATGATAGGAAAGGGTTTGATATCTAATAAAAGACTAGGCAAAATCATTGAAATCATAGAAGAGAATTTAGCTTTTCAAGCCCGATATAAGGCCATGTAAATGCGGAAGAAACGATGAAATCAGACGAATACAATACAATTTCAATTCTCATCAACACCAAGTGCCATCCTTGGCTACACGAACTCGCCTGCGGTTTTACGAACCCTTCTTGCTCTGGCTTTGACCGCTCGCAAATCTTGTACCCATGCAAAAGTCTCTGTGAGAGCGTTCAATCAACATGCGCTCCAGTTCTCTTGCAGCTTGGATACATGTGGCCAAATTTTCTATCTTGCGAGTTTATGCCAGAAACTCATTGTATTGGCGAAAATTTGTCAAATGGAATGTGCCCAAATGGCACATTGCCCTGCTCTGATGAAGATTTTACTTGTGTTCCAGGAGAGTGGAAGTGTGATGGTTTCCAACATTGCACGGATGGTGCGGACGAGATGTTCTGCGACAACTGCGATTTTCAGTGTTCTAACGGCCTCTGTTTACCCGAGTCCTCAAGATGCAATGGCGAATTAGAATGTCCGAATGGTGAGGATGAATCATCTTGCGCTGAATGCAAGCATGACGAGTTCATGTGCGGCGATCGAAAGTGCATTCCCAGTGGCTCTTGGTGCGACGGGCTAACGGACTGTTCCGACTTATCCGACGAGATCGATTGCTACGGTGTAATCAACGATGTGGTTGTTGTTAAAAAGCCTAAAAGCTTGAATTACAGGGCGCCTTATCAACAAATTTTGACTCCTGGAAATTTGACGTTCGAAACCGAGTGGGTCAGTCTGTGCTCCGATTATTTCGATAGTACTTCTCCTGAAAAGGCCCAAGTTCTGGAACGAACTTGTGATCGACTGAAGATGAACCCGATGAAAATCCAAGATGTTTATCGTACTAGCAAAATGTGCAAGGCTCCTCTCTTGACTTCCTCTTGTCCAACTTGTGGCATTCATAAATCACGAGTCCGGAGAGTTTTATATGGAAAGATTCCGGATAAATTTGCTCCTTGGGTTGCGGCAATTGAGATCAAGGGAATGCATCATTGTGGAGGAACACTTGTTACTGGGCATATCGTTCTGTCAGCAGCACACTGTTTTTTCAACTATCAAAGTGGAAGCTATGAAGATTGGAGGATCAAAATGGGACAAAAGACTGCGAGGAAATTTTCCGCAACAAGAAGAATCAAGGCATGAATTCGATTTATACGGAATTTATAATTCGATTTTTAGGAAGTGACTCTTCATCCGGACTTCAAGCGAACGGCCCAAAGCTACGACTTTGATTTGGCTTTAGTCAGACTGAACCGAAAAGTTGACCTCACAGCGGCGTGTCTTCCTCCGACAATGCCAATTCCGGGTGCATTCTGTCGCATTTCCGGATGGGGTCAATTTAGTCACAACTTCAGATCTTCAAGAAAACTTAAATCCGCGCACATTCATATCGTCGACAAGGCTACTTGTCAGCGAGTCTATCCTCACCAGGTAAAACGCAGACAGAATGATCTTCTTACAATATCATTAGACAATAACAGACAGAATGATTTGTGCTGGACATCCCGATACTGGCGTCGACGCATGCACAGGCGATTCAGGCGGTCCTCTTGAATGCAAAATCGACGGGCATTGGACACTTGTTGGAATCGTTTCTTGGGGGCAGCCAGGTTCGATTATCAGAATTTTAGGTCGCTATTTTAACATTGAACTTAAGGTTGTCCTCCGCCAAAGAAATCACTCGGAGTGTATACAAATATTTTCCATTTGCGCGATTGGATCAGTTCAGAAGAGATACGGCGAGAAAACGAGTCGTAGTAACCAAAGATTTATCAAATTCTGTTCATAAAATGTCTCTAAAGATCTTCCTTCAAAATGTAAAATTTACATTGTAAATAGTAAAATAAATAAAGAAGAAAACAGAAAGCATTTAAATTTATTATCGTGAAATAGAAGGCGATTCTCATGAGCGACAGTAATCAACAGGAGTGACAAAAAGGAGTGGAAAAATACTACCATGTCCTTGGTCTGCAACAATATCAGTCGTTACCAAATTTTCAGCATCATCTTATTCGAGGCTTCGAAGACTGTGTGAACATATTATTATAAATCGTTTAAAAAATATATAAAAGCCGTGACCTAGATTTATTCGAAGGATTGGAAATTCGTTTCCAAGCCCAGGAAATCCAAAGATGCTTTTGTCGATCAGGATAGCTGACAAACTTGAAATACCAGAGGACCTCCCTTTAATTTTTGATAAAACGTATGAATTTTCTGCTCTTAATTTTTTAGAAACCATACCACGTTCTGTTCGTAATAGATTTTCGAAGAAGCGCCCGTTCGTGCGTCAGTAACAGCGGTCAATGGGATTATTCTAAACTGCTCTCGTACTCAAACACATTTCAAACTAATAAGTTAAACCTGACGAGATTATTTTTGGCCTTTTGTAATGTTGAAGAATATGTGTTGAAAAATGCGATGCGTCTGTTTTACCAATGTCACAAGTGGTTGCCAATATCATATTGGCAATATGGTTATTTCGTACAGTTAAAGTAAGAAAATTAACTGACTCTTTGACTTCGCAGATCAAAATCTCTTCCGGTTATAGCTTTAGACAACAGAGTCAGAGACCAATTTGAATGTCAGAATGCAATAAAACGATTCTGCCGAAACAATTAACTATCCCGAAACCGGTAAATGGGTCATCCACGGAAAATACCTAGGGCTCGTAAAATCTAAAGAAATGAAATCGTAAAGTCTGATTTTTATCGGATTTATTACTGGGTACTTTTCCTATATAACCTCTGAGAGAAAAACGTCTTTTCAAATTGAGCCCACAGAGAGATTCTACAATTATAATGGTGATGAATGCGGCAAAACGAAAACGCGTCTTGACAAAATTTCGAAAAGTCGTCCACGAAATCGGACGTCAACGACTTGGTACAGATTTTGACGTCAGTGTGGAACACCCCCTCAGTCTTGCCGATATGAAGCCCCGTGATTCGACAGGGGAATCGTAAGTAACGTTTATAGTAAATATATATATACGTAAATAAGGGAGTAATTAGAGCTCAGATTTCAAAAGAGAGGAGAGTGCTTAGAGTGTCAGAGATAGGAAATGGGATTTTTGGACTGGTCAAATGGGACGAGGTGAGCTTCAGTCAAGAAATGAGTAGAGAACTTCAGAGACGAATTTTTAAGCAGTTCCAGCAAGCTCATCTCGATTAGGGTTTTTTTCTTTTAGATTAAAATATTTCGTTTAACTCTTAAAACCTTATCAGATTGCAACTGTAGCATTCAATATTCTCTCTATCTCCAAGCCAGGTACTGTCAATTCAGTATTGGTGCCCTGGAAAATCAATTTTCCTTTGCCAAAATCAGCTAATTTTGTTTTTGTATGATTATGTTTACGTCACATTTGATAAAAACTTGTAGCATTTCTACCGGCGAAGATGTGCTCGAAGAGTTCCGAGAGATTGGCCGAGCAAGCACAGGCGATGAAGAACTGGAAATGGCGATCTTCGACAGGTCGAAAACTCCCCAGGGAAACCTGGATCGTCAACGCTTTATACGGGTGATAAGACGAACTGGCCTCCAACTTGATGATCCGAGACTTGATCAAATTCGGTAGATATAATTTGTAGGACAATTGATTAATTTTTTTTTGTAGACGGAACATCGATGAGTGTCACAATTTCATCATGGATAACATCGATGACGACGAGGTCCACCATGGAATCGATTTTCTCTGCTTCCGAGGCATCATCAACAACAATCAAGAGATCCTCTATCAAGCTTTTAACAACCAGTTTGTCATCTCGGACTTTCCAACATTCCTGACTGACATTCGAGAAATGTACATTGACGCCTCGAATATTCAAGAGGGTCACTTTACTGAGTACACGAGATATCTGAAAGAGTACCACAGTACTGATGAGTGGGGAGTTTCTTTTTGTTCTGTTGATGGCCAGCGCGCTGGATTCGGATCGAACAAGCAGATGTTCACACTGCAGTCACTCATGAACCCTTTTCTTTATGCAATGAGTTTGGATGACATGGGACCGGAAAAAATTCATTCAATCGTTGGCCAAGAAACGTCTGGCGGTCAATACAACGTTATTAAACTCGATGATAAAGGTATGAACCCACTGAATGCATATAAAACTGATATGTCAAAGGTCGTCCGCACAACCCAATGGCTAACGCAGGGGCTATTCTTTTGTCGTCACTATACAAGCAGTCCCTCAATAAGTCCGAACGACACGGAACATTTCTCGCGGCACTTCGAAAAGTCGGCGGACTAAAGGCATCCGCAGAATCTTCCCTGAGTTTTGACTATGCAGCATTCATGTCCGAACGCGAGGATTGCCATCGAAATTCTTCAATTTGCTATTATCTAAGGTAGTCCTTACATCAAGTGTTTGAATCAAGTTTTTTAGAGAGAAAAAATGCATCGATACAAACATGGATGTAGAACAAGTTCTCGACGTTTACACACAAATGTGCAATGTCACTGTCAACACTGACTCGCTCTCTGTCCTCGCTGCCACTCTTGGTGAGCTCAAGATTTAAAAAAAATGATTGCTAAATATTTTAGCTAATGGTGGAATCTGTCCAATTACTGGAGAGCAATGTTTCTCCAACGATGCTGTCAAATCTACACTGTCGTGCATGCTTGCTGCTGGTATGAACGATCATTCCGGAATCTGGGCGTTCACGATCGGACTCCCCGCCAAATCAGGAATTTCAGGCGGAACGATGATCATTATTCCCAATGTTATGGGCATCGCGCTATACTCGCCAAAAATTGACAAGTCAGCGAACTCAGCCAGGGCAGCTCATTTCGCTTCAGTCTTGAATGCGAAATTTCATTTCCATGAGTACGATCCTGTAAGACTCAAGTCGACCAATTTCTCGAACAACACAGAATCTGGTTAGGATTTTTCTGCTCGAAGCAAAATAATAATTATATTTCAAGACACTGCTCAGCTCATCAAACTAATGATAGCTGCAGAAAACAATGATGTGAATCGACTCATATTCGCTCTCATTAATGGATTCGACCTCTCGAAGCCCGGCTATCTTGAGATGACGCTCCTACATATTGCTGCATCAAAAGGACACCTCAAGACGATCCAGTTTTTGATCAATAAGGCGAAAGTACCCCAAGAGCCTCTTGATCAAAACAGCCGTACGCCTTTGGACTACGCAATTATGCATGATCACCAAGGTAATTTATCACTTCTCTCTATTTTTATTATCAACTTATGTTTTTAGATGTCATCGAGTTTCTGAGAAAATCAATCAAAGTCCCAAGCCGGGACCACACAATCATCAACGAAGATGATCTCGGAACTGGTCGTATACCCGATGATCTCAAGAAAAAGATGAAGACGCTTTCAATGACTTCAGCTTCCGAAGAAGAAGATCACTATGTTCTCGAATACTAGACTTCATCCGCATTAAATTTAGCATATTTTTATTATTTAACGTACTGTATCGTTATTTGAATAAACTTTTGGCACTGGAAGGCTTCTCTGTAATTAAAAAACAAAAGCTAACGAGATAAAAGGCTGGCATTCCTTTCTTGAGCGCGGCCCAATGTTAAGCTTGTTTACTTGGTGCTTGACGGGTGCTAGGGCGCATTAGGGAGCGGGTGGTGGTGGTGGTGCAGTGTCGGTGTAGTGCCGTCATGTCTGGCGGCGGTGTTGAGATGCAAATGTCGTGCTTGTTGCACTTCACCGGTGAGTTTTCTTATTTCTACTTTGCCCAAGCTCGGAGCCAGTCGCGCCCGCAAGCCAGAGAAGGTGACCCGTAGAGATAGTCGTTCCGGTCATAGAACCCACGAAGAAAGAAAATCATACTCACGGACAATCGGGGAAGACGGTGAGGACACCCTCCGACAACGCTCGGTTCGGATCTGCCAGGTCCACTGGGTCGAAGGAACGGAACAAATCGCATGACGGGAAGCCACGCGTGCGCTCTTACTCTCCTTGTACCGGAATAAGTACACTGTGTTGGCTCTCTTGTCAAAAAACTATTTATCTTACTCAAAGTATCAATTTTTATCTCGGCGAAAATATGAAAAGCACAGAAAGGAGATTCATCAAAAAGTAGATGAAAAACAAAAATATGTTTCGCTATTTCGGGAGCGCAAAATAATGAAATTATTATTCTGATTTCGTAACATAAAATAACAACATCATAAATATAATTTATGCACTCTTGAATAATGAGTTATAAAGAAAAAATGACGTATATTGACAAATCGAGCGTCACCCAAGCGTATGCTTAGGCATTTAAAATCTCCATCGATATTTTTCCCAGTCCCAAGAAGCTGTAACGACCGAAAATCTTCTATAATTAGAAATCCAGATAATTACAACACCATGCGTTTTTTATGACTACCAGATCGATCCTAGATCGGCTTCTCTTCTTTTGTGATGTTCCTGTGCGTAGAGAAAGTAAAACAAGTAAGGTTTAACCGAGGGACTTGAAATGGAAGATCCAAAGCCGCTTGTCAATCCAGTGGCGGCCACGGTCCAGTCTATCTCTCCACCGCAGGGGCAGGATGTGGCCTCGGTACCAGTGCCAGTTGCCCCTGCACCCGAAACATCACCACAAAGTAGCAACACGACAACGCAATCTGAAAACACGCCGCCGATTCAAGTGCCAATCAAGCCAAAAGTACTGCCAGCCATTCAGCCCCAGCAAGAAAAGAAAAACAGATAAGGTCCGGGTCAACCATAATCTTCAACAAAAGTTCTTTAATTATCATCCGTTGTTGGAATTCCGGGAATTCCAAGTTGTCTCTCGTCTCATGCACCAGCGGAAGCGCAAGTGCTCGTTCGCGCGTAAAATTACTGAAGTGCGCCCATTGAGATTATACTTTTCAAATCCATATCATGATATTAGCTTTCCCTCGGAGCGTGTCCGTACTTAATCTTGGTGACCCTTGAAAACCAGAATTGCCACAACTACCTCAGCTTCTTCAAATAATGGCAACGCGATTTCCAGAGGCACTGCAGTTTCGGTGCAGCAAAATCAGCAACACCAAACACAGTCGAATCTCGTTCAAATTCCCTCAAATCAACAGTTAATCCCTCTCGATGGTTTACAAATGGTCGATGGGCAGCAAGTTAGAATCATCCAACAACCTCAAAATAAGCTCGAAGGCATCACGACTATTTTTAATCGACAGAATAACCAGGTAACGAGCCCTCACTCTAAATTCGCCTGCATCTCAAAAATATGCTGAAGATTAAGGATTATGGAAAAGCTAGGATCGTGAAGTTTATTTATAATTTAGGAGAGCGCGGAAGCTGTGCAAATAGACCGCAACCAAATGGTGGGAATCCAACAACCAGACGGGCAAATCGTGATGGTGATTCCGAACGGACAATCGCCCACAAAAACTGCCTCGTTCCAACCACGACTGATCAGCTTATCGGAGGGCCAGATGCTGCCCATTCAGGAAAAAGTCAAAACGACAATTTGCTTCTTGCACTATAGATAAGCTTATCTAAGGAGCACTTCTGTAGCGCCCTGTCAAATCAGGCAAATGTCAAAATGCCCCGTCGAAAGTGCCACCCGCGACGGCTAAGATTACAACTTGTTCGCATTAGTCTCGCCAAATCCATCTTCCACAAATTTCGGAGTCGCTCTTTTTATCGATTCCTTGTGGAGATTAAGGTCACCTTTCTTGTTTTCAAAGCAAATGATCTTTCCAGTGGCCTTCGAGTTTGTGCTAGCGTCAATTCTTTATTTATGAAAGATCATCGTACAGTTTCGGTGCTGAAAAAATCTTGAAAGTTCGATTTTTGTCTTTTTGGTTCAATCTCTTGGAGACGTGGTATCTATTTATTTTGATAGCTGCGGTGCGCGGCCTTCTTATTATTTTGGCTCGCCCGGTCGAACAAGAGCCAAACTCTTTCTGCCTGCTTGCATTTCATCCCCTTCGAAATTTCTCCCAAAGGCGGGAAACATGTTTGGGTCCGATGAATTCCAAAAAATAGCCTCGAAGCCTTGGCGAGCTTGTTGGCGGCGGGTTTGTTCCGTTCCATGCGAGTGCGCGCAAACCGAGAGGCAGATTAGTTGTAGTTTAGGGGAGATTCTACCCTCTAGTCAAGTTTCAAGAGTTTTTTTTCGCCCAGTGAAATAGAGAAAGGAAAGGATTATTTTCCTTTTGAATGTAATGGAAGAACAGTATTGACTTTCAAAAAAAGACGCAATCAATGACGACATCCGCTAGTTTTGGAGAGTCTATAAATCAGGTCAGCATTTTATAACTGCAAATATCTGAAAGCAAACTGGCATTAAAAATATATTTAACTAAGTTTTAATTCTTAGAAATCTTCGCAGTCGACAATTACACCCAAAAAAGAAGAGAAGATGGAGACACAGATGGTAAAATTTCAATATTTTTGCTTTCGATTCAAACGCTTCATAGCAAACTCAACATATCGACTTCGGAAACCAGCAGATTCAACAGATTCCTCTTCAAATTGTCGATTCGAATGGAAACCAGTTCATGGTCGCGGCTGGAGAAATGATCCAAGGACAACCGATTCAGGCCATCGACGGTAAGTTACCTTGAAATTTTCTTTTTGGTCGCGATAAAGAAGCTCGGAATTGTTCACCTTGTTAGAAACATAATTACCTAAAGATAAAAAAAAAACTTTGAAGCTAGCGTTATTATTTTTCTTCTTCAGAAACCTAGTCAGGTGAGACTGATGACGGGCAAGCTAAATTGGGCTAAAATTAACTAAATTGTCGAGTAGTAAATTGGCTCCAAGGCAGTGTGTCTTTCAATCGTATTCCGCGCTTTGTGTTGCCGTTAGGGGCAAGAGCAATCTCTGCTTCTGAAATAAAAATACGATCTTTCGAGACTCTGCCATAGGCTCGATTTTTACGAGCCCGAGTCGAGAGACCCCAAGGGCAGCGACATACACCGCCCGATTTGAGAGAAAAAATCAAGTTTTACGAATAATTTTTTATTAAAGAAGATAAGAGAATATGAAAGTGATTGAGAAATGTTAGAAAATATTGAAAAAAATCAAGAGTTTAGAATAGCCGCACAATTTTTGATTTTGAAGTGACTAAAATCCAGTAACTGTAAAAAAATAGGAACACCTTTCTAACACCACAAAAGCTTCCTAATGACACTGAGAAAATTATGATACAGTCGGAGTCCTCAGAGTCAGAACCTGAAAAAGCAGTGCTCCCCCGGAAAAGATTTAATCGCTTTGCTCCCGTTTTTGCGGCTCCCAAAGTCGTTAGAGCGCTGAAAACGTCACAGCATGACAAAAGCAAAATGATAAAAACGTCTTCAGGTAATGGTCAGCAGATCATTATGAATCAGCAGGGTCACCAAATGATCCCAGTGCAAATCAACCCGCAGCAGATCCAGCCGAGCTCCTACCAATACAGTGAGGAAAATGGCAACCAAGTTCTTGTGACCAGCTCTGACAATCAAATGTACATTGAGGTTCCTCGAGAATCCTAGAAATGAAATTCTAACCAAGCCCTAGAGACCAAACGAAAGTCAAAAACACAACGATGAAAAGCAATTCGTCAGCCTCTCTACTGTTATGTCCGAGCCATCTAAAGTTTCGAATACAACAGTATCGATGAAGACCGAACCTGGCTCTGCATCGTCTACCAGACAGCTTCAGCAAATACAGCCCCAAACAGCGGCGCAAATCATCACTGTCCAGGACGAAAAAGGAAACCAACAACAGGTTCTTTACCAGGTAGAGAATCAAGATTGCCTTGATTTTTTCTATCAACTGGTTAAGGTTCCGCAGCAACAGATTCAGCCCTCACAGCAAATTCTTGTCCAAAATCAGTACGGATACCAGCTACAGGCGGTGCCAATTCAGCTGGTGAACCAACAACAGCATCAGCAACAACAGATTGTTATTGTTGAACAAGGAGGTACACGACAGCAGCTCATTCAGGTTCAACCTGATCAGCGAGATCAACCTCCTGCAAAGAAACTAAGACAAGAGAGGACAATCGATAGAGGTAAAAATATCGGATCACTTCGTGTGAGCAGCATTTTCGTTTAGATATTCCAGCAAAGTCCTCTGCTGTGTTCTTAGAAATGGCAAAATATTCAGCTGATGATTTTAAAATGTGTACTACACAGGTAAGCATTAGCTCTTTCGGAAACGCTTTTCAGCGATTCGAAAGGGTGATTAATTGGGTGTCATCGTATTTCAACTAATTATTTCAGTTTTCCAACAAAAAGAACGATGTAAGTACCATCAATTAGAAGTTCGAATTTAGAACTTAGAATATTTCTTAGTATGATTCACAAAGTATAACTATACTTATATTTATCTCCTCTTTCACATTTTGATAATGCCATCTTCCATGTTTTATCACAGTCAGTAGTTGGTTTCTGAGGCACTATTGTCGAAAAAAACCATATGATATGGTCCATATCAAATCATCATCTATCGAACTAATTTGATTATTCTCTTATGATATTTTTAGAGCTTTGGCACGACTCAACCTGCATCAAGCCACCCTGCCCAAGAAACCAATTACGGTGGCTTTGGAGAGGGTGTTTGCGCAGTCTGTGGCGATCGCGCACGATGGCAACATTATGGGGTCCTTGCTTGCGAAGGGTGCAAAGGATTTTTCAAGGTATAATCTAGTACTTTCCGGCAGTAGAATGAATCCATGTCATTCAGCGATCGGTACAGAAAAACGCCCAGTACGTGTGTTTGGGTAACAAGCAGTGCAATGTTGATAAGAAGACACGCACACACTGCCCTTATTGCCGGTATCAGAAGTGTATCCGCGTCGGCATGATTAAAAATGGTAAGAAACGAGATTGCTCTACCGTAATTATGGGAGTTTGTTATTATCTGGAGGCCCTTAGCTCTAGCTCTAGACAAAATTGTTTGCTTCTTGATCATCTTGGTGTCATCTGGTGTCATTTCATATTACTGTTATTTTCGTTCTCATCCTTCATCACATAACATCATTTTACAGTAGTCCGGTCAGATAAATCTAAAGGGCAAGGCAAGGGCACAGTGACACTCACCAAGGTACTACCATTTAACTCATGGTAACCGAATGGAATTTAACTCTCGCGTGTTCAGACGTCACCGCCTCGGGTGGCCGAAATAAACGACAAGTGAAGACTGAAGTGGAGGAAAGCTAGTAGCGGAACAACTCGTTCTCCTTGTATTAAATACTTACGCTTTATTTAACTGTATAGTTTCATTTTATCATTCGATCTCAAATTTCACTCTACCAGATTGATTAAAAGCGCCTATAAGTGAATGAATTAGCAAATAAATTTGCTGTTAAAAGTTCCCCCGCCGCAAAAAAGTTCATCTTCATCGTTTTCTCGGAAACAATCTCAACTGTACCTACTGTACTTTCTCTGATTTATTGTATCTATCCTAATATCCTGATGTCATTCATTTCTCACACTTGTGCACTATGCAGAACTCATTCAGGAATTTCAATATTTCAAAGTTTTTAAGCCCAACTGCCATCAAAACCAATTGAATAAATAATATTTTATTGAAGGCCTTTGCAAGGCATATTTTTATCTTCTCTCCAGTATTATTTGGCCAATCCAGAATCTTTAGTTTTCACTCTTTACCTGATGATTAAACTCTCTTTGAGCGATTTAAAATGAAATCAACGAAGAGATTCATTTTCTTTGACCGAAAAATAATTATTCTTACCTGGATGGAAATAATATCTTTGATGAGGCTCCCAGTTAGGCTCGATTTGCATCGTATTTGAATCGACATCGATAAGAATAATGACCTCTCGCATTCCAAGATCTTGTGAGGTGACATTGAGGACACCATTGTTAATCTGTTTTATCTCGCAGGCAACATAATAATTTAGATCATTCATTTCCCAGTTGTTTGATCGAATGACAAATCCATTTGATGATGTCGTTGAAATGTTAAGATGCCCGAGTTGACCGGACCATTGACCGACAATGTGTTCGTATGAGTTAGGAATTGGCCATTGATTTGAAACGAAGTTAGATTTGAACATCATTAAACCATCAAAATCCGAAGAACTGCCATGAATTGTTCCAAGGGTATCACCATGGCTAAAAGTAACAAGCTGCAGTCCATTTTCTGGATCGCTCCACATGACACGTTTTCTTCCTTTCGTATCGACAGCAGCAGCACCATAACGAGTGATTGATCCTCTGATTGTAAGTCGAACAGTATTGATGCCACTAGGATATTATCAAACAGAAATTTCGAATAAAATACTGTACATGAGTGAGATTTGAACTTTGTGGCCAGCAAGTGTAGTGTATGATCCAGTTATTGAGCTGAAATCTGGCAGTGTGGTCGTGGTTGTAGTCGTGGTCGTGGTTGTGGTCGTGGTCGCTGTCGTTGTCGTTGTGGTCGTTGTTGTTGTGGTCGTTGTCTTTGTTGTCGTTGTTCTCGTTGTGGTGGTAGTCGTAGTGGTGGTAGTTGTTGTAGTCGTAGTCCTTGTTGTTGTTGAGGTATCATGTGTGATTATTGTTGTAGTTGTAGTTATTGTAGGAGTTGTAGTTTTTCTTGTTGTTGATGTATCATGTGTGATTCTCACTGTAGTTGTAGTAAATGAAGTTGTTGTCAAATCGTCAGTAGTTGTAGTCTCTATTCTTTTCGCTATATTTACTGATAAGCCATTTTCTGTGAAGCTTGCAGATGTTCCCAAACTGTTTCCAACGAAGCTCCAGCTTTTATTCGTTAATGAGTTCGTGCCAATAATAGTTATGCTGGTGGCGCCAAACGTAACAGATGCATCCTGGATAAGCCCAGTGAGTGACCCAGCAGTGAATACAAAAATATTCACACCGTCCCTTGCATCATTCTCGTTTATAGAAAGATGGCCGTTTCCGTTGTCAAAATCCCATATCCCATTAATGATGGCAAATTCAGAGATTGGGAAAAGTGTGGTAGTCTCTGGCTCGACGGTCGTTGTCTCTTGGGCTAAACATAACGAAATTAAAAGGATTAATATCATTTTATATATAGTGACAATTGGACTAGTTCAATCATTCAAAGAACGCTTGACCTTTTCGTAGTGAATTAAAGAATTTCGGAACCCGAAAGTTGTCCAGGCCAGTTCAACCCGGATCATTAGTATGATTTGATTAATTTGCGAAATTTAAGATACATATGATATGTTCTCCCTTTCAGATTTTACCGAAAGTTGTTGTTCTTGCACTAGTAGTCGTTTTAGTTATAGTCGTTTTAGTCGTTGTCGTCGTTGTCGAAGTTGTAGTTGTTGTCGTAGTTGATGTTGTTGTCAAAGTTGTTGACGTAGTTCTAGTCGTTGTCGTAGTTGTAGTCGTAGTCGTAGTCGTAGTTGTTGTAGTAGTTGTAGTCGTTGTTGTAGTTGTAGTTGTTGTCGTTGTGGTAGTTGTTTTCGTTGTCGTCGTAGTCGTAGTTGTTGTAGTCGTTGTTGTAGTTGAAGTCGTAGGCGTAGTCGTAGTTGTTGTCGTAGTTGAAGTTGTTGTCGTAGTTGTTGTCGTAGTTGTAGTTGTTGTCGTAGTTGTTGTCGTAGTTGTTGTCGTAGTTGTAGTCGTTGTTGTTGTCGTAGTCGTAGTTGTTGTCGTAGTTGAAGTTGTTGTCGTAGTCGTCCTCGTAGTTGTAGTCGGTGTCGTAGTTGTTGTCGTAGTCGTAGTTGTTGTCATAGTTGAAGTTGTTGTCGTAGTCGTCGTAGTCGTGGTAGTTGTGCTCGTAGGAGTAGGTTTCTTAGTCGTTGTTTGAGTCCACATTGTATTCATAGTTGTTGTCGTGGTAAACGATGTCGTAGCAAATTCAGAGTCAGATAACGGAAATATTGTGGTTGTCTCTGGTTCTGTTGTTTCTCTCGGGTTTATCTCTCGAGTAAGACATACGGATAGAAGATAGAAAAGGATCATTTTTAGAAGTGAGTTTTACTCATTGATTGAATCATTGGTAGAATGCTTGACCTTTTCCTGCTGAATTATGATAAAATTCCTTGATTCGTGTTGATGCAAAATATATAATCTAAATTTTCTTGAATTTATTTTAAAGAAAATTACAGTAAGAACACAAAGCTAACTATTCTGTATTTCTTCTCAGCTACTCCAGTCGATGTTGGCCCACATATTCCCAAGCGCGGTCCATTCTGCTCCAATCATCGTCCATTCGTTGCCCCATTTTTCCCAACTAAATCCAGTGTAGTTGGCGTCAGCATCATTTTGAAGAAACTAAAACAATTAACGGCCTCGATATAAAACGAAACTAACCTCTTCTTGTCTTTGATTGAGATCATTTTGTTTTTGTAGGACATCTTGCATTCTTGATTCAATTTCTTTGACAGCTTCAGTTGCGTTCGGCTGCGCTGCAAGCTCCGCAACTTCGGTATAAGCGGGAAGAGCACTTGTGAATCCGGCTAAAAATGCGAAAATTTTCATTATCTGCTTGAAATTTTTATTCCTGTAAATAGCGTTGCGAATTCAGCTTCTTATATAGTCCTCGCCTCGTGTTAAACGCGTGGTTTGAGTGGCACTTTCTGGTAAATTGCATAGCCGCGGCGTAAGCTGCACACTTATCCCTCGCCTCTCTTCGACATAATGACTACTATTTTTATGTACGTTTCTTTTTTTTATTGACAGAAAGGTAAAATTAAATTGACAAAAAATTTTTAAACATAAATTCAGTGAACTACTCGTTGTCGTCTTCGTTTTCCATAGGAGAGTAACCAATTTTCGAATCAAATGCCTGGTAAAAATTTTTTGAAAATGATAATTTTTCTAATTCATTACCGTGTAAGTTGATTTATTTACATCTTTGTCTTTTTTCTTTGGATCTGGAAGACTGATAATCGGGCTAGCATATGTTCCGTCGTCACCATCATTGTCATCAGCAATGAGTGCTTCGTTATCTTCCTCAGCACTGATGCAGGAGACATTGGGAAGACGAGCACTGTCGATTAATCCTTTTGAATACGCAAAGTATACGGCGCTTGAAATCAAAACCAATGCGATGAAAATTGTTACTGCGGATATTCCGGCTACTGGAGGCGAGTATACTCCGGCCAGGCGATAGCTTTCGATCTTTTGGTCGTAGAAGATTTTTGCCGATTTTTGATCTAAAAAATATTTCTTTAGAATATGCTGTAACAGCTAAAGTACCTGTTGCATCGCAATCGAAACATTTATAAATCAGTGTCAAGTCAGTTCCGGGAACAGTCGAGCATAAGCCGTGGATATTAGTGCTGCTGCATTGCTCAAAACGCCACTTTCCATTGTCATTGTATCCCGAGCTATTTGAAGGTGTAGTTATAAAGGTTGCACAACGTTTGGCATTTCTTGACGATGTTGATAAAGTTTGTCCGGGAAGGAAGTTAGTAAAAGCTCTTTGTCCCTCCACACGAGTTTGATCATCCCAACGCCATTCTCGAGAAAACTCATCGTACGTCATACCCAGCCAGTAATCGTATCCCTGATGTCCTCTTGCCATCAGAACAGTTTTCAGAATCATGTTTTCTGCAGCAGTTTTTGGCTAAAACCAATGAGTCATTGGCAATGACTTTTGTGAACATAAAAGATTTACTTACCATTGCCAATGTCATATTCAACGTTTTGCAGCTCGATTGCGAGCTTGCTTTAGTTGCTGTATTGCTGAGAACATACAGCGCTCGTTGATCTGGACCAGCTGGAGTCTCGATTAGACTTTTTGTTGCAATTGTCTTTCTGTCGACCTTTCCGCATGTGATTTCGTAGTAGTTGGAGCATTTATTGATGACTTTAAAATTTTCATTCTTTGCAAAGTGATAGCAGTCGAAGATTCCTCCTTCTGGACAATTACTGATGAGAACACCACCTGTGTTGTTTTCTATTGATCAGTTGTAATTAATGAAAATATGCATAATCTTACTTGGCGCATCGATGAGTCGAACATTTCCAGTAAAGAATGTTTCAGTGTGACAAGCACCTCTAACTAATTCAAGAGCGTAATCGATTCCACAAATCGGTAGACTTGTTGTGGTGTTCCATTGAAGAAAAGCAGTCTTAGTTTTATTTTATAATTGATAAGTGAAAACATTAATACCTTGTTCTTGTAATCATTTCTGATTTGTTTTTCCCCGAGTAAGACATCTCCGGGCACAGGAATCCGGTTTCCACATTTGACGACTAAATTTTCTGTTCTACCGCAGTTGTGTGATCCCCATGGCAAATGCGTGCAGTCTTCGATTCTAGTTCTATTGTCGCAGTCCATATCATCTAGCCAGATGCCTTTGTGAGGTGTGTCCAGGTTCGGCTGCTCTTGAGAAGACGATCCCATGTCCGGAGCCATGCAGTCCTGCCAGCCGAGCTTATTGCACACGAGTTCGCAGACTCGGGTTTTGTTCACTGAATCGTTGCAAATAGTTCCCCATTGTCCGTTGTGCATCACTTGAACGAGGCCATGTTCAGCGCGATTCTTGCCATTCCAAGTGAGCTTCACATCCCATTCGTTGACACAATCCACATGATGGCAGGCTGCCGTCTTTCGATCTGCTTGATAACCACAAGAGCCGGAATATGCCCAGCGATTGAGACAATTTCGATATTGATATCTCTTCCCCATTTCGTTCTCGCACTCCGGTTTACATTCAGACCAACTAGACCATTGTGACCATTTTGGATCAACAGTGTTTTCTTTTGCGAATGCTTCAATTTCGTAAAGGCAGAGCTCATGAGATGAGGTTATGTTTACACTGTAAACTTCTTCACTTATTCCGTCGCAAGCAACATCATAGTAGCTAGAGTTCTGTCCTTCTAAATCGGCGAGTTTGATATTCTTACAAAGTTTCGATTCGCTCAAGAAATTTTCACTAGATTCGTCTTTCACAAAAACGTTCACGCTGACATCATCTCGAGGAGGAGCCGAAAACCATAGACGGAAACCCTTTTTTGGATCGAGCGTGTAAGAGCTGTTGAAATTTAGGTTTGCCCAAACACACTGGTCCTCACATGAGCGAGCATCTGAGCTGCCACTAGTGTCATTCGAAACGATGTGGACAACATCTTCACCTGAGCAAGTGCCGCTGCTAGTCCAATTGAAGTGGTTGCCGCGATTACCGTCATACAGTCTGTATTCGCTATGAGTTTTTCTTACTCTTGAAGCCTTTGCAATGGTCCAACCGTTTTTCGTGATCGATTGGATAGGACTCCAATCAGCAGCTTGTTTCTCTCCGCACTCTATGTAAAGGTCCTCTTCGTGATCGCAGTTGTTTCCTCTTCCACCGACTCTTTGGCCTTTATAACATTCGTCCAGTCTTGATTCATCTCCGTTGCAAATAACATCATCCATCCAGATCTTCCCTCTCAGTTTTCCTGATCCTGGTTCGGGATTAACATTCGATTTCCAACCAGAGAAACCGAGCTGTCGACAAATGACGCGTCCGACGTTTGGCGTAAATTTGTCATCGCAGACTGTTCCCCATTCGCCGCCAGTGGTTGTATTTTCATGCTTATAGAAAACTCGGACAATGCCTTTGTTGAGATTCGGGTCTGTTTCTACTTTTCCATCCGGTTTGATAGTCACAAGTTGAATTGCACCGATTTCCGGACACGGTTTTGTATTACATTGCTCTTTTTGAATCGTCGAATTAGTTTTTTGGTAATTTGCGAGCAGAGCTTGACAACCTCGAGAACAAGAGGAATCGGTGCACTCGTAGCATTTAAACTCTCGTTTTCTAGTGCCGCCGTTACAGTCGCTATCACATTCAGACCATCGTTGCCATCCATCAACTCTTGGCTCGCATTCAATAACGACATCTTCTTGGTGTCCACAATTATGCTGCTCAATCCAGTTACAGTTCTCCCAAACAGTTGCGTTCTCGGGGCAATTTATGTTGTCAACTAGGATCTCCATGTCGTGGAGAGCATGATCGCTCCCGTTGTAATGAAATGAGCCGACATCCCTGAGAGATGACTTTGAAAAGGTGTACCAGTTTTTCAGCGGTCCTAGTCCCAGTTTGTCGCATGCGAGCTTCGCTGGCCTTTCATTAAACTCGTCGTCACACACTGTCCCGAAAGTTCCATTTTTGTAGATAACGAGTACTCCCAAATTTGGATTAGCAGGGTTTTTGGTAGGAGTCGCGAGGGCGAGCGTTCCTTCTTTTGGGCAATTATTTCGATTGCATTCCATACAAGGTTTATCGCATTTTTCCTCATTGGCGGCACATGAGCTTGAGCAGGAGGTTGTAAGAGTTCTACTGTTGTCTACTATCTTATGCCGTTTTCGGAATGAATCGGTTCCGTTGCAAATGACTTGATTTTCAAGAGAGTCGAGGCAAGGTCCCCACTCAGTCCAGTGCCCAGCTGTTTTGACCCAGTTCACGTATAATCCCAAGAGCATGTTGCTTGAAGCAGCTGCTGAGAAAAATCCAAGTTGCCATTGTTCTGGATCTGGGCTTTGAGTATATAGAATTCGTACTTTTGGTTCAGCGCGTCCAATGCGAGTAAGTTGTGTTATAAAATGAGGGGTGCTTGTATTTTCGTCATCTACCGTCGGTTCCACTCGTGTTTTACCCGAAAGACTCGAAATTTCGAAGTTTATAGATTCAGCAATGGAGAAGCGATCTTGGATTAGCAAGCTCTTCGTTCTTAGGCCAGTAATATAATCATGCGGACCGAGCGTCACGTTCTTACTCGAGAAAATATCTTCATCGTTGCCATTGAAAAATGGGTTTTCCCGACGAGAATATGAAGCTCTGTGCAGAAAGACGTTTTTGCAAACGAGGCGAGCTCTTGGCTGGGTTATTATTTTGAAAAAACTTATAAAATCCATTAAATTTTCGAATATCTGAATTGTTGACCCGGTCCTTGTTGAATCTGAAGGTATCGATATCGGTGAATTTGCCCCCGATCGTGTGATGGTCACTTGCATGACAAAGTCGGTACCTAATACAAAACGTAATAAACGACGGTAATTAAACTATATTTACCGCAGTAGTGGATGGTGATTTTGGTTATTTTCCCCAAGCCTTCTTGTTCAGAATCAGAGAATGTCCTTTTGCTAAATGAGTAAAGTCAGAAAGGAGGGCAAATATTCCAGTGAGCCCATAAAAACGTCGTGATGTAGACAAAAACCATCGCCAACATCAAGTAAAGAATTGCTGACTCTACGTAAGCGACGAATGAATTACTTTCTTTCTTTGATTTATAAAATTATTCAAGTAAAAAATTGCTTAGACACTAATTTTTCTCTTAATAAACGTTTCCTGAAAGCCCGGCTGGAAACATGAAATTGTTTTAAAGCCTTTGGATCTCTTCTACGCAAATCATACCTGGAGAAAATAGTGTTATCCTTGAGAGCGCTGATTACCCCAATTTCCGACTTATCTTCGAGATTTGCCCCAGTTTCTTCGGCTTTGCAACTGCGAAAATCCAATTCGCAGTCTGGTCGATCTTTGCCCACGCTGAATATTCAGTAATCATTTGCAAAACATCATTTTCTACTTACAGCTTCGAAAAAGGTTCCGAACTATTACATTTTCGGCAATTTTTAGAGTCAATAGAAGGACTTCCATAGACACAGGATCGTTTGCGAATTTTTACTCCAGCTGCCGAGTTAGCTACCGAACAGTCACCCCAAGATTCCCATTCTGCCCACATCCGCTCTTTGCACTCATCTCCATATCTGTCATTCGGCTTGAACAATAATCGTTGATTTTATTCGAATTATAAGATTCTCAGTTAATATATGAGTTAAACCGTTCCTATAATAATCCCTTTCGTCGCATTTCCAAACGCCAGACTCATCGCAAATCATATTTGAATGGTTTCCAGTAGTGTTACATGGAAATTCAGTATCGCTGGTATTTTTGAGGCACTCTTTTCCACTTTCGTACTGAATCTTGAAGCCATACATCGATCTTGACCTATCGGAATGCAGCGCAATTTCGACCTTGGTGGTATTCAAGTACACCGGCTCCATCCACCCGAAGTCACGTGGATCGTTTTCGCCGTAATCCTACCGAAAACGTAAGGGATATAAATTATTTGCGTAAAACCGGGTAATAAAGTTTACGCACGCCATGCGCGCATGCTATTTGGGGGCGACGCCCGGGCCATTTGTTTTCGACCGTGGTCCGTGTGACCTTTTACTAGGGTTAAGAATTTTCAATGAAGAAATACCTTAAAATCTGACATTCGCGAAGCGGTTGTTCCCTGGCCCCAGACATAATCTTCTAGCTGACTGACGACGCCACAGAAGACAGGAGAACAGGTTGAGTTTTGACCGTCTTTCTCCTTCCAGCTAAGTCTAATCGAATCCCATTCGCAGTGATGTCTCGAGTCTCCAGAGATGTAGTTGTCCTTTGGATCTTCGTCTTCGATATCGAATTTGACAATTGTTAACTTCATTGGCGCGCAATGAACTTCTATTGTATGAGTGCAGTTAAGATTGTGTCTAAAATTTAACCCTCTCAATTTTATCAAAGCGTAGCTAGGCCTACCCGTAAGGATGTGCGGACTGGGCGATTCCTGCTCGTTTGACATCACCATTCGTTTTTAGAGGAGTGTTCGTAGCGATCCCATCAGAACACTTATCGTTTGGTAGAAAGAAACTCTGGTCGCACTCGCCACACTCTGGACATCTCGACAAATCTTCCTCCTCTCCAAAACTCTCTTTTATGAAAACTATCAAAAATAATGGAATATATTTCAATCTCATTTTCTTTTTAATTTCTAAAGTGAGAATAAAATCGGAGATGCGAAGCAAAGAGGTTTGAGAAATGTTTTTGAAAGGAAGTAGAATCTGTGCTTCGTTTTGAATCGGAAATCGGCGACCCTTCGAGAAGTTGACTGAAGCTTGATTTGCGATTTAGGCAACCTCTGCGGGGCATGACCTGCACTTATCATAATAGACGTCAAAGGAAGCTTTTTAATAAATAAATAAATTTTTTCTGTACAGGAAGATTCTTTTTTGATTATTTTGTTGAGATGGGACAATCTTCTTTTGTAGCGTAGCAGAAGGCTTTCGGTCCTTTCACGGGTTTATGTCTTGGGCAGCCGCATCGAGTATTTTGCGGTCGACAAGCCTGAAGTTTACAGTAATAAGGCACATCCTTACCGCAAGTCTCCATGCATTCTCGGCTTTTCAGGCAAACACCGCGTTCCATTTCCCCTCTACAACTTGCTAATGAAGCTACACGCTTTTCATGAGTTGCCAATTAGTAAAATCTTTATGAAAAGCGAAAATAGGTGTAACTCAAGTCTGAGATCTTTGAGAGGCTTCTTTTTGACCTTTAACAGATTCTTGGAAACCATAGTCGGGAAAATAAGACTCCTTTGTTGGACATTCCGCAGTGCAATCCGTTCCATTCCATACCAGGCCGCTATCACAGGTACATCCGATCTTGTCAGGGCACGTAGCGAGGCAAAGTCTATTTGCAGAAGATTTCATAATCGGGCGGAAACAGATCAAGGTCGACTGTTGGAACAGTTTGACCTCAGGCCGAGGTCCTGAGCGAGTTCATGTAATTCTGAGAAAGCATTTTTGAGTTCTCTGAAATCACTCTACGAATTTCTCAATAAAAAAATAAAATGAAACCCTCTCTTGATCCCAACAGGTCGGCCCACAGTTGAAATCACATGCAGAATTCACTTCAAGAGTTCAAAAATAACCGTATCTTATTTGTAATTATTGTCAAATATTGACCCTCTTTCTTTTTGCCTTTAGATTTTGTCTTAGATTTTTGAACTTTGGTCCTATTCGTCGTCCTCCAGTACATATTTCTTCTTCTTCGAAAAGGTCTAACAGTTGTCTTTGGCATGCTCTTACTGATACCCCAAGAATTATCTTCAATATCTTCATCTAATAAACGAAAAACGTGAATATATCAACGCAAAGTTATGAAATGAAGTTTTTGAAGACTCCATTCCAGCTTTTATAAGTGTGCGCTTGAGTGTTATTCCACTTGGGTTCAACCTTACGCCAATAAATCAAGCTGATTTCTTGTGAGTTGAGTAATTTTCAAGAAAACTAATGCAGTCACAAGCACTCACACTAGAATTCCTTGTAATTCCATGAAGAAATCTATCCGTAGTCGGTATTCGAAGATGCTCCCCTTAGGGCAAATGTAAATTCTGATTGGTCAGGTAATAGTTCTTCAGATTCTGCAGTTCAGAATCAATAGAGAAAAACACGTCAACCTTCTCCCAAGAACTTATATTTCTGAGAATCCGATAGGAGTTCTCCTCGTTGACTCCCACCACCTCCTGACTTGGATAAGAGATTCCCCGTGACTTCTTGTCTTGTGAGCATTGATAAGACTCCTCTTTTCCTCCGTTATTCTCATAAACCTTCATTCATGATAATCACGTGATACAATTTTACCCGATCACGTGCGCATAACAGCAAGGGGCTTGCTGCAATTTGCATCCCGCAAGGCTGTAGAAGTCAGCATGGAAGTGCTGACACCGTAATGATTTTCAAATTTCATTTGTATCAACTTGATCGGAAGATTGGGAGGGCAAATATTAGCCACACCCAAGACAACACACATTCTGGTTACAAATGGAGACAACTCGAAAATAAAACGGTGTCTAAGAAGTATTTAATAGGCTTGGTGTCATTATATCCATCTTAGTTTGACCATCATCTTTCTAATGTAATGATTCCTTATTCAGAATAAGTTATTCTCAAACTGCAAGCATCCTCCTAAACATACGAAGAACGAAGGAGAACGAAGAACGAGAAGATAAAGAACACGATGTTGAAGAAGCATGCTAACATATTTAACAAGACTTTCCTTAAACTTCTTTCTAATGTTTAACTCTAATAAGCTTTGTTTATAGATTCAGTTCGACTACTTATTTTCATCTTGGAGAATGATGCTGATAGTGAGAGCGCCCTTGTCGTTGCGTAAGCTAACTTGCTTGGCACGCGTGAACAGTCCCCTCTACTGCCGATCACATGCCTCTTCCTTCGGAGGTAGGTATATATTCCAGCGATTTTGCCTTCTATCCTCAGAATACAAAACACAAAGAAAACCTTGAAATTGAAAAAATTAAGGTACACGAGAGAAAACACGACGAAACATGTCGTCACAAAATAAATTCGGTCTACTGTTCGATATCGACGGAGTTCTCCTTCGAGGAAAGACTCCCATCCCGGAAGCGATTGAAGCAATGAAAATGATCTATAAAGACGGCCAATTCGTAGTCCCTACAGTTTTCTGCACAAACGCTTTTGGCCACCGTGAAAAGAAAGTTGCTTCGCTCGAAGCTGCCCTCAACATAAAGGTCGATCCCGATCAAGTTATCATGTCACAAAGCCCCCTCGAAATGTTCATGGACTACCACGACAAAACCGTCCTTGTTGTCGGCCCTGAACACGATGGAGGATGCTACGACGTTGCCAAAGAACTTGGATTCACCAACATGGTCACATTGGACGATGTCCGAAAGGCGTACCCCTACCTCGACTGGGTGGATCGTAAAAAGTGGCCCACCGAAGAAGTCGAAGATGACCCAAATTTCCCTAAAATCGAGGCTGTGGTGATTCTTGGAGAGCCACTCAACTGGGAAGGTAGGGTCTATTGTGATTTATAACGCCTTCAAAGTTAACTTCAGGAGCTTTACAATTAATTTTGGACGTTATCCAAACCAACGGCCGCCCAAACCACACACCTGAACCTGGTCCACAGCAGATTCCAGTTCTCGCCTCCAACATGGACCTACAGGTAAATAACTTTTCTTATTTACTCTTTGCAGCTTATCGAGAGTTTCAAAATTAAATACGATCGAGACCTTTCCTTATTAAGAAATGTTTAGTGGATGGCCAAAAGTCCAATTCCCAGGTTCGGAAATGGGGCGTTCCTTGTGTGTCTGGAAGCACTTTACGAAAAACTAACAGGACAGCCTCTTCAATACGAAGGTCTTGTCGGCAAACCATCCGTCGTTACTTACCAGTAAGTCAATAAAGCCAATTCGTTCACAGATAGTCATCGTGATCTTTAGGTACTCGTTAAAACTTATGGAAGAGTTCGCCGAGAAATTGGACCAGGATGAAATCAACACTGTATATTGCTTCGGCGACAATCCCCTATCAGACGTCTACGGGGCGAACCTCTTTACAAAAACTCTCAAAGAAGCACGCAAGGAAGGAAAAGTAAACGTTTGCCACGTCGCGTCGCTTGAAAAATGTGTATCCGTGCTCGTTGGAACCGGCGTCTGGAATCCAAGCGAGCCTGAACCAGAAGAAATCGATGTTGATTACGGACATAGGGATCTGCCATTTAACCCTACTCTCTGTAAAGGTAAATAATGTCGAGGCGACGTCTGAGACGAGGATTATGACGGGGTTTTAATAATAAATAATGCCGTATTATAACAAAATATTGCCGGTTTCCCGTCTATCTTCTTCCAAACACCACTAACTTTATTATTTCAGCGAACATGATCTCCACCGATGTAGAACAAGCGTTAAAAGACGTTTTTGAAAAAGAAGGTGTGTCCAACAGCTGCTGCGAGTAATTATGTTTTCTGCGTCAAAATTACGTCTACTGTTGCCCATAAAAACGACTCTTCTGCTGGCCAAAGCCTGATGAACACGGCCTAAACATGCGTTCAATTCATGAGGTTCATTTACTTCTTTTTACTACCATAATAAAAACGATGAAAAGACAATTATTTGTGGAAAATATGTCTGAATTTATCAATTAGAATTTAGATGAAATTAAAAAAGTCGACTTGAGGCAAATTTTTTCAAAAAAATTTTATTGGCTAATATGAAAGAGGAGGAAATTCTGAGTCGAATGGTCTACTTCCGGCTCTATAATTCTATCAAGTGACGTCATTATGACTCATTTCCCCAAAACTTTTGGGGAGCTTTTGAAGGGTTTCCGATGGAGTTTTTTGGCGTTCTTGGGCTTAAAAGAATCGCCGTCGAAAATTGAGGGGGGGTTGTCTTGGATTTTTAGAAATTCCAAGCGAAACACCTTGAAACCGACCGGTCGAATTATGGTCAAAATTTTTCTTGAGTTTTTCAAAACCCTTAAAAACCCCCTCAGTTTTCGACGGCGATTCTTTTGAGCTATAGAAAGTCAAATAAATCCAACAGAAACCCCTTAAAAGATCCCCAAAAGTTTACCAAAATTGCCCTAATCTGGACTTTATTACGCAATTTTTGACGTCGTAAAGTCAAAATTTACGGGTCAAATCTAGCCTATTCGACTCAGAATTTTCTGCTCTTTCTTCTGAGAACGAAAAATTTTTTGAAAATTTGCCTCAAGTCGACTTTTAATTTCATCTTAGTGATGTATTCACTGTTTCGTAAAAACGGACATTGCAATATAAGAATATAGAAACGCTGGAATAAGGACGGCAGGAGTTTATTGCATTCATACCTACTCAGTTGGAGGGAAAAGTAAATTGGCAAAAAACTAGAATCCTTGCGACTCAACTTATTCTGGTAATTCGTCTAGGGTTGGATGTTACAAGCGGCACAATGGAAGAGTATTTAGATTTTGTTGAAGGCGACAACATCGACAGACTGGACGTAGTCCTCGAAGTTGGTGATGTTTTCTTCCAAAAGATCAGTGGAGACCTTGTCGTCTTCGATAACACACGTGATCTGAATGAAAAATTAAAAATGAAACTAAAAAGAGTCTCTTTACCTGGAGTTTCTTAATACCGTAGCCGATGGCAACGAGTTTACCAGTTCCCCAAAGGAGTCCGTCCATTTCGATAGTTCGTACGTTGGCTTCGAGTTCGGCCATGTCGGTCTCGTCATCCCAGGGCTTGACATCGAAGATGATGTTAGACTTGGCGATGACCTTGCCCTTCTTCTCCTCCTTGGCGGCTTTTCGGGCGTTGTAGGCAGCGACTCGTTCGGCCTGAGAATGATAGTCACGCAATTTTCTCATTAGGACCTACCTTGATCTTCTCAGCCTCAGCATCGTCTTCATCGTCGGATCCGAAGAGATCGACGTCATCATCATCTTCCTCGGCGTCGCCAGCGGCGGCAGGGGCGGCCTGCACCTTGGTGTTACCTTCAAGAGCAGCTAATCTGAAGATGACGGATTAGCCACGCGGAAAATAGCGAAATAAGACTTACCGCTTGAGGACTTCCGCGAGGGTAGCTTTGAGCTCAACATTCTCCTTTTCTAATTTCTCAACACGATCCATATCTAATTTGGGGCCGGCCTGAAAAAAATCATGTTAGTTGTGTAAAATTATATTCAAAAAAGAAGAAAGAAAAACCGGCAAAAATGATTGTCTTACAAATTTCCACGAATAAACTTCTCTCAAGGTGAAAGAGTGTCTAGAAGAATATCAAATTCTTTACATAAATTATCGAGAAAAAATGGTAATATCGCGCGGTAGCATCCGGCACGGGTTGAATCTCGGAAAACTTCGACTTTGTCTTCGGCTCCAAAATTATTCAATTTTTTTTTATGGAAAAAATTCCCCGCGTGCCGGATGCAACCGCGCTCTCTTGAGTTGTTCCGGATTCAACCCTTACCGATGCTACTTTTCCGGTGGCCTTGAACTCGAAAAAAGCGTCAAGGGCAGATTCGTACTGCTGCTGGTACTGCCACACGGTTTCAGCGATAGCGGCCATCTTAAGATAATTAAAATACAGTTGATCAAGAATAGTAAGGAACAGAATCTGTAGAGAAGAATCGTTACATAACAATTGCCACGTGAAAGCAAGAAAAATTAAAGGAAACAGGTCGGTTTCATCAGTTCTCCAAGAAGCTCTTTAATGGTGTGATCTCTTCGATAAAAATAAGTTCAAGGGGAAGTTGGGGAAAGATTCATTAAAATGAATGAGCTTTAGGGAAATTCTTGAAGGGCACTTCAGATTCGTGGCGGTGTCTCATTACCACCCACAGGTCAGGTCGCTCCAGATCCTGGAGGACTTTTCCCACTGGAAGTTTTACTTTTCTGAATTATTTTCGTTTCTCTCGGCATTTTCGATTTGTATTCGATCTTCTCAGAGCCATAAATTTATGTTTTTTCGATCATTATTACGATTCTTGAGACTATCGACACAATTGAGGATTTTCATTAATATTTTATAATTAAAAATGCTCTAATAATTAATTTAATATGTGATGGTTCTATTCTAGTAAATTCTAGAGCCCTGAATGGAATTTTCACCGGATTCTCTCACTCATGGCGCCTAGCCAATGAGCGCCGACGTAATGTGCAGTCTCGCGCGCCGATTGGTCACTTGGCACTAACTCTTCCACGTCCCGGGACCAGCTCGACTCAAACCAAAGAGAAGAAAATCGTGTAAATTCATCGAAAAAATGAGCATGTTACGTCGAACCTCCGGTTCACTCACCAAAACCGTCAGACAGATTACTCAACAGGTAAGATTTTCTTCATTCAAACGTATTTCCGGCCCATTTTTTGGAAAACATAAATTATAATGTTATTTTCAGCAACCTGTCAAGGACAATGTTTTACGAACAACTGCTCTTGGATCTGCCAAGTGCGTCGCTCAGAACCTTGGATCGTCTATGCCAAAGGTAACTTTCTTTCTGACTAACGGAGTAATAGACGGGTAAACGCAGTAATGAGGCGGTACCCGTAACCGTACAGATCCTTGGGGATATTAGTGTGCATCTTTGCTTTCCTAAGCAGAATAATAAAACGCGCCCCTGTGGAATTACTCAAGTTATTCCTTTGACGTGTTCTCATCGATTTCTGGATAAAGGTGTCGAAGGATCAGCCGCCCTCCCAAAACTGTGAGGAATAAGGTAGCACCGCCTCATCCAAAAATAGAGACAGAGAAAAAAACTTTGGATTTACCCGGTTTCTTGCGGCAGTGAGTCGATAGCGCCCTTTCGGCCCCCTTGTTGAAAATTTTCGAAAGGGCCATCGCCTATATCTGCCCAAAGGAACTGGGACTACTCGACGAAAGAAGCGGAAGCGGCCGATCTTGTCATCACTTGGGGAGAAGCAAGAAAAAAATGTGATAAAAATTGTTTTTAGACCTCCAAGGCCGACAAAGGACAGATGATGGTCAATCAAATCACTTCTATCCGCCGACAAAATCCAATGCAGTTCCTCCAGAAAACCACTCAGTTTAGGAACGTATCGAAATTTGATAGTTTGAAATTCTTCTATTCCGTCTTTTGAAGCTTTTTCGATACCTCTTTGAAAGTATAAATGTCCAAAACGCTAAAGTGGTCTTATCATCGAACACTGCCAAGCTATCGAAAATGTTTGCCTCCTTCGACCTGACGAGTTGCCAGATCTCCTTCGCTGGAATGTTGGGCGACTTTGCCGTCTGGGCGATCACCGACATGTCCACCGGCGAACTCATCTACCTGATCGATGATAATGGGGGCTCTGAAATATTAGAAACGTGATTGACAGCAGGATCAAGGAGCCATGAGCTGTTGTCAACCACTTTTAGTCGGACTAGAAAGGGCACAATTCCGGTCATTTTTTAAAGATCAACTTAGAAACTAAGAATCTTTTGAAGACATTTTCGTAGAAGAAAATTTTCTGAGCCAAGCTATAGCACCTGAAATTGGTCGCTATAGAAACTAACTGTAGAACAGAAACGCTCCCAGTAATGATTTACAAATTATTCAATTCATAGTCATCCCTTGAAAGTCGTTAACAACTGAATTCGCGATCGCCGGTTTTATAGAGCCCTGCGGCAGCGCATAAAAATCCTCTGTCAATTATTTTTTCATACAGTTCGAAAATGACGTTTGTTCTATTGGGCTGTTTTTCGACTGCTAGAATTTCGATACAAATTTGAGATCCCTCCTCAGTGGCTAATTCGCGATTCGCAATTTTTGTCAAATCAACCTTTCATAGCCCGTTTCAGCTTTTGATCCCCCTTTTAGAGTATAAGACAGCCGCGTTCAGACCCCTTCGAAGTCATTAATTTTCTTCGGCGTTCCCTTTATTTCGCAGCCCTATTCAGCAGTTGATAGTCAGCCTAATACAAAATCCAATTATTCAGCAGCCCTTAGATAGTTTATGAACCTGACGATTTTTATATCAAAAATTCACTTTCTCTGGAACCAATTTGTAATTATATTTATAGAGTCCCCGCGCAGCACATAAGCTCCATTTCATAGCCCTAGAATATTTCATAGCCGCTCTGCAGTTGCTAACAGTGGCTTATCAAGGCCTCCAAATCCAAATTTACTTTTCTGAGCCTGAAAAGTGCTTGAGAAAATCAATTATTTCAAATAGCCCAGACTCAGCCAATAGTATTCACTCTCCTTTTGGAACCCCTTCTAAGTCTATAATTTTTGAGTCCCGAGACTAGCATCTGATTTCTGAGCGCCGTTTAGCTATTGAAAAAAAAACACACACTAAGTAAATTATTAAAGTTTCGGGCTTCTCTCTAACTGTTCTACTGTTCAACATCTCTGCGCTTGCAACTGTAACTTGCGCGATTTTTTTCTCAAAAAAGCGTCAACAACGCATCACTTGAAATTCGACTGATGCCTTGTCGTCGCAATCATTCACCTTATTATTGTCAAACTGTTTGAAAATAATAAATTTCAAACTCAAAGTTCAAACTATCAGCTAACAGCTAGCCTCGATTTTGGACGAGCAATTTACCGCTTGGTCAATTTGCCCAAAGGTCTCAAAGGAGCGCTAGCTACTCTTCTTGCTTGCTCTTTTTAGGTTTTGTGTATTTGTGAACTGTAAAGTATATATAATATAAATAATTTTGTGAACTCGTATACAAAGGGGTAGCACTGATCCGGGATTGTTCGAGAGACATAAGTACAAATTGAAAGGGATCTTTCGCAGGCGTTCATTTTGGCAGTCGATGCAGGGAAGTATTTGCAATTAACTAATTGGTCAGCCTTCTAAGGGCTTATCGGCTGAGGGGTCCATCAAATCGGCCGTCCACGAGAAGGGCACGCCATCGAACACTTCCAGGTTATCGGGCTCGATCGCTCTGAAGAAACGCCGGAGAACAGTTTCGACAGGGGCGTCCATGTGGGTCTTCGCTGAGCGACCCTTGTTTCCTCCTGGGATCAAGCAATCCGAATCTGGACGCGCTTGAATGCAGAAGAACCCTGTGTCTGGCATTTGATGAAAGTTCTTGTCGGTCAAGTACTGCTCCGCGCCCAGGAACTCTTGGATTCTTTGCATCGCATGAGCAGGTCGGACTAGAAATCATTTGTAACGCTGTGACATCATATTGTATGTTAGAAAAGGTCATTCGCGGTTAAATTCAAAAGGCTGTCTAGCTTGACAAGATCTGAGTGGCGCTCGCGGATCAAGTCGAGGCTCCGCGATAAACCGGAACTTCTGCGAGTGTTGCCCTTTACTCAGCCAGACATAATTACGTCAGAGTACTATTTCTAATCGCACCTTTGAGGTCGTTTCCATCGACTACCAGCACTTGCTCGCGGGGAAAGTATCTGTACCAGTGCGCGAGTAAATAGCCGTACGAGCTGCGCGCTAGAATCGAGGCAGGCATCAAGTACCGCCGTCCAGTGCGCATTCCATTGTCCAAATAACGATGAAATTTTAAACGTATCTCTTCGTATGGCACTTGATCCTCCGGCAGCTGGATAAGCGCCTTGGCCATTGTAGCGTTGATTGTTTCCGCCAAAGCTTGGAAAACAACTTCTTCGAACGTTCTGAACGCGATAGTTTATTATCAGAAGGAGATTATTCCACCGGGGGTTATTTCATTAGAGCGCGAGCTCTGGAGAATTCCTCAGCTGTTGAAAAATTTATAAAATTCAATTAGCCGGCTGTTGCTGAAGACAAACGAGGAAGTTAACTTGGAATATCGAATTTATTGGCCTTACTTGTGTTTTAATTCTTGAGCTCCAGGCATTTGCCAACCTTGTGGCCTCGTAATATTCAACGCGTGAAGATAATGTGAGAAGGCTCGATGAACAGGGTCACATACGACCGCAATGAGCTTGAGATCCGGCTTGAAGTGGAACATGCGACTGGGCACTTTTGGATCATGCATGTAATCCGGCGTCTTTTCGAAAATTAGCAGTTCTGGATCGCCGTACGGCATTTGGTCGAAATAAGCTTTGTAGCCCTGAAAGATAAACGCTTAACCAAAGTTTCGAGGCTGATCTTATCAATCACTGCACACTTTCACGGTACTGAATGCTTTAGAACCTCCCCAAGGGCAGAGCAAAGTTCAATCCGTCAAAGTCACTTAACGCTAAAAATTCAAACCTTTCGATAGTTTCCTTCTCGCTCGAAGAAGTGAAGCTCACCCTCAACTGGGGATCGCATTCCTGGGTGGAAGTTCATGAAGTACTGGAGAGCCGTAGTGCCGCATTTCTGCATTCCCATGACGATAAAGTCAGGAAATCGCTTCCGAATACCTTTTAATTGAATATGATAACAGTTTGCGTACAAAACGCTTTCAAGGATTACAGTAAGAGGGTTTTAGATAAGTGAGGAACAAACCTTGTTCTTTTGCTTCCGCCTCGATAGCAACAATATCTCCGTTGATAAGACCAGCATGTTCATCAGGAATCTTAGGAGGATGAATTCCTAATATTTTCGTCCTAGCTGCGGGCGCAACTGGTTGCTGGGCTATCAGCTGATCCGCAATTTGTGCCTTCTCCTTTTCGAAAAACTTCCGCAGGTGTTCATCCTAAAAATAAGAATTTTTTAACTAGACATTTGAAAAAGAGGCTAAGCTAATTTTATTCAAATTAGGCGCCCTGGGCGACGGATAATTTATGTTTAACAATTTTTTCTGTCAAAATAATGAGTTTTCTTAGCTTCAGACTGCAAAGCGATACGTTTATGAATCGTAAAAATGTAAATTATTTGACTGTAATTAAGCTTGGTGTAAAAGGTCGTTTTATTTTATGCCATAACCAGACTTATGATATTATCTAAGAACACGTTCAAGCCTTCGTGATAAATTGGCTTAGAGGTTTGTGTGTCTTCCTAAATTATTCAAATCTAATAAACCAGATCAAAAATGTTCAAGGAAACACGTCTAACACTGAATCTAGGGGAGATTATTATAGCACTCGAATCTGACATGTCATCTTATAGGCGCTTCTTCGTTTCGCTGCATTTTCCCACGTAACGTGATAATTACTTATTCCAGCTTACCTTTCGCGTGTTATGATAAATGTGAAGATATAGCTGAAGGAGAATCAGAGCAACAGAGATAGTCAAAAAGGAACATTGGAAGTTCTTGCGCATCTTTTCCTTTCGGCAGATTCTTTTTAGCTTCATTTACGGACAACCTTTCTCTCCATAATATGCATCTATTTCCGTGTTTATTTTAAATTTACAGCTCGATCTTTGTCAAAATGTGAGAAAAAGTGTACAAATAAGGGGTTAGAGCTGAGCAGCGGCAACGAACGCCCGCTGAAAAAATGAAGGATGAAAGGGCCGCGGGCAGTTTTGAGCAGCCGGTCCTCCGAATAAGCCCCTCAGACTGGCTCGCGATTAGCCAAATCAATTTGTGATACATTAATTTGATAACTCGCCCGATAATTTTCCTCCCGGGTCGGATTCTCGGATCTCCGCTACTGCCGACTGGTTAAATTTATTGACTTTTAGAACCTTAACATACTCTCGAATACGTGTAATTCTTTATCTCTTTGTAAAAATATCCAGATATGATTTCGTAGTTGAAAGAAATTGTGACCTGAAAATGAAGGAAAAAATTTAAAACTACCCAAAATAATTAGCTTTTTCGAGCCATTAACTTTCCATTCAATCATAATAAAGCTAGATTTTATCTATTTATAGCAATGCTCCTCTAATCAACGGTAAACTTGGGCATCATTTTTTATGAATTTATTGAAGTATCTGTTGCATTACAGAGACTCATGATTGCATTCTCCAGAGTGCATAACTCGTGCCATTTCGCTTTTGATTCCCTTTCCGCAGATTTCACTTCTAAACTCGCACAAATTTCCGAAGGTACGCATCTGGTTATCCCCAGCGTTGGCACAGACGGGGTCGAGAATTCTTGGGCAAGCTCGTTCGCAGTTGGAGTAGTCAACACATGTTCCATCGTATGCTTTCACAAGATTGATTCCAGTCTTCGCATTTCTAAGCTCACAGGCAGCGGTTTCGAGAGAGCAGTTGTTTGTGTAGGTATTTCCATCAGAGCCGCAAACTTCCTCAATATTCATCGGGCACATCTGCGCACATTTCTCTGCGAATGCAAAGCCTGCGAAAAATCCAAAAATTTTCATGCTTTCTGATATTTATCACGTCAAATTTTTAAATGTGCGTTATAAGGGCCCCTGCATCTGTCTTATTCACACAACGATGACATTTTTGAATCATTTTCAAGTCAAATAAAACGTAAAAGCGATCATCAAGATAATTCGCTAATTCTTACGCTGAATGAGACATTGAAAATGACAAATGATTTCCATTAGTTAATGTTTTATTAAGAACTATTAGAAAAAAAATAAATAAACAAACAAATAACAGGAAGTCCACACAAAATTGGTACAATTTTGAATTTTCGAAAGTTTGCGAGAGAGAAGGTTTGTTATAGTAACATAAAACAAAACATCAAACACAAAAATGTAAAGGATAGGAAGGAGTGTGGAAAGAAAAAAAATCAAAATAAAAAACGACTAACACTAAAAAAGTTATGTTTTGCAAACAGCACAATTACTGTAATAGAGGACGATATATTGTTTTGAAAAGGAACATATACGAGCTAGGAATTTACAGCGCGGACTAAAAGGAGGTAAAATCGAAACATTGAAGACATATCGAGGCTGACGGAGTTAATTCAACTCGTCGTTACAATTTAGATGGACTTGAAGCGTACATTTTCATCTTGAACATGAAAGTTGGAGAGAGTAGAGTTTTCGTAAGTCAAGAAAAGGGACATTGATATTAAACACAGACTGAATGCTTTTACGAAACATAAAAAGTATAGAGCATTTAACAAAAATGCAGACAATAAGACATCTCCAGTCAGCTTATTCTAACAAGCTTGTGAAAAATGGAGGCTCGACATTATGAGGACCCCAAATGGGCGGAGTCGCGGACTTGGTCCCGACGTCTGGGATAAAGGGAGGAGAGAAGTTACTCGGGAAAGGAGGAGTAGGCGTCGGTTTGAAGGTCGTTTTTTGGCGGGGCTTTTTCATCTCGACTTTTAGGCGTTTGTCATCAACCTAAATCCAGATTCATACAACTCGTTTTCATTAACGAAGTTACCTGGTAAGTATTGAACCGTTTGATGGCAGCTGAGGCGTCAATGATATGCTTGTAAGAAACAAATCCAAAGCACTTGGACTCTTGAGTATGCCGATCTACATAGACTTTCGCAGAAATAAGCTCTCCAATAGTTGAAAATAATGCATACAAGTCACTGAAAAATGTCAGAACTAAACAGACTGGCTCATAACTTACGAGTCATTGAATCGCTTTGGCAAGTGATAGACAAATAGATTCGCGCCTTCAGGACCAGATTGAGTTCCTCCAATTGTTGGATTTTCATTCGACGACTTCGTAGAATCATCAGAGGCGTTTCCTGTTGATCCGCCATTGTCATTATTATTGTTCCACCCATTTCTCATAGCGTTCTTGTTTTGGGCATAGCCAGTAGCTTGATTTATCGGTACAACAGGGAAAGATTGCTGCGCCGGGGACGAAGAGGGCAGCTTGGTTGAAGAAAGAGCAAGATTACAGAGAGAAGGAAGCAATAGCTTCCCAACGAGGTCGTCTTCGTCAGCGCACAGACGCTGCAATTGCATGGCACACGACTTGAGCTTGAAAGGAGATTGAACCGAGATAAAATTGGCAATTTTTACCTGGCGCTCAAGTTTTCTCTTTTCCTTCTGCTTGGGAGTATCAGCGAGCTTGACAACCATGGCTTGGGAACAATTCGAACTTACCATGGTGTTATTCAAGGCTTGAACTGCTGATTGAGCTTCTAATCGACTACAAAATAGTCAAAATTTCCATCGTTGAGAAAGATGATTACCTAGAAAAAGTCAGAAAGGCACAGCGACGACTAGTTCCATTGAAATTTCGGAGGACTTGGAGTTCTTGGATCTTTCCATACGGCTCAAACATCTTTTGAGCATCTCTTCGTCACAAGTGATTGGAAGCATTCCAATGAAAAGTCGTCGATCACTTCGTTTTTCGGAATCTGCTGCGCGCATTTGGACAGGGTTCAGCATTCCTGAAATTTTGATCTATCGACAATTGTTTGGATTCATAAGTATGCAGCTGGCTGTAGTTTGAAAAAGTTATAGAAACCTGGTAAAACACGAAGGCCGTTGAGGGCTCGTTGAGCATCATCGGCTGATTTCTTCTCAAAAAAGGTTACGAAGCAGCAACCACGAGAGTGACCAGTGATACGATCACGCAGAATTTGAAGATCGAACACTTCGCCGAATTCTTTAAACATCACCTTTTTGAAAGGTTAAAATATAAGGTTGTAAAACTCAACAAAGTATCTCATTGAACTACTGGTAAAAATCTTTGCTGATTTTAACCCTTAGCAAAAGCTCACGCTCTCCCCATGCTCTCGGGATTTGGCCGACAAACATTTTCTGTCCTCGAGGTTCCAACTGCATCGCGTTTGGATTGACGCCAACCCACCCGAGCGATCCAATCTTTCCATTCGCGTCCTCACTCATTTCCCTTTGCAGGGCGTTCTGAAATTGACAATCGTCAGATTAAAAATATGTCCATAGTGATAATTGGGCAGATAAAGTGATAGTCAGGATTGTTCATTCAATCTTATCTTCAATGTACTTGAGCATTTCACGTTGAAGCTTTGCGCCGATAGTTTTTCCTGGTTTAGTTCGAATGTAGTAAGGTAATAGGCGAAAGAGCTTGTCGTGCATGTGTTCGACAACATTGCGCTCGTGCTCTTCCTCTGTTCCAGTTGGATTGCGATGACGCGTGTACATTCGGCATCGCTCAATCCCATCGTATCCTATTGAGAATAAATTAACTTTTAATGGGCAACTCAAACCTATAGCGTCGAGCTTGTCAGCGTCAGAAACGATGTTTCTCAAAAGCATCACGTGCTTTGGCAAATCTTTATTCAGTTTTCCTTTCTTTTCTTTCGAAAAAGAAACATTCTCGCATATTTCTATAACCCAATCGATTTCCTTTTCTGTCAGTTCAACTGACTTCTTCATTTGGACTCATTCACGTAATAGTTAAGTCGCCTGAAAAAGATGAAAGACATAAATGCTTCCGTTTTCGTCTGATAAACGCCGAAGTTAAATGTCTATGTCGCCGATAAGACTCAGCGTGTTTTTAATTTGTTTATAAGCCCATTCCAGAAATTCTTTCATTTTATCGAGGCCACTTGCGTTATCGCTTACGTACTTGTGATCGAAGACGTCGTGGACGAGGGCAGCCGTCTCTGCCACGAGGAATCCATCGACTTCGCCAATATCGGCTACGTCATTCTCAAGTCCAGCAAGAATTTGTTGAGTGTACTCCCGGACTCTGCGAAAATGCTCTATAGCGTGGGATGCGTCTCTTCCTTCCGTCATCTGTTCAGCCCAGATCTCAACTTTTTCGAGTTTTTGTTTGTGGCTGCTCATTCTGCAACAAAAATTTGATAAATGAAGGTTTTAAATAACAGTATCTGTATTGAAGAATGTCTATAAACTATGTAAGTAAGAATTTTATGATGAAGGAGGAGGTGAAGAACACTTTGAAGGTGGAGGTGGAATATTCAGTTCAGAAGGATTCGGAAGATTCATTGATGCTGGAGCACGTGCTTTTGAAGAAAGATCCAAGAAATCAATCAGTTCGTACGCTTTTTCTATATCGGTCCATCCTGGGTTAAGAATCCTTTTTCTTTGCTTGGCATTCATTTTGCCGGACACAATGTGCATGTGTAAATGGTACTAAACACACTGAGATGCATAAATATGAAAAGTGCAATACCTGGGAATTGAAAGGAGGCTGATGAAAGCCAACATGCTTCTCCATTTTTTCAAAGTCCGCTAGATGCGCTTTTGCTGTTAATAACAAACTGTCGAGTGTTTTCGCATCATCGACAGTCGTGATGTCTCGAATATGCTCTCTTGGCAAAACTAGGAGATGAAGATCAGCTGCTGGCCGGATGTCTTCAATTATCACATTTGTATCATCTTCGTATACTTTCTGTCTAAAATCTCAAGATATCAACAAATTCTTTTGGAAAATATTATTTTTAAGATGCCTTACATTTCCGGTTCGTTGATTATACTGCAAAATGTACAGCCTTTTTTCATTCTAAACGTATAAGAATTAAAGCTAATGGAGGATTCGATAAGTGTGTGGCAGGAATAAGTCTTAGCTTTCAGTGAACTTGTAAATATTATACAAAACTTGAGGAACCATCATTCAAAACTCCATCAGTGATTCAAGCTGACTAGCAGCATTCGACGATTCGGCCAAATCTCGTTGAATGTTCCTCTGTGATTTCACTAAAGAAACATTTTTATAGGTTTTGATAAGGTGGTTTACCGGCCGGTGTTTTCTTTTTATCAATCTTTTTCTTCGGATTCCAATCTCTATCGTCTCCCGTTGACGCTTTCTTTCTCTTTGAAGCAGTGTTTGCTGCTCGCATCAAGTCTTGGAACTCTTTGTAGAACTGTCTGTTTTCGTCAACAGTCGGTAGTCGACCTCCAAGACCCTCGGCCTTCTTTTTCAAAAAGGTTTTGTAATGGACGATCATTGGTGATGACTCCGTAGACGCGGACGACTTTCGTTTTTGTTGCGCTTTTAGTGCAAGTTCTGAGTGGCTGAACATTCTGCCAGCCAAATTAGCCTCTCTCTTCGCTTTTTCAGTCATGAGTCTGCTCAAGAACTCCCACATCTCGTCGATCACGAGTTTGTCCACCATCGCCTGAGTTAGCCCGTGGCGTTTTTGCTTTTCTGTCGGAACGCGTAGTAATGCGTCTCCCTCCTTTGATATTTTATGAAAATAAATATTGAAATCAACAAAGACTCACATCGACAATGACCATCATTGTGTTAGCTTGAATCTCAAGTAAAAAGTCCTCCAAATCTTTTACTTCACAATTTGCAGCTTCTGATCCACATGCAACGAAAAATGGGCAGGTTAAACCAGTTATTGGATCATCGATATCACCACGCTTTTCCAATTGATGTCCCGGGTAAATATCTTGATCTTCTTCACGAAACCAACGATAGAATTTCGACCCTTTGCTATCCTCAAGTAATGGATCCGTAAAGTCCGCCGCTTTCTTGACAACGTTAATAAAAATTATGACAGGAAGATTTTTTTCCAAAAATATCGATACTGTTTTCGAACTTGTTTTCCTTTAGGGGAAGTCCAAGACAACAGACGGCAGCAACCTCGATGTCCTTGCAAAGGGCGACGTACATACTCAGCAGCGCTGCGTTTTCCCAGCCGACGAGAATAACTGGCTGGTTCGGGTGCCGTTTCTGAACACAATCGAATAATGCTTTTTATCAGAAAAGTGCAGATTTATTACAGGCGTAACCTGGAAGAGTACCGCTGGCTTCTCATAGGTAAAATCAGATAGTATAAGTTTATATTTATGTCTTGATAAGGAAACCTTGCTGCGTTCCTGCTACTTCTCTTATCAATTGCGTTTCCTGCATGGATTGTCCGACAAAACTCAGATTCAACAGTCGAATACTACGGTGTCATCTGGAGTCTTTACCGATCCAACACCTCTTTCAACGTCTACAAGATCCACACATTCTGCGATGGAAAGATGGAAGATGTAGGACAGTCAAAAACTAAGATTATCGTTTTAAGCTCTCTATCTGTTATGGGAACGACGGAAGGTATCGAGTCTACACGATGGCTGATAGGGGCAAATTACTCTTGCTCACTTTAGTGACGGCGATACACGTAGGTCTGCTTCTCATTCCCTTCCAGGTATAAAACACCTTCCCTCTTTTGACTAAAATGCTTCGAGTTTCGACTGCGCATTCACGGAAGCCCGTGGACCTTTGGAACGCGAGCCTGCATCATTCTCTACCACACGGCCATATCAACCGCGATGTTCTACATCTATTTGAGCTTCGACGACCAATTCAAGAACTGGGAGCTGTCGATCGATCGGTTTTTCGAACTTGGCTTTAGTTTCTACATTTTTGTCTGCTACCTTATATGCATGATCTGCAACTTACTGATACTTTTCTGTCAAAAGGAAAATACCGAGCCCACTGGAGCAAGCGCTTCCAGAATGTATCGCTACAGTTTACCGTCAAACATCATCATGCAATAAATCTCAGGCTTTTTCATTACTTACGTTGTGTTTTCTGACCATGTTTCGAACTGTTTGAACCATGTGATAGACGTAATCACCGTTAGTTTGACCGGATGCCTGGCTTGGCGCGTTTTGTACAGTGCCAAAAGCGTTCAATTGGGAATTCCAGGTTCGGAAACGACGCATTTGTGGGGCAGTTTGACTTGTCTGGCTATGAAATTTGAATATTCAAATTTAAAAAATGTAGAATTTGAATGCCTTCCTATTCTGGATCGTCGGGCGAGAAGGTATTCTTATTATGAGAGGTGCATTAGCGCTATTTGGAACAAGCTTCTGTTTGAGGAGATTCATCGGCGAGGCAGTCAATGGATCCCAAGGCTTCCTGGTCGTGAGACCAAGAGCTATTGCCGCTTTTGTTGTACCTTGCTGAATGATAGGCTCCAAGCTGAACTTTAATAGCTCGGGTATCTTAGAGCGAAGCGCCGATAACGTGTCAATGTACAAAGCAAGAAGATGAGGCGGCAGTAAATCGACAATTTTGATGTGAATCCAGTGAAGAGTGGGGCTTTCAAATCCGATCGCGCTGAACTTTAGACGAAGAACTTGTGAGGCCTTCTCAATGAACGATTTTCGATGAAGCGCTTCGAATTCATCTCCTTTGACCGTGAGACAGCTTAGATGAAGTTCTATCATGCACTAAAATACCTCAAAACCGATCAATTATTATTTTCAAACCTCAACAACTTCACCCAAAACGACAACTTTTCTTGCCGCTGTTCCAGCTTGAATACGCGCTTTTACTGGTTTGTACTCTTCATTGAACTTGGAATCCAACGCCGCTGGGTAATCACAGTCGAAAAGACCAAAAACTTTATTCAGAATGAGTTTTTCTGTCTCTTTGAATTGGGCCTCAAGTTTAGCACGGTGGTATGTTATTTTCGGAGGAGGTCGAGTTTTCACAACATCTAGATCCACATCGCTGTCAGAGTCGCTTTCAATTTCACTGGCATAGAATAACATCTCGAGAAAAAGAATAAAAATACCTCAAGAGTATATCTTTCCTCTCCCGCAGAAACTCATCGGGTTTCTTTTGCTCAATCGCTTCAAGACTTGGATGTTTCGCGTAGTCGTGCTCAAGTTCGAATTCCGTCCACTCGAGTTCTGCCTTTCTTTTTATAATACAAGCCATTCTACTGTAGAATTTTTCGGTTAAAATATGAGATAACATAAAAATAATCATTTCAGTAGATGTCTCAGATAAAAGCTGCCGCGGTTCATAAACTACGGTGAAGCTGGTTTAGCCAAAGAACTTTAAGTCATGTGTGACTTTTTTGCGCGCGCATGTGGAACTCGCCAAATGTCAAAAGGTGTTTTCCCTTAATATAATAGTAAAAGGGAATAGAAAGTCTTCTTTACCATATTTTCTATGAAAATTACGAATCAGCCCTTGGCCGTGTTGCGTGAAAGAATCTTCGACACCTTGAAGTGAATAAACTCGCTGCTTTCCTTCGGCGGAAGATAAGTCTTCTGTTCGTCACGGTAGACGAATGGAAAGCGAAGCACCCAGATGCTGTTAGAGGAGAGAGTGAATTCCTCAGGCGTGGTTCGGAAAGTAGGCGCGTTGCGACCAGGAGTAACAAGCGGGCGAACAGTGATCTCCTGATGGCAATGAGCCGGGATCGCAAACCAGATTCGAGCCAATTGACCGACGGTAGCTGAGGACCGATTTCCTCGAGACGCCGGCCCTGGAACATAAAGTGGCATGAACTTAATGGGTTCCCAAGACTTGTATCAACCAAGGATCAGACGTGAACGCCTTTCACCCCGGAAAGTTCTGAGGCCCATCTATGAATCTAGAATCTGTCCCTGCAATAAAATCTCTTAATACCGTGAATCTCTAAAACTTGTTTATTAGCTCTGACTGAGCGATAGACATGAAAAATCGTAAATACAGTGTAAGCCCTAAACTGGTAAAATGCAGAGTGAAGAATCTCTCCGGCTACTTTGCCGTCGAGCGAAGATTCGCCTACGCGGGCCCGAGGCGGAAACGCGCAAGTCTGGAGAACCAACACGCCCCGAGACGCAGCATCGTTGTCCGCGTCGTAGTCCTAGCATTAAAGTGAAGAAAATAGGAGTCTTGGCAGGTACTAATAACGACCTCGTGGGTAGGCACGTTTATAGGGACCGAAACGTCCACCACGATTTCCCCGCTTGTATTTGTGTTGGCCGTGCCGGCCGAGTCGACCAGCGAGGGAACGCGGTTGTTCCGGAGAAGGTCCAGCAGGGGCGCTAGAGGGCTGAGCGCCAGTATCGCTGTTTGAGGAGCTGGCATTGCGGGCTGAACCTAAGTTAAAGAAATTGTGAGTCGAGGCAGTACCGGACGTACCAGCGCTGTCCCGAGACTCAGTTTTGGAGGAAGAAGCTTCGCCAGATGAATTTTTCTGAGCTCGTCCTTTGGCGATAAAGCTGCGCAAGGAGCTCTGACCGCCTAGTAGGCTGGCGTTTGCGCAGTACGCATATTTCGAGCTAGGGTTGAACAATTTGTAGACCAGCTTGCTGATCTTCTTGTAATCCTCTGATCGAGGAAAAGTTCGTTGATCGAAGACTGGCGCGGCTTTCTGGAGTGCACAAAGCAACTCGTGCTGGAGCGCCTTGACTTTAAAGTTGGCTTCCCGGGTTGGGAGTAATTGCCCGTGCTGTTTGACCGTCAGCTTGCGTTCCTTGGCGTCCTTGAGGGCGCTTTGATATTCATGCATCGATAGGTCGACGCTGCCGAGGTCGATTACACTTCCTGGCTCATCGTCCGAGTCCTCGTGGACAGTCGGACTTTGAGGGACGTGAAAAATTTCGGTCAGTCGTTGGTCCAGGCGGCTGACAAATGGACTCGAGTCAGCGGGTGGAATAAATTCCGGACTCTGAGAGGGTGCTTTGGATACGTAACGCTGAATTGAGTCTCCACGGGCTCTTTCGAGGGTTGAGGAGATGGCTCTACGGGGAGCACGGCTGAAGATGGCAGCTCGGGCGGGACCGAACCGGCCGGTTCTTGCTCTTGAGCCAGATCCGACGGCTCGGGAGTCGATTCTCTTGGTAGTGTCACTGATTCGCCGGTGACGTGTTCAGGCGACGCCTCAACATCGCTGAACTCGTTGACATACGGCTCGAGGAGACTGTCGAAGGCGGATTCGACCGACGCCTCTGGATCCATTTCTTTTATCTAGAAATATGAAATACGTTAGTAACGGTATCATATCAGTTTTCAAGGCTGAAATGGTTAAAAAGAAAATTCTAATGGCACAGAGAAAAATATCAATATGAACACTAGAATTTCAGAAATTTCTATGTAAAACACAACTAAACCTAAATTCTAGCGACAACGCTGTTTGTGAAGAAGTTCAGGGACGCGCCCCGAAACAGCTTTGTCTCTAGAAATTTATGTTAATGAATTGCTACGGGCAGAACGCCTACGTTCCTCTGACTGCATTTTTCGAGCCATGTTTTCGTCAGAGTCGATCTGACGGGTCTGTGCTCGTGTTTTTGCTCTTTGAGTATTTGGGTACGGTAAACGAGGATTAACCCTTAATCTATTTCGTTTCGGACCGATCGATGATTTGGGCTTTATCACCGGGATGGTATTTGTGCTAGAAACGGGATTTTTGTCCGCGTTTTCAGCAGTGTCGAGGTAACGTTCCTCAGTCTGATCTGGTGGGGGAAGAGCAGGGAGATCAGCTGAAGAGTCCTCCGACTGATTTTTGCCGGTCTGAGGAACTAGAGGGGTAGGAGCTACAGGAATGTGCATATCGTTGGATTCTGGGGTTGAAGCTTGAGTATTTTCGAGTGGAGTGGGAATTGTTTTGGGAATGGGAATGGATAAATTGGGGAAATAGGGAATCACGCCGAGTTCCGGTTTTCGAGCGACCTGTTTGATGACGCACGATCTGTGCATCCAGTCGCGATTTCCGTCATCGTCACAGATCAAAACGACGTGGCCATTTGATCTAAGCACTGTGTACGGACCAAGCCAACGTAATTTTGTGCGCTTAGCGATGGAGGAAACCTCTTTTCGAACTAGCACCTGGTCACCGTGCAACAATGGCTCAGGTTCTATGTGAGGCTTTTTGGAACTTACCAAATTATCGGCGTGAGATTGACAAATTTGGATCTTTTTGAAGAGCATATCTGTGATTTTCGCTCTATTTTGTAAGTACTCAGAGACGTCTTTTCCCTTAGCCGTCTCAGGCACTTTATCATATTCTGTGATACGGGGAATTACGCCAAAAACGACTTCGAATGGAATCGCTTTTGTTGAACGATTCGGCGAGCAATTCATGACGTAACAGACCCTTTTTATGACACAGGTCCAGTCGATGCCGAAGTGGTGGCACAGTATGTAAGTGGCGTTCTTCATTTCCCTATGTCGACTCTCCAACAAACTACAGCTTTGTGGTCTGAAGGAAATATGATAACGCCAGCGAAGTGAGTTGAGTGCGGCGAATTCGGCGTTTAGTTGAGAACAGAAATGTTTGCCACGATCGGTCGAAATAATCTCTGGAGTAGGATAATTGTCCAGTAAATTTTCGGACAGACCTTTTACTGCATCAATTGCGCGGCATCTTTTTGTTGGAACACATATGATAAATTTGGAGAAAGTACAAAGTATGGTCAAACCGTACTTGTATCCTCCTTTCCCAAGTGGGAATTCGACGAAGTCCACGTGGATGCGCTGGAACGGGTATTCACCCTTAACGGTGGGTTGAAATCCGGGATCCTGGTGTCGGCCGCGCAGACCTTTACTGTGTTGACAGTAGCAACTTCTGACGTAATTTTCAATGTCAGCCGACATTGATGGCCAAGTTACGTGAGACATATACTCTGTCATGCGTTTTCCTCCAGCGTGTAGTCGTTGGTCGTGGAATGAATTGAGAATCTCCGGACGAAGAAGACGAGGAATATAGATCTTTTTGTCTAGGAGTAGCGCGCCTGTTTCTTCGCAAAGGGATAGTTTTTTTGAAATGTTGAGCTAAGTAAGTAGCTTCTTCACATTTCTTGTCGTATCTGTGCTCTTGATTATGTTTGAGAGCCGTGACTGCGTCACAGATAGCTTCATCAGCTGACTGCTCCGAGGTAATAGATAATTTCTGAGGAAGACCCACTTCAAGTGGAACTTTCTCCGAAACTGCAGCGACTAACCCGTGGTCGTTGCAGAGTGCGTCTGAGTTGAAGGATATTTTAGGACGATTTTCCTTGTTTACCCAGCTGGGCACATAGATTTTGAATCCCATGAACTCGTGAAAACTCCCAGCGGGCTCGCTAGCGCCTTGGCGACTAGGCCGCCGGGTGTCGAGATCAGCAGGGCGACTGAAGTAGTCAGCAACGCAGTTGTCCTCTCCTTCGATATAAATTATCACAAAATCGTACTGTGATAAATAAGTCCACCAACGATTGAGCTTATCATTCTTCGCCAATTTACTGTCAATGTAAGTTAAACTTCTGTGATCGGTTTTGACCGTGAATGATGCACCGGCCAAATAGTACCGACAGTCGCTGACCGCGGTTATGAGTGCAAGAGCCTCTCTTTCTGTTGTAGAGTACTTTTGCTGGCAGTCAGAAAAGGTCTTTGAACCAACTCTGATAATGCGAGACTTACCTTCTACTACTTGCAACAGACACCAGCCGCTCGCGATGGCACTTGCATCTGTACAGAGACAAAATGGAACTGAGAAATCTGGAAACCAGATCGTCGAAGGAGATGCCAGCCTGGCTTTGATTTTGTTGAAAGCCTTTTCTGCTTCTGAATCCCAATGAAATGGGCCCTTGGGCCGATTCTTGCGAACCAGAGCTGTGATTGGCTTGATGAGGTGGCTGAAACAGGTGGAAGAAACCGGGTCACCTGGTTTTGTCGCGCAGAAGGATCGGACCCACTGGCAAAGGCCAATGAGTGACTGTAATCCCTTGAAATCCTGAGGAGCTTTCATGTTGGTGATAGCTTTTACGTTGTCAGGATCGGGATACTGACCATTCGAATCGATTACACGTCCCAACCACTTTACCGATGGATGGAGAACGAACACTTTCTTCCCTCCAACGGCAAAGCCGTATTCAGTGAGAACTCCGAGGAGCTCATCGAGAGTGGCCAAAAAATCTTCGAAATTGTTGTGGAATACTAAGACATCGTCTACAAATGCCTTGCAATTCGAGCGATGTTTCATGTTTCGCATTGCGTGATTTACCGCCCGGCAAAACAAGTGACCGCTGGTACGCAACCCAAAGGGTAAACGACTAAACATGAGTGTTTCGTTGTTCCATGTGATCGCGAGTTTGTGCTGGTCCTCGGGTCGAACACCAATATTCCAGAACCCGGCCGCGAGGTCCAGGACACCGAAATATTTGTTTCCGGGGGGAATTTCGATTTCTTGTTCCATGTATGGTAAGCTGAAGGTGTCAGCGTTGCGCAGAAGAGGGTTAACCGACAAGTTAAGATGGAGTATCATTCTCGTGTCGCCGTTTGATTTTAAAACACCACCAATCGGTGTATTAAAACCTCGAGAATTCGGACAAGGTTTGAGAATACCGAGTTTCTTCAGTTTCTCGACCTGTTCCGTAAGCGGTTCTACGAATCTTTCAGGAGTTCGAAACTGTGGAATGTGGCGAGACTTGCCGGGGATGGTGTCGATTTCTGCGAGATATCCCTTGAATTTACCGACAGGGCGATTCTCCGTGGAAAATGCCTGCCGGCGAGATACTAAAAAGAGTAAGGCAATTCTGCGAGCTTCACTCGGATCATCGCCAATGTGAATGTTCGCACCAATTTCTGATTTGACGATGTCGACTAACTCGTTTGTACTCATCGAATCGTACGCGGCGTGAACACCGTTTTCATCCGCGCGTTTAAAGAAGGATTGACGCTTGGGGTCATTCACGTAAGGAATACGAATTCGTTGATTCCTTATCGATTTGAAAAATAATGTTTGATCATCCAAGTCTTGTTTGATTTCAGAGCATCTTTCGTACATAGGGGTTCTTCCGAGAATAGCCGGAATCATCATTGTGTTTGCTGGTAGAACAAACCAGGTGGTGCGCGGCCAGTGCGAATCTGGACCGATTTTTATATCAGAAACAACCTTTCCGATGCATGAATTATTACTTCCTATGCCTCGAACAGTTTGATCTGTAGGTTCTATTTTTAAATCCAAATCTTGGACGACTTTTTCAGAAATAAGACTACCGAAAGAGCCGGGATCGTATAGGGTAGGTACCCACATGTCGGTTGTCCCGAACATGACAGGTAAATAAGTCGCTCCCGAAATGCCAAATGGATTCGGTTGAAACAGGATGGGCTTGTGTGTAGTTGCTATCTGTCCGGCGAATTCGCCGGACATGTCTAGTTTTTTGACTTCTCTTGTGTAGCTTCTGTATGTGAGACGAGATTCGTGTCGTAACAAGCAAAGCTGGGATCATACTGGGAATATGTTGATTGATCTGTGTAGTATGCGCTATCGTCGGCTTCGGGCTGCTCAGGAGCCTGGAAGCTTTCGAACTGCGGTTGGTAGTAGTCGCCTTGATGGACGACGTCAGGTTGAGCTGGTGGCTCAAATTGAGGGATTATCTGTTCTGGCTCATCCGCCGGAAGTGGCAATGGAACGTAAGACTCGTCAAATACCGCGTTTACGCCGTACATGCGAGAGTCGTTCTCGGTTTGGCTACGGTTGTAACCGTTGCCTTGGTTGTTGTAGCCGCTGTTGTATCCGTGGTTGTAGCCGTTGTTGTTACCTTGGACGCCATTGTTGTAGCCGCCGCGGTAGTTGTGAGACGGGTAACCGCCCCGGGGTGCGCCCCGAGATTGTCCCCGTGGGTAGAAATTCGCGCGTCGAGGTTGACCGCGATAGAAATTACCGGATGGATGACCGCGCGAAGTGCCCCTGAAAGGAGCACCTCGGTGGCCGTAGCCACCTCGGTATCCGGCTGGCTGACCTCGATGCTGTCGATAGTAACCTTGTGTAGTACTGGATTTATCGCTTTGCTTCTGCTTTTTGGAAGCATCCGCCCCGTCGGCAGCATTGACAGACTTGAAGCCGGTTTGAGAAGATAGAATTTCAGCGCGAGCTGAGAGCTGCTCTGAATTGTCGAAGTTATTCAGCTCGACGATTATCGAATTGTACAATTCGGAAGATTCCGATCGCACACACTGGAGCATTTTCGTGATGAGCATAATGCCAAAGGCGTCGCGGAATGATGGCTCCCTCTGCTTATTGTCTTGTTTGATCAGGATCGCCTTGATGTTTTTCTCATAGGAGGTGATGATAGGTTCGATGCTGTTCTGCAATTCGCAGTGAAATTCGGTGAAGCCCATTCCGCTCTTTTTCGGCTTGCTCCACCAATTTTCCATGAGTTGGAAGACGTTTTGGACTAAGCCGTAGTTGCTTGTCAAACATCGTGCCAACTCATCCATTGATTTTACGTCGCAGTTGTCTATGGTCTTGTTGACAGATACGCTCATCTTTGGTCTAATGGCCGCCAAAAACTTCGTAAAGCTAATGGTCGGACATGATTCCCGAATGGCCCTGATTCGGCTGATGTACTGAGCCGTTTGATCTTGGGCACCGCCGCTGAACTTGCCGAGATTGCTTAGCCCAGATACCAGGAGGTTAGTCTCCAAGTAGTCGGACGAAGCGGCTCCGTTCGCTGGAGAATTCTCGGAAGTGTCTCTTTTTGACATGTAAAGATCGCAAAGTTTCGCTTTTAACTCGGCTAATTCTTTTACATGTTTGTCCTTTGCAGCGATTTCTTCGGTTGATGTGGGTGGTCTCTCAGTGTACGTGTCGACGATGGCTTTCTTTCGAATAATCTCTCGCTGAATTTCTTCCATCGCTAGAAAAAAAAATTGATTGATTTTTGTCGAATTGAATTGACTCTGCGAAGGGCTTTTTATATTTGAAAAAAAAAAAAATAAAATCTTTATTTTTAATATTTATCATTGTTTTTAATATTTATCATTGTTTTTAATATTTGTCATTGTTTGTTGTTATTTTGATCGAAAGAATGAACCTTGACCACCCGGGCGTTAGCATTTTTGAAGAATCGACGTGAGCCGATTCTGGCGCTTTATTATCATTTTTATTTGTTTCTGTGTATCTTGGCCATAACATCATGGTCGCCTTATATCCGGAGTAGGCGCCAAGTGCTAAGAGATTGCCGCGTCTAGAATAGTCGACATTTAGATCGCGCCTTTCTCGAGCGCCGTTGACATTGTATTTGATTTTTATCATTTTTCTGTTTTTATCGTCGTTTTGATTTATTTGGACTCCTCGCGAGCGAATACCGGTGATTTGATCGTTTTTCGTTACTCGGAGCCGCTTCGCGGCTTTTTCGAAGAGACGAAAGGCCCTCTACCGGTATTCTAGTGGCCTTATGGGCCACTACCGTGTTTTTATTCTCTAAGTAGCTTGTCTTGTGTCGACTTTGTGTCATTTTTCTCGTATTTCGAAGTCGCCCCGGATGAGGTTCCATTCTCCGAATTTTTATTCATTCTTTTTATAAATCTTATAAAAATTTTAATAAAAATTGGGGACTCTAGATCCAGATCTTCTGCACCACTAATGGGTTCCCAAGACTTGTATCAACCAAGGATCAGACGTGAACGCCTTTCACCCCGGAAAGTTCTGAGGCCCATCTATGAATCTAGAATCTGTCCCTGCAATAAAATCTCTTAATACCGTGAATCTCTAAAACTTGTTTATTAGCTCTGACTGAGCGATAGACATGAAAAATCGTAAATACAGTGTAAGCCCTAAACTGGTAAAATGCAGAGTGAAGAATCTCTCCGGCTACTTTGCCGTCGAGCGAAGATTCGCCTACGCGGGCCCGAGGCGGAAACGCGCAAGTCTGGAGAACCAACAAACTCGTGATCGAGAAGGACATTCGCGGGAGCGGCAACGCCACTAGATCCACCTTGGACCATCTTCTGTGGCGACTGCATAAAGAAACGATGTCCACGAATCGTTTCATACTCGTAGCCGATAAAGCCTCGGCAAGACTGGGAAATATCCCAACGAAGAAGGAAATTCGAACGATTTATGAAACCTTGCTGCTCGATCCCTTTGAGTTCGGAATACCAGCTTAATAATTTAGTTAAGAAAGAGGACGATGAAAGGAGACTTTTTACCTAAAATCGCCGATTTTCAGACAAGACCACGACGGAAATCTAGGAAGAAGCCCCTTCGGAGAATCGGTTGTTTCCATTCCAGTGAGAAATCGATTCTTATTGGCGATAACAGATGTGATATCGTCAAGTGGAACCGTTTCATCAGAACCATCGTTTTCACGATCGCTTTTTTGAGAAGCGGATAGCTGGGATTTCGGTCCGTCCAACTGAAAAAGGTTCGACTTAAAAGACGAAAACGGCAGACCTTTAGTTGAGAAAGAACTTCTTGAAGCTGTGCTGACTCTGCATTGTATGTATCAAAAAAGATCTTGTCTTCTTTCACATGAAGTTTTGACTCCAAATCATCATAAAAAGTATAATTCGCTTCCTCGAGAGTAAAAGGATCATCGCGCTGGACTTGGATCTCTCCGCATGTAGAAGCGGTAAGAGACTTTGATCTGGAATTGTGAGTCATCACCAATCCGTCACCTGCTTCTCCTGGTAGCCGATGCCATTTATGAACGCAGTGTCGATCGGTGAGTGATCTAACTTCGCATAATTGACGGCCATTGTGCCATTCGGCCTTGCACTGCTCTTTCAATTGTTTTTCGTATGTCTTAATCATTCATTAGAATACATAAATACAAATTTAAAAAAACCTTCGCAGCTGGGCCTCTTGCATATCCATGATAGACCATCAACGCCTGGTCCACCTGATTGTTATGAATTCGAGTCGTATAATGCGATGGAAGATTGGTCAAATAAGTCTTGTATGCCTCTGGCACAAGTTTACCACATCGCTGGTCAGAGAAAGTCCATTCTGGATTCAGAGCTTTTTGAAGCTTTGCAAGGACAGCCTCTCGCATTTCATATGCTTTTGTAGAATCCTCTTCCCCGATGCTTTCCGGAACTCTGCCTTGGACAATGTATTGGAACAAGATATCAGCTACTGGAAGCAGCTGGTTGAGTTCAACGGGCTCTTGAGATCTTGAACGAGATCTTGAGGACTTTCCACAAATGTTGTCAATGTGGACAGAGAGAAAATTCCAAACTTCTTCTCCCTGATCGAGCTTCGACTTCCATGAGTCAAACTCAAGCCACATATCTTCAGCCCTCCTTCGTTTTGGTAACCATGAGCGATCAGAGGCGGCAATCTCGATATCCCGTTGCACCTTTATCGACTCTTGGAGCAAGTCCAAACAAGCAGGAATAGGCAAACACTCTTCATTAATCTTCGACTCCTCTGGCTGCAAAACAAAAATGAAGGCCGTCTTTTCAGAAATCTTGAATAAATTCGAGGGGGTTTTCTCAGGAATAAGGCGCCCATTCTTGAAAATATTGATTATCTGGCGCTCCATGCAATCAATGAGTTTCTTCTGAGGGACACGCTTCCTCTTTCCTCTTGAATAATCGCCATCTGCGAAGTCTCGTAAATCTTCTTGGGACAAACCACATTTTTCAAAAAGAATTAAAAGCTTGGGTTGAGCGATACGAGCATTTTTAATCCAATGCGACTCTAAAACCAAAAATTAGTCAATAAAAATGGAAGGAATAACTTACTAGCTCCAATTGAACCGATCAGCATTGAAAGCTGACTTAAGATCAGCTTTCTGCATTCACTTATGGCCAGAAACTGCGTCGATAGTTCCACATCCAACGATGTACTTGGTTGAACAAGAAGAACAAAGTGACAGATAGACATAAGAAAAAGCGACTGGATGCACATTTGAACATCGAAATCCTTCAAAATCTTCTGCGCATCAAACTCATTGTCGGTGTTTTCAATCAGCTTCGCGATTTCGATGAGTTTTGAAAAGTCGTTAGTTCCATTAGGGATGAGAAAGATCACTTTCTCTGTGGCACACCAGTAAATGTCGATTCCGCTGTCAGCGAAGGTAGCGGCTTTTCTGAATTCGCGTTTGGGACGAAGAAGCGGAAACAGAACCTGTCCAAAGAGAATTATAACAATGTATTCATGTCGTAACGAACCTGATCTAATTTCTTTCCAAAGCGACTTTTTCCAATTAGAGATATAATGCAAAATTTCTGACCACATGAACTAAGCCACTCAAAAGCATCGTCATACAATTTCAAAGCTTCCAAGTTGTATTCAATGAGCTTCGAATCGTCTAGAAGGTCATCAGTGGGGATCGTCTCCTCCTCGCTCTCTAGCGGAGGGATTGAAGGAGATTCAATATCTGAGCGAGATTTGACCTCAGAATCCGCATCTTCCTCAACCATCTTATTACAACCAATTGTTAGTTTTGACTGCGATAATTCAAGAAGACAAAGACCAATTTTTGAAGATTTAAATGAATTTTTATTAACGTTTTCATGTTTCAACAAAACGACAAAGGAACAAGTTACAGTTTTGATTGAAAAAATAATGGCAAAAGAGTAGAATGTAAATAGGTTTACCTACAAGGCGTATTAAAATTGAGCTTGATAAGGGCTATCTTTTGAATTTTTAGTGGCTGTGAAAAAAGAAACAGCTTGAATTACAAGTAGTTAGAATAATGAAATAAATGAAGACTTGGAGGTACAGGGGCCGGAGATTGTAATTAAGAAAACGAGCAGGTGAAATCCCTTGATCGACTTTTTTGAATACTTTTTTAGTTGAAATTTGAATGAACTTAAAATTTTTGGGTTGTGTAAGTTTCTATTTATTAGTTAAAAAAAAGTTATAAAAAAGTGGTAATGGATAAGTACAGTACATGCTGAAGCAACGAAACCTAATGTTAGAACTTTGAGAACTGTGCGAATGTGGCTATTTACATCGGAAAGACGAACGTGCGAGGTGATGCAAAGGTAAATAGACATGTTGTTTCATTTTGATTTTTTGAAAAAGTAGTTTTTCTTCCGCTTTGAAATCACCTTTGAATAAATTTAGCCATGAAAGAGGGTGGGTTCTTGAATCAAGAACTTGTTGATGAATGAATGGACAGTTATCAGTTATCAGCCGGGGAATACTCTTCCCAATTGCATTTTTAGTTAGTAAAGAAGTTAAAGGTCGTATTTTCGTGTCAGGTTGCTTTTAGCAGCGGGTTGTTCTTCCAGACGGGCATAGATCTCCGTCAGGGTCTGGTTTAATCTTGAAGATTCGTCGACTGCAGGTTGAGCGAGCGACTCGCCGAGTTCAAAGAGCGATACGCGTCCGTTTTGGCTTCCAGTAGCGAGCATCGTGCCGGACTGGTGCCACGCCAGCGAGTTAAGGCCTTCAGAGCCGTTGTTGACCATGCTTGAAGCAATCGGTACCTTTCAAAGATAATTAACGCAGGTTTATTTCTACTAGATCTACCTCAGTATCGACATTCATATTCCAGAAAGATAGTCTTCCAGTCAAATCAGTAGCCGCAAAGAGTCCCGGATGAATTGGCGACCATCCAACGTCCAAAACATACGCACCAAAGTTCTCAAAGCTAGAATCAAAGTTTCAGAAAAATAAAATGAAAATAAGAGACCTGTGAAGAGGAGTATCATTTTTAGTAGACCACAATTTAACGGTCCAGTCGAACGATGAAGAAAGAAATAAATGCGAAAAGTCCATTTTAGATTGCGCGCGATGGCAATCTAAACCGGTGACCATGGCTCCGTGTTTCTCATACGCGTCAGAAATTCCCGGCTGAACCTCATTTGAAAACAACTAAGATACGCAGGAGACCGACCTTTTTATTGGCATGTCTCTGGCCAGAGTAAATGACTCCATCTTCGGAGCCGACAACAAAGTTATTTACAGAATCTCCAGGAAATGCCAGTGCTGATACAGAGACACTTTTTTGATTCGCTTTAGCTTGCAACTCGAGGCATTCCTAACATAGAACTTAAAGAATTATCATAAATATCATCTTTACCTGTGGCTTCGAGAACATGTCCAAACTCCAAGAACATAATTTGCCATCAGTAGATACGGAAATAACATTATGAGCATTTTGACTGCCCACGACGTCTATACAGTAAACTGGATGCGTATGCGCGGATGCTCCTAGCTTTGTTCTCTGGACTGGAGTCCTCTTGAATGTTCTAAAAAATCATGCGAAGGGATTCGCGTAAAGATTATACCTGTTGTCCCAGATAACGATTTGACCACTATAAGTTCCTCCAATCAATAAATTTGGATGATATCTGAATACTCCATCAATAATTCGCTCAGAGAGAAGCGACTTACTTTGCAAATTTAACTTTAGTAACAGGCGACTGGCAGTGGAAGACATATTCAGGTGCCGTCTTGCTCAGCTTCGAATTCCAGATGAGTGCAATGCCGTGTGGATCAACCTCTGACGCGGGATTTTTGAGATATGAGGAAGCTAACAATTCCGAGAATTGTGGCGACCAGTCAAGAGATGAACACAGTCTGTTTCTCGACCAGTGTTCGTCGAAGAAAACGCGACTTTCCCGAACTGCGTCGGTTTGCTGCTGAATTGTTTGCTCTGCAGCTTCGCCGGTGTAATCGGCAAAAATATACTAAAAATAAGAAACAGAAAAGAAGGAATAGCCCTACTTTGCTATCTGCATTTGGGTCATGAAGAAGTCTTTCAACAATTCTCGTCGTTCGGTCGAAAAATGCCAAGAATTCAGGTTGATTTGACGCTCTTAAACGTTTGAGAACAGCAGTTAATCGACAACCTACCTTTCAGCTTCGGAATCGGTGTAAATACGCTTCGGTAGCTTTTCTTTTTCTTCCCTCTTTTCAGGTTGGGCGGTAGTGGTTGATTCCGCTGGAGCTTCGTTTTCTTTGTTTTCTGCGACGACAACTTCGTCTTCGTCAGCTTCTTCTTCCTCTTCGACAACTATCAAAAGGTATTATCTTACTCAATCTTAGGCTGTCATACCTAAAGTTTGAGTTTCTTTAGCATAAGTGATGAGCTCTTTTGGTTGAATCGTATGTAGCGCAACTTGAGTTGTTGTCAATTTTGGTGGTTGTCTTGGCTTTTTTCTACAAATTTCAGTTAGCGAAATAACAACGACTAATAAAGACAATTATCATTTACAACGTTGCGCGCACGTAGATATAAAAAGCTATTTTTGATGTAAATATAGTCAATATTATATACCGAGTATTTCAGACTCAAAACCCGAGAGGCGCCGTCACTAAAGCATCCCCATAGTCTGATTGGCTTTAGGTAATACAGCTAATTTAGATTTTCAAAAGTTTCCATATATGGAAACCTTTGAATTTCTCGGGGCAAACGCTTGAAATACTCGGTAGATTCAAAAGCGATGAAACTAACAAAAAGGGTTTACGAAGTACATGGTGGATTACCGCGTGGTGGGTATTTGAAATGAAGGGAGCTGGAGGTGGATCAATAGCGGATCCCCGTCCCAGTCAAGTGTGCAGCTAAATAATTGTTTCAAACTAGCAATGCAGAAGCAACATAAAAGCGGATTTCAACTCATAAAAATCACGTACCCAGGTTTATCGGCTGATTCCGACGTGGTCGTATCCGTTGATGACTTCGGCGAGGGAGGTTGAGCAACCTCGGCAGGAGGTGCAGCTTCCGGAAGACCAAGATTTTGGAGTAGCATTTGCGTTTCATCTCTTTTCTGGTCGAGGTCGGATTTTTTCACTTCGACCACAGTTCTCTCAGACTTTTTCGCTTCCTTGAAAAGATCATGATCATTAAACCTTTTGGAAAACAAGGTTTGTTAGCAAAGCTTGCGTTAAATTTCCTATACCCTAGAGAAGCTGCGTAAAAATTTGCGTATTGAAGATCCTTTGGATCCTTTCTTAATATCAGACAAATAATTTGAAAGCTTGTGATTAATTACCTCCTTTCTTTGTTTTTCTTTCCGCATTTCGGCCAATTTGGCCTTCTTGCGCTCTAACTCCGCCTTCCGGAGGTCTCGATCCGCCATTCTTCAAGAATAGATTTGGAAAAGCGTTCAATGACAATAATTTAGTGATTAGGCAGCAAACATTAATAAGATCTAATTGATTAATTACTGAACAACTAAAATTGCTGCTGGGCGGCATAATTCGGCGGCAGAGATTAAAAATTTTACTAAAATGAGAGTGAAAGCAGGAGCATGGATCAACGGCGTCGAGAAGAGACTAATAAAAAATTCGTTAGTATTAGGAATTACTCAACGTTGATTTCAACGGACAAAGAGATCGATAAATGTCTCTCCACTCACCTTTCTCACCGCGGTAGTCTCTATCCCGATTTCTATCCGCATCCCGTCGGTTGTTGCCTCGATCGTAATCCCGAGCTCGTTCTTTACGATCTGGAGTTCGTTCCCGACTATAATCGCGTTTCTTGTCCCGGGACCGTTTTCGATCACTACGCCGGCTCGTCCTAAAATCGATAACAGTAAATATAAACGAGGATAATCTTGTCTTACTTCTCCGGTTCCCGTCGCGCTTTTTTCTTATCCGGCTTGCGGCTCTTCCGAGCAGAGACAGATCCATCAGATGCAGAAGAAGATGATGAGGAAGAGGAGCTTGATGAACTTGAGGATGACGAGGAACTACGAATATGAATCTGACCATGGAAATATTTATCTACCTTGATTTCCTCCTTCTTCGATCTTTCTTAGCCTTCTTAGACTTGCTGGTCTTTCGATCATCTCTTCCCCGTCGATCTGGCGATCTGGAACGCGATCGTCCCCCGGAGCGATCTAAAAATCGTCAGATTCTGAAAAATTTTCTCTTCTTACCTGCAGCCCTCTCAAAGTTTCTGACAGGTGAAGGTGATCGGGAAACTCTCCTCTTCTTCAGAATCTCTTCTTTTTTGCCGTAATACGGATCATAAGGCGAGGGACTTCGCCGCCTCTCGTTCTTTGGGGATTTCTCCCGTTTACGACGAGGAGGAGGTGTGACACCACGACGAACAACCGGAGCTTCTGGAGTTCTTGAACGACGTCCCATCGGACGCTGGATTGTGACCGTATGTTTGATTTGTTTATCCTAAAGAAAAATTAATCTTCGCATCATCGACAATAATCAACCTTGAATCGTTTCTGGGTATCATATTCTTCATCAGAGTAGTCATTTAGCTCAACTTTGACTTCTTCTTGCTGTTTTTCTTGAAGTCTCTCTTTTTTCTTCCGCAAAAGCTTCTCCTTCAAACTTTCTTCTCTAAAAAATAGATTATTTGAGATGAAATTCTGATTTGAGCTTACTGTTTTCCGAGATTTTTCATTTTCTCCTTCTGTGCTTCTTCTAAGGCAGCTTGCTTCTTGGCTTCTTCAGCATCTTTCTTGGCTTGCTCAGCTTTTCTTCTTGATTCAATTTCTCTCTCGAGTTCTTGAATTTCATTGTATTCAGTTTCTGTCTTCATTTTATCGAACAGGAAAGTGAGCAGTCGGACAGCTTCCAGTCGTCGCTGGGTAAGAAGCAGTTTTCGCTCTTCAAGCTGAACTCTAGGGAGAACTTGAATAAAAATACGTTTTTGTTAATTCACCGTTGTTCAACTCGCTTTTGCTCCTTTTCTCGCTGTCTTTCCAATCGTTTTTGTCTTCTAGCTTCTTCCCTTCGTCTTCTTCTCTCTTCTTTATTCTTCTGTCGCTCAGCTTCTTTGAGTTTTTCCTCTTCAAGCCGCCGCTCTTCTTTTTCAATTCTCCGTTTCTTTTCATCGGCCATAGCATCTTCTTCTTTGAGAATTCTTCTTCGCAAAAGGTATCGCTTTTTCAACTCTCGCTCTGACAAATGCTTCGTGGTATCGAACTTGACTTCAATCGGAGCAGAGTATGACTTTTCGCCTTTGTGGGCAAACTTCATGTCTCGCAGAGCATCCATGCAGATCATGAATCCATCATAAGACTTGTATTGAATAAAAACATCGAAGAGGACGGGATTCGCATGAGCCCGTGCATCGACTCGAGGATCAATCTTTGGAAATTTATTGAAGAAGAAAATCGAGTTTTAATATGCTACCTTTGGACGATAAGGATCGAGAACTGGAATGTCATGTTGGCGGATTTCTCCAAACTTTTGGAAAACGCGGAGAACGACATTTTCTGACGGGCGAGTATTGTCTCCTACTTTGAAAAAGCTGCATGGAAGCTTGGAAATGTGGACTGTATCGGGTCGTTCACCTGGCTTTGTTTCGTCGTACTCAGGTGCGTCACGAAAAAAATTATTCCACTCGGCCTGAAAAAAGATAAATGTTAAAGAGCTCACCTAGAATTCCCTTACCTTAGTTGGATAATTCGATTTTGCAGCGCCACAACGAATCTTGAAAGGCTCATTAAACCCTGAAAGCTTCATGTGTTTGCCATCAAGGCGAGAGGTTACATCATCCATGACGGGTTTATTTGCAACTTCTCCTTCAAAACGGATGAAGTCAAGGGTCGACTTTGTGACCTTAATATGCGTAAACTCTCGCGGCGAGACCATCGCCTTCAATCGTTCCATGACTTCCCAGTTAGAAATAGCTTTTTGGTTGCGTTTGTTCACAATGGCTGGAATCGCCACGGAGATGTTCAAAATTGCGATCGGCTTCAAGTACAAGTTGTCCTGCGCGGAGAGCTCTTTCAAATCGGAAAGATCCTTCAGCTCCAAAAAATTGGTCATTCGTGAAATGCCACCCGGCGTGATGACTTTCTTCGAAAGACTGCTGCTCATGAATTGATTTCGGTAGGATGCGGAGGTATCTCGCGATTTTTGGCGAGACTTTTCTCCTTCTGCCGGCCCTCCGGTGACCTCCTTTTGCTCACCATAGGTGAAATCACAGCCTCCTCCCGCGGGCATGGTGGAAAAGATTCAGACTGTCTGAACAAGGCTGCTGTTACTCTTCCTTGATTTCATTTAAGTTTCACGTCAAAAAAGAAAGTTTTTGTTGTTATTTTGTCAGCGACTTGATGGGTGTTTATTAATATTGGAATGTGAATAAAGTGAGAAGTGAACTGTGTAAGAAAAAAAAATATGGGCAGTGGGACGCTCCTTATTCAGTCGATGTCTTGATCTTGAAGTCCTTGAAGTTGCCGCTTTCTTGGACAAGCTCTAAGTCTTGTTCGTTTGCTGAATAATAAGATAATTAAAGTTATGAAACCAAAATCTTACCGAGATAAAGAAGACAAACGAGCGACATGCTTGTTGTCAGGTTTTTCTTGTCATCTCCATCAAGACATTCGTCCAACTCGTTTCTCAACTTCGAAAACTGATAGACTTGCTCTTCTTCATTTTCGAAGGCGCTCTCGTCGAGTCTCGATTGCGTAGCGTTTGCGTCGCTCTCAATCAAACTCTTCATCTGCCCCTTGACGCGTCGGACATTCACTCGCCGAGGACGACGGTCGAAGTTGATAAATAGCTTCTCAACTGTTTTTCGCTGGAGAAGATTGTCATCGCCAAACGTTGGCTAAATAGTGAGTTAAATTTATACTGAAAGACATTAGTTACCTTTGGAAGGATATCTTCGGGAACCACTGTTGGAGGTCCCTCTTCTTCATCCTGAGAGTCGAAAATAGCACCGAAATCTTCAATGGGTCCATCTTCTATGTTATCGTATTCGATGGGCTCCGGAACGAACTCGTCGCTTATTTGCTCCTCTTCATCTGCTTGGTCTAAGTCGAGCGGTTCGATTTCATCTTCTCCATCACCAACTTTCTCTAGCTTTTTGAACGGAATAGAAGTCCTGAAACAAGATGAAGAAAGGGACCTTGACAAAGACATACCGAAGTTTGAAGTGCAAGAATCGCGTCTTGCGACTTATTGGCAACTCGACTCCTGGATTTTTCATAAATGTAGCTTCAGCTGCATCTTCTTTGATCTTCGTCTTCTGAGTCAACTTGTAGATGGACAAGTTGATCATTCCTTGCGCTTGTTGCTCGAACTCTGTGAAAATTGTTTTTTTCTCGGGAGTTTTCTTCGCAAGTTTCTTTGAAACCCGAAGTTTCTTTGCTTTAGGCTCTTTTCCTTGCGCAAGGGCTTCGTTCTTTTTCACAATCGCTAAATTAGAGATGAATAAACGGCTGGGTCCGCATTGCCAAGGATCCAATATGGTCCATACTCACGGCAGGTGAAGGCGCCAAGCCGAGGCAAGGAGATGCAACGCGACCACCGTCATGTGCTAACTCCCGCAGAGGCAGCACCTCGGCCTAACTCGACGGTGGTGAGGCCACTCAGCATGTGATGGCTGAGCTGATGTGCTAACATAATGAGCGAGTTGAGCTCATTAATCAGATTAAGCTCAACCCCCGGATGAGCTGCAAATTTGGAGATATGGAGGATAAAAAATTGAATTTTCTGAAAGTTACCCCAGTAGGGTTTTTTGATGCGAGGAATCCGAATCTGAAAACAAAAAAGAGTTTAAATGTCTAATTTACACAGGGCAGTAATGTTCGCGAAATTTCCTGTCCAAAGTAAAAAAGCCCTCCACGATCCAGAAATTTCGCTAAGATTACTGATGAAGTAGTTTACACTGTACTTTAAAAATTCAATACAACAATCATGATATGCATTAATTGTCATCTATTAAAGGGCAGTTATCTTAGCGAAATTTCCTACCCAGAAGAGAAAAGCCACTCAGGATCTAGGAAATATCTTTATAAGGGCAGGAAATTTCGCTAGAATTACTGCCCGTGAAGGTATTAATTGGATTTTGATGGGCATTCTTCTAATTTCGCGAACATTACTGCCCTGTGTAAATTAGACATTTAAAGTCTTTTTTGACTTTAGATTCGGATTTCACGCATCAAAAAACCCTACTGGGGAACCTTTTAGAAAATTCAATTTTTTTTCCTCCATATTTCCAAATTTGCAGCTCATCCGGGGGTTGAGCTTAATCTGATTAATGAGCTCAACTCGCTCATTATGTTAGCACATCAGCTCAGCCATCACATGCTGAGTGGCCTCACCACCGTCGAGTTGGGCCGAGGTGCTGCCTCTGCGGGGAGTTAGCACATGGCGGTGGTCAGGTTGCATCTCCTTGCCTCGGCTTGGCGCCTTCACCCACCGAGAGTATGGACCATATTGGATCCTTGGCAATGCGGACTACCCCGAATAAACATCTAATACCGTTAATTTACCTTGAATTTTTGGAGGAATTCGTGGTACGCGAAATCTGTGGGTCTCGCGCCTGGACTCAAAAATTTTATCCAAAACAGAATCGTCAAGATTATCCGTTTGCACGGCAGTCTGTTCATAATCAATTTGCGGTAGCGGCGTCATTGGAATGGTGGGAGTCGGAGGTGGCAAGACTTCACTGGCAACTTCTTCGCCAAGATCTTCAAATAGCTTTTCAGGGTCGATACTCGGCGGGCAGACAAGGTCAGGTGCGGCTTCAAAATTTTCAGACTCGGGCAAGTCCAAGTCGTCACCGAAGTCGTTGAGGTCAGGGGCGGCGAAAATAATAGATTCTTCGTCTTCTGGATCAAATGCAGGTTGCTGCCTAGTATATGACTTGAAAGAGATTCGATAATATGCAATAATTTACGATTGGGAGGGAGCAGGTGCGGCGGGTGTTTTCAGCCGATCTTCGATTATGTTTTTGTCAAAGCTTCCCGCGAAGTTTGGATGCTGATGAATGTCGACAAAGAGATCTTCGCCTGCATTAATCACGTCTTCGAACAATTCAAAGCTGAAGACAGGCAAATTGTCTATAAACAAATCAATCGAAAGAATTAAAAAACGTTGATTTACTGCTCGGTTCGTCGTCTTTCTTTTTGATTCTGGAGCTTGACTCGTTTGGAACGAGTTTCAGATCATTGAATGATTCTAACTGTTGGTTCTGGATGCGAAGCTTGGAAATGTCAGTTGCACTGTCGAGTTTCGAAGCTACTTCCAAAGCGTAAGGGTCTTTCAGCTGATCAACTTTTTTGTTCGAGATCGGAGTCGGATCCTGAAATAAGTAAGTAGACTTTTAAAACCTGAAATTGCATTTTACTGGGTAAAGAAGCTTCAGTCGCTTTTTCTTTGTTTGCTTCTTTTTTGACGCCACATCTTGAGAATCTCCAGGCTGACTATCGTCTGGATCAGCTTCTGCTTCTTTTGCATCAACCAGGTCTGAAATCAACTGAATGCCTTATTGCTTTTGTCTTTTTGGTACCTTTCGTAATCTGACAAGCTTCATTATAAATAGCATCGACTTTGTAGCACCAGATTTTTGTTGCTCCGTCCAAAGCAGTCGCAGCTTCCGCAAAATCAACTTTGGCCCTAAAAATTCGTTTAGCCGTATTGAAAAATTTGCCTGTGGTTTACTCGTTGGATTTTTTGAAAAGAGTCGACGCAAGGTTCAAGTTGAGCTTGTATACGTTTTTCTCGTTGATCTTATTTTTCATGAAGAGTTCCATCGTGTGTTTGTACTGAGCTGAGACTTCTTCTTCCGTCTGCATTTCAGTATGAAGATCTGCTCGCATTTCCGCAGCGTTTCTAATAGTCCGATCTAAAGCCGAAGTTAAAGACTTTTAGAAAAATATCTAGCTTGCCTTTTTGGTTTTCTGGAGTCTTTCCATGATCACCGACCGTCTTTTGAGATTTCTACTGACATTGGAGTCCATCGTCGACGTTTCATCTTCGATGTCGGAGTCGAACGCATCACTGAATTTTATTTTCTCGGGTTGGAAACGAAGAACATCCATTTTTGGAAAAATCGAATACATAATGTTAGAATTTCAATCGAGCTCTGGGAAATTACTGATAAGGAAAGCTTACTTTTGGGGAGGAGGAGCCAGCGACTGTCTCTTCTTGGTCTTTTTCGACTTGGGACGTCTGATTTCGAACGAGTCATCGTTTTCTTCTTCCATCATTTTCTCAAACGAGCTCTGAAAACATGGTATTTGGCAAAAGAGAACCATAAAATGTCATTTAGGCAAGGAATGTAAATGATAGATTTGATTTTTTCACTCTCAAGATAATTCAAAACAGATTTGCTTCACAAACTCATTGATGTTAATAAAAATATAATTTAAAAAGTTTTCATTGATAAAATCAACTCCCGAAAATTGCGCGCGCGACGGTTTTTTTTTCTTCGCTCGCCCACGCAATTCTCCGGAGAAGGCCCCCGTTCTCGGACGAAAAGGAAGAAATGCAAGTTCCGGTTGCTGATTGAGAATCTTCACATATTGAATGTGACTCCTTCTAGAAAATTGCAGCTTCGACAAATTGGACAAATCAGAATACGATGTCAATTTATTCTTAGTATATTTTCTAAATATGATGGTTTTATTGTCAGAGACATTTTCTTTGTACAGCTCTAAAACCTTCTTCTTCATACTCCGCCTTGGATACCATCATCGCTCTTGCCCCAGGAGCCTCTCCCAAAATAGAAGCTCCTAGCCACGTCGATATCTCAGCTTTGCTCGAGGACTCAATATTTATCGGCGCTCTCTCGGGCGAACTCTTTGCCATTTCGATGCTCAGTCGTTCCTCGAAACCATCAAACTCTGCGACTCCTCCGCTTATCAAAATGTTGCTGTACATTTGTCTTCGCATCGACATGTCCACACTTTTTTATGCAGGCCGAGAGCACATCATGAATTCCTTCATCGTTTTTGCCCAGTACTGCTGGGTTGAACATGGCTTCTGGACATCTGAATCTCTCGTCGCCTAAAGTTATTCGTTGCCCATCTGGGAGATCGAACGATTTCTCGTAGAACTCGCACAGAAGTCGCTTATTTTGACTCTTTGACAGATCACTTCGAATTGGTTCAAAAATGATCATAAATTATGAAAGAAGAAAATTTCAAGTTGTGAACCAAACATTTTGAAAACATCGAGAAACATAGCAAAGACCTTCTTTAATTCTTTTCGCGAACTCAAAATCCCGTGATGAGCTCATCAGATTGAATCCTCTCTCAGTCATTATGCGAGTAAGATAGTCAGTCAACTGGCGACCTGAGACCTCGAAGAGTCTCGTCTGTGAAGGCAAAATAATTCCATCGAAGACGGAGCAGATGGTTGTTGTCAGATCTCCCCCGTGAACTGAAAATATTTTGATGAGAATATTCGCAGCTTCCTAGGGGCCTTACCTGAGACCCCTGTAACTTTGCCAGCAGCATAAAGACTCAGAGGCGGTGTTACAGAAGTAAGAAATCTTGAAAAATGAAAGCTCTCAAAAGCCAACTCTGCAAAAAAGGACCTCGAGCTTAGTGGTGTGAGGTAGTCTTCTGTGAGAATGAGTTCTCGGCCGTTTGGAAGCTCACCAAGTCCCTCCAAAAATGCCCTTTCCCAGATAATTTCTATTTCTTCTGGATTCAATCGTTGCCGATCAAGTTTCGCATAAGAAAATATAAGATCTTCCCAGTTTGAAGCAATTTCGTTGTTTAGGTAGTGAGTTTGGCTCATTTTCGGACCCCAAGGTTTCGGTCTTCCAACGATTGAAGGCATAGTCTTTTGTTGGGCTCAATAAAATGAAAAAAACTAATTGTTTTCTGTCATTTAAAACCCATTCCCATGGAGCTTCATCGCCAGTTTCACCAATTTTTGTAACGCTTGCACCGTTGTCCAAAACTACAACTGGACGTTCCATTCTCATTTATTTCTAGTGTTTTCAACTGTCTCTCTCTCTATGAAATAAAAATCTGCAGAGAACGAGGGATCACAATTGTCTGCAGAGTCGTAAAGCAAAAACTGTGAGAAATGTCTTTTCGTCGGACGAGAAGAATCCGAGTAATGAGCGGCGGTCGGTCGCACTTGGGTGGCATTTTCTGAGACTTTTCTATCTTGGCCTTGTTTTTGTTCAGATTTAGATTGATCCCTTTGGTTATGCTTGTTCAACTAAAATTACTTTTCATGCTGGCGTGAAGATGCCGAGAAGTCGTAAATGCGCTCACGAGTTGACGTAAATGCATCCACTTGAATACCAACTGGCGGAGCAGATCTTCTGAGACTCTCCAGATCTTTCAGCCAATCTGCCATACTTGAGCTAAGAATAAAACCCAAAGGTTTCCTGCTCGATTTCATCAATTCAACTTACAAAGAATAAAAAAATGAAACTTTTCGCTACCTTCGCCCTCTTCGCTTCTTCGAACGCCACCTTCGCTCGAAACAATGTCGAGGCCATGTGCACCAGCTGCCTCTCTGACCCCTCTGATGCTTGCTGGGGAGCGTGCTACTCCATGTCTTCTCGATCGGGTACCACTGTCCATGATGCCATCGTTGTCCCACAGGTGAGACTGATTCAAAACGATGTATTTTCTACTTATTAATTTAAGTGCACTAGCTGTCTCTCTGAGCCATCAGATGCCTGCTGGGGAGCGTGCTACTCTCTTGGAACCACTTTCTCCAACGAGGAGATCGATTCCATGTGCACTAGCTGCCTCTCCGAGCCATCCGATGCATGCTGGGGAGCTTGCGCTCGATCAACCTCCGCCCAGTTTGCGATCAACAAGGACTTCGTCAAGATGTTCGAAGGCATGAAGGGACAAAGCCGATGCACCAGCTGCCTCTCCGACCCATCTGATGCTTGCTGGGGAGCGTGCGCCTAAAGAATGCGTGTTCTGACCGGCTGAAATGGACCGTTTTCAATGTCCCTACAATTTCTCCTGTTCTTACTGTTGTTCTGAATGGTGTAATAAATGTCTTTCCATATTTCTAGAAGCAAATCAACTGATGTTTTTAAGTATTTTCTTTTTCAAATCGCAATGAGACTACTTTATCTTTTTATATTTTCTTACTCGACTGCAATCACTTTGGAGGCATGCAACGAGCTTCTGAAGAAACAATCAAAAACTATTTCTTCTTCAAGTGCACCGGAGGCTAATTGGAAACGGTGCGACGACTTGCGAGTGAGGGATGAGAAAATTCGAGTTAGAAATGCTCTAAATTTCTTCAAAAGAATTAGTCGAACGCTCAAGCTGCTTCAGGAAAAGATCAAGGTAGGCATTTAGCTCATTTATATGGGGTTTATTCAAAATTTCGCAGGTCAGCGAAAGAATTGAATGCAGTCATTATCGTATTCTGTTGGAGGCGTCTGAAGCGTTGATTTCAGTGCCAGTAAACATCATCAGCTCAAGGAAAAGATCCATATAATTGTCTGTATATTACTGCTGAAAATTTTTGATCTCAAAAAGCACAAAGACGTCTTTATACAAAGAAAAAGTCAGCAGCCTCCTGCTACATTCAATTGAGACAGTCTATCTTCTGAATAAAAGTCTCAGCAAAAACGATGACTGCATTCGAACAGGCAAAATCACTAATAACATTGATAAACTTCGACAACTCCACCTTGCTATCAAAAAATTGGAAAATCCTTTAGGTAGGGATACTGCGTCTTGTTTGTTTATTCAATTTTCTAGATAATCCTGAGCCAATTTATGCTGATTATTACGACGGAACAGAAGGTCACTTTGAAAATACTGAAATCGCTTCAAGTTCGACACTATCGAAAATTCTCTTCGCTGTCTTTATTTTGCTGTTTATTTTCGCATTTCTTTTCTGGGCCATCAATCTGCAGCACACAACTCCTGATGTTCCTGGATACTGAGAATCTTTAGCAGAAACATTTTATTTTTAGAGGAAAAATGAAATTGAATCAGTTGATATTACTTCTTGGAGTGGACGCAGTCAGACATAGGAACAAAAAATACTCAGATGATGAAACTTTCACTTACAAAACAGGTACTGTCTTTGTTAATTGGAGTTTTTAAAAATTTTTAGAAACGCAAGTTCAAAATGTTGCAGAGCTCAGCGGAATTGAAGAGTACATTACAATGATTGAAGATGAAATTAAAGCAGCAAGAAAGGCTGACAAGATCCTCAAAGACAAACCCAAGAAAAAAGGAAGAAAGAAACATAACGTCTCCTTTAAATACATCATCTCAGGGAATGGTCAGCATAAGCTTGATTGATGAATGAATGTTTGATATGTTATTAATTTCATCGATGACCAACGCTAAGCCTTTGTTACATCGTTTGGAGTTTTCACAATTCTGGCACTTGTTCTTCCTAAACCAAAACCAGAGTCAGCTATCGGAGTATCTGCTGGCCCAAAGGATGAAAGTCGCAGGAGAGAAAGGCGAAGAAAAAAGAACTTATTCCCGTCGGGAACGAATAAAGTTGAGCAGCTCATAGAATCAGCAAGAGACTCATATCAACATTTCAGAGATCTCTCTGGTAAGAATAACAATCAAAACTTCTACTAACAGTTTAGGTCGGTATAAAGAAAATATGAAGAGATTATGGGACAGGAACCGGACAAAAGATGACTATGAGCAAGTTTGGTCCGAAAATGAGAACCCCGCGTATCTAAGTGACGACAGGAATGGTTTAATTCAACGATGATTAATCCATATACAATGGACCATTTTTACCATTAAAAAGCTCGGAAACAACATACGATGCCGAATATCAAGATGTCTTCCAAAACGACTACGATTTCACTGACGATTCAAGTAGCGACGATTCCGATAGTGAGGGATCTTTTCAAGGTGTTCCACTGAGAGAAGCGGACGCGCAGAACGATCTCCGAATTAAAACTTCTCCCAATGCTGAGATTGATCCAGAGTCGTTGCTATCCGAGCGCGCCTTCGAGAAGAAAACAACGAAGAAAGTCTGCAAAAGCTGCAAGTCTAAGAACCCTCCTGTACCAAGACTTAAATTAGACACTGAAACTCCGAGACAACCAACAGTTGATGTCATATTTGACGCACAGGAAAATTTGCCTTAGAATTCTTTTCTGCCACTATATTATCCTAATAAAGAATTTTTGATAAAATGAGATATCTCACTCGAGAAGTCGCAGTTTGTCTTAATTTCTGTTTGATTTGGCTTCATGCTTTATGCACTTTTGAGGAAAGACAGGCTAGATAGAGCTTGGCACGATAACAGTGGAACATTTAGCGTTATCAAACATGAAGTTTTTTTCTCGAATAACTTTGAGGATCGTGTGAATGATGTGATAGTGAATGAGTTTTCGCTCAGAATTGTCCAGGTTGTAAAACTGTCCCTGGTACTATGTCAGGAATAGAGTCAGCATTGAGACCAAGTTCGTTGCCGTTGTCATCCATTTTATCAACAAGAATGCTAGTGATCGGGTTGAGCAATGTTCGGTTTGCTTCATAACATTTGAGCATCTTGTCGAGCGATTCCAATCCATTCGTGTCAACATATTCCTGGAAAGGTAGAGCTAATGTTTTCGTTCTAAATGATCCGAATTAACTATTACTTTACCGATTAAAACTTACCGATTTTGAACAAGTGTATCAATCTCGATCGAGCATTGATCTGCAGAAGTGAGCTGGGCAACAACTTCGATGAGCAAGTCACGCATTTTTGATCTGTAGTCGACAAGTGTTGAGTCCATCTTTTGATAAGTGCCCGCGAGATGTTCAAGATCTTGCATAAGGTCTACCTGACTTGCAGGGTCTGATTTGATCAGTTTCAGTGCTACAAAAAAGAGCTAGCAATTAATATTTTTATCAAGGCGTACCGTTTGGCGAGTTAAGTGACGATAAGCAACTTATTTTGACTTTGCTATGCTGATGAGACTTCATAGAAGACGAAAGTGCTTTGATAAGCAAATGGGACCACTCTTGATTGATAGAAGATATCGAATCATTGCCGAAGAAGTACTCGGCAGCCTTAGACCCATTCCAAACAACTTTGGCATTGCGCTGCTTGATGGCAGATTCAAGAACTTTTACTAAGCGAAGAACTGTGCATTTTGGTGTTTTCGGAGGTGCGAGTTGTAGAAATCCGCCAACTGCTCGTAAGGCCTTACATCAAATTTAAACCATTGACAAATTGAAAAATCCAACCTGTGGTTTAACGCGGTCTTGCGCTGATATGTGGTCGTAAAAGTCCTTTGAGAGGTTCATCAAGTCGAAAAAGGACGAGATTTCAGCCTGAGAAAAAATCTCATAAACAAAGGGCAAGTCTTCTGCTTCATCAACCCTTCTCTCTTCCATTGTCAACCTCATTGCATCTGCAAGACAGGCAATCGCGTAGATCAAATCATTGCGCACTTTTGAACTCAAATCGTGAGGATTAGAAGTAAAGATCAAATCTTTATGCTCGATCGTTTTCTTTAATAAGACGTTGGTGACATTGTTGAGGAAGTTTTCATCGGAGCGGATGGATTGTATGAGCACGAGATCGCCAAGAGCCTTGATGGCGCGAGTTTGCACATCAATATCAGAGTGGTTGCACATGTCAGGCATCACGGACATGACCCAAGCTTGTTGCCGATTGTCTAGGCGCGAGAATACTTGGCCTTCGATGTGAGACACAGCTGGGTAACAATTAGATTTATGAGCTAACAATGACAAAGATACCTCCAAGAGCGGCCTCGGATATTGAAGCATTGACGGGAGTAGCTGTTTGAAGAAATTTGGGCAGGATGGATTCGATGAGATAAGACCAAAGACCGAGCATTGCCTCGGTAGGCACGGGTGTGTCTTCATCTGGAGTAGTGTTGTTAGCCATTCGCAGACTTCTCGACTGGGCATTGATGGTTTGAAGAAGGCGGAAGGCAGCTGCGATAACGTTTCTTAATCAAATAAGAATATGCAGATATTAGAAGACTTACGGTTGCATTTCGGAATTTAAAAGTATTTTCATTATATCTAAGATATGTACGTGGTTCTCTTGCAAAGTAGAAAAGTGATGGGTCGTGAAATTCTGGAGTATTTCGATCGCTTCTTCTTCGATAGTCGTCCTCATTTTTGGATCACATGGGACAGAAGATGGCGATTCTTCGCGCCCGTAAGAGTTCCAAAGAAGAGAATATGCAGTAGCTATTGGCCAGGGAGCATCACGGACAGATTTGCAGATCACTAGAGAAGTCTTGTAGGAAATCAAAAGAAGTATTGATCACTTACTGTAGGAGATATTTTCTCCAGCCGTGATTTCGTCCCATGGAACGCAATACAATCCTTTGCAGCTTTCAGACAGAGTTCGTTCTCCAGCGATTGATTTCAAGAACATAAATTGAGCAGCTATTCGGTTAAGAGGTAGAACTTTTGTAATGACTGTTTTGAGCAGATTTGTACGGAAGACTGAATAGTTCGTTGCTTCGGATGCTGTCTTCAAAGTGTTGTAAAGCTGGTTCATCAATAATATTTCTTGATTGCAGAGGAAATTCATTCGTTGTTCTTTTTGAAGTGCAAAGATCAGAAGATGATGCAGACGCTCGATTGATACAGTAAGAGCCTCTCCAAGAGAGGTGTAATTTGGTCCAGATCTTCGGGCAACACAACATCTTTGGATGAATTGCTTGCATTGTTGAATAAAATGTCTGAGGACTTCGACTGCCAGATTTCGCGCCTTTGGAGCCGGGTCCCAAAGAATAGAGAGAATCAAACCACAGTTTCCCTGATTCAAATCACCTTCAACGATGCTTTCTGGATTTTGAATACTCGAAGGGAGAAAAAGCTTCCAATAGTGACACAAGTCTCGCTTTCCCGTATTTTTGACAATAATTTTAAGTGTTATCAGTGCAGCTTGTCTAATACAGCTTCGTTTCTGTCTCAATTTTCGGGATTCAGAGTCCGAATCTTTTTCTGCATTTGTATCCGACTCGCTATCTGAGCTTGAAGAAACTCCGAGCCACGGAAGTCTGTCTTTTATTTCTTGCATGTCTGTATTTGGCATCTCATTCTCAGCTGGTCTAAATTTTCTTCTCGTTACTGCTTTCTTCCTCCTAACCCGTTGATGATCTGAGCTGCGTTCCTCCGGAATAACGTCTTCAGGAAGCTCTTCACGTTTGATCGTCTTATCCATTGGTTGTGCCCCTTGAAGCCCATAAAGAGACCAGTTGAGGCCTTGAGTCAACAAGGTATTCAAATCATTCGCATGAATATACTCGTTTCGTGAACTAATTCTTTCAAGGATCCGTGATATTCCTTTGAGCGCCACCATGATCATATGTGCAGTAGTAAGGCACTTATTTCCCATAGAAGCGCCTTCCATGTCCAAAAGCTTGAGTAAAATATCCATTGCTCGTGATACCGCTTCTTTTTCTGGATCGTGGCCGGTTATTGATGGAAGCGAAATATTGACGCACGATTGAGCAAGAGCGCATCTTATGTTTGGGTTCAGTCCTGGATTCAAGCAGTGGACAAATAGATCACTAAGATGCTTGCCAAGTGGAAGCAACATTGGAATATGAATTCCATTTTGATAAAGAACAGCAGCTAGGCCATTCAACATAGAAATAGCGAGGGGTGTTTCTCCTTCCAAATCAAAGTCTTGCGTCGGAGGTAGGAAATCCACAAACAGTTGAGTAAGGGACAGTGCACTTTGTTCGTCGAAAATAAGAAGTCTTCTGCCAAAAAGCTCCACAAGGTCTCCAAGATCTTTTATCGCATTGGAAGTCTCTCTTTTATAAGAAGTGTCAATGCTTCGAAAACGAGAAGTCAAGTCATGAAGCTCTGCGCAAATACGAGCCTAAAAACAAATTACGGTCGTGTTATCTTTGTTCGTATTTACCTCATATCCAGTAAGAGGTCCATGAGCAAGGTGTTCGATATCAGCAAATAATTTTCTCCTTTCTTCAAAATTAAATTCGTGAAATTTGGAAAGCTCGGTTAGAGCACGATTCCAACGATCGGAAACAGTCGTCATTTTACGATCATAAGTGTCTGAAATCATTTCAGTAAGAATCTTTCTGTGAATCTTCAGGTGAATAAATTGACAACTACAATTTGCAGAAAATTTCCGAATCGGCATCGACGATGGAAACAGCTTCCTTTTCAACAAGTAAATCAAGAGTCATCGCGACGTTTATTGAGGCGGCCGGATGAAGCACTTCAGGAACATCAGCGTAGAGAACTTTCACGATATCACGAATTCTTTTTTCTCCGTTTTCAAGCTGCTCAATAATTTGATTCTCTCTCATTCTTCTGTGGTTGATGTAAAATTCCACTCGCTCGAGGCCATTTTCAATTACTCCGCCGTGACCGGGAAGAATCAAACAATCTCCAAGCGCACGTATTTTCTCAAGCGAATTCATGTACGAGTTGTAATTATCAATGACAGTGGTGGAATTGCCGAGTATATTGTCCCCGCTAAACAAAAGAATGAAAATGAGCGTGAGAATGAATTTTTCATCCCCTTGGAAACAGAGCTCGGGATAATTACCTGAATAAGACTCGCTCGTCTTTCATCCACAAACAAATATGATCATCCGCGTGGCCCGGTGTAAACAGAACTTGAATTTTCCTACCGCACGATGTTTCCAAGACATCCCCATCCGTCAAAAAATTCCAAAACTGTTCCTCGAATTTCGGTATTTTTACGCCAGAAGGCATCTTCTCTCCTGCGCCTTTATAAACCTTCGGGTAAGGCACTCGTTTATGCTTGAACAGAGGAATGTCGCCACAAATTTCTCGCTGGATTGCCTCAACTCCGCCGATATGGTCGAAGTGCCAGTGGGAGATGATGATTTTATCGATCTCACACTTTTCGGCCTCAAGGACTTGAGTCAGCGACTTAACAACGGACTCCTCATTCGGCGATCCTGTATCAAGTAAAACTCTGCGCTGCCCACTGCCGATAAGATAACAGTTAGTCCCCTCTCCAGTCATTGGGGATGGGTTTCTAGCGAGGATTCTTATTATGCTTGGGGATATTCTGTTGATGTAGCGTAAGCCCGACATTCTACAATACACAAATATTCAGTTGCGATTCTCCTGCTGATAAATGACAAAATAAGACACAATAAAACAAAGAGAGAGCCAGTCGAGACTGTCTGGTAGACAGGACGACGGATTCAAGAGCGTTGGCGTTTTTAATGGAATCGCCTTTATTTGAGGTTGGCTTCCAGAGTGGCAGTACAGGCAAATGTTTATTGCTTGCCTCGTCCAGCTCCACGGAAGGAGAAGTTGCCCTATAGTTGGGTATACAACTGATTTTTACTTGAATGCTAAATTTTGAAATTAAAGTCGAACATTTCGGAGTCTTGAATATGTGCTAGTAAGAGTAAATTAGAGTTGTAACCCGTGGCCTCTCCGGGTCCAACGTTAGCGTCCTTCTCCCGTCGGTAGGCATCTCGGTTGTCCTGAGAGTAGGCCTGGGTGGGGAGGCCGACTCGTCCACCACCTCGTGGTCGGTCGTTGACGATCTTTGGCGCCTTCTTCATGGTCTGGGGGACGATCTCAGCAGGCAAGTTGAGGTACTCTCGGAGGTATTCAACACCCTCGTTGGTGAGGACCCAGTAGAAGTGTCGCCACGCGAACTGCTGCTTGAGGTAGCCTCGGGAAGTCAAAGACTGGCAGGCTAGAAGAGATCTTTGAGAATTTCGGAATCAAGGAAGAAAGAGAGAAAAGACGACTTACCCTTGATGACGCAAAGGTTTGGGACATCCTTGACGTCATTGTGAGTTCGGCCAGCGTTTCGCTTGCAGATCTTTTCAGCGACCATAACACCATCCTGGAAGAGGGTGGTGTAGATCTTGTCTCGGACTTTCTTTTCCATAAACATGGCGGCCGATTTTTTTGTAATCCGTTTCTGAAAAGACGCGAGTCACTTTCCAGTCGATGAATAGTCATCAAGAAGTGTTTTTCGTTCATTACGAAGGGCATACGGAAAGATAGTTAAACTTTTAAATGAGTAGTAAAAAAGGAAGATGTAGCGCGATATTCTTTTGAGCGACGAATTCTCAGCTGGCTTTTTCGAGATTCTTTATGTACAATTAATGCTGATAGTTGATTTGATAGGGAGATTCGTTCGAGCGTCATTCTTTTAGATTGAACTTTTCGATGATCTCTTTCACTTCCGTCAGGTTGAGAAATGCGTCGTACTAAAGGGCGATTTTAGTCATTCTTTTCTTTTTGTGTCTTCTTTTGAGGGTGAAGGATCGCTTTCTTACCCGGTCGATATCTTCTTGCAAGACCGCGATTTTCTTCGAAATTTCATCCAGATCTTCGAGTAGATCAATAACGGGTTGCTCTTGCTGAAGTCTGTAATTGGCGATCAAAATGAGTTCGTTGCATTTGCTCTCGACTTCTGGGTAGTGAGATACGTCTCTTGTGGCAAGGCGGGTGCCGATCTCGTGGAATAACTGCTTGATGTAGACGATATTTGAAGCGGTGTTCGTCAGCGCTAGGATTTGAGGGTAAGAAAGTTGTTTCAGTTAGTGGCTGGAAAGTTGTTGTTAGAGTATTTACCTTACCTAGAGCACCGTTCGCATCCCAGTCCAACGTTGCGATGTCTTCCAGCTTGTGCCTGATTCTTTCTCCAATCGGATTCGAAACATCAATAGTTTCCAGAATTTCATAAAAACTCGCCATCTAAACACAAACGGGTGTTATGAAAGGCGTTATCAGAGCTTTACAACTTTTGTTATTTTCAGAACAGAAAGTTATAAAACATCGATGATTTATTTAGCAGCGTTCTGGCCGGGCTTTTGCTGCTGCTGTGGGCGACCGTATCGTGGTGGAGGGGTTCGGATCTTTCGGGCCTCTCGCGATCGGTTTCGCACGTGTCGGTGATGGATGGCGGCAGAAACGCAGTAGTACTGCTTCAAGTACAGCTAGAAATAAAAAATTTAAAAGTTGAAAAGCTTTCTAATTCAAGATAATTAATCTTGGATTAATAGAGAATTTATAAAAAAGTGAAGGATTTCCGATTAAATCTGAATGAAATTTCAATTTTCTCCTTCTTTGTTGTCGACAGTTTTCAGAAAAATTGTCGATTTATTTGTCGAAAGAATTTACCTTGGGGAGAGCGTACTGCTCGTAGACCGAAGCTTCAGCCAAATCTCTCATGGAAGCGGCATCGACCATGTTTCGGACGACGTACTTCTTGATGGCCTACGGAAAATCTACATTTCTGAATCAATTTGTGGAAAAATACCTTGTCCTTAGGGACACGAGCGGCAGAGTTTTCACATCGGACGAATCGGACGTGTCCTCGGCCTTTCTTGTTTCGTCCGTTATTTCTGCGCTTCTTGGTCATTTTGGTGTCCGAAACGTCTGAAACGCGTTTCATTTAAATTTATTTTTAAGAAAAATGAAAGTGTCACAATATTTTTTAGGAAAAAGAAGAAAGTTCTGAGCAAATGTGGACTAATTTTTAAATCGAAGCAATAAAATAGCATTAAAAATTTGAACGGTTCTGAAGAAAAACTAGAATAGTCGACTAGAAAGGGATTTTCCAAAAGAAGAAAATTTCAACGAAGCCTAAAATGGCCTAAAATCCGTCAATTTTCGAGTTTCAAAAGCCGATTATCTTCTTGAAGGTATGATTAACTCTCTGACACGCCCTAGTGGCCTTCTGGAAGCACGGAAGGGCCAGAAAAAGCGTTCAAGATTTCTCTCGTATTTGTAATGCCTCCAATCAGCTCGGCGGCCCAACCAAACTACACGTGAACGCCTACGTCTGATTGGTGCGCTCAAGTCCGCGCCGCCAATGGAGATTGCGCGTTCTCGCATCTAACGCGCTAAATGAAGAAACAACGCGCTAAACTCATTCATTTCATTCCTCACTCTTTCTATGACTCATGCTCTCGAGAAGTCCTCGCCAAATTCCATTTTCTATTCGTCCAAAATAATTTTTTATGAAAAATAATATTTTGTTTCTCATCTTTTTGATCACCGTAACGGAAACAGTTTATCAAGAATTTTTTTATTTTCTAATAAAATTATTTTTAAAAATTTTAGTTTTCTAAAATTATTTAATAACTCTTATTCATTCATAAACAACATTTCGTTGATGTCTCCTCGAATTTTCCGCTCCGAAAAATCTACGGCTTGATTTCTGATCTCAGATCAGTGATCTGAAACTGCATGCTATTGTCTGTAAAGGCCAGCTTCAGACTGTAATGATATGACCGACTATTTACCGGGCACCGCTGGACTCATCGAGGACATTGACAAGAAGCATTTAGTCGTCTTGCGCGACGGTCGAACTCTGATCGGCATCCTCCGCGCGATCGACCAATTCGCTAATCTCGTTCTTCACCAGACAGTCGAACGCATCCACGTCGACGGGTTCTTTGGCGACATTCCCAGAGGAATTTTTGTTGTCAGAGGTACATCAAATTCTTCATTCATGCTACTATACCTAATCACTTAAAAAGGGATCTCTTATTGTAGAAGTAAAGATTTTTTTATACTACTTACTCTTGATTTGATAAAACATGATTTCCAGTTGTGATTTTCCGGGCATGTTGTGCCTTCTAATTTCCGGCATTTATAAAATGAGACTCGGGTCCAGTATCTCACATATAAAATGAAATTCTGAAACTTTTTGTTTCAGGTGAAAACGTAGCCCTATTCGGCGAGGTAGATTTGGAAAATGAAAACCGTGGTAATCTGCAGGAAGTTTCCGTGGAAGAAATCCTCGAGTTGCACCAACAAGTGACTGCGAGAAAAGACGAACTCGAGCGTCGAAAATCGAGAGCGATGCGCGAACGCGGCCTCATCCCTCACCAAGATGTCCCCGACGATCTTTATTTCTAACACTTCCCCACGAAAGCGTTTCAGAAGAATCTTCTTTTTTCTTCTTCGAAAAAACAGGGAGCATCGAAGAAATATTTATTAAAAAACAATCGAGCTCACCGAAAACACTCTCCATTAAAAAAAAACTCTCCTTCTACCATTATTGCTACTGTTATTATTTCCTCTCTTCTTCTGCTCAATTCAAGATTCGTCTAATAATCTTTTGGGTTTCCAGTGTGTGACAAATTCACTAGCCAAGCAATGCTCAGATAGCAAACGGTTTTTCACTGAAATTCACTTTTTCAGAAGAGGAAGCTCTCGAAGAAAGAAAAGGAAGATGAGTGCGATGCTGGATGCTCTTGTTGGAAACAAGGTCGAAATTGTTACGAATGATGGAAGGAACGGAGATTTACTTTATTCAGACAAACTTTGTTAATTTTGATTTATTTTGTCATCATAAATCTCCACTGTCAGAGTTGTAGTTGGCATCCTAAAAGGACTTGATCAGGTGGTCAACGTGGTTCTAGCAAATACTGAAGAAAGAGTGTTCACGCCCGAGGGAGTCGATCGCCAGGCCCTCGGACTTTACCTGATTAGAGGAGACAATGTCGCCGTTATTGGTAATCCCATTAATTCCCTTTCTTCAATCATCTATCTTGTTAGGCGCCGTTGATGAAAACACAGAACTTGGGATGGACTTTTCTACAATCAAAGCCCAGCAACTACCGCCAATCGTCCACGACTAATTCCATCCCTAGCCCAAAAGTAATCACTTTTCTTCTGCCTTTCCTAATTAATTCTTTAGACTGCCCGAGACTCATGCAAGAAAAAAAAAGAAAAGCGAGAGAACTTTACGCGCGTGATGTATATTTGAATCCTTCTATCCGTTCTAGTCCGTTCTACAATTTGAAAAGCCTATTTTCAATTCCTTAGATTTTTTTTATTTCAGAATGTCCTATTTGGAAAATCTGACAATCACAATAATCGGACAGCCGGGGGACGGGCTTTCGAAGAAGATCGCCGACTCGGTCACAGCCGGCGGTGGAATTTTCGACAAAAATGGAGTCTCCAAGGACACAACCCATGCGATTCTCGTCGGCTCGGAGAAAGACTACCTCAAGGAAATTGAAAAAGCAGTTGAAAATGGCGCTGCTGTGGTTCAACCCCGCTGGTTAGATGTCTGTTCTGTTCATCGACAAAAGATTCCGGTCCAGCCGTTCAAAATGATGCCTGGCCCAAGCCCGCTGTTTTCGGACATGGTCTTCACCGCTTCCGGATTGAGTAAGGGCGACAAGATTAAGTTAGCTGCGTTGGTAACCTTCCACGGGGGAAAGTATACTCGTGCGCTAAATCAGAATACTACTCATCTAGTGACGCACAAGCCGATCGGAGAAAAGTACGATAAAGCACTGAATATTGGTAAGTTCTAAATACAGAGAGCCTTTGTTTGAACCGTTTTAAGATTTCATTCGTAAGGTTACTCCTGGTTGGGTCCTTACTTCGGCCAAAAGTAGAGCCTTGAAAAATACAGCTGATTATGATCCTGCAAACGTAATTCCTGGTGCAGAGCACTTGCCTGATGCAGCACAGAAGAATGCACCAACAAATTCTTCATCAATCCAGACAGCATTGAAAACACCAGCCTCAGGCAGTCAAAAAGCTCCTAGCAAGGCTAAAAGTCGACGAAAACGAAGCCCCAACTCAGAACCTAAGAAAGCATCAACGAGAAAGACGAACAATAAGAAAAATTCGAATTCTGTCGCGGCACAGAATAATTCTGGTAGTTCTGGACAGAAAGTAGTGAAAGTAGCCACGCCGGTTTCGACGATGGCGCCGCCAAATCAAGTCATTGCCGGTAATTCCTTGATTTAATCTTCAAGTAGAGTGTCGTGTCTTTTCAGGGCCGGTCTACTCAACTGCGCCCGCGTCACCATCAATTTCGACAGCTAGTCCCAGTTTCGTCCACCAGATTGTAACGCCACCGTCATCTCAAAGTCATAAAGGACAGGTGATTGCCGGGCCGACGAGAGGCCCTTCAAACCCATCTACTCCTAATAATCAACCTCAATACATTGTCGTGTCAAGTTCTGCTCCTCAAATCTCTGGACAGATAATCGCTTCTTCGGGACCGGTTCAATCTGGCAATCAAGACGGACAGACGCAAATTATCCAGAGTGTCTCTCCAATGATGGGAAATACGTCAAGCCCCCATGCACAGGTAAGCAGGTCAATTGGTTTCAACTTATCTATATGAAATATATAGATCATCAATAGCAGTCACCAAAGAGTGCTTAATGTTCCAGTTCAAATGACTGCCTCACAGTCAACGGGAGCTCATCCTCAGTCTCCAATGTTTATTCGACCGGTACAAGCATTCCCAGGAAACACGATTCAAATGGTCACGCAAAATGGAACTCAAGTTATTCATAGCCCAATCCAGCATCAACCACCACAATCGCCACAGGTTCCTATCGATGAAATTGAAAGTGTTTTTATTGAAATTTAAGACGACACAAGCTCCACAAATGATGCAAGGGCAAATGATCGTGAATCAAGGAATCATCAGTCAACAAAATAACATCATCCATCAAGGACAGGTACCATCTTCCACAGCAAATCTCCTCTACCTTTCCTCTAGCCAAATATGATTCCACAGCAAGTACAAGCTCTCCCATCTGTGCAAGGGCAACATATTGTCGTTCAACATCATCCGGGTCCTGGTCAATCGCCGAACACGCCGGTCCCCGTTCCTGTTCAAGAAGCCGTTCAAATGATTCCCAATCAGCAAATTGCTTCGCCAGGAGTAAAGATGGCTCACCAAGGAGCTCCGATGATGGTGAATCAAGCATATGCCCGGGAACATATACAACCTCAATATCAAAGACAAAACGCAATTCATCCAAATTATCAAAATGCAGGGATGCATCAGCCCGGTCTGCAGGAACGGGCTTTATCTCATTAACTTTCTTGTTCTGATTTTATTTCGCTAGTAAGCTAATTATCGAGATTCCAATTATCGCCGATGAAGCTCCATTAAGTCGCCGCGTTCTCCACTAGTTCCAGGTCATGCTCGGCGCATGCAAAAGCCGCAAATGCTCGTTCCAATAACATGTCCAGAAGAAGAGCTTCACTCCACTATCAAACACGAGCACGAATACTTTACCGTCGAAAATGAATCTGATATTTCACCGAAATTCTTGTGCTTTATTGGGTGCGTTTTCTACTTTGCCCCTGATGTGAAAAAAGTTTGCAAAAAATGACGACTTCGCGAGACGCTTCTTGGATTGGAAAGGAAAGATTCAGCTTCACGGAGGACTTGTCGAAGACACCTATAATAAAGGAAGAGTTCTATCTGAAAGCCAATCATAGTAATCAATTAATTTTGATGAGCAGAAAAAGTGCGTCATCGTTTTAGCATAATAAATTTGAACTCGGATAATAGTCACTTGTACCCACTTAGTGTCAGAGGATTGCGACACTGACGAAGTAAAAGCGGCACTGGCAGATCAAAAGCGATGCGTTTCCATTGCTTGGCTTGAATGGTGCGTCGAAAAGCGAAAAGTCAATCCTCCTCGCTGCCTGCTCCATGTTCCTACCCCTGGCTCTGCCAAACTCAACTTGAAAGACAAGTTTCGCGTTTCAACAAGCAATTTTCAACCCAAAACGAAGGAATACGTTCATTCAGGACTTCTACGACTTGGAATTACTGTTACAAAAATGCTGTATAAAGAAACTGACATGTTGATTGTTCCCAAAACTGTGGGGCAAAAGTATACAACGGCAATTTATCATGAAACCCCGTGTGTTTCTCTTCATTGGTTGAGAGAAGCTTTGCTCGGAATGCCAAGAGCTTTCAACGGGTAAGTAAAACGAACGAAAAACTTTTCCTAATCAAATCTAAGTGGCTGGCGGGAAGATTCCTACAAAGTCAACGACGGTTCAAAAGGCTTTCTAGCCCTCTGTCTAAGCGACAAAAACGAGTTTGATGCTAAAATGCTCAATGCTTGGAAGAAGCCGATTAAAATCGAAGCTGACTTCGAACTTCGAGCAAAATTAAAGCGTGATTATCAAAACGCCAATCAAAATGAGATCAGCTCTCCGAACGGTCCACCAGACCAGAAGAAGCAGAAGATAACTTACAGAATGACGCCGCGTGTAATGCTTACTGGCTTTAATGCTCAAGAAACTAAAGATCTGTCTGAAAAGATAAAGGTATATCGTCTCATGATCGCTAGTAACGTCTTTAAGACTTTTTTCAAATTCTGAATATTTATGATTTCGGTTAATTAACCATTAATTAGGCCATTGGCGGAGAAATCGCGTCAGATACCGATATGACGCACCTAGTCGCAAAAGAATTCCGAAGAACAGTCAAATGGTACTGCGCCATGCACATCGTTAAATACGTTGTTACTCCCGAATGGGTCAACGAGTCATTCAGCTCGAAATGGTTCCTCGACGAAGATAAGTTTTGGCTGAGCGATCCTCGCAAAGAACAACTCTTCAATTTTCACATTAGACAGAGTGTAGAGCGCGCGAGGGAGCACCGTGTTTTCAATGGATATCGCTTTGCTTTGCTTTCTGACAAGATTGTTCCAGCTCCTGATGTACTGGAGAAAATAATTAGGTCCGGCGGCGGGCGGTTTTTGACAGCGATGCCGAGTATCAAGTCCCTGCTTTCAGTAAAGAAGCAGAGAGACGAAGATCCTCGTTCTTGCTGGCCCGGTAATTAAATCTTTTACTGTTTGATTCTATTCTGATATTCTAGTGATAATCATCGCCAACAACGATAAAGCGTCCATGGAACAAGTGCGACTATTGCGCGACTCTCAGGAGAATGTTCGAACGCTTTCTAGGCGACATCGGCTTTTAGCCGGTGCTTTGTTATTATGTTATTCTGTCGCGAGGCCTGAATGTTATTAGAATCAAAATGCAGACAGCTATCGATATATCATTGACAGAAATCGCCTTGCAGTCGCAATTAATATTCGTTTGGATTTATTCATTTGCGGTTCCCAAAAGTTCATTTCAGTTAAATTCTACAGATTGAAACATATCCTAAAGTAGTGCCATAGTGGTCGCCTTTTGACCTCAATTTTAATAAGAATTAATCCTTATGGACTTCCATATCGTTTATCGAACATTTGGTAGATTCAATGTTTCGCGTCAGAACTTATTTTAAACGCGTCAGTCAAACAACGCCTCGAGTTCCACAACTTCACGATCAACCCTCCTCAGCATCCACGCTAGTATTTTTAGCTTTAATTCCAGACCAGCCGAATTCCTGCCCATTCTACTTTTTCATATTTTTGACAGTTCATTTTCTTCATCTTTTTACTGATATTTTATGATTCTAAAACAGGGAAACATCTTTCATCGACAAAAGGATTAGTGCTTTTGAACTAAGCGTTTATTCTTATTTTATTGATTTATACTCTAATTCCCAGCTGAGAGGATAATATTTTGTGAATCCTATTATAATCTACTAGTGATAGATATATGCATGGCATTTTATTAGATTATTGCAGTATTCGAATTTCATACAGAGTGGTGAGGGGGAGATATCCTCCTCTTTTTAAATGTCAGTAGAGCAGTATCATCCTTGTCACGTGTCTAAAAGGAATTGGATATTAGTTAGGGGTTACCAAGTTAGAACAGACCTTTGGTGCTTCTATCAGTCGTTTTCGTTCCATTTCAGTCATGTGCAGCGGATTTCGTCGATATTGCAGGCTTTCAAAAATCATGCTTGAGGTACCTTCATTATTCGTGCCTTCATCTGGGTGCTCTTCTTTTATACATGGTTTTATAATTTAAGAACAGTCAGTAAAAACGTCATAATGCGAGTACGCTTTGATGGAAGCGCATTCATGTATTTATAGATGACCGCACATGCTTCTCGTTCGTTACATAACGATTGCAAAATCAAGGCCTATTGAATCCAGCGTAGTAGAATGTTGATGGAGGTCAAGAAGTTCTGTTCGCTGTTCTTCTGATGATCGTTTGCCGTGCATAACCCGGCGATTTCCCTCCAAAAGTTTTCGATTAAATTTATTCGGATGGTTTATATAGATCAACTCATTCCTTTTGAACATAAGTGTTTTGCATCGCCTGCGCTTCAATCACCGTTGATCTCGTTGTACCATAAAGTGCACCCGCTACAACCGCGATTCCAGCGATGACGCCGCAGATGACATAAAAGAATGTCTGTTGTATAAGTCCGAATAGCTAGAATTGATAAAGAAGGGCTACTTTTTGATAGCAAGTACCTTTACATTTTGATAATTTCTATCGGCGAAAGGAATTTCTAGTTCGTTGTAAATTGTAATCGTTATCGGTGCTGGTATCGAAACAAGCTACGAAAGTTATTTATTCGTAACTATATGACCCATTGTCATACCTGACATATGCTAATGTTAAAGTAAAGTTGATAAAAATCTCTGTATCCATAAGTACGCGCCGTTGACAGGCTCAGAACCTCTTTCGCGGCAATACTTTTAGGCGTCTAATAAAATTGATGAATTTTGCCCGATATTCAAAGAAGAATAGAAACTAACCTTTGACTCAGGAGTACAAAGAAAGACCTGCGTGCAGTTGATATTGTAATTACTGTATTTATTTTCGGCGGTATAGTGGAGCTTTCGCTTGACACCTGACTTACTGGGGATTTTAATTGAACTTGAACCTTTCTTTCTCTATGAAAATGAGCCGTACTCGATTGCACGCATCCTCATAGACATTCTGTCAATTAAAAACCTTTCGCATAATGAAATCAGCCTTTTTCGGAATCATATTGCAAAAAAATTTCAGTGGATAAAATTTATCTTACACTCCGGACTCTCATTGACTACTAAATTTGATCCGAGACTGAACAACAGGACAATCTGTCAGCAACGCTTCTTCCCATAACACTTTCTCTCCCGTGATATTAAACTCTTGCTTCCACCGCTTTCCAATCGGGAAGACTGTACGTTCTGCGAAACTCTTCGTGCAATTCTTGCTCTTGAATTCTGTGTTTATCTCGTCGCAATTCTTCCTTGCTGCCTCGATCTCAGCCGCATTTGATCGAAGGAAAAACAGTAAGAAAAACATAATTTCTAGCCGTTGGAGAAAAACTTGGAGATCATGCGCATATCCTCGGAATACCGTCGATCTGCGGAGCAAAACTCTGATGCCTTTTTCTACCATTGACGTGGAGCGCCCTCTTCAGATAAATTCTGAGCGCCGGACAAAAAATGACATGGTATTTTTTAATAAGTTTAACTTGCGATAATAGCATTTCTCTGATAGAGTCTATTTAATTTAGACAAGCTTAGCATTTATTTCTTGAGCTCAGTCTATTTTTGAAAATCACAAGTGACCATTTTGGTTATAAAAATGAAAAATTCTCTAGAACGTTACTTGCCTTCCAGTGTGTTTGTTAAATAATCTTCAGTTTTCAAGTAGCCGCGTTTTGGGAAAGAACTGCGCTCGAAGAATAAGATGACGATTAAAAAGCAGCGGCTGGGCGAGTACCGCAAGTCAATGGCAACTAACCCTCTTTTGCTCTTCGTAAGTTTATTTCGTGTTGATTTCATTTTATAAAATACAGTAGTGTAGTGACACAAAAAGTTCATTTGGGAAAGATTTACTGCGTTCGAAATTGTCCTTTTTTGATAAACTAATTAGCCAACGTCACATCTTGCCAAAGTGCACAATGTTCTAAAACAACATGAACTACATCATATCATGAATAAAATTATATGATGGAGCATGATTTTAAGTCAGCACGTATCCAGTCTTCGGGGAACTGTAATCTTGGGATTAGTGGGTATCGTTCGCACTATAAGCGCCTTGAATAAATATAGATTGAGCTTGACCAATAATTTGGAACGCTTTTTATACGGAAGAAATCACGATTTTTGTGATTTCTACCTCAGTTTAAATAATTTTATTTAGCCTCCTGTCGGTCGGCCACTGGTCCGCGGATACACCTTGCCCGGCCCGGACTTTGTGTATGGCATGAAAAATATTGATGATCCAGCAGGAGCCGCCGGAGCCATGAGACAAGATCACGATGTAAGTTTTAGAAAAACAAATAAGGCTCTAGAACTAATAATTCTTAGATTTGTAAAAAGGCGAGCCACCACACCCTTGCGAAGGATTTCATCGCGCTCAACCGCGAGTCGATCAAGAACGGGCTTGTTACCGAGAAGGAGCAGAAGCAGTTCCGCAAGACGCATGATATCAGACGCAAAAACAGCCAGAACCAGGGCAAGATCAGTGACACTTCTCCACCTGACATATACTTTGGCGTCCCGACCAGGCCCTCGACCCCTATTTTTGACCTTCTTGGTGAGTCCTCCTTGATTCCGATCTCTTCTAGTCCAGATTTTTACCCCATTCCTTTTAAGACAAATACTTTAGAACACAAATACCAAACAATTTGGACTGAGCAGCAGCTTCAGCGCGAAGATCGCTCCAAAGAAGCCTCAACCGTCAAACATCGCATTGGCAAGAACAAGAACGGTGACATCGTCGTCTTCGAGACCAAGGTAAAAAGGACAATTGACAGTGATTCTAATCAACTCAAGGCTTCGCAAATGAGAAAAGCTCAACACATCGTAGAAGACAAGGGTCTCTGGCAAATGTCAAAATTCAAAAGGTCGGACCTCATCTCAAGACCTTCCGATCTGATTCTGATCGAGATGCTGCTTTTGAGGTAAGTCAACTCGAGTAAATCAAACTCGTTCAAATTTAAACTTCAGGCTCACATGCACGATCGAAGCGGCCGACAAGGCATTCAAGGTCACGGCGTCTATCAACCTTCTAAGTCCTAATCATCTGCTTATTTACAGTCACTGATCTAAATAAATATAATCATATTTCAAGTTTAACAGGTATGAAACCTGAGGTACTTGAGTCTCGAAGGAGAAATGACCCGACTAAGTGGGTGAGAAATTACATTCTCTGACGATGTTTCGATGAAATAACGCTATAAAATTTAAGTGTGCTCATAAGTATACTGCGTGGTCGCTGTATAGTACAGTACAGAAGATTAAGTGCAAAAGAAAACTGAACCGTACTGTACATTTATCTAAACTTGAGCAGTATATTTGCCGACTCCAATCTGTGGGTAGTCAGAAATTTGCTACAATCGTCTCTTTCCTAGAAATTATTAACTAAAAATAAAAACTCTGAAGCGAACAGTTGCAGAATCTTTTACGAGGCTCTTATGCAAATGATGACCGCATATTCTAGTCAAATGGTTCCCCGATAGGTTGGATAATCGGTTTTTGGGTACTTTTGGTGGTAACGCTTATGTCTCTATTTTTAATTCTAAAATGCGTATTAAGACTTCTTGGCTAAGTCTTTTCCGTTTAGAAACGAATAAGGTTAATGCAAAGTACCGTCAATACTTGTCTAGACTTGATGTACCGTTTTTCAAACAAAAAATAACTTTTTCAAATGAGGTAAAGAAATGGAAAAAATACCAAATAAATGAAAGTAACTCGTGTTCTCAATGTTAGCGGTGGTTAATCCGCACCATCCGAGTTTCAATGATCAAAAGCGAGAATATTTTGCTATTGATATCATATTGCAAGTTAGAAGTAACTGCTCAGTTCATCTTCTTTAACACGTTTGCATATTATGAATAAAATATTTCTTTTAAAAGGTACTTTGTATAGTATTTGTTTCTAAAATATTTTTGACAAATAAATTTTAGAGATTGTTGAATCTGAAACGAAGGACGTAGATGTTGGTCAAATTAAAATTCCTCAATAAAGAACCTTATAAAGAAGAAGAATGATAATAATCTGATGAACAAAATTAAGCGAATTCTGCAAGAATTTTTGTCGGAAATCGTCCTCCATTTGCGATATATATTGATATTCGGGCGGTAGACACTTCGAACGGACGTACCTCGCGCGACTCTAATCCTTGGCGCTCGTGCGTGCTCTTCTGTTTCCGCTTAGTATAAAAGTCAATGTTTTAAATGCATCTCTCAGAAGAGAACTCTTCTTTCAGAGACATGACTTCGATGACTGATCCTTCGTCACGTACTCTTTCATCTCTCGCGCATTTTCCAAGCAAGAAAACATTTGGCTTTTCAGTAGAAGAGATTCTAGCGCCAAGCAAGCCGAGAACACTCCTAGAGACTTACTATCAACAACTGCACCACAATCTCCTCCTACAAGTACCGTTTGTTTTCCCTGTCGACTCGAGAAGATTCCCGACGGGTGAAAATTTGAGCACGAAGCCAAAAAGAATGCGAACAATCTTTACAAAAGCGCAGATCGAACGGCTGGAGCAAGAATTCACACAGAACAAATATATTGTCGGTGCAGCGAGATTACAGCTTGCTGCCGAGCTTTCTTTGTCCGAAACACAGGCAAGAATTTGTTTTATTTTTGATTTTCGATGAATGAAACTTTAGGTGAAAGTTTGGTTCCAGAATCGACGAATAAAGTTCCGAAAAAGCACAGCTCAAGACAATTCAGCAGAAGAAAGATCCGATACGGATTCTGATTCCCTATGAAAAACCTCTGCTCAGACTGACTTTCTTTTGTAAATAACATGTATAAATAAACTTAACGCACATCATAGAAGCAATAAGCGGCGGGAAGATCTAACAGATAGACTCTAGCCGTTCTTGTGCCCAAGAAAATTGCGTTTAAAACTTCAAAGTAGACATTTGATAGCCTAATTAGTAAAGTCTAGCATAAATCATCAAGTCTACTTTTTAATATTGAGTTCAGGTTTGTTTTGGTAGTAACTAGGTGCCGGAAGTATGGTTGCGTAATTACCGCTTTTGTTAAAATCCTCCTGGTTATCATCCTCCATCAAGAAGAATGGATGCACTCTTCGCTTGCTTGTTTTTTTTTTATCAAAGCAAAAATTCAAGTGAATTTCAGTTGAAAAATAATTCGAAGAATCTAACGATCAAGACAATGAAAATACTTTATTAAAATCTCTTTTTTTTGCATATTTTCACGAGATATTTATTATAAACATTTATGATAAAATCCATGCATTTTTAGGCTCGATTGATGAGATTGAAGAGAGAATGGCTAGTTTTTTGTCGACAGGCAGGATAAGATCTTGCGCATGAGTTATACAACGAAGAAAATCTAAATTATTTTTAATAATAATTTAAGAGTTTTGATTTTTAGCTAGTGAAACTAATGTTTTCATTTACAAATCTACAGACGAATATAAAAGCACTTACAGAATATATTGGTCCAACGTCTTCATAATCCCAACACACAGAATCATCAAAAACTCGAATGACACCAAAGCCGCCCATTTGTTCTGGTGCTCCGAAAAGAGGTGGTCCTCCCTGAAATTTCGCAGGCTTATTTCTTAACATTTTCCAAAGGGCTTTGGATGGATCAGGAACTCTATCTTCACAGTTTTTCAAGCTAAGAACCATCTCAAGGTAGTTTTCAAATGATATTTCTTTGTAAGTACTGCTTGGTCCTTTTCCGCAATTGGTTATTATAAGAACTCTTGAAATATCAAATATGATCGAGGCAGAGTGGCTGACAACCCCATTATCTTCTGTTGACGGTTTCATTTTTTTCGATATATTATTTTGGTACTAATAATTTCTTTTTTAATTGAAAGTGAAAATATTTTACCAATGTCGTATTATATTCTGCGAGAACTTCAATGTTAGCATGAGCATTCTTCTTGTCAAAGCAACCGAAGCGAAATGTTTCCAATTCGCGACTGATATCAGCCTCCTGGAAGTACAATCGACCATTGTAAGAAATATAACTCCTTTGAAATATTCTATTGCGAGTTTCATCGATGTTGACGTATTCGATCATTTTACTGGTTCTTTTGTCGATGTAGACGACATTGATGGTACGACAGGTGTTATTTTCTTCAAGAAGAACCGGATGATGCTCGAATTCGACCGCCCAGGTGGATCTTCCTAGGGTGAATGATTTATAGGTCTTTATCACGTAATGTTTTGGAACGTCAAGTCTCAATCGTTTGACCAAACCCAGTCTGTCGGCGCTAAGTTCGTGAAGTTCGACTACCCAGTATCCTTCGTCGTCTTTGCGTATCACAGGAAAGCTAGGTTCAACAAATCGAAATCCGATGCCCGGAAAACCCGATATCGGATCGGATATTTATCGGGTTTTGTCGGGTTTCACCCTACAAAACCCGATCCTGAAAATTTCAAAAACCCGACGTAGGATCGGGTTTTTGTCGGATTTTGTCGGAATTTCGTCGGGTTTTTCTTGCCTTTTCAGCCAATCACAGTCGGTCTAAATAGCCTCTCTTGCCCTTTTTTACTCAAAAAGCACTCGAAATAGATGAGAATTGCCTCCAAAACCGGGAAAGGCAGAGAACGAGCTCTAGAGGACATTTACATTAATCTTACCAAAGATAATCTTCTGGCGATTGACAGAATGAAATTCAGCGAGGTCCCTGGCAATTAGCGATCCATTTCGAGGGCAGAATTTCAGAGAACGCCTGAGCTTGAAGGCCTTAGCAGAACAGTCTTTTAGGTTAACTCCCACTATTTTCAACCCCATGGGTTATTTAAAGTCATGTGACCTCGGCAAGGCCTAACCCCCTAAACTGCAACTCAGCAAGGTCCAAGCTTTCTAAACATATAAAGAGGATATTTGGATTATTTATTCTATATTCTACCGTATTACTAATAATACGGTTTGAGACGAGGCGTTTTTATTGTATAAGGAGATGCACAATGGGAAAATGCACATTCTAAATAATATTATTAATGATCCTCGAAAATTGTTGAAAAAATCTGCTCAAGATAAGTTATTGACCTTCTTTTGACTTGCTTTTTTTAATTTTTGCTTGTAGGAAACCCGACAAAAATCCGACAAAAAACCCGATAAAAACCCGATTTCGGACCCGACAAAAACCCGATAAAATCCAACGAAACCCGATCCAACAAAACCCGACCTCCTAAAAAACCCGATAAAACCCGATCTTGGTTTCGGGCGATTTTGTTGAACCTAGCAGGAAAGCAGAAATCCGAGGATAAAGGTCGATTTCCAAGTAAATTTTCGGTCTCCGGAAGGCAATAATACAGATTCTTCCACCCTGAGAGAATAGTTGATTGAAAGTACCAACAAAGTCTCACACGTTCGAGCATGAGAGTCAGAAAAACTTACATCCTTCAACGCGGTCATAGACGGCGAACGGAATAGTATCAACGCTATGAACGAGATCGGGAAGATCAAGACGCGTTTTCTCCAGATCATAGTAATCGTAGTGATGAAATTCTCCCGAAGATTTTTGTCGATTGAAAACCATTAGTTTGGAACCGACTAGATCGAATAATCTGTAATGTGTAAATGGAGATTCCATGATCATATCAAGATTTCCATTGAGGATATGCTCCTGAAGCTCTTCATATGGGCCGACTTCTATAGTTTTTATAAGGACGGGTTGGACAATATCTTCTTCTTCTCGGTCAAGATAATAAACAAACAACACAACATCAGAAGCTTCGTTAAATTCTTCGAGATCATCTCCAAAGAATGTGTGTAATTGACCGGGTTCTTCCAAAGAATCCCTTTCATAATAATCTTTCCTCAAATCGCATAGTTGTTTGTTTGATACGAACTACAAGATACAAGTCAGTGACTTTCGATTAAAATATCAATTTACGTAATCAATTGATCCTTTGTAGTCAAGATCGAAGCTGTGATCGTCTCGTGAATAAACTATTCCTTTGTGTAATGCTCCCTTTTTCTCCCATTCACAAAGATACGACCCGTAGATCTTATGGGTGTCCTTTTTCAAGTGATTGAGTCGCTTCATTATCTGTGGAATGCCGGAAAGAGGAGGTCGAGTCTCGGTATTTCTCTCGTATTCGGCGCGGACGAGCTTCAAAAGAGGTTCTTCGCGTTCAAATCTATTTAGAAACAGCTGGCAATCGTTGAAGCTGAGAAGCCCGTCAAAGTCGTTCTTCGTTTCGTCACTTGATGCCAGAACATTTTTGGCATCTCTGAATCCTTGCATAGGCATTCTCTCGAAGACAAGGTTCGCAATCAATCGATTCTTCGGATGAAGTGTTATCATGTTCAGCACTCCCCGCTGAAACTGTTCTGTCGTCATTTCATTCTCTTCTTTTGGATCCATTTTTCTGCGCTTTCGACAAGACATTTTTCGATCAACAATCTAAAAGAACCGATTTCAACCTAGTTTAAATACAAAAAAAAAATAAAATATAGCTCGACTTGGATGAGCGCCGAGTAACAGGAGCATCGGGTTCTTGCTTTCATCACTTCTAAGGCCGCGCCTTACAATGAATAATACAGAATAAAAAATGTCACAGGTCGGAAATTGTTTACGGCTGACGAACTTTTCCTTTGAAATAGTCTTAATAGTCGAGTTTTGGACGTTTATGCACAGAATTTCCCTCCGAAATTCCTGAGCCATTTCTAGCATCATTAAAAATCGATCAAAAATGCCTCTTCAACCCTGTTTTCCGCTGAGTCATCAATAATTTCCCATCGAATTTCAAACAACGCCGCTGCGAAACCTTCCAATTCCTTTGTCTCGCGCTGCGGGCGTCCTGTTTCGCCAAAAAAGCAACTTGGCTCACAGTAGTAAAGGGAAGTTGATAGCTCAGAAGAGGAAAATCAGGGTCAGGGCGGGCCAGTGACCCCGAAACGGCGTATTTTTTGGCGCGCTGTGCGAATAAAGACTATTGGCGCGTTTTGGCCGTTGGTCGTTGGCCGCGCGGAACGCTCCAGTTTTTCTTCTCTCGCGAAAAAATAAACCGAAAAAAAAACTCACGCGAAACAGAAAAATCATCGAAAAAGAGAGACCTTGCGAAACAAAACTAGAGTTATTGCTCATCGTGAAAAAATTGAACCGTTCCATTTTTTCCTCTATCGAAAAATCGAAAAAACTTAAAATAGAGATTGGCTGAAAAAGAAAACTGACGAAAAAGAAGAAAATTTTAGCCGCGAAAATTGAAAAAGTGTGCAATGCGAAGCTTGACATGGAAAATTTAAAGGAAATGGCTTGTTTCGATTTTTTTCTTTTGCGGAATTGTTCTAGAACTTCTCTTGATTAGGCTCTGCTTACATTGGCCGAGAGTTATTCGTCTTTTTTTCATAAAAATACACGGTCAAAGGTAACGATTTTTGATATTTATTGTAATTGAATTTTAATTTTCTTTTGAGAGATTAGCTTTTCGAGATTATTCTCTCTAGCGATTCGAATTTTTTAATTTTTTGGCTCGATTTTTCACGTCGCTGGCCATATTGATTTTTTATTTACGAGAAATAAAACCTTCTCAGGTTCTGAAAAGTACGAATTTTTCACTTTATTTTTGATAATTTATTTTCGCCTTCTAGTGTGTTTGGAAATGAGACTTTTCCGTTCCAAGAGCGGTGAGAAAAAGGCCGAAGTTCGCAATTCTCAAGATCCATCGTCGCAGAGTTCTAGCGATTCGATGTCTTCTCTTCCAAAGCCCGAGGACGTTCCCGGGCCCTCGGGTCTTGGATCACCGGGAAATCTTCCAGCGCCGGAATTCGCGTTCAAGATTCCAAGCCCTTTTTTCATCGACGACTCGGAGATCATATGGGTTTATGATTTCTTTTCATAACTCTTAAGCCTTTTTACAAGCCAGAATAAGTTCGAGTTACCGTTATCATTCACCCCTAAGTCAGGAGATCGTCGGAGCAAAAATGGGAAGGACCAAACCCCAGTGCCGAGACCAGTTTTTCATGTCCAGGTAAGCCCACTTCTCAAAAGATTTTTTTATGCCAAGCTGTCGAGCGCAGGTTAATTTGTTTACCCCGCTCGCGAGTTAAATTTGACGCTAAGTCCCTCCGTTGTCTAATAAAATTGGAACACCTGCGCTAGAAATTTATTGACCCTGCGAAACCTTACTTTAGAAAACGCCCAAGAGCTTGTCGATCAAGCGATCCAAGCGGTCCAGAATGGAGCAAAATGGAGAGGATTTCGAGGACGGAGGATCTGCTTCTAAAAAGTCCCTCTCATCTAAGCGTCTCTTGCTCAGGTAGGACAAATGTTGCAATCAACAAGGACAACGTATTTAAACTGCCTTCAGTAACCAGCTTGCCCGAAGACGACTTGACTTGGGAACACCGAACTCGCTCCATGGAGATGGAACAGCCAAGGCTATCTCTTTCGAAACCCCTAACACACCCCTACTCTACCAAAGCAGCTACGTCCCGCGAAAGGACAAGGACTACTTTGATCAATTCTTCAGGAAGATCAGAGAGCTTGGAGAGGGCGACTTCGGCCAGGTAGCTTTGGTGTAAAAATACTCCTGGTCAGTAAGTTCCTAGGTCTTCGAAGCCGAGAAGAAAACTGATGGCAAACGAGTAGCGATAAAGAAAAGCCACCAAGTGTACCTATCTGTCTACCAGCGGTAAGTCTGGTATGGGATCTCTATTTTGAATTAATTTCAACTTTTTTCAACGGCAAATCCGTTCAGCTGCATCCGCTGCGGATCGCTAACGGACATATTGCCGGTAGAAATTGAATAACTCTAAACTGGGCTCTTAATTGATTTTCACGGCGCTTTCTAGCAAGCAGATGTTGCAGGAAGTCCAGGCTCACGAAGCGATTCCACCGCACGTAAATTTGTTAAAATTCGAACAAGCTTGGGAGGAGAAAGGCTTCCTTTACATCCAGGTAAGAGCGGATTCAGAAGCACAGGAATATAATTGACTTTAGACCGAGCTATGCCAATGCTCTCTTCAGCACTACATGGATGAAAAGCCTGTTGATGATGTGATGGCGTGGAACTTAATGTGTGACATTCTGACTGGTCTTGCTCACATCCACGACCACCAGTACATCCATCTCGATATAAAGGTAAGGAAAAAATAATGACTTCCAAACTCGCTTTGAAAGATTTCGCGCCTTTCATCAAAATCGCCTTATCTCCAAAGGCAAATTTTCGCGGAGCAGGCGTGAATCCCTTTTATTTAACGTTATTTCGGATCCGTGACGTAATTCGCAGATTGCGATTGAAATCCGCCAGAGGTAGCCCATTATTGAGCCCGCGCGCCTATACCGCCAAACCGAACTGCGAGCGGAAAATTTTCACCATCTGATTGGCAGTGCGCCGCTGCGGCCTGGGGCGCTAACGCAGAGCTAAATTGTTGGCACATTGCCTCTGTCTCTTCTCCGAATCCTGAGTTTCGAAACAAAAAGCCATTTTTTACAACCATGAATAGAGATTTACGAATGAATTCTAGGCTGATAACATCCTCATTGGACAAGATGGTCGATATAAAATCGGCGACTTTGGGCTTCTCACAAAACTCGACGGCAAGAACAGAGATCTTACCGAGGGTGACAACAGGTACAAATAAAGTGAAAGATAATTAGGCTAATTTCCACTAGAACGCTTGCTCCTGAGCTACTCAATAACGAGTACACCACGAAAGCTGATGTATTCAGCCTTGGGATAACTGTTCTTGGCGCGATTTGCGACATTGAGCTTCCCAAAAATGGCGATCTCTGGCAAAAGGTACTTTCATCCATTCATCCTTCAATGATTTTAACTCCTCATTTAGTTCCGCAGCGGCGATCCCTTCTCAGACTGGGGAGAGACGCCCAAGCCCTTCATAAATGTCGACATGACAGACATGATTCTAAAGATGCTCGAGCCCGATCATCTGAAGCGACCCTCCTGCAGAGAACTTCTGCAGAGTAATATCATGAGGAGAATGGTAAGTCAAAGATTTCCCAATTTCTTAGTGCATGCGTTTTTCTTTCTTCTAAATTATCAAAGTTAGGCATTTTCGCATTTGCATTTGCATAAACATTTTTCTTTTCGCAGCTCGATTGGCAGAAAGATTTTCTCAAGAACAAGTCTCCCTTGAGGGTGCCGAGCACTCCTCGCAAAAAGTAAAGACCGAGACGGTGATTCACGAACAGATTCGCAAGGCATTGACTCCGAAGCGCAAGGTCGATGATTCCGTGACTAAAGACCCTTCGGCAGCAAAGACTCCGGGCAAACGCAAGGGATCACCGATTCCCTTCGGTACCTCGGGCACACTTTCCAAGTCAAGCACGCAAGAATCGTTGGACGATACAGATCTTCCTCCGTCTCCTAAAAGAACGAGGAAGTCTAAGAGTCCATCTTATTTGGGAAGGAACATCTTTGAAAAGATCAAGGAACCTTTCGTGAGCATAATGAGCATGTGGAGAGGCAAACCCAAGGTTCATCAGGATGAGGTTTGGTTGAAATTTTCGTATTTATTAATCAATATATTTCATAACTTATTTTTAGACTCTTACTCTCCTCCTTACACGCAGGGCTACCAACAATAACCCTGAAGATGCCAACAACATGAGTCCTGGCATCTACAGGCAAAGGTAACATTGCTCTTCCGTTGCACTGTAACAAATCGTCAAATAGATCGCCTGCAATAACGCCTTCTTCGAATCGCCGTCCAGCCTCACTCACCGGCAATCGAACCCCACTCTGCGGCAGTCCGATGAAAAGTCCGGCTGTCAGGTAACACCACACCCATTTTTTAGTTACAGAACGAGGTGTAAATCAAGATTATTGATCCTTATAAATGGCGCCTGGGAAAGAAATACTGTTGCGCTGCGATAGGGATCTTCTTGGTTGACCTCTTGACCCTGTTTTATTTAAATGAGCGCGTGAATGTTTTTTCGTATTTAATTTTCTTTTAGTCCACTTTCATCTCGCCAAGAGAAACCCGAAAAAGAGGAGGAAGAAAGCGTCGCAGCGGATATGTCGTTCACCGAGTGCACGCCCGAAGCCGAGTCAAAGTCAAGCTTGAAATGCTCCGTCTCAAAGAACCTATTCGGCGCCTTCGACGACTTGTCTAGCGACGAAGAGCTCTTCTGAGTAGCTTGAACTTTTACTATTTATCTTTTTGTTCAAAAACAACCGCTAAGATTGTGCCTTTAGGATGTAAAAGAAAAGCTACCTTTTATCGCCCAAATAAGGCAGTATATCAAATATTTTTTTTTTCAATTAACTCCAGTTACTGCCACAACGCTTAGAACATCCCAAAGCAATAAACCCGTTTATCAATTTGATAAAAGGTTTCTCTCGGAAAAACGACCTCTCGGGTAGAACATCGATGAGTTTTCAAAGTGTGCCCGACTTTCTACCCGATCGCAAACTGAAATATTTTTCGAGAAAAACTCTGAAAATTTTCTGTCAATATAACAGATTCCTGTCCAGAACATAATCAAATTAGCTCGACAAATAACGAGAGAAAACTTCAGATTGATAAATGGCGCTGTCATTGGACGACCGGCTGTTAGGCGAGAAAGTACAATGTTACATTTCCGACGATGAAGACGAGGAAACCAAAAAGGCACCGGAAGAAAACGGACCTCTAAAAAATGTCGCATCACAGCGACACAATCCTCAGGCCCCTCAAACAGGGTAAGTTCAGCTGCGTAAATTTTCCCTCAAACAATCGAACATCCTTTTCGCGACTTCGCCAGACGAGGATGACCTAAATCATCTATCCTTCTTTTGTCTCCGATGATTCACTTTTTCATTCACTAACGCGGACAATTCAGGCCTAAGGGTGTCATCAACGACTACAAAGAATTTCAAAAGACTGGCTCAGTGCCTGGCCAAATAACCCCTACTGACGTGGAAACCGACGAGAACTCTGATCTGAGCGATCTGGACGATGACGAAGAGTTTGAAAAATATCGTGAACAAAGACTTCAACAGATGCTCCTAACGCAAGCAGTAATAACGACGACTGAGACGAGGTCGAAAGCAATTTTCGATCTGGACGCGGAAAATTATGTTGAAGAGCAGGAATCATCTGGCAACGGTAATATTTGTATTTATTGAATCGAGAGTCATCAAATTATAGTTGTGACTCTTCTGTACGACTCCAGCGATGAAAACTCAAAAGTCATGCATCGCGCGATAACGCATTTAGCTAGACAGTTGCCTCACGTCAAATTCTGTAGAGCAGAGCGAAGGATTCTCTCTGCACAAGCGAGCATGGATCTTCTGGTAATTTACCCTCTATATTTTCTATTTCAATTGATTTTTTTCTAGTCACAACGAGGCTTACCTTGTTTGATCGGTAATTACGACGGAAATCAAGTGGGCGCAATCGTCTGGCCCGAGATCGTCAATGAGCTTGGCGAAGAGTTTCTTCCAGAGCATCTGTTTTCACTCCTCAGAGAACGAAACTTTATTTAAGTTTCTGCCGCTTTTGCGCGAGTCACGCAAGTTCCACTTTAATGCCACGTGAAAACTGTCCTTCAAAATTGAACCCAGCAAATCCAACCCGATTGTTCTTTCTCCTCCTACTTCCCCACACAAAACAACCATGGTACTACTTTCTTCAACAAACTAAACGTCAACTGAACCAGCAGATTCTCATCGAATTTTTTTTTAGAACTGGCATGACTCGTGTCTTGAAGCAAGGCGAATACACCTCAACTGTGTACAAGTTGATTGCTGATGGCGACTACAAAGAGGCGGCTAACATTCTCGAGACAGAAATGAAGCGATCTGGACAAGAATCTCGAGCTGCTCTTTCATTGATTGGTGAGTCGCTGTTAATCTCAAAAATTTATGACTCTCGATGGGTTCATATTATTTGCACAAACAGTGCGTAATTTATCTTGTAGCCACATGCAAATATCATATGGCAGCAGTACCCGAGCAGTTTGAGTCCGCCGCGGGCGTGTACTACAGACTTATCCAGCTGTGTCCCGATAATGATGACTACAAGTTTGACCTTGCCATGTGTCTCTACAAAGCGTGCAAGTATGACGAAGCCATGAAAGCTTCGTTCGCTGTCCAGTCCCCTAAGTTCTCAGGACGAGTCCAGCAGCTTCAAGCGGCGATAAAGTACATGGAAGATGATCTACCCGCCGCCCAGGGGTGTGCATTCGGCTCTCGGGCATTCGGCTGCCCGACAAATTTTTCGGGCAAATCAGGTTCGGCTCGGCTCTCGGTCGGCCGGTGACCTGAAATTCTCTCGGGCAGGTTCGGGCAGGCTCGGGCATTCGGGCAATTCGGCCCAATCTTCGGGCAACCGGGCACCCGGCCAAAGTTAGAGAGTAAGAAAGAATTTTACAGAGATCTGTGCTTGATTCTTCGACTGATATCTACCAATAACCATATAAATTGATAACCCAAAATTTTGCCATCAGAAATTTGGCCGATTTTCCTCAAAATCGGTTGTTTTTTGAGCTCAGATTTATATTAATTTTCCGAAAATCATTGCCCGAAATGCCCGAAAATTAGCCCAAATTGCCCGAGCCGAAAGTTGAGCCGAAGCCGATTCGGGCACTTCGGGCACCTCGGCTCGGCTCGGCTTTCGGCCGGCCCAACACTGATTTTTTCGTTTCGGCTCGGCCCTCGGTCGGCCCGACACCCGATTTCAGGCCGAATGCACACCCCTGCCGCCGCCAAGAGTTTGATCGAGAAGCAGGGCGAAGATAGCTGCGAAGCCGTCGTGAATCAAGGTTGTATTTTATATAAAGAAGGCTACTACTCGGAAGCGATCGAAAAATTCCAACAAGCGATTCAATTAGAAGGCGTCAAGGCCCACCTGAGCTACAACATCGCGCTCTGCTATTTCAACATGAAGCAATACTCTCACGCTCTCAAGAATATCGCTGAAATCATCGAACGCGGCATAAAAGACCACCCTGAACTCTCTGTTGGTCTTGCTACGGAAGGAATCGACGTCAGGAGTGTGGGAAACACGGCGATCTTGCACGAGACCTCACTAGTTGAAGCGTTTAATCTGAAGGCGGCGGTAGAGTACAACATGGGCCCAGCGAACATCGACGCCGCAGCTGAAGCACTTACAGATATGCCTCCGAGAGCAGAGGAAGAACTTGATCCAGTTACGCTTCATAATTCTGGTATGCTCATTCAATTCGTTTGCGCTCCATATTTATTCTTCAGCTCTCATCAACATGGAAGAAGAACCATCTGAAGGCTTTGAAAAGCTGCAGCACTTACTTGCTTCTGGCGTTGCCCCTCCAATGACCTTCCCAAATCTGATCATTCTCTATCTCAAGTTTGGCTACTATAGTCTTGCCGCAGATACCCTCGCGGAGAATCCGGACTTAGTGACAAAATTTATGGATCGCTTTCAACAAGAGTTTGTTCATGCCGTCATTATGGTTGAGCAGAGCCCCGATGAAGCATACAAGCGTCTTGAACAAATGGCATCAAGGTAATTTTCAAGTCAGTTGTACCCGAATTTAATTCTCTCTTTGTAGACAAACTGACAATCTTCGAAAATACCTGAAGACAATTCAGGAAGCTCAAAAATCTGACGATAAGCATGCATTGAAGAAAGCTGTCCACGCATACGATGACGAGCTAGACCGATTTATTCCAGTGCTTATGCAGCAAGCGAAGATCTATTGGGACAAAGAAAACTACGACCAAGTGGAGAAGATCTTCCGAAAGTCCGTCGAGTTCGGAAATGAAAACGACACATGGAAACTCAACGTGGCGCATGTTCTGTTTATGCAAGAAAACGGTCAAAACTCAAGTCCTCATAAATACAAAGAAGCTGCTGGTTTTTACGAGCCAATCGTCAAAAAGGAGAATCAGAGCATCCTCAACGTAGAAGCGGTTGTTTTGGCCAACTTGTGCGTCTCGTACATCATGACATCGCAAAATGAAGAAGCAGAAGAGCTCATGCGACAAATCGAAAAAGAAGAAGAACAGCTTGCTTACGAATTTCCAGAGAAGAAGGTGTACCACTTATGCATCGTCAACCTCGTAATTGGCACACTCTACTGCTCTAAAGGAAACTACGAATTCGGCATATCGCGAGTCATCAAAAGTCTTGAGCCTTTCCAGAAGAAACTGGGCACAGATACCTGGTTTTATGTGAAACGATGCTTCTTGAGCTTGCTGGAGGCAATGTCCAAGCAACTGGCGCTTCTTCCAGACAACATTCTCTTCGAGAGCTTGGACTTTTGGAAATCTGTGAACAGTTCGGTCGAGGTAATTTTCTAGACGGTCGTTTCAGTTTTCTAAACTCCATTCTCAGAGATCAAAGCACGTGATGTGGACCCATTGAGCACCGAGGCTAGAGATGCGCGGAACACCGTCGCCTTCGAATCGCGAATGCTCAAATGCCAGCTTCTTCGACTCATGGGATGGCCTTGAAGTTGCACGTTTTTGTTATTTCTTTTGTGTGTTATGAGCGATACCATTTTCTTCACGACTGTTGATTCTATTTTTATACTTTTGAATATTTATTTAGTTTTATATCGTAATCCATCTCTAACTCTCAATTCTCTTTATAGAACATTGAAGCGGACATAGCTCAAATCTAGTCTCGTCATACGAATCGCGCCCCAGTTAAACTCATTTATCGCGCATTTATTCGATTCGTGGGATCAGTGACCAACTTTCAAAATCTTCAACATCTATCAGCTCTATCACTCAAACAACTAACTCAGACGACAAACCAACACAGCAATCATGTCACAGATGGAAGTATCAGTCGTAACTAGGGAACCTAGTTCGTCTCAGGTGTCTGAGCCAATGGATACTACAGGTAAGCGTTTTTGATTGCAATGAGAATCATTTATCCATCTCCATTTAACCTTCACTTACCGCCAGTTATTTAATTCTTATTGAAATTACTCATTTTTCATCAAGCATTACAAAGGCTTTTCGAAAGCAAGATGTCTTTGACTGATTCTACGCATTCTCACTCCAATCAAGTTAAAATGAACAAACATTCTGAAGGCTCACATTCAGCTCCTCTTCAAGCTAAAGTATTTGGCCAGACATCGACCAATGCGCCAAGGGCGGCGCTGGGCAATATCACTAATAATGTGAAAACCACGACGAGAGAAGCTTTGAAGCCTCTCAAAGCAGTTCAACCGACGAATAGAGTGCAGGTCTACAAGGTTAGACATCAGTCGAAAGAACAGTCGCATAAATATTTTTCAGGATGTCGATTCAAAGCCAACTGTTGGCCCAAAAGAGACAGCTCCTTCTGTTCCTGCTCCGAAAGAAACTGTAAGCGAACTCTCTCTTTTTGCCCCTCGAACAAGTATTTTAGGTTCATGAGTCGCCCATGGTCCCCTCTGAGATCTCTTCAATCCACTCGAGCCCGAGAACATCGAGGAGGTGTCAGATCGTCATCCCGAACTTAGGTGAGAAATCCTGATAAATTTTGAGCGAAATAACATTGTTTCCTTTTTCCAGATGACAAATCAACGAGCCCATCCATGTGCGCCGAGTACGCACAAGAGATCGACGCTCATCTCCGAGAAGCAGAATTGCGAACGCGCCCCAAGCCTCATTATATGCGAAAGCAGAATGACTTGGATGCCCGAATGCGATCGATTCTCGTTGACTGGATGATGGAGGTAATATCATTCAATTTTATACATCAAGTCTACTTTTTAATTAGGTTGCTCAAGAATATCGCATGGTTGATGAGACCATCTACCTGGCCGTCAACTACATGGACCGATTCTTGAGCCAAATGTCAGTTCTTCGCGGAAAGCTCCAACTCGTTGGAACTGCCGCCATGCTGATTTCTAGGTTCGTCTATTCTTGAATCAATAAGCTAATTTTTCTCTAGTAAATTTGAAGAGATTTACGCCCCGGAAGTCAGTGAATTCGTCTATATTACGGACGATACTTACACGAGGCAACAAGTTCTAAAAATGGAGAACCTCATGATCAAGGTAATGATTTATTTGTATTTTAACTTCAAGTATTCATTAGACTCTTGGTTTCGATCTTTGCGCGGTTACTCCACTCGACTACCTCAACCGATTCATTCGGGCTCTCCAGACTACCGACCCGCAAGTCAGCAAACTCGCCCGATTCCTTTCGTAAGTTCTTGGACTCTCGACGCAGTCAAATTATTCATCTGTTAGTGACGTAGCTCTGATCGACTACAAAATGGTGCAGTACACACCTAGCTTGATCGCTACAGCGGCCTGCGTGTACTCCAACTACATTCTCCACGGAAAAGGATGGGACGACTCAATCGAGCACTACTCTGGCTACACTTGGGCTCAGGTTCTTCCATGCCTGAGAGACCTCCAGAAGGCCCACGAAGACCAGATCCTACACCCAAGCGCGACATGCCTCGAGAAACACAACGGTAAGATCGCCTTTTTTGTTCCATCATTGATGATTATTTTTAGGTGTCTCAAACATTGCCCCAAAGTCTGGAGAGCCTCCAAATACCGCTACAGTTGACTGTGGCTCTACCTCCTCCAGTTTAAATATTACGACCGACAGCTTATAAAAGCAGTTTCCAATTAACGAGCCAAGGTTATATACTCATTCTTTATATTTCCGTGATTTATGTATATACTCTGAAAACTCACACAAAAATGTTCCGAGAACTCAAGCTTGACCTACTGTTATCCACCTGTGTTTTAGAGAAATAATGTACCCCAAAAAGTTTTCACCTCAAAATACCCCAAAAACCAGACCAATCTAAGACTTCAGTCATTCCACATATTCCGTAATATTTTTTCTTTAGATCATTCTCAATTTGATGCTAAATTATTCCCCCATTTTTCGCCTTTAAAATTCGATTTACTTTTTCCATTCCACTTGATGAGCGCTTCAGATCTTCACAAGATTGTCTGCAGCTCACAATAGACCAGCAAGGATTAGGCGTTGTCGTAAGCCGTTTTTATTCGCGCTAATTAGAGTAAAGACTCCTTACGACTGCCTGTGCGACTTCACAAAACTCTAGAATTCCAGGAGCGGCGCTTGTCCTGCCTCCAAATTATCTGCAACTGCTCTTGTACAAAATTTTACAATTTCTTTTTCAATCCTCTTTTTGTGACAGTTACTGCCTTCCAACTTTCTAATTCTCCCCTAACTTTAAATCTTTCCCAGATTGGGATTTAATACCCTCCCCTCTTACCCCTGTTCCTCATTTTTCCGTATTTCTTTGTACCTTGATCAGAAAACCAATAAATGCAAAGAGATTTTCTCGAAATAAAAAATACAAAAATGAGTACTCATTGTTGTTGTCAAAGTTGAGCGTCAACTTTATTTTTGGACGCAGTTTGAAGGTTTTATTATCATAGCGAACTTGACCGTTTATGACTCGTTAGGCGACCTTTTATGACGTCTCTTTGCCTCTCTGTGTCTATCAATATTCAGCTAAAATTAGCGAAACAATAGCTCCTTCGATATTCCATTCTTTTCAATTTTTTCCGTGTTGGAAAGTGAGAGAAAACGAAAATTTAACAGTCGCTTAACTTTAGACGAAAAGAATAACTGTAGATAATGGTCGCGTGATGACCTTAATTAAAGGCGTATCAACCTCACATTTTTGTGAGTAGCGGGCGTCCAGGCTCGAGGGTTCTCTATTCTCCCTAGAAGCGACCTGCAGCGAGCTAGATTTCACGCCCAATTACCTCCACAATCATCGAAAATATAACAAAACCCACCTCAAATCTACCACTTTGAATTAAACATTAGCAGTGAGTAAAGAAAACTCAAATGATGAGTTGAGAAATTCAATACTCAGCGTATTATTCACCTGGGCCGGATCAATCAGTCCCAAGAAGAATAGAGCCCAAATTTCAAGAGCAAATAGAGAATTTTCTCAGTATTGTGTTACAAAATCCAACTTCTTTGGAAGAGAGACTGATCTTTTATCACTAGAGAAACCAGGAAAAAAGACGTTTTTGGAAAGCAACAAAGCAGTAAAAGTCCGTCTCAAAGTCCGATTACTTTTCCTTTTATTCGTTCCCAGACTATTCCAATTTTACACGAGTAATTGAAATGATGAGAATACTTAATTCAGGCCTTTCGCTTTATATTATGCATAGAGATAACTGTCATAAGGCCTTCATCCTTACTGAATTATTGATCTAATGATAGTCCGAAAAGACAGAAGAAGCCGTCGGCGTCAAGTATCAATTTAAGAGATATTTTTGACCAGATAGAATCAATGCTGTTCGTGTCATAAATAGTTGCGGCAGGCATCGTTTAAATAAATCAAAGTATCTAACTCCTTTAATTTCGGCACCTGTGGCATAATTAGAGCTTTGAAATTAGCCTGTCGGTCCTATTCCAAATATAAAAGGACTCTTCCTCTCTTTAAAAATGACACCTATTTGAAAACGAGCCTTTCATTTTCTCCTCTTGCCGCGAAACAACTGCCAACTCGGATATAAATAACTTACTCGATTTTCTCAGTTCAGATAAATCGGAAAAATTGCTCACGTGAACTTGATCCTTTTCACCTTTGAGCGTGTTGAGTCGAATCAGTGACGTAAAGCTCGATATATTGGGAACAAAGAGCTGCTGTATATATATTTTGGGACTGAGTAAAGCAACAGCAGATAACAAGAGAACATCTCAATGGAAAAGCTTCAAGGTTGGTTTAAAATTCTTTCACCCGATAAAGTCAATAATTAAATTAGCTCTTGGCCGGGAAATCCGCTATGTCGAGTACAAATTACGACGACAGAAGCAAGAGAAAAAGAAGATGAAACAAGCGCAAAAAGATTTCACATATGGAACCAACTCGATGTATGAGCCTAATAATGGTGGCGGAAGAACAACTACGGTATCAATATCAGTAGGGTTCGCGCCCAAAAATCAAGTGCCCGAAATACTTATTCTATCTTTCTGAATTTTAGATATATGATAGATAAGGGCAAATAAAGTATAAATTGTTTTAAAATTTATCAAAATTTAAGAGGGTTGAAGAGAAAATAAGCCCCAAAAATGCCAAAAATGGGTTGACCATGTTAGTCAGCCCAAAATTAAAAATTTCAAAAAATGGTATGATCAGTAGAGGTTTCTGATCATTTTTTGATAAAAAAATTTTGGGAAGCATCTACGGTTTCCCTAGAATTTACAAAAAACTGCCTTTTTTTGGCAATGTTTTTCTGTTACGTGATCATGCGCGCGCACGCGTAACCGCGCGTGATGGGGGTGGCCACGTAAAATTCCAATCAATTTTGCCGGAAAATTTTAATTCTTCTTTTTAACATAATTAATAAATAATTAATAATTTAAATAATAAAACTATAATAAATATGAGCTCATAATACTTTTATTAATCATAAATAATTATAAATTGAAAAATTTTCTCTTTTTATCTTTGAGAAACCTAAAAGATCCTCTAGATTTTTAAAAGATCACCTTACGTAGGTCCACCGCTTAAAAATCGCTCTATTTTTTTTAAAAGCCCTCTTTTTTTTTAAAAAAATGAGAATTACTGTTACGAAGGAGACATTTTGGGGACGGCATGGAAAGAAGATCGCCAATATTCTTGGCATGCTAGCTTTTATGTTTGGCTACGCATCAGGTAACTTTTTGAGATCAAGGGATCCCCCCTGTTTTTTCAACTCTTTATCACGGGTAATACATTAAAATCACTTCTTCGGACCAAAATCCTGACCCCAATGTTTTTCGTTCTTATCTTGTAGCGCAGTTTCTGGGGAGTCGAATAATATAATTTTTATGGGTCGGTAATACTATATTATATCGGGTTCTAGAGCTATAAGTACGTGAAAATAACAAGTACTGAAGCCTCAGAACTCTGAAACTTTCTTTTTAAAGTATAGTGAATTTGGGCTCTTTCGAAAGCCCAGCTCAAACTGTGGTTGGGCAGACTATGCATGACGTAAAATTTTGTGAAAAAAATTTTGAGTGGAAAGTTTTTTGGCTCAAAAAATTTTTCTGTTGAGAATTATCGGCTGCCCACCAACTGCCCAACCACAGTTTGAGCCGGGCTTTCCAATGATACCCATTTGTCCATACTTTCTTTAAAAATTTTCGGAGATACAGGGCTTCACTAGAATTTTTCAATAGGGGCGCCTATGACGTCATTAATGATGACTCAGACCCTGAAAGGTATATGAATCGACTCCTCAGGAGCTGCCCTTTCGAATGAGAATAAGAAAGATGGAGGATAGAATTTTTTCCGAAGAAGTGATTTTCATGTATCGGGTCTCTTTATGGCATATTTAGATTCTTGCCCTCAAAAGTCGTAAAAATGCATATTAATTGAACTTTGCGTAAAAATCGCATTTTTTCCACTTTTCAATATCAACGACAAAAGACAAAAAAGGGGGTCTATCGATAGCTTAGAATGCAACGAGAAAGAATATGACGACCGCACTAGAATTTCTGGCCATATATTGGCGGTAGAGAGCAAATTAAAGCCAGAAAAGGGCCAAAAAAGCATCAAAAATTTTTCTCAGGCAAAATAATTTATCCCAAATGGGCTGAATTTCCAGTCAAAATTGGAAAAAACGGAAAGGGGGTGATCCCTCAAAGAATCGCCTGTTATAAGACATAAAACAACTATGATCATATCGACCGGGGGATCCTTAACTCGTAATTATGGTGAAGATTTAAATTATATTTGTAGGATTTCTCCATGCATTCTTCATGAAGAAGAAAGAAGAAATCGAATTTCAGAAGATAATAGATAATCTGGTAAGTTCGAGATTAACGAAGTGATACCCTTAAAATTTTATCTTTATTAACAGTAGCTTATGCCAGCAAAACACAAAAGCTCGTCTCTCGGACATTCTTGAATAAGTAAACATGGGAATTTTTTGTCCAACAAAATCTGTCTCTCATACTTTGCAACGAAATCAAAAATTTGAGAAAGAGTCTTTGAGACGGAAAAAACAAATGAATTATTACGATCATTATGTAATATTATCTTGTTTAATGATAGAAGCTCAATACAAGAGCTTCATTCCATGAGTTATTTTTCGAGAAAATGATACACAATTTAATTTTATTTTTTTCTACGCTTGTCACAGGAAAATGGACAAGAGAATCTTTTGATTAGGTCACGAGATAATACTGCTTTACAGAGGTTTAATTATTATTATCTTTCAAAAGATTTGACTGCGCGGTCGCCAAATTATGAGAACGAAAGTCTTGAAAGTTCGCTTCGACATATACAGCGTTTTAATCGTAAATTAACGACGAGTAAAACATATTGTCACAGTGCTGTTTTTATGACTATTCGGCTCCCAAACCCTTATGTTCGAGATGAATGGACTTACCTGCGGAATGTTATTGGAAGTAAAGTTGTTCTCAGTCGCTTAGCCTATAATTATTGACACTCCCACTGATTACAAAAAAGAGCTAAAATTGAAATTCTTGCGCCGCAATGCCATGATAAAATTTCAAATGTCGGAAATTATGACTTGGACAATGATGCCGGAGTTGTTTTTAATTATATTTTAAGGGAAACAGGGGTTAACTTAAAATTTGAAGTTTTCTTAAGCTAACCCTCAAAGGGATCAAGAGATACCAGATTTTATTGAAGCTTGGTCGCCAAAACTCGCTGAAATTCTTCTTGGTGATACTGACACAGTTTTTACTGTCAGTACAATATTGTAATAGGAAGTAAACGCGATCTAACAAATGAATATTATTCAGTATTCGTTTTGAAAAGCAGAAGAAACGTAAGCCTTTTATATTTGACTTGCTTTACAAAATGTCGGAGGCTTCTCATGATGAGAGTAAAACAGGTAAAGCTCTATTAAAAATCAATTCTAAAAATGAATTTCAAAGTGCTCCAGGGAATTATGACACAATCTAACTATGTCGTCGAATATATTGAATCAGCTTTCGAAAAAGGATTCAAAAAATTATGGAGAATAATATATTGTATTATCTTGCATCCCTTTTAGTTATTTTTGATGGCGACCAAACAGAAAGGGAAAATAATATAAGAGAAATTCTCCAAACAATCGAATCTATTACTCAAAACTATTTAACTCATCTTGATGAAACCGAGAGTGGAGGCGATCATGGATGGTTTCTCGTTTTGGCTAGAAAAAGATAATTTACCATTTTATTTGCTCAAGAAGCTAACAGTGATGTTTGCAAGTGCCTTCCTTTTTTACCTGAGCTCGGGTCAAGCGTATTTGACAAGACGAACTGATTTTTGTTTTGGCTTTTCATCGCGCTTGTAATAGAAAGTTGTTAACTTGCCATAAGAGAAATTCGATCGAAGGCACTGCAATTTGCGCTGTTAAAATTTTGAATTCAGAAAATATTATTTTCTCTATTTCTAGCCATATAAGATGGATTGCAGCATATAGTAGAATTAGAAATGAGCGACCGGCTTGGAGAAGACGTAACGCAGACTTTTATTGAGATTTTCAAAGAATATGCACTTGAACAAATTTTTCACAGCGAATAAAACTCATGATGAATTTTCCAAAATTGCAAGAGCTTTCATTCGTTCAGCTTCAATGTCTTCCTCTCGTTCATTTTCACGTTGTCTCATTCCCTTATAAATATAAATTGAATGCACAGTTAGAATCGAAGTTGGTCACCTCCCAAATCAACGCTTCTGCCTTTTCTTCATCATCAAGGAGTTTCAGATGCTCAAATGCTTTGTTTTGTTTTGCGATCGTAAGTCGCCACAGACGTATATCAAGCGTTCGAGTATCCGAAGTTTCAAGGCCCTTCAGAATTCAGAAAGGAAGGTTTCAGAAGCACTTTTTAATAACAGTCAGGGACAGGGCGAAGCCGACCCGAAGGGGAGGCCACGCTCGTTTTTAATTACCGTCAGGCACAGAGCGTGGCCTCCCCTTCGGGTCGGCTTCGCTCTTTTTTCATTACTGTAAGGGACAGGGCGAAGCCGACCCGAAGGGGAGGCCACGCTCGTTTTTAATTACCGTCAGGCACAGAGCGTGGCCTCCCCTTCGGGTCGGCTTCGCTCTTTTTTTCATTACAGTAAGGGACAGGGCGAAGCCGACCCGAAGGGGAGGCCACGCCCGTTTTTTAATTACAGTCAGGGAGAGCGTGGCCTCCCTTCGGGTCGGCTTCGCTCTTTTTCATTACAGTAAGGGACAGGGCGAAGCCGACCCGAAGGGGAGGCCACGCCCGTTTTTTAATTACAGTCAGGAAGAGAGCGTGGCCTCCCCTTCGGGTCGGCTTCGCTCTTTTTTCATTACTGTAAGGGACAGGGCGAAGCCGACCCGAAGGGGAGGCCACGCCCGTTTTTTAATTACAGTCAGGGAGAGAGCGTGGCCTCCCCTTCGGGTCGGCTTCGCTCTTTTTCATTACTGTAAGGGACAGGGCGAAGCCGACCCGAAGGGGAGGCCACGCTCGTTTTTAATTACCGTCAGGCACAGAGCGTGGCCTCCCCTTCGGGTCGGCTTCGCTCTTTTTCATTACAGTAAGGGACAGGGCGAAGCCGACCCGAAGGGGAGGCCACGCCCGTTTTTAATTACAGTCAGGAGAGAGCGTGGCCTCCCCTTCGGGTCGGCTTCGCTCTTTTTTCATTACTGTAAGGGACAGGGCGAAGCCGACCCGAAGGGGAGGCCACGCCCGTTTTTTAATTACAGTCAGGAAGAGAGCGTGGCCTCCCCTTCGGGTCGGCTTCGCTCTTTTTTCATTACAGTAAGGGACAGGGCGAAGCCGACCCGAAGGGGAGGCCACGCCCGTTTTTAATTACAGTCAGGGAGAGAACTAAGCCTCTCTTTACAATTTATGAAACCTTGACCAAACGTTCGCTCTAAAATTCAAATGAGAAAAATTCAGAAGAAATTCCGCTTACCAACAGGGCGATTGTCAGAAACGGCGACAATATTGTGCGGAATTCTATTTTTGTAAGCAGAAATCTCTGTATATTCTTTCGTCCACTTTTTATTAATACTCTCCCAAGCGACTGAAACTAGCTCGTTCAGTTTTCGGATCCAAGTCAATTTTCGTCGATGTTGATGGAGAATTACGTTCATTTTGTCAATCAAAAGAAGAATATCAGCCCCGGTTTGTTGATTCTGTCGCTCGGAATGAAGGAATTTTCCTCTTTCCTCAAACATCACCATAAGATTATGAAACGCCGTATCGAAATTTTTTCCCAAAACAATTGGGTGTAAATTAGTTAAAGTTCAAATAAAATTTAAACCCAGCCCATAATATGAAGTGAATAGACCCCTGCTTAACACGCTCCATTCTTTTCTCCATATCTGTGTACGCTTTCAAAAGTGAGCCGTAAGTTCTAAAATTTTTATTTTGTTATCAGAACAGGCCTTTCCTACCGTGAATGTCCTCCAGATGATTTAAGAAAAGGCTCGCTTACCGCCCACCAAAACATTGGTATTATAGAAGATTTCAGTTTTGTCAAGTCGTAATCAGATTTTTCCGAAATGGTAAGAATCTATAAATTTTTGACGCTTAAAGCAAGAGTATATTTTTAATACCATGTTAGCGAATTTTCTGTCCCGATAATCCCGACAAGTTTTTAAAACAAGTTCTTCGTGTTTAAAAAAATTAAGCACGTTCGCTTGATGGACTGCGTAACTAATCTATGTTTGGAATAATTGTTTAAAATACGCATATTACCGGGATCCAATGTCCGAGAGAAAGGGGCGTGTCGAAAACGTTTCAGCTTCGAGAAACGAAGCTTCGAGCCCAAAACGAATATCAGATCTACTATGACTGCATGTTGTTCGACTTCCGAAACTCATTTTTAGACTGTGTAGAAGATTCCAAGTGTCTTAGTTATTGGCTGAATTAAATATCTTATTGATTTGATGTATGTAGGAAAAAGCCGCTTCGCGGCTAGGTTTTTGTTAATAATTCTGATCTGTTATTTTAACCATTTCCTGCGGGTCGGCCTTTCGGATTTTCAGCAAGTGCATCTCTTGATTTATCTTCGAACATAAAGTGTTCATAACTTCGAAGATCAAAGTTTGCCGCTTTGCAGTGATCGACATTGCAATCATAAAAATTTAAAAAATGCTTAGATCAAAAACTGACCCCTTTCCCACATGCATAACACAATGTAAAGGAATCGCTCCGGAGAAGCCATTTTCTTTAAGCTTATCAGAAAATAAAATGTTCGCCTTGAGCTGGGCATGAGCTATGAGATTGGATAAATACTTTAAACCCTTTTTATCATACCTGTATCGCTCACTACGAACTTAAGCTTTTGAAATAACATCCGATAGAATGGCAATTTTATCAATTCTGCGAAGGCGGATTCTGCAATGTTTTCTGCAGAATGCTTTAACCGGCTTCAGATGTTTTTTTAAGGCAATATAAAAAAACAAGATTTAAGAATCTCAATTGTTTCAAAAAGAATTTTTGAAAAATGCCAATTTGACAATCCAAGTGTGAAATTTTAAACTTATTTACCACTTTTTAGTTTTCCCTCTACCGTTCCTTAATTTGCTGAAACAGGGACAAAAGCATAAACCCACCACGTTCATTTGAAACTCCTAGTGCAGCGACCGCGCGATTACGCCTACTAGTGCTCCCGTCCATGTGAATGGTCAGGTAACGTGATGAGCGAACAAAACTCTCCATTTGATCATGAAGGATTGGGGTAAAGGCCCCAGTTAAGGAGGTGATAAAATTTTGGGAGGGCATAGCAACTGATTTGTCTGGATCGTCAAGAGCATTCTTCAAATCAGGAAAAAGATCAGTGAATTCTTCCAACGTCGATTGTATAGTCAATGTTGGAATACCCTTCATCTTAGATATAAGCAGAAATTTGATCAAAGGAGTGTCGTAAGTTGGCTCAAATTCAATCTTACTAAAAGAAAATAAATTTCAGAGTTACCGTCATTTGACCGCGAATATCGCGGTTTCGATTAACGGAGGTTGCAGGCGGATTCTTTTTTTGGAAGATAGATACAACTGGGCAGGTTTTCACTTCCAAAAATTCCGGAACAGGAATCGGAGACGGTGTTGGCTCTTGCCTAGGCCTTTTTGACGTTCTGGTAGCAGGAATTGTGCAAAAGTGATACTCAAAAGTCCCCATGTTTTCAAGCATTTCTTTTATTTTCTTTGAAATACGCGCAGAGTTCTGCCAAACAGCTTGTTCCATATCAACTTCATCCCAAATTTGAGCTCGAATATCAGTGTCAAGTATCCAGGACAAAAGGACCCTGTGCGCACCCTTCGTTGGGCGTATAAAATTCAACCAAGCATTATTTCCGTCTCGAGTACCTTCTCTCTTAAGTGTCTCTTTTTCTTCCCAATCTCTGAGAGTAATCACGTCACTGTATGTCGTAACCAAGTATTTTGCAGTTTCGTAACTCATAGGACATGCCGGAGTTAGACTGGAAACAAACCCACAAAATATAAGATAAATTTTCATATTTTAGGATTTTGGAAGAGAAATCCTCGTAGATCCATTTTTAAATACAGTATTATCAAAAATTATGTCATTCTCAGTTGTAGCCCAAACGACTTCTTTTCAATCTTTTTCATGACGCTGCAAAGTCTGAGAGACCAGCGCGGCTGTTCAAGTCGAGTTTCTTCATGTTTCAGAAAATCTTAGCTTAGCTAACGCTAAAATTCCGCCTGTGGTAGATAGATATGACCAATATCTAGTGCCGTTTTTCGGAGTTTCAATTGCAGTAGAGAGCCAAGAGTCAAACCTGTTTTTGAAAAGTAGCGATTTCCGCCTCTCGCAGGATTAAAATTTTCTTAAGAAAAATAAGTCTGATCATGGAATTCTCAGTAGATGAAGGTAGATCATCCCCTTATCTTATGCCGTTTTGAGAAAATTTTGTGTGCCCAAAACATACTTAACAAATTTTTTTTTTGAAGAAGTGGTTCAAAAATGAAGATTTTCATGAAATCAATGGTTAGTAAAAATCGCCTCTAAAATCCCGAAAATTAGCCCGTTTTATAATAGATCGACCAATTTTTAGTAATTAAATATGTAATTACTTAGTTTTCGTCCAAAAAACATTAACAAAAACTCCTTGGAACATTTATAGAATGATTTTAATACTGCTGAATACAAATTCAAAATTTAATTTTTTCATTGAAAATCGTGAAAAACAGGTAATCGATTTTTTTCTTACAAAATTTTTGAAATTTTAAATTCTGGTCTCCATAGGATCTAGACAAGGGTCTTATCTAACTTCTCAGAAGAAAATAAATTCCGCCCTATATAAGGGTTTCGAGAAAAGTCTGCCAGGAAAATGGTCATTTTTAGCGATTTCCGAGTTTTCAACGCCATTTTTTACGATTATTTTCTGGAGATATAGAAATCGGCCTTCCATAGGCACGAGATAAGGGCCTCAACTCTCTATTAAAACAAAAAAAATCATTGGTCACTATGTTAGGATTGGGAGAAAAGTCTACCAGAAACTCCCGATTCTTGATATCTACCTCCTTAAGAGAAAATGACTTTATTTTCAGGATCCTGAAATCAAGGAAGAGAATGGATTCGTGGCGACTCGGCTTGGCCTTCGTGAGTGGAAGATCGGAATGGCTTTTTAATTAAATTTAGTATATATTTATTATTGTTAATTGGAAAATATTAAAAAAGCCTTAAATAGAAGAATAGAAAATTGTTTTTTTTTTGAAAAATAAAAAAATGACAATTATTTATGTTGTATCTTCTATTTTTATTAATATCATTTTAAATCATTTTATAAATCTTTTTAAAAGAAAGAATTTCTTTAAAAAGAAAGAAATACCCATTACGCGCCGACCACCCTAGCCGCGCAAGGAAATGCCTGAGGGCGAACGCGGCGCCGTGCGCTCCGCGCCGCGCAAAGATCGACAAAAATAGACCTTCAATGGTCAATTACAGTATGTTAGTCATCTGCTTCCCATTATTTTTCAATCGAATATTGTTCTCCTCAATCAAAATTATATATATATCCAAAAAATTTCTGGGAAGCTTTTGACTAACATGGTTTTTGAACATAAATTTCCCTATATCTCTTCAACCCTTTAATTTTTTTTTCGGTGAAATAGATTTTTTTAACCTTTAAACAGATAAAAAACACCTATAAAAATTTGAAAACAATTGGATTTGTCTATCAAAAGATAGTTTTTTTGGGCGCGAACCCTAAATATCAGGCAATTACAGTCAGTGAGAGCGCATTAATTTAGGCGGAGGAGTTGAATTTCGAGGATCAGCCGGGATCCGGTAGCACTGAAAGAAATCAGACTAACAGTGAATACGATAGAGCACGGCCAGCAAACGCCGAAGAAGAAAAACTACAACTAGAGGTGACTAAATACTGCTTTTATCTTGCTATCACGTTTTTAGCTCGCATTGGCAATGTCTCGCGAAAGTGCTCCTCCAACCCAGCCAACTACAGGAAACCTAATTCAACCAGCAGCTACAGTTACCCCTGCCCCGCCAGCTTCAACCCAACCACAGGCATCTTTTGATCCATGGGCTTCATCAAGTTCGACTCCCGTTGTTACTGCTCCTCCCGCAGCTCAAAAAGCGGCTCCTGCCACTAGTTGGGAGTCGTTTTCGAATGCTCCACAACAAGCAGCAACTCCTTCATCGTCAGATCCTTGGGGTACCCCAGCTCCTGCTGCGCCAAAGGCTTCAGCGGCTCCGGGTGCTAGTTGGACAGGTTTATAGCTATTTGATTGCGTTGTTTAATTTGTCTGATAGCATTTGATGACTCTTTTGGTACTGCATCCGCCTCTGCCACGACATCCGCCGCTAGTTACCCTCCACAAGCAGACTCTGTTCCTGCTGCGAAACCAGACTCATTCTTCGACTTGCCGATCTCTGATCCAACCCCAGCGCCCGTTTCTCAGCCCGCTGTAGCTCCAGTTATGACGCCGATGACGCCGCAAGTCGCCCCTGAGAATGATCTTCTGGGCGGAGAAGTCGGAACATTGACCAGTCAAAATACTACGAGCGCTGCCCAGAAAAATGAAAAGATGCGTAAAACACCCACTGATTTCCTTGGAAAGGGAGCGAATCTTGTTAACTTCGACAATCTTGTCTCGAGACCATCTGGTGCCGGAGCGATCAATCCATTCATGTCGTCGGGATTGCAGAAGACTAATCCATTCCACGCAAAAGGGCCAGGTAAATGCAATTCATGCCTTTGTACTCTTAGAGTTCTCTGAGTCAGAATTTAACAATTTTCAGAAGTTATTCATTCTACTAATCCCTTCGACAACCTCTCTGACCCTTGTGGTACAGTATTCTAATTATTAGTAAAACATGGTTGTCGGTAATCTTTTTCTCGGTGTTCCTTTTATTGTCGGTGCATTTTCTTCTCACGCTAACACTTTTCAAGGTCTGTCGATGAACGCCATGGCCTCACAGCAAAACAAAGGTGGCTTCGCCGCCCTCGACGGAACTGGCATGGCTCCTCTCCAGCCGATGAACAACAATTCGGTCATGCAACCAATTCAGCCCACGAGCAGCCACGCGCCTGTCTTCTCATCCACCGCTCAGAACACAATGTTCGGCGCGAAGCCAATGTCCAGCCAACATTTCAATCAGCAAGCGTTTCGAAATAAATTATTTTTCTAGTTCGTTATTTTTGTCACTCCTGCCTTTAGAAAAAAAAAACTGTTTCGATTGATGATGCGCATGCTCAAGTAGTAGACATTTGTCATTATCTCTTGATTATATTAGGTATTAGATTCTCAGGGACACTCGGAAGACTTTATCAGTCTCAGTACTAGTTGAAGTAAATTATGATATTGTAATCGTCCTCGTTAAAAAGCATGAATAGCATCTTTACTAACAAATAATTTTCGAACCGCTCCGCAGTCTAACAAAAGCCAAAGTAACCCGTTCAATTTCTGAAAGACTAAAAAAAGCAACACATTTCAATTCACGAAGACCGAAATAAATCCAGCGATTCTGCGCGCCAACTCCATTCAAAGTCCTGCATTTTCTTTCTTTTAAATTATATAAGTTTTCTTTACCATCTGCGACGAAAAACAACGAATATTTGAAATCCCCTGCTGCTAACTCTTATATTGATATTGACAGTTTGCATTTATACAGTTCAAGAATCAGTATCCTTTTCTGAATGTTGGATTCTTTCCTTTCTTTCCCATTTTTTTTCTCTGCTTTCGTTTTCTGACTCGTTCGTAGTTACTTTTCAGTTTCGATTATCAGTTTAACAAGCGCATGATTCAAATACGATTATTATTACCACCACAGGAGGGCGGATATTAACAATTTTATTTGAACCGATGCTTTTTAAATGACCAATTAATCCGAATCCAGCTGAATTTCACTCTATCGGCTTTTTAATTTTTCAATTTCTCAGTAAAAAAGCACCTTATTCTTTACTTTTTAAGAATAGTCGAATGCATAGTATAATTAAATAAAAATGACGTATTAATATTATTTACCTTCACGCCAAATCTATTCATTTACCCACAAAGTTCTCGACTCCTTGACTGTAACTTACACCTTCTTAAGCCTGAAATTTTCCCCTAATTTTTTACTGGTATTTTGTTTGATTACTGCGCTCATCAGTAATTGCTTGCGACAAATATTCTGTTAACCATCCTGGTGTCAAATTACTTTTTCCTTAAAATTCATTAAAAATTTTGATAATCTCAAATAAATGACTTTTTTATTTGAAAATACTTTGTTCCGAGCTCAAGAAACGTTGATCTCGAGCATCTCTATTTATTTGCAACAGAAATAAAGGCAGGTAGAATAAACCAGATCGACCAGATGCCGATCAGAAACTCGATAAAGTGGCTTTGAATATAATTTACGGCGATGACAAATTTCTGGAAACACGGGTGATCTTTGTATTCCTCTGATATCGAATTGACCACGTACACGAATACTAGGGCGACGAAAATAAGCATGATCGCGCGTATCTCTTTGATAAAGAAATTCGAACTAGTCGAAATTCTGATTATAATGCCGGATGTCGGCTTTTCGTAAAGAGCAAGTGCAGTTGGACTTATTTCGCATTCTTTCCGCAGTATTTTATAGCGTCGCTGCAAATCTAACAAAATATGACGGTGATTCTTTAGGAAAATTTTTCGTACCTTTGAACTTGAGCAGCTTTTTGGTCACCGCGGAGCTAAAGGAAAACCAGCAGATTGTCAAGATCCAGTACAGCGGGTTCGAGCGGTTTCTATTTGCTGTTCGAAGAATCAACCCAGATAGTAAAATCCAAGAGAACCAAACGTCTTTTGTAAACACTTGCTCCATTGTCTCTCAGATGCTCAACTTTTGTGCGTCTTTTTTTTCTCTATATTTAGGACTTCGAGAATAGGATGCCTTTTGAATGGCCAATTTTAAAATTCTCGCCAACTGACGTGGTGCAAATCCAGTGAAGATCATGGTCAGCGAAACTCTGATTGATGTTCTTATTCAAGAATTTCTATGTCGGACTTGGCAGACGAAGTAATATCGAAAAATAATAGTCTTTTAGCGGACGCATTAAAGCAGCAGCTGTATCCGTTACCTTCAATCAAAATCGGCGCGTACGTTGAACCTATTGTGAGCTTCATAAAGTGTCATAAAAGTCGTGAGATTTTTATGAGGAAGTAGGGATTTACTTTTTTCGACGCAGGATATTTCAAAAGATGTTTGTGATTGAAAGAGATTAAACTTTTTTGAGTTGACCATGATTTTGACTCTTTGGTTTATTCAAGCGCTTATTGCAAGTGCGCAGAGATACAGAGATGACGACTCTTACAGTAGAGAGTCGGAATCTTCCAGCTTTGACAGGGCTTCAACCCCTGGAATAACATTTAGACAATTCATGAATATACTCGACCATCGCCTCAGAAAGTTCGAAGAAAGCATAAACGGTCAGTCACTATGTTTTTCAAGGGCACCACGTAAGAATTTTAAAGATCGAGGGCGTTGATGTTCTATTCTCACTCTCTATGACGAATTTTTGGCTTAAATTTGGGGCTTAAATTTTTCATGTGCGGGCAAGCTTGCCGTTGTTGATAACCTCTGTAGAGGAAAAAAGAGAATGCCTGAAGAATATGAAAAATAACAATTTTAATTTTACCCGATTTCTGTACAGTCAATGCGGTGGAAAGATTTTCTTACTTATCAACTTACCATTCAACTGATGCCTTACTTAGATAAAACCGACAAGAAAATTGCAGACCTGCGAGAAGAGTTCAGTCGTCAACTTGATGAAATCAAGAGCAATGGAATGGTTCATGATGTTACAAACACAAGGGATTACGAAGATAGACTTGAAGAGACCAACCTGTGGCTGCAGAAACTCGACAATGATTTTGAATCGTTTCAGACGAAGACTGACGAATCAATCGGTGAATTAGGGCGATTGACTGAAAGCCTCGTTACTCGAACATCTCAGTTAGAGAATAAAAGCGAAAATTCGGATATCAAAAATACGAATTCTATGGATGGATCGCTTTTAAGTAGTGTCAATGACAATAAACGGAAGATTTCCGAATTGGAAGATCAAATTGTGACAACGAGAGTAATTCAAATAAATGATGAACGAGCTCTGGAAAATCTTAATCGAACAGTCGAATCTCTCCGACAACATTCGATGACTCCTTCGAGTTCTGGAACGAGTCCCGAAATCACCCAGCGAATCGAAAAACTCGAAGAAGACGTTCATAAAATAAGGACAAGCGAGAACGATGAGCTCGACGAGCTTTACGAAACTGTCCTGGAGAATAAAAACGAACAAAATGCTAGAATAACAAAACTCGAAAAGGATTTACTTCAGAAATCAGTCGATTTCAAAAATTATCATGAGCACGAGAAGACTGCAGATCTTGCGTTGGCAAAGAAGATTCAAGCGATTGAAAACGAACTAGAAAATGAAAAGAAAGATTTGGAAAATTTTATAAGCGAGGTTGGCCATGGAGATTTCGGATTTATAACCAAGAAGATTGTCGATTTGGGCAATGATCTCGAGCAATTGTTCACAAAATTTGAAAATTTTAAAAATGAAGAGTTCGCGCAAGAAGAAAGGCTTGATTCCGTCCTTCGAAGGGCAGAATTAATGAAAGAGTCGATCTTGAATCTCCAGAAGACCGACGAAGACTTCTTATTCCGACTTGTTGATGTCGAAACAAGAATTCAAAACGGATACTCTCCCGGCAGTGGTGGGCCTTCATCGACTAGCATTGAGCAGATAAGCTATCAATTGAACAAGTTCAAAAGTTTTCTACGCGAAATGAAGTCGCAAACAAACGAGATGAAGGATCAAATCAAGAGTCTTGAGGATAAAACATCATTAGAGTACTCTTCGTTATCAAGAAATCAAACTCGATACGAGACCGCACTTTCAAAAATACAGGAAAACTCCGAGAAAAAATGTATCGAACTTGAAGCCTCTTTATCAAAATTAGAAAAGCAACAAAAAGAAGCCGAGATGGCTTGTGAATCTAAAGTTGGGGCCCTTCAAGATAAAGTTGCAGCTGATCTACTGAGCATCGAGGAAAATACTGTCTCAAGTAGAGATTACTGCGAGGATAAAATCAAGAAAGAGTTCGAAGCACGAATTCATTCTCGAAAATTATAGATATTTTTGAACTCTATGAAAGGCGCTTTCATCAACGATCATCGACACACAAGAAGATATTGAAAATAAACTGGCATCAGTTGAGAACGATATCGCCAGAAAAATAGCTCAATCATCTCAAAACTCTGAGATTCCGGCTTCAATTAAAAATGACCTTGAAAAGGTGAAAAAACAAAATGAATACGAAAGTCGTCAGATCGAAGAACTCAAGAAATCATTCCAGTCTTGTACCAGAGAAGATGATTTGTTACCCCTTCAAAGGTCTGTAAAAGCCCTGGAAGTGTCAACAACCGCCATATCAGAAAAACTAGTTGAGGACACAAATAGCATGGATACTCTTATTAATAAACTCTCTGTTGAGTTCCACGAGCTTGAGCTCAACTTTGATAAGCTCATGGACTCGATGAATTCACAATCATCAGACACAGGCGTTAGTTCTACTGTTGTTGCCGCGCTGGAAGTGAAAATAGACAAAGTCAAGACTAATTTCTTCGATGCTCAAAAGGACTTCCAAGATTTCAAGAATCAACTGTATTTGCTTGACGCAAAGTTGGATAATCAAAACGAGAATATTAAAAACATGTCGAGGCACACTCATTCTTTACCACAAGAGCTCGTTGCCCTGGAGAACAAAATGAAGGAGTTACAAGACGAACTTGATAGAGCTAAAAAAGAAGGCATAAGCATTAATAATGTTCAAACAACACCAGCGCCAACTTCAAATACACGATATCCAGCTGCCGATAACTGGGGATCGTGGCAATCCTGTTCTGTAACATGTGGAAGAGGGACAAAACGAAGATACAATAATAATTTAAGCTCCAGTAACAGGGTTCAGAACGTTCCCTGTGAGGAAAAACCTTGTGTTAGCTGGTCGAGTTGGTCTTCTTGTTCAAAAACATGCGGAACAGGAGAACGACGAAGAGAAAACCTTACGAGTATGGACATGTTCAATAGCGAATCACAGAAGGAAGCCTGTAATACACAGCCCTGTCCAGCGGAGATTCCATGGTCACAGGTTCGTTGCAGGAAAGAAATTTTAATTATGCAGATTTTAAGTGGTCTGTTTGTACAAAAACCTGTGGTGGAGGAAGACGCACCAGGCATAGTGGGTCAGAAGTGGAGAATGACCGATGTAATACAGTGGTAAGTTATTGTTAATCTTAGGATTGAAATATTAAATTGATTTTCAGAACTGTCCGGGGTGGACTGAATGGTCTGAGTGCTCCGCAACATGCGATGGTGGCACTAAAACTCGAAATTACATACAATATAATAGCTTTAATCAGCCGAGATCTGTCGATGAAGAAGAACGTGTTTGCAATAGAGTTACTTGTCCATGGACAGAATGGTCAGACTGCAGCGTTACGTGCGGTGAAGGATTTAAGTCGAGAAGAAGAGGAGACCGAGAATATAAAAGAAGATGCATAATGTCGGCATGTACCGAGACAACGCCGTTCTTTAATACAACACCACCACCGAATGGTGACGGGATGATGGGAGAAATCGTAATTATCGGTGGAAGAAGAGGCAGAAGTGATAAAATTGGCCCGAAAACAGTTAAGGAAAGGGATAATTTTATCTAAAATTTAATAAAATTTCGATTATGTCATCCTCAAAAAGAGTATACAACTTTCTGATGGATCAGAGGAAATTTGGAGCACCGACTTTGAGTTGGGGTGGCATCGATCATGTTCAGTTAGCTTCGGTAACTGCTGATAAATGCTCATTATTAATTTATTATAAAATTGAGGCGGTAGAATTTATGTCATCGGCGGAAGCTTTACTGGTCAGAACATTTACGAAGTCTCTCACTCGAACACACGGAAGCTCAATACAGAACTGACCTCGAAGTTTTACTATCATTCTTGTGCAATAATGAACAATAGAGTCTGGATTGTTGCCGGTTCAGGAGGTCAAGGAAAGAATGCGGTTTCATTTGATATCGGTTTCCGCCAAGAGAGGTAGAGTAAAAGAACAATCTTGAGTTACATCTTTTATTAGATTCGAACCGATTCTACGCGACTCACATTACGGTGGTGCATTAGTGGCGTTGCATGATGAATACTTGCTAATCTCTGGTATTTATTAATATTAAAATATATCAATGAATGTATCAAGGTGGTAACTCTCCTCGAGCGAACTCAATGGAAGCTTTAATTGATGGCCGTACTTCGTGGTCATTTTCATCTTCACTGCCAGAGAGAATTTCTGGACATCAAATGATAGCCGATCCTGAGAGCAATAAGATGTTTGCCCTCGGTGGTTATGATGGACACAAAGAAAGAAACGAAATTTACATGGTACTCGATTATAGATCATTTCATTGCTTTGAATGATTAATTTCAGATCGACATGAGCTGTGTAGTCGCCAAGCAATGCCGCCTCAACTCTCCAGCGTGGAGCAAGGCCGGAACGTTGCACAGTCCGCGAGACAGCCATGTTTCCGTTCTCTACCGCAATAAAATCTATTCCTTTGGAGGTAGGATTCTCGAAGACAATATGCAAGAAAAGGTTACTTTTTAGGCTTCACGAGAACATCATTGCCAGACGAGTTCTTTTCGTTGGAGAGTATGAACTCAGAAATCATGAGCACCTCGCATTCCCTCAATTCGCATACCGCGGTTTTACTGTAAATAAAGCGCCATTGAATATTTAATTGATTCGAGTTGAATTCTACGCGGGGAGTAAAGTTTGTCTAAGCGTTCTACTACGATTCTCCAAACAAAGCGCCCTCGGGGTGAGTTAGCTCCTGCGCTTGTCCCCAATAACAAAATCTCGCGCCACATAAGTGTGTTCTATCGACTGCCGAATTTTGATTTGACTGTTACAGTTAGTTAATAACATCTACGCGCAGCCAGCCATGCGAGGCCTTTTTCAATTCTATCTGATAATGGGCTGAGAATAAAAGAGAGAGAGAGAAGGGAATAAGAAGAATGGACTTCCGAGAACATGTTCTTGCGACTTTTGAAAGAGAGATATCTGAAATAAGAAGATATTGGGTCTGGATTCTGATTCTGAGCATTGTGCTCTTTGGGTTCTTTGTTATCACCATTCAAATTGCCTTTACCTTCTATCTCAGTTGGCTAGCAGTGGCAATATGTAAGTTTTATATTATTTTTTTATCGATAAAAAGATGAATGGCAAATATTGAATATTTGCTAAACCACTAACCTTTTGTGCAACGGGTTTTGTTCAGGGGCACTGCTTGGCTTTATAAATATTGGCATAGCCTGCGTTATTTTCGAAAACCTCTTTTGGCCTTGGTATCTGACAAATGTTGATCCAAATGATCCAAGAATCAACTGTACCTATGAAGAATACTGTGGACAACATGCTGAAGAGCATACAACGGAATCTCAGGAAAAGGTTCGAAATTTATTTTAATGCACAAACTTAAATAGCTTCGGTTGGGATTTCCTCTAGCTTTTTTCTTCTTCTCTTTTCATAGTCGCATAACAGCTTCAATCCGATAAAGTAGCAAAAGTATGAAAATATCGTCAAACCCAAGAAAACATCGCACCAAGCGTGAAAAAGAACAAGTCCGCTTCGTATCGGTCTCTTGGCCATTTTATATTTCTCCTTTCAAAATTAACTTCAAAAACCGATTGCAGTTTAATATGCAGGACGAAGTGGCCGATTATCCCAGAAACTAATTAAAGTGCATGAGTGTTTATTTCGGGAGTTTTCTTAGCATTCACCTGAGATTCAGGGTCGAAAAAGATATACAAAAAGGAGACTTGATTAAAAATTTTTTCGAACTTCAATGACCAGGAACTCTGCCCAATTTGCAATGGTGCTGATGAAGACTGCATCGTTCGTCCCTCGACTCCGAAAGCTGACCTAAGTCGCCCTTCACCGATCAAAGAAGATCTCGACGAAGAAGAGGATATTCTTGTCTTACCGAAACCTGATATCGATGTTGGCTTAGCTTCCACGCCAATTAGAAGTAACCTTGTTGTCAAGACTCCAAAGAGCACGCGGCCGGAACCTGATGAAAGACTTCTCCTTGAGACTCCGGTCTTTCATTCAAGATCAACCACACGCGCTACAACGCCTAGCCGTGAATTAGACACTACTCCCGTAGCCACGCCTTCCCGAAAGATCCACACCAGAAGGTCACACATGGACAACAGAACTCCGCAAAATGTAAAGTTCAGCGAGGAGACAGTGCGGTCGGTTTCATGCACGCTTAGTTTGAAGGTAATTAACGCATCAGTGCGGCTTGTTTTTCACAAAAATAAACGATGAAGTTATTCAAGCGTAACTTGTTGATTTTAAGTCTGAGACTCAAAGCCTCCAAGAAGAAAAACTTCTGCGCTCTCTTGCCACTCCAACGCGAGTTGAGATCCCAAGAAGGACACCCCGCCGTTCGAGAGACTCATCGAAGGGACGCGATACGCCCGCCCGCAGAGAGTCCTCTCGACGTGAATCTCGTGGGAGAGATCGAAGACCTCGCAGGAACGATCCTTGAAATCGTCAGCTAATCATATAACTCCTATAAATACATTTACAGATTTTCAAGATCCAAAAACAGAAGTAACAGCCGCAAAAGCCGAGATAGCAAAAGTAGAGAGGGCTCGAAAAATCGCCGAAAATCCAAGAGCCCTCGAACATCCCAAAGTCAATCTCGCGACACTTCGAAAAGCAGAGCCTCAAGAGATAGCTCGAAATCCCGTTCAAGGGACCATTCAAAATCTCGTTCCCGCGATCGTTCCAAATCACGTTCTAGGGATCATTCGAGGGATTCTGCAGTTGATGAAAAAAGGTCGAAGAGATCGTCAACAGCTTTGAGCAATAATCGATCGAGTCTTTACGGTAGCTTCAAGAACAAAGACGAGCCTTATATTTTAACTGATGCGCCGCTGGAGCTCAGCTTCGATGAAAGAAAATCAAAGACACCCTTGAATCCTCGACAACGCAAAGAAAGATCCAGGCAGCGGCGACGACGACGTCGAACTTTGGATTTTTAGTATTTATCCGAATTAATCTTACTAGCTCAATTCTCCAAGAGTTCACAAGCAGCAATGTGATCTTCTATATCTCCATATCTAAAACGTTCCAGACATTTTGTACATTTTGAAACACTTTTCTGTAAGCTTTTTCTGTATTAGGATATTACACAAACGAGTAAATCTAAAAACAAAGATACTTATTTATTTGCTTGAATATTGAAGTCAGCTCGTATTTGATCCATCCGTCGTTGTTTTCTTCTTTGCTCGTGGTCTGTGACAATTTCGCTTTTCAGAGACTATCGACACTGTGTCGATTTAGAAGAAAAAAATAATAATAGCTCTTCCTGGTATAATACAGGGATCTGACAGCTCTCTCTTTCTGTTCAGAGGGGGGACTTCGGGAACATTTCAGTTAAAGTTTCGAGACGGGTAATTACCTAAGGCTGATTTTGTTTTCAAGACCGAGAAGATAAGCCGAAGATTTGACAACTAATGGTATATCCTTGCGTTTCAGATATTCTTTCCGCGCTTTTGCAGACAGTGCACCCTAAGGATTAAGCGTCAGTAACTTTGGTGCGACTTCAGTCGCTTACTGGAACATCTTCTGTAGTGGACGTATTATCGTTTTTGAGAATGTCATGAATTGTCACTTGCTTTTGACGTTTCGAAATTTTGAGGGAGAGATTGTGGATCTCCTTTTGAAAATCGGTTGAACCTGGCATCTGACAGCTATATTTCTCACCTGAGCATTTCGATGCCGAACATTGGATTTGAACGTCTCGACGCACTTTCTATACACGTAAACGAGCAGAAGCATGCCTGCTATGAAAAGACTCGCGTATGCCCACTCTGAAATTGGCTCCTTCTACGAAAAATATTAGTGTCTACCTTTGTAGATTTCAAGCGTTTCATTATCAAGGTCTCCTTCCCAGACTCCACTACCTCTTACGTATTTCTCTTGGATAAACTTTACGCTGTTTTCAATGGAAAGAATCTCTATTTTTGCAACGTTCTTATAATGAAAAACAAGCCTGCTTATGATCATACGATGTCGTCGTTGTTAGCTGGGTAGTCGACATTTCTCTTCCTCTATCTCTGATTCTCCGTCCTCTCTCTCCTCATGCAGCTTATTAATTTTTACCGCAACCGTACATTAGCGGTCTCCCACCAATTCGGTTTTGATCCTCTGAACTGACCCTAATCTTGAGTTCGGAAGGTGCTACAGTAGCACTGCTACTCATAAACTGCAAGTTGAACTGATTTTATGCACTCTCCGACATTTTTCATCTTTATATATCCAATCAATAAGGATTAAGTCCTTTCTTATTGCAGACTTCATACTGCAGTATTACTAATACTGTATTAGATAATTTATCTTAAAATACTTCTAGACTTTCTAAAGATATTTATTCATAAAAAATCTTGTTTTCCCCTCTACAGCGGTAGTAGAATACCAGATAAAATCGCCGGAATTTTCATAAATATCATCGGTGATGGAATACACTTGTTTCGACCTTGATCTTCATCATAAGGGTTTAATAATAAAACCAAAGAAAAAGACGCTAATGAAGTGCGCGAGCCAATAGGAGCAATTTTCAAGAACAGACTGAGACTCGTCGTCTTCCCGACTTATTCTCCTGCACTCTGTGCAGTGCACAGTGGTGGTTCATTTTTCGACGGGCATCTATCAGAGAAAATTCTGACCTGTTACTTTCCAGTTGTTTCCTTGTAAATATCATATTGAAAATATGCACTACAATTGTGATTGCTATTATCTCAACTTGAGATTCTCAAGGCTTCAATCTCAAGTATTAGTAATGCTGCGTTACCGATATTTTTCTTTACGATGCCATCAACTGATTCAGTCTTTCAGAAAGACAAACGTACTTTTTCTCTGGATAAAAATTCTGTTTAGATGTCAATTGAGATCGTGACAACATGTCAGCTCAACGATGGGACGGTGGAAAAATGGCAAATCGGAAAGCTAAGAAAAATTCTTTACGTCCGTGGGAGCTCTGTTCCTTTTCTGGCGCTCAATAGTGCGAAGCAACTCTACAGTTTCTCTGAAGAATCTTCGTGGACGCTCCTGGATGTCGAAAATGTCCTTGCGATTTCTTATGGAAGGAATGAAGTGTCCTACGCAGGTTTTTCATCTATTTTAAATAGATTAACAATTCTGTTTAGTAATTATTTCGACGGAAAATGGCTGCTTCACTGCTGATTCTTCTCTAAATATCGCTGAATTCTCTCCCCTTGTCTTCTCATCCCTATCCTCTAGTTCTGAAGCTTCATTTGGAGTTACGCGGGATGGGTTTCTCTACGGCTGGGGCAAGAATTTCTTCCTTGGACTGATCGAAGAAGGCTTTACAGAAAAACCCCGCAAACTTGAGCCCTTCAAAAACGTCATTTCAATCGAGTGCGGATCAGAACACAATCTTCTTCTTGTAGAACGCGATGTACAGGACAATGAATCGAGCGCAGACGAGGACGACGCTTTCAATTTCGATCACGATGAGCATTTCGGAATTAATATCCTCGAGGACGCACTTGTTATGGCAGGAAATCTGGACGTTGAAAGAGAGAAAGATGAAGATAAGAAAGAAGAAAAGGGGAAATCTCTTGCGATTTCTTTGACCAATTCTGTTGAGTGGTTGAGCCAGAGCACGATGAATGTAACTTCCGTGATTCTTCCAACTCCAGTGACCAATATCATTGCATCAACAATAGCGACTACTTCTTCCACGATTTCCTCGACGTATTCGTATGGCGAGTCTCTTATTAAAGGCTTCTTGAGCAGCCAAGAGAAGAGCCGCCAAAAAGTCAGGACAGATTGCGTTTCACAAATCTCTGCAGCTCCAAGGGCACTCACAGATCTTTACGTTTGGGGTCGAAATGGACACGGACAGCTCGGCACAGGCGATACAGCTGATGTCATCGAACCAGTAAAGCTTCAGGCTGTTTCTTCAAAAGGTATCATCGCGATTCTAGCTCAGGAAAATCTCAGCTTTGCCGTAACGTCTACGTGGGAAGTGTGGGCTTGGGGTGAAGATTTTCAAAAAGAAACGAAGCTCAAGCAGTCGTCAGTTCTGCACACTCTCACAGCCCGCTATTTGAGCATGCCCAATACTCAAGGTGGATATGAAATCGTTCCAACTTCTGAAAACCGTGGTGTATTCGCGGAAGTTCCGCCAGGGAGCATTCTTTTGTCCTCATTTGATCATCACTACCAGCTTCTTTCTTGTCAAAGAATGAAATGCATTGAAGAAATAACTCTCTTGACGAAACAATTCTCTCGTAACCTAGGAACTCTTCGTAAAACGATTGTTCGTCCGTTATTAAACGAATGTCAAGCGACAGGGACATTTGCCGGATTTGGTGGCGATCTTTCATCGGTTTTTGGACTTTTATGAAAACGGATTCAACCGATTTGTTCATTCTAAATTTAACTAAGAAACAATGATTTTAATCCAAGAAAAAGCACCTCCTTCAATCAGTTAACGATAGCTACAACCCAGACAGCTGCTGGCGGCGATGCTTGGCTCAACTCTCGACCCGCTCTGTTCATTATTCTCTCAAGTTCAGCATCGGAATTGAACGAACGATTCACGAGTTACTTTCGTTTTCTCGGAAAAGCCGTCGCTGGTGGATTCTTCGATTCTCTTTCGAAAGAATTCATCTCTAAACTGGAACCAAAGCTTAAAAATTCGCCTGGAATCATTACTCAACAGGATTCTGTTGCGGATACTTTGATAGAAGCTCTCAGTCTGCCCGCAAAGGAGCTCAAACATCACGTTAAATCGCTAGAAACTCTTCTCGACCTAACTGTTCGAATTGAAGGCCCTGAAAATCCATCGTCTTTGGAAGAGGTGTCAGTTTCTCTTGTTCACAAAATAATTGAATGGCTGAAATTGGCAATTGTCAATATCCAGTGCATAATTGAAGATTTCAATCGGACACGCGCGTTTTGGAACGATCCAGCAAACTTGAGGTACCGCAAGGCTCTTGTCACGGCGGACAGATTTTTGGTGCTAACAAATCGAACAATTCCTGTATGGCCATCTGGTGCAGTTACTCAACCGGCAGTTCTTCTATTTTCCGATGTTTTGGTCATCTGGACTCAATTGAGCATTCAGCAGCTTCCTTTGAATCTGCTCTGGATCCGAGAATATCCCGACGAGAAAAAAGTGATCGTAGAAACGCCCGAAGAAAATCTAACTCTTGTTTTCAAAAATCCCGAAGACCGTGATTTCTGGTGCTCGACTCTTATTCAAAGTGTTTGCCGTCTGTTGGAGCAGGAGGACATCACTCGTTTGCCATTAACTCGAAAAGGCCTTTTTCAATTTAAAAATGGCAGGTTGCGAGGCTGTACATACATGGGTGACTGGGAGAACGGTAAAATGCATGGAAAGGGCTTCTTAACTTCTCCTGATAATCACAAGAAATACATTGGCGGCTTCGTAGACGGAGAACGGTCCGGTTGGGGCGTTTTTACCAACGAAATGGCTAAAGATTGTGCGATTAAGACCTACACTGGGTTTTATGAAAATGAGCAGCAGAATGGAATCGGAGAGGCGGTTTATGGCGATGGCAGCGTTTATAAAGGGTGTTGGAAAGATGGGCTAAGGGCTGGACATGGTGTTCAATTTTACGGCTCCTCTCATGCATCAGTTTACCTAGGCGACTGGTCAAATGATAAACGGAATGGTTACGGAGTGCTGCGAAGCCGTCTTCAAGGATGGCGATTTCTCTGTCTATGGAAAGATGACAAAAAGCACGGCCGCGGCGTGTTCGTCTCATCTTCTAATGTCTTCACCCAAAGCATGTTCTCGTTCGATCAAATTATCGACAAAGAGGGCCTCGTTTATGCAAATTTGACAAATATAAGCGGCATTGAAGAGGACAGGTTCTTCATTGGCGCCGTCACGAGTTCATTGCCGGTCACAGTTGTCGACGACTCTATTCAGCCAGAAGATGTTACACTTGTCAAAGGAAAGCTTTCTGTTTTACACGACTCAAAGGATTGTGACAAACTGGCAACTTCTGTTGAGGGCAGTTTTGCTGGAGATATTTTACAGCCAAAGATCACCGCTGGCGTCGATTTCAAAACCATCATCGTCGATTCTAATTTGACTGGATTCTTTAACTTGGTCGGCTCAGTTCCGAGTGCTGCTAAATGGCGTGGATTGTTCAAGCTTTTTGTTACCGATCTTGGAACTCCTCTCAGCGGCCCTGGAGATGGATGGAATGAGAGCTTGACTGACAAGTGTTGGGAAAACTTGAGCGAGGTGGTGAATAACCGAAAGACAACCATGTTTCCGGACACACCAGTTTCTGAGCAAGTCAAGCTTACGTCCCGCCCTACACCAGACAAAGATGATGAAATCAAAGAGTATGTAAAGCGAGCGCTTAGCTCGAAACTTCACCCTCTCGGTCATGTGATGAGCATGATTGTCAAAGCTTTTGAAAGCTCTTACACCCCCACGCATACAGCGCTGATATTCGCCTCTCTGGCTGAAATAAAGTCGATTATCAAGGTGTTTCATAATGTTACTCGATGCTTTTTCCCCGAAATAGACCCTGCAGACGCTAAAATGTGTGCTGGAAGCCTGATCTTACCAAGTTTATTTCCACAAGTCTATCCTATACTTCAATCAATGTATGTCGAGTCACACACAAGAGTTGAAGAAAGAATAAACCTGAATCTGAGAAGATACAGAGCAATGAAAGATCTATCTTTGGCACAGCTGCTGGGGTCTGATATTTTGGAGCAAATGGTAATCGATGCTGAAGAAAAACCGATCTTGATCTCTTGTGTCAAAAAGATGCGACAATTCCCTCTCTGTATTCTGGTAAGATGATTAAAATTAATCTAAATGAACCCTTTTCTCAAGCCGGATCAAAAACTCGACCTTATATGCGAGCTTTTTAAATTGCTAAAAGAAGAACTCGCCAAGTACAATGGTATAGATACCCTCACAATCTCTTTCTAAACCGTTTCTAGCAAGCTACAGCGCTGATGACCTGCTTCCCGCCATGGAATTTGTAATGGTGAGAGGAATGGTGACCAACCTTGGAGTCGAAATCAGAATTATCAAGGATTTCATCCATCCAGGTATATTTTCTTTTGGCATTTGAGGTTCTACACTTTGAATTTAGACATTCAAGGTGGCGAGCGAGGTCTCTGGTATTGCCATTTCTACACAGCTTATAAATCCCTTTCAAGATGATCTTACCTACTGCTTATTTCTCCGAATTTTTGAGTGGTATTCTACTTCTATATTTCATAGTTGCTCATTTCGTTCCATTGTGATGCAAAGTATCTCTACACGTAACCTTGTTCAATTGCCATTTTACACGTTCAATAAAAAATAACAATCAAAATACGATCACACAAGAAAGATTTTCTCTCATTCATCAGAAAGAATCTTTGAATTTGTCTGAAAATTTTATTGAAATTTTTTAACTTGAATTTTCGAAAACGCAGAATTATCATTATCAACAACGATTGGGTTATCATGAACGTCTAAAACTTTGAAAGTCTTAAAGCGAATCGGTGGCAGTTGCTCGGTTTTCTTTTGAAGAAGCGTTTCGTATTCTGAAATTTCCCGTTCGAGTTCTTCGATTCTGCTTTTCGCCGTTTGCCGAGGCTTTTCTGTGTTGAGCATTTCTTCTCGCTCGTTTATAAATTCGTCGTTTTCGTTGAAGTAGACATCGTACGTTCCATTCTAAAGGAAATGGATTAGTTGTTGGAAAACTTGTTGATGGACTTTCTTACTTCTTTGGCATGCTTTCTTATGAATTGAATCGTGTCGGGATGAAAGTTTCGCTGGTCCCACACGCGCCCTGTGTAGTAAAGTTTCTGGCCTCTTTTGACAGATTCGAGAATATATTCTGCGTTTTCATATGGAACTTGGGCTTCGCGGAAGAGTTCTCGTTTGCGGACATATTCAGCTCTAAAAGGTTTGAAAAGGGAAACAGGAAACGGGAATTACTTGGCTTCGAAATACAGGTCATCATCGTAAAGACATTTTAAGGAGCACTCGTGCATTGCGTCTCTCTCCTTGGTGATAGAATGTAAAGATGGATATTTTTTTGACAAAACTAACTTTTTGGCAGCCTTTTCCTTCAGTGAACTCCAAAAATTTCTTTAGCCAGCCCTCTTCTTTGTTGTTGAATCGATTGGGATCGCCATGATCATTGACGCATTCGTCAAAAGCTTGATACTGTTTCTTACAAATTCGTTCTCTGGCGATTGTGTCCATCATCTTCGGAATCAAAATCTGCTGCACTTCTGTACTCAAACTCGGATCCGGATATCGCTTCGCAAAGTGAGCTTCTTCTTGATTTTCTTCGACATATTTGAAGGTGAAGTAGCCGAATGCACTCAGTCCACAAAATGCGCCAAGGTGGTAGAATTTCCCATATTTCTTCGCATGACGAATTTCTTGAGCAAATTAATCGCATAACTTTATAACTGTTCTTACCTTCAGTCGTAAAGTGCTGATAGACTCTTCTGTCTCTGAAAATTCTGCTTTTCAACATTTCTTTCGGGAAATTCTTGTTCTTCAGGCACAGCCAATCAAAAGCTCCGAAAACTTGCGCTTTCCAGAAAGAGCTTTTGGGTGAATTTTAGGCTTTTTCTGATGCTTTTTGTCGAGAAAGACTCAGCCGAGAAGGAGATCCTGCGATTTGTGGCGAAATTTTGTGGGGCGGAATATGAAATTTGCGAAAATGAAGAGGAGACGATTTGGTGCGAGAAACCCGTGATGAAAGTTGGAAAAAATGATTTTGTGGCAAGCTTGCCTTCCATTTTGCGCTATATTGCGAAGTCGAATGGATTCAAGAACCTTCTCGGATGCAAAGGTACCTCAGTTCTTTCTGATAACAGCAGCCGTTTTTAGTCGATTGTTTAAATGAAATGGAAATCCGCTAAAATATCCTTAATAAGGCTCTACTCCCTTACTTAGGATATTTTAATCAGACTTAGATCTCATTCAAAATAAGCACTCTTGATAGATAATTTTCTCCATTAGTGTTAAAATGTCTCCATTTTTAATAATCAGAAAAACATGCTCTAGAGACCATTTGACTCCTGATGAATTTGAAGCCAGGCCGACAAAAATTCATTAAAATTGTTCAGGTGCTTGTCTGAAAACTCCCGCTGAATTCAGTTCACGAACACGATTGATACAAGAGTCCCTAACTCAGTACAAGACTGACTTGTCGAAGGTTCTTCTTGGAGTGTCAGATCTCGAACAGATCCTTTCTGGGCCAATAGTTCAACATAACATTGACAAGTATCAAAGACAACTATTGAAACATGAACGCGAACTGGAGAGAAAGCGTGACTGGAATGGTGAACTCAAAGGCAAGGTAAAACGTGTGAGTTTAAATTTGGATTTTCATGATTCTTTTCAGCAAGAAATACCGCTAAAGAAAATCCCTACAAAAGACTTGCCTGAATTAGAGCATGCATTCTTAGAGGGAATTCAACTGTCTATATCGGACCTGGCAGCCTTTTTACCAGTTGAAAAAGTGAAGGAGAAGATTGGAGAAAGAGATTTTAACGAAAAATTTCCAACAGTAAGGAAATGGTTCTACAGATGCACAAGAATAATTCAATCGAAGACCATCAATACGGATAATTCTATTTCTGGTTACGATCCTGTTCTACTCAACGAACCTATTGCAACTCAGGACTTTGTAGTTATCGCTCGCCGACAAACTCCTCTGAAGAAGATTTCTCCTGCACTAGAAAAAGATGATATCAAAAGCGACATACATTCCAAGTCGAGCAAATCAATGATTCAAAAACTTGAACTCTCCGCCAAAGTCGACCTTGAAACTGTCAGGAACAAGCTTCCTTCTCCTGACCCTTACTCACACGTGGCAATTCCAGATCGCGATAAAATCATCCTTGATGGATTTGCAGATCCTGCAAAAGGCGGTTTAGGGAAAGCAAGAACAGAAAGAAAATTACTACAGCTTCAGAATATGGTGGCTCGTTTGAAAAAAATGGATACAAAGGGGAAAATCATCGTTGATTTCTGCGCTGGAGGTGGTCACCTCGGACTCGCTGCTGCGAAGGTCTGTCCAGAAGCGACTATTGTTCTTGTCGAAACCAAAGAAGAGTCGTTAAATCGAGCAAGAAGCCGTATCCAAGAATGGAAGGTGACAAATGTGGCCATTTGTCAGTCGAATTTGACCCAACTGAACTGCAAATTTGACATCGGTCTTGCCGTTCACGCCTGCGGATCGGCAACTGATCAGGTCATTCAAATGTGTCTCAAGTGGCGAGCTGCATTTATTGTCAGTCCTTGCTGTTATGGAAGAGTTTCTGATTTGGTTTTGCCTCGGTCGAAAGAATATCAGAAACGCATTTCATCCCAGGAAAGTCTCTTGTTAGCTCATGCAGCGGACATCACTCCAGTTGATGAGTCCCTGACCAAGACAGGAAAAGGTAAACATTTATTTTCAATGGAATCTAATTGTATCTTCAGAATGCATGAATCTGACGGATACAGATAGAAAGCTTATGTGCGAAGAAAAAGGCTATGTAGCGACCGTTTATGAAATGATACCGCTTTCTTGTTCTCCGAAAAACAATTTTATCGTTGCAGAACCTGCTAATTAATAAATATATTTACATGCGATAGTATCGCGATACTTAAAAAAGGTGTGTCAGCAAGATCATATTTGATTTCACACGCGTTTTTATCCTTTACTTTGGACTCAAAAGTCGTCGCATGATTGCAATTATTCGCATTGAGAGCAAATTTGAACTCGTCTTGCATCGCGGTCTAAGAACTCAAGCGGCATTTGGTCCTGCATAGAATTGATTTTGTACTTCTAAATAGTTGCCATTGAATTCGCCGTATGCAATGACATTTGTCAGCGACGTTGAAAAGAAACCTTGATCCTTGAGTCTAGTCTCAGAGCTCAGATAATGAAGCTTTGGTGGTCGTTAGGGCTTGCCATCGCTGAAGCGGGCGTTAGGTTCGCTGACGACGCAGGAAACGGTTTTATAAAGAGACTAGAGATAAATTTCAGTGCATTAAAAATCCGTGCAAAGAATTTGTGGCAATAGACAAGGGTGACTGCGGCTTCAAATGTAACAACTTCTCAGGATTCTGCAGCGCTTGTGCACTTGCTAATGATTCGCCTGGCTTTTGTTGTCATCCATCCATCAGAGGAACATGCTCCAAGTCGATGAGAGCAGCCCTCGATCCCAACGCTGGGTTCCAGTGCGTCATCCCGACTGAGTTCGAAACCCAACTTCTCCTGCAAGTCCGAGAGATTCCTGGAAAGGGCGACTGCTGGGCCGAGTGTGGTAGTAAGCGGGGATTCGCTGGTAAATGCGACTACTGTGGAAACAAGGGCTATTGCTGCCATCCAGATGGCCGTGGAACCTGTCCACAATGGATCTCTGAGTCGGTAGAAGGTTTCAGCAATAAGTGCATGGTTCCAGCAGCGACTTCAAATGATAATCATCTCGAGTCTGGCTACAAGTCTGACTGCTTTGATCGTCGAATAACTGTCTGCAAGGATCTCTCTGACCTTGAAAATGCCCCTAGAGACGAGTGTCTCCGATTCTTCCCAGAGGAGATGTGTGATGGTAAAACGCCAGACGACAAGATCCCTCGATGCACAACCGTCGTCAAGAACTACTGCAAAGATTTCGTTAGAGATGCTATCGAGGAAAAACGTAAATCTTCCGGTTTCAATATGGATCTCCTCGGTCCGTACGAAAAGGAACTGTATAAATTTGTCAACGCTGTTTGGCCTAAAAAGGAGCACTTTTTCTTCAAAGAAATCGCCGATGAGAACTTTGGATTCGACAACGGTGATCTCAGTGCTATGGCTGAAAAAATTCTGACATCTTCGCAAAATAATTACTTTTCAAATAAAATGAGCGCAACCCAAAAAGAGCGAGTTGTCTTGGGATTCGCCGTTTTGAACGCTCTTCAGCGAGTCTGGGGCAGTGGAAATGAAAGATCTTTTGGGCAGATAACCATCAACTGGGGATCCAATTTCGGTGTTGCTGACTTTAGTAAAGACGCTTTCGAGAAACTCCTTGTTGCAAATGGTGCAAGCTGGAGAACAACTGATCGAGCTCTTCAGGGATATGATGCCATCATCGAAAGTCTTGTCAACTGGACTCCTGCCCAGGTGATGATCAATGACCTCCTTGATGAACTTCCCCTAACCGACAATATCCGTGCTGCTGGGAAATTGGCCAATACCGAGAATGATGCTGAAGGCGAATTTAATGTCTTTGCTCAAAGTCTAACCAATATGCTTGATCACCTTGTGGAGCATCACGAGAGCTTGTCTGATGAAGAGTTTGATTTTTTCCTTGGCCAATTGCGAGAGGAAGATAATATTAACCTCATTCGAAATCTCGCTGGTTTCGTCGAGCTCGAGCGAATCATGTCCGACAGTGTAATGTGGAGTGTTGATGTTGACGAGCTCGCAATGACTCGCGGATATGCAAGCACATTCCCACGTGAGCGAAAGTGGATGAGCCAAGATAACTGGACAAAGGAGAATGTGGTCAATATCATGAGCTTCGCGGCACATTTCGCCGGTGCAGCGGAAAACATCAATGTTGAGGAAATGGCCGACACCGCTGGCTTCGTCTTCTTTGACGACATCGTTTCTTCTCAGCAAAAAGCTGAAAACGCCGTTAGAAGTGTCAAGAGCTCCCGAAAGGTTTACAAAGAGCTTGTCAAAAACGCACTCAATTTCATGAATGTCAACGATCGTGTTCGTCAAGCATACAAGTTGACCATTGAAGATTCGCGACGAGGTGAAATCTCAACAATCAAAGATTTGAAGACAAAACTAATTGCTACTGGTCTTGGACAATTCAGCGCCGCCGTTGTCGTTCAGATTCGCGAATCGTTTGAAACAGCCGTTTTCAAGAATCTTGAGTTCGTTTACGATGCACTAGCGCTTGTTGAAGAGAAAACCGATGTCAATGATGCTTTTGGTTGCGATCGTGGGTGCGATTTCACTGCAATCAACTGGCGAGATGGTTTCGTTACGACCAGTGATTTCAACAACATTCTTGATGCTACAGGACTCCACGATGGAAAGAATGTGCCATTCGAAACTTCTGATTTATCGTCAACTCGATCAGCCGCTGTCGTGACATTCCGTGGACAGCAGCCTATTTACGCCGCCGTTGTCTTAGATTACCTGAGCACCGTAGTCCCTGAAGTCGAAGGACCTTATGGACCGCTTGTTTTCGATCAAGGTACCCTCAACTGCGCCACTCAAGCCCTTGCTAACCTTGGCGAGCTCTCTCAAGAAAATGCTCGATACGAAGTCTACCAGTCAGTGATGGCCGAGCTATATTTGAAAGGCGACCAGAATGCACTTGACGCGATTGATGCAGCCTTGAAACAAGACCAATGGGTTTACGGTGGAATCTTTGTTCTCGAAACAATGATTGCTGCGGAAAATCACCAGGGAAATACAACATTTGATAGCGCAGTATTTAACAGCTGGGACCTCAGCATGCTCGACTGGACTATTACTGGAAACACTCAAGACGATCTATCAAGTGGATACTACGAGCAGATTCTTAACGGAGGCGGATTTACTGACGATACAGTCGCTGTTCTCACCGAACAAGATACTTATGAAGAAATATGGAGATATGGTTCCGGTAATACAGTTTGCAGCGAACCAGCCATTATTCAAGAAACAAACTGGCAATGTGACTCCGATCCTTCGGCTATCTGTCCTGGAGGATGTGCTGCTGCTGGTTGTCAAGCAGAAGTTACTCAGACTGAAGTCTGTCTAGCATGGAGTGGTGCATCGTTTTCTTGGGGTATAAATCCTCTTCTTGGATCGTGGGGAATGGAGTGGTGGGAAGATCAACTTCATCTGTACGGGCCTCCGAAAGGAAATGCGCTAGTCGAAAACAGTGATCAGTGGAATGCGCTTATGGAAGGTGCCTCCCAGGCTATCGCAGAAATGGGTGATTTGAGTGGTGGTTACTCCGGCGAACAATTCGCAAACAACATTCAGAACTGGTTCAATGCTAATGATGCAAACAACTCAGCGATTGTTTCACAGATTCTGAACTCAGGAGAATATGAAGGTCTCGATTGGCTTCTCACCGCTGGAGACTCTATGTACTCAGCTTTCGGAGGAAACAACAGAAATGGCACTGGAGGAGCTAACTATGCCACTGAAGCTAATGGATACTGGAATATCTACGACATGATCGATCTTGTATCCAATGGCGGACAATGGAACATGTTCGGTAGCGAATTCAACGATGGAGTTGCTAATTATGACAACTTCACCTACGATGTCTGGGGAGCGTGGATTAATGGTTCTGCTGGAGACTGGGGAGAAGATGCTCAACAGCTTATGCAACAGTTCGGATCGGAACAGTTCTTCGGGACAATCCGAAATGGCACCAACAACATCTATCCTAACTCCGGTGGCGGCGGAGGAGGTGGCGGCGGCGGCGGTGGCGGCGGTGGTGGTAAGTCGAAATAGTGAATGATATTTTTTTCTGTTAGATCTTGCGGCATTTATGAAAAGAGTCGATTACTACTTGAAATTGATCTCTTATTTAGGTCCAACCATCATTGAAATTGAGTCCGTCGTTTGGCCCGTTCCTTCTGATTGCATTAAAAAAACAACTGGGGAAACTGTCACAGCATACCTGGATTCAGAAGGCAAAACTGATGCAACAGTCACACAAAATATTGCAAACTGGCAAGCAGCCATGGATGCAGAAGCCGGTGGTACATTTACGATTCCGCCAGGACAAGCGCATAATATTATGGCAACTGAGACTCATGCTGCTTCACTCCACACATATTTGGATACACAGGATGCTACTGGAGCTAGCTGGGATGCAATCTCACCATGCATGTCTTACGACAACGATCCAGGATACGCTGCTTTCATTGCCCGATTGGAAACTCAGCTTGCTCTTGCTGAACTTTGGGGACAGCATCCTGAGATCGTTCAGAACTCCGATTCTGTTGCTGCTGGACTTGCATATGAGGCAATTGATTGGACCAGATTCGAATTCACGGACACATGTTGTCAGGTTACTCCAGAAGCTACTAATGCTACCATTCTTTCTCTGGCTGGACTTGAGTGGATGAATCAGGCTCAAGTCGATGTTGTAGTCAACAATCTCTTCAGCCGCCTTGATACTTCCTGCTGCTCCGTAAATAATTCTACTAATATTACACTTGGTTTCTTCAACGTCACAACTACAGCGGGCGTGGCTTCCTCAACAGCTGCTACAACGACAACAGCATACAATGCAGGAGGTTATGAAACAATGGCTCCATCAAACGGATCAAATGGATACGGTTCTATGTACGGTGATCCCCACGTCATCGTTCAATCTGATAACCAAGAAGCCGTTTGCTTCAAAGTTGACGACCAAGACGGAGCGATCATCAGCTTGATTCAAGATCTTGAAGAAGGTCTAGAAGTCAATGGAGGACTTAAACAAGGAATTGTTTTTTATATAATGATGATAATTATCAGATTTTTATTTATTTTGAACTAAAATTGTATAAAACTTGTTGAAGCTGGTCGAAATTCGATTCGATTGGAAAGCGTTTATGTCAAAACCCCTGCCGGTCTTGAAATTGAAATCGACTGCAATTGGATAATTCTTAGCCGAGACGGAATTCAGGTAATATAATTTTAAAAAATCTTGAATTATCGAAAAATTAAGCTTGAAAGCTTCACATTCGAAGATTCCCTCTCAGTTGGCATGGACGATGTCCATCTTGATATCGAATCTCTCCGCGATGCCAAAAAGAAAGGTGTCTACGTTACAATTCCAAGTTACATCAACGACCGTGAGATTAGAATGCACATAGCTATCAAAAACGGAAAAGATGCGATGCGATTCTCACTTCGGGACGCTTCAGGACTCCCTACTACTGGACTTGGTGGTATCATCGGAGAGTCTATCATTGTACTGGGCGTTTTATTTTTTTATTCTAAAAATATTTTAGCCTCGTGACTACAAAGTAACAGAAGAGGGCCACATCTTGGTTGGAGACGAAACCATCAGCAATACTCAAGCCACGCGTGACAGTAACAACGACTGTCTGTACATCGCCGATTCAGCAGATGTAGAGCGATTCCTTGGTCATCCTGTGTCAGACTTCCGAGTTGATGGAAAATTCTTGATGCCCGCTACACTTATTGACAACCAAAGTCCTAAGTAATTGACCTTATCGGTTGATATTTACCTGCTCGCTTCTACTCTTCTAAGATCAAATATGAATTCATTTGAGCCCAAAGGCTGGCCTGTTTTGACACAAAGAGAATGCATATTATTCTGTGCCTGTGCTTTTAAATAAATGTTCACTTTATTTACGATGATTTAAATAGACAAAATTACTGCATGAACTTTTCACAGAAAAATCTCAGAACGTCAAAATCTTAGACGCTTTTTGGCTGAGGTTCTTTTGAAGAGATTTCAGGAGGTTCGGATATGCAGAGTTTTGTTTCTTCAGATTGTTGAGGTTTACGCTAGAAAAAAAAACATTAATGCTGCACCTTTTCAAGAGAACTTACGAGAATGAAATCCATCGTAAAATTGGGGGGTATCGCATTCCCCTCACATAGTCCTTCTGCACTCATTCTTTGCTTACGTTTTTTACGAAGTTCGCGCGCCTCAATTTCTTCGGGAGTGAGAGGCTCGCCTAAACAGACAAAATAATTGATGGTTTGACGAGTTGAAATGGAATTGAATTAGGATAGCTAGTTAGGGGACGAAGAAACTGGTCATGGAGCATGTTATTGGTTTAGACGGGTTTAATTGATGATATCCTGCTTAATCTTAATTGCCTTATTAAATATCATTAGTATAATCAATTTATCACCAGCCTGTCTCTCGCTTTTCAACATTATTGATTTTATGAAACGAAAATTCATTCCCTTTTTCGATTTTTATCGATATGATTTAATTTAAAACAAATTGGTTTTCAGTTAAATTATTTTCCAGCTCCTTGACTTCCAAAACGATTAAATAATCGCTCTCGCAAGTTTGAGCTCTAAATTAATCCTATTTGCTTTTATCAGCTCGGTGAGCTTTTGTGTGTATAATTTAATATGTATCAATATGCGATGAGTTTAGGAGTTAATCAAATGTTATAAGATAAGCACGACTTACCGCTGCAGGATAGGAGATGAGCACCCTGAGGCGGGCGACCAGGCGCTTTTCGAGTGTTTTCGCGTTTTCGCCATTTCGCTCGGCGATTTTGAAACCAGACCTAAATACAAATTCGTAAGGGTATATAACTCACAGTTATTGAATTACCTGGACTCTTGATTCTGCTAATTCGAGGCGCAAAGCAAGTGCTTCTCTCATGTAGATATCTGGATAATGCGATTGACTAAATTTGTCGACCGTGTTAAATTCTATATTCAATAAAGACTAAACCTGAATGCCTTCTCAAGTTCATTAATTTGGCGCTGAGTGAAGTTTGTCCGAGTTCGCCGACGTTTCTGCTCGTCGAGAAGATCATGGTGAGGAAGACAGAGAGACCCCACGGGAAGTGAGTCTTTGTTGTCTTCAGAATCCGTAGATGTTGAGTTACCTGAAGATATCTCTGAAATTAGCTTATGATCTTGTTCTCTTATCGACTTTGCTCACCTTGATCGCTTTTACTCGTCCCCTGCTGTGATATAGCTCGCTGCTGATAAGCCAATACATTCGACAGAAGCTCCCTCTGCTGCTGTCCGTAGTCAAAAGTAGTCTGTGTGCCCAACGCATTCAACGCAAAAAGCCGTGTGAGTTCTAATGCTCGCCAGGGATTCATTTTTTTTCTGAATAATGACTTTGGGCACCGTTTGACCGATGTTTTTCAACGGGAATTTCGGACTCGAAAACGCCATCTTCTGGCGCGCTCAGATCGGCAAATCAGGCGCGGCGAAGACGTCAATAACGGACAGCGACTTAATCTTATTACGGGCAACACTTAATAAGTGCGATGTAGCTGAAGAATATATTTGTCGAATTAAAGAAGCTGAAGGCTATGAAGCCTGAAGCTATGAAGGTTCCGCGCTCGGTCGCAACCTGTTGCATGGATAGTTGCCTGCTGCGAACATAGGCTCAGAACTCGGTGGGAGACGAATTATTTATCCATATCTTGAAAACTAGGTTCAACAAAAATGATGTTCAATTAAAAAAATAAAGGTTCTTCTCAAACTTTCAGATTTCTAACCAAGAGATCGTCTTTAGGCCTGAATCAGGCCGCCTGATAATGAAATTCATCAGAAGTAGAATTCCCTGAGAGTAGGTCATAGAAAATATCGGTTTATATTTTTTAAGCAAATTGCACTAATGAAGACGATAATGAAGTGCCTGAAGAAAACAAAGGCGCTTAATCGTTTAGGGTGTTACTCGTTCGCCACATGTTCATATGCGACTGTCCATATTAATTTCGTATAATGAGCTAATTATATCAAGCTCTATGCGCGGACATATTTAACCAGCCTTCGCCCGTCATTTGGTAATTAGAATTTTTGATTTCAGCGTAATTGGATTCACTTCCCAAAGAAGACGATAAATTACATACTGAGCCATATTGTAATAAATGACGCTTAATTAGCATGTCTAGATGCTCATTACTCAATCATTAGGCCTTACATACAGTGATTAACTGTTTTCAATAAATATGATGAGTTAATTTGAACGAGATTATGCATAAAATCTATCTTTATTAACAGAGTTATTGAAAAAAAATACTATACAGTTGATATAAAATGATATTTCTACAAGAAGACAGACCAAGGGAGACCAATGACTTTGATGAAACCGCCTTCCGCGCATGTTCCAGCGTGAGCGACACTTCCATCAGGGCAACAGTCCCAAACTTCAGGGTTGAAGATCTTTGCGTTCAAGCCTCGATTGCAGCAGTGGAAATTGTTCGTAGATGGGCCAGGTCCGCTTTTTCTAAAGAAATTGATAAAAAAAAAAATTACGAAGATTTTACTACTTCTGGTTGGTTCTATTTAGCGATCGCTTCTGGCAACGAGCTTCACGATCGAAACCATTTCGAACGACGAATTCCTCGGACCAGTGATGCTGAACTTTCTGGAGCTCCATGGCAAAGTCCATGTCACACTGGCACAAATCCCCCTTGCATGTTTTGAGAGGAGAGACGCATTGTCCGCTAGAAAGAAATAGAATTTTGAAAAAGGATGGAAATCTTACTTGTCTACTCGGTAAGGTTTCGTAAAAGAGCAAGTTGGATAAGTGATGGTGGCGCATTTGTAACAGCTGTGAAGGCGCTTTTAATGAGTATTAAAGTTGAAATTTAAAATTCAACGAAATAATTTTTCATTTTTAATAACTATCCTTGCAAAGATTGTCAAGCGGATCGACAGGATCGCCGTGAAAAGCGTGTTCTCCTGAAGAATCCGTAGGAAGACAGTAGCAGCCGTATCCGGACAATTTGTTTGCATCTTCAATTCCAACGTTGACCCCTTTCTCCGCGCGGAACACGTCCAAATTTGCTGCACTAGAAAGAAATTTTAACATTCGTCAATTTCCTACTAACATAGGTCATCCCCTTGTTACCAGGATAAACGTTGGCGAAAATCTGAATTTAGCAGGATAAACCCCAGGCAAACTTGCCTCCATGTTAGCAGGATAAACTTTGGCAAAAGGGCTCATTGTTAGCAGGGTAAACTTTGGCAGTCAATTAGCAGGGTTGCGTGAATCATCAGCGCTCGCCCAGGGCGTGACGTAACTGTTAGCCCGAGGAGGACTCAACCTGCTGGAAGAAAATGCGAATGAAGCAAATCTGCTTGAAATACAAGAGAACAATTTTATGTTATTAATTTTAATTTTAATATATAATTTTTTTTAATTAATTTTTAGGGATTAGGAAGGTAGGCACCAGAGTTGTAGCTAAGCTTTATTTTGAAACTGGCCACCTTAGATCCGATCCGGAAATTCCCAGGCTACCCTCGGAATTCTGACCTGTCTAAAAACCTGAAACAGGTCCTGTTTCCTGTTTTTTGGACCCTGTCCTGTTTCCTGTCTTGCATTTCGATACCAATATAAACCTGTAAACAGGCCTATTAAAAGGAAATACAGGAAAACACGCCTGTATACAGGAACAGCCCTGTAAAAGTGATTTTCAAAAGTGAACTGATCTGCTCAGCTCAGACGATAAATTATCGTCGATAATCATTCAGCTCAGCTCAGAGTTCTAAATTCTTAAAATTTTGAGCTAAGCTAAACTAGCTAAGCTGAGGCTCTCAAAAATTTCTCCTAAGCTAGCTAAGCTGTGAGCTGACACTCTCAAAAAATTACTAAGCTAGCTAAGCTAAGCTGAGGTCTTTTTTTGCCTCAGCTAAGCTAGTCTAGCTAATCTAGCTGGGTCAAAAAAAAAGTAATTTTTGTCGATATAATTTCCTGTTTTTCTTATTTTTTTTCTTCTTGTTGGCTTTTAGAAGATATCCATTAGTTTTATTAGCATCACATAATATACCGCGATTGGCATTTCTGACTGACTGATTCTGATTTTCGAGTGAAATAGCTAATCAACCAATTAAAATTTGACTCTAGTGTCTCTTCTTTGAGAGTTCCGTCAAACCAGTGACGCCTACGCAATCTACGTTACAAATCTCCTATGTTTTTAGCATGGAGAATTGTAACGTCAATGTGCATCTTTCAAAAATCAGTCAGTCAGGACTGCCAATTGCGGTACTTTCTTCTCCCTAAACCATTTCTCAATGATTTTAACACAATTTTACTTACAGTAAAAAATAGCTCAACTCAGCTCACTCAGCTCAGCGAAAATAAAGCCAAATTTGCAACTTTGGTGCCTACCCTCCTAAGCCCTAAAAATAAATAATTTAAAAATATGAATAAATATCAAAATTAAAATTAATAATGATAAAATCGTTAACTTGTATTAAATACTGAATTTATAAATATATATTGAAATTTTCAAGCAGATTTTATGTAGATATTTTTCATTGGCATTTTCTTCCAGCAGGTTGAGTCCTCCTCGGGCTAACTGTTACGTCACGCCCTGGGCGAGCGCTGATGATTCACGCTACCCTGTTAATTGAGTGCCAAAGTTTACCCTGCTAACAATGAGCCCTTTTGCCAAAGTTTATCCTGCTAACATGGGGGCAAGTTTGCCTGGGGTTTATCCTGCTAAATTCAGATTTTCGCCAACGTTTATCCTGGTAACAAGGGGATGACCTATGTTACTTACAGAGATTGATTGATAATCTCCTTGAACGCAAGCGCCTTTGACTGCGAAAAGAGCTGTTCGAAATCGACCACATTTTGAGCGGAAACGAGCTGATTGTACAAAGAATCGGCCTAGATTTTAAACATTATTGGCAAAAAATGCTACTGGGTACTTTTTCAGTAAGTAAATCAGCATGGTCGCCGTCTAAATTCTCCAAAATGCTCTTGAACTCTTCAATATCATCATTCACTAAATTCAAACTTATCAACTATCCTCTCTACTCAAACTCTGTAACCATAAAAAGCTCTGGAAGCGGCAATGAATACAGCGGAAACTTTCATAATGAGATTATGCAAGTTGATCAAGCTCGTATAAAAATTATAAAAATATAAAAAAGAATGTAAGGGAGACGGATTCTACAGCGCTTTTATGCGACCTGAAGGTGATGTCGGACAAGGTGATAAACGAAGGGATGCCTTTTAGAAAGTAAATGATGGAACAAACAAGAGATAGTGATTATGGAACGACGTGGCTTAAATAAACCTTGATATTAGTCAGAGTATAATAATTAATATATAATATTTTGTTGCTTTGCCCATTTCCGCTTGAATCATATTTTTATTCATATTTTAACATCTGAGTCAGAGTAACTGGCATCTTTCTAATAAAAGATTTCAGATTAAAATAGAGGATGACCAGAATTTGGATCCTTGCTTGGTCCATGGCTGGAAAAAGCTTTGCCCGATTTCAAAATCTTACGATAAGTAATTAAATTTTAGTTTCTATTCCAAGTTTCCGTAGTGTAGTGGTTATCACGTTCGCCTAACACGCGAAAGGTCCCCGGTTCGAGCCCGGGCGGAAACATGCTTTTTCAATTTTTTTTTTGTCAAATTTTATCATCAATTTGGTAGAGTTGACTGCTTTATTACTTTTGCACGAGTTTTCACAATACTCGGTACTGAAATTTTTAATGGTCGCCCATCGGCTTCTGATACTGGTAGAAGATATTCCAGACTTCGTTCATTTCTTTGAGCTCGTTGAGAAAGTCCCTAAATTCATTTTAAATTTATTCTTTTGCAAAAAGGGTTGAACAAACATCATATAATTATCGGTATGAGGGTCGATGATGCCTATGCCGTTGGTCATCGAATTTCCATCATTTGAATGTTTGTTTTCGTGAACAGGAAAATCTAAAATTTCAATAAAAACAAAGCAGTGATAAGAAACAACTCATGAGCTCCATTATCTCTAAAAGCTGGCCGCGAACGGATAAAGCCAAAAATACAACGTTCTTCAATATCATTTTTCAGTCGTCTGGCAGAGTGCCTTCAACCCTTATGTTTTCATTAATGTGTCTAAACCGCTGGATAAAATGAAAATCATCTGCATACAATAAATCATTAAATATAGAATGCTTGATTCAGTATTCAATTCGTATAGACGAGGATTAATCAACCAGAAATGTATTACAGTCCTTTAAATTTCAGCTTCGTTAATTTCGGAAGAGTCAGACTCTTTTGGAGGAACGAGAAATTTTGAGCGACGAAGTCGTTTTCGAAAGACAGCGCGAAACTGTCGAGCTTTTTCTTTATCGTATCCCTGAAAAATAAATGTTAAATTATTTGATGAACTCATGACTGAATGAAACTGCACCATCGAAGCGCCAGTATAAGCGGTTTCTTGTTCTTTCTTATCATCGGAGATTCTATCTTCCCACAGCTGCTTAAGTCGATCGCTTTCTGCCTTTCTAGCTGTATAAAAATTGTCAATGAAGCAGCATTAAAGTTTAATGATTAAACTGTTAGTTACCGTCAGATGCGGCAATGGCATTTTTCCTCCTTTCTTCAAACTCCTACGAAAAATACCAATTGAAAAGAAAGCTCAAAAGGATAAGGTAACTTACGGCTCGTTTTTCTTTCATCATAACTTCCAGTTTTTGTATTTCTTCATCGTCGTTACTTTTTTCTGTTTTGAATACTGCGACGAGCTTTTTGATCTCTGCGATTCCCTAGTTAACCAAATTAAGGATAATTTAAAGGAAGGTAAAAGTACTCTTTTTTGTTCAGCAGTTAGTTCTCCTTTGAGTCCATTTTTGAAGTTGTTGACCGCTTGGGCGGTGGTTGCAAGAGCTTCCATCTTTGACTCTCAAAAACTCAACTTTGTTCCTTTTCTTTGAAAAATGAAGCAAAAGAGCTGATAAGAAGTAGCTCCTTCAGGCGTGTGTTTATCTGAACTTCGTATCGAGGGCCTGGCAACTTCCTCTTTCCAGACTGTCGCCGTACTGTAACTCATAAAACACGTCTTCATTCTCGCTTAATTTATGAGCCAGCTAAAGTTCGATCCCCAGGAAGTACCTGCTGATTCAGCAGTTTACCATCGAAGAGCTGAGGCATATTCAAAAATTAAACGTGTCACCAGTTGTTTGATTGCAATAAATATTCTAGCTCTGACTTCATCGATCGTTCAGGTAGTGAAAGCGAGGGACTTTCATTTTTTTCTCAACCCCAAGCTTCAAAGAAACCACTTTTTGTTGAAGAGTAGAATTAAAAAGAAAATGAAGAGACTTTTGGTCATTTTATCTCAAGTTGCAGTAACTGTCTTTGGGAGCAAATGCTACAGATGCATGCCTCGCTACGGAACAGAAGAGCAGAACTTGCGTTACTACTACCCCGTGGGAAATGTATCCCACATCATAACCTCCACAGCTGCGCAGGGAAACTACTTCGGGTTTGTTAAAATTGAGATCCGTAGACAAATTATCCCGTTTCAGCAAATCCTGCGTTTTTCCCACAGACAACGCTATTCGTGCAGATCCGAAGCAGCCGCTAGGAAGGTGGTCCAAATTTATTGCGAAAGTAGAAATTTAGAAAATGATCTTTGGACCTGTTTAAAGTTGAAGAAATTGATTGCGGGGATTACGCTTGCTGGACGAGTATTGAGCGCGGATGAATAAATATAAAAGCAATAAAGATTTGTGATAAGTTTTTCATCCAAAAAGTTATCTATAAAAAATTCAAGAAGACCCCTCATACCGCCCCTTTTTCTGACATTGTGCCAGATTTCGACCCTCATGGGAAGATTCACCGTAACTGTTCGAGAACATTGGCAAATGGTGAACTAATATTGTCGTTTGCAAATAAAGTTTTGGTTTAAGAAACCGATGTGGATCAAAAAGGAACGCGCAAGACATCGATGAAGCATTGTGTGCCGATGTACTTGAATCCAAAAAGCACGGCGAACTACAAATCTGAAGCGGTTCTGTAAGTCATGGTTTTTTACCGAGTCTTCCTTGTCTTCATCAAGGCAAAAATCCGATGACCTTGATTGACTCGTTCAGTGACACGTACGTCTGCGCTTGGAGTTGTAGCGGCGATTTGTGCAACAGTCATCTCTTTGGTTCCGCTAAGCAAACTAGCGTGCTGGCGACGTTTTGTATGCTCCTGATATTCTTGTTTGAGTCGTTGGCTAACTGAAAATTTCAAATAAAATAAATCATCTTCTCACTTTTTTTCTGTTTATTCGAATAACACCGGCATCAGGATATCTTAGATATATCTCTCAATCTATCCGTCAAAAAGAGCGCAGACAGAATCTTTAGAGCAAAATCGAAAATGAAAAAACACTTTGGGCTTGACACCAGGATCGATGGTCCTTATTCAAAGGTTTACATGAAATATTTTTAAAATAATATGCATAATATTGCGAAAAGTCACTTTATAAAGGCCTTGTTCTTCATTGACCTTAAAAATTACGAATTCAATGATTTTAATCCTAGCTCATTGTTGGAAACACAGCTTTTTTGTCGTTCTTTTTCTTTGGATTCGTCCTTTGTTCACAAATATTCATGGTCGAGTGGAAAGTTATGTATGGAATAGACTATCAATGGGCTGGAATCATGCCTACTGTTTCTATAGGCAGGAGTTACCAAATCATATGATTCATCTGGTAATCTAACGATCTGGTCATAACTCGTTGTTAACTCCTCATAGCAATGAGAATCGCAACGAATATTTTTGCAGCTTTATTTTACAACCAATTTTCGCCCCGCAAGTGGGTCATGATCAGTGCGTTCCTAAGCATATTTGCCTATTCAATCTTGTATTTTGCGCACTGGCTTCCAAGAATCGGAATGAACTTTATATTGAACAATTTTTGAACTTATAATTTTCATTCTGATTTTTAATGAATATTTTGTCTACTCGACGATAATATTCGGATTCTTCGCTGGAATGGCTGGAGGAACTGGACAAACAGTAGCGTCAATAGCACCATATCGATGGCTGGACAAGACAAGCGCCACTATGGGTCCTCTATGTTATCTAGGAGCACCGTTTGGCGCTTTTATCGTCGGACCTTTGACGAATTGGCTTATCAAGGAAGTGCTCACTGTAAACTTTTCGCACTTCAATTTTAAAAATAATGATGTTGGGCGAGACCCGATTGCACATTAGCAATAGTCAAACTCAGCTGAGCTTTGCTAAGATGTTCGCATGGCCAGGAGCAATGCTTATTTGCATTGGCTTGGGATTCCACAAGCTGATCAGCGCCCAATTCTTTATTGACCAACCTGATGCTCCAACAAGGAAAGAATTTCAATGGAAAATGAGTGGTATTCAATGACCTCTTGCTCAAAATCTGTCTATGGATAAAATAGAATTCACGAAATCTCCACATCTTGAGATTCCCACAAGCTGTATTTGTTGAACAATTCTCCTCTCCCCAGATAATCTCTAAGCTTTTTGAATTATGAAAATTCTTGAAAAGACAAAACAACTTCAGCAAGATTGCCCCAGAAAAAAATGTGTTTGCGAGGATATGGATTCTCTTCAAATTGAACCTAGCAGCACTGCAGAAAAACGATTATTTCCCAAGGATGCTTCTTTTAACAGTAACGACGAATTCTTTTGTGGTTACGCTGATATTTTCCCAAGTTGTTAATATAATGAATGAATACGGACTTGATAGAGAATCGATTGCGCAGGTAATGAACTTTCTTAATCAGTCGTCCACTGTAATTGATAGATAATGATGGTCGAAGCTGCTTGCGATCTTTTCTCTCGTCCATTTTGGGGAGCACTCGCGAAATCGGGAATGAAACCGGTGGATCTTCTCGTCCTCGACGCTTTCCTCTGGATTGCCTGTGCTCTTACATTTACATTTTCCACAACCTACTGGAGCTTTCTCGCTGGTCACGTGCTGCTAGGAATCGCAGTTTCCGGCTTTGGCGGGTTCAAACAAGTGCTCATTATCAGGCTTCTTGGGCAAGAAAACCAGCCGAAATTTCTCGTGGTCGATCAGCTCCTGTGTTGCCCGATCACTCTTCTGACTCCACAACTATCCATCTATTTGGGTAGTCTGATTGGAGATCTCTCATTTTTGTTCAAACTTTCATGCATAGGAAGCTTTGTTTACCTAGGTAAAAAAACTAAGATAAAAGCTTTTAATATTATTTTTATATAGGGACTATTTTATCACTCAGAAAAGATATTATCGCTAAGGAGAAAAAAAAGGAGGAGGTTCAAGAGTTGACTTCTTCATAAAAATCTGTGCATATTGTTTACCTGGAGCAATTTAGTAAAAAGTGGAAAAACCAGCTAGTGTTCATTCTTTCTTTCGATATTTAAAATAAACAGTTGTTGGATTGAAGTGAAGAGGCCGGTGATAAAAGTGGCGATCGCCAGTGAAGTGAGTGAGCATAATTGCTCCTTTGAAAAAGGGGCTGACGAGCCATAAAAGTACGAGCGCGGCGTCGAGCACTTCCGTCAGTCGAGATTTTTTTTGTTTCTCACGAGACGTCTTGTACATTTTTAGCAATACAGCATTATTTTTGAATTACTGTTTCTTATATTTTTGATGCCGCATCGTTTGAAAAAGAAGTAATCATCAGAGACGGGACGCTGAATCATAGGAAGTTTGATGACAAATCAAAGGACGAAAACTTGATTGAGGCAAATAATTTAGAAATAATGAGAGAAGAATAAAAAAAAAGTGGCCCAATTTTACTCAGAAATAATTAACAGTAAGTAATTTCGATTTCAGTGCTTCCGCAGAGGGATTGCCATGTTCAAGGATTATTTTCTTTTTGGAAGGTCCTTTATGATTCCAAATGAATTCACAATTTGACTATCAGTCGAAAACTCTTTCACGGATTTTTGTAGTCAACCGTAGCTCTTCGAAAATTGACAAATCCATTATCGACGCGCAAGGGGATCTAACGATGACCCTAATCATGGATTAGCCCCTGAAAACTTTTTTTGATCCGCGTGGTTCCCATTAATCAAAACTGAAAAATATTTCAAAAAAGGTCAGTGCAGCCAGTTGGCGAGTAAAATACTGTCAGGCGGACACTGTCCGTGTGTAATTTACAGCGTCACCTCCTTTTCACCTCTCGATGAGTGGTCAAGCAAAAGGAATATTTGGGCTTGGATTTTCGTATTTTTCGTAAAAGAGAATTTCGAACTTTGCAAATATCAAACTCAAAATTTGTGAAAAAAGAGGGTGAATCACCATCGTTGAGGCGGACCCACGGGCAGTTACGCACTTTCGAAGGGCGCTTTCGACAATCGATGAATTGCCGCAGAATCGTAATTTTCAATTCTTCTTAGAAAAACGGAGGGAGAGCCGAGAATAAAACCGGAGAAGAGTCACGTCCGAAAGGCCACTTTGAAAAACACGACACCGTAAAAGGCGAAAAAATGGAGGGCCGAGATGGCAATTCAGAGAATTACATTAGCGAGGGATATCTGCACATTGCTGACTATAAATTGCTCAGGGAGGAGCTGGAAGTGCTCGGGGATGATCCAGTTGATCCATCAGGTAATTAGCTGGTAAATTATTCAAATAGATAATTGCTAATAGCTAAAAGAGTTTTGTTTCTGGAGTTTTAACGAGCCAGACACAGTCATAATTGCCCAACTCATGTGTTTGAAAAGCTGACGTCAGCAGACATGAGAATCTCGACAATGTTTCAGTAATTACTAAAATGCAAAATAACAGAAGCATGAAAAATCGTGCTGAGACATAACCTTAACCTTTTGTGAAAGCTCCAAGATGCAATAAGCATTTATTGCTGATAAAATAAAAACTACAGACTATGCTGCCGCCTGTACATTGTCAAAATTGAGCCCTATCAAACAATAGCAGCATCAGTCGACAGCCTAACAATAGCCGAGGGAGACACAACCTTGGCCAGGAGTCGATTTTTATCAATTGAAATAGCCCTTTGGCAGCAATTGCTCTTGCCAAAAATAGATATTTACTAGAGAAGCTATGAATTCACAGATTTTAATTTTTTAAACAAAAAACAGGCCTCTACAGACGGCTCTCATTATAAAATCACCCCTAAAACAAACGAGGGTTAGGAAAATTGAATGTCTCTTTATTACCCCTTATCTTAAAACCCTTCAAAGAAGATCCTCTAAAAAAAGGTGTCACTTATCGAAAAACTAATTGGCTTTGGTATCCTGAAGTCTGTCAGCCCGTAAAAGTCGGATAATCCGCTGCAAGTGATCCTTTTTCCAAAATGACTACGAGCAGATCGATTATTTTTCTAAAAATGAGAGCGCGAATAAATAGAGAACACGAAAATACCGAATGTGGGAACTTCATATGGGCAGTTTGTATTCAGAGAGTCACATGAGCCGGATACTCCCTTATTTTTTCGCCGTGGCTCCCTGCGGAGTGCAACAATCCCCGCCACTTCCTTGAGGATTTCCTCCGAGAGAATTAAAAAAATCAATTTTTTTTTTCTCGACCTTGGCGATCTTTGAATATCTGCTTTTATATCATTTCTACATCGTTGGTTTACAGATTGAGGCCGATTATAAGACCACCTTTTGAATAAAATTTCGTCCCGAAAAGCCTACTTACGCCGAGTTTTCGGTACGTTTTGAGAAAGGTCTTATAATGAGCATCAACTGTAGACTTCAGAGAACCTGTTACGTAATTTTATACTGCTACAATATCGAGTTATTCGTGCGTCAAAGAGAAATCCTTATTCTCCCTGTGCGCTGATTGGGCGCTAAATCCGTCGATTTATAAATTATTCGCCGGATTCAGTTTATTTTTTATCTTCGAGGACAAGATTTTATCTCCGTTCTGATCGTTATAAAAAGTTAATTACAGCCGTGTAAAAATGAACGCCAAAAAAGGGGAGGAGTGCTGAGAGGGGAGTGACTATTACGTAACAGTCAAGTAAAGGGTTGAACGATCCGAATCGGACCGCTGGCGGCTCGCTCATCGGAAAATTTCAAGCACTAGAATTGGTACTCGCCCTACAGTTCTATTTTCGAGTCACGAGAGAAAGCTCCGAAGGAACATCTCTGGAGGGTTGAATCGAATAGAGAAAAACATAGTGAAAACTTCATTTTCAATGTCATTTGAGTTAATGACTGTATGCAGGTGAATGTTCTAAGAATTTATCTACTATTGAATTCACGAAAACAACACGTGACCCTCTTGTCTTTCAATTGTCATCTGCTTATTGCGTTTTTGTGAAAAAATTAGTTTCCGACTTTCATTTTTCTTTCTACTAGTTGGATTTTCTTCAATCGTTTGAAGAGATTTTAAATTCAAAAATTGAAATGCTCAGTACTTATCATGCTTGACTGACTCGTCAAAAGGCCATTCATAAAACTCTGTGCTTTTTAGCTTCAAAACTCAATCTGACTATTTTTTAAATTTTTTTCTACTTTAGAGCTAATCGATGATGGACAAAGCGGAATCATGAGGGATCAGGTTGTATCTATGGCAGAAGAAGAGAGCCTGACAGATGAGAGTAAGGCGATCATGCAGCAGCTCGAGCAGCTCAAGAATCGGCGCAACGAATTGGCCGAGGAACTCACCTCCGTCGATGAGCAGATTGATGAGCTCCAAAGAATGCTGATCAGCGAGCGAAAGAGGACCTCCTCAGTTTCTGATAACATCCGAGTTTTCGAAGGACTGGCAGCGCCGAAGAGAAATCCCGTCAGCCGCTCTCAGACGATGATTCCTTCGCCGAAGCATCCGTCGAGTTATACTCATCTCTGGCATTTGTCGGAGAAAAACGGGGACGACGAAGTTGTCATTCCGGAGGATTTGATGATGATTCAGCCGAACAGAACTCTCCCTAGTTCCATCAAAATGTCAGGTAAATTCTGCAGGAGAAGGCAAACAAGCGTCCCAAATATACAACAAACTGGTCGGATCTAGACTATTAGACTTTGTCTATTGACTTTTCCGAGCGCTTTTAAAATCTGCGCTATTTGCAGATTTTCCAAATCTTCTTATGTACGCTGGTATATTTATTCGCAATAAATAATTCAGCCATTCCATCGAGAGACTCGAAGCCAAAGCCACCGTCCGACAAAGTCCCGCTGAAGATCGGCTCGTTCGACGAATTCGGAAGTATTCAAGCGCCGCCGCAAATTTGCAATTTGCCAACGCGATCGCATGGATCATCGAAGAGCATTTCGTCGCTGGAGGAACCAATTTATGTAAATGCGATGATTTACAAGACGATGGACGAGGTTATTGCTGAAACTGGACACGATACTGGTTATTCTTTCTTGTTAAAAACTAGTCAATTATTTTTCTTTTCAGACGATTCTGTCGCGGATATCATCGAACAATCAGATGACGAAATCGTCGATGGAAACGATTCCGTGCTCTGTGATGGACCACCGATCGAGGACGATAGAGTTGGAGCGAGTCCAGCCATTGATCACATCAAAGTTCGAAATCTCCAAGAAGCATCAATGTATTCCAAAAGACATTACCTGGCGAAAAACTTGCTCGAAACAGAACAGAAATATTATCATCAACTAAGGGCGTTGGAAAGAGTGAATAGCTCATTCAGGCAAAATATCAAAGCTTACAAGTATGTCGCTGATCTTTCTATAGCCTCGAGTAAACTATTCGTTTAGGAGCAAAAGTTTGATAAAAGAAAACGAATGCCAGATTATCTTCTTTCGAATTCCAGATCTAACCCGAACCCAAGATGAGATCGTGAAGAAACTAACGCTAAAGCTCCGCGACTGGTCGACCGATTCGACCTTTACAGACATCATTTGGTTGATAAAAGAGAACTTGAAACTATACGAAGAATACATCAATAATTACACGAGAGCGCGAACGCTTTTAGAGCATCTGATCAAGACGAAACAGGGGGATCGACTTGCGGACTTGCTGAAAGTTTCGATTACTGAAACGCGAGAGAAAGATATTCTGGTAAAGAATCGATAAAAATTGACCTTTGAAAGTATCAACGAATTTCCCTTTAGGTTCAAGATTTACTCTACAAGCCCGTCGACCGAATGACACATCATATTTCAGGTAATAATTTCCAATACTAGTAGATCAGATGCAAAAATGACTTTAGTTCTTGACGATATTATTCGCCACACTCCATCAACTCATAATGACTACGATAAACTACGCTCCTATCAATCCGAATTCTGGCGAGTCCTGACAACAGTTAACAAAGGTCACGTGTCCAAGGGAACGAGAAAGGTTCAAGAGAAAGAAATCATCAAATGTAAGTCCGAAAATATCATTCAAAGCGTTCAAAGTCATTTAGCGGGATATGTGACCGAAGAAATTTCCGAAACAGAGAAGAAATTGCGATATGTGATTTTGAGCAATGAGATGATTCTTTGCATGAAACCGACGAACATGAAGAAACGCGAGCTGGACACAAAGTGGTGGATTCCGCTGAACAACGTAAACGTCCAACTGCGAGAAACGAAAGAGCAAATCTCTATGGGCAAAAAGATGAAAATGAATGAACTGGACAAAGAAATCGTAGAATTGAATCAGAAGATTTCGAGGCTAGACCCGAAGAAGGATCGAAGGCAAAGAAACAAGTTCCTCGAAAACATCCAAAAGAGGAGAATTGATAGGCTGAAAATCTCGCAGACTGTTCCTTTGGAAATCAAAAATTGCCAGGATGGAAAGGAAATGAAACCGCATCGATTTATGTTCTCAAGGCATGGTTTTCCTTTTTGATTTTCGGTAGCTTTCAATATTCTTTGAAAAATATGAAAAAGTGGGAAAACTTCATTCAAGTGAATATGAGAGAGCAGCGTGGACAGAAGAGATCCACGGCGCCCAGCGCAAGAACACTGGACGCATCAACATAACAAGCTACGATATCAAAGACCTGATCGAAAAGTTCAAACTAGAAGGACCTCCCGCTTCAGTACCCGAATCTTCAATGAAACATTCCAGATCAAGCTACCTAAACGGATACCTATCAGTGACAGTTAATCAAGCAAGCGGCTTTCAGAAGGACTCAAACGCATGGGTAGCGATTGAGACTGATTTTTACGGCTCTTTCACGACCCAAGCTAGGACGAGAATTCAACGAACAAAAGTACAGTCTGTCCTTTGAATCATTATTAAATATTGATAGGGCGATTCAAATAGAAAGAACTCCTACCTCGCCGAGTGGAAAGAAGAGTTCGAAATCGACGCCAACGGTTGCGTGGACCTAGTCGCTCTTGTTCTCAACAATCAACCATGTGGAGATGGCAGCATCTCCAGAGACATTTTAGTTGCCAAAGGAGAATTGCGACTTCCAGCAGTTTGTGGTCTGATGGAGGGCGAAAGCTGCCCAGTGAGAATCGAAACTTCTGGAGGCATCGATCTCATGCTCGTTTTCAAATACGTGAGCAGAGAGACCTTCAGAAAGAGGGTGAAAAATGACGCCGACAGTACGAATAAAGTTTTTGATACGTCTCTTCGGGTTCTCACTGCTAAAGAAGGTGAGTAACTGTAAATGATTTGAAGAATCTAAAATTTTCAGGTCGCAACTGTCCATTGATCGTCAAGTCTTGCATCAGCGAGATCGAGAATCGAGGGATGAAGGACGTCGGAATCTACCGCGTTTCTGGCGCCAAGAGCGACATCGACGAAATCAAACGCTACTTCGAAGAAAATCACCCAGATCTCTCAGAGAAACTGGCGAGGGTAGATACTCACGCAGTGACAGGCTGCATGAAACGATTCTTCATGGACTTGAGAGAGCCGCTGATTCCGCACCCTTTTTCCGACAGATTATTCAAGGCACGGTGCTTATCTGTTTTCGAACGTATGAAAGTTTCCCTTTGTTGCTGATTATTGCGTAATTACGCGGCAGTTTTGCATGAACTCGGCGAAAAAAGGAAAACAATAGTCACCGGAAAATCAGTTGGACCTCGTCAACAAATCCGATGAAGACAAAAAGCTGCTGATTCTGGATGCTCTAAACGGCCTACCAGTAGAGAATCAGGGCACACTGCACACGCTGTGGTCTCATTTGCGCAAAATCGCCGCTATTTCAGAGAACAAAATGGATTTGCCAAATCTATCAATCGTTTTCGGACCCTCGCTCATCGCCGCAGAAGAGAAATCCTCCGGCATCAACCCAATCGATGCAATTCAGATTCGAGGAAATATTTTGTTGTCCATTTTGGAAATGGACAACTTTCCAGCACCTAATGAGCAGTTGCTTGACGATTCTTCAAGTTGGTTAGTACAACTCCCTAGTTTTATTGAGTTTTAGACGTAAAGCCGCTTGCGGCTTCGAGTATTTTAGCAAAAGGAAAAGGAAAAAGTGCCTTTTTGAGAGAAAAAGAGCGCTTTAAGATTTCTGCGCGAATTACAGTTTTCACGCTGCAAAACATTAAATTCACTACAACATCAACGAGAAATAAATAATTCAGGTCCGAGCGTCGCGTTTCCCGCAGCAGACCGACCCAATCCGTAATGAGTCCTTCAAACCGCCCAGTCCAGTTCCCAATTCCAGCCCCCCGCAGTACCTGTCCACGATAACTTTATTAAAAATAATTTATCTTAATAATATATTTTTTATTCCGAACATTGCTTTCAAAAAGAAATTCTTCATAAAACTACTTCGACTTCATTTCCTTTTCACTCATTTTCTCTTTAAAATTTGCTGAAACTGATCTTTGTGCGCCTCTTCATCTTGTTCCTTGATAAATTCCCTGGAATTCCGAAAAAATGTAAAAATAAAAAAACTGTAGAAACTGCAATAAAAAGATATTCTAACTTTCCATATTCTGATCCCGTGTTTGTTTCTGAACTTGTTTAATATTATTAACCACATGTGTTCGAAAAACTTTGAGCTGAATTTATTTTTACCTGCTGATTATTATATAAGAACCAGTAATTCACTTTTGTTTTCCCGTCGAGGCATGAGATGGTAAACTCTTAAAAACTACGTTTTCTTTCAGACAATGGATGATGAAAGAGAGTTCTGAACAACAACTTTCCTCAATGGTAAAAAACCGAACACCTACGGATTTGACAATTCGTAAAAAACCAATAAAAACAAATAGATTTTAGGCTTCCAATAAGATACCATTTTGAAAAATATATTTTTCACGTAAAAAAGCTGCGCTAGAAAAACGAAATATCTCAAGAAGTCGCGTAGCGGCTTTTCCTTCTTCTATTTGACCCTTCAAATATATACACTGTTGGAGGGGATCTTTTAAGGAACAATAAAAGCCGCAAGCGGCGTCTTATTTTAAAAAGAGCTTTTACTAAGGCATCGAATATTGTAGGGATGATAAAACTCTAAATTGACTTCAAAGAAAATATCAGACTATTTTCGTGACATAAGAAAATCTAGATTTCGTCCACAGGCTACATTGTAGTGAAAGAAGAGTTCGAAGATGAGCCGCTCGAACTCGAGCTGGAAGAAGACGGGAATCTGCGAATGTCGACTTTGATCTCGCAGTTCTCCGGCGCATGCGGTTTACGCTTTCGAAATGCTGCCACGGGCGCCATGCGCGGCGTCCGTCTTCACAACGATCTCTTTCTTCCGCCCAATGGAGCTGAAGGTTGGCCAACCGATGTCGTCTTTAATGTTGTTTACAGGTAACAACAACTCAACTTCTTAGAAAGATATCAGTTTTTCATGGTCTGAACAATAACCTGGATCAGTCTATAATCATCGGATGATTTCTACCAAAGTTTGGTAGTCGAGAAAATAAAGCCGCAAGCGGCTTGTTGAAATAGATTCACTTCCTCGAAGAATAAGCCGCTCTGCGGCTTTCCTATTCAAGAAGGATTCATGCTCATTTTCAGTAAAAAACCGGACAATGGTGCAAAAAAAGTAGAAAACGGACACCAATCGACGTCTGCGATTCCAAGAAGAAGCGGAAATAAACCGTCAGATCTGGCCGTGTTGAGCATCCCCTGGCAGACGACGGCAGAAGACTTGAAGATGTATTTTTCGCGCTTTGGTAAAGTAGTCTTTTCGGACATAAAAGTGGACGCGGAGACTGGGAAATCGAGGGGATTTGGATTCATCAGATTTGAACACTACGAGAGCCAGGTGGCGGCGATGGAGTGTCCCATTCACGAGCTCGATGGGAGACAAATCGTTCTGAGGCTAACGAAAAAGGTAAAACTCTTGATCAGTCTTGATTCTCTGCGCTTCGACGAGTTTCTAGCAAAACGGGGCGTGAGAAATAACTTTGCGAGCGCTCACGCTTCTGCCGGGCGGTCTTATCCTTCACAGCTTACATAGGTTTTTCGATTCTCTAGAATTCGAAGCATTCCAACAAGTTTTTTTTACAGGAATGTCAGAGAAATCCTATCCAACAAATAAGAAATGTAAGTGTTTGAAAATTTTGAATCAAAATAGCTAATAATTTTTTTTTTGGTTTCAGGCAAAATCAATTTTTTCAACAAAATATTTTGTTCTAAACAGCAAAGCCACGGAGTGGTATTTTTCTTCAGAAGAAATAATCAATTCCGAAAAGCCGCCGCGCGGCTTTTTTCTTCTTGAGTTAGAAAGTAAGCGTTCGTCTTGGAAATCATGAATAATTTTCTCTGAAAGAGTGTTGTCTGATTTCCCTTGGAAATATCTTTTTTGATCGTCTGTAGTAAGAAACAAGAACGAACCAAATTAATTTAAATTGTGAGTTGGCGCGCGGCGTAGGCCAAATTCGCGCTGGATGGTCCAATCGCGGCGGCTCGAGGCGTCTATCCCGGCCAGTGGGGCGCCGCGATTGGGCGCGGCTCTCGTTGCACATCGAAAATAGAAATTTCGTCGACTCTAGATTCCTAAATTCTCTTTTTGACTGCGTGCCCAAATCAGAAAATCATAAAGAGAGCCCCGAGAAGAAGCGTGAAAATACCGATTTATGACTTATCGGAAAATTCTAGGGCGAAACTGGGAACCAATTGCGAAAGGTTTTCGTCGGACGACTTACCACCGACCTAAATCGTCATGATCTTCAAGAATATTTTTCTCAATTTGGGCACATCACCGAAATCACCATTCCGCAGCCTTTTAGGAGCTTTGCCTTCATCACTTTTGCCGATTCGAGTAAGTTTTCGAGCGAATAAAATAGGATTCGATATTTTCTAGAATATAACAATGGCTTGATGGTTGTTTTCAGATGATGCCATTTCGATTTTGGACCAAGACCATTTGATAAAAGGAACTTCGGTTGTTACTCGCTCTGCGGATCCGATTCAAGATGACAGAAATAGAAGGTAAGCTCATTTTCTATTTATGAGAATAGTTTTAAAAACAGAAAAGTTCAAACAAAGTCGATCTAACGACAATCTTCTTTCAGAAACGCGAATCAGAACAACACCGGCAACGGGAGCAACAGCCTCAATCAAAATCAAGGGCGCTTTCAAAACCAAAATGCGAGAACATTCTCCAACAATTCAGCCGACACTTCCGTCGATCCAATGATCATGCATCAGGTACAGAAATTACTACTGAATAATTACTATTGGTAACGCGCCCGCGGGCGTGCGAGCGGCGCTGATTGGCCGCGCCTGGCGAATAGCGCGGCAAGGGAAATTAGCTCTAAATAAAGCTGAAAACAAGAGAAATAATCGATTATGATTTTCAGGTGCAGCAAGCCCTAAATCAAGTGATCCAGCCGACGAATTCGATTGCCGAGGAAGCTACTCAGCCGCGCGTCCGCTTTTCCGAGCAGCCCGTTTCTTCCACTCGCCATGTCCAGGACGATCCTTTCAACGGCGTCTACCGAACTCGGCCATCGTCAAACAGTCCTACAAACCACTCGTCGATTCTCGACTCTGGCTTGATCTCACGAAGTTTGCAGCAGCCTCCAATTCAACGAGGCCGGCCGAATCGCATCCTTCGAGGAACCAGCCCACCTTCGTGGAGCAACAGGAGTCCGTGGGGCGACGCGCCAGATCCGCAAAGGCAAAACTACTTTAGCCCAGGATCGTGGCTTTAGAATGTTCTTTCTGATGATTGATCAGCTTTCTCATTTCTTTGGAAAAGCGATCCCCACATTTTCTTGACCATTTTCATTTTATACCCGTTATTATTCAACCAAAGCAATGTGAACTTTTTAACTATCTTTCCAGTCTAAGATTCCCCTTTCCTTTTCCATCACCTTTCCTAACATCCATTCTTGATCCACAAGTTCAAGTTGAAAACAGTTTTAGTTCATTTACTTTAGTAATAAGTTTGAATCCCTTCTCTTCTTTACGCTTGAAAATGATGATCTGTGATGGCTCCTTTCTGGACCCGAGGGATAGTAACAAGGATTTTCTGTCCTTTCTTGACGCGCCGCACTAATACGTTGCTACTAACTCTCGGGCCTTATTTTTCGCGGAGAGAAGTGTTCATCTTCCTTCTCCTTTAAAAATTGAATGTTTCTGCTTGTTGTCCACACATTTACATATATTTTAACTTTGCTTCTTACCTAGCCGGGTGATGTTTTTTACCATATTTGTGCGCTCATTATTAATAATTGCTTAATCGAATGATTTCATGTTATGAGTTGGAATGACACATCTACACTCCCCTTTGTTATGTTTCTACGACGAATCCTTACCAAAAAGTACTAAAAAATAATTGTATGCGGTCTCTTGTATGTCAATGAAAATCCTTTGTTAACTATTTTTTATCGTTTTCGTCTTTTAGAATGCTCTCCAAACTAGCGAGCCAGGTTGGACGCACTGCTGCCCGACATTTGGCCACCACCTCTGTCGCCACCCAGAAGGCTGGAGCAGCTGAAGTCGCCACTCTTTTGGAAGAGCGCATCACTGGTGCCTCTGCCACCTCGGACCTCCAGGAGACCGGTCAGGTCTTGGCTATTGGTGACGGTATTGCCCGAGTCCATGGTCTCCGAAACATCCAGGCCGAGGAGATGGTTGAGTTCTCCTCCGGTGTCAAGGGTATGGTAAGTTGACAACACCTATTTCTTGCCAGAAGTAACAAACACTTTCAGGCCTTGAACTTGGAGCGAGACAACGTTGGTATTGTCGTCTTCGGTAACGATCGACTTATCAAGGAAGGTGACACCGTCAAGCGAACCGGTGCTATCGTCGATGTCCCCGTCGGACCCGAACTCCTTGGCCGAACTGTCGATGCCCTCGGAAACCCCCTCGATGGTCTTGGACCCATCGACACCAAGCTCCGACGAAAGGTCGATCTTAAGGCTCCCGGTAAGTCTATCAGAGTCGATATTTACGGCTTCTAACTGCTTCCTAGGTATCATTGCCCGAAAGTCTGTCCACGAACCTATGCAGACTGGTCTTAAGGCCATCGATTCCCTTGTCCCCATCGGTCGAGGTCAGCGAGAGTTGATCATTGGTGATCGACAGACCGGTAAGACTGCCGTCGCTCTTGACACCATGTTGAACCAGTCCCGATTCAACCAGGGTGATGACGAGACCAAGAAGCTGTAAGTCACCGACCGCGTTACCAGCGATGTAGTATTTGTTTTCTAGTTACTGCATCTACGTCGCCGTCGGCCAGAAACAGTCCACTGTTTCCCAGCTCGTTGCTCGACTTGAGGCTGCTGGTGCCCTCCAGTACTCCATCATCGTCATTGCCACCGCTGCCTACGCCGCTCCTCTTCAGTACCTCGCTCCCTACTCCGGTTGCTCCATGGGTGAATGGTTCCGAGATAACGGCCGACACGCTGTCATCTTCTTCGACGATTTGTCCAAGCAGGCTGTTGCCTACCGACAGATGTCTCTCCTTCTCCGACGACCTCCAGGACGAGAAGTAAGTTTTCTTTGGTCGAATCAGTCTCTTACCACTCCTGATTAGGCCTACCCCGGTGATGTCTTCTACCTCCACTCTCGACTCCTCGAACGAGCTGCCAAGATGTCCGATGCCACTGGTGCTGGTTCCCTCACCGCCCTCCCCGTCATCGAGACCCAGGCTGGTGATGTCTCCGCCTACATCCCAACCAACGTTATTTCCATTACTGACGGACAGATCTTCTTGGAGAACGAACTTTTCCTCAAGGTAATTTTCACTTTCCGCTCTTCCTCCCAACACTTTTATCTAGGGTATCCGACCCGCCATCAACGTCGGTCTTTCCGTCTCCCGAGTCGGTTCCGCCGCCCAGATGAAGGCCATGAAGCAGGTCTCTGGTACCATGAAGCTCGATCTCGCCCAGTTCCGAGAAGTCGCTGCCTTCGCTCAGTTCGGTTCCGATATGGATGCCGCCACCCAGCAGCAGCTCGCCCGAGGTACTCGACTCACTGAGCTCCTCAAGCAGAACCAGTACGAACCAATGGACGTCGCCACCCAGGTCTGCGTCATCTACACCGGTGTCCGAGGTCACCTCGATGTCATCAAGCCCGAGCAGGTCACTGACTTCGAAGCCAAGTTCGTCGACCACCTCCGATCCGCCCAGACTGGTAAGAAAAATTCAAGGGAGTCAAGAGCGTAACAAATATACTTCAGATCTCCTCAACGGCATCTCTAAGGAGGGTGTCCTCACCGAGGCTCTCGAAGAGAAGCTCAAGGGCGTCATTGCTGACTTCATCGCCACCTACACCGCTTAAGTTGGAGAACCGACAGTTTCCAGAAATCATCCTTGAATGAATACGACATGTTTTTATTTATTTTACCAGCATTTTCATCATAGCTGGGAAAACCCCCTGTAGTTCAATTCAAACTCAACTATTATTTATTTTGAGCAAATTAAACCAAGTTCATCACTCCCCTGGCCATACTGGTCGCGACAAGACAACACCAACATAATCTCGCGCAAAAGCATATGGCGACTACTTGGAAGTTTAAAACATTCCCGGTTGCTGTTCATTATTTATTCATCGTCCTTGTTTTTGTCGAGATAAAAATAAATAAAATTCGCTAAAACCTTGTCCAGGACAATTCAGATGTCTCATGATTCGGAGCACGATAAAAAGTGCTACGAATACTATCGTACTAAGTGTTTGAAATTGCAAGAGCAGCTGAATACGGAGCAGGAGAAGGCGAATGAAGCTGTTCGCGAGTACTGTCTTCTTATACAGAAGTCCGATAAGGTGTGTGTGAACTTGTAGTCCTTCATGTTTGTTTGTCCTAATTTGAGTATCCTCGTTGATCGCAGTCCGCCCAGATTTATATCGTCATAATCGTCTTTTTGTTCGTTGTAAATCAGAATCAAATTGAATGTGTGTTTAGGCACAAAGAGTCCGTATTCAAGCGGCCTACCAGAAACAACAAGATACTTTCTCCAAAAGAGCGAGCCATCTCAACAAGAAAATTGATAGTTCTCGCAAGAAAATGGAAGAATTGAGCGGCGGCAGGAGCTCTTCTAAGGCAGAGAATCGACAGGTTCCTAGCCCACTGTGTGCGCCCGAACCGAGATCACTGAGCGTCCTCGACGACAGATCCTCAATCCTACAAAAGGAGAAACTGTCAAACGAGTCCCTTAATTCGGCTCATAATGAAGGTTCGAACGGCGCCCGACGGCGACTTTTAATTGCGTACTTTAAGAGCCGACGAGTGAAGACTCGAAGCTTCAAATTACAGACCTTGTGAGTGAAACTAGGGAGAGATTCGAAAGCATTCAATACGAAATTGACACAATTTTCCGTTTTTTCCTTTTTGGAACTCTGAATAAAGTGAACCCGACCAAACAATGGTTGAAGAAAAACTGAGCGCCATATACGAGCGTGTAGATAAATACGAACACGACATCGAAAAACTCCGTGGAGACTTTTTGGCAAACTCGTTATTTCATCGTGAGCAGTCGGAACAACTTGCCGAGCGCAGTAAACAACTTGAAACAGACGTTTTTGATTACACAGACAACCAGCAGCTCGAGATTCAACAATTAAAGTCTTCTTCCAGATATTCATGCGAAAATTTATTGTTTTTCTAGGAATCAAATCAATGAGATGAGTGAAAAATTCGAATATGACAACCGAAGAATCCAACGGGAATTCAACGAAAAACTCGACAACATTTATGAATGCATCGAAAAGTTAGAACTCGGACGATTGCGAGCAGAAAAGGCTCGACAAGAGCCCGAAGCTATAGCTGGACTGAAAGATGCAGTCATCGCCATCTTTACTGGAGTTTTGGCACTCATATTTTACATACTCACATTTCTTACAGTAAGATTCAGTCGATTACTTCATATATTCAACTATTTTAGTTTCTGATGGCCCCACTAACAAAAAATCCTCTGCGATCCACTGTTGCTATTATCGTACTTATCTTTGCAATTATTTTCTACAGCAGAACTTCATGGCTTTCCTCGACGTAAAACAAACAAAAGAGCATGATTTACAAAAACGCCCGAGAAATCACACCACCTTCTTCATAAGAAATTTAACTGTCACTTACCGATGAATGTTTCCGACGTACTTTCTTGCCCATCATGATATTACCTCTTCCTTCTTCATTATTGTAGCGAATAAAATAACTCAATACACAAAATGTTTTATTTAATAAAAAATGATTATTATAATAGTATGATTTAAGACAATTGAAATATGGACAGCGAAGGTGGCCTGACGAATTTCCTCTTTGGAAATGTCGACGAGGATGGTCGCCTGGAAAGCGATGTCTTCGACGATTCAGAAAAAGCCCAAGTCAATGCATTGGCGCAAATGGGCATGGGCGGCCTGTTAGATGATTTCGACAAAGAAGCGCGTGAAAACATGCTACCCGAAGACTACAAACTGCCTCCGCCAAGTCCACTTGCGCGAGATTATTCTAATATTTCCGATGAAGAGCTTGAGGATTTCGATAGTCCTGGACCAAGTCAATCCCAGTCACAGTCGAATTCAATGCCTCCACCGCCAAGTTTCAATGATCGAAAACAGTCTGACGGAGGCATCATTCTCCCGAGTTTGATTCTCCCAAGTGTCGTAAGCAGCAGCAGTAGCAAATCTGAATCTATCGAAAATAACCAATCTGTCGATCGAGAAAGAGAGCCGAGCACATCTGAGCATTCTGATAAAGGAGAAACATCGAAGAAAAGCAATAAGAAGAAGAAAAATAAAGAATACACAGAAGCCGATCGGATTCAGAAACAAATGAAGAAAGAAATCCGCGGAAAGATCGACGCCGCTACGGTCAAAGAACTCTTCCCGCATTTCGTCAAGAAGCGACCGCCGCGATTTTTAGAGTTATTCAAACATGCTCCGAATAATATGGACGTTCCGAATCCATACCGTTTTCTGCAGAACAAGAAGCCGCCTCAAGAACTCGACTTCCTTGGAGATATCAGGGAAAAGAAAGAAAAGGCGACAACCTTTGCTCTCCTAGATCACCGAAGCCAGAAGAAATCGCTGAAGACGATGAGAAAATCGCTCTTCAAGAAATGGCCTGGTGCGACGAGGCTGAAATTGCTGAAGAAGGGCAAAAAGAAGAAAAACTTAAGAAAACTCCACAGTGGAGAAACGGCCCAGCCAAGCTTTGGTTCGACATGCTTAACGTCCCAGCGGATGGAGAAGGATTCCATTACGGATTCAGGCTGAAGCCAGAAGTTCAGAAGGAATTCGACGAAATGGACGATAAAGAGCGCGAAAAGAGAATCGCAGACGACAACAAAGTCACTTACGACTACAATCTATGGGAAAATCTTGACCAAAGTGTGCCCCTTCACTCCCAGATCGACTGGGAGGAGGACATCATCTGGGACCCAGAGGATGCGCATAAGAAAAGATCAACGGGCTCCCGCATAGATAAAGAGCGCCTGGCTGGATGGATTCCGAAAGAAAAGAGCCGAGAACAAGATCAGCTTCAAGTTGTGGGAAATCAGTCGATTTTTCCAATCGACAATTATGATCTGATTTATGGAAATTGGGAAAAGGAAATTATCTGGGACTCGCAAAACATGGAATATCTACCTGTGCCGAAAGACTTCAAAGTCAATCCGAACGATGATAAGTTAATTTTACAAATTCCAGAAGATCCTGAGCCAAGAGCTGAATTTAAAGTCAAAGAAGGAGGAAAAAACAAGCGCGAGCTTTTTAAACGGACTAAAGAAGTTCTGCGTGATGTAGGAATCGGTCAAAAGAATGAAGACGGTAAATTATTATTTTTTGTTTTATTGGTGGGTTGATTTTTACAGTGGAGCTTTACAGATTTTTATACATTGAAGATTGTTCTTAGACAAAGGTGACGTTGTTGTAGTTGCTAGGGAAGTACGATTTGAGAAGATCGTTGTTTTCCAAGATTGATTCCTCGACTGTGTAGTTGGGCAAGTCCCAAATAAGAGAAGGTAACTCGGAATCAGCAGAAATGATGGAGCAGCCAGAATCGTTTGAGATTGATTCTCTGGTGTGAGACTCAACCCGAAGTCGTAGAATTTCTTGTTTGAGTGCTTCGATTTCGCTCTTGTAGCACTCGGTCTGCGCTTTCAAATTGTCCATAACGCGGTTATTGTGGTCGAGCAAATTGGAGAATCGAGGTTCGGCTTCGAAGACGACACTTTCATCGACCCCAATGTCACCTTCAGTGGGTGGGACCTGGCCGCAGACGAACTTTCGGAGAAGCTTTTTCATAAACTTGTTCATTTTGAGATTTCTCGAGTTTTTGTTGTTTCGGATTAAAGATCGATGTTGGTTGTTATGCCTTGAATTCTGATCGGATCCGCTTATAAAGGGGTGAAAGTCAGTGCTCGAGCGCGCCTCCAGCTGGCGCGTCACTGTAATTACAGTGCTCCTCCCAGCTGCAATTAACTGACAGCTTTCCCTTCTAGTTGATGATGAGATCGTGCCTCAACTCCGTCCCGAAAAAGACATCTGGAACTTATCAAACGACGACTTTTATGATCCGAAAGCAAAGGCTGATAAGTCTGGCAAAGGTGGACATGGTGTTTTGCAGCACTCTACTCCAGGCGCGGCTCATTACATTTTCTTTTTGATAATAAAAATTTAAAAAACATTTTTATAACCACTTCATAATTCTAGTGACGATTCCTTGTCGATAATCTTGTGGCTTTTCTTTCGCGTCCTTATGATCGTAATTTTCATTACTTCGTCTTTACAGACTCAATTTTGATATTCGCATACCTGATAATTTATATTTTGCAAGCGACAAAAAATGTCTTTCAATCAACAAAATGAAAAAAAGGTTGACAGTTAGCGGTCACTGCATCGCGGCGCGATCAAAGCCCAAAACAAATTCCGTCTGAATCGTTTGGATCAAGGCGGCTACCGTTTTATTAAAGCTCGTCCATTATTTTTGACATTTGTTATGATCTGCAAAATCACGCATTGACAGATTTAAGCCATTTGAATTTGTCTTTGAGCCGTCTGTTACAGCGATTGAACTGTATCAAAGCCTTTTTCCTACGCACTTGGATCATCAAACCCTTAGAAGATTTCACAGGCCGCCATTCAATACTTTCGATATTCCAACCGGCCTCCCTCTCAAGATCCGATCGTGTATCAAGGTACCAGGGTGCTTCACGGTCAGATTGGAAGATGGGTATTAGATTATGAAATTTATGATTTTATGCTCGCGGATTTACCAGGTATCATGGTAGATTTATAGCAGATTTTCTCGTCAAATCAGATTATGGCACCCCTTAAAGATTGCCCTAAAGAAATTGTGCTTGTTTACAGAATTAATGTTACAGTCATCCCATTTTCATGTTATTATTCAAGAAAGATCCAATTTAGCCAGTGATTCACCCACTTAAAGCAAAATATCCTTCGCGAGAAAGAACGAGATCGGGAACGTCGAGCAACAGGAGGTGGAGAAGTATTCTTCATGCGAAAACTATCCGATCTTTCTGCTCAAGACGGCGAAGTCGTTCTTGCCGAGTATTGCGAGGAATTTCCTCCGCTATTCAACATGCCTGGAATGGCGTCTAGAATTAAAATCTGGCGTCGCCGAACATGTCGTGATAAACCCATGGACAGAAGTTACAAATACGGAGAGCCTGCGTATTACACACATCCGCCGTTTTTAGGTCAAGTGAACGCCGATTCCTCCCAAGCCGCATTTGAAAACGACATGTTCCGTTGTCCGTTGTTTTTTCACGCGACGCCCAAGACCGACTTTTTGCTTATTCGAAATGAGGATACTTGGTGCTTGCGTGAGGTCCCGGAAACATTTCTTTTGGGTCAACAATGTCCACTCATTGATGTTCCGGGCCCCAATTCAAAGAAGGCGACGAGCTTTTCTCGTGATTTCTTGCTTGTTTTCCTCTATCGTTTATTCTTGAACTCGACTGTACAGCCGAAGAAAATAAGGATGGAAGAAGTGAGAAAAGCTTTCCCAGCGCTTTCGGAAGGATCAATCAGAAAACGACTGAAACAATGCGCTGAATTCAAAAGAACTGGAATCGACAGCAACTGGTGGGTTCTGTCTTCTGATTACCGACTCCCAACTGAAGAGGAAATCCGTGCTCACGTCAAACCTGAAGAAGCTTGTGCGTTTTATTCCATGTTGGCAGCTGAGCAACGGTTAAAAGATGCTGGATACCGGGAAAAATCACTGTTTTTGGACGAGAAAGAAGACGAGGAGGAAGCTTCCAAAATGGATATTGAAATTCTCTGTGCACCCTGGCATACCACACGCGCTTTCCTAGCTGCAATGAAGAATAAATGTCTACTAGACATCACTGGCGCGGCTGATCCAACTGGCCAAGCAAGAGAAGGCTTTTCCTACGTCAAAATCCCAAGCAAGCCAAATCAACGGGACGAAAATACTCCAGCTCAGCCGAAAAAGCTCGTGACTGGAACTGATGCAGATCTGCGTCGATTGAACCTGAAGCAAGCCAAAGACATGTGTCGAAAGTGGGGTGTTTCTGACGCAGTAATGAATAAACTAACGCGATGGGAAGTTATCGACATGGTAAGAACGCTCTCAACTCGTCAAGCGCGTGTCGGAGACAGTTCTGTTTCCAAATTTGCGAGAGGAAATCGATTCTCTGCGGCGGAACACCACGAAAGGTACAAAGAAGAATGTCAACAGCGGTTTGACTTGCAAGCGAAGCAGCTAGAAGATGATAGAGTTCTGACTACAGATGACTCTTCGTCAGAAGACGATGCGGACGAAATCGACCTCATGGAGAAAAATCTCGATGCGCTATTCTCTAGCAAGTCGAAAACTCAGCGGGAAGTTCAAGAAGAACGCGAAGAAAATGAGCGAAAAGAGCTTCTGAAAATGATGAATGAAGATTCAAGTAAAAAGGAGGAGAAGGAAATTCCACAGAAAAATCCACTTGCGAATATTGATATCACGGGTAAAGTACTTGTTATCAGACGAAAAGTGAAAAACTCGTATGGCGAAATTGTTGAGAAAAAAGAGACTGTGCGGAAGCCCGAAGTTATTGAGGCGTATTTGAAGATCAGGGCATCAAAGACAGACCAAGGAGCACTGAGAAAATATGTGCAAGAAAATTCTGACGAGGAAAAAGAGAAGTTAGATAAATTGAGACGCGAGAGACGCAGGTTACAAGAGCAGATTCGTCGAAGCAAGAAAAACAAGAGAAGGATCGAACAACAATCTTATGGGGCGGATATCGATGATTCCGAAGATGATGATCTCGGAGGATTGATTATCAGAGAAGACACTAAGATAACTATTCCAAAGTCTCTTATCAAGGTAAATATGTAAAAACCACGATTTTTATTTTTTAGGGATCAACAAAGCGCAAGCGTAACTCATCAGATGAGCAGCCGCCGCCATTTTACGCAGCGATGAATGAAGGCATTTTGATTCCGAATTCGAAAAAGGGATCAGCGCGGCGCGGCCGACCTACCAAGAGAAAACGGCCGAGTGAAAGCGACTATCTCAATCAGCGGCCGATGCAAAAGCGTGAACGAATACGCGCCGATCCGCAAGTTTCAATTAGCTCGCTCTTTGAAAGCATCATTATCGATATGAAAGAAGTTCTTGCAGATCAAATGGACGCCTTCGTGCCGCCTGTTGATAAGAAACATGTGCCAGACTACTACGATATCATTCACAATCCAATGTGTATCCAAATGATCAGGGATAAACTTCGCGATAATAAATATTCTACGAGAGAAGAGTTCCTAGAAGATTTCGAGCTCATCTATGAAAATGCAAAGCTGTACAATGGAGTTGACTCTATCATCACAAGGTAAATCGTACTTTACAATCGTTCAATCTTTTAATGTACAATTAAGGAATGCTGATGCTGTAAGAGGCTATATAAAGAAACGAATGCTGAGTGAAGAGGACAAGCTTCAAAAGCTCGAGCGTCAAATCAACCCCCTCTTGGATGACAATGATCAAAACCAACTCACATTTACTCTAAAGAAAATCATCGATAAATTCCACCAAATCGAAAGTACGCCTATCTCCTCGTTCCCTGATATTCATACTTTTTCAGATGCTCAACAGTACTTCCAAAATCCAGTCGATAAAAAGCGATATCCCGATTACTACACGAAAATTATGCACCCTATTGACTTCGGAACGATTCAAAAGAACTGCCAACGACATTATTACCGCGGTCATCAGCATTTTTTGGAGGATGTAGAGTTGCTTCACGCTAATTCTGTTAAATATAATGGCCCAGAACACGTCGTTTCTCTTGTGAGGCTTACCTGTGTTTTATGACCTTTCTAAATGATTTTTAAAGACTGCCAAACGCGTTGTGGAACTTGCCAACTCTGAATGTGAAGCTGTCAAAGATATCCTTGAGAGAATGGAAAGCGGAATCCTCCAGTCCCAGGAAAACCATCGAGAATTTATGGACGACCTGGAGCTTTCCGGTAATGATTAACTGGAAGAGGTCAAGGGGAGACATGAATTTAACTTTTAGACAACGAACTCGAAGATTCGGAAGAGGAGGAACAGGAGGAAACTCAACTCGGAAATCTTGAGACTACGAACCGAGTTCATGTTGGTCTTCCAGAAATGCTACCCCAGGAAGAAGAGGTCCTTCAAAACCCTCAAGTACTTCAGGTATGAAAATCACGCACTAGCAAAAGCTCAACCGTAATTTTAAGGAGGAGGATAGCACTGACTTCACAAGTCAATTCTTGACCGCCGATTTGGACATATCCGACGAGTCCTCTGACGACCCTAGTGCGAATCCCAACCTTGCATTCGAAGGAACTGGCCTATCCGACTTATCCGACAATGACTAAAATTTCACCAGTCGCATGCACAAGCACACGCACGCCACAGAACTCACTGCTACTGTAAAATACCTTTATCGCCCTTTAAACTTGCTCAACAGATTTCATTTAACTCACACGGAAATAAACTTTGAAAAATTAAGATGGCTTGGCGTTGTAGTGGAAAATCCAATACTGCGTTAATTGAAAATCTTTACAGGGCAGAAATCATCACTTCGAATGTTGTAAGGAGTGCGATGAGTTTGACAGATAGACAGTTCTATGTCGGGAAGGTTTGGATACGTATCATTATTGATGCTATAGAATTCTAGTTCAACACAAATTTGGCTTATGAAGATAGACCTTTGTCAATTGGCTTCAATGCCACTATTTCCGCCCCACATATGCATGCTTATGCCTTAGAAAACCTCTTGTCTCCTTTGAAAAATGCGGCCGATGCTGGAAGAGTGCCAAGGGTTCTAGATGTTGGCTGTGGCTCCGGATATTTATTGGGTGCTTTTGCAAGGTGTTACGGCGCCCATGTTACGGGCTTAGGTAAATGACCTCATCAATAATTATTAAAAGCGCTCTTTGGGAATAAAAGACCTGACATATACCATGACAAGACCGCCTTGAGAGCGGAAGTCCGGTTCTGATAGCATAATTAGTAATTTGCTAATTTGGCGAAGGGGGAATGTTTCTCATTGATTCTCAGAGCACATAAAAGACCTGTACGATCTTTCTGTAAGAAACTTCGCCTCGGATGTGAAAAACTCTGAAGACGGAGAATCGATCAAGAAGCGTGTGGAAATCCATCACTGTGATGGAAGACTGGGCTGGCCATCGGACTCCACTGAGGAGTCTTACGACGTGATACATGTGGGAGCGGCGGCTCCAGGCCTCCGGTAATGGATAATATTTTGGACAAGTGATAAATAATTTTGAATAATTATTTATCCTACGAAAGAGATCCCCAAAGCTTTCTTTGCACAATTGAATCGCGGTGGAAGATTGATTTTACCAGGTGCGTCTTTTGATTTTGAAAAAGAGGTAGTAAAAGGCACTTTAGTCGGCCCAAAAGGGGGCAGTCAAATATTTCAACAATGGGATAAAGATGCTCAGGGCGAATTGACTCATCATAATCTCATGGGGGTTATATACATCCCTCTCACTGATGCCGAGGCTCAACTAAACGACTCTGACTGAAATGTTATGGCTTAACGAATTGACGTTTCTCGTAAATCTTCCGTAAAAAGTTCACCCATTCTTCGATACGCCCATTTAACCAATATGTTCTGTCACCCGAAATGTTTCTGCAATTATAACTAATCATCAAATGAATATTTAAAAGTCGGTTATTCAGCGATTTCGGTTAAATGATTCGCGCGAATATACTGCGACGAATAAGACCTCAAAAGATATCCTGTCGACTAAAGTCTGAAAAGCCTGATGCTCATGAAAAATCGTCTCAAGCTGAGTTAAAAACATTTTCCGACGACCGTGTCTCATCTCACTTGAAATCAAATCCAGATCAAGTGCTCAGAGCGAATGAATTTCTCGACGAGCTCGATAAGCCGATGAAAGCATCAGATTTGGAGAAGAGAGGAGCAGACGAAATTTATGAAAAATTCATGGAGATGAAGGATTACGACGGAGACGGACGAGTTCAGGCGGCGATAAAATAAACTAACTCTTTTCTTACGTAAATTCTTCTTTCTAGTTTAATTATCCAATATCAAGCGAAATACATATGCTCGTCTCCAAGCTTTTGGATTACAAGGTGAGTTTTCGACATTTATTTTATATGCACCAGAACTTTTTATTGCCAGATTGTGAAGTTGACAATTATTTACTATACTAATTTTTTATTTTTAGCTGGATCCATCGCACCACATATAATCATGGATGAAAATCACGCTGATTTCTTAATCATCGGTGGAGGGCTGGCAGGGAATGTCCTAGCGAATAGAATTTACAATGCTTGTCAATCCGTCGGTATCACAATGTCTGGTAGATTCTTTGAAGAACAGGAAAGAGTACATTATTTGGCATCCGAGTTGTGGTAAAAATGATCCTGGAGCACGCTTATTGCGAGTAGTAACGGGGTTCCTAAGTCGTATTTTTACTTTCGTAGTACGAGATCGCAGTCCTGAAGGCGTCTTGATCACCTAACTCGTAAAAAAGCAATCTCATCTTCGTCAGATTTAAACCGTTCACTAGTGCCAGAAACAACACCGAGCATATTTTGAAAAAACGTAATGTGTACTTCTCGTCTAGTTCTCCACGAGGCCGGATTTAGAGCCCCCGAAAATAGTGATTTTGGAGAAGGACCCAGATGGAGTTGTAGAGAGGAGTCACTTAAAACCGGGAATAAGCAGGGTTCAGTGGACAAATGAGAACAATATCGGCATGGCAAAGGTATTGTATTTAGTATGATTCAAGTTAAATGATCAATTAGGCATCTATGCGGTTCTTGAGAGAACTAGAAGTAGAACTTGCTGTTCTAGGAGAACAACCGCCAGAAATCAACTTCACTCCTCAAGGGACCCTTCTTTTGGGAACAAAAGCAGATCAAGCTCACATGCTGGAATCATACTATACCCAAGAAAAATGCGAAACAGAATGCAGATTGTACAGAGGAAAGGCATTAAAAAGAATGTTTCCGTGGTTGAATACTGAAGATATCGATATGGCGAGTTATTCGCTGGAAGAGGAAGGATTTTTCGATACCAGAGAGCTTTTGGAAGCGTTCAAAAGGAATAATATTTCAAAGGGGATTAAATATGTTAAGGTGAGCAAATGATAAGCTTTTATATTTCTATAAAATTGTAGGGAGAATTGACAACGTTCAACCCGATCCACTGTAATGAAGATTTCGACAGAAAGGATCGAACAGTCAGTTCAATTGGCAACAACAAGTTCTCCAGATCGTATGCCACCATGACGACGCCACAAGGAAAAGTCCCAATCAATCACCGAGTCAACGAATGTCACGTTAAGGTGAGCGTCGCTGATAAATTTGAGAAAGTACCTTCGTTATTTTCGAAATAATCAACACACTTAGATTACGTCGTTGATCTCCTAACTATCAATAACATTTACGAGTAACAAATCTTTACAAGTATAATTTATGATATATCCGCTTTGATCACTTGACAAAAGTTCATTTGAATTAATTATCTTCTGATTTTATAGGTTGATGATTTTCCGATTGATGTGCCGATATCCTTCTTCCGCGCTTTTCTCTGTACCGGTTCAAGTACAGCTGATGTCTTGGAGAAAAGTGGGCTGATATTTGATGAAGATCCTGAAATGACAAGCATGCAGAGATCATTGATTCCAATTCAAAAGAGGATACGCAATAATTTCCTGCTCTTTTGCCCGGATCTGCCTGTTTTGGACATGCCAATTTTAGGTTTACTCGATCTCATGTTTTAAGCGATAATTGTTTTATAAGTGGATCCAGACGGGATAGTCTTGAAAAGAGAAGACTTTGACGGTCATTATGTGGCGATGTACCATCCGCGTAACGACGAGAATCCTGAAATAAAAGGTGGCGATCCAGAGGTGGACTGGCAGCTTTGGCACGAGGTCGTAAAGGGAGAGGTCTTTATTTACCGAGCATCGTAATCCCTTCATAAGTTTCCGGTGTTTTTACCTTCTGACAGCCCAAACTGATTCACAGAGTGCCCGCTTTCGAGAACCACGAAGTCAAGGCCGCCTGGTGCAACACAGTTGACGTTAACACCTTCGACCACAACCCTATTGTCGGCTCACACCCTTACTGGAGATCGATTAACCTTTTCTGCGGCTTCGGTGGGCACGGCCTCGCGCAAATGATAGGCGCCGCGGACTTTTTTGCTATGAAAGAGTACAACCCGTTTTATGATCAACAATCGTTTAAAAATGACTGGCGATATAAAACAGCCAAATTCGACGTCCAAGCCTATAATCCCATGAGATTGCTTTTACGCTATCCTTTGAGAGAACAGTATACGTGGTCCTAAAACATATTTTTTAATTTTAAAAGCTAAAAACAACTTTCTTATTTTTATAGAATGCATCATGTAAATCTGCGAGAAATCGACAAATCGGAGTTCCGAGTTAGCCCTGGAAACATTCGAAAAACATACCCGTAATTATAAAAATGCGAATCAATCATTCACTCACGGTACATAACGAGCACTTTTTGATTTTCTAACATCAATAATGAATGTCTCTTGTGTTCAATTTATATTAGAATCAATGAGACGACCTTGGCTGTATTCACAGATAATTGCGAGCTGTTTATAAACACAAATCCTGATGGTAAAACTATCACATACCCAGGAATGGTTTCTCGTAACACTTTTGAGTGGAGGTGTACCAATATAATATTGGCAATATTTTGTAAGAAGTTATGTTCTTAGTCTTGTCCAAAAGAATCAATGGGTGATTTTATGTTAAACCATCAAAAAGGCGAAGACACGTGCCGAAATAAAAACACGCGAACTCTAGCAATCTTTGATGGCTTCGAAACCGCATCCGGAAAAAACAACGGAAATAATCAAAGCAGACTTTCTTATCTCCGTTGTTATGCAGATGAAGAGGACTATGACCGCGAATGTGAGGTGCTTAATTCTCAAACACTTTTGAAGAATGCAACGCTGTCGGAGCAGGCTGCACCGGGCGGAAAACCTATAACTCGGCACTTATTCTACAGCGACAAGTATCCATTGTCAGTTAGGATCCTGGGCAAGGAGACTGGGAAAGAGACATTGGAGTACTTCTATGTCCTGTATCAGACGAACTCTGGCGTATATGTCAAGAAAATCATCAGATCTTTGAAGAATAACAAGGCTCTTTGGCGAGGAGATCTAAGAGAGGTAGTTAAGGGAGAAGTTAGCTCAAGTGAACGAATAGTTAAGAATATTCGTTTATCAACTGAACTGGCGGACACGATTGACCTTGTTGCCTATAAAAGTGTATCCCAGATTTTGTTGATTGGCAATTTCCCATCAAATAATCCCTCAATTAAACTTTACGGCGCTTCATTTACGAAATCCTTGGGTACCAAAAAACTTATCTGCAGAAGCCCCGACAATGGAATCACCTATAAAAAGGTAAATTCACAGATCATTATTTGTCCATTCAGTTCAATAATAACAATGAAATGTTTTATTTATTATCGTAAAAAATGCAACGTCACATATCTCGCTCCTAGATAACGACGAGTTTTATATACAACGAGAATATTTACGCACTCTTCAATTACGATGAGTCGGCGCTTTCACACTCAGCACTTTGTGTTTTTGACATTTCTGATCTTGAAAACAACGATGAAGACTTACTTGGTGAGTTTCATTTTGGATACTCTGTTCTTGAACACAATGATCATTTGGATTCTTTGGCAGCGAATGATAAATTCATTGCGATGCTTTCAACTTCTGGCAAGTTGATTTACTCAAAAGATCAGGTATGAATAAATGATCAATAACAATCTCTCATCGTTGTTCAAGGGCTCTTCTTTTACAGAAGTCGAACTTTTACCTCAACCTCTTACAAATGGCTACATGGATATTGCTGGACAACATCTATTGCTATCATTTGACTCGACTTATTACCTTTATGATTTTAACGCGCCGCGTCCAACCCCGTCTCCGAAATCTCTTCCAACGGAAACAAATGTGGTAACGGACAAGCTTACTAAAACTCACAATACAACTCTGGCGGTCTCTTCTTATCCAACAATTTATGTTTCCGAGCAAACACCTCTTCCGCAATTAACGTCAAGTCTCGTACCGTTTAGCTTATCGTCTGTTCCTGCCTTTATCATCTACTCGATGGGCTTAGCGATTATTTTACTGCTGGCTGCCGTTGTCTATCTTTATTGCACGAAGAAAGGATCAGATGACAGCAAGGATGAAAACTTAGAGATAACACTTTCGGAATCATCGACGCGACGAACTCTTCTTTCAAGTGATACAGGTTGATAAAACTTTGGTATTCTGACTTTGATGTTGTAGATTCGCCCCAATCGACGCCATCATTCCCTGATGATTCTTATTTGCAATTTCAACTTCCTCCTGTGGTCCTCACTTCCTCGGAAGATCAATTTGCTTCGATAAATCGTAGCCTGAGACGAAATCGTCCAAAATCGCACCAAGACAAGTTCAATACTGTTCGACTGTCATCAATTGATCTTATTTCTGCAGAAATTCCTTCATCACGAGATTCTCCGCCGTATCAAAGTCAAACTCTCCCGACAAAACGAAACAGAAGCTACAATGGCCAAACTGCTCCGCTTATCTCACCTATCACTAGAAGACACAGGACAGAGGTAACCTTTTGTTGAGGGATACAGTTACTTTAATACCTTATTTTAAGTCTATTGTTTCACAAGTTTGAAGAAACATTTGCGAAGTTCCCTTTTCTTCAAAGTTCAATTTTTTACATTCCTTGCCAACAGTTACTGCACATAATAACGAATAATAAATAATCATGTCAATCTTTTTCTTGTTAAAAATTTATAAAAAAAAATCACGTCGAAATTTTCATTTTCGACAGCTCATCGTTCTTCTTTGCGCAGCGGGTGTTTGAATGCATTCACTTTTGTCGTAATCAGAGAAAGGGTAGAGCTCCCACGGATCCAGAGTCGGGTCACCAATCTTTTATCGGGTTCTTTTCTAAACAAAAAATGCCAAATTTTATCAATTGAGAACCCTAGCAAGACATCTACGAGCAAAATTGTGAGCTCGTTCAAAAACTCTGCATCGCACTGACAAACTGCGTTTTCACATTTTCTATCATTTCCTTCGCAGCTGTAGAAAGTTGTATTCGCATTCGTCCAGCTCATTTCGTAAGGAGTTGTTGAAAGACAATTACCTTCGAATCGCTTATGAATACAGTTCGAGCATTGAAGATATTTGTGACATGCTCGATCAAGCTCATCTACTGGATGACCTGTAGGTTGACCACCTTAAATTATTTAAGTTGAAGCTCATTTTTTGAATACCATTTTTAGTATTTTATTTTTTTTAGTAATTTTAGTATTTTACCATTTATAATAGCATGGCAGTTACAGCCATAGTTCTCAAGTTTATCAGAAGTGCTACGGAATTCCCAACGTCCACTTTTAACGAGATAGACTCATTTCTTTATAGAGCAATTTATTTACGAAGAATCTTAGTCTACGATAACTATTTTCCTATCTCGATTCTTACTGCGACCGGAGCATCAAAAGCCCTTATGAATTCGAACAAATTTTTCTCTTTTACTGCCAGTACTGTCGCTGCAAAAAATATGTACAAAAAATTAAATAGCGAGAGCATTTTGGAAAACCCGTCGAATTCAACCATCGTCAAAGAGTTTTTATACACTTGGATTGAAAATGACATCACCTGCGGTTGACCGCTCGTTCACATACATGGTTAGGAATCAGGAATCCGATCAAGCGCTCTAAATCAATTTCGGCGACAGGTTTCTTATATAACGGAAGCGGCTAGATGAATTCAATCTTGTTCAGGAAGGATTCAACCTGCTTCAAACTAGAATTATTATAATTGAACAGAATTATAAGTTCCATCGAGTTTATTTGGGAATCCCAAATTGGGATCATCATTTTTCAGGTGGAAGTTCTCGAGTATCTGACTGATAACAGTCTCGTTTTTGGCTTTCTGATGGTGTTTCTTTGCCACTTAAATTAAGAATAGGGATAGATTCGGGAGCAGTGACTTACAGAATTTTATACTTCGAGAAGCATCCCTGAAGCTTGTGCCAGCTTTCGCGATGTCGCTCCCCGTGATCGAAGACCTCCATATTTTCTTCCGCACTGCAGGTTTCTTCGAAACATTCTCGTTCCAAGTTTCCATCGTAGAATTCTTCAATGCCCCAGAAATCAGCATTTGCGGGCGGGGTTGATCGTCTTGTTCGTTTCAAGAACTCTAATAAATTTTAAATCTTGATCTTTCTTTCAGAAATTTACCATTTGCATTTTCTCTTGATAACGCAAGCGTTGATGATACTATGAAAATCAAAAATGACCTCATAATCGGCGATTATTAATCGCAGTCCTTTTAGAGACTCACGAAAAGTTCGAGCAATGTTTACTGTCCGAGTTGTTTGTTTGCCTGATTATTCACAACTTTATTTTAGAAATCGTACTGCAATCATGTCGGGCGTAATGTATGGATCGTACGAAAATGCTCGGATGGCGTCTGCTTCAACCCTGGAGACGCCGGAAGAATCCGAAGCGGTGAAAGAATTCCGCCTCGTGGAAAACCTCTTGCGAGAATCGTACAGTCTTGATGGAAAAACACTTCTTGAGCAAGAAGATATTGTTACGGAAGCGACAGCGGAACAATTGGAAGGAATCGCTCGTTTGCCCATTTTAATCGAAAAATACCCCCATCCAAATTTGGCCGAACAGTGTATGGTGGCCATCGCGAATATCTTTCTGAAAAGTAAGGACGTCCAGCGACAATGCATTGCGTCAACGATGCGACGAATAAAATTCCGAGAGTTTCCATCGTTGGACATTTTCTTGAGCATCATTATGAATGTCCAGCATCAAAACGACTTTCGTGCTAGAGCTGCCTTGATTAACACGATCGGAGCTATTGCTGAACATCTTGGAGGAAACAGAACAGTTGGCCATTTGATTAGACGATCGCTAGATTCTCAAGATGAAGGAGAAAGAGACGCTGCTATTTGGTCCGCTCAGCAATTAATCAAATATGACAGCGAGTTCGCATCTTCGACGATCGGCCATATTGTGGACATGCTCAATGATCCTTCTCTGCCATCAGATAGCTTCAGAAAACTCGTCAAGATCCTTGGAGCAAGCCACGCCGCGGCCTCAGATCATGCGATCAATTGCTTGACTCGCCAACTGAAGAACGTTAATACTAGCTCAGTGATCGGAGGAATCGGCTGCGAACTCGCCAGTGAGTGCGCTTTACAATTGGTAAAATTGTCAGTTCGGATTCCTCATCTGGCAGAAATCACTAGTGAGTTCTTAACACAATCAGGACTGAATGACCCGAGGCCGAAGCTGCGTAAGAAGTGTCTCCTTCTTTTGGAAAGACTTGCATCGAGAGAGGCCTTGTCCACAAAAGCGACCGACCAGTTGCTCGAGTTTCTTGATGAAAACATTGAATCGAACAAGTGGGAGCTGGAATATCTCGTCAAAGTGATAGAGATTGTTTCCGCCAAAGAAAATATAGAAATCACGGATGAATTCTGCACGAAAATATACGAGCTGTTTCTGAGAGCGCAGTGTTTTACAATAAAGATACATCTATGCAATATCATGAGTTCAATTCTACTATCCAACAGTGGCAACGCGATCTTTAATGTCGACGATGTTTTCTCTTTCATTCACGAGTTGACCGAAAATGAAGGCATTTTTGGCAATCCAGCGATCACGACAGCAATCGCAAAACTTCTTCAAACCGATGGTGACAAAGATGGAATTGTTCCGATTGTAGAAGATCTTATTGACAGAATTAATGGAAATGGCAAGCATCAGTTTTCTTGCTTGAAGCTTCTTAGAGTTATTGGTTGGAGAACGCCAGGCATAGTTTGATAAAAAAAAAATCTCAGAAAATATATTTTTTTTTTATATTTTTTTTCTAAGATACTTTTGCAAAGTTTCAATCTATATCAAGTGAATTTTTCCGATCTAAGCGCGCAAAATCATCTACCTGAAGCGGCAAAGGTCATCTATAACAACTTGATCCTGATGGGATTGACTCCGGAGCAAGAAAAATGTTTGGAGAGTTTTTAACGACCCCTAACTAACTATTCTTAACTAATCACATGTTGAAAGCTTGAAAAGATAAGAGAATACCCGTCTCAAAACTACAGTTTTGATCTTTACCGACTCATCAGATCATGCTTTCGATACAGGAGATTCTTTTTTGCAAATCATTTGTCGAAAATGATCTTGGAGAAGTCTCGTGGAAAAGTTCGAATAATGTACAAAGCTCACTTTGGTCATCTGGTGAAGATTTCAGAATTTGAAATGAATCTCTTCAATTCATTCCGAACATGCGCAGATATGGACAACTTTTTGGAGATTCTTGAGGAAGGCATGGCCAAGCTAACGAAGCTGGTGATTCAAGTGAGACCAGGTGGGTTTTTTTCTTAGCCAATAGTTAAAAAATATTTAATTCTAGCGGCCAAAGTCTGGCTGGAAGCTCGATGTCTTCTTTTACAAGCAGCCGTTTGCTTTATTCAGGACACGTCTGATGCGCCAATGTCATATTTGGATTCTGACTTCGAGGAGTGCTCTAGCGATATTCTTGGACTATTAGGTTCAGAAAGAGGCATTGACAAGAGCAGTCGAAGGTCTTATGAAATGATGCAAAAGATTCTAGACGTAATGCGAAAAATTGTCAATCATGAAGCAGAGAACTTGATTGTCACCCCAGGAATGAGTCAAAATGACCTTACCAAATATGGCCGCTTACCTATTCAATATCAATATTTGTAGAGGATGAATAGCGCGCTATTAAATCATTCTCAAGACCCTTATCCAAAGAGATCGAAGTAGATATTTTTGGACACGAGCTGAAAAAGCAAATTCAGGACAGTTTTGCAGAATGCAAGAGCCATTTGAAGGAGAAAAGGAGGATTCCTGCGATCATTTCTTTGCTACGAATTCAACTTGGTTATCCAAAGGTTTTCTTTATTTCGCCGAAGGTCGAAGAGGTCAAGATGGAGCTGACGCCGATTGTTGAGAAGCAATATTCAAAGGGAACAAGCTTGGTGTTCACTTGTGACGGAGCGCTACCTGCTGGGGTTAAAAATATCAAGGTTTATCATAGTCAAATTCTGACGATAAACATCCTTTAAGATTATTTATTCATTGAAGCCTCCTTTCAACGACGGAAAACCAGGAGAGTATAAATCGTTCGAGGAAGATGCTGTTGTGAGGCGAAACTTCTTTACGTCCAACTTTGCCGTCAATTTTCAAGAGATTGGTGTCTACAAACTTAAGTACGTTGTATTATATTGATAATTTTACGACCATTGCTTCAGAGTTGAGTATCATCTAATCGACGACGATAACATCCAATGGGCAAAGAAATTCTTCAAAGAGATCGTACTCAACTCCCAAGATCCTCTCCGAGCACAGAAACCAGCCGCTCAAACCAGTCAATAGACAAAATTCTCTGGAATAGCACATTTGTCTTCTTCAATCAAAAGTTCAGTCTTTTACCCTGCCAGAAATACTTCTCACTGCTCACAAACCCTCGATAATACTTCTATATTTAGATAATCGGTATCGAATGACCAAAAGTAACATTATTTCTAATAATAACGGTTCGATCTATGAGCCTGGAATGAGCGACTCAGAGGAGCCGCACTCAGAAGGAAGAGAGGATGATTTTTTCATCGGCTCACCTCTTGGATGGATTTCAGAAATCAGCATAAGATTGATCATGGGAGGAATCTTACTTGGCTCGTATGTCGGAATAACCCCCTTTATTCGACATGTAGAACGTAAGTTGACCCTTTCGGACTGAAGAATCATTAGAATTCTAGCTTCTCAATGGTATATGTACAACTATCCTCACAAAGAGGTCGATACCGTAACTGAAACTGCACTGTTCCTCAGTATCGTCTTGATTCCACCAGGAATCACGCTTTGTGTCATCTTATACAGTTATTTCTATAAAAACAGGTAATATACCTCTATCCTCAGAGAATATTAACAAAGTCTTTTTCAGTGGCTGGCGGAGAAAGTATCGAGATCGAACCGAAAACGAAGGTCGAATGAAAAAGCGAATGCTTTCCGAAATCTTCGTCGCATTTCTTGCCTTTTCTATGTCCTACCTTGCAAATGGACTTGTCACAGATATCACCAAGAATCTTTATGGACGACCAAGACCAGACTTTTTGTCTAGATGCTACGCTCCTGGAGATATCTATGCCAAGGAAGGATATTGGATCACTCTTCCACACAAGTATGAAATAATATCATAACAAAATTGACCCGCTAATTCTAGGGACCCATTGCGAGCAAAAGCTATCACAAAAGAACAAAACGAAGCCGTTGAAAAATATCACAATACCTCCGCATTTCCACAACCTGCGTACGACAATGCCAGAAAAATTACTTTCCCTACATCGAAGATGTTGGCCCAGTTCTCAATTGGGAAGACTGTGTCAACGACAGCGAAAAATTGATGGTCAAAGAAGGCCGACGATCCTTCCCTTCAGGCCACACTTCCTTTGTATTTGCTGGGGCTATGTTCTGTGCACTTTACAGTGGCTATTGGATCGGCACATGGAAGTCAAGTTTGCAACTAGGAATGGGGAAAGAAACGAGAAACTTTCCCGGCGTTTCAGCGAAACTGGCGACTGTTTTTATCTTTTTCCTGCCTGCAATTTATGTTGGTGCGAGTAGAACTCAGGTTAGGTTAAATACAGTTGCATGCCACTAAAACTTTTGTTCTTCAAGGATTACCGTCACCATCCTACAGATGTCATTGCCGGTGCAATCATCGGAAGCGTAACAACGTTCGTCACATTTTTCCAGTATTACAGTTATCGCCGAATGTGGCAATAAAAGTCCATCCTACATTGCTTATAAACTTACTGACAATCATTCAAATTCTTACTTATTTCGCCTTAGCCAACCCCGCTTTCCGCCTTATCAAAAGCCTTCAAAGTTTCAAATTTTTATTTTTCTGAATACACGCTTTTTTGTAAAATACTACCTCTTGAATAAATATGATTCGAATTGAGAAAACAATTATGACAGGAGTTTCAAGTTTACTTATTCATGAAAATCAGAGTCCATGAAATTCTTGGGTTTGAAAGTCGCGCCGTGGCGATTGCGCGCCACCATTGGTCGCCTCTTTTGAATTCGCGCTCCTCATTCAAATTCAAAATCCCTCGAATCGTTTTATGCTCAAATTAGAGAGACGATATTTACCCTTCTGATTTTCACAGATTATTGAAAGTGTCAGGAGAATCACGAGCGAAAATTTAGAGAATGGAGAATCGGATGATCGACGACTTGAGCTTCGCCAGCTCTAGAAAAAGGGCTAACGCATCAAATACGATGGATAAAACTCCAACTCGGCAGTCGATATGCCAGCTTCAAGAGGATAAAAGAGTCCAAAAGTACGTAAATTTTCAATATTGTCTTTAGTTCTATTAAAAATTGAGATAAAAGCTTTTTCATAAAAGAAATTTTAGATTGCTCGAACAGATAGAAAACAGAAATTCCCCTGTTCGAAAGAAAGATCGTCCGGAGCCGCACAACTCGCCGTTAAATTTCCATCTCAAACTGCGAAAACACGAGCAGGTGAAAGGCTCGCCAAAATCTCGTCCAAAAACGCCAACGAAGGCCAGCGGGCCGAATCTGATCTCGGGCAGCAGACAACGAGTTGCCTCTGCTCCATCGCCGAAGCCATCGTCAAGAGCACCAGTAGCACCTAAAAGTCCTCGCACGCCGAGGAATCAGCGACCGACGACGCCAAAGTCGAAGAGTGCCAAAAGTGTTCGAATGTTGCCGGAATCTCCTAAAGTTCAAAAGACACAGCAGGACTTAAATTCAGCTTTCACCGATGAGACTCCTCGGCCAGCGAAGAAAACGCCTCTCAAGCGTCATCAAACTCCTCCAACATTGGCCCCGACGAATGCTAAACTCACCGTTCACAGTCCCATCGAACCATTTGATAATTCCGTGAAAGTTGCAATTCGCGTTCGCCCGTTAAACGAAATTGAATCGACGGAAGAGAACCAATCGTCACTATTCTTGTCGGACTCCTCGTCGAATACGATTCTAGTTCCGCGACCTCGTGGGCCAGATCGATCTTTCTCATACGATTCTGTTTTCTGGACTGCTAGTTCACAGGCGCAAATATTCTCGACAATCGGTGAGCCCATGGTCGACTCGTTGCTCAAGGGATTCAACATTACCATCTTCGGCTACGGTCAAACAGGATCAGGAAAAACCTTTACGATGATGGGCGATAAAAGCGCGGAACATCAGGGAATCATTCCACGGTTTTATTCAACACTTTTGACTCAACTCGACCAGATGAAGGAATCCAACGCGATTGAAGCTGCTCATTGCGAGATTTCATATTTTGAAATCTACAACGAAAAGATTTACGACCTTCTGAATCCGCCGCCAAAGCCTCCGAAGCGCAAAGGACGACCAGAATTTCAAGCGGGTCCTTTGTTCTCAAAGCCTGTTCCGACAAAGACATCTCTTTTCGTACGCGAGGCACCAAACAAGAGTGTCTATGTTGCTGGCTTGACGAAGAAGCTTGTGTCTTCTGAGAGCGATGCTGAAGAGTATCTGCGTCTCGGAAATGAAGAACGAGCGACTGCGGCTACTGGAATGAATGAGAAATCATCGCGATCTCATTCAATCTTCCAGATTTACATCCGAATCAAAGCAAAGACAGAGACTGGCGCGCAACGATCTATCAACTGTACAGCGAGTTTGATAGATCTGGCGGGCTCTGAAAGAACTGATCGAGCGAAAACAACCGGTGTTCGGCTGAAAGAGGGAGCCGCGATAAACAAGTCGCTTCTTACCCTAGGAATTGTCATATCAGCTCTGGCGGAGAAAAACAATGGCAATGAGAAGACGTACATTCCTTACAGAGATTCGGTCCTGACGTACTTGTTGAAGGATTCGCTTGGAGGAAACTCGAGGACAGCGATGATTGCTAGCGTAAGCCCAGCAGCAAGTAGTTTGGAAGAAACTCTATCCACACTGAACTATGCGAAGACTGCAAAAGCAATCGTCAACAAAGCGACAGTAAACGAAGAGATAGAGGCAGCGACCATCAGAGACCTACAGCGTGAGATAGAGTTGCTAAAGAAGAACCACACTTATTCCAGAGAGTACGTCATGCAAGAGAAGCAAAAGTACGAGGAAGAAATACAGCGACTAAAAGCGCAGTCAGAAGCTGAGAAAATGGAGTGGGAGAATGAACTGCAAAGCTTGCGTAGTAAGAAGGTGCGAGAGGATTTCACGATTGGACAGTGTCCTCATTTGGTGAACATTTCTAACGATCCTTCGCTCACGGGCTTTTTACTGTTCCTTATTCCAGAGGGAACGGTCACAGTTGGTTCTGGCGATAACTGTGAGATACACATCAGTGGAAACTTGATTGAACAGCATCATTGCGTTCTTACGAGAGAGCAAGACGATGTTTCGGTTATTCCTAAAGATGGAGAGACATATCTAAATGGTCATCTTGTCAACGAGACGAAAAAGCTTGAAGGGGGCGATCGTTTGGTATTTGGATCAACGCATTTCTTTTGCTTCAGAAATTCATCAGCGGAAAAAGGCACCTTAGACTTCAACTTGGCGAAGAATGAGCTCTTGGCGCAGCAAAAATTGGCACTAGAAGGAGAGTATCAGAGCATGCTTGAGCGAAATAAGCTAGAAGCAGATGAGCAGATTGCACTCATTCGTGAGCAGCTCGATGAAGGTAACGAGGTCAACGACGGCGAAGATTCACTTGAAATCATTCTGAACAGTCTCAAAAACCGAATGGACGAGACCATGCACGAGCCAACAGTTATGCCACAGAATCATTTCGAAACTGTTCAGCTGGTCAAGGAAGCAAACAAGCTCGTTGGCGAGGATCGTAAAATGATTTTTGAAGTTTCTGGAGCCGATATTATTAAGGCGACCATGGGCAGTCAAACGAGCTTCTTTGGAACTGAGAAGCTCAAAGGACATTTGAGCAAGCACCTTATAGAAGCCGAGGATGACCCCGATGCTAGTCTAACTTCGCTGATTCTTGCCGATGCGGGTACGCAATGGGAAACTCCTCTGAACCGAGAAGATGTTGCGATGAACGTTGGTACATCGATGAATGGAACTATTGGTCTAAATCGATCTCGAAGAAAGCAGATCTCCAGAAAAGTATCCTTCCTAGCGATGAGAAGCGGTCTTGAAGCCACTCTTGATCCACAAGAGGACGAAGATGACGAGTGTGACATGAAGTCAGCAGCTGGGGTTTACAAATCTTTGATGAAATTTCAATCAACACCAATTGGCTCTTCCGACGATGGAATCACTCAATGTCTGACATCAATTCAAGAAATTTATATGCATCTTGATGGCTCCAGAGTTCCGGACAATACTTATCTTGCTCGCAAAATGTTCGAAATGAGTTCAATCCTTCAAAAATCGCTTCTCATTGGCCCCTGGCTCTTCAATCAAGACTTCGAACCTCAGTACCAAGAAGAATTAAAAGTCAAATATCACAAGTTGCAAAAGAACGAAGAAATTCTGATGCGTTTCATCGTAAGAATTCTCGACGAAGAAGATGAATTTCAAGATCACGCGCGTGCGAAGTGCTTAGATTTAACAAAAAATCTCGGAACGATTATTCGCGCTGGACCTTGGGATCACACAAGCATCTTGGAGAACATCAAGTCGAAGAAATTAAAGAAAGCGTTCTCACAGGTGATTGTCATTTTTATAAACCCCTCTTCATTTTCATACCAAGGGTTTCCGAGTTATTGCTGATGATGGTCAGCCTACATCATGGAAAAGCTCCGTTGCGACAGAAGAAGTCAGCACAGAGTTTGTCGAAGAATCGACAGAACAAGATCAGATCGTCAAAGACTCATCCTCCATCGGATTCCAGTCAATTGTTGACAGTATCTCAGATCTTTCATCTCAGCCTTTTCAAAGGTGATACAGTAACGCTGAAATCTGATATTTAACTTTTTACTTAGTCTTGCTTCTTCTTTACCAGAAAAAAATGAGGTCGAGCAAAGTCTTCTCAAAGGTAAGTAATGAGTCAGACTATAATTTTTAAAAACTATATCAGAATCTGCACTTAACAAACTGGTATCGGATAGAATTGACAAGCTGATGGATGGCACGACGACAACGATGGCAACTCACTATGAACCAACAAGCTGAACATGTTAAAACTAATGCATGTCAATTATCACATCTTTACCCACCAGTTATTCTTTATCTTGTAAATTAACCTTTCTCACCACCTGGTTGCTCCTTCACTATTACATTCCACTTTGTTATTTTCACTACCCATCACCCTTTCACATTCCAAACTTTGCTGTTACAATTTATCTTTTGAACAGTTGTAATTAAAGAGAAATTCATAAAATTCAAACTAAGGCTTTCAAGTCAAAACAAGTGACTTTGATTGAAAGAACATTATCCGCCTGTTCCTTGTCTCCTCCATCAGACGCAATCATCTCCGGGCAACCTTTTCGCAAAAGCAGTACTGATTTTCTGACCTTTGAAAAGGAGCATTTAAAATGTCAGGCACTCAGAGTAGCAGGACTTTTGCTCAAAGAGAAACACTCCAACGAAAATGAGCTATAGATATTCTATCGGAAACATTTTTCAAGAAGGCGGAGATAATGAGAACTCCGGACTCGGCCAAGCAGGTTGTATGTTGATAGAAGCAGTAACTGGTTCGGATACTTTCAAAAAAACACTCAGGATCAGTTTTAGAGCTAACAGAAAATTTTATCGGTCGTCGATATACAAAACTTAAAAAAGCGATTATACTGAAAAGATGTGCAGTAATATCACAGACGACGCCAGTATGGAGGCTCAAAAGAAAGCTTATTACGAGTACATCGACGGTATGCTGGGAGAGAACGATTGCGACTCGCTCGAAAAAGCTTTTGAATGGCCTTGTAGCGACTCAACTATCGTTTCTGCTTCTCCAATCATCTTTGCCATTTTACTGGTCTTCTTTTTGATGAAATAAAATATCTTAAAACGAATATTCTTCTATTGACTCATTTTACGGAGGTTAGGGTTTCGGATAAACGTTGCTCCACGATTTCTTTGATGTCTGTCTTTTGATCAGACAGTACACAGTCCGAATCCAATCAGTTTTCTCAGACAGTGAAATTTTTCTTTGTATACTCGTACGTCTGCCCTCGTTTATTGCTACTTGACTCCGATAAAATAGCTTCCATCTAAAAAGGTTTTCCTCCTTGATTTCAGCTCAATGCCACTGACCTGTTTTAGAAAAGTTCAACCACGGCCACGTCGTTTCGTAGTAGATACGTAAAACTCCCACGAATCTAAGCTCGTGATGTTTGATAAGCAAACATGCCAAAGTCCAGTTACTACTGCTCTGAAGATTTTTTAACGATTTCAGACTTTGATAGATTATGGAACCATCAGAGAATAAAAAGTCGCCAAACTTGAGTTTCTCCGGCGCAGGCTTTTTAGGCCTGTATCATATTGGCGTTGCCAGGTCAGATAGTAATAAAATTTTGATATTAGAGAAATGAACCCGTGACCTTAGCTGCATGCTTGAACATGCACCGCATCTTGTGGAAAACGCGGAGAAGATATTCGGATGCTCAGCAGGTGCTATTTTATCAGCATGTTTAATAGGTTTGTGCTTATTTTGCCCCTTGCATGAGAAAAATGCTATTATAGGCGGAGTTTCTATGGGAGATGCATGCGAATACACACTAGACATTGTAAGAGGGGCGACAAAACGAATGCTTGGTCCTCTTCATCCAGGCTTTCGTCTCGTGACGCTTGTTCGGAACATATTGACAGAGTCGCTGCCTCCCGACACATACGTCAAAGCATCTGGAAAAGTTTACATATCACTGACGAGCATAACGGATGGCAGAAACGTTCTAGTGACGGATTTTTCTTCTAACGAAGAACTCATCGATGCAGTTGTATGTTCTTCCTTTATTCCGGTATTCAGTGGATACATTCCGCCCAAGGTATGTTTGACACGGGTGCGACGCTATTCTATCGTCTTATCAGTTTAGAAACGAGTACTTTGTTGATGGAGGCTTATCAGACAACTTACCCAAAGACGCGAATACGATAACCGTTCAGCCTTGGGAAGGTGGTGCGGATATCTGCCCACGTGATGGATTTTTTCCGGCCGTAAGTTTTTAATTTTTCTTGAAAAACAACTTGAAGTACGCTTTGTTCAACGAAGTATTCCGAAAAGATACAAATTGCTCAACAAACCAAAAATATTTTCAAATTCAAATTCCTCATCTGCATTTTTATAAAACAAAACCTGAGTCAGGAATGTCCAATAAGATTTTCAGCTTATCACTTCTGACAGCTTAAAGCTTCCGGGGGCTCGTTTTTTTATTAAAACTTTCTTATTTGGCCAAACCTTCCTTCCACTGTGATTTTTCTAAATATTAGTGATATCATTCGCTAATTAACACTGTTAACCCATTATGAATGACTGCGCGGAATGGGCTAGAAAAGTAATTTATTCATTTATGGCGCGATTGATGCCACTTGGCTCTGCGTGTGTAAAAGTTTAGCCGTAAACGTTGAGCACAGCGTCTAAAGCTGAGGCAGCTAATCCTACCGTGTCTCGACCGTCCACATCTAAAACGATTACGATACAAACATATCTTGTTAATTATGGAAATCGAAAAATGCGATACACAACAGAGCCGAGTGTGTGCTCCCGTTTTCTGATCACGTTCCGAAAATAATTGGAACCTCGCAAATAAGGTTACATCTTCCAAATCGTTTTCAACAATCATCTAATGATGAACAATTATCAATTATCAGACTAAGAAGATAGCCCGCTAATACTGCGTTTTAGCAGATGCATGATCAGAGTACTTTGTCTTTGAGAGTATTTGAAGAGTGGAAAAGGGAACTCTGCATTTAAAAAGTCGTGGATGTTCCAAAACAGTCTGATAAGAGGAACTAAGAGGCTTTATTTTCTTTAGATGAACTACACCTTTGCGAACACGACGGTTCAAATGTCGCCTATGAATATGATTAGATTCGGGAAGATGCTCTATCCGACATCGGTAATTTTCATTAAAAAGTGAAGAATCTCCGTGGAATATCTTTCCAAGGTCGATGACTTGAGCGATTTGTGCCGACGGGGATTCCACGATTGTTACAATTTTCTGAAGACGAAGGGCTACGGAATGCGCAAACGAACGATTTCGCGGAGAATGTCGTTTTCTATTGAGTGGCAAGAAGCGATCGAGCGTAAGAAAAAGTATGAGGCCAGAAAACTGGCAGGATTATCGGAGGAAGATGAGACAGAAAATTCAAACAAGAAAGGGAATAAAGAGTCAGAGAGTGAAGAAAGCACTGGTTCTTTCAATCAAGATGAGTCCGTTTTTGATGAGGAGCTTCATAAAGAACTTATTGAAGGTAAATTGTTTGATACCGTTTGTCGTGTCATAATAATATTACCGCTAAAGTTTTAATTATTATGCGTTGTGTCGTCGTTGATCAGTTTATAAATTTACCAAGTCAGAAAAAGGAACATGTTTTGTTAACAATAATAAGTCGTGTTCAAACTTCGATATTACGCAAATCCAAAAGTTTTAAGCACATGAGATGATCATAAATAATGCGGACTGATTATTTCTTCAGGGGTCGAAAGGGGGCTCGAGATTGAAACAGACGATGAAGAGTCCGACGGAGAAAATCTGCCTCGTCTTCCGGAGAACATTGAAAAGAAAATTGAAGGAGGCGACTCCAAGGGTGGTGGCGACTGCGCGGAAACTGGCGCGACCAAGAAAGAGGGGCGATTAATGGAACTGATCCGGTGGCCCTTGAATTTCGCCGCCGAAACTTCCACCAATATTCGTACACATTCCGAGCAGGCCACGAATTTCGTCTTTGATATTGCCGTGCGCCAAATGCATGCTAGGGGACTCATAAAGAGGTAGTGGTGTTATTCTATGTTTTCCGGTGTTGTAAAAATGAGTTGGAGATGACGAAATTAAAATTGAATTAAGTTTAGTTGTGTGATGACAATGAGTAAGTACTTGCACACGAGACATTTTAAGATAACTGTAAGCAAGTTATATTTATCCTCGCGCAAGCGGTGAACCTGCTGCCGCTCATCTGAGAGGCCTTTTCCGTTGCGTTACCTTATCATCTCTCATCTTCTTATATCACCCGCATGCATCGAAACGTGATCGTAACCGTACATTTAGCCCATCAAGTGCCGCGCTTATGGCCGATCATGACCCAGCACCGAGCGATTTTGCCGTGAACTTTCGTCCGTGAATACCGATCAATCTGTTCTCGTTAATAGACTTTCAAAATAAACTGAGCTGATGCCCTTTCCAAAACCAAAGGCTTAGGTTCTCAAATTTCTGAAAAGATGGAAGCGATTTGAAGGGCTCGCAGGTTGATACGACGGTGGTTTACGTTCGTAAATGAAGATTGAACTTTTTAATCCAGGACTAATGCATCACCGATCGTTTCTCACGTAATCGAGTCTAAGGGATTTTCTTCATTTTAGTGTACTTGAAACTTAAATTAGGCTAACCAGAATGGTGAATAAAAGGCATTGAATTCTTTCGCTGAAACGCAGATATAGCGCTGTGTTTATTGAAACAAATGTAAAGTAATGAAGGTTCAGATAAATGAGAACTGCGTCCTAATCCAGTTGTTTTGGTCTATTCCTTGCGTTGATTTCTAAAATGTTGTTATTTGACTGATTCAGGAAGAGAATCTGTCGCCGCAGATTTGATACAAACGAAATTAATGTTGGGCATCTGGCCTCGTGATCAAACCTATAAAGATTTTCCGGTCTTCTCGTCTCTTTCGTCTTCTTTTGGGGTTTGGGTGGGGTTGAACTTTGAAAACAGGATTCTGGACTTAGCGAACATGGAAACGAAAAAAAAAATTTGACAAAAATGCTTTGTCTAGTCAGAAACTTTGTAAATTGTACCGTAGCCAACCTGGCGCAATGATGTATTCATACATTAAATTCGAAAATTCTATACAGGCGGATTCGAGTTTAACAAAACTTTTAAAAACAAGTTTTCGAAACTCAAAATTCGAAGAGCGCTCGAGTACTTTCTCGGGGGAATTACTCAATTTTAGAAGCGGAAAACAAGCATTAACGAATTTTTAATGCTTGTGGATTTTATAATACAGTATATAAAGAATAGGGTATTCTCTAAGGTGAAGGGAGGGGAGATTCTACCACCGGCTGGTGGCGGAAAGAAGGTTCAAACTGCTACGGCTCTGTCGATTCGCCAAGATTCCCTGGACCACTTGAGCTCGATTTTTATTCATTTCTGAAAATAAATTGTTAGCATTTGTTTTTAGACGTTTGGTTTTAGAAATCATAGTAGCTGAATATCTTTCTTGTTACCTTGAATAGCGAGGAGCATTTTGCGCCGAGGGCCGAACGTCGTAATTCCGAGCTCCTTCAAGTCGGAATCTGTGAGACTGAGGAATGTTTGAAGGTCGACCTGAACACAAAAATTCAAAACGAGCCATTATAACGAGGCCAATTACTAATCAGCCCTGTTCTAGCGTAAGCCCTTTAGCCGATCAGCCACTAGAAGTGAGCATCGATTTTCTACTCAAGAATTTGCTGAGCTTGATTAGCTTACGAGCTTCAAATTCAAAATTATCAAGCTCGCCCTTGAGTAATGCTGTTTTACGCGTCTTTCTAACCCTACGGTGTATAATCGTTGTTTGGGGTTAAAAAGGGAATCAGTTCGACGCATAAGGTCGTGCTTGCTTATTTTCAAAGACAGCGAAGGAAGACCCTTTTAGATTGCGATTAAAATAGACAAGTGCTGCTGAATCGAATTCCTCAAGGTCAGAAAAGGTACCTCTTGTTGAAGGAAAACATTTGTGTATTTGCTGAGTCCAAGGTAGTCAAAGACTTCGTGCAGCTCGACTTGGGTAGACATATCGACCATTGAGTTGCTGCGGGGCTGGAAAGGCTGGGCGTTGGGTGAGTATCGCTCCTTTTTCATCGTTGAAAGGCAGTTGGCTTGGAGACTCGCTGAGAGAGTATCCACTTGAAAAAGCGTAAATACAATGTCAATAATAGAAGTAATCTACCTCGAGGTCCCCAAGTGTTGAAGATAGGATTTTCTTCGATAGTTGGCGTGAACTGGGCTTGAGACATATTTCGACTGGAAAGAGCTCTAGAAAAATTCATTAATCACTGAAAGAATTTTCGGAATTTCCTCCCTTGCGTAAGAAGGGTTAATAACTCACCGCGATAAATCAGGTCCCATGGAGCGGGAGAAGCCCTGTCCAGCCCAGGTGGAAGTTGGAATTTGAAGATCTGGAGCCAAAACTGGTCGGGACATGGCTTGGTAGGCCAGCTCTCGGGCTCGGGCGTACTCGGCAGAACTGAAGCTGTGGTGGAGTGTGGGCTGGTGTCGATTGAATTGCGAGGACACAGCTGGGGTCTTTGACTCCCAGATTTTATTCGACAATCCAGTTCCAGTAAGAGTTGAGAGCCTCTGTTCAAGAGCTACAAATTATTGTTTAGACATTCTATTCTATTAATTAATCAAATTCCCTTTAGAATGGGCATATCAAGGGAGGCATCCGGTAAACATATTAAATTTGAGTACACCTCGTACGTTTAGATGACGGAGCATTAGCATATTAATTTACAAATGGCTTTTGAGACTTATGTAACAGCAAATAGAAATTTAATGATCTTTTGAAAGAACCACAGAAATGAATTCAATATGTAAATAAGGTTAGTTGATTTAACTTTGTTTCTGTTTCTTATTTATAACAATTTTAATTTTACTCCAACAGGCAGTTTAAGGCTATCTGCGTTCTAATGTGATCTTTCCAAAAACTGGCAATTGTCGTTCTTTGAATGCCCAAAACACATGCTTGACATGTCCGCCCGTTTTTTTAAATTACGAAATGGAATTAAGCCAAAAGAGTTTGTTTATACCTTCAATAGAGTTGCTTGGGCTTGAGCTCATTTTCCTATTGTTCACGTCTGAACCAAGCATAGAATCGGAAAAGTGTCCGGAAGTGCTGGATCCGGGAGATGAGCGTGGGCTAGGCCGCTGGATTGGGGAGATCAAGCTGCTGTTCTTTTGTGCCGAGAATTGGTCAGCTTCTTCGGAGCTATGGTAGCCAACTGATGAGCCTGAGCAGTTGGTAAAGACCTCGGAGTCGTTTGTCTTGAAGCAAGGGTTTGTATCGATATGGTAGGCAGCGGGAAGCTGAGCCTGTGAAACTGTAGGAGCGCTGAGAGTCGTAAGTGGCGAGAGAATGATGTTCTCCAAGCCGGAAGTTTTGAGACGAAGAAGCTCTTTTCGTGCATCGAACATTCTTATACACATTTTAGATTCGTGTTTCTATATCTGATTTCATTATGCTTTACATGTAATTCTTATTGTGCTACAATTTATATCGCTGAAACGATTACAAAATCAATATTTATATCTGTTAACTCATTTGTATCTTGTGATAATAATGCTAACAAGACTAAATGGATATTCTCGGTTGACTGATGCAAATTAAAATGCCTGGAGTAATAGTTTAAAATCAGCTAAATAAAGCCGCGCTATCACTACAAATAGTAAAAAATGCCAACGTTTCCGAAATGTTGATATTCTAAGCAAAATCATGTCTCTTTGTGATGGGTGGTAATAACTAACATGATGTGTAAATTTACGGAAATGTCCCGTCGATATGAAGGTCAGGTCTTGGAAATAAACTTTCTTGGAGAAGATTTAATGAAACTTTGAGAGACTATGTTTTGAGAACTTGAATTAGAAATTGCTTTAGAAAATGCAATTTAGATAAATGATTTGTCTTGATAATTACCTGATGACATTTCCTTCGACAGACTTGATGATGACGGATTTTGTCGCTTGCTTGGGCTTTGGTCGGATCGAGATGAAAACATCATTACGTTCCATGGTCTCCTGTGGCCGGACGCTTTCGCTGTCGACATTGTCTTTCATATCGCACATGAGCACCAGTGGCAAGCATTCGGTAAGTTGGTGGCGGGCGATAATGACTGAGTCAACACATCCTAAAAGCATTTTTAGTATTTCAATTTGCCATAATTGATTCGATAACTGTATATTATGCAGTGTTTTATGTGCTAATTATGACGATAAGGAGTGATCTGTGGGGAAGCGATAAATATGTACTGCGTTTATCAGTCTGCCTCCATGTCGCTTATCACCTTGTGGTGCGTAAGTACTAACCTGTGATTACTACTGGACTTGGCGGTCTTCGAGCACCAATATTTGGGATGTGAGGCTGAGTCTGACCATCGGGAGACATCATTTGCTGCTGGGGCTGGACCATGGTGATTTGGGCGGCTGTTTGCTGTTGAATGTGGCGGACCATTTTCGAGAGGACCTGGTGGTGTTGTGGTGCCACTTCGAGGTTACAGGTGACGGGCAGGGTGGCGCCAATTTGTCCAGTGAGATGTTGCATAAGGCCAGTGATGCCGTCTTTGAGACCAGTGACGTTTTGTTGGGTGCCGCGGACTGAGATGACCGTGGATTGACCGCGCGGTCGAGCTCGCGCTTGGACACTGATTGAGTAGGTTTGGATAAGCCGCTGGATTGGGGCACTGTTGACGTCGGGGTTGGGTCGTGCCACGCCGCTCTTAGGAAGCTCAAAGGATAAGACAATTGGGAGGAGAGCGCGAATCTTGCGTCGAGCGGATTCAACACCTGCTGGCTCTCCGGCAATCGACACTTGGTTCGACTTCTCCGATGTTCCAGATCGGTTAGAGTCTGGGAAGTGGATATGACACCCGGTTTCTTCCATCACTTTCTTGATCGTGCAGCCTCCTGAAAATGCGTTGTTATCCAGTTATTTCAAAGCTAGAGCAAAGTGTCAGGCAAACACTTGAAACTCGCAAGAATCCCCCAACGTAGAAATTGAAAGCCCTCAAGTTGGGAATGGGATCGGCGGTGCATTTTATGCAAAGTAGTAAGTCGCGAGGATTATAGTACGACAGGAAAGTACTACTAAGAATGTATTTGCATTTTAAGAGTGCGGAAATTATGCTCCCTACTTTTGAAAAGTACTTTTAGGACACAAAATTTGTCGAAAACGAACTTCATTACTTTGCTTCTTAGGCTCAAATCAGTGAGAATCAGATTCAAGTTTGCCCGCTTTAGGAATTGGAAACGAATGATTGATTGGTGTTATCCTTCAAAGAACTTTGTAATTGGCAAAGAGACAGTTGTTCTCGGATCTTACAAACTTGGAAATTCTTCTGTCATCAGCACGTTTTTTAATTGAATCTGTTTCAAAAAAAACAGACACGTTGTGGATGCCGACTTTAGATCGGTGTCATTAGCTACAGTGTGGAGCCAGAAATCCCGTCCTTACGTCTAAAACGTCGCCTATCAGGTTGCTCGAGGATCTTTTCCTGAGGACGGGGGTGACAGCACGTGGTCACGCGCAGTTACGTCCACTGGGTCATTAAAGGGTTATTATCTTGACTACTGATAAGCACTGGTTGTGTAGAAGCTATTTCCAACGCTATTTTAACTGAATGCTTTGAGTTATCTATCCTAGAAAAGTTCGAGTTTGAAAGTTGAGAAGATCCTACTATTTTTGATTTCCTGTACCAAATTTTGGATTAATTTTGGAGCTCGTTGTCTTAAACGAACAGACGGTGGCTAGCGTGGACATTAAAGCGCCATTAGGAAATCCAAATGTTCACCTCTGGAGCTCATTTACCTTTGCCAATGACGTGCGAGTGCTCCGTATGCGGAACGTCCATCTTCAAAGTGACACGTGACGAGCGAGCATCGAGTTTATCCAGGATCAGTTCCTTTGCCTTCTTGACGTTGTCCACGTGACCGACGACTTTGACATGGGGATCCTTCTTTGACTTGGCGCCGATTTTCAGCTTTGAGGGCCAGGTCACTGTGGTGGAAGTCTTGTCCATTACTCCTTGGAAGAACGTCTCGCCGTTTTGGTATCCATTTCCGACTAAAACAAAATGATTAGCTGCTTGAAACAGTAATTTGTTTTCGATGTGCTAATGTTTAGATGACAAATTTCTCCGTGGACACTTTACGCTCTTAGTTTTTTCTAAACAAGATAAATTACTCTTTATCGTAAATGCTTATAACTCGTCTGCGCTCTTTACTTGGACAGACTGACCTAAGCCTGATAAAGTCCCTTATCGCTTAAATTTACCCTTGAAACGAGAACTCAGATGGCTGTACACAAAGTGTTTACACGAAGGAGCAAAATAAAATGATTAAAACGGTGCTCAACGAGGAGGTTAGTTCAAGCAGCGCAATTGCCTTATCAAAGCTCGAGTCTGGAGTTTTTCAGCTTTCACAACGGTTCATAACCACAAGCAAACCGCCACTACGACGTTCACTCCTCCGCGGTGCTTATTATTTCCCAGCTGAGCAAAGTCGCTAGGAGCAAGCCCGCGATGGGCTCTTCAAGAGAGTTGTAACGTTGGTGATAAACGCGGTATTTAGAATGCTGCGGCAACTTGAGACACTTTTTAACGCAATACGTAAAAATTCGTACGCATGGGGCTTATGCGAAACTAAAGTTCAATACAGCATTTGAGCGATTCCAAACTTTAGTAAATGATCATTTCATTATGCAGCATATATTATGCTCTGAGCAGAGTTTAATTAGTGCGAATGAAAGTTTGTTGACGTTTATTCACGTTTGTTCTCAGTAAAATCATTTTGCACTCTTTCCACAAATAAATTAAATGCAAAACAGAAGGGAGAACACTAACTACGGGTTTGATTATGTTTCATATTTTGGGATTAAACATGTCGCTTTTATTTCATTTACGAGTATTACATTGTCAATTATGAAAAATTACCAAACACAATAATAGAAAAACGTGTGTTCTCAATTAGCAACAAAACGGCAGCTATCCATCAATAACAATCCAGAAAATCAAAATAACACGAAATGAGCTGTGGCCAGAATCGGTCCTAGTTCAACCTTCTTAGAGGAGCAGGATTCGCACGCGCTGACATTTTTACTGCAGAGCGATTATCGTCCCTCTCGCCTTTTAGTCACACGGAAAGGGTTTGTTTTCACTCGCGAAGAGGGGAAATACCTTGAGCCCGAGATTCTCGGACACTCCCTTTCCAGTTAATCTTTGCTGCTTTTGATTTCACTCCCGCGTAAATCAGTCTTTTGCTGGAAAGAAATATCAGTGGGGAAAGCCTTAAAAGCAGCTCAAAAACCGCGGAACAGCATTTTCTCATTCATGGGTTGAACGAATATGCAAATCAGGTATGGAGAAGAAGGGGTGGCGGAATTTTTTTTGCGAGATTCAAGTCCAATTAGTCCCGTTACAAAATTCCAGCGACAAGGCTGCTCGCTGCTTTGATGTTTTACGTTGCCAGAATTTCTCAGAATGCGTTTTGCCGAGTTTAATCACGTGAATTTAATCTTTATGGCCCAGTAAATTCTCCTGTGCGAATATTTACTTTTGACACCTGGAATATTCTGATCTCTCTTTTTATTTGACAATTAAAGCTAAAACTAAAGTTCAAGAGACTCTTGCGTGTGTCTTAATCTTAGTTGTTTAGGACGTCTTTCTATAGAGAAGACACGGGCAAATTGACTAAGTGATAAATTCTAGCTCTTGGCAGATTCGATTTTGTAATAAAGGTTGAGCGCGAGCAGATTCGATTTCTGTTTCGAATTTGCTGCATAAACATTAGAAACGAGCTCAAGACTTCAAATTATAAGGCAAAATTTAAGCTCGGCGATTCTAGGGCGCCTTAATTAAATTTTCTTATTTGTCTTAGAAAAACGCTAAACGATAAGGATAAATAATATTATCTTGACAGTTATCTTGATGACGAAAATCTGACAAGTTGATTCAGACCAAAACGTGATATTTTAGAGAAATTTGTCGCTAAGGCACTTTCGCGCTCGAGATTACGGCGAGTTTAGAGTGAGCATTTCTCTAATGAGCTTCTTCGTTGAAATTGAAGTTTCATAATCGCACCGTTTCAACGATTTCCTCGGCTTACGTCCAAATATGGCGTTAAATCGAGTGGACCTATCTCGGATTTGTGAAAGTTTGAGAATGTTTTCAGTGGAAAGGAGCGGCGATAAAAATCCGTTACAAAAAAAAATTTTATCACCATAAAATTTCTTTATAATCCGCTTTAGAAAAAAGTAATCCTGTTAAAAGTACACACAGCTTAAAAGTAACCTTGTTAGAAAAATGCGAAGCCTAAATAAGGAAGGGATAAATCCGCTAAGGTGGCTTTCGCGGATTCCGCAGGGGGCCGACCACAACGTTTGTTTCTAAAAATGAGCCGAAACCACAACCACGTTCACCGGAAAATCAGTCCGAAACGGGCCCTCGCTACCCGCCAAATCTTCCTTGACCGATGATCGCCTCACGCTGCAATTTTTCCTCTAAATCAAATTCAGCAATTAGTGAATTATCGACGCTTCCGATCATTTCCAACAAAAATCGGCGGTCAATCACAACGAATTCAATAATCCCAAACATCAAAGCGAAGAAAATTCTCAAGGGCAATCGTAGAATGTTGGAGAATAGCGAACTTTAGCACGAAACAAGTATTTTCACGTTCACGATTTTCTCCATTAAGAAAAAGTAAGCCACAGGAGCAAGCCCCTACTCGACCGCGGGAAACCTTTTTGTGGTGGCAGATTTCGCGCATACGTTTGCAAACTTACGCCACATTTCTAGTGCTTGGTCGTGATATAATAAAATCACCTTTCTGATGTCAAGGGCATGTGGGTTCGTCAGATTTGCTCAAATACAGACCGTTTCTAAAAGTCTGCAAGCATCAAAAAACGGCCGCTAGTTGGTAAACTCCGATTACCAAAATCGCCAAGGCCTAAAGGAGATTTCGGCCCATAGTTGCGGTGCTTAAACTTCCTTATCTGTCTGGGCCTATTTTGCAAGTGTGGCAATTGGCAGAATTAATCAGATTACGCGTATCGCTGTTTTTGTGGTTTTCTCTTTCATAACAATTTTTTTCAGCAAGGAAAATTGCTGAATAGAGCTTTTTACTCTGAATAATACAAGAAAAGAATAAAATAGGATTTCTGAACGGTATGGGATTAGGGTTCATTAGAACTCTCAAAAACGTATTTGCATCAAAACGATCAACGTGGTTTGATCCCATTTCTGTTCTCCGCTGAAATCTAAGGCGGAAAGCTTTGACGTTATCGAAAATCTCGCCTTTCTATTTTTGCGAAATTTGAAAAATTCGACGGCGACGTAAAAACGGAGACAGGCATTTCCTAGTACTAAAATGTTAGATTTAGAAATTCGCTATTATCGAATCGAAAAATTCTAAAAGCGGAGTACTACAGAAGATCCGAGATTCGTGTCCTGCCGAGTTTGCCCTTTCGTCACCAGATTGCCGAGTTTGCCCGTTGCGCGATAACAAGTTGAGAAGATGCGATGATGCTATTAATTAACACGCGAGCATACAATGTGTACTCAAAAAGTGAAGCTGACTTTTCGGAGAAGTACTCCAACACCTTGCACTTTTCTTGAGCCAATAGAGAGCGTAATTTGTTTTCACGGAAAACTTCGCGAGTTGATTTACGCAAATTTGGCGGAAATGGACGTACTTCTATAAGGTCGAATCTAATTTTATAGTTTCTAATGTAGGAGATCTACAAAAGGAAGAAATGTCACGAACTATGGGCTCATCAAATAGGACATTTTACGGAATAAGCTCACTCTCTATTCACGGAAATGATGGGTCTAATAAGAAGAACTAAAAATCATCTACACATAAAGTCAACATATGCATCCAAGACTGAGTTTATTTATAAACATGTCGGTATTCTAGCAGCCCATAATTTAAAATCTCGAGGGTGGTAGTATTTCGTGAATGTATCTTGTGAGAACCCAAGAGCTACATGCAGAGTGAGGGGCAACCACAAATTGACAGATTCTCTCGCCTCGGCCGCTTCTGCTCTTGCGGAATTCCGCAGAACCCGCCTCAAATCGCTCAAAGAATGCGCCAAGTGCCTCCTTCACGAAGCCGTTATGCCAAACACAAAAAAGTATTTCTAAAAACAATGAAAAGGAGTATCCGACGTGGAAAGCTAATTCCCAATATTTTCTACCACGCATAAGTCCGAATTTGAGCTTTCTGTAGAAGTTTTATGAGTGGATTTAGGAAAGTTCAAATTGTTGAAATTTAAAACTCAATTAGCTCCCTCCGCCAATTTTCTCTTGTTTACGCTACACTGACTTAGAGTGCTTATACAGGCTACCATCGTTGGTCAAGAAAAAATTGCTCAGGACCGCAAGGACGAGCCGCTCCCTTCCGACCATAAAGAATTTTCGAAACAAACAACTATTCTACCGAAAGGGCATAATCCCCGACCAAGGTCGCTTCGGACAACTATTGGCTTAGAATAGCTGCTTATTATTTTCGCTGTTTTGTGGAGGATGAATTAATGAGATAAATTATTTGCGGTGAGAAAGATATCTTGAAGTTGCATCTTTTTGGAGATCCCGTAAAATGGCCGGAAAATGAAGACGTTTATCCCCGGAAGAGTTCTACTGAAAATACATCCCCGCCATCCGCCCTTATTGGAGCTGGAAGAATTTAGGAATCCACCTTAAGACCGTCAAGTCCAAAACTCAAGTTGATCAAAGAGCAACCCCTGCCCAAGATCGTCTCTCTCGATCTGGCGCATCAGGCTTATCATTAACTCCTTATCACTCTTACGCGCTTGTGATTTGGCAGCACGTGTTTGTTTGAGTTCAATCCGGCGGATACTTAGAACACGGCGATTGCTGCGGTCGTTAGAAGAATATTTTATTTGAGCAGAGGGGTAAACTGTTTACCCTCCAGTGTTTATCATAAGTTGAAACTAGCCAACTCAGAGGCATTGATACGTAGCTCTCTAAGAAAACGCTTTTTATATATTCGAAAATGATTTGATAATTTGACCATAATCAATTATTAAAATATGGCATTGTTAGAGCAGAATCGACCGCGCGTACTTCCGTAACAACGGTTTTCAATGCCACTGTCTCGTGTGGTTTCTAATCCGCTGCTTTGGCTAACCACTTGGTGATGCATTTTTTCCTTTCTTTCGTTCTAACCGGGGGCTTGGCGATACCGATACCGCGCGCGGATTATCCGCCGCGCAGGTTAGAAAAGTCAGCTCTAAGACAACCGAAAACGGTATGTATCTAGCTGGAGAAAAGAAACACTCAAGTGCTGGAGCTAGGATAGAATTTGGAACTCGGCAATTTGATATTCTCGCCATAAATCGATTGGACAAAGTATTCAATAATTACATGTCTAGTTAGTTCATAGCTAGATGCGACTAAGTCATATAAAGCTATTCACTCTAATATTTACGGCTTAGGTCATCCAATAACGCGTCGCGCATTCTCATTATCCGACCTGACCCGTAATTTTTGCGCCACGTCGCTCTTTTGCGCTGTCCGTACAAAATTACCCGAAAATTTCCCGTGGACGTTTTAAGATTATGAGAATATGCAGTTTTCTATTGTGGCTCTTACCGAGAATCATTTCTTCCAGTTTACGGCGATCGACTCGGAATCGCTCTTCGACCCAATTTGGTGGAAGCTGTGGGGGCTCTTCAACTTTTGGAAGACTGATGGGTCCGATAGGGTCGATTTTAGCTGGTTCATCTGGAAGAGAAATAGGCCCGATTGGCGTTGGCAATACCACGGGAACTTCTGTTGTGACTGTTGGTGCTACTGGAGCTTGTGTTGGCAGGCAAGGAAGATCTAAAGAAATATATTTAGCACACAATTATTAAAGTGGTATTATATATCAATCGGCAATAAAAGAGAAACCTTGTCTCGATGACAGTAGCAAATGATAACACTGTTATTACAAGTAAGAATAATAAAAAAGTCAAAATCAACGTGGTACATTATCTTCAGGGCCCTAGTGATCCGGGATCATCCGGCCCCAGATCAAGTGAACACGAGACATATCGATAATCACGTTTTTGCCAAGTGTTACTATAAAGCTATCAAGAAAAAATCGGAAGAAGACGATGTTCAATTCGCGTTTAGAAAATAATGAAATCACGATGTCGATCAAAAATGATGGCCCGCGCACTCGAAATTCAATTGAACCTGCTCCGCAACGAAAGTTTTCTTCGATTTTATAAGTTGGGTTAATACAGGTTCAGTTTAGGCTGCATTTTTAATTCTCTCCGTCGGTTAATTTATTTTACGCCTTTATCGCGCTAGAATTAGCCTGATAACAAGCAAACGGGAGTTTTTCTATTGAACGATTAAGCACTGATAGGAGCTGCTTACAAACGTATCCCAAACTAGGATTCTTAGTAGGAACAACTAAGTCTAAGCTAATTTTTTGATCATTGGAGATTCATGCTGCAAATGAGCAGTTTTCAATTTTGACTGTGCGCGACTCTGGAATGCACAATATCCCGCCGAAACCACAACCACAACCGGGAGGCCGTTGACGTTCATAAATTAAAATTTCTAATGCACGGCGCCGAGTTTTTAGAACTTTTTGGAACCGCTATTTTCCACAATCGAATCGGCAATTTTCAAAATTAAATGGCTTCTGTATTCAATAATGTGCAGCTTGAAAAAGGGGATTGTCTTTCTATTAAATAAGAGGAGCTTTCTAACTGCTTGAAAAAGCAAAGCCAAATCTGCGGGTTCGAGGACTGCTGCTGTTTTGTCAACCGGATCAGGGTTGAGTACATTGCGGCTTAACTGTGATGAGATGAGGATGCAAGACATGCGATTACTCCACCTCTCCTCCAAGACCGCTTCTTCTGAAAACGTGGGCTCTGCCGAAAGTACTCTTGCTGAGCTGCAACTGAAACTACAGCCACGAAATCACGTTTTGTAAACATAACAGCTTACACTGAATGATTAATTAAAGAGGAAATTGTACACTGTCACCTCTTTCCGCCCTTCCTTCAGAATTGTCAGAGCCCGTCGAAATCTGTACTTTATTCGACCCTGACCGTCGAGCAAAGTCACCCTTAGCGACCCGCGGTAAAGGCTTATTCCGCTGTTTAGACGCGCGACTGTCTGACGATTGACCTCTCTAGCCCACGTGATTAGTGATGGACCAGGAGGTCTAACCGTTGCAAGCTTCTTCGCAAGATTAAATGCTCACTTTAAATTGAAACAAAGAGAAGCTTGAGAAATCTACGGTAAATTTCGTAAAACAAAGCTGGGAACGTTCAACGCTGGAAGATCTCTAATTCGAAAAGTGAATAAAGGGTTGAAAGGCTGCGGCCGACTCTTTCGCCGACGCGCGAGTACTTTTGATATGAGTTGGACACGGATCCTTATCGTTTGATCCCGCGTGTGACGATAAGGAAAGGGGAGGGGAGCAGTTTACTTTGCTGCGTTATTTGAGAAAATATCCACGCTGGCCTTGGTAAAATGAGTGAGAAGGGCACAGGCTTTGATGGAGCTGTACTGTCATGATAACATCACGTGATAGTGTCACCACCGGGGTTCCGAGATGAATATTAGAGCTTCTCATAGACAAGATACCGGATCCGTAAGTACAAGTCTCACAGCTCCCGAAGTGATTGAGTTACGAAGAAGATCGACTGGAGAAATTCATAGAGCTCTTGAAAAAGGTTAAACGCGGATTATTAGAAATGATTGATCTTCTGCAAAAAGTAATATAACTTCGACCCCGGTGAACGTGGGCACTTGTTGCGAGGTGTCATGAAATTCAGCACCGTGCGCGGCCGCTATATTGCAACACTAGATTTTTACATGTGCACTTCGCCCATCTGGCCGCACCAGTTGATCAATCTCCATCTCTTTTTTAGTAATTATCACGTTCCTCCCTGTTCAAAAGCATCTGGAGAATGCTTGACACCTCTTTTGAAAATGCCGAAGAAGAAAGCACGTTCATCTGAACGAAAAAAAACGTTTACCCAGATGTGAAAAAACGCTCAATTCTCAATCCTATCAATCAATGGAACGAAAAGTCTTTCTTTTGTTACAGTTGCGAATAGTACAAACACCATGTGTTCTTTTTCACAAGAAAAATCTTTTATTTCCTTTTATTGGTTTCTAATTTTAATGAAAAAACCCCACTTTTTTACCAATTTTATTAAAAAAAAGCTTACAAAAAATATAATGTATTTGCATTTATCCTAATCTAATTTTTAAAAAAATCATTTCCTTGTTGCTTTTTTCCTGTTTGCGTCAAGAAAGCTGATGGTCTGCGAGCATTCTAGGCTTATCGCCATCACTAATTGAGTTATTAATGGATTCCGCGATTTTGGGGAGGAGCTGACTTGTCCGTTAAATTAGAGTGCCCTTGGTCAGCGCTGATTTTCAGCTTCTCCTCGGCGTGAAGCATTTCGCGGCCACAGAAGTAGATTAACCATGACCGGGCGGTTCATTAGACCCTTTCTAGAGCCAATTAAACGCTGTTAAATCAAGAACTGGAGGAAAAGTATTCGTGATGGAATATGCACGTATGGGATTAAGTATGCTTTGACATGCATTCCTGGTGAGATGGAGATGAAAAATTCGGCGATGCAAGATTCCTCCCGGAATTCGCGTTGTTCACCTCATGTAAAAGCGGGACTGTGTTGGATGAAAGAGAGCATTCCCGTTGCTGAATGCACGACGTGTAAGGACTCGAAGTGCTTAGTCCCTTACGTGGTTGAGAGGCCAGTAAGGAGGAGCGGTAGCCCCTTCCTACCCACGCTGAGGCTTCCGAGGTCATTCACAATTTCCCTAATCACCGGCCACGGCCATAGGTTTAAAGTAACTTTGCTCCTAACGTGGACAGCGGAAGCTCAACAAAGAATTTTACTTCAACAAGATCACTTGGTTTTTTTTCGAAAAAATCATTCATGAACACTATGTTACAGAGGGTATTTTTGCAAATATTTATGCTTTTTGAGAGGATACACGACAGATTTTCTCCTTCTTCTACCGTAAAGTTCTATCACAGAATCAATAGTATTAATCATAAAACTGCTATTGACACAGAAAATCACTAACAAAAAGTACATCTTTATGGAAGTCTTAAAGGCTAATGACCGGTCTAAGCCGCCGCGTTTTTCTATCTCTGCTTTTTTGGTCAACGAGCACTTCCCACATGGGTAAATTCCACGAGCATATTCGGAAGCGTCTAAGCTCTACTTTTTGCATTCACCCCAAACCTGCAACGTTTTTTTCCTTTATTTTCATTCCATGTGTTTTTGTTTGAAGAGCTAATTCGGCGCCAGTGTAATTATTGTTTACTGCTATTAGTAGGGAAAATAATTAATAGAATCGATGTCGGCCTTGTTGGACCAAAAACAAGTGTTAAGCCAAAGATGCTGATTGTAACCGGATTAATTAGGTGAGTTATTCTGCTCATGTCATTTGCGTATAGTATGATAACAATTTGTCGATATCAACGTAAAATACTTTAAATTTGCGCTAACAGAAAAAATGCCAGGTGAATCAGTCAGCTGAAAATTTGCCTTCTGCGTTCGAGAGCTGCTTCTCTCTGCTGAGCTTCATTGAAAAGAGCTCTCTCTCAAGGGCTCCTTTAATCTTATTCCCGGATCCCTACAGAGCAACTCGCCTCAAGCACTCTTCAAATATATCACAATTACAGGGTTCCATTCAAGAGCTGAGTTTTTCGCACTTTCCTGACTGACTTTAGAAGATTTACAGTCAGGAATCTATGTAACAGCCATTAAAAAATGTCTGTGCTCTATAAATATATTCGAAGAATCAAGAATCTGAAGATATGAGACGTCTGGTAGGCGTTCCTAAAAACGACCACTTGACCACAGAGTTGCTGTTTGGGTAGCGCGACAAAGGGTTAAACCAATAATCTGGTCACAAATCCTCATTGTCCCTTACCGTCGCCAAGAATCTCTCCTTATCAAAGCGTACAACAGTGGAGCTATTCCAGACCAGCAGAAGCGCTGGAAGAAATTACAGAAAATAATCCTGGTCTGGGACGGTCAAAAATACGCCTGGTTTGGGACGGTCGGGCCATTTAAAGATCAAAGGCGCACGCCTGGGGGGTCCTTTTTAATATGAAAGTGGCGCCAGAGGCGAGAGCGAAAATAATCCTGGTTTGGGACGCTTTGGCTGATTAAGACCGTCCCAGACCAGGCGTATTTTCTGTAATCCACTTCCGAACGAGCGAATTACCCGAGCTAGAAAGAATAGAAGTGACGCTTTTTATGGCGAGATAAATGGTGACGTTAATAATTTTTTTGGCAAAACTTTCAAGGATAATCGAAATCCTCGAATATTCTGCTAAAAGAGGATTCGAACGACTCCTATTCTTTTCATCATTTCAACAGTCTTGACCCCAAATAAAAAGATCTACCGGTGCCGAGGACCATTTATGTCACGTTGAGTAATCGCAGCATAGTACGGCGAAAAACCTAATCCCCAAGTCAAGTGCTAATTACACCCGATATCCGAGTCTAATTGAACTCAAGGTAAGACCATCTGGCTTCTCCTAAATAATGATGAGTCTATGCCTCGGCCAAAAACACCGGAATGTTCCAACAACACTCGAAGCGTGTGTATTTGAAAAAGTACGTAAAACATCAGCAAATAAAGAAATAAAAAGAAAAAAATGCGAGATAAACAACCCCCGGAAAAGGTCATCCACGCGCCAGGGGGCAAGTCAAGTTTTACATCTAAACAACACATCCAATCCGAGTAAAAAAAAACTTGTTCTATTTGCTCGGCAATGAGCTACTATTTGCGTAAAGTAAGTCTTTATGCGTCTCTTTGAGATCCGATCTGATTACGCAATATCTTTCTTGGGGAAAATAATTACCTTTCACTTGAGGAAGGACTTCCGCCATATTTGTCTTATTGACGATTTCTTCTTTCGTTTCTGGTTCGATTTTTGTTCGTTTTTTTGCGATAATTTCTCTTTTGATAAAAAATAAAAAAAATGATTGGTTCACTCTTGACGGAAGAAAGTTTCTCTCTCTATATTAAAAAGAAAGTTCCTGTAATTGACAAGGGAAAATCCTCGGATTGGGAATCCGTTGTTGGAGCAGAGAGTTGAGCTGCGCGAACTTGTCAGAAGGCGCGTGAAGCCGCGTGGTGGCGCTCCCAGACGCGCACACAGGCGCTGGAAAAGAAAGCGCCGCCGCGCGAAAGCGCGGAAAAACGCAAAACGCGCAAAGCAAAATGCTCCACCTAATGGCTAATTACAGTAGATCTTCATTGTTGATGCTTGTTCTTGGTTATTTATCGATTTGAAGAGAGCAATAATATCATGCAAATGAAAAATTTGAAAAAGGAAACCGTCTGAAACTGGATGTTTTTTGGAAACACTCTTACTCTCTTTACAGTAAATTACTGTATCATACGTTACCTTAAAAGACATTTTCGCCGGTATCTATGATTTTGCCCTTCACAGAATCGAACGGTCTGTCCGCCATAAAGCTTGCATGCATTTAATGGTTTCTAGAAATCTTTAGATAGAACTGAAAATAAAAAGAAGACATCGGTAACTGAATAGCCTCTTACGTATATTGCGGGTTCTAAAAATCAATTCGAATTGTTCGCTCAAGAATAAGCTATGTACAATAAGATCGTTAGCAGCTAAAGTATACGGTTAGAAATTGAGAGAGTTAGCTAATCGTAGATCAATCTAAGCCAGATGAGCACGTGAAGGCACTTGTACGTTCACATTTTAGAACATCCAAAGGTCTCGATTTCGCCACTTATTTCTGTCGCCTTAAAAATATCGGAAATTAATACCTTTTGAAAATAAAATTTACGGTTTTCAGAAAAATATTGGTATTCAATGAATAGTACCTTTTTGTATATTTTTCTACCGATGATAGAACTGATAAATCTGTCATTTACAATTATGTGTCTGAAGAATACTTTGAGATAAGCTTCTATCATTTAAATTACTTGAATACCTTGATGCCACTAATGAGTTGCTTATCTTCTGATACAATTGATGATTTGTTATGATCTCAGTCAAAATACTCGGTAATTAAAATATAGATCGAAAACGATGGTTAATCAATCATAAACATAAGGCTAAATATTTTCAATTTATAACTGTCTCGAAAGAAACACGCAACGTGGCCTTAACATGGGTAATCTTAACATTACACCTTCTCAGAAATTCGCTGAAATAATCAAGTGACTCTCTCAAATTTCGACGCCTGAATTGAAAAATCCTTATTTTTAGATTCTAATGCGATCGACCTGAGTCTTTTTCTAAAGAAAAAATATAACGGAGATTTGAATAATTTGACTCTAAGACAACTAAATTCTTGTACGGGACGGTAGGAACATGATCGATAGAGATCAACTGGATGTTCGGCTGGTTAAGGAAGCAATACAATGGAAAACTGATGGGTACTATCCGGTGCAGAAAATAATCATATTCTTTTTTTTGCAAATTTTGGAAGCATCAATTCTTGCAGATGCGAGAAGGCTGCTAAATGATACGGAAAATAATCAGGGCGTCAGATAACAACTTGCTTGATTTTGGATTTGTCCTCCAGTACGTAAAAACGTTGATCCCCACGTGTCGCATTATCTTTGTTGCTGTTAGCTCAGAAAAATATGCTGATACGATCAGTTACTAAACCCGGGAAGATAAGGGCGCTAATTTAGATGGTTTTACGCTTGTTTGTCAAAATAGGCCTTTGAAAGCCATCTTGTTCATCTGAAAAACATTAAAAAGACGCGCCCACATCTTAGCTAAAAATATCTTCTTTGAAAAATAATAGTTAAACGATGTGATATCAATTATATACCGGAAAGCTCTTGAAATTGTTCATAATATCGAGACAATTTTAAAATATTGGATTACTTGGTAGATAACAATTTGGTTTTTACTTGAGAAATGACAAAAAAAAAACAATAATGATCTGATCATAATTGACAATTATCATTACTACTGGTATTGAGCATAATGACGCATAATTTATGCGCCTCTATCACTTCTCTCTAATTATATGTACAAATAATCCTCTTAGAATAAAGCTACATTAGATTATTGCACCTAGTCACTTTCGGTTATAATTTCTACTCCAACACGTCTTCAGCGCATTCCAAAAAATGCAAGTGAGAGTCCGTCGCTGACGTGGGAACGATGGTAAAGGTATTTAGTCAGAATTTGCAAATCCATGTTAGCCAAGAAACTTGGGGAGGGATTTTGTTTTCAGAAGAGAATCTGCTTTCAGACATAGATAAAGTCCGGCAATCTCACAATCGTAATTGTGCCAGTTTTTCATCAAGATATTATCTTTGAGAGAATATCTGACGAGTTAAATAGTCAGCCGAAAAGATAAGCCATGAACAATTTGTCTTGGAAATATGCGTCGCAAAGTGAGATTTATTTTTGGCAAAATTTACCTCATCCGTGCTTCTAAAATGTTCACGGATCAAAAAAGGAACAAGAGTTCCAAACAGAGCGTGGCGACTTTTGCTACCAAAAGCGAGCCTAGTCGATATTGTACCGACACGTGATCTTACACGTACAGTTTTTGCAAAAGAACAACGGCTGATGGTTTCACTAGGGACAAATATTATCCTATGTTTAGCCGAGTAAGAGGGATGACATGCGATTTGATCTGTAGGAGCTTTAGAAGCATGTCATTGGATTGAATGTGATGATAGAGATTTAAGTTTTTTGAATTATTATTTATTTACAGATTATTAAACAGAAATATGAACTGAACATTCTAAAAGATAGTCCATCGTCCTATCCTTTCTTCATCTTTTCAAGCTAGTAAATTCCAACTGCAGCAAAGAGCTCATTCTTCAGATTCATAACTTGCTCGCCAACAGCTCCAATTATATCTAGCAGACTAGATTCCAGCGCTTTATTTTCAGCTTCATTCTTTGCTTCGATCTCTCGCAGTCGCTTTTCCATAGCTGCAGAAGAGCCAGGTTCGATCTTTTGAGACAGTCCCTGGAGCATTACGAGCTGCATCATTCTGTTTTGCTTCGACTAAAATTCATTTGATTATTTTCAAGTTTTTCCGACTTTAAAGGGTACAAATTAAACTTATTTTCTTTTAGATGCTTCTAATGAGGGACACTTTGTATGAGTGCGTGTCGAATAGTTTGATGAATTCGATAGAGTAAATTGAATTTGTTGAAAACAAAAAACTTGTTTTGTTTCTTGATTTGGTGCGGACCTTTTTGTCTACATCTGACTCCAGGGCGGCGAGTTCATCTTCGAGATCATTGATATCATCAGCAAGTGCGAGATCAGCTGACTGCAAGTTTGTGATATCGTCTTTGAGATGGTAACAATTTTTCAATTATATAATGAAATCATGGAGGAGAATACTCGTCCAAAACGTTCTTTCTTAGAAATATTGTAACCCATTCCTTGGATATCATCAACAGCTCCATAGAGATAGTCGATAGCTGGATCCACGGTTGAAGTAGAAAATTGAGATGTACTTGTACTTGTTGTTGAAGTTGAAGTTGTTGATGTTGTCGTTGTAGTTGTAGTTGTTGTGGTTGTCGTAGTGGTGGTCGTAGTGGTAGTTGTTGTAGTTGTCGTTGTTGTCGTGGTTGTCGTAGTTGTCGTAGTTGTTGTTGTCGTGGTTGTCGTAGTGGTGGTAGTAGTGGTAGTTGTTGAAGTAGTGGTAGTGGTGGTAGTTGTCGTTGTTGTCGTGGTTGTCGTAGTAGTGGTAGTGGTGGTAGTTGTGGTAGTTGTCGCTGTGGTTGTTGTTGTGGTTGTCGTAGTGGTGGTAGAAGTAGTAGTGGTGGTAGAAGTAGTAGTGGTGGTAGTTGTCGTTGTTGTCGTAGTTGTCGTTGTAGTGGTAGTGGTGGTAGTTGTCGTGGTTGTTGTGGTTGTCGTGGTTGTCGTAGTTGTGGTTGTTGTCGTTGTAGTTGTTGTTGTGGTTGTCGTAGTGGTAGTTGTAGTTGATGTGGTCGTGGTTACTGATGTAAGAGACGTTGAGGAAGTCTGTGTGAGTGTTGATGAGAAAGGTGTAGAAATAATTGTTGAATTAGTGTTGCTTGTAGAATCTGAAACTGCATCCGTTACCAACATATTCAGACTCGTGGAAGATGAAGTCATATTTGTAGTTGACCCAAGATTAGCCCCAGTGTAGGTTGCGCTCAGATCTGTTGAAACAGAAGAGGTACTTCTTCGGCGACGACTAGATGATTGAGAAACTTCGGAGAAAGATACATCAAGTGCAACTGTGTAATCATCTCCTGCCACATCAAGAAGGTCTTGTTTAAAGACATCGAAAACAGATGCTTTTAATAATTTGTAAGCATCGGAGGATGTGTCGGCAAGGGCGGAATCCCAGGCAACAGACGGAGCCAGATCGAATGCGATGACAAAAGTTGTGCTGTAGTACAGATCGTGAGCAGTAGCGAGATCGAGTTGTGGGTTCAAATTGTTAATGTCACTTTCAAGTGCGCCTTCCATCATCAAAAGCTAAAATTATCATTTAATTTCCGTAAGTTTAACTGGATTGAAATTGATCTTTTACTCACGACAATTTTGAAATAGAGCTGTTCTGCGAAGTCTGTTTCGTAAATAAGAAGGTCATCGTAGAAGGTCAGGCTATCTAACCCCGTTTTTGTAGCTGTCACCAGAACGGTCGAAGTGGAATCGTCGAAAAATGAGCAGAGGGCGTAGCTGGAATCCAAAGTGGAGATAACATCAACTAGTGAATTAATGACATAATCCGAATCTTTAGCAGAAGTTGGGTCGACAATGTCTATCGGCAGGCTCCATTCAAGTCGGTATTCTTCGCCAAAAAGAACATCGTCGCATGTATCTGGCACCGGGGTAGTTGTTGTTGTAGTCGTCGTCGTGGTTGTAGGAATGACAACCGTTTCAACATCAGTCGTCGATGTTTCCGTTTTTCTTCGACAGTGACAGTTTCAACGGCGATCTAAGAAGATTTTTATAGATTTGATATAATTTCTACATTGAACGTGCAATCAACAAAGACTCACCCAATTTACAACAGGGTCTTCGCCAGTTTGATCCTGGACAATGGTAACTATCTCGGGTGATGCGTCTTCAAGAATATCTGCAATCATTGCAACGTCTTCAGCTTCAGTGTTGTCAATCGTTCCAGTTGCAGTAGCCTCATCAACTGTTTCAGTAATACTCATTGTGACCTCTGCAACCCAGGATGTCTGAGATGTAGATCGTCTGCGTCGTGACGTCGATTCGAGGACGCATAAGACAGATTCAATAACTGCATTTGGAGACGCGTTAAGAATAGCCTGCTCGACAGTATTCGCACAGTCATCTGCTGAGAGGGTATCAGGGAGAGCGACGGACATTTCTGCAGTTGCTTGTCTGACAATAACATCGACCTAAAGAACAACAAATTTGAAGTGGCTCCTTTTAGATTTAAGATATTATTTTTACCAGAGTTATGAAATCAAGCTTTTTAGTTAGTTACCTCGCAATCAATATCGGCTTCCCAGGTGCATCCTCCAGGCTTTGCTATAAGGATAGAGCCCCATTGTTCCAAGCAGCTGCATGTGAGAGTGACTGTATCTTTGCAAGTAGCGGTGCATGTGTCCCCATCTTGGAAAGCATTGCCAGTGCAGGTGTTAGAAGTGGCATCGTTGTAGATGATATTTGTCTCGCACCAAGGCTCTGTTGTTTTAAAGTGAGTTTGAAGACTAGTTGAGCCCAAGCCAAAGACTGTTCTCTGAATTGCTAGTAACGGAAGAAAAATCTTCATTTTCTTTTTCTCGGAAAAGATATTTAAATTTTGATCAGCTGCGATTTAAATACGCAGCGCGATGTGGCGCTGTTGCTATTTTTATTTGGTGCTCGGTGGTGCAGAGTATGCTGCTTGTGTAGATTTGCGCATGGATGATTTCAGCGATATTCGCGCCGGATGGAATTTCGCGAATGTCGGCACTTATTTTCTAAGAAAATACCACTCGGCTGTTGACATAATAAGGGGTCATTTTCTGGGAAATTTAAGAGCAAAGTATTCTTATGCAACAGAAATCTTTTCAGTTTAGAATGTCATGTTTTGAATTATTTCTATGAAAATGATAATAGTATAAACTATTACAGTATTATACTGTAGCCTTCAGTCTGTAGGATCTCTAGCAGTATTAGTAATACTGTATTACTGTAGTTGACATCGGTTTAGAATCTTAATTTATAGGAGCGCTTATTTTGCGAATTAGTCTTTTCTTTGGTCAATAACGGAGACCCCCACCCCTGAATAATTCCAATAGAACTTTAGCTTCTGGATAATATTTCTGCTATTTTATGCAATAGAGAGTCTCTTTTAGCGATTCTATGAGAAAAATCAATCATTAACCCATGAATATACCCTTAAAATTGATGAGAGGCTGAAGGTAGGGCTAATCGTATAAGAGGAAGGTGTGCGAAAAATTTAGAACGGAAGCAAATTGAAACATATGTGTCTCCACTTTTATTGGAAAGCATGAAAAGATGTTTATCCGCTACAAATTTCGAGAATTGAACTCTTGTAAACTCGGGAGTACCATACGCGGCATCATAAACTGCGGCAGATATGAATCTTTAACCGACAATCACCAGAAAGAAAACGACTGTAAAATAATGGTTGTTATGGAATATTAACAGTTTGAAAAATTTCCCGACGAAATGCCTAATCCTTCTGTCAGATGATAAGCTGATCTGCTTGACTGCTTGAGCACCGTGTTTCCCCATCCTACTTGCGGCGGATCGAATCTCAGAAAGGCCATTTGCTTAGGTGTATATTTTCTTGGCGCGTTCATGCATAAATTTCGCGAAAAAAACTGCTAATTCTAAGTACCACCTGCCTTGACGAATGATCTGAATGAATTATTAAGAAAGTAACAAAGGGGGTTAACCGGTTCTTTAACTTTATTATCAAACCTTCATGAAAAGAAATCGTGGAAATAGAATCGGAAGCGATCATTTTACTGTCGAACGCGGATTAATAATTTTCCGCGAATCCATCAGCGCTGAAAGAAGTTCTGCTTGGCTAGCTGCTATTTTGAAAGTATTTTCTATCAGAGTCGGATGACTATTTTGCCAATTATTCTTCGAATTGGGTATCAAACAAATCGATTCAACTTTTTACGGTCTTCTGACTTTTCGAAGAATTTTTTCTTAGACTTCGAGTCAATATCCAAATAAGCTTGATTAAGTTGGTCACATTCCAGAGCCGTTCGAACATTTGTGCAAATTAATGCCGATCTACCGGGTTCTTTGTCTATTGTTTGACTCGGCGGATACGTTCTTTTGACTTCTTACTTCTGTATTTATCCATCTGAAAACATTTTATGACGATCTTCGCGTCTTCTTTAAGAATTAAACTAATCGGATTAGGAAAGTCGAAGTGGAATTTATTGAACCAAGCGTAATTATAAACGCATTTATTGAAAAAATAAATGCAGAAAGTTTCTGTTTCATATATAATTTACTCAGTATTCTTTTGTCGGTCAGTTTGCTCAAGTATATTTATGAAGGAATATAAATTATAAATGCGATTGAAACACTGACACTTACTTTATGGTGCATATCGGAATAATAAACGGACGTAAACTGAAACATTTTTCTTTTCAAGAAAAGGCGAGATCAACTTTAATTCCAGAGAGCGCCAGGAAAGGACGTTTTTTCGCATTGTTCTTCAGCATGATTGTTTCAATGATGGGTGGAACATTTCAATTGTGCGCTCTCTCTCTGTCTCAATTCAGGCACACCGTTCTCAAACACAGATCATCATACGTACAAATCATAATTTTTTCTTTTTTCAGAGATCAAATGTCAGAGAGAAATAAATTTATAATGAGGAAAATATAGAAGATATCTTAATCTCAATTGCACTGAAAGAATGGCAGCTTACTGCCCTGCTGGATGCTATTGCGCAGGACAAGGAAGCGAATGCCCCCTGTTCACGGGGAATTTTAACAACTGGTGTGGCGCCTCTTGCAGCTGTCCACAGGGACATTACTGCGAGTTCAACGACTTTCCAAGACCCTGCACACTTGGTTACTATACTGAGTGCCCCACGGTAAGATTGAACTTCGACGAAAAATACTCATACGGAAAAAAGGTTAGCGGAACACCAGGCGCCAAGTCAATGGAAGACTGTCTCCCGTGTCCAGCCGGAACAGCTGTGAATCTGGCAACCCCTGGATACGCAGGGCCGGAAAATTGCGCAGACTGTCAGCCCGGCAGCTATAGGAAAATGGACGGAAACTATATTTATGATGCGGGAAACACCTTTTGCTTTATATGCTAAATTCCTAACATATTTTCGTCATGGACCGGCATCAATATTTCCTAATAAAGAACACTGTTTTAAGAAAATATAACAAGAATGATATTTATTTGTAGACTAGACTAAACTGAAATATCCGATATTCTGAGAAACTCTTATAATATAAAAGCACGAGAAAACACGATAATCCCTTAGATACACAAGATAAAAAAGTTTTGGAATCAATTTCTCAGCGCTATTGATAGTTTTTCGTCCGTGACAAAGCCCTAATGAAGGAGCCACTTCCTGTCGACCCTGTGATGCTGGCTATTATTGTCCGAACGCGAAAATGACTGCCAAATTAAATTGTCCTGAAGGTACAGTAATGCTTGATTTTTTTTCATAAAACGAGCTGATTCCAGGATATTACTGCCCTCTGTCGTCAATTGCGCCAATTAAATGTCTGGAATCTCAATCATGTCCGTCGAATTCCGCTGCTCCTGATGTCTGCTCTCCTGGTTTTGTCTGTAATTCCGGTGGTTCTTTTCCATGTCCTGAAGGATCTTATTGTCCTGGTGGCTCTTTGTTTCCGATAATTTGCCCGGCAGGTTCTTACTGTCCCTCGCAGAGCGCAGAGCCTCTTCCCTGTCCAGAAGATACTTTTTCCGACAAACTTGGACTGATAAGTCCATTTCAATGCGAGCCGTGTCCTCATGGTTTCGTCTGTCCTCCTGGATCTACAAAGTACTACCGTACAGGCTTGACCAAAGGTGAATTAACGGCGTCTATTCTGGTTCCGATTCTTGGCATAATTATTGTTCTCCTCGTCGGTTATTTCTGCTGTTGCCGAAACAAGAAGAAAGCAAAAAATAATGAATTGAAAAAAAGGCAAACATATAAAGAAGAAATTTCTCATCCAGTCAAATCGATGCAACCAGTTTCAATATCTAAGACGAGATATATAAGTTCCTCAGCCTCTTCTTCATCAACCGACTTCCCTCCACTCCCTCGCACCGTTGTTGAAGCTCAAGAGTCCTTTGACAAGACGGAAAAGGAATATGCTCAGCGATTCGCTCCGGAACATACGTACTCAAATATTTCTGGCCCGAAAGACATTGCGATTTCAATAGAAGCGCCAATAGTTGCTGTCAGTGCTCTGGAACATACAGAAGAGATTCAAATGCCAACGGATTCAAAATGGCAAACTTCTTCTAGCTCCAGTGACTCAGAATCGGGTTCCAAAAAAGTAAAGAAGAAAAAGAAAATCAAACGAAAGAGTTCATCAAGTGGGTCTGAGCCATCAGGAATGAAACCGTTTTCGTATATAAATCCACAGAAAACAATTAAACGAAGAACACTTAGCAAGCATGCTTCTCAACGACGAGGGGTGGAAAATAAAGCGTATGTTTCGTATTCAAGGATTGGATTGAAATTGCAGTAATTTTGTCAATCGTAGTATTATCAAAGGATAAAAAATATATTCTCATATTTGATAAGGAAATCACTTTTCCATGTCTCGCCACTTAAACATGAAAAATCATCCAAAATAAAGCAGCTCAGAGGAAGAACGAGAAGATCACGAGATGAAAAGTCTGCCAGCATCAAGGATAAACTTGGAGCTGAGAACAGCGGAATCAAAAATTGACAAAGCTCCGATCACGTTGCCAGTCTCATGGGTCGAATCGTCAAGTTCATCATCGTCATCTACGCCAACAACACCTAGAGCAAAGCTAGAAGAAGGAAATGTTATTGCAGATGCATTAGCAGATATCACGGTGAAAACGCCAAATATAGGTCTGGAATGGGAGTCACCAGCTGTCGTTTGTGAGACACACAATCAGGCGTCAGCTCCAGATGGAGACATAGACGACAACAGCTCAAAAATGCTGATTCATACCGGTATGTAAAATGCAGCTTGTTCTTTCACACATTTTTAGCTGTAACAACAACATACAGCAAGGCAACTACAGCAAAACCTGGTTCAACCTCACGTTCGAGCAGATCGACAATATCAAAAACTTCTTCTTCTTCTTCAGCTTCAGAGGAAAATATTCCATCTAAAGCGGCGTCATGCTCATCATCATCATCATCTGTTGCTCCGAAGCGTACTCGACCAGCTAAAGAAAGCTCTTTCAACCTCGGTGGCATTAGGGACGGAATCCAAGGAATTGGTGACGCGATTGACCGTCTGCGTCGACGTGTGCGAGGTGGAAAGCGCACAGGTGAGAACCGGCTTCCTTTTTACTCTAAATAGGATACAGTTGGGCGGGCCACCTTGGGCGCATCAGGAGAAAATAGATGTTCTCTAATATATATTGTACTTCTACGGTAGAAATTCTACTACAGTATTTACAAAGAAAAAAGACCATGATAAAACTCATTTAAGACACCTCAGATTACGAAGACGACAATAAAATCGAAAAAAATGAAAACGAAAAAGTTCCAACATCATCGTCATCATCTTCTACAACTCTATCAAGACCAAGCTCATGTGATGCCCGGAAACCACACAATACTGTTCCCAATCTGCAAGATACTCCTTTCAAAATGATTTCGCTTCAGGTAAAGAAACTATTTTTTACTCCTAACATAAAAGCGTTCTCAGGAAGCCGCGAAAAAAGCAATAATTTCACCAAGGTCTCAAGCGATGTTAGACTCAATAGAAAGAAATCTTAGGTAAATTCATTCTCTATATTTTCAGAATCAAATCGATATACCGCGATAGGCTATCGCCGATAGCATTTAAGATGGAAATTTATAGTGACACTAGCGAATCAATATCCGGTACGAATGCCGACATAAGTGGTGATACGAGGACATCTGCTATCTTAGTTACGTCAAATTCGTCATTAAAAGATGATCATAACGAGGTTATCGAATCCCATGATGTCTTCGTCTCCGCGACTTCTCCTGAAAAATTTCGAAACCCCCGGAACGTCAAAAATGATTCTGAAACTCCCGGAGAAACAAAATCATCATCCAGCTTGAGCTCTTCCAGTTCATCAAGTGATTCTTCCTGTGACGAACGAATTGATCATTTTCAAGCCTCCAAATTTATGGAAAACAATGATAAATCTCCTCCAAAAAAGATGACAGATGCGCTTATATCAAGGTAAGTCTATGTAAAAATGTCTGTATTTTTCTCGTGCTTTTAAGATGGACTTCCCAGAGTTCTATATCGATGTCGGACACGGCATCTGAAATACACAGATCGAACGACGCCATAAATGATGTTCTCAAGCGCTGGAGCAGACCAAATTCAGTATCAGAAAGAGTGGAAGAAAAAAACGTCACGAAGATTGAAGAACCTAAGACGTTTATTATAGGAAATAAAAAAATAGTCTAACAGATATAACTTAGTGACAAAATCCCGCTTGACAAAACGAACAGTCTTAATTACACTGCGAATTGGAGTGTACCTCGCCGTTTCAAATACTTTACGGGAACGATCAACTCTGATACAACTTCTGAACTTGATTTGAATGACGATGACGATAAATTGACTAGTACAATGAAGCCTTACTTGGTTCAAACTGCCCGATCGAGATCTACATCATCAGTTTCCTCCTCATCCATCAGCCTTTCAAATTTTCCGGAAAACCCAAGCCGCGTTAAAAGTATCCGGTACGTTATTTGACGAATACCCAGACAAAATCGCTGGAAATTTGTCGCTAAATAAACTGTTTGAATCCTAGATCCTCAAGTGAAGATACCTTGGTGGCAGAGAAGGATGACGTAGAGGAGACGAATGACATCCAACTGTGGGAGGATATCCTTGCAGAACCAGCCCTCGAGTTGATACGAATTCCGAAATACGATCCGGATAAAGTTGAATATGTACGAGACATCATCAGAAAACACAATCACATTCCCTCAACACAAAGCTCAGTGCGCTACGATAAAACAACTACTGAAACCTCATCTAGCAGCTCAAGCTCAAGGTACCCTTCTAAATTCTCTTCTCCTCTAACCTTATTCAGCTCTAGCAGCTCAGAAGACGATAAACTGCGAAAAATTGATATGTTTTTATAAAGCAAGCAGATGACAAATAATGTGTATAAATAAACTTTTTTAATTTATTTAATAATACGAGTTGAATATACAGTTTGAAAGAAGCTATTTTCAGAGAGACTGTGTCAGACTGGGAAACTACTTTTGATCTTTAAATATTTTTTCGTTGTTGTCGTTTTGACTCTAGAACTTTTAAACTAAGGAACTACTCGGCAGTGTGGCTGGACAACAATAATTTATTCTTCGTCGAGTTATTTGTGTGTCGAGTCCTGGGCTAGAGCGTTTTGCAGCATTGTCTGAAACATAGCTTAGAAATAGAACACTCGAATAGTTTCTAACCTGTAAAAGTGTGTTCAAAACAGGATTATTCTCGTTGTTTTCAACATCTGTTTCTCGTTTAGCTGATCTAAAGATGTTTGCTAGAGAAAATTAAACAAACATAGCCTCACTTACGTTTGCTCCGGAAGTAACGGATTGTAAGTGGCAGTATTTTGTTGAAGCTGGGTAATAGCTTGCAGGAGCTGGATTTGTGTCAACATTTGCCTAGTCTTTTCCAGATTATTTCCGCCCAAAGCAGATAGACTGTTCAAGAGGGATGGCTCAGGTGCCGGAGCGATTGGCTTGGTTTCAACTAGAGTTGGAAGACTGGAAACATCAGGAGATACCTTCAATAAAAGTCAGGGTAAAGAAAAAAACACTAGGGTGTTACCTCACGGGTGGAAGATTTCAAGTCGTTTTCAAAAACATAGCTTGGGTCGAAAGTTTTGATGATTTTCTGAAAAAACGGCGTCAGAAAAAAATATCATTTTAGATAATGGTATTAGTACCATATTCATGCTAATGTATTTGAAATTACCTTTAGTTGTTCTTTTTCGCGTGATTCTTTTTCAATATGCTCAGCTGTCTGTTGCAAAATAGTTGCCTAGGAATAAGTGTCACGCGCCGTTCGCAATTGGCATAATAAGATTGTTACCTTGGAGACTTTTTCGTTGGCGATGCAGGGCACTAGGCTCTTGAGCCTAGCGAAGCCGTCATTTATGCTTTGCATGCGGCGTCGCTCGTTGCAATTCGCGATTTCGCGCCGCGATTTTTTCTCATCGGTCAATGTTGGAGATTTCGAGGGTTCAGAGCTACTCGTGTTGAAGTTGATTAATGAGCTGAGGCCACTGGGAGTGGCGTCGGAGACAGCAGCGGCGTGGAAGTCCCCAAGAGAAGCGGAACGAGACTGGGGCGAGCCAGGGGCGATACGGGCATTTTTTGGGGACGCTCCCCCAGAGAGGGGTTCGTCCGCAGATCGTTTTGTCGCCAGATTGTCTGAAGATATAAATAAGTATTCAGCTATTTTCTTTACGAAGAATAATAATCAATAGAAAAATTTACCCCCTCTTTTCATCAACGTTCTCTTTGAAAAAATTAGCTAAGACTACATCTGTCTTTATTTAAGAAAAATCTCAGTGGATGCTCGTTTCGCGAAAAATGCGTTGCGTGTAGTGTTGCTTCTGACACGTTCTACTTGCGACGGCAATGGCCAAACAACATTCCGGCCCCGACGCGGCATTTTCTCGCTCAGCTGTTCGCCCGCCTCGGGCGTGTGCCGCATCGCGTTGGCATGGAGGCGAGCTGGCAAAGTCGGCCAAACTTGATTAAATTATTTAATGAAAAAAATATATACAAGAAAAAGCATATATTTAGAGGCAAGTTATCATATTTATTTGTCCGTCATTTCGATCAGCTGTTCATTTTTCCTATTAGCGCCTCGTTGGCATGGTGAGGCCACGCGAAATTAAATATGCAACGAAATTATATCTACAGCGAAACTATGGCTCCCGTTTTTATGAGACGATAGAGCAGTTTATCTATTTATCTGTTTGAACAGAAACAGCTGCCAAAGTGAAAATATTATGGTTCGGCGTGTTTGTATGAATATAGCTTTTACATTGTTTGGAATATACATTTAACAGCCCGAAACTTTTGAATCGTTTCTTGAAAAAAAACATATTTTATCTTGCCGTGATGGCCTTTTGATTATAGCCTGTCCACGCAGGTTGGCGTGACGAGCGCCGGGCTAGTTGCCGATTGATTTATGCAAAAGTAATTTCCGGGCATAAAATCGGCAACTCAAAAGAAAGGCGCTGGCGATCGGCCACCACCACCACCATGACGGGCGTGCAACATGTGTTTCACCGTCGTTTGGCGAGAATTACACCTGGGGCAGGGGCGAAGCAAGCAACTCAGCCGAAGCCGCAGCAGAGGCCCGCAACTCTGCTTGGGAAAAGAGGGAAGCGGGTTGCGGATATGATAAGTAAAAAGACGTGCGCGCTTGTGAACAATTATCAACGATCTTGTTCGAACAAATGAATTATTTCGAAGAATATTTTCAAATAAATTTCCTACCTAAAGCTTTCTTTTTGAAAAAAATGCGCGTGTTTAATTTAGCGATCTCTAAATTTCAGTTGGATCAGCCGCTCTGTGCTGGGGCGGATCATCCCAGCGGAGAATGAATTCATTATGGAGCAACCTGTTCAGGGGGGAATGATGTTAGTGATGTAGTGATCCAGTTAATTACGGCGAAATAGCGAGCCCTGCCTTTCATTGACTAACAGCCCTTTCAAACAGCTGATTGAAACGCACGCCATTCCTCCCGTGGGGACGACCACCTCGCGTTCGTCTAATCATCTTATTGAGCATAATAAATCATCCCCGGGCAGGTGCACTCTTTTTTGACATTGGAACTCAACGAGCTCCTTGAATTGAGCTGAAAATTGTGCTACCATATTCTTTGAAAGCTAAATGCATCGCACGTGATCTAGCATGAAAAAAGTAAAAATTATGAAACTGAATCAGTATGATTCGCCAAAGAACGATCCATAACTTTTAGTAACTTCATAATTAAGAAAAAGCTAATAGAATCGTAAGATGGCCATACCAACGCGCACTTCCGGCTTTGGCATTTCTCGTGGCGACAAATCTAAGGCTGCGAGGAATCATCGCCCTTTATGTTGCCTAAATATCGAAAATCCCAGGATGACCTTAAACCTCCAGTGATTACGGAAAATATTATGATGGCGGTGAGGTCTTTTTAGGTTTTTCTATGAGGGGTCGTATTTGGATATTTTCCCATGAAGACTGCAAGATCATTCTATTTCTATTGACTTTATATATTTTATGTAAAAAACAAAAATAAAATATTTTTAAAAATCGCTCATAATTTCCGCAAAAATATCAAGGTCAAAGTCATAAAAATTTCCTAAGATTTTCAATTTCTTTAAGAAAACACTCACCCGATCACTTGCTCTCTCTTAGAATAAAAAAAACAAAACGAACTCAATTGACAATTGTGAAGAGTGAACTCCAGCAGCTGTGTTGTGGAGTGGCGCGAGGTTCGAGTTCCGATCCGAGCAATTTTCTCTTTTTTGTTATTTTACGTTTCCTACTCGTTGAGTCAGCTGGGCGCCTAGCGAAAAAGTTGCAGCCCGTTACGTCGTAAACGGAGCTAATCGCCCGGCTGATCCAGTCGGATGATCCGTGTGTGGGGAAAGAGCTACTCTCTTGCCAATTATTACTACTCAAGTAGATGCTCTAGGAAGTCTCAGCTGAAAGCACTGGCGATAAGCGGAGCATTCTTTCATCTCTATTTTTCTCTTATCGTAAAATAATTACAAGATAAAATATGTATCCCCAGGTATTTAAATAAAAAAGTTACGTTATTTATAATTAGTATACCTGTTTGTGTAAAATCTCTCTGTTACTGTAGCAAAAATTGCTTCTGTTACTCTTGGAATGCAGCTGTTAAAATGGCGCTGCTTTACTGCTGGTGCTGGTGGTGGAGCTTATGGTGCTACCGGCTGGCCGTGGAGGTGGTGTGCTGGCCCACCGGCTGGCTGCTTTGGCGCTCAGGGTGAGGTGAAAATAGCGGGCAGGTGAGCGCCGCGTCCCTCACAGCTGGGCCACGGCCAGATTTCAACCTTTTCCGCACGCTGTCCTGGACCTTGCCCGCCGGGCACGCTCAATACTGTCCACTTTACTAGCTATTAATTCTTCTAATACATTTATGTCGACTATAAGCTTGATAATTATGCCATAAATCAAAGTACAAGTCAGTCCGTAGCTGCTAGTGAAGGAATTCTGACTGTAAAACACAGAATGGTGCACCTACGCGTGGCTACTACACCTTGTCCGAGCGATTAACACCACCTGTTCTGTGCACTGCCCCTCGCACTAGCCACCCTCCACCACCAGCCGTTTTCGCTTTTCGCCAAAACACGAATCATTAAGCGCCAAATATGCCCAAATTTCGCGCAATTACGTGCGCATTTTTCATTCAATCAAACCATTTTTGATAGAAAAATTGAATTATAAATACTCAAAAATATTGAAAAATAAAACCCAAGATTCAAAAAATTAAACCACTGATTCTTACCTTCAGGACACTGAACCATGCAGTAATAATTCCATCTAGGATCAGTTGCGACTCTACTAGGAGTCCAAATCACGGATTCAACTCTATCATGCGATCTTGAGCCCTCAAGACGGCCTTGTTGGAGATGTTGGAATCGAGTCGCATGAAAATGGGAAATAGAACCGTTTTGTCGCATATTTTGATGCATAAAGTGGTGATTTGAAAGTGGAATTGTCATCTAATTATTATGTTCCCTTTATTTATATATTTGTTCTTTAAAAAAGGCATCAGTGCCGAACGCACAAGAGCGCAACCCGCATCGGCGCTACAGAGATACATATGATCACGTCAGGTAGCATGCGCCATTTTTTCGGAAAGACTCTTATCCCCCCATCTTAGGATGGAACAATGCTAGAAAATGTTATCACACATGTTATAAATATAGAAATATTTCATGAACAGATTTTCATATACCGCTGAGCCCAAGCTACGGAAATGTTTGGAATCTTGATTTATAAAAAATTAAAGCCTTTGCACTCGAATAATCTGAAATGTGCGTCTTTATTGAAGACTCTTCAACCGAGAAAGTGTCAACGGGTATAGATTCGATACTATAGATACCGAAAAGATGTATTTTTATGTCATGATTTACTTCTTATGTAAAAATCTCATCATATGCTGTTTTGCCTGAAAGACTGACCATGATCATCACTGATGATTTGTGACGCAGATGGTCGGCTTTATAACGGAAATCGATCTTTCATTGTAAATGACGGCCAGTCAACCGATGGAATTTTCCTTCCACCAGGAGTTTTTCTTACCGGGCAGCTTGCCCTGACCTCCTCCTACCAAACATAAATCCCTAACAGCTGTAGCATACTGCAGCGCAAATTGTGGAAAGTGTACATAAGTAGATACGGATTTTTGCCCATAAAAATTCGACGACAAATTACCTTTTCTTCCTGACTTCACTGTAACAATGAATTTCGCTATGTAGTCAATTGTTTCGGTATTAATTCTCTCCTGCTTTCGTTTCATTTTCTCGTTTATCTGACTACTCTTACTGCAAGAAGCAAATCTAGCAAAAATAGGAACGCTCTAGAGAAACAGCTGCTCATATCGAATGTTTTTGAGATGCTGAAGCAACACATGTTGATACCTCATCGTTCTTACTTACAAGAAGGAACAGCACAATTTAAATCAATAAGATAATGTTCATTTATCTGTGAATAAGAGCGGAAGAATGATGGAACTTTAAATTTTGGGACTTAATAAAGTTTTGTATAAGTGGATAAGTAACTCGGAATTGAAGATTTTCAGCAATCACAATGGAATCATAGAAGAAATTGCATGTCGGAACTGATGTCAAGGAAGAATGGTCCATGCTCGCTTTTGTTGAATGTTGAGCATCGAATTTGATAAGTTCCAGGATCAAGCTGAGTTTTGAGGACGGAGTAACCCGAACGGTAGCTGCCAGAATCATCCAGTTTCTATGGAAAGAAAGATGAGATCGGGATGTAGAATATTCTGCCCACCTTTTCTGATAGATCTTCAAGCTGTATTTGTACAGAATACTGTTTCGGTGCTCTTATTTCGAACAAGACGGTACACTTCGAACAGATGGTTAATTTAGTAACGGGGTTAGAGCCATAGGTATCTCGGTTATTTTGGCATCCTCCAGCATTAGACGAGTTCCATTCAGATTTGATCCGTTTGGAATGAGTGAAGTTATCCTTCAGCTCCTTCAAACTGAATTTCACATTGGCGTAAGCCGTGAGGGTGAAGTCTATGTCATGATTTTTCTCATATTCTGAAACGATAATCGTGTATTTTTCGGGAGCTGAACTTATGGAAACGGGGAGCTTCGCAAGGTAGAATGGTGAATTGATTCTGATACCATCTAGGACTTTTGTTCCTGAAGTTGGGAGATAGAGTCGTTCGCCGTTATTCCTAAATTTGATGATTCATTGGACATAATTGAAGAGTGATAGAACAAGTGCAAAGTCTTATTTACTTGTAAACAATGAGTGTAATAAAATCCTTATTCTCGGCGAAATCATCCTTCTCGGTGATATGCCGACTGAGGAGAAGCCAGACCATTGTGTCAACAGAAGCATCAACGGTCAGCAAATACTGAGGATTGTTCGCAAAAGAGTAAAGATCCTTCTTCGGCCCCTGTGGCCAGGTTCCATGAAATTTTCGGTCGAACTTGAAAAGAGAGGTATTCCATGAAAGATAACAGACGTCGAAATATATGATTAGATCATTCCACTCGATCCAGAACACTCCTGAGAAAAAAAATGATCAATTTTTTATGTAATAATGAACTAAAAAATACCCTGGTCGTCGGCAGCAGCTGCTTTCGGATCATAGTTTAGGGCATGCTTCATTTCTGGAGTCCATCTGGTAGTATCCTACAAACAGAAATTTACGCAAATACTGAGTCATCGTATCGGCGATGGTTGAAAATTATCAACACGTTAGCATATGCTAACATGCCTACAGCATGGAGTACGATATTACCTGATAGGAATATTTGCCCTTCCAGCTTCTCTCAGCCCAAGGATTTTTCAGCTTCACAAATCGCAGATTACCCACTTGCCTTAAATCTAGCAGGGCATACGCATGAGTCGGTACAAGTCCCGATTTCTCTTCCAAATCTGTTTCAGGGTATAAAATCAATTACGTAACCTAAGCCCGTCAAAACTACTTTAGATTGAATAACCTAAATCTGAGGATAGTCTTCCTGTCGCCATTGTTGCTAGCACATGCCCACTCCCCATTCTTGTTTTGAGCATCGTGAAAAACCGGCCTTCGTCATTAACGGTTTCACTCAGAGATTTCCTCTCAGGAATCCACCTGAACCGGTTAAAATAAATCGATGCTGACGTCAAATGGAAAAAAAGAGCTCTTACCCTGTAAGAGCATGAAGATCGATGCTTGAATTGGATCCGGGAAAATCGTAACCACCCATCACTTTCAAATAAGCCTTTTCTAACAAGCTGTACGAAGGATTTACTTACTTTCCACTTAAAAAAGTTTCCAGTGATCACAAATATGTAAGCATAAGTATATTCCTTTCCTGACCCAAAGTTCAGCTTTATCTTTCGAATAGGACGTCAGAGTCTCCCACCCTGGTCAAAGGGGAACCGGGTGTCCACCTCAACGAGTCTAATGAAACGTTAGAAGGCACTTTGTTAACTGGACAAACCTCCAGCATCCATTGATATGAAGTCGAACACAATACTTGCCATAAGGGTTCAAAACTGGCTTGCGCTCACGATTCTGTGGGAAGAGCGAGTTGGTGATGATCTGCGTGTGGAATTTGTTCTCGTAGCCGGCCGACAGAATCATGGCTGACACAAATGAACAGTCAGAAACCAACGTTTGCGTCACATTGCGAGGAGATACTTTATTCACCACTGTCGCGTTCGGAATGTAGTCTTCAGCATGAGCCCAGCCGGCCAAACGTTTAACTTGTTTAGCTGTTGAAGGGTAGGTAGTATATCTCAGATATAATATCTGCATTAGTGGAATCTATGATTTTGAAATTCAAAATTTGAATCATTAATCCAGTCATGGGATCACGAGTCGGAGCATTGACGAACTTTTTTTCAACTTTCCTTTCGCAACAAGAACGTACCCCTTTGCCTGAAAGGTCCAAAATTCCATCAGAGTCCTTCCATCGCCCGTTTCCGCTTAGATTAGCATAGCTAGCATCAGCTGGGAAGAATGGAACGAATTTCTTGCCGTTAATAAAGCTGCTTCGACGCAAAACGGCTATCTCATCCGCGGAAAGCTTCGAGGAGTCGTCAATTTTATTCGAAGGAGGAGAAAAGGGTGAGCACGCCTCTTGGTGATTCCCTCTGCTGGCTGAAAGTTAAATCGGAATAAGGTGAAGTTCAACTGTTGAACAACAGGTGTTGAGTTAGCCGGGTTTTTTAATAAAAAATAGCATAAAATGCATAATTTGTGTGCTGAAAAATCATGTGCTTTTTAACAATGGTTTCCATCGTCGATATTTACTCTTTCGAGTTTTCGATTAGCCATGCCTTGATTGCGGTTAGTAATAAATGGTTCATTTCTACCAGCAGGAGCACTTTTCATCGCTTTGCGCAACTCTAAACTGCGTTCCAAGCAGTGGCGCTCCCATTTTTCATATTTCGCGATTGAAGCAGGATTTTTTCGCTTCGCCAAATTGAATTTCTTCGCTGCATTGTCATACAGGGCGAAGGCGTTGGGGGCGTTTTTCTCATCGGCGGATATTGCTGCTTCCAGCAGCTTTTTGGCTTTTCTAGAACTCAGAAACGGAAGACCATAAGACATCGCATATCGGGGTCTGTAATTCTTCTAAAGCGGGTATCATGTCTGCAAGATCTTGAAGAGATAGCTGACCTAAACCAAAAACGAGCCGAAGGTATTTACGCTAGCATGAGTTCAAATCACAAAAACCCATTTCTGACCGACACGGAAAAAGAAACAGACCCAGAGGTCCTGAAACGAAGAGAGGTAACAGAATCCACTAGAGCAGATACTTCACATCCCTTTAGAAACAGATTGAATACGGGAAAATAACTGAAAGATATCAAGAATATATTGAAGCTGTTCCTAAGAACGAACGAAAATACTGGCAGCCAAGAACTCCCAGTAAGAATAAGATTATTGACTGTGAAAATATACTTTCGCTTAGAAAAAGACCAGGTCACTCCTCGACGAATTTTCGACGGAGAAGTTCAGGCCTGGAAGAAGAAATTGCACTACTGGAATGATAAGGATGAGTGTACCAAAATAATTCCGAAAGGAAAGGGTGCTGGGAGAAAGTAAGCAATTCTAGTGTTGGCTAAATTTACTATTTTTTTTCTTTTAGACGCGAATGGAAGCCAAAAGATTCATCGCCCGAGGAAGAAAAATCTGCAAAACGTCAGAAATATCCGTCCGAAAGAAATGATGATCGAAAACTTTAAATTTTCTGCCCCGAAAACACAAAATAGAGTTTCTAGTTCCATTCCTTCGATTTCTTCAGCACTCTTCATTTTCTATTTTCTCACTCGCGCATCATTCTGAACAAATTAATATCAAAATATCAGTCAAATGGCATAAAAACGCATCAAATTAATAATTGATAATATTGACTGTAGTTCCGAAGTCCCCGTTGCTGTGCGTTTGCGCGCGCTTTTCAAAATCGGCCACCGCCGATTGGCTCAGCTCGCCAAGGATCAATTTTTCGAGACTTTTTCCAGAGACACCTTCGATATCTCCTCTGTTTTACGCAGAAATCGTTCATATCATATGATTGACAAATCAAAATTATATTCACCAAATCCGGGTGAAAATGACAAAGATAAGAATGATGTTATATCATTTTGTCTATTTTGACCATTTATCGGCGGAATTATTATATAAAATGTAAATTTATCGCGGATATCCTGTTTCCTGATGCTGATTAGAGTCAGATGACCGAGTTGCGTGATGTTACATAAATAAAAACGGAATTTTTCAGACAAATGTCGGTGGCACCGAAACGGTCGCGTTTCTCCGACCGTCCGGAAGATTCCGGCGTCGGTGGAAAAGTCGCAAAGACAGAGTCAACTCCGAGTTGGTTGAAACCATCATCCGGATCCGATTCGCTCCCTTCTTCTGGCTCTAACAATGCCTTGGCGCTCATGCCTCTTTCTGGCGGTCTTTTGCCGAAACCGGACAAGCCAAAGTTGACTAAAGAAGAAAGAAGAGCGCTTAGGAAGAAGAAATGGTCGACAGATACTGTCAGGTAGCTTTTTTCTTTCAAGACCATTTCTGGATATTCTGGAATATTCTAGCATTACTGGTATTTCTACAAACATGCCATCAGATCTCACCCCCGAGCAACAAAAGATCTACATAAAACAGCTCGAAATCGAAGAAATCACAAAGAGACTGAAGTCAAATGATCTTGGCATTCCAGCTGATCCTACTCAACGGTAAAAAATCATTGCTTACAGGCTTTTTACTAGCATGATTTTTAGCTCTCCGTCTCCCGAGCCGGTGTATTCATCAGATGGAAAACGACTGAACACGAGAGAAATCCGAACAAAGAGAAAGTTAGAGGATACGAGACATCAACTTATTACTCAGATGAAGGAGCTCAATCCTCACTACATGCCGCCAAGCGACTACAGAGCGCCCAATGTGAGGGTTCAAGAAAGAGTGCTCATTCCGCAAGATGAGCATCCAGGTATACCTTAATTTTTTTGCTTATTCTTAACTCTCGTTTGTCAGGAATCAATTTTGTTGGCTTGCTCATCGGCCCACGAGGAAATACTTTGAAGAAAATCGAAACAGAACATCAATGCAAGGTCATGATCAGAGGAAAAGGATCGGTGAAAACGCAGAGCCAGAGCTTTATCTCCCGTCCTCTACCAGGTACACAAAAGAACTAAACCCTGAATCTACGACTTTTCAGGCGAGGATGAGCCTCTTCATGCTTTGATTTCTGCGAATTGCCAGACATCAGTAGAAGATGCGATCAGAACGATCCGACAGATCATCAAGGACGCGATTGAAAACCCAGAAGGACAAAATGACTTGCGAAAGACGCAGTTGATGGAGCTTGCTCGACTCAACGGCACCTTGAGAGAAGGCTTCGAACCAAAGGAGAACTCCTGGCTCAAACCTGAGAATCAAACGATCACGAACCAGTTGGTTTGCACTAAGTGTGGTGGAAGGGGACATATTTCCGGCGATTGTCGATCTGGCCATACTGGAAACGAGAAGCTTGTCAATAGGTAAAAATCCCGGGGAACTTCAATGATCATTGTTTCATTCGTAGAGCGATGGATACCGAATACGAGGCACTCATGGCGGAACTCGGAGGCGGAAAGAAAGGACCATTGTCACAGCCACGTAGTGGATTTTCAACTCAAAACTTCCACGGAACTGCTAACATTCAACGAGTAAGCGTAAAACATCATCGAGCCTGTACTCATCTTCCATTTAGCTTGATACTCCTCAGCAGCAGTATCAACAATCGTCTGGCTACGGTTCTGGACGGGACTTTAGTGGTGGTTCGCGAGACAATGGAGCGTCTGGATGGTCGAATAATCCTGCAGGTAAGACAGACTATTCTTCGAGCACATGTTATGTTTTTGTAGACATTTACAACCGTGGACCTCAAGCCGCCGGGGCATACGGCGGAGCTAGCGGTGGTGGAGGCTCTGGCTTGGTGACTCCTGACCAGTATAAAGCCCAAAAGACCCAAATGAATCCTAACGACCCGATGCAGCAACAAATGATGATGATGAATATGGTAACAGCATATACATAACCTATATGATTATGAACACGCTTACCACTAATCGTTTAGCGTTAAGAGACCTCCATCTCAGCAGCTATAAATTAAAGAAATCTTGAACCCCTTCTTAAAAAATTCTAGATGATGGGCATGCAGGGACAAATGCCACCCCCACCTCCGCCACCAGAATAATCTAACAATAACTCCGTCTCCATCCTCTTTAGCTCGACAAGGATCGTCACTTTGGAAGAAGAAATTCTAACCAAATATTCTCATTTACTGTTTTAGGTTTTTAAATTGTTCTAACCTAAAAGTTTTTTTAGCTCAATCCAGTGTATAGGTTCCATTTCATCACTCTTGCATCATTTACTTTTTGTTAACCTTTAGGGCGTCCTTTTGATGATGCGGATAAAAAACGTCAGCAACTCTGGCTGTTCAAATTTTTTTACAGATGAAACTTTGACTTTCACGCGTTTTTTAAATAATAATGTTCGTTTTGAGGCTCCTAAAAGGATATCTCATTTTTCCATCTTTTAGCTATTAAACTAGTTTAATAACTTATTGATAACCTGAGTCAATGAAGTCAGGTCTTATGATGGTATAAACTCCCCTTTGAATGTCCCACATTTGACTCCTTTAGCTCAATTTACGTTACGTCACCTTAACGCGTCGCTTTTCTTCATAACTTATTTTAGATCTAACAGATTCAGTACCGTAGTGTTGAGTCAACTCGTATGGCAGCTGTTGAACTGGTCTGAGCAAGAGTCCGGAACGACCTTCAGTTGGTAGGAAATCTAAATATTCTGTCAGACATTATTTACTTTAAGGCGCCGCTGTACATCTGTTCATACCGGACTGCTCGTTTGTGGATTATTTTCTGTAGGGTTTTAACAGTGCTCAAGCCAAACTGCTAGACAGATCCCTCCACGCAAACATCTTGAATTTTTGTCTCCGGGGTCACGGGAGACGGCCTGAGCGCTGCTAAGACCAGTCGACGGGAATCTAACAGTTCTCGTCTCAGAATGATACGTTCCGTCGGTGCGGCCGCCATACGATGCTCTGCCACGAGGCAATTCTCATCGTCACAGACGGCTAGCTATTATAAACTCGACAACTTTGGTCGTCCGCTGAATCAAATCCCCGAGTGGATCGATGAAGGTGTTGCGTTGCCTTTTCCCGGTGCTCAAACGACTATAAGATCGCAGAAATTCAAAAAGCAGTTCCGTAAAAATGTAAATATAGATTTGGTCTACCTGAAATTTATATTTATTCTAGTCTGTCGTCCGAACTTCTGGATTGAACATCGTCGACAACTCAAAATACAGCGCGAATCAGCAAGAAACGGAGCCTCGTTTTGTAAGCAGCTACCGTAAACGTAAGCTGCCGTCATCAACCCTCATCACTCATGTCATTTTCAATAGAAAGACGATACAATAACGGAACAGTTGGGGATTTAGTCTTGGTATCAGTTGGGGCAGAATTCAAACGAGGGCTGATAATTGGAATGTCGAAGCATCACAAAACTTTCAGACCATATTTTGATAAGAATAATGTTGTTTTATTGAACGACGATGGATCACCCGCTGGCACGCGAATTTTAGCGCCTGTTCCATCTTGGTTCAAAGATCCCAAAGGTGAAGTAACCCCTCAAAATCAATTTAATAAGTCTTTTAGAAATAAAACGAATCGAAGCACAAGGACAAGTCTGTAATATGGATGTACAAATGAATAAATTAATCGCCATCACTGGCACCTTCATCTAAATACACTCACACAACAAGGTTGTACAATCTTTCTTATAAAATTGACGTTCGTTGTTATTCAGACAAAGCGTCGCCTGTAGGTCGAGACGAAAATGGCAACGTTGGCCGATGAATTTCTCGCTGATTTGGAGGACGATGAAGAAGATGTCATCGATGAGATGGAGTTGGAAAACGCCCAGAGTTCTGGAGTTAAAAGCGAGCCCGGTGCTGTTAAGGTGAATGCGGCAGCATGGATGCCGTATAACTAACGGTAAATCTAGACGGAACCAGACGTAAAAATGGAAAATGTCCAGAGCATCGACGACATTGACTCGGTAACTAACCTCCTACAATCATCAGAATTCCATGATTACATGGCTCAAATCAAGGAAAGAGTCGGTGAAAATCCAAAGCCGTGGTTCGGTCTTATTGAACAGAATCCGGAGTATCTTTTGGTTGTCAAAGCCAATGAGCTCTGTTCTAAGATTGATGATGAGATTGCAGTTGTTCATAAATTCGTACAGGACATGTACGCTGCGAGGTAAGTCTAAGCTCGAGCAAATTCCTTCGATAACAATGCCGCTAGATTTCCAGAGTTGCCAGAAACCATCCCCGAGCCTTCTGTTTACCTTAAAACCGTGGCAATTCTTGGAAACGACATCGAAGCCGGGATCAAAAAGCTCGGAGACGTCCTCTCCTCTCAGACAATTCTTATTGTAACTGTCACAGCGTCCACAACTTCAGGAGTCAAAATAGAAGAAGAAAAACTCGGACCCCTTCGTCGAGGCTGCGAAGTAGGCACGCAACTTTGTGAAGCGAGAGAACTCATCCTTGAATTTGTCGAGTCCAGAATGGAATTCATTGCCCCGAACGTCTGCCGCATCGTGGGCCCTGGAATCGCAGCGAAGGTGACTGCTCAAGCTGGTGGAATGACGGCCTTGACGAAAATGCCGGCTTGTAATATCATGCTGCTGGGGAAAGAAAAGAAATCATTGCAGGGCTTCTCGAAACTCAACATGTTGCCGAACACTGGATTCGTCTTTTATGCTAAACTTGTCCAAGATCTGCCGCCTGAGTTTAGAAAGAAAGCTGCCAAATTGGTGAGTCATGCAAAAATTTGTGAAACAATCGAACGTAACAAAAAATTTAGGTCGCGTCCAAACTCACTCTTGCGGCACGGGTGGATTGTTTTCACGAAGCCGAAGACGGCTCAGTCGGAAAGAATCTGCTAGAGCAAATTTATGAAAAGTTCGACAAATGGCAAGAGCCTCCACCAGTCAAGCAGACAAAGGTGAAGATATTGTGTATCCGGCCAGTATTTTATTGATTATACCTTAGGCTTTGCCAGTTCCACTTGAAGCTCCACGCAAAAAGCGAGGAGGTCGCAGAGCCCGGAAGATGAAAGAGCGAATGGGCATTACAGACATGCGTAAATTGGCAAATCGAGTCAATTTCGGCGAGATCGAAGATGACGTTAATCAAATGAACATCGGCGAAGGTCTCGGCGCGCTCAACGCGAAGGGTGGTGCTAGCGGAAAAGTTAGAACCGCAGCCGTTGACAAGAAAACACAGGTGAGTGTCTACTCGACTGCACATCCTTACCCCTTTTCTTTAGGTCCGGATTTCTAAAGCACTCCAGCAAAAACTCGCGAGAAACAACGCTGCGATGAACTCAAGCGGCTTAGCTTCAGTTTTTCCATCTGGAGGGAGGACAACTGTTGGAAGGTAAGCATCACTGTTTCTCCTTACGGTACAAATTATCTGAGATTAACCTCTGATTCAGAGACAACGCAAATGGTATGGCATCATCAGTTGCGTTTACCCCACTCAAGGGACTCGAGATCATCAATCCCAACGCCTGTGAAAAACGAGAAGAGTCAAACAAGTATTTCTCTGATGAAAGCGGTTTCACATCGATCAAGCCTAAAATTTAAAATTCTAATCATACTGCCATTTGATTTCTACGTATTATTGAAACTCCCCGTCCAAAAAGAATTCAAGCTATATTTTCTAGAATTATTTGTCTCCTACAATCATGCTACTGTCAAAAAGCTCAGATTCACTCTTTTCAGCCAAGAGATTAGTTCAGAATGGCCGCTATAAAGAACTTGAACCCAAAAGCCGAGCTTGCTCGAAATCACCAGGCCCTTGCCATCAATATTTCCGCCGCTCGTGGTCTGCGCGATGTCATGAAGACCAACCTCGGCCCCAAGGGAACGATGAAAATGCTCGTTTCCGGCGCTGGCGACATCAAATTGACAAAGGACGGCAATGTGCTTTTGAATGAGATGCAAATCCAGTCACCTCCTGCTATGCTCATCGCCAAGTGCGCTACTGCTCTTGATGACACTGTCGGTAGGTTATAACTAGACTGTTTTTTTTTTATTACACATTGACAATTTGACATTGTAAATTTGCGCAAATCTTAGCAGAATTACGTTATTGGCATCTTCGGGTTTCGACTGTGAGGATGTTGATGACGCCATGGGACATGGCACTCTGAACGTTATAAGTGACCTTTAATTATAGGCGACGGAACTTCTCAGCTTATTTGCTTCATTGGCGAGCTTCTGAAGCAAGCTGATGGACATATCGCTGATGGAGTTCATCCGAGACTCATCAACGATGGCTTCAGACTCGCATCTGTTGAGGCTAAAAAGGCGCTTGAAATTATCGCTGAAAAGAAGGAAATCAATCGAGACCTCCTCCTTCAGGTACAGTTCACCCAAAAAAACAATGATGCTACTTCTTTTTCTAGGTCGCAAGAACGAGCCTTCGAACAAAACTTGATGCAGAGCTCTCTGAGAAGCTGACAGAAGCTGTTGTCGATGCTATCCTAGCTATCCAGAAAGAGGGTGAGGAGATCAACCTTCACATGGTCGAAATCATGGAAATGCAGCACAGATCTGCCATGGACACTCAACTCATCAAAGGTTTGCGAATGCTACCTACTAGCATTGATTATTCTAAATAGGTCTCGTTCTCGATCACGGAGCTCGACATCCCGACATGCCAAAGCGAAGTGAAAAGTGCTTTATTCTTGCCGCCAATGTCTCCCTCGAGTACGAAAAAACCGAGGTCAACTCTGGCTTCTTCTACAAAACCGCTGAGGAGCGAGAAAAGCTCGTCAAGGCCGAGCGTGCTTTCACCGATCAAAAAGTGCAGAAAATAATCGATTTCAAGAAACAGGTCTGCAAAGACGAAGGCGAGGGTGAAGCCTCCTTCATCTTGATCAACCAGAAGGGTATCGACCCCATCTCTCTTGATGCGCTTGCCAAAGGTTAGGTCTTCAATGCTTTCAAAACTTGACTTTTACTTTCAGAAAACATTGTTGCTCTACGACGAGCCAAGCGACGTAACATGGAGCGATTGGCACTCGCTTGTGGTGGACATGCTCAGAATTCGGTCGATGACCTCACTCCTGACTGCCTTGGAAAAGCTGGACTCGTTTACGAAGCTGTCTTGGGCGAGAACAAATTTACTTTTGTCGAGGATTGTGTCAACCCACAGTAAGTCCAGAAGTTTCTTTATGAAACTGAACTTCTATTCAAGGTCTGTCACTCTTCTGATCCGAGGTCCCAACCGACACACCATTGCACAGATCAAAGATGCCATTCGAGATGGTCTTCGAGCGGTCAAAAACTGCATTGATGACAAGCAAGGTACATTTCGAATCAGAATTTTTGATATAGATAATCAGCCGTTAAACCATCTTTAGTCGTTCCTGGAGCCGGTGCCTTCGAAATCGCTTGTCACCAGCATTTGATCGAGTACTCCAACACCGTCAAAGGTCGACAGGCTCTTGGTGTCCGGGCCTTTGCCGAGGCGCTTTTGGTTGTTCCCAAGACTTTGGCGAACAACTCTGGTCACGATCCAATGGATGTTGTCGTTACTCTCCAGGTATGCATATTCATTGATAGTCATTTCTAATGCTGCTTCAGTCAGAAACACGAATGAATAAAGAGGCGATGGGCGTTGATCTTCAAACAGGCGAAGCAATCATCCCTGGTGATGAGGGCATTTGGGACAACTATTGCGTCAAAAGCAGATTCTCGACTCCGCGACCGTCATCTCCGAGCACTTCCTCCTCATCGATGAGATCATGCGAGCCGGTTTAGCGACGCTCAAGGCTGGCCCAGCCCAGTGATTACAGTAAATTGTACTGTAATCACAGTGCCTTAGAGTTTTCCACTACAAAACTTACACCGTCTACTTCACTTTCACCGATGACCTGTCTGTCTACTACGCGTTAGATTTTTATTTACTACTATACCAATTCAATTCCATCTTTTCTTAGAATATTGAAAACTTCCTGAACATGTACCTTTATTAGTTCAATACACTTGTTTTTTGTCCAAAATACTTTAAAATTGCTGTATAAAAACTGCTATTTTAAAAATTATTGTTGTCTTATTATTTATTCTCGCTTATCAGAACGGATGATATCGCGTATTTCTTGTCAGTCTGTCAGGTCCTTCCAGACTTCGCGAAACCTATTCAAGCGTATTCGAAGCCCTCGAAACCAGCAAAATGTGCTCAATGAAACTGTAAACTCGGTCCCTGGGCGTGCTATTCCCGGCTACTCTGTCGGTGCCAAGATAGCCGCGGGAGCATCTGCATGTGGCCTTGGCGGGCTTGTCTTTTACGGGCTTAACCTTTCCAATGAAAACAGAGCCGTCGACCGTGCTTCCTACTGGCCCCAGTATATCAAGGACAGAATTTCCTCCACCTACAACTATCTCTTCCAGAGTCTCTTCGTCACTGGTGCTGCTGCGTATGGAGCGCTCCGTTCGCCTATGATCATGGGTCTCGCTAGCCGTGGAGGGATCATGGCTTTTGTGGCAACCCTCGCCTGCATGATCGGGCTTCAAATGGGCGTTCACGCGTCGCCCTATGTTCCTGGCGAATTCAACGCGCAGAAGAAGGCCTTCTGGGCCCTCCACGCAACTTTCATCGGATGCATGATGGCTCCTCTTGTTGCCATGTTTGGCGATGTCGTCGCTCAAGCAGCCCTGTACACTGGCGGCCTTGCTGGTGGCATTTCCGCTCTCGGCTGGGTGGCTCCCTCCAAAGATCAATTCAATATGATGACCCCACTCGCCATGGGCATGGGACTCGTTCTGGTTGCTGCTATGGCTTCTCCATTTTTAGTCCAACTTCTCCAGCTGGTGGAGCGCTCTTCTCATTCGTTCTCTGGGGCGGAATGATCCTCTCCGGCGGACTCATGTTCTTCCACACCCAAACCATGCTCAACAAGGCAGAACGACATCCTCTCCATCACCCTAAAGCTTATGATCCTATCTCGGCCTCCATGGGAATGTACATCGCAATGGTGAACATGTTCCAGCGACTGCTCTTCATCCTCGGAACAAACAAGAGAAAGTAAATTTGAAGTTCAAGTGATACCATCGATGTTTCTGATCACACTTTATTCAACCCACTGAAAAAACGCTCCACGTTCACGGATCAATGTATAAAAATTTCATATTTTAACCAGTATTGATGTCTTTAATTCTCCTTTCGTTAAACTGTTTCCACAGAGTTACAAACTGAAAAATATAATAAAAAAGAAGTTATTTATATTTTTGGTATAAGAATGGGTTTTTCAACTGATACCTTGCGGCCGATCGCCCAGAAAACATGTAGAGGTAAAATTTGAGCAGTAGTCTTGAGTATTAGAGTTGTACTTTACCTAAATAATTGTACAGATATTGTCGGACATACTGACGGTAATATCATCAATGCTGCGATTCAATGTATTCTCCAGAACAACACAAAAGAAAAGGCTTCCCGATACTTAACTCCCTTCCTTGGAGGACTGACGCCTAAGTTTGTAACGAGTTTATTCAACAACGTTGAAAACTATGATCCAGCGTGAGTACTCCCCATTTATTAAGGATCGTAAGAAGGTATTTTCAGTGATTATGAAAAACGCAAGATCGGCGACGAAGGCGGACCCGCACGAAAGAAAAAACGCTTCCAGGACTTTGACGATATCATTGACGAGAATCCCGCCTTGCTAAAGCAAACTCCCCAAGAAGGTCAGGCTCAAAATGTTCTCGAAGAAGCAAAGAAGCAGATTGAAAACCGAAAGCGATTCTTGAAGTCGTTGTCGAGCAAGGAAATCTCGAAAGTCGCTGCTGTACAGACGATATCGGCGGAGGGTATGGATCGGGCGCAGAAAGCGGCCGAAATCAATGCTCGAGTCGAGGCGGCCATGGCACGAGTCAATCCTTCGATGCCACTGAAAGGTCCTACTCCATTGCTTCTGGACAAATCTGGACAGCGCGTAGATGTAGCCTCAGGCGAAACAATCGTGCCCAAAGCCCGGCCCTCGTTGCTTGCAAACATGAACGTCATGAATCGGGACTTGGTAAAGAAGGAAAACTACGTTACAGCGAAAGCTAAAGAAGAAACGCGAAAAGAATGGGCTAAGCCGGAAGAGGTTGAAGAAGTCTCACAATTTAAGGACAACCGGTAATATTTTCCATCAGCAACATTTATTAACGTCATTCAAGGCTTATGTCAAAGTCAATGACGCGAAAAAGCGAGCCTTCAACTTCCATCAAGCTGGAAAATTCGTCAACGAGGCTAATCTGATGCGGAAGCAAAATAAAATCAAGGAATTGCAGGAGAAAATCAATGCTCGAACACGCGAGACTGGAATTCAACAAGCAACGGCCTTACTTGCGCCAAGATCGAGGCAAGAATGGGAGATGCACGTCCCAGAAGTCGAATGGTAAGCGTTATGAAATCAAGGAAGAGTTAACCATTAATCTTTTTAGGTGGGACTCATTGATCATGGCCGAAGACTTCAAAGTCACGAAGCTCATTGAACATCCAGAACAACAAGCTCCAAACGGCGAGGCACCAGCGCCAGAAGCCATTGGCTTGTATCTGACCAAGAAGGAGCGAAAGAAGATGCGACGTTTGAACAGAAAAGAAGTTCAGAAAGAGGAGCAAGAAAAGATCCGCCTTGGACTTTTGCCCGCTCCTGAGCCCAAGGTTTTGAAATCAAGGAAGAAAGGATAGAAATTATCTCTTATTTAGGTCAAGCTTGCGAATATGATGCGCGTTTTGGACTCGGCTGCCGTTGCTGATCCGACAAAAGTGGAAAAGCACGTCAGAGAGCAAATGGCCAAACGGCAGAGAAAGCATGAGCAAGATAATCTCTCGAGGAAACTAACGGACGAGCAGAAGCGCGAAAAGAAAATTAAAAAACTGCAAGAAGACACTTCGATCAGCGTTAGAATCGCTATTTATAGAATAAGGAGAGCTTTAAAAACATAATCTTAGAGACATGTGTATTGTTAAAAGAAACATTTTTAAAACTTACTGACAGATCATTAAAAGATGCCAAGAAAAAGTTCAAAATCGAGATGAATTCTAAGCAACTGTACATGACAGGAGCTACTGTACTCAACAGAGACTGTTCAATGGTGGTTGTTGAAGGCGGTCCTAAATCTCAGCGCAAGTTCAAACGATTGATGATGAATAGAATCAATTGGAAAGAGGATACTCTCGAATACGATGACGTAAGTTCTGATGATTTGATCACTTTACTTCACGACATGTTTGCCAGACTCTCTTAAATGTCAGCAACGTATAAAAGAGCCGGGAAATTTTGATTTTCGAAGTTTTCCCTTCTAGATTCAATTTCTGCGTCATAGTATGACGTAAATTACACGTGTCCTTAGCGGGCCTTTCAGAAAGAATGTAATTTATTCCTTCTTTGATTTTATTCGTTTTTAAATATTTACGAGAGTCATAAGAGACCTCACTTTTCTGAGCAAATGAGTGAAGCTTTGTTCTAGGGAAACTTTTGCGAGCTAGTTTGGGAAGGTGAGTCCGCTGAGGCAAGCTTTGGACCGATGATTTTCAAACTGTGCGCCACTGACGCCCTGGCCCGCGAATTCTTCAGAGATCACAAATGTGAACACTACTGGGATCTTGCCCATTCTAAGGCAACAATTACAAACGCTGATTAGATTTATAAATTACGGACGACTTTCAAAGTTTTCATGATCACAGTATTTTACTCTTTCTTTGTTCACGGTCCCACTATAGGAAAATTATGACTGCCTGTTAAAAGTATCTGAAATCATCGATGAATCCCTAGAATGGATATTTTAATGGATATTCCGCCCGTGACGCGGGCATATGTTGTCGCTTGCCTAGGCGTAAATGGAGCTGTCCAACTGGGGTTCCTCTCGCCCTACCACCTCTACTTCAATAATAAATTGATTTGGGAGCAAAGGGAGATCTGGCGACTCGCCACCAACTTTCTATACTTTGGCCCAATGGGACTCAACTTTCTTTTCCACTTCTTGTTTCTTTATCGTTATTCCAGAAACTTGGAAGAAGGAAGCTTTCGGTAAAAATATTCTCCAGATGCTCATTTACTAATGTTTTTTTTTTTACTTCAGAGGAAGAACAGCAGACTTCGTCTTCTTTTTCTTATTTGGGATGGGCATTTTGACTATCACCGCTTTCTTCGTAAACATCATTTTCTTGGGCAATGCATTAAATCTCATGTTTGCCTATTTATGGGCCAGGAGAAATCCCTACATTCGAATGACCTTCTTTGGCGTCATTAACTTCCAGGTAAGATCGATTCCCAAAAAGTCATCAATACTAACATTCAACCTTAGGCACCTTACCTGCCGTACGTCCTAACTGGCTTCTCCCTTGCGCTTGGTTCGCCCATCCTCGTCGACGTACTGGGGATCATCTGCGGCCATTTGTATTATTACTTGGAAGACGTCTTCCCGAATGTCGAAGGAGGCTTCAAGATCCTGCACACTCCTCAGTTCCTGAAAACTCTCTTTGACCCGGCTCCACTGACCGAGGAACCACGCCTAAACGAGCAAGGCGAGGGTCCCGGCGGCTTTGACTGGGGCGATGAGGAGTAATTCAACATAGACCTATCTTAGTCTAATAATTCAATTCAACATTCAAGTGCTTTTTCGACCTTCCGCCCCTTAGCTACATATTCTCATTTTCTTTCATTAGGAAAAAGTTCAGGCACAATATTTTTAATTCTGTACAAAGACGACTGAAAAAACAATGTGCAATACGATGCAAACATTCGATTAAACAAGCTTAAACGTTATAAATATTTAGATCATCTAACAACCATGGGTGTTGATATTGAAACCATGAAAGAAGGCAACGGCCAGTGCCCACCAGCAGGATCCAGAGTCCAGGTACTCAGACAACATATGTATATGATATAACTTATTATCATACAACATATATGATATAACTTATATCATATAAGTTATATCTCTTCGAGCCTTATTCTTTTTAGGTCCACTACACTGGAACCTTGACTGACGGCAAGAAATTTGACTCTTCCCGAGACCGAGGAAAGCCCTTCGAATTCGTTCTCGGCCAAGGTCAGGTCATCAAGGTAAAATGACACCTCTTTGCCTCGTACCTAATTCGTTTTTGTAGGGATGGGACGAAGGAGTCGCCCAGATGAGCATTGGCCAGCGTGCCAAGCTCACTTGCTCTCCAGACTATGCCTACGGCAACCGAGGCTTCCCAGGCCTCATTCCCGCCAACTCAACCCTCGTCTTCGACGTCGAGCTTCTCGGATTCAAGTAAACCTGCCAACACAGATCAACTCCGCAACCGAAACATGCATCCAACTCTGTTCAAAATTAGTTCAAATTAGTAAAGTTCAAACCTTGCAATCAGTGAGATTCGCTCTTAGACAAATTGACCAATAAATTCGACAAATAAGCGCTCAATTGTTGAGTTCTCGATTCTTATTTCAAACCGACCAAGGCGCCTGAGGTCCTAAATTCAGTTAAAAAATCGATCCATTCTAAAAGAGACGACTTGAAATCATCAAATAAACACTAGCAATAGTTAAGAAAGATGGTGAGAACACGTAAAAAGTCGGCAATGAGCGAGAGCGAGGACGAAGTCGCTACTGCTCCTGCTCGTAGATCAAGCCGTCGTTCTAGCAGATCCACTACCAAGGTTCTTTATGAGGAAGACGATATTGATCCCGAGGCTTTGCAAGGTAAAGCGCTTCTCACCTCTAAGATAAATAGCGATCTATTTCTCTTTTCTCACCTATGGTGTGACGACTCTATCCCTGAAACTCATATTCTAGCGGTCTTAGAAGCATCGGAAGCTGGTGATGGAGCGGAGGCACCTGTGGAGACGAAGCCGAAGAGAGGGAGGAAACCAAAGTCAGCGGGAACAACTCCAGTGAAGGCGGCACCGAAAAAACGTGGGCGAAAAAGCAATGCGCAGAAAAAGGCGGAAGCAGAGGCTGAAGAGGCGGCTCTCTTGGCAAATATTCAAGAAGAACCTGAGCCAGAAGAAGCGAAGGCCGTTGAGGCTGTTGCCAAAGAGCCTGAGAGGTGAACTTTTGAAGGATTTTGAAAAAGATGAGCAAAAATTCTTTGCTTATTCGGGAAGAAGTGTCTTACATTTGAATTTAGCGCCTCGGAAGCCGTACCGAGTGACCAGAATGGTAAGTCGGGTCAAGTCATTTCCTCTGCTGCCGAACCAGACACACTAGCAGATGATCAAAATGAACCTAAGGAAACAGAGCCTACTCCAGACGTTTCAAAAGACCCCGAGCCAGAGTCCTTGCCAGAGCCAGAGCCTGAGCCTGAGCCCACACAAGAAGAAGAGAAGGAGGCAGTTCCAGAGCCCGAGAAAGTGGAAGAAGCAGATCCAGAAAAGGCAGACGAGCCCTTTGAGATGGTGGAAAAGGAAGATCTTCCGGAAGAAGAGCCGGTTAGTAGATAACTAAAATTTTAGATTTGAATATTCTTTAAAGATTGAAAAGGTAGATGCACCTGTTGGGGAGGAGGAAAAAATGTCAACGGAGGATGCTGAGGAAGGAAAAACCGATGAGGCCGAAAAGAAAGAAGAAAATGGCGACTTGCCTGATTTCGAAGACGAGGAAGAAGAGGAGCAAAATGCTGATGCTCTCCAGCTCGATGCTAACGTTGAAGAAGACGATGATCTCAACAAGGTAGTATTTTAGAGCTCATGAATTATTTAAATTTTGAATCAAAGACCGTCGATATCCCGAAAGTAGATGCAAGCCGAAAACGAGAAGCATCTGCTGAAGTGGTTAGTGCAGTTATTTCATATTTTCGTTTAACTCGTTTTTAAAGAAAAAGCAGAGAAGTCCATCACCTCCAAGGAAGAGGGAGTCGTTAAATCGAACTGGCTCTCGTAGAGAGAAAATAAGAGCTCCCTCTCCACCACCAGGCGAAGAATCGCAAGGCATGTTTTCGAATGCTCCGTTGATGCTTTAGAATTTTTATCAATGATCAATGCGGTGAACTATAGAGCGGAAAATTAAAGACATATTCAATTGAAAACTTGGAATAGTTGTCCATATCACCAACTTGGTGCGACCATTCACTAATAAACAGTTGCTCGAGTATTTGAAAGAAGCGGGTGAATTTGATGAAGAATCATTTTGGATTGATAGGATCAAGTCAAACTGCCTTGTAAAGGTAAGATAACACTGAATTTCTATATCAACAGCACTTCTACAGTATAACACCTTGGAATCTGCTGTAAACTGCCGAAAATTGATTCATGGAAAGAACTGGCCATCATCTAATCCAAAAGAATTAAGAGTTGTCTACTCAACCGAGGTAAAAAATCAAAAACGCATCAATTTAGCACTTTTTATTTCAGGAAAAATTAAAAGCAGCTAAAGAGAACGGAACTGTGAGTAGTCAGAATACAAATGGGCGTCAAAGATCCCCTGTTCGTCGATTTGGAGGCATGCGAAGGTAGGTTTCTTTCTGCAAAATTGAGTTTAAAAATTTTCAGCGAACATGAATTTGAGCGAGATCGAAAGACTGGTCGGGATCGCCGTAGCCCAGTAAGAGCTCCTAGAGCGAAAACAGAGAGTCCGGTGCAGTCGGAAGAGTCAGAAGGCGAAGGGTTAGTGATACGACTGCAGAAAGAAATATAAAAACGTTCTAGGGGTATTTCGTTGGATGAGCTTTTCAAAAAGACCAAGGCGACTCCGAGTTTGTACTGGCTTCCTTTGACTGAAGACGAAGTCATTGCTCGAGACAAGGCCAGAGAGGAACGAAGAAAAGCCCGCGAAGAGCGAAGGAAACTAAGGTAAATCTTTGTCTTAATCGCTTGTCTTACTTATTTCTAGCGACGACAAATCAAGAGCTGAAAGACGGCGTAGCAACTCAAGAGATCGACCTTCACGGCGATCCCGCTCACGCAAGCGGTCCGTCTCACGCAGCAGGAAATCAGTGTCCCGAAGACGATCCTTCTCTCGAAAGCGATCAGGCTCGCGTTAAAAATTCTCGAGACCCTGTTAGTGCAATTTTCAATGTTGGCCCTGACTGTTACTCATCAGAAATTTTCCCTGACCTTTTTCTCTTATTCCTGGCTGGATGATGTTTTTCAAAAATCTGATTTATAAACACTAGATTATATTTGTTTCCTCCTTCAAAATTCTGAATTCTTAAAAGTTATACATACGATAGATACGACAAATCGACCTACACTGCCGCCTATCATGTGATTAAATTATAATGATGTCGATTTCTCAATTTCTTTTTCTTTCAACTTTCCTCCTTGATTTCACCTCCGAAATCAGCGTTTAGTCGTACCTTATCTTAGAAAACTATTTTCATCTCAATAGTTGAATCCAATCAAAAATAAACACAATCCTTGGTCCGTTTGTTGTACTCCTTTCTTGTCGAAAAAATAGAAAACATGTTTCCGTTCAAATCGGAATAAATCGATCTCAAAAAAATGAACTATCAATTGATCATCAATTTATCCGTTTAGATGATCCTCGGACGAAGATCTAACCCTCCTATGAGCTTTGTTGAAGGTAAGATCGAAAATAAGTGTGGACTAAGGCCAGTTTTGTTACGTAATCTGTTGTAAAGATATACATGGATTATTCTAGCGGGCACCTTACAAGGGTTACTCGCGACAGCTCCGATGAACTCTTTGAAAGTTCTGGTAATGGAGATGATGATGGCCGCGCACTTGAGTTTCGTTCCGAAGGGAAGATATCAGAGATTGTCCTGACCCAGGTTAATACCAACGAAGGCGAAGGTAACTCGAAATATTGCTTTATCATGAGTAACTGCTCTACTTACAGGAATGACCTTTCTGTTTCTTGGAAGTACGATCGCTTTGATCATCGTTGCACTGGTTATCATCGCGATTATTGTCTGCGAACTCCGTCGACCCGCTCCTAGTGCGGACGGCCGACGCGACAGCCGCACAGACGCTGTCATCATTGCGTAAAATCATTCGCCCATCAATTCGAAATCAACTATGACGGCCTGTCACAAAGTCCGTTTAACACACATTCCATCTGATTTAATTCTCTAATTGGAGCTGTAGGGAAAGTTCACCAGCATTAATATCTCAATATTTATTACTTCACTGCCGGAATATGTTCAAGTTTCTTCAACGTTTGTTTCTTCCAATTTCCGATAAAGGCAACGAAAAGATAAAGCAACTTTCTCGATTTCGACTTCGTTCAGAATGCTTGCCGCTCGACGGACTTTCGCGATCACTCTCAAGAAGCCACTGGCCACTTCTGTTGTTGTCCACGGCGACATCAAGGACTCCGGCGAGGGCTTCTTTCCCATAAAACGAGAGGCCGACCGATTCAAAAAAATTCGACAACAAAGTTGAATACGTCACCACTAAGCTTGATGATATCAAGAACTACATTTCTGCCAACTCCCTCTGGCCTATGACTTTCGGGTAAGCCGACCTCATTACGCAATATTTTATCATTTTATTAAAGTTTGGCTTGCTGTGCTGTCGAAATGATGCACTTTGCTGCTCCTCGATACGATATGGATAGATTCGGCGTCGTCTTCCGAGCCTCTCCTCGACAGTCCGATCTCATGATCGTCGCCGGTACCCTTTCCAACAAGATGGCTCCTGCTCTCCGACGAGTCTACGATCAGATGCCCTTCCCCAGATACGTCCTTTCCATGGGATCGTGCGCAAACGGTGGGGGATACTACCACTACAGGTACTGTAATGATTATTACGTATTTTCATGAAAATTTATTGACGCACTGTTCAAGTAATGACGCCTTAGTTCAAGGGCCCCATTTTCAAATATCGATTTTAGTTATTCCGTTGTTCGAGGAGTCGATCGAATCGTCCCCGTTGATGTTTATGTTCCCGGCTGTCCCCCATCAGCTGAAGCCCTACTTTACGGCATCCTCCTCCTCCAGGTAAGCTGATTATTAGAATTTATTTCTTTTATTTTCTTTCTTTAGAAAAAGATCAAGCGCAGCGCAAACGTCACCCACTGGTTCCGTACTGACACTCAGAAGATCAAAAGATGGTCGGAAGCGCGCGACGAGGCCAAGGAAATCGCTTTCGGCAAAGACAAGTGAATTCTGTATAACCACTAGTTTATCTTATTGTATGCTCCTAACTCTTCGATACTGGTCTTAAAAATTTATTCAATAAAAAAAGTCCCAAAAACGATCCATTCTGTTTTGTATATTTTCTTTTGGTAGACAGGATGAGCGCTCATGCGTTCTATTTATCGAAAAGCTTGAGGGGAATAGTTGACACCCTATTTTTACAGTAGCTTTGGTGCTAATCCAACTGCGAGGTCACCATAGATTAAAGCTTTTCTGCAGTCCAACTCCCATTTTTGTTGATAACAAAAATCTGAGTAGATTGAATCGAGAGGAATGAATCGAAGAGCGCCCAGGAATAAAGTGAGCGTAGTGCTTGGAGCACAATGGGGGGGACGAAGGAAAGGGCAAGCTTGTCGACCTGTTGGCTGTTGGAATGGACATAACTGCGCGTTGTGCTGGCGGTAATAACGCTGGCCATACTGTCATTTGCGATGGTATCAAGGTAAATGGTGGAGAAGATCCTTATTCGTTAGTTAAAATCAACTTTCACATGCAGTTTCTTTTCAGCGTAAATTTTTAATTGCCATTAAACTTGCACTTTTGGCTCGACCGCTGTATAAAGCCAATCTTGAGACCATATTTTTACAGTAAATTTTAGTATGACTTCCATCTCCTACCGAGTGGAATCACGCACGAAAAAAAGTAAAGCATTGATGGGCCCTGGAATGGTGATTCACTTACCCGGTCTTTTTGCCGAAATCGAAAGCAACGTCGAAAAGGGATTGAAAGGATGGGAAGATAGACTACTCATCTCCGATCGCGCCCACTTGGTCATGGACTATCACCAGGTAAGTCGTCAGAAAACGGTCCATGATCAGAGCTCTTTGCTGAATAACAGGTGGAGTCCAATGATAGCTTTGAATTTTGATTCAAAATATCATATTCAGGTTGAAAGTTACTGAAATCATGCAAATCGTTCGGGTGTTAAAAGTCGCTTTCAATTTTTCACCATTCTAAGGCGCTGGACGCCGGGAACGAGACGAGGAAGGGAAAAGAGGCGATTGGAACTACAAAGAAAGGCATTGGCCCAACTTACGCTAATAAGGCGAGCAGAACTGGCGTGAGGGTTGGCGATCTGGTTAACAATTTTGAGGTATATTCGGTCTTTGTATGAAAAGAGCCCTATAAGTTGAAATATTAGGGCTTTGTTGATCGATTCCGAGCGGGAGCTCAAGTTGCGATGCTCAACTTACCTGGACTCGATATTGATATTGAATCGGAAATCGCTCGATACAAGGAATACGCGGAGAAAATTCGCCCACTTGTGGTGGACTCTGTTTCATGGCTTACTGGTGAGGATACGTACGATTCTGTGCGATCAACGATGGGCATATTCACCTATCACATGCATTAATCACGGGCCTACCCCAATTTCACGCGTTTACATTATGCTCATTAGAACGAACTCGATCAGCAGAAGAAATCAATATCCTGGTAGAGGGAGCGAACGCAACAATGCTCGATCTAGACCACGGAACTTACCCATTTGTCACCTCAAGCTCATGCTCCATTGGCGGCGTCTGCACGGGGCTCGGTTTGCCACCTTGCGCGGTCGGCGACGTTTTTGGCGTCGCAAAGGCGTATTGTACTCGCGTTGGCGGGGGACCTTTCCCAACCGAGCTGGAAAATGAGGTAAATCAACGAATATATTGCCTAGGCTAAAGCACTGATTAATCTTTCACTTGATAGATTGGGGAGAAGTTGCAAAAGCAAGGCGGAGAGTTCGGAGTCACTACCGGACGACCAAGACGATGCGGATGGCTCGATCTTGTTCAACTTGACTACGCAGATCAGATCAATCATTTCACAGCGTTGGCGATAACCAAATTGGATGTCATGGATAACTTTGAGACAGTAAAGGTTTGCGTTGGCTACAAAAATAGCGGGACCGGAGACAAAGTGACCTGTATGCCCGGGCAGATTAAACAGCTCTCACAAGTGGTGCCAGTTTATGAGGAATTCCCTGGCTGGATGAGTGATACGACTAAATGTGAAACGGTAAAATGTATTCTTTCAATGCGTTTTCTATCGATCTTTATAGTGGGAAAGTTTACCCGAAAAAGCAAGAACGTATATCAACTTCCTCGAAAAGTTCCTGAAGATCCCAATTCGATGGATCGGCGTCGGCCCGGCGCGTGAATCCATTATTTTCCGCTCCGGAGAAGTTTCTTTCGCCAATACTGGTGCCGAGCTCTAAGCTACTCCTTCCCTTTTGAGATACTTTTATGCGCTTGTACTATCTCTTCATCCTCACTCCTGATCTCCTCCGATGTCCATTAATTATTGATAGATAGTTCTCCATGTATCAGTTTATACCAATCATCTACTCATTAGTACTCATTCAAACTCAAAAATATACCAATTTTGCCAGCTAAGAATTCAATTCATGCCCTTGCTACTTTCGTACTATTTATACTGTACTAAATTTTACGATCTTGAGTACTTTTTAGAATCAAAGTGAATCTATACAATCATGTTGAACATGAGCATTCTTCGAAAATATGGAATTCAATAAATAGAATAACAGAATTTTTTTAAAGTTTCTTTGTTATTGACCTCCATTTCGATTGAAATTGTCTAATTAATGCTTGTTGTCTGTCCTAAAGACTGTCTGTCGTTATAGACATTTTGGCCTGTTATTACTTGATGATCTTGATTTTTCGCCCTTCATGTTTGACTATTTCGACAACAATTAGGAGCACAGTTGTGTCTTACAAAAATGCCTAAAAGGGCCCTTTTCGTAAGATGCATCCTTCATTCACTCGAAGGATGAAATAAGGGCGCATGCTTATGCTATAATTTGCATTAAGCTTGCTGCCCTTTGGCCAGTGAATAATGGATGCCGCCGGCTGTTATACAACAGCAGGCTTCTTCAATCCGCATTTTTGAAAATTTAATTTTTTATTCTCGGACGAATATGAGAAAAGGAAATCTGAGTTTTCCTCCCTAATCTTGGGGCTTAGAGATTGTTGGATTAGGACGTGCCAGGGAGAATATCTTTTATCGGTAAGCGTATTGCTTACTTGAGATGGAAATCGAATGATTATTTGCTGGTCGTCGTTGGCGTCGTCCTAGACTCGTCCCTAATAAATAAACGTGATGATTTATGTCCCTTTTAGACGGTGAAATAATTGCTTCATTCTGATTGAACTTATTTTAATATATTACAATAAGAGAGCGGAATCGAAAGGGACGTTGGTATAGTGCGCCACTCTCTGTCTTTTTTCACTCTCTCCCTCTCTTTTCGCCTTACCTTCAAGCCCCTCATCGTGACGATCCGCGGACGATACACAGAAATAGAGAGAGAGGTCGAGGGAAAAATAATCAATTGAAACCCACAGGTTGAGCCACTGAACCTGGCAAATGAAACCTAAATCAAAATGACGAGACTGTCGACAGTGCAAAGAGACGTAAACAGAACCGCAAGAAAAATGTGGCCGAGGGAGTGCGGAGTTTGACATGTCAAATTAACGGTTTTCGGGTTAATGTTTTGAAAGCGATTATTTATACATTCGGTGAAATGTCAAATTTACGCCTCTGTCGAAATTAAAGTTGGTTATTTTTGAATTTGTCGATCCCCTAAAGGTGCACTGCTGGTCCAAAAATACCGCTGCATTTGAAGTTTTCACTTTGAATGAGATTCTCCCCAGGATTTTGAGTATCAATGTCAGTTATAGTTTCAATTCTTTCAATTGCAATCAATAGCGAACAGCAACACAGTTATTTGGTTCGAGTAAGCAGCTTACGGATCATTAATAATGATCGGTTCGATGGTGACGCCAGGAGCTTATCTTGTCGCCCTTGTCCAAAACGCCCTTAAAAGTGGATCAGAGTTTGCAAATAATTAATTATCGCAGACTGGCCTTCTTGCGAGCTTCTGTTATAGCGCGCTCTTTTAGCCGAATCAATAAAGCAAAAGGGGTCTGCAACTGACCAGTCAAAATGTAAATAAATCACATTTGTGCATTTTGATGATCACTTCTCTTAAAAAAGGAGAAAGGGTCAAACGACAAGTTGGATTTAATTTAATCCGCCTGGCGTGTTTAAATCCACTCTCACTGTTTGAATATATTTTCATCCTTCTCATCGGATGAGGGAATGATACAGCTCCTGCTTTAGATTGAAATTGAGAGACGGCAGGGGCTCGCGAGTGAATTAAGGAGTCCTCTCTGACTTGCCCGCATTCGAAAAGGAGCAGAAAGATGGGAAAGGCGAACTCGAAGCTCAAGCCTGAAGTGCTTAATGATCTGCTCAAGAATACAGAATTTACTGAAAGTGAACTACAAGAATGGTTAGTCTTTTGGTTAATCAAGATCGTCACTAATCATTTATAACAAACGAGCTTTAGCGAAATAGAATGCCCTAAACAACAAACTATTTAATAAATCATTCACGCGGGCAATTAATCTTTTAGCATCGTCAAACAACTTCTAATTAAGACTAACTATCCCTTTTAGGTATCAAGGGTTCCTGAAAGACTGTCCCTCGGGTAACCTAACCGTCGACGAGTTCAAGAAAATTTACGGCAACTTTTTTCCGTATGGCGATGCTTCGAAATTCGCGGAACATGTTTTTCGCACCTTCGATGTCAATGGCGATGGCTCCATTGATTTCCGCGAGTTCATCATTGCCTTGTCAGTGACTTCGAGAGGCATTTTAGATCAGAAACTAAAGTGGGCGTTTTCAATGTACGATTTGGATGGAAATGGAACCATTAATAGGTAAATTAATTGCGCTTTGTTGTTTTGTCGTGTTGTTGTTTTAGAGGCTTAATTCTCCAAGAAAAAATTAATTAAAACAGACCTAAGAATCTTGTCTAATCGGTCTGAATGATATCTATTTTTGAAGCTTTCAAAACAAATGTTCATTAATATATCGTTAACCTCGATCAATAACAGAAAAGGATAATGACGAAAAAGACGTTTCATTCTAAGGCAGTGCATCCATACGAATTTGCTCTAGTTGAAATTATTTAAACGAATGCAGATAAACTCACTAAAGCTTTCGACTTCACGATTAAAGAAGAAATTGTTTTCCGTCATAAATTAGTGATGATATTTTTTTAGATCAGAAATGCTAGAAATCGTACAAGCAATTTACAAAATGGTTGGACAGGTCATGAAGATGCCAGATGATGAGTCGACGCCGGAAAAGCGCACTGACAAAATCTTCCGTCAGATGGACAAGGACAACGACGGTGAGATAACTCTGGACGAGTTCATCGAAGGAGCCAAGAGCGACCCGTCCATTGTCAGACTACTCCAGTGCGATCCAGGCGCGCCAACTCAGGGTCAGTCGTAACTATTCTGGAATCAAGGAAGAGTTTTACTCGATTCTGTTCCAACCCTTCTTCAAACATTTTTGCACATTTTGTGCCATACTTTACCAGCAATTAATATTCTATACAGTACGATAGTCCTATATTTATTTCGAAAACATTTTGAATCTGTTTGTACTATTTGAATTTTAGTCTTTTTTTCTCTCACTTGAAAACACGCCATACACAAATCGCAAGATCTTTTTAAACATTTCTTTCTCTCACCTTTCCCTTCTTTTCTTTTGTATAAAAAATCTACCGTTCTCTTCACATGCTTATATTTTCCTCCTTTTTTTCGCTCATGTTGTCGCTGCAATAAACCGCCCAAGTTGTTTCAAATCTTATCATTTTCGTACATGAAGCTATGAATCATAGCCTATGATGCAGTTTTCCGCAGAAATACTAATCACCTTAGTAGGGACCATTAAAGTCAATTATATTTTATCAATTTTATTTCTAAATTCAATCATATCAGTCGCGATGATTTTTTGGCTTGAATACTTTTGAACTTTAACTCTGAAAAGCGCATGTCACTCTGATTTATTTTTCGTATGACAATCAAGTGAAAAAAATTTTAAATATTCAAGCTCTGCTTGTACTTAAGTCGACTCTAAAGGTCTTAGAACTTTTAACGGCAAGCATGAACATTTTTTGGGTACTTTTTATCTCCCAAGTTACAGCTCAGTTGGGGTCGTGGGGAGCGATGGACTCTTCAGTTTGTAACCTTCTATGTATTCTAATTATTAGTGAGCTCTGTCTCTATTTTTTATAGTAGCATTCGCAAAAACGACAAAACTACCTGTACGCCGTACGGAGGCCCCATCCGGAAAATGTGACGAGTACTTGCGATACATACGCAACCGAGGCGTTCCTGCTGATGATTCTCGATTTATGCACAACTATTTTCTTCGCAAATAAACTATAGCTTGCTAGAATGGCGTCCGAGACTTTCTTTAAGCGAGTCTCGCCCAAGTTCGGCGATGTAAAACAAGAAGAGGGTATCCATGTTGAGCAGTTTTTAGCCGCTTGTCGGAGTTACCTTGAGTTTTATGATCTATTCGGGGGCACTGTCTTTGCTCCCGTCAAGAGTGACGTTTCTGGAAATATTGGAAAGCTGCAGGTAAAGACAAAATACTCCTTGGTGATTGAAACTTATTTAAACTAGGGCTGGTATGAGAAAGACAAGTCAAAAAACACTCTTGAGCTTATCCTACAAGTGGAAATAGACGCTAAGAGCACGGAATCAAAGGGTTCCGCTACCGATGCCCTTCTTTGGCTAAAACGCGGTCTCTGGATGATGGCTCGATTTTTAAGAGGCCTTCTTGATGGTAGTTCAGATTCCTTAATGATATCCCTAAAATTGTTTTAGGCGAGAGGGACTCGAACAAAACATTCCAAAAGAGCTATGACCAGACTCTGAAGCCGCATCACAATTGGATGGTGCAGAAGTTATTCACTGTCGGGTTAAAGATGGTCCCCGACTTTGAGGGATTTGTTGCGCTCATGGCGCCCAAGGATCATCCTGGCGATAAGGTGAGTCACCCAAGCAGCCTGTCTCCTCACTCTTCCTCTTTAGGAGAAAAGCGTCCTCGAAGACATGGAAATCTACATTGGTGATATGGAGAAGATTCTCATCAAAATCGACCAGTTCTACACTGAAAAGGCCTCAAGCATCCCTAAACATTCTTATCATCTTCATTCAATCCAATCAGAGCCTGTTACAGTACTTTTAATAGTTCAATCTGTGCAATTATTTACTTCTTGATTATTCTGTGTGCAAATTCACTGATGCGTTATTCTTTATTTATTATGCGGAAAATATAATGTTTACAGCTTTCCTCTTGCATAGTTTTCAATTACAAGTATAAAAGAGAGGGGGAGTAAATATAAGAATTTCAGATCACGCTTCGTTTCATTTATACATATCCGTAACAACTCTATATTCTTCCAAAGTACACTTGGAACGAATCATCTCATAGATAATACCCATAGATATAGGTATATTTCAGCTATTTGAGGCGTAGTATTAATGGAAATATTCTTTTTAGAAAATGAAAATAAAACGTCGAAAAGTAGCGAAGAAAATTTTGAAAACTTACACATCCCATTTCGGGTTCAGCGAACCGTTTAAGCTTCTTGTAGATGGAACATTTGCCAAGCGTGCGCTTGATAATAAAGTTCGAATCGACGATCAAGTGAAAAATTATTTCGGAAAGAACATAAAGCTGTTTACGACGGACTGGTAAGTATTCTACATATCGACTAAAGAGAGACGTCTCGTACAAATCAATAAATACGGCTAATCATCGTCCCGGATCGATAATATTTATACTTTACTAGTTTTGAATTTCATTTTCAGCGTGATCAATGAATTGACCATTCTCGGAAAACAGCTCTACGGAGCACTTGTCATTTGTAAGAAGATGGAAGTCTACGATTGTGGCCACAAAGGCTCTAGAATGGCAAAAGGCTGTCTCAAACACATTATAGAGAAAGGAAACGAAGATAAATTCTTCATTGCAACGAATGACAAACAGGTTCGAATAAAATTTGATATTATATAACAGCTAGTAAGAGGTCTTTCTAGGTCTCCTCTTTCGCGAATTCTATCCCTGGTACCCCTCTTGTCTACATCGTTGGCAACACGATCGTACTAGACAAGCCATCAGAGAATACTTCAAGAGCAGCAGAAGAAGAGCTCCGATCAGCCACAGATCTGACAAGTCACGAGCAGAAGATCCTCAAGCAAATCAAAATGGAAGAGAAAAAAGTAGCACCGATTAGGCACAAGAGGAAAGTGGCGAAGGGACCTAACCCACTCAGTATGAAGAAGAAAACGGCGAAGAAAGATGTAAAGACGGAAGGGAAAGTGGATGAAAATGGCAAAAGTGGCAATAGCGCATCAAAGAAAAGAAGTAAAAAGCGACGAGTGAAGCTGTCAGCTCATGCGAAGATGGCCGTGCTGAATAAGATGCAAGAGTTGACTCGTGCCAGTTCTAACTGATTCCAACTGTATAAAATCAACGAAGACTACTGCTCTTTTCAGCGCTAACCCTGTGCATTTTTAGATTTATGAATATTAACGAACATCAGCGACGCATTTTTCCAGCATTTCACGAACTTTCACTGGCTGGCCAGCAGCTTGTCATCGACAACGACATGTTCGACAACGAGAAGCGTCGGTTCTTATACGACAACGTCGACGAGTTCCGTGACAAGCTTCTGCTCGTGCCGGATTTGACCGAAAACGACAAGTTCCAGATACATCTCTACGTTTTAAACTTTAATCCAGGTGCCTTCGTTTGAGTATAAACCGGGTCTATTTGCTTATAGATGTTTTGCCGCCGCAGCAAGTGGACGTTCTGCGGACGCTTATCGACAGGATAAACGTAGAAGACGTTGCGCGCGAAATTAATCCAGACAATCCAAATATAAGAGATGAGCTCGTCGGATATATGGAAACGATCCATAATTCCCTGCAGCCAACGAATTACTCCGACATCGATATGGTAAGTGCAAACCAATGTTATTATCTTTTAACGTGTGTTTTCAGAATTTTCACGATCCAAGCATTCTTGACCCGATTGAGTTTAGCATAAACGACTTCCACTTTGGAGGCTCTAATGTGTAAAAGTATTTCAACGAAACAAGCAAAAACGATGCCAGCTTATATTGTTCCATGTTACTACAATTCTTATTCTTCCTTCTCCTGCCACATACAAATTGACTGTCCTTGACTCTTCATATTTTCTTTTACTTCTTCATTGATGCCCTCTCAGAGAGTGCTACTTTTGATGCTACTACATCCTGATGCAAAAATATCAATAAAAACATGTACAGTCTATATTTTCATTTGAAGAATGTTGGCAAGTCGAGTACTTCGGCCATATCTCGCCCGTGTCTCGCTTCGAGCTGGAAGTCAAAGGTAAAAAACAGATGATTTGCTTTCTAATTTATTTCCAAATGAATGCATGTAGCATAAAGGATAATGAAAGCCCAGTAGTTTCGGAGTTATATGTGCATAGTCAGATTGAATTTTTTCATTAATTTTGACTTTTTGTCCGAAAATTGAGTAAGGATATCGTAGGATTAGACGGTTTCCGCATATTTGTGGAAAGATAAATACTCGGCCAAGAAATGTCGATGACTTTCTTATTTTATTCAGCAAGCACGATGGGCACAGCGTCGTTCCTCTTGAAGAAGCTTACGATGGCACCATGCAGGGCTTTACTGACGATGACGGCATGGGGCCCGTTCTTCCACATACTGGTATGGAAATCTATTCAAAAAATGTTGACATCTGCGTTAAAGAGCAGCAACCTGCTCCTCTCGTGCCAAAGGGTGTAGAGCGGGAACAACTCGCCAATTTCGGTGCTTACATCGCCCAGGTCCTCCCTAAATACGTCCAACTCGTGCAAGTTACTGACCAAAATGAGCTGGAAATCTGTATCCACCCAGCTGGTATCCGGCCGGTTCACTCATTCCTCAAGGATCACTCTCTTGCTCGCTTTGAGAGCATGTCTGATATGACTGCTGTTGATATTCCAAACAGGTAATTGTGTCTAAGTACTCTCTCCCTAAATTCTCACTAGACAAAACCGATTCGAATTGGTCTACTGCCTTCTTTCCATGCACTTCAATGCTCGAATCCGCATCAAGTCGTACACCAATGAGTTGAACCCCGTCGACTCTCTCGCTGCTGATATTCATCCTTCTTGCAACTGGTACGAACGAGAGTGCTGGGATATGTACGGCGTCTACTTCAATGGACACCCTGATCTTAGACGTATTCTTACTGACTATGGCTTCCAGGTTCGAGATTGCACTAAACCTTCGATATTAACCATTTGCTTTTATAGGGTCACCCACAGCGAAAAGACTTCCCCTTGACTGGTTATTATGAAGTCCGATACGACGACGATCTGATGCGTGTCGTCCAAGAACCTCTCGAACTCGCCCAGGAATACCGAAAATTCGACCTCAAGAACCCATGGGAAGTCTTCCCCAACTTCAGAGATGCTTCTGAACTCGAAGACGGATCCGCCGATGAAGACAAGAAAAAGAAGAAGAGACGTCGACGAGAGAAAGCTGACGAATAATTCCGTAAATAGTTCAATTAATTAATTATTATTATTGTGTTCAAGCAACGTAAAATACAATTCGAAAAATAGTGAATCCAAATTATGAAATATTAATATATTTCTGAGTTTACGTTGATTTTATATGGCAAATATGCAGATCCACAGAATAACCATGAGGATGCTCAATTGATAATCGTTGGACGAGGACTCTTTATCGAACTGGTTCAATTCGTTGATGATCTTTACCATTTCATCGATACTCTCTTCGATCTTCGTGTAGTTGACTTGCTTGTATTCTGGTTCCGCAGACCCTTCTTCTGAAGAGAATTATATTTGAGTGAGATGAACAGGAAGACCTGGTGATACACAATTGAATGTTTGATTATAGGACCCAATCCAATTCCCTGACGCTCTATCGCAGAACAGTGTTTCGGTGTTGTTCTCAATCGTGTTCAATATCATTCCATTAGCGCAGGACACTGTGCAAGTTATATTATCTTCAGCGGAACAGGACAGCGATCCGTAATTTTTCTGAAAAGTTGTTACCAATATTCAAATAATCAATATTACATAGAAAGAAGGAGAAAGCGGGAGGTCCTCACAAGGACTTTTCAAGCAGGATCCCACTTCGTAAAAGAGATTCTGATTGATGTCGAATTCGAAGCTCGACGGCATCCAGTAGTATTCATCCTCAGTGTCTCCAGATGATTCATCGTCTGTTAAATTCGAGCTGATAGATGGACTGTCGATAGAAAACTTTCTTCGTTTAGTACAGATTTTGCTCATGGACGAGTAGCTAATAAGCTCCGAAGTAGAAGGAGAAAACCGTGCTCTTGATTTTTGAAGTAGAAAACCTTGCTCGCAAGAAAGAGTACATTTAGAGTGGAGAAAGAATCTGTGGGAGCAGTAGTACTCGGAGTTGTTCGGAGCGCTTTAAAATAAATGACACTCCTCCACACTAACTCGCTTAAATTTTTCTACCTTGGAATGTCGCAAAATTCGATCTTCGGAATAAAAATTTCCTCGGAGTCTTCTGAAAGCAGAATCTCAAACACTCTATTGTTTCGTTGACCGAAAGAACGGTTTAAAAATAACAGAAAGAGAACTTTTTCCATTTTCTCGTGCGAGTGTTTTCAGAAGTTGCGTTGACGATGGCTTTGATGTATGATTTCGAGTTTCAACACATAATAATTCTTGCAAAGATTAGCCTTGAACTAGCTTGCTAGTATTCTTCTTGTTTCGCAACAATAACACAGTAATCAAGTCTTTTTACATATATTTTATTTTTATATTGGTTGAACTTTCCAGACAAATTATTTACAAACCTTCAATATAGAAGGAGGCCATGATATAGCATCACGAAAAAATAATTATTCTATTCCAAAGGCAGAAAAGATCTGACTCTTCATGTTTTTTATTTCGATCGTCAGGGCGTTGATGATGCCCAGAAGTCTGTCCTCCAACTGATTCTCTGATGATTTGTTGTCAGCTTCCATTTTTTTCAGTCGATTTTCTATTTCAGGTGAAGCTGAAGTTTCTTTTTTGAAGAGAGATTGTATCATCATCATTTCCAGGAAGCGATCCTGTTTTGACTTTGCATGGGGGAATAAAATTGTTTGCAACTTCTTGGTAAATATTTACTATTATTAAAAGTAGGTATTGAGAATTTAAAACATTATTCTGAAAAGCTGTATGAATAATAATCCCTTTCCTTCTTTTCTGCCGATTTTTCCACATTTGTAATATGGTCTGATAGATCTGAAATTTCCTCCGTCAGTTTGATGTCGACCAACGATAGATTCTCTAAATTGCCTTCCATATCATCAACTGCCTCTTCAATAGCGACGATTCTTTCATTTTGGACAGTGTTGACGTAAATTGTAGTTGGCAAAACTGTCGTTGATATTTCTTGGTCCACGACAGAGTCGAACGAGACCATTAACTCGCAATTAATGGATGGCTCGAAGTTATTCGAAAGGAAATTCGTAGCGTCGTTTTGCTCTGCATCTGTTGCTAGAGCTGTTTGTAACTCGGCCATGATTGATGCCTCAAGAGTCTGCAAATCTAAGAAGAACAATTTAAATATATCATTGTGTAGTAATTACCTGATGGAGAATTTATATTTGTATTATTTTCCGTCTTTTTATAATCCAAAATGATGTTAACGATCGTTGAAGCAGTTGCAGAACGTCGACGACGGCTGACCCGGTTCTTTGAATATCTAATTCTTACATCGAGATCGAGATTGTTGTCCGTTGCGATGGCATCCCAACTCGAGGAGAATATGTTGTTAATAACGGATGTGAGCAAAGCGTATGAACTCGAAGTTTTGTCTAGAAGCTCTGAGGACCAAGTCCAGTCATTTTCGAACTCAACAATCACTGAAAGATCGAAGTTGACTCCTTCTGCCAAAAGCATTGTGACCAAGGTTTTCTTGGAATCCGGGTAGACGACAACTCCGGATATGGCAAGTGACTAAAATTTGCTAAAATCAGAGATGACGAAACCTCTAAACACGAACCTCTAAGATTTCGCCAATTTCTTTTTCCACTTCTTGTTCAATTTCTACTCCCACTGTATAAAAATTGCCTTCTTGTGATGCACTGTCGATTGTAATGTACAAAATATCATAAATATCGCTAAACTCCACACACAGCGAGTGACCATCTATCAAATCCGGTTCAAAGGCATCGATGATATCATTAATTTTGCCAGTTGAGCTGATAAAAATTTTCGTTTCGTAAATAACTCGATACGTATCATTCTGAAGGGTCGCGTTGCATGCTTGAGGCGTGAAGTATTTTCCTTCGAACTGGGAAATATCCGATTCTTCCTCAGCTTGAGGGACTTCTTTGACGACTTCTTCAACGTCAACAGTGGTCATATTGATTCTTGACACTGCCGCTAAAATATCAAGAGGATCAACACCAGTTTCATTCTTCGTATCTTTGGAGATTTTTCCGTGGCTTCAATGAGAATCGAAAGAATTTCATCTTCCGCTGTGGTTGTATTCATGGATGAGTCGGAGTCCTCATGAGCATCGTTACTGTCAGTAGTATCACTTTCTGTGTCGTTGTCACTGTTTTCTTCGTCAGTATCTACAACCATCGTTATCGTCAGCTCTATATCAACGTCGAATCTGACGATGGGAGAGGGATTCAGTGATTTTCGTTTTCGCAATGATGCTTCTGAGCAAGTAACATTTGCGTTTGCATTCGGCGAGCTCGAGTTAATAGCGCTGAGCACTTTGGCCTCGCATTCAGCAGTTGTTGTGTTCGAAGGAAAAGAAGCCTTTATGTTCGCAATAGCATTTTTCCTAACAACAGGAACTTCACAAATGCCTTCAACTTTCCAAACACATCCTCCCGGCTTGGCGACGAGAATAACGCCAAAGAGCATATCCATGCAATCACATGTCATTGTCACTCTCTCGAGGCATTGGGCCGAGCAGCTTTTCCGTGTTGAAATGATCTTCCTTGACAAGTATTACTCCTTGCGTCCGAGTAGATAATGTTGTTCTCGCAGAAGGGGTCCAGGGTTGTCCACTGAGTGCTGATGCTTGATGCTTGCATGGAAGAAAACACCCCTTTGATGAAAAACAACCAAATCATTTTCTTCTCAGTCTCTTGTTCTTTCAAAATTTTTATTTTAATCTTCTCGTAACTGGTTGCCTGATTCGAATAAAGTTGCAGACTTGACTTGAAGTATTTACGAGAGCTCAGTGGAAGATGGCGCTCTTAAATTGTCAAATAGAGCAGTTCGTAAACCCTGAATTCGATGATTTCGATTGAAAATAAGGTAAACCATGTTGACCGGTCAGGTTTAGCCTAGAAAATAAAACAGGCGCTTACCCGGCTTAGCCTCATCAGATACCTAATTTCAAGGTTGTTTACGCGCAAGCGCACCCGAGCCTCGGTTCCCGAGGAGGAGCAGAGCACTTTCGCTGAGTATTCGTTCGAAACGTACAGTGGCTTCCTTCACTCCCGCCCCCTTTTAGTCATTAAACAGGTCATTAAACATACTGATTTGAGTGCCCTTGTTGTGAATATACTGATTTTTCTTGTGCCAATAATTGTAAAGGTCTCAACAATATAAGAACTATAACTTATAGTCTATAAGTTTTTAAAAAACGATTCTATTAGCAATTAGCTGGGGCTTTTATTTTTTAAAAAATTTTTCGAAATACTTTTCTTGTAGTTGAATACAGCATTACTTGAAGCCTTTAGTTTTAAAAATGGTAATAGAAAATATCAGTATGTTGAGTCAACATTGTTGACAATAAGTTGCCTAAATCGTCGAACCATAAATTTGTTCGTTGCAATAGCGTCAAATATGCTGCATTATAACTTGTTATTAATAACTTTTTTCATCATCGAAGTATTTGACAAGCAATTTTTATTCGTATTTGTTAAAAAGAATGATGCATTCAATAATATTGAGCAACAAAATGATTGAACTCAGCTGACACATTATATACAAAAAATACAGAAACAGGATAAGAACTTACAGTAAGATCACAAAGTAATAATTATTCAATGCCAAAAGCAGAAAAGATGTCACTCTTCATGTCTCGTATCTCGATAGCCAAACCGTTGATGATATCCAGAAGTCTGCTCTCCAACTGATTCTGTGATGATTTGCTGTCAGCTTCCATTTTTCGTAGTCGATTATCCATATCCGCTGAAGTTGAAGGAGTCTTTTTGAAGAGCGATTGAAGAATCATCATTTCCATGAAACGGTCTTCCTTTGACTTTTTAGGGGTTATAATTTGTTCGTTATTTATAGTATAAATTTTATACATTTATTTTGTAAATATGATTTGATAATATACCCTTTCCTTTTTACTAACCGAGTTTTCAACGTTCGAAATTTCGCCTGATAGATCTGAGATGTCGCCCGCCAGTTCAATGTCCATCAACGAAAGATTCTTTAAACTTTCTTCCATGTCTTCAACTGCTTCTTCGAGGTCACTTATTCTTTCACTATCCATTGTATTGACTTGTACTGTTGTTGGTGGTGCTATGGTCGTCGATTCTTCTTGGTCCTCTTCAGAGTCGAATGTGACTGTTACCTCGCAATTCATAGACGGCTGGAAATTACTGGAAAGGAAGTTCGTGGCGTCATTTTGCTCGGAATCTGTTTCCAGAGCTTCTGTTAAGTCGGCCATAATAGATACCTCGAGCGACTGCAAATCTAAGAAAAATGTCATTCATGTCATGTCTTATATCAGATAAAAGACATCTCTGTTAAGAATTACCTAATGGTGAATTAATGTCTGTATTATTTGCTGAAGTTGTATAATCCAAGGTAATGGTCACGGTTGTAGAAGCAGTTGCGGATCGTCGACGACGGTTGACCTGGTTCTTTGAATACTTGATTTGTACATCGAGGTCGAGGTTGTTCTCCGTAGCGATGGTATCCCAACTCAGTGAGAATATGTTATAAATAACGGACGTAAGCAAGGCGTAAGAACTCGATGTTTTATCAAGTAGCTCTGAAGACCAAGTCCAGTCATTTTCGAATTCTATATTGACTGAAACATCGAAGGTTATTCCTTCGGCGAAGAGCATCAGGACCAAAGTTTTGTTGAAATCAGGATATACAACAGTTCCGGAAAGGGCTAGTGACTAAAATTGGATTAACCTAAAGAGGAAAAAGTTGAACTTTTACCTCTACGATTTGGTCAATTTCTTGCTCCACTTTTTGTTCGATTTCTACTCCCTCGATATAAAAATTCCCTTCTTGTGGTGCACTGTCGACTGTAATGTACAATACATCATAAATGTCGTTAAATTCCACACATAGCGAGTGATCGTCTATCAAATCAGTTTCAAATGCATCGATGATATCGTCGACAATGCCAGTTGAGCTGAGGAAAATCTTCTTTTCGTAAATAACTCGGTACGTATCGTCTTGAAGCGTTGTGTTGCAGGTTTGAGGCGTGAAGATTGTGTCTTTGAATTGAGAAATATTGGATTCTTCCTCAGCTGGGGTGGCTTCTTCTACGACTTCTTCAATTTCTATCCTGGTAATATTGATCTTAGTTGGGGCATCTAAAATGTCATTTGGATCGACGCCGGTTTCATTTTTCGTACTTTCGGAAATCGTTTCTGATGCTTCAATAAGAATCGATAGAATTTCTTGTTCCGAGGTGTTTGTATTTGTTGTATTTGAGCTGAAATTTTCCTGTGAATCGCTATCGTCCGTAGTTGTACTGGAGATATCCGTGTCTGTGTTGTTTTCTGAAATATCGACCACTTGTGTTACTGACAATTCGATATCAATAAAAAATGTGACGGTTGGAGAAGAGTTTAGCGATCTCCGTTTTCTCAGCTGAGCTTGCGTGCATGTCACATTCGCACTTGCTTTCGACGAGCTCGACTCGATAGCATTCAGCATTTTGTTCTCGCATTCAGCAGCTGTCGTATTTGATGGGAAAAGAGCCTCTACAATTGCACTTGCCGTCTTCTTTACCACAGGGACTTCGCAAATTCCCTCTATTTCCCAAACACATCCTCCAGGCTTTGCAATAAGAATTGTGTTGAAAAGTATATCCATGCAGTCACATGTCATTGTTACTCTCTCGAGGCACTGTGCTGAACAGCTTTTTCCGTGTTGAAATGATCTTCCCTCGCAGGTATTACTTCTCGCGTCCGGGTAGATGATGTTGCTCTCGCAGAAGGGGTCCAGCGTTGTGAATTGAGTGATGATGCTTGCTGTTTGCATAGAGGAAAGCACTCTTTGGATGAAAAATAGTAGGATCATTTTCAAACAAAAGCTCTCTTCTTTTCAAAAAAGTAGATTTTTCTCGTTTTTACTAACTGGTTGATTGATTCAGATAAATTTCAAAGCGTAATCTGGAAGTATTTATAGGGCTCAATGGAAGGTGGCGCGCGTAATCGTAAAGGAGATGTGTGAGAACACCCTAAATTTGAAGATTTAGCGCGACGATAAGCAGGTGGATGTCCTTCTCGAACTTGACCGGTCTTAGCCTAGAAAACAATAATTTTTCTATTAAATGCTTCATCCGGTTTAACTCTATCAGTCATGCGATTTCAAGGTTGAGAATGAGTTTGAAACTTTTTCAACTTTTCGGAACAGTGATTGCAAGTAAATCTCTAAGGTCTTCTGTTTGAATCCTGTTTGATATCCTGAGTGAAGCTACTTATACATAAAGCTTTGGAAATGCGGTGCTACTCGTGTGGAAAGAAATCATATATGAACAACTGATAACTTTACTGAATGTACGAGTATATCCCAGAATATATAGTCCTCTTGAATTGGCATCATGCCAGCCGTCGTATTTAATTTTAAAATAATATAGAGCCAGAACTAGAGTTGTACAAAACAAGGAAGATTTTCAAACCTTTCAGACAACAGAAATGTGAGCTCTTCAGTTCATGTGAGGTCATGAATTATATTTTCAAGGTCATTTCAAATATTGAACCCTAAAAACCTGATTTCACGAGAAGATAAAAGATTCTGTTCCCATTGCATGGGCTAAACACCTGTTCGCGTGCTTTATCTACCGCTTTACTACATAAAACAGGTCCTTGCAGACGGTTCTTTCACCGATCAAAAAGCATGATTTGAACCCTCAAGAATTATTTACAACATTATAACTTGCACACATCGTAAACTCACAGCTTAATATGGCTTCAAAGAAAATATCTGTGAAATGACAAAATCTTCCAGCCCAAAATTAATTTTCCATCAACAGAATTCCTCCTTCGCCGGAGGAAGCCGTGGGAAAATCACACAAGTGCTCGTTAAAATTACGTGATTACTAATCACTGATTAGTAAAAGACTAAAAGAGAAGAAAACTCCTGTTGAATATAAAAATTGGATAATTTCTGCGGCTTGAATTTGATATTTCGGGTTTTGTCGAAGCAACAACCTCCGGCCAAGTCCCCGAGAAAAATAAATCCGCCGTGAAGGCTCACTCTGACAAGGCTCTGACGGGTCCTATTCTATTTAATACATAGAGAATACGAATGATAAGCGAAGAACTATCACAACTAGAGAAAAGCTATCCTAGAAACACAGAAATCGGAAAAAGAAAGCCAAAATCGCCAAACAAAAGAGTCTCTGAAAGAATGTGTACTTGACTGCTTTCAATATTCCGGCTCATTTAGTTTTTTAGCTAAACTCGATGATTTTAGAATGAGAAATTGAGAAACACCTCTACTTCTTCTCGCACACTCACACAGGACAGATCAACCCACACAAAACACAACACAAATAGAAACAAACAATGAAAGGTTTGAGTTAGTGAGTGTCATCGCATATTTACCATTTTTTAGTCGTCCACATTCAGAAGAAGCACCTGAAAAGGATAATCGTCGCGATTTTCATCTTCAGCTGTCTCGTTTCTTTCTACTTTCACTCAGACAGTAAACCGACTTCATCAAAACTCCACAAAAAGTCCGAGAAGAAACACAAAAAGCACCACTCTAGCTTCAACCCCGAACTCAAAGATGATCCAGTGGAAGACTCCCTAGACGCTCCATCCTTCGATTCAAAGAACGAAATTCCCGATTTTCAATCTTTTAACGAGGATGAAGAAAAATCTGACGAAGAGATTCAGCTGGAGAAAGAATCCTACGGAGACGGATTCAAAAAGTGGCGCCTTGAAGAACTTGATCCGACTGATTACGAGGGCTGGCCAAAGTTGACGAATCGAGCTGGGAACTACGAGCAACGGCCGGAGATTCCAGAGGTTGGATCTGAAGGACATGATGGCACCAACACCGGGGAAGGAGGACTTTCTCCGATTAGACTGACTTCTGATGACCAGAGAAAGGTACAAGCGGCTCTCGGCCTTTGGGGATTCAACATGGTAGCTTCGGATAAAGTCAATATGGACCGAATTCCCGCTGACTTGCGCATGGAAGAGTGCAAGCGATGGGACTACCCAGACAAACTTCCTGCTGTTTCCGTTATCCTCGTCTTTCACAACGAAGGCTTCTCCACTCTTTTGAGAACAGTCCACTCTGTGGTCAACTATTCGCCTCCAGAGATGCTCCACGAAGTTGTGATGCTTGACGACGGCTCAACGCGAGAATACATCACTAACGGAACGATTGACCGGTACATTGAACGATGGGACGGCCTTGTGAAGATTTTCCACAACGAAAAGCGAGAAGGGCTCATTCGCGCGAGAACAATCGGAGGAAAGCACTCGACTGGTTCTGTTCTCGTCTATTTGGATGCTCACTGCGAAGTTGAACCCAACTGGCTCCCTCCTCTTGTTACACCTATTGCCAAAAACTATAAGGTAAACTCACTCTCTTAGAATATCAGACTCGATCTTCCAGGTATCTACTGTCCCGATGATCGACTCTATCGATGGAAACACTTACGTCTTCGAGCCCCAGCAAGGAGGAGACGAAAATAACCTGGCCAGGGGCGCGTGGGACTGGAATTTCGACTGGAAGCGAATTCCGTTGAACAAGCGTGAGAAAGCCCGCCGTCAGACTATCTCTGAGCCTTTCAGAAGTCCCGGTACTTGAATTTCTATGACTTATTCTTTGATTTTATTTGAAGCAATGGCTGGAGGTTTGTTTGCTATCTCTCGGAGATGGTTTATTGAACTCGGCTGGTACGATGACAAGCTTGAAATCTGGGGCGGAGAGAACTTCGAGTTGAGCTATAAGTTGTGGCAGTGTGGAGGAGAGTTGCTTTTCGTCCCGTGCTCTCGCGTTGGCCATACTTACAGAATGCCTGGTTGGGGCGGAAACGGAACACCAGATGAGCTCAGAGGTAGTCAGTGTTTAAAATGGGCTGTTTGTGTCTTCTTTAGGGAAAAACTTCATCGCCATCAACTACAACCGAGTAATCGAAACCTGGTGGGATGAAAACTACAAGAAATATTACTACCAGCGCCGCCCAGAAAACAAAAATGTCGATGTCGGCGATCTCACAGATGTTCTTGCAATCAAGGTTTTAACTTACTTGGGTAGAAAGTGCGAATCATTATTTAGGAAAAACTTCAATGCAAGGATTTCTCTTGGTACATGCGCGAAATCGCGTATGACATTCCAAAGTACTGGCCGATGGTGCAGCCTAAGAATCAAGCGTGGGGCGTCTTGAAAAACGAAGGGACCGGCCTTTGCCCGAATTCTCGCAACTCGAAACAGGTAGATTACCCGGACTATCTCTACGACACGGAAAAATCAGAAGAAGAACTGGCGTTTTTGGAAAATTTATACCAAGAGCAGATTTTTGATGCGTTGAGGGTACTTGGTTGGGGGATGTTTTCTTGGCGCAGTTTGGAATATCCAAACTGTTTCTTTCTAAATTTGAGTCGATCCAAATTTATTTGAAAATTTAGGCCGTTCAGCGAAATGCTCAGAATGTGAGTTTTATAGGAGTTTGATTGGACTTAGTTTTACCTTTTTTAAATTTGATAAATGATCTCACTTCGTGAACTTTTAAACAATTTTAGGGAGAAGCAATCCAAGCTGATGCTGGCTGCAATGTTCGTCTTTCTCTCACTTGGCGAGAGGATATTCGAATAGGTTCTTGAAAAATGCTCAACCGTTCTTCAAAATTCTTGTTTTTCAGGCGATGGACCTGTTAAAAACAATGCAATGTGCTGGGACGATTCTATGGGTGCTAACAAGCGAATATCCTACTGGAGCTGTCATAATGGCCACGGAAACCAGCTCTACAAGTATCTCCCAGATACCAAGGTACCAAAGGCCTCGAAAAACTGATTCTTTGAGCCAGAGTTTGAAATTTTCGTGACTCGCGAGCGGCTCACTTGAGAGCGAGCGAGCACGAGCATGATGCTCTTTGTGCTCCCGAGCACATTTATTTCAGAGTTCGCGCTCTTTGCGCTCGCGAGCGCATTTCATTTCGCGCTCTCGCTCTCTTGGCTCTCGAGCACTGGCCGAATTGTGCTCTCGCTCGATCGGCTCTCGAGCTGAAAAAACTGACTCGCGAGCAGCTTTCAAGTGCCTCAAATGATTCGGCGGCCCCGTGACTAATTCCATCTGAGTCCCTGTCACAGGAGTTAGCACCTCGCGGTGGGCATGTTTTATCTGTTTACTCTCGGCTTTTCGCATTCTGCTGCCGAGATTACGGACCTAATGAATCCTCAAAGAAATTTATTTATGAAATTGAATAATTATGCGAGAAAATTATTCTTTTAATTTTGCTCGCGAGCCGCTCGTGAGTCAATTCCATGGCGAGCACGAGAGCAGCCGCTCCCGCTCGTCTAGCTCCCGAGCATTGCCGACATATGCGCTCGTGCTCTCTGCGCTCGCGAGCGGGTTCAAATTTGGGCTCGTGCTCTTATGGCTCTCGAGCCAACTCATTTTCATGCTCCCGCTCCCCTGCTCTCAGAGCAATGATAAATTTTCGCTCTCGCTCTTTTCGCTCGCGAGCATTTGCGAGCATTTCAAACTCTGCTTTGAGCAATTATTCTAGCAAATCTACCATCCTTCCCATCGGCTCTGCGTTCAAATGGTAGAAGACTACCTGATTTTCGCCGCTTGTGATGGCAAAGAACCTAACCAGAAATGGACTTGGAGCGAAGTCGACGAAGAAGTACTCGGCCGCGCTATGAAGTCACGAAATCAACCCGGTGACGATCCACCAGAGCTCGATTACATTCAATAATTCATTCTCTATTTGCTAGAAAGCTGTAGTACAGTTCATGACGACCAATCTTCCTAACCTTATCCCGCTAAAACCCACCCCTCTTTTGTTACAACACAATCAAGTGCCTATTTCATTAATATTTTTGTGCAATAAACGCTCAATTTACCTTTCTGTAATTCAAAAAATAAATGAAGTTATATAAATTAAAATTTCATGAACATTAATTCAATTCGCAGGTGCAAGAGATTCCTCCTTGTTGATTGCAGAAAGAAGGCTTGAGAATAAAGCCGGTAGGACAGGTCTTTCAACTGGTGTGGTAATAAAGTTGGTTTTCGAGCCAGATTCTAAGGCCTTGGTTGGTTTGTAATTCCTTTTTTCTTCGAGAAAAAGCAGCTCCGCTCGAAAGTGCTCCTCGTTGACGCTTATTTTTCTGGAAACCGGGTTCGAGCCGAAGCGCCGCCGCTCCGTTGAAAAGTTTTCAATTTTGCTTTTTCGTGTTCACTTTAAGGGACACGGGCGAGCAGCGCGGAGCCGAACTTTACGCGCTCGCCATTATTCTTGAAAATGAGATTTTTCAAAATTTCTTTTTGCTAATATCATCTATAACTCTTCAGCTTTCTATTCCAGCTCTCAGTTTGTTTCTATCATTACTGACTGACGAGCTAGCGAGAAAAAGAGACGCGCAACTTCAAAAGGCATCAAGTCCTTCAATCTTCATTTTATTTTCATGAAATTAGCACCATTGAAAAGCCCATTAAATTCTGAGCAGATCATACGTAAAGCGCTAAGCTGAAAATGTACTAATTGCGCAGGACGCGCTGATAAACCTAGGAACTTAGCGCGCTCCGCACGGCAGGGCGCTCCGATTTAACTTTTTGGGCTCCTTGCACATGATTCCCGCTGGGCGCGCGCTAAGTTACCTTGTTTATCTGATCTTTATCGCCAATTAGTGCACTTTCAGTTTAGCGCTATACGTATGATCTGCTCAGAATTAAATGCGCTTTTCAATGGTGCTAATTTCATGAAAATAAAATGAAGATTGAAGGACTTGATGAGTTTTGAAGTTGCGCGTCTCTTTTTCTCGCTAGCTCGTCAGTCAGTAATGATAGAAACAAACTGAGAGCCGGAATAGAAAGCTGAAGAGTTGTAGATGATATTAGCAAAAGAAATTTCGAAAAATCTCATTTTGAGCGCTCATGACGAGCGCGTGAAGTTCGGCTCCGCGCTGCTCGCCCGTGTCCCTTAAAAGTCGTTATGGGTCGCAAAAGACGACAGACGCCTTTTCGAAAATCCGTTGGTACTTCGGTCAAAAGCACCAAAGAGCCGGAAAAAACCGACGACACTACTGATAGAGATGATATGAAGCGACAAATCTTGCAGATGATGGCAAAATTTCAGAAGTTTTTGGATTCTGAATCTGAGCAGCCTCAGAAGACTGCCGCAAAACAGGATCAACGCGCCGCATCGAAGTCTGCTTCAGCCTTTTCGCGAAATGAAGGTAATTATTGAAACTTTATCGTTCATTATTTTTTATTATTAATTAAGCAAAAAGGAGCAGAAAGGGAAGAAGGAGCTGGTCCTTGAAAACATCAACCAAGCAGTTTCAGGCGCGTTTTCTTCTACACTTTTATTTGAAAATGGAGACTTTGTTGTAGCTAGAATTAAATTCTCATGCCAGAAAGCGATGGAAAGTTACAGGGCCAGCTACGTGAAAATGAGCACCCTGCTTGAAAAAGCCAGTGCAAAAGGAAAAAACAACGAAAAAGCGACCCGTGAGTAAACTTCTTGATTGAGAGTCTTTTCTTACTTCTTTTTAGCCCAAGAAATTTTGAGCGAGACTCTTCAAGAATTGGGGACGAAGAAACACGACGAGAATGGAATTCTCATCTGAATACTTGAAGTCGTCCTGCTCTGGTAGTAGGGGGTTATCATTCGAGCTGCCCCTAACCCTTAACCTAACCCAGGGGCTAGGCCCCCGGGACCCCCAGGAGGGGCCTAAACCAGGGGCTTTGCCCCGGACCCCCTTAAGAGTTCCTAGTCCCTAACCCTAACCACTAGCTCAGATTCTATAGATCTTGGATGGCTCGAATCATAGGCTCGAATGATAACCCCTCTCTTCGCCTGCTCTCTTTGTTGATCGAGCTACCAATAAATGAAAACAAAAATATCCAATTGTTTGTTTTTGCAAGGCACATGTCAGTTGTAAGGTTTAGTCCCGTGAAGACGTGTGTTTGTAATGCGATCTCGGATAGATTTTATGTTTGGCTGATTTATAAACTTCGATAAACTTGGTTCAAAGTCTCGACGAATTCAACTTGACTTTTACTTCTTGAGGTTATGTTTGTATGCTTTCGATAAAAATAAACGCCTTTTAATTCAAATTGATTCTGGTGAAGTATATTTTGACAAGGTTTTAATCAAAGCAAATCGTCTGAATATAGAAAATGAATTTCGTTATTTTATTTTATCTTCTGCTTTGAAGCGTGTCTGGCTCTGAAGACGACCGGAATTTAACATCAAAAATGAGCTTAAAACAAACGTCGGTTAATTTACATTTGTTTGATCCAAAAATACTGCGAGAATTTTCAACTACCCACTGTTTCTCCTTTAGCAGATGTTTTCGCATTGAGCAAAGCCACAGCTTACATTCATCTCTTCAAAAGCGAAACGGCAGTTCAATAGAATACTCTGCTTTTATCGTCAATATGAAGGTTGTCAAACAATCAACTCAACAGGAAATCGTGCAGCTTTGGAAACAAGCTATCATCAAATAAAATTAAGTATTTGGGCCATCTTTGAAAACATATAATTTGAAAGCGCGAGGAAGAACCGTTAGTTATTAGCGGGAGAAACAGGTGCTTGGAAATATCGGACGCATGAGCGAGTACTTTATCACATGCATGTCCAAACAAGCAGTAAGAGAGTGACACTTTAGAACGTGTAAGGAAATTTTTCAAAGGCGCACTCAACGGCCCGCTGACAGGGCGAAGAGACAGAAGAATTTGAAGAAGCGAGACAAGACGCCCCTTGTTAGAGGAGCAATTATCGCTTTCGATAATTACATGGATCAAGAATCCCCATCTTGCGACTATTTGTAATTATTTTATGCTACAGAAATTATCCACGCATCTTTCGTTATTAAACAACATCATTAAGACTCTTGCACCTGTGTTTTGATTAGATGCATATTTTATCCGACAGATCGATTTCGGTACGAGGTAGCACTCGTACAAGTTTCTCGAATAATAAGTTGGTAACGACCGTAGTAAATTAGTTAACAACTTGTATCAAATCGACAACTAATGATTTACAAATTTGTCCATGATGTTTTATTGAAGAAAACTTCCATAGGGGCAAGTCAAATGAGTTCAATTGAGCGCCCCGAGCACTTGGAAGGACTCTTCACGACGAATGGTGGTTTCTCCGAGAAGTGCGAAGCTAGAAATCTTTTCATGCATACTTTCTTATCTTTAGGTTTCCAGTCTTACCTCGTTTGACTTCCCCGGCGCTTGATCGCCAGCTCCGCTTCGATATATGAATCAGTTCTTGTTTTGTCATCTCTTGATAATACCCCGACGATTACTTAAAAATGAGTTGGTTCAACGTCGAGGAAGTCTTTTTCAAGTATTTATTCTGTCAAAATACCTGTAGAAATGCCAACAAAGAGATTGACCACGAAGGCTCCAACAAACACCGAAGCACTGGCTAATGGAGCCCTTGTGGAGACATTGAGGAACATCAGCATCGGTGTCATGCTGAGGGAGGTTTCAAATTTTGCGGACGGAAAATTTTTTTCTCAGATTTTTGTTTCATCTGAAAAAGCGTGAAAAATGACGCAGATTGATGGTCGAATGATCGCTCCAGCAAAGATATTTTGGGAGAAAAGTAATTTTGAATGTTCAAAAATGGGTCAACTGGTCACCGTCACTGTGACTCATAGAAAATAGGTACTTTTATTTTCTCTTCGGATTCTTCTTTTTCAGAGCGAGATCTAGTGGGAGGCCTAAAATGAGCGAGGTTTGATAAGGGATTTGATGAGATAACATCATCTGAAAGAAGTGATGAAAAAGCTCTGAAAATGGGCCGAAAATAGGAACGAGCAGCGACAAAACGACCTCGAAATCAGGCGCTTAAAATAAGGCTCATCCCATTTCCGAAACTGAAAATTTCGGAAAGGAAAGGGCAGCGACTAAACGGGGTCGAAATACGGCACCTCAGAATAAGTTTGGCCCATTTCTCATCATAAACATGATCCTGAATCATATGATCCATGTCGCCTATCCAACAAATGAAAAAATTGGTCACTCCTTGGAGTTATCAAGTGTTAGACCCACCATTCGACTCGTCTCAACGAGCTTAACAAAACTGCGCTATCGGCTTTCACCCTTTTTCAAAAAATCCTTGCGGACCTTTTTATTCTTGCCAATATCAGATTGCAAATTGACTAATTTCATATGAGACCTCCCGCGTCGACGTAAATCTCCATCAAGTTCTTGCCAACTGCCGAGCTCAGACTTTCATTCCATCAAGTGATCTTCTCCGCAGACGTCCAGAAAACACTCCTTCGCTCTCGAAATAGTCGGAAGAGACGATCTAGATCCTTGATAATTAAATTTAAGGGGCTTTAAGCGGGCTTACAGCGGGTAATCGCTCCCCTTAAAATTTTTTGAAACCATAATAAAGGAAAAACTTGTATAATCTATATTTTTATACCAAATGGGTGAGGGTGGGGTTGGGGACATAACTGAGATTGATGAACTCAGAATCCCTCGCCTATGTCAAGCCCCTTAAATTTAATAATCAAGGAACGGGGCTGAAACAAGCCCCGTAAATTTAATTATCAAGGATCTAGATCGTCTCTTCCGACTATTTCGAGAGCGAAGGAGTGTTTTCTGGACGTCTGCGGAGAAGATCACTTGATGGAATGAAAGTCTGAGCTCGGCAGTTGGCAAGAACTTGATGGAGATTTACGTCGACGCGGGAGGTCTCATATGAAATTAGTCAATTTGCAATCTGATATTGGCAAGAATAAAAAGGTCCGCAAGGATTTTTTGAAAAAGGGTGAAAGCCGATAGCGCAGTTTTGTTAAGCTCGTTGAGACGAGTCGAATGGTGGGTCTAACACTTGATAACTCCAAGGAGTGACCAATTTTTTCATTTGTTGGATAGGCGACATGGATCATATGATTCAGGATCATGTTTATGATGAGAAATGGGCCAAACTTATTCTGAGGTGCCGTATTTCGACCCCGTTTAGTCGCTGCCCTTTCCTTTCCGAAATTTTCAGTTTCGGAAATGGGATGAGCCTTATTTTAAGCGCCTGATTTCGAGGTCGTTTTGTCGCTGCTCGTTCCTATTTTCGGCCCATTTTCAGAGCTTTTTCATCACTTCTTTCAGATGATGTTATCTCATCAAATCCCTTATCAAACCTCGCTCATTTTAGGCCTCCCCACTAGATCTCGCTCTGAAAAAGAAGAATCCGAAGAGAAAATAAAAGTACCTATTTTCTATGAGTCACAGTGACGGTGACCAGTTGACCCATTTTTGAACATTCAAAATTACTTTTCTCCCAAAATATCTTTGCTGGAGCGATCATTCGACCATCAATCTGCGTCATTTTTCACGCTTTTTCAGATGAAACAAAAATCTGAGAAAAAATTTTTCCGTCCGCAAAATTTGAAACCTCCCTGAGATAAGTGGCTGACACTCCCGATAAAAGGCCACAAGATATGATGTGCACCATGTTTAAGGAAGTAAATCGCTTCCAACGACAAATCAAAAGACCAATGAGACCTGTCAACAGCGATAAGGCTTGAATTTTTAAGAGAAGGTTTATCTTCGTCTTTTACCTGCATACAGTGAAAGTAACACGATAAATAAGATGGAAACAATAGACTTGACTTCATTGTCTTCAAAAATGTACCCAACTGTAGATCTCCTTCCTTCGGATAGAGAAATCACCTCTTGCATAATACTTTTTCTGTCTATGAGCATCACAATGCCCGTGCTAATCAACGAGTTCACAAATTTGATTGCTTTCTAAGTAAGATTTAACAGCATCAATTTTGGAACTGGAGCTTAGTCCATCCACACAGAAAATAAAGCTCATTACAGACAACGTACTTTTGAATGGATTTTCTTCGCCCTTCAAATCTCTCTCACTTCTTGAAAAAAGCGACATTTTCAGAAAGATTTTCTCGATTGTTTATAAAAAGTTGAAGATGGCAAAGTGGCTTGGCGAGGGAGAGGGTTATCGAAATTAATTACCGACGAGGGAGTTAATTTAACACACTTCTCGTGTACTCGGAAGACTTTCTGGGTCAAACAAGACATCAAAATTCTGACGGACATCTGTATTTGCCGCTGAAATCTTCAGCCTGAAGAAACTGTCAAAAATAACAAGCAAAAGTTGTAATCGCAGATCAGAATCTTTAATATCGCGAAATGCATCAATTTTCTCGAGTTCCTCAGAAGGACCATAATACGAAAACAAATTTTGTGATATGGGATTTTTGAATGTACATGCTGGGCCAGCTCTGGTCTCTCTTCAAAACGTATAATTCTTTCGCCTTTTACTAAAGAATTCCGTGGAGAGGGACACTCTTATGAGTATTTGATTTTTCTGAAGCCCTACACGGGGCAATCTATCCAAACCTCCCATAAACTTCACAAGTTTCATTGATACGTGTTGAAAATGCGTCAACTGAAAACTGCAGATTTCAAACAGTAACTGATAACAAATGTTATAGTGTTATTTCAGTTTATCACAGCTTTACTTTATTTTTAATAATTCGAATCATAACCAAATGTTTACGAAACAGTCTTTTTCAGCAAAATGATTTTGCCAAAATCTTAGAATGAATCTACCATGGAGTTGAGCTCTAAGTGGAGATAGGGGAATCTGAGGTTCGCGAGAATACATGGTCTTTGCGCGAACCCGAATTCTGAGCGCGCCTAATTTTGCGACAGCTGTGTCTAGCCAATCAGCGGACATTTTTATATGCAAATTAGGTCAATCCTGCTTTCAATCGAAGAGTTGTGTTTACTTAAATCACATCTCCATCATATAAGGCCTTGTTATTGCACCTTTGAGTTCCATTTTTGAGATACTAGTAGGTTTGATTAAGTGTCACAACAATGTTAGCACTTTTCCTCGTTGTCCTGCTTCAGTTTGTCGGGCCACTGCGAGTCTATTTATAGAGATAACCAAAAGTAACGGAAGAATTATTCGAAGAAAGTTCAATGCAAATTACAAGCTAGTAATTTGAAAAGGTGACAAGGTCCCTTTTAGAATTCTTTTCTTTTTTGAAAAATTAGTTGTTGCATGTCCGGAAGAGAAAAACGTGCCCACTGCGACCATGATCCTTTTTGCGAAACCATCTTTCGGCCACAAGGGATGGCCATGAGCACCAGCGGTGCCCCCAGCTGGCGGTATTTGTATTCTGCCTTGTCTATAAATTCATTCTGGTAAAATTCTGAGATTTCTGAGGAAAAAGCAATGGCTTTCTTTTCTTTTCGGTTTTACATCCCTTTGATGGATAAATCAATAACACCTTGTTTGCATTCTGGCCTGCTTCGGTAAGCCATGTTCCAACGAAAATGGAAATCCTCAGCTTCCTCCCGGCTCAGCACCAAAGCCGACAGAGCTTTCTCAAACCCAGCGCCGGCTTAGCCGCACAAATGAGCCAAATCCAACAGCAAAGTTTCCGAGAAAGCAGCGGAATAGGAAAACTTCTGTCTAGCTAGTAAGCCTTTTCGATTTTACGCAGCATTAGGCCGTATAAATTTCGTTGAGCGTTTCAGTCACGTTTTTAAGAATCACCGAAATTCGACAAATTCCAACGTGTCTTTAGTATTCTCTCGCGGAGAAAGCGCCATGTCAAGAGAAAATTATCTTATCTTTATTGTGCCCAGTCAGTGTTTAACCTGTCTACTGGGACGATAAGAGATCCATTAATCAGCATGTCTCCCGCCGAGATTTGTCACTTTTGACGGTTCATTAGTGGCTGCTCGATGAACACGTACCAACCATATGTTTATGAGACGCGGAAGGCTTACGAAACTCGCGTGAAAAAATTTGGAATCCCAAAAGCCGATCCGATTTGATTCCATTAGTCGCTTGCTGACGCGTTTTTACTGACGTTTTACTGTAAATAGATGACGTAAATCTTTTAATTTCACTTTTTCTGTTTATTCATTAATAAAAGTAACACAGTTTTAATGAAATGAAAAAAGATCAAAACTGCAAATCGTACAAAATATAAAAAGTTAGTGCTCAAGAACTAGGAGTGTATATAAGTTAGATTAGTTAGCATTAGCAGCATTTATGGAATATACACTTTTAAAATAAGTTTAAAAGCTTCATCATTTTTCGTATTTTTTCTTGAATTCATCTGTTAGAGGAACTTTCGTATCTAACTCTGTCGATAATAGCTGCTTCACCCCACAGAGACCACCCGACATATGAAGATAATTCCAGCTTCCAGTTTCATAAAGCATTTTGGCGTTTGTAAATGGATGTCCTGGATTTGTGCAAGCTCCATGGCCTTGTTCTTTTGAACAGATTCGAAAATTGTCAATTTAAGACATGCAGAAATAAATATTCTTTTTATAATTTCAAATCGGTTCCTGTTATGTCCAAGAATTCACTGAGCTTCATCTTTGGATATTCGACGATTTCTGTTTCCGCCGGTTTTCTTTTCAAAAGCAAGTTCTTTGCCGAACAGTCGATAATGCCTTCCGCACAGCTAGTAAAAGTGTCCTTTGCCTTTTGGATTTCTTCTTTCATTTTCTAAAATTTCAATTACTTGGCTGACTAGATAAAGACACAAATGTATTTACCTCATGTCCAAATGCTTCAATTTTTCTGTGCAAAGAAGCATTGAAATAATCGTACATCAGAGTGTCTGTTTTGTGAAACTCTTCAAAAGTAGCTTGTCTTTCAGCATTTAGTGGTTCAATTTCGTATTTTCGTACATTAGTGCTTTCTTGGTACAAATGCTCGTATTCAGCGCAGAGCATATGTTTCATCAGAACAATTCCTTCCCAAAAATGTTCGGTAATCAAGACCAGGTCGAATTGCTTGTCGAGTCTCGCCAAACTCTCCTTCACGTATTCCATATCGTTTATTCTGTCGAAATCCATCCCGAGCTCGAATGACTGGGGGTTACTGTTGATGGATAGGGAAATAAAAAGAGCTCGCGGGAAGCGAATTAGAGTGCGACTTACGTGGACCGCAATCTCAAAAATCCACAATGACACTAAAAAATTAACCCGACTTAGTTACGGAAAGGCCGATTTCAAATCGGCGATTTGACCTAGGAAACTCAATCTTCGCTATCCAACCGTGTCCCTTACTCGGTAAGCGAAAGGTATCGATGCATCGTACGTATTTGGGAGAATGTCGAGGAACTCTTCAATTGTTTGGTTCGGCTTTCCATTAGCGTACTTGTTGACTTTGGAGAAGAGCAGGTTGTAGGGGAAGCCCCAACAAGCCCATTCACAATTGTTCGAGTTTTTGTAAAAATAGTTGTAGGTCGATCGAAAAGTTGCCAGCGGCTCACGAACAGTTGTGAAAGTTTTGACTTTCGCTCTATTAGGGTCAAGAATCGGCGGCAAATAATCCATGTTCCAGCGGAAGTGATACTCCATTGCTATTAAAAGGCTAGAACGCTGCATTAGAAAGCTTTATCTATTTTTGAAACCCACGGATATCCTTAATCCCTTAATTCCAAATCGCAACAACGACAATCTTTCGCAGCCCTTTCCTAAAACTGGATCGTTTCTTTTGCTATTTCCCCAGCAGAGCTCGTTGAATTTTGCCGGAAAACAACCTCCTTGAACTCCCATTTGCGGTTTTTCCATTTTGCTGAATGCACCGATGATATGGAGCCATTTGTCGACAATGTCTTTAAATGTCGTCGAAGCTGTTTTGTGTTTTTTGAGGAAGATGATTCCATCTTGAGGCTGACACTCGTTCTTCCATAAATCGAGATCGGCTGTCAGTGGAATTCCTTTGAATTCATGATAGAGGGCGGATTTTCTGTTTTCAGTTGTTTCTGATGGAGGTTCTCGACTTGCTCGCCCAATAAGACTTTTTTGAGTTAAAAAAACTAAGTTTCAACTTCAGAAATGATGATAGTTGAACTCAATGCCTGATAATAATGAGAAATACTAAAGATATGATGATCTTGTGATTCCTTAGCCAACCTGAAAAGTATGTTTTGAAGGTAAATACGTCTAGCGATGGCTCAATAAATATACTCCAGCTATTGCAATTTATTGTTTCGTGAGTGATTATACCTTTTATATCTTCTTGAGATGTCATTCTCTTAATCTTATGCAGAGATACAGCTAGAAGATTACGATGAGAACGAAAAGTTTCACGGAACTTTGCCGCCGGCAGTGTCGATCGGGGTTCTTGAGCTGCAAATTTTAATGAAATTTTGTCGGTTAAAATATTCATCCGATAGAATAAGAATTTAAAATCGAGATGAATTTCGAAGCCGGCAGATACCGTAATGTCGCTCGTATTTTATTTCATTTTTATATTTCTCACCCAGCATTAAGGCGCAATTACAAAGATATTTAATAATAATAAAAGCCCTCAAATTTGACAAGATCAAAATGAAGTTGGACCTCTTAGGTCATATTTTACAAAGCTGGGGCATAAGAAATGCTAGAAACAATCCGATTTCCGGCTGGGCCAATTTCTCTCCGGTGGGACAAGACGACATTTGAAGAAACCGGAAATTATTTGCGCAGATAACTTGTTGATTGAGCTTCAGAGAAATGCTTAATTAAAAAATAATTTTCCTGAGAAAGCGAATTCTCTCAGCTTTGCCAAATATGCACGCATACATTTCGCAGTGCATTAGCCACGTCCATGATCAGGATCAACCCACACCCGTTCATTACGTTCTTGCAGATTGCCATCCAAACAAGCTCATGAATTCTTACAGGACCGAGTCAAAACTGAAACATGATCAGTCAGTTGCAGAAACCCGTGTGTATGGAATAACTCATTTAAGCTAGATTTCAAATCTGAAACTTCCTTTCTCATCTGATCGGCTGCTGAATACAAAACACGAGAAGGTAACGCATCGCTTCTAAATGCGCCCACAGAGTCTGCTCAGTCTGCGCATCTGACTTTATTCCTGGCGCTTACTCTCTGACATCCGGAAAAGTTCATGCATACATGCGTTCCATACGTCCTCCTACACGTGTTCGTATCCTTTTCGGCGAATCATTGTCAACTGCATCCAGCAATCTGGTACTTTTTAAGGAAGGATCGACAAATTGAAAGAAGTATTTTATTTCATTAAAATTGTTGAATTTTTTTTTCTATTAGGAACTAAAGGTATCGATCAAAGTTTAAACTTTTTTTTCCCGTTTTTAATAAACACTGTATGTTTTCGCGAGCGTGTACGTTGTCAGTGTTATGTAAAACACTAACTGCACGTTTAGTTCGCTGCTGGTAAAGTTTGAACGTACGCATAAACACCTGTCCAGCTCGAAAAAGAGGGGAGAGTGCTCTAAGTCCGCGAGGGCTTGTCACAAAAGTGCAGATCCACTTTGTCCGAACATCGTTGTCCGTGTTTGCTGTCCCTCCATCGCCGGAAACGTGCTCTTGTCGCCAAAGCGACTAAATTTTGACAATCCGGAAAAATCCACCAAATCAGAGGATAGATGCTCGGATTCCGAGAAGATTATCTGCGCTAAAATTAGAAAGAGATACTGTCTCTTTCTTTTGTAATTGTTAACTTTCGTAAATCCAAAAGAATCAAACAAGTTCATTCGCCCACTTCACCTTTCAGAAATTGTATCTCAAGCAAAAAGAATTACTATCAAACCACAGAATGATTTCGTAACGTTTCTTCGCCTCGTATCTCGAAAACTTTCGCTATCTAAATTCAACAGGATCATTAAAATCTTCTCAGGCTTTGATCCCAAACAATTTATAATTTTCAACCCCTCGCTCATAAATTTGATAAGAGTTCGTTTCCCATCCATTTTTTCCGCGAATTAACGGGACCCAGGAAAGACAAAATAATCGTTTTCGAATTTTGGCTGAACCGGGTACTCAGTTTTGCGGTCAACTTGCAAACTCTGGCGAGTACGAGCTTTTTGTAATCGCTTAAAAATCGAACTCAGGGGTTCCCAGCGATCAAGTCATTAGCTCCTGACGTGGGATTCTTCATTCACTGAATTAAAACTGGCCGCTGAAAATTTCATCCCTCGAATCAACTGTCAGTTGTAGCCCGGAATTCGATTGAAGGATCTTTTCATGTAAAGATCCTTACCCTTGAATTCGAGTTTTATTATCAATACATGTTGTGAGAATATTAATACTCCTTAATTTTGATTGAAAATAATATTTTGCCAAGAAATATAAAATGTTCCCAGAAGTAAAGCGCTTTCCGAGTGTCGGAAGAACTTGCATGCCGCAAATAATAACTCAGGGGCGCGGTTCTTTGAGGCGCCGCAGACACACACTGGACGGATCTTCGTGTTGACTCCAGTGGTCGAGCTCCATCCGATAGCCCGAATTTGACGATGCTGCAAAGAAGATAACACACGCTCTTTTTCAATATTAAAATCCTTATCAGAAATGCTTTCCTAAAAGTCTGTCTTTTCCAAAATTCGTACGATCCCGGATATAATGTAACAAGCTTTTTAGCTCTTTGCTCAAACCGTTAAAGAAAAGATAACGAAAACCAGCAGCTTCGTTTTGAAGGAAAAACTATGTTCACTTGCCAAGATACGCAAAGTTCAAAACGCATTTTATCTTCACATCCGCTTTCACAGAAATACAAAATGTTTTCTAACTTAGTCGTGAAAGAGTCCTTTTGAGCGGAAAATGAGAGCAGATTGTACCGCAAATTAGCCGTCTTGGAACTTTGATGGGTTGATAATTTTTTCTCTAAAAGCGTCTTGCGCCTTATCAAAACTCCCTTATCATACTTACCGTAACTTCACAGCCTAATCGTTGGGTTTGCAAGCTTCTTTATTTCACTAGGATAGTTCTACAAAGGGCATAAGCATAAATCTTATTTTAGAAATCTTCACTCAATCTTACAAGAAAAAAAAGGCTTCATAACATCTGCACGTGGTTGTTTTTAAATCCGTGCAAGATGCTTTGCGTTCACGTATCGTTATTTCGCCGTGAATAATTTCCAACTTCCTTTAGAGCGTTTCCGCGTTTCCGTAAACTCACAATAATAGAAAACAAGAAATCTGATTTTCATATTGTTTAGGTTGTTACATTGTATTTGCATAAACAAACAGGCGTAAAGCGCCTTACTGGTTTTTGGCAGAATAGTCAAATTGTGACGGGACAAATTCAAAACAAAATTTTCAAATTCAAATATAATAATATATACAGTTCGTTGGGTCACGTGGACATAATAGTTACAGAGCTTTGACAAATGTACAAGCAGCAACTGAATACCAACTGAATAGTAATCAGTTATCAACATAAAGTATCGAGGGGGTTTAGCCGGGAGGAAGTTTTCATCTTTCTCGCCAGCTAGGAAATGTAAACAGGGGATAATTTAAAAAAGCGACTCTCGGTTTTCAGGGAGCCATCTTCTCGGAGAGTGTAAAAATTAGCCACGGACGGGTCGGGTTGGTCTAGTTGGCCGGCTTGGTGGGGCAGCGTCGCTGGTTTGGTCTTCTGGCTTGCCGTATGGGTATCGAGCTCGGTAAGGGTGTCGGATCTCGCTGGGCTCAGGTCGCTGAGTCTTGGTGAAGTCTGGCTCTCCAAGATGAGCCCACTGGCCAGTGTAGCCGTATTCTTGGACAACTAAGCCCTGGAGAGACTGGCAAGCGCTGTAGTTATTCTCAGTTCGCTCGAAGATTCGGAAGTTCTCGCAACCCTAAAAATAAACTCTTAGCAAAAATCAACGAGTAAAAAGCCGTTGGAATAACATTCGGATTAGCAAAAAAAAAATGAAAAGATTAAATCTCGGCGGTTGACCCAAAAGTGTGACCCAAAACATCCCCAGTCCGGCGAATTCAAGGTGGAGTGTCTACCCGATAAAATTGTTTTGGGCAGAATCAGTCCCAGTTTCTGTTTTACTTTCTAATAGATAATTATATTTAACCAACCAACACTTGTATCTAACAATTCGTTAGTTGAAAAAAAAAGAAATTGATCTGATTTTCAAAAATAGATTTAGTGAACGTCCAACTCACTCCAAAATTGGATCATCATTGTTTGGCTCCCACCGCGATTGTTTAAACTGAGTCAAAACAAAAAACGGGATGATCTTACGTTGATAGCACAGCAGAATTTGGTGTCTTTGTCGAAGGCAGCTCGTCGGCAGCAGCATCGCTTATTGTTCGTGTAGGGCATGCCGTTGCAGCATCCGATTCGCACCTTCTTTTGGGCTTGAATTTCAGCAGCAGCGGGGGAATACGCAGGTGTATTCTAAATTCCAGGATTAGGGAGAAAATAATCCAGGGGATTTCGATGGAATGAAGCATTAATTCCTAGCGTATCTACAGTAGTTTGCATCCCTAACTCATGTCTTTTTTTCTACGTCTTATCATACGCGAAAATCAAATTATCATCCAATTATGAGCGATAAGTCTAGCAAACCACGTTTGTTATCACCCAAATATTGTCATAATAATTAGGGATAAATAGTACAATTAAAAAGTTTTGCAGCAAAACATTTGAAGAACTTTTCAATAACCATTCCAAGGAGAGTAATAACGAGCTTTGTTTCTGTACTAGCGTCGCGAATTACCAAGCGCACTGGCAAGTGAGTCGCTGGACGCGTATCTGGATAATTCGGGAGCTCAACTTGAGCTCACCTTAGTTGATACTCTCCACGATTAGAAAAGAACCTGGTGACAATAGACCTTGTCTTCTAAATTTCGAACCGGGCTTCCGCTTACGCAAAAGAAGGGAATAGATACTTATCATTGTTCTAATGATATAATATGATATTTGCTATGTTCAACAAAACCCGATTTGAACAAGAACATCTAGCTTATGAAATGGACATCAAGACAAGATAAAACCGAACAGAAGGCGCTGGGGAAGGCGCGGTCCAAATGAGATAACATTTAAGCTTTGTTTTTCTGCTTCGAGCTTGATAAATTAGGATGTTGGACATACCGGAGTGGTTTCAAGCGCAGCTGTGAAGTCGTCGTCAGCGTCCTCAGAGTCTTGTCGCGGGTTGAAGACAATAAATAATAATGGTAATACTCAGAGTTTTTTTGCCTATTTTGCCATTGAAAAAATGTTTTGAAAAGAAAACTAGCGGATCGCTTTAAATAATTTTAAGCGCAGAAAGTATCACGTTTGCCGAAAACTCGCGTATTTAGAAAGCCACTCTTTCTAATCTTCCCTAACTCTCAAATAACAAAAAAGGGACAAAATTCAAGTTTCAGTTTCAACCACGAAGCTTGATCAGCGGCGTCATCATCGACATCGTTGTTCCACTGGGAGCTGTCGAAGCCAGCGTTTCGTCCATCGAAGGAGAAGCGGGAGTCGTCGGCGGAGAAAAACAACTGTTGGTTATAATCATTACCTTCGTCCTCCGCCGACGCAGTATCAGCAGCCTCGGTGGATTGCCTGCTTCCACCGTTTCCTCCACCACCACCGGCGGTTCGAGATCTAGGGGCGGGAGTGGTGCTTTCCTGCTTTTGAGCTTCAGTTTGGGGAGCTTCGGAGCTAGATTGGGGAATTCAAGTTTACGCTCAAAGAGGCTGGAGAGATCGAAAGTGCCCAAAAATCCGGAACTAGTGCTAGTAGTGGTAGAAGTGCTAGTAGAAGTAGTGCTAGTGGTGGTACTAGTAGTTGTTGTTGTGGTAGTGGTAGAAGTAGTAGTGGTGGTGGTGGTGCTCGTCTTTCTTGCCCGGCGAGCCACGCACTTTGGATCTTGAAGGCATGCATCGTTCTTGGCCTTTCGCTCCGCATCTCGAATCTTTTTCTGTGCAGCTCGGTGTTCTGTTCAAAGATCACAATACTTGCTCATTAACACGATAGAAAAATCCGGGTACCGTGGCTAAATGATTCGAGCGTAGCTCTAAACACAACCTCGCCCCGGCTTTTCAAGGCTGGCAGGCTTCAAATCTGATGAGCTCTGCGCTATTGAATCATCTTTAGATCCAGATTCTGAGCGTAGCTCCGGATTCTTGAGATTTTTCATTTGAACCATAAACAGCACCTTTCTAAAATGATAAACTTTATTTATCCAAAATTCGAGATAACATATAATAAATTCGTTTCTAGCCAAAACTTCTTATCATCAAAATCAACGAGTATTTAATACTAAATAGATAAGAAAATTTCCAAATCAAACTTCAACTCTTCGCGCAAAGGGTTAAAGTTGAAGCCGACTTAAAGTGAATTATTCCTAAAACAAACTCTCGTTTCCGGTTTCTTTTTCATTTCTGCTAAAGAAGGGCGTTTCTCTTTATACAAATGCGCTTTAGAGGAAATCAACCGACTCGTAACGCTTGCTTGGAAATAAACCACCACGTCCTCATATTTGTATCGGCTAATTAAGCAGGCGCATTCTATTTTCCCCAAACATGGTATTTTTTTGTTGGAAATCATTTTATTTGTGATTCATTCCTTTAGCTAACTTCCAGTCCATGCAGAACTCGCCTCGATCTTCGGAGGATCGAGTGAGCTTGAGAGCTTTCTCTTCGTCGGATTCGGGGAGCATCGACTCTCCCTGGTGGTAGAATTTGATACCGTTCAGGTCTGAAACATTCCATTACAACGTCATTGAGACTCACTCGAAAAATGAACCCGAGCCATATTACCACGTAACAGGCTACTCGCTACTTGTTAAATGAGTAACAAAAACTTACAGACAACGCCGAGCTCCTCGATTGGGGCAAATCGATCTTCTGGATATTGGTACTTGATGTACTCCTTGTCTTCTTTCTGCTGGTGGAAAAACATCTTTTCCATTTTGTTCGAGTTTTCGATCAAATAAGATGGCTCGAATTTGATTTCATATGGCCTGAAAAAGAAATATAGTACTGATAAAAGAAATATAGTACTTACATATCCAATGGATCGACTTGAAATGCGGAAGATCTCTTGGCGAAAGTAGCTTCGTCATCTTCCACGAGATTGCTGCCACGTCCAACTACTGCGCTGACGCCTAAGTAACCGACTGTAGCCAGGCCGACGAGAGAGAGTGTTCTGCTCGACCATTTTGTGATTCTGAATGAAAATGTTATCATTTGATTTTGAAAAATGGTCAAAATGGAATTGAAAAGGTAGAAAATCGAGAAAGCGAAACTTCTAAAACATTCGCCGCGGCGATTTTTTAATTTGCAAAATGCTCGTGGGCCTTATCCCGTTTACCGGAAATATGCCGCCGGTAAATCAAATTTCTGCGCGCAATTCTATGCTCTGCATTCCGTGCTCACTTTTCTTATACATTATTCAATCAAGCAAATATTTTTGCAATTCAGAAGCAAGTTTATGAAAGAGAAAAATAGAGTGACCGTTCAGAAGCCTTTGCCCTCTTGGAAGTGATTTAAAGCGTAATTATGTAAAAACAAGCGAGCGTGAAACCGTCATTTGAATATTCTGGACACGATGAGTGAATCAAATCCAGCTCCTAGTTCTGATAAAATTCTGAATCGTGGGCTCGAAATTTTGATTTCTTCCTTTCATAATTTGAACAGAGGTCCGAACAGAATACTGTGGCATGTAGAGTTTAGCTGATAAGGCGGCAAGTACGAATCTGCGTTGAGCAATACAAGGATAAGGCGGGGGTCTCCACCTCGATTCAGCCTTATCACCTCGTCGAAAATTTTTAATACACTCTTGGATCTTCCGCAGGGTTCCGCGGCTTATCAGTAAACCAAACTGACGATTATGCGGCCGCAGAGACGCATCCCTTACGCTGGAATCAGGTTTTAAAACAAGGTTAACCCTCGATTACTGTTTATAAGAGGGAGAAAATAGAAAGCTCGCTTATGCGCAAACTTTTCTTGTTTCTATTCCGGTCTGGGGAACGAGCCTTGCCACAAAATCGGCTTTGTCTGGGCAGCTTTACTCTCCCAAACACGTAAACCTTTTTTAGGAAAATGGAAGTGTTCGTTAGAGCCACTTGATGAACTGCCAAACTTGTTAGCTAAGGTAAACATGCTAGACTAGTTATGAAACGAAAAGGTTGAAAAAGTTCAATTCTATTTCCGCCTGTCTGGATGGAAGTGTACAATCTTCGCGGAAGTTAACGTTAGCTGATGTGTTTAGTGCGACTTTATAGTTTCTCCCAAATACCATATAATTGGTCGACCTTTTCACATGGCAGCGCTCACATTTTCAGGGCGAAAATTAAAATGACATTTTATAAAATATAATGCGCCTTAATAATTTTACGTCTTATGTGAGCAACTTTCAATCATTGTCTAAGCGAATTAAGTCGCTCCTGAAGAAAGTAGACATCTCAATTATTATTTCAATGCCGTGGATTCCATTCCGCCCTTCACTAATTTCGCCGCTCGGCTCTTGAACTCTCTGACTTATCAAAATTACTGCCAAGTGGGGTCGGGTCCTTAGAGCATGTTAATTTTTCCTTTTATATTTCCTTCCGCGAAGAGCCACGTTGAACGGAAATCTCAATGTTTTTTCAAACTCATGGCCGCGTCAAGAAGCCCAAGCTAAATTCAGCCGAATCGATCTCAAGACGTGTAGCATGTTTTGATTCTTGATTTGGTCTGGACGGACGCCCAGTGGGTTAAAACTCGAAAACGCCAATTGAAGCTGCTCGAGAGTGGCAATTTGGAGATTAGATGTTCAAGAGCCTGGCGATTGTTGAGTTCAAACCAACGCGAAGGAAAATTAATGGCTCGACCGCGGATTGAGGGTGAATGCGCCCTTTACGCGTAATCTACTTGGAACAAGGAGCAGATCCAAATAGCAGAAAATGGCGTAATCCAATCGGATCAGAAGACCAAATTACTACCCTCATCAAATCTTGAGAGGGGGTTCCTGAATCAAAAGAAGATTTGAGAGGGTTGCTCTTAACGTGAACCTTGCTCTTCGAAAATGTCTACGAGACAAAATCTTAAGAGTAAATGCCAGATCGTCGACAATGATGTGGTGATTAAAATACAGGCACTGCTTGTAAATGGCATTTGGTGTGGATAATATGCAAGAAATCGGCGTTATGGCAACGTTTTGAAATTTGAAATTTCACCGGTCGCGTTGCCCCACCATTTGGCCGTGACGACCTTAAAGGCCATCGACGGCCACCTGCTACTATCGAAGGTTCTCGGCCTGAGTCAACCTTTGCAAAGGTAGTACTGGATGAGTTGCTTTGTGAGAGCGTGGTGACCTGCGTTAATGGCTGAAATTGGCGCGTCCGATTACGAAAATTCAAGCGCCGCTTAGCCAAACAACAAGAACTCGAAATCGAATTAGTGTCTGAGAAGTGAGCGTAGAGGAATTCTCAGAAGAAAACTCGTGAGCTGTGATTTTAAAATTGCCGGAAAGATGTAAACATCGGTAACGATCTTTCGCATAAGTACAAAGGCTGTTTTTCCTCCTTGTTTGAGTTGTGCGCTGGCTGAAAAAGCAAAATGGAGAACCTTTTTTCTTGAGGAAGGAGATAAAAACACAAGCTTAGACTGTATATGCACGCTCTGCTTCACGAGTTTTTACGAGAAGATATCGTAAAAACTTCGCAGAAACGCATCGACGAGGACTTTAACCAGTTAAGCTTGTCGTCTCAATTTCTTGGTGGAAATTAAGGACGTTTTTTTCTTGGATAAATAGCGTCCGTGATGATTTTTTTCCTTCACCACATCACCGGTGCTAGAATTTCCGACAACCGGTCAAGTGAGAAAAATACAGCCCTCTAATCCAGGAGAAAGTTCAACAATACGAAAAACCACTTCCAGCTCTCCAAAGCGCGAACCCGCCTATTAGCGAATATTTTAGCATGATTAACGTGTCGCCGAAACTGCTTCCTAATGGCGCAACAAATTATGCACGGAAGTACGCACATGTTCCTAAACACTGCTTCTAAATCCAAATTGAGTTTTAACGACGGAAGACTTATATATTCGAATAAGTTTTTAGAACAGAGCTTTTTTTTTATTTCCCATGAAAAAATCATCAAACTATTAACTCAAAAATAATTGGTCTTGTTCGACAACTCATCCTTCTTAACCGAGCCCTTAGTTTATACCATCAACAAGACAAGACCAATAATTGTTCAGAGCGTACTCGAGAAGTGACTGCTGTTTACCCTAAAACCGCTACCTTAGAGGTTTTTTTCATGGCGTTAATAATTATTAGTTTTTCGTTAATAAATACGAATTTTTGTTTAGTATTTTAATATAAACAACTATTTCTCGAAGAAATCGCTAATTAACCCATCTTTCCCATGGAAGAAAAACGAACCTATGTCCGAACATAGAAAAGAGAGCAATTACGGTCTTGGAAGACGGCTTTGGAACGGGAAGGATGACCTGATAATTATGCCCTGTTAATGACTATTCCGCGAGATTGACACCCCGAGCGCAGCATAATTTCCATGACGCGGATTTCGGGATTTTCGAATTTCATTCGCGAAAATCTCTACCGCGAAAAGTCATGAGCTCGGCCTCGAGTGGTCGAACTTGTGCAGATCCGTATTCAGGAGAGAGGTTTAACGGCTTATGTACACTTGTGACTTTGGGAACGTTTTTAGAGCTCTTTGAAAAAGACAATTTCAAACTGTTCGACTGTCAAAATTAAAATCAATCAATGCGAAATCGAAACAACTCGCAAAGAATTCTTCGCGCGAAAGGGTAATTTTTAAAGAATGGAACGAACGCGTTGAATGAGTGTTTAACTAAATATTTGCATTCGAAGCTTCTTTCAAGTCACGTTTTCGCCATTTTCCCCTTCAAAATTTGAAATTGGGAAAAAAGAGATTATGAGCCAGCCGAGTCTCTGTCTCAGCCAGTGCTGCTTGTGATCGGGTTATTCGATAATTATCATATATAAAAACATCATATCTTATGTGCGGAAGAATTGATAGTGTGTACCACGTGATGTCGCCGACACACAGACAGACCTATCGGATACTTCCAAATCTCCGAGAAAACCGCGGATTAAGGTTATACCAAACGTGTGGCTCCGGCTGGCTTAGGTTCTCTTAGAGGCCTCATCCCTGCGTGAGCTTTTTGGTATCTGCGCTTTTTTTTATCTCGCTTGGGTTTTTTTTCTCAAGATCAAGGTTTAAAACTTTCGTTTTAAAAAAGAAATAAATGCAGTAGGAGCGGCGATCTGCGGAAGATCTATCATGACTCTGCGGAAAAACACACAAGCTGACATTTGTTTGAAATTTTAGAAACGGGGATAATCTCGATGATGATATAATATCAATGGAGTGGCTCCCTATTTCTTGGAACCCCGACTAAAAGGAAAACAAAACGATCAAATCAAGTAAAAAAATCGAATAACCTTAAAAAGCTCAAAGACGAAATCGCTAGCACAATTCAAACTCTCCGGAGCGGCCAATTAGGAAATGGATTTGGAGATTTTCATGAGTTGCAAAGATACGCAAAAAGACGGACTTAGTGAAAAATATTTAGAGTGTCTATTTGCGCTTAGTCTTGGACGAGGTTGAGGGCGAAACAAGGGTTTGAGGTCGGACTATAACATCTCTTCAAAACAGAAAACTTGACTAGGCGATTTTTGTTCGAAAACTCGTTATTCAATTCAAAACTTTCTTTATACCCACGTTGCCTATTCTGTCAGCCAAGTACCCATGCGCACGCTTGAGCTCTCAAGCAGCAGAATTAGATTTTTTGTCTTTTTCGATGAGCTGGTGGCGGCACTCGAATTCGCCGCTGTATAAAAATGCTCTGGACCGCCCAAATTAGTTTTTCATCTCTAAATGCTTCGAGCGAGCTTCCCAGATTGACGAAAAATCACATGTCGCCAGTTTATGCGTCTAAAGAATTTCAATAGACAATTTGCTAAACAAACTGCTGATCTTCTTATTGAGATGAAAAAATAAGGGTTTCAAGATATTTTTTTCTTTTATATAATTTGGATAAGAAGGGCGCTAGAATTTTGCAATGAATAATGTATATTTTGTCTAGCAAGTAGAATTGGATAATCCCTGACCTTAGTTGGGGAAAAGTGAGAGTGTATATTTATGCATGGCCGGATGGTCAGAGTAAGGAGTTATTCGGTATACAAATGGTATAACCACGTTCTCGAATATTTTCAGCATATTCCGCCCCTTGAAGATTTCTTCCGCTCGTCGGTTTTCAAGACTCTTGTTATTCAATATCTATTAACCGCGCTAAGGAAATAAGAAAGGGCATTTTTAGAAAAAGGGGATAAGTTCTGAGAGAGGGTGATCTTATTGTTAAGGAGGTCAGTAGCTCCTAGCTTGCACGTTTTTTATAAATGAATTTGAAACTTTGTTGCGACTGCAGACTACTGACAGAGACGGAAATAGAATTCACTTACAATAGGATTTTCGGTAAGGGCTTAGGTACTTATCACGTGAGAAAAAATCCATGACACAGAACTACAGGTAAGCAAGCATACAATCATCTAAACCTCAAATGCTTCCACAAGGCGTCCGCAAATTTAGAAATGGGAAGCAGAGGAGTTCTACTAGAGGAAATCAGAAAATTACAGGTTCGTGGTCAAAACGGGAGAAGGGGAGTTAAACTTTCCGGTTATATGATGATCGAAAAATAATGAACAGCTAGCTAGGGAATTAGAGAAAGACTAGCAAAGTAGACGTTATTGAAAACAAAGTTCAAAAAAACAAAGTTCTAAAATACAATGAAAATTGAAATTCAGACTCAGCAAGACTCAGTGAACAAGCTACTTCAACTGGTGGAATTGATGCTAACGCAACTAAGGTGAGAGCGTTTCCAAACTCAATTTACATTTATAAAAATGCTAATCTGGAAAGGGCTCACCTTTCGCGCCAACTTCATTAGAATCCTACACGTACTTTTTTGTACGTAATTTATGTTAAAACGAACACGGGCAATAAGTAATCTACGTAAGGGAAAATCACAAAAGCTGGTACAAAACTCTCGGAAGGCGGAAGGGCGCAAGACTCGTGCGTGTCCGTAAACAGAAAAAATAATTTAACGAGATTGTGCTTTAGAACATGTGTCAGGGAAGAGCGCAGTTGAATACCAAAATAGTTGTTCAATTAAGATAAGAAAATGCGATTAATTCAGAAATTCGAATAAAAATTAAATAGGCCTTTTGTCTTTGAAATAAATAATAAAAAAACTTCGTTTCTTATTTTTAGTGCTTCAAAATGCAAGCGCCTTCCTCACGAAAAATGCTGCGATTGCTGCCGAATCATGAGTACTCTGCCATTTTTGCCTTCTCCAAATCAATAAATAAAAATCCCACTTTCGATTTTCTCTCTTTTCAGATTCTCTTCCATGATTTCATCTTATTCTCTTCAGGAATTTCTTACCGGGCTTTCAGTTTTTCGCTCATTTTGGTAGAAGAACGGGCGGGTGAGATTCTCTGGGTGAAAATAAATACAAGTGTATAAAAAATAAAAAAAGTTTACAAAGTATTGCTCCTATCAAAACTGGTGGAGTTCAGTTTTACGGATTTACTCCTAGAGACTTTTCTCGGTTGGTCAATTACCAGTCCGTCGCGGTCCCTATCGACGGGCGCGTCCTTGCTGCTCGCGTGCGCCAGCAAGTTCGCGCGCGATTCTCAGCGCCACCTGAGTTGTCCCGAGCGCTGTGGCGCTGCGAGTCGCGGGACCTGGATAGTGGCTTTCGTACCTTAAACGGTGTAATAAATATCATATTGATTTGAAATATCATATTTGGATATAAGGATCAGGGAGCTATATCTGGACAGAAAGAATACTAATTTGGAACAGTGCTTCTAATTCTAAACTAATCCTAAATATTCTACTTGTATACCGGAAAACGCTAATATCGCATATCTTTATTCATATCAGTTGGTTATCAGACTAAAGACAACCTCAAAAATCAAAAAAAAAATCTCTCGTTGAGAAATATTTATGATGGTCTTTCGATTTTTTTAGGATTTGAACATTAGTTTCTGCATTTTTTCATGTGCTCGAGATTAGTTGATGGTCCTCAAACGGGTGGAAAAACAAGTTCCGATAAGACCGCAAAGTTCACTTCCAAGAAATTACAATCCATCATTACTGTTAGTTTCTGTGTAATTCTGTTCCAAAAGGACAGGCAATAACGATAAATCTTCTGACGCCGGAAGACGCCCTTGAAGCGACGTTCTACATCTAATTTCTCAATTTGACCTTCACTAGAAGGAAGATGCTTGATGGCCTAATCAAACAAACTGAGTAACGAGACTATACGTCTTCGCCAGCGAGTCCTCCAAGCGCCCGCTTAGCATGGATTAAAGTTGGCCGAGAGCGGCTTTCCTGAGCTGCCGGGATCTACTTGCTGGAATCATGCACTTTTGTGGACGGGTTTCGTATTTTAATTGCTCCCGGCTCCTCTTAAAAAACCTTTTAATTATTCATTAACCAGTCTATTTTTTATCTTGTTTGAAAAGTTTTCACTGCAAATATTTTTGAGAAATTGGATGATAATTCCGATATAATTATCGAAGCTATTATGAAGCAATTATCGGAAATTAGTTCTTCAAATTTTTAAGAAACAATCAATCAAAACATGAAGCTAATAATCGAAAGTAAGCCCATGTGAAAAATGTCGTCGAATAGTAAATTTCGAGCCAGGTGAAAATTTCGAAAGGCGGCTACTAATTGCTTCGTTTAACACATTATGTGCAGCAGTTCGCACTATGCAGCATAACCTGTCCCCGGCCCATGCCAAGGTGTTAAAGGAGGACGAAAGTAATTGGCAGACAGAGGGTCTCCCGTGTGAAGCAAGCATGCACAGATGTTTCTTGAGTTGCATTCTTCAGAGCGATTATGCATGCGTCGATGTACCGGGTAGAAAGCTCCTCCACGTACTTTATAAGGCTTAAAATTATACATTCATCGTGTTTGGACCAAGCTAGAAATTCCAATTTTAGACTGATCCAGATAATACCTCTTCCCGTTTCGTATTCCTAAGGTCCCCCCTTCCGTTTCAAATTGCCGCTTATCCCGCCGTCAATTCATCTCTCCAGTATTAAATAACGTGGTTTACACTTGACGAACAATTTGTAGCCCAAAGTTCAAAACCAGCTTCCACGCTTCTTGATGCTCTTCCACGATTGAATTTTCGTCGCATTAGCTTCTCTTTGACATCGCGGTTAACATCGAATCCTGGCCTTTTATCAGATTCATCTCCGATTCGGAGACAGTTGCACAACGTGTTCTGGTGAAATTATCGATGATGGATTGAAAAATTGCATTTTGCATGAGCACCGATTCAAATTTTCGAATCTTAAAAGTATCACGCCGAGCTGATAGGCCTTCGATTCTTGTTGATTGTATTAGGTATACCTATTTTGATTAACATAATTGATATTGTTTCAAAACACAGTGAGATGGATGACGATAAAAATTGTAGTAACTGCATTGCTGTATTTATGTAGCGCATGTTATGAACCCATGTCCGAATGTCGTTTCTGTTACTTTCGTGTACCTAGCGTGTCTTCTCCAATTATCAATACGGACTTGCGGCGAAAAAAGTTTATCCGATACCTTCTGTTTCATCTCCTTTTCTTTGCTTTCTCCGTGTAGCTCGTTATATTTCATGAAAAAGGATATTGAAAGCAAATAAGATCAGAGGGCGATTCTATCCTTACTAAGTCCTCACTTATTTATTGTTGGTAATGAGATCTTGTTAGGAATGATTAAACGACATGCCTTTTTTATCCGACAATCAATCAAATTGTCATCATAAACAATGAAGCAGCTTTTTTCTCTGTCTAGCTTAAACTTCCGGATTTTTGTCGAAATAAGAACAGATTTGCAGTTTTCTGAAAAATCCATGGACCATGGATGTCGTATTATTGTACTCTCTTTCCTATAAGCCTTAAAAGGGGTGATTACCACATTGACTTGCTCAAATGAGCCAATTTGTTCACGTCTTGCCTCGTAACCGGTCGATTAGATTCTTCTAAAACCTCAAATTTAGGGGCTTAATTTCAAAAAACTAATTCTCACGGCTGAAAAAACAAGTTTACTTTTAACAGAGATTGATGATGGCAAAAGAACGATGATGTAAGACTTACAGTTGGCGACAAATTGGGGTTTTGGGTTGATGATTCTGCGGCGCGTAAAAAGGTCTTCGTTTGTAAATAGTCCCGAGATTTGAACAAATCATCGCCACTTTGTCTAGCTCTCCCATCATTTGGCAAAATTATTTTGTGAACGGGAGCCTTTTCTAAGCAAAAAAAATCGGTAAGTCGAGCTACAAAGCTATTCTACGTTCACCCTCAGCGCACGTTATTGCGGCTTGATCGGCGGTGGGGTCCCTTAGTTCTTTTATTCATCGTTCAACCCTTTAAATTATTCCGCCGGAATGTCTCTAATATTTTTTAAGCCGAACAGATACTTATTATATGAAAAAAATGTCAGTCTAAAAGGGTTGATAATTTCTAACCAAATCACAAAATCCTTCATGTTTTTATATTACATTTGGAAAAATTGTGCGATCAAGCTTATTACCCGCTTCTTTGATGCTAAATTTCGCGAATTTACCGATTCAATAATCTTACATAATATTTTCATAGCGCGAAAAAAAAACGCGCGAAAAAGTCTAGACGCCGAGGTAGTTTTTTGCACCGCGGAAAACGGTTTAACCCGTCGGCGCAAGCGTCGATCAGAATCGGCGGAGGACAAGCTGCTGGAGGATCAGTCCCGCACCGCGGTCTGTAAACTACATTTCAACACCCAAGTTGACGGTTCTTCTGGGAACGGATACCTGGCTTCTCGATTCCGGCGAATAATCAAAACAAGCGGGAGTACAAAGATGCGAATTAATTCAATAAAGAACAACTCGATTCAAAGACTGGATTTGTTGGACCACTCTATAGTTCTTCGTAATTAATTTATTTAGGACTAAAGGACAGAATTTACCCCAATAACAAAATCGCGCTTGGAGAGGCCCATCCTAACAGGCCACCATCGTTCAAATTCTTATGAAAGCTTTGTGTTTTTGACCAAAAGAAACGAGCAAAAGTACAAACAGAAAATAATAGTACAAAAGTCGGAAATAACTAAGAAAGCAGAAACTACTCAGATACAATCGTGGACGAAATTGAACTCGACAATTTCAAGAGCTCGGGAATTTCGGAGACATCTACTCACGTTTTTTGATTTTTCGCTTTGTCAGAATTCAGCTGAAGCAAAATAGAAATTCCTGAATACGTGATTTTCTTTACGAAAATTCAAAATTTGAACTTTTTTCCGTTGAAATTGAGATGATATATTTTCGAATTTCGGACGAGAAAATTGTGCTTGGAAATTATTTTTTCGGCAATCAAAAGTAGCTCTATAATTTGTTGTGGGTCGATTTCCAACGGGAAATTGCTTCATGTTCGACGCTTGTACTTGTTCGAGGTCGAGCAATTGCCAATTGGAAAAAAATGCTTATTTTGATGAAAAAGATTCACGACGTCGTTATCACGAGGTCGTGTCATCCTCTCACTCAAATATTTACGTTGGTTGAGCATAATTTTAGAATTAATTACAAACACAACTTGATCTTTTCGTTTTGACTAGAAATCAACTTCCACGATGAAATTGTGCAGGGATCATTATTTAAATTGAGCTAGCTCTTTTCTTTTTTATCATATTCGACCAGCTAGATTTCATCATTGAACGCCTGGAAGGTTACGTTCCAAGCAAAAACTAACAAGAAAAAACGGCGAGTTCCACTTTCCACGTGCGAGCTAACGATCACTTCGCTGCATGGCAAAGAGGATCCCCGTCACCATGTTGAAAATATCTCCCTTCCGGAGCGTCTTTTTCCATTCTAACGTAAAAAACGTCATCCTTCGCCGTCCCACGACAAAGTTGCTATTCTTAGCTAAAGTAAAAATCCGCTGCGGAACACAGAGGAGGAGCAGTAGGTAGTTACTCGATCTAATGATTATCCTAGTTGAGGATGAGTAGAGAGGCATAGAATTGTGGATAGTTTATCTAATGAACTTAGGCTTGGCGGGAAGAATGCGTCCAACCTCACTGGTAGCGCGTTTGTGCATTATCTAATCTCCCCAGTGTAAGTGCTTTTGAGTTGACCTTTATGAGACTGAAAGTGTCTTGCTGCACGTGCTTTCCCATCCGACGTTCGTGTGGTTTTCCCGATAAAATGATTATGATACTTTTTCGACCCTTCGGAATTCTTCTAAAGAGCCCAAGTCTTTCAGCATCAACAAGTTCAAATTCGATGGAAAGTAAGCTGGAAGGAGGGATTAAGAGGAAACGCGCTGTAAGGGGTGACTTGTATTTACGGGCGATGGTACGAGTCGAGATAGGCAAGATCAATAATCCATTTGGATTATCTCCGTATGCGCCACGTTGAGAGCGCTCCAAAGTGATCAGCCAGCAATTTTTACACTTTTAATCTTTTTTTTCTGTAATTCGTGAAATCAGCGTTTTAAATTTTTGACTGCAATAAAATCGTGTTTTCATATCAATTACCCCAAGCTGGATTTTCAAAAACGACTCAAGACGACTGGGAGGACGAGTCTGGGCGGCTTTGAGACCGCAAAACCATGTTTTCAGTAGCTTCAGAGCCAAAAATGACCGCCGAAGTGATGCTTCAATAATGGGGAACATCTTCACGCGAGCAGGATATAAGTTCTCGTCCGGATACTAAATTAAGTGGAACTTGAAATTGAAAAAACGTTTTTTTTATACGCAATAAAAATGTATCAGAATCGCCACAAAAATTTGTAAACATGCGTTTTTTAATTCTAAAAATGTGACGAATTCGCAGCTACGAAAACAGTTTCCCTTTTTTCAACTCTGCAAAAACAACCGTTGATCGAGTTACTCGAATAAAGTAACGGGTAAATAAAGAAAACGCCCTTCACCTTGCTAGTGCTCATCTTAGATAAGAGTTGGTTTTTCCGGTTTTACAAAGAGCTTTTGTAAAGGAGACATTCCGGCAAAGAGGAAGTTTAAACTAAAGCTAGAGAGGTTTACATAAAATGAGGAAGCGAAATTCAACCAAAAAGCCGCAAAGTGGAAAGTGCTTTTGTCAGATTATCGCGAACTCTTATTTAATAAACCGCTTCAAAACGCTTTAGATCTGAACTTGAGTGCTTCAATATTCGACAGCTGGCAAGAAATGTCACGTGAAAGAGTCTTCTAATCCGAGTCGGCTGCTTCTGATCTTGTCTAGCTTTGACATCGAGCCCAATTTTTTATTTTCACCTGTTGAATTAGATAACTTTCCAAATGTGACCCTCTACAAAGCCTCATCGAAGCCTTGAATGTCTTATTGAAAATATTGACCTATAATTTCGATGCTTAAAACAGAGGAAACAAGCATAATAAATTTCTTGAAATTTATTTTTCATTTTACTTGCTTATCGAACTTTTTGAAAACCGAAGTTGAGTCAGATGATTTTCACGAAAAAAAAACAACGTGGCGGTTTTTTTTCTCGTTTTGGAAAATAAAGTTATTGACACGGGAGACCTTATCGGCTCCTCCTCGCTTGACAAGATCTGGCGTGTTCTGACGTAAGACGTAAGAAATTAAAAGACGTAAAAACGGGAAACGGAAAGGCTCAAGGCTCCATATCAACGGCTGTGGTCGTGTTAACACTCGAAGGACAAATTATAGCGTCGATTGATGGAGCAACATCAGCGCAAAATCTTGATCAAGCGGCGAACATCTTCGCTTTCGTCTTTTTCTGGACAGGAAATCGACCGCTAAATTTGGATTTTATTAAGAATATGGACTTATTAAATCATTCATCAGAGAATTTTCTATTTGGGCCCTCAAATTTTTGGAATTAAAACAGTAACTTAAACATCATTGAAATTCGTTGTGAGGGAAAGAGGTAGTTGGATTGTTTGCGCGTTGGAATATTCAAAAGATGGCTCTTGAAATTATGGGTTTTGAGATGTCCACGATTTTAGCTTGTCCAAATATCGTATTTGAATCGACTGTGGAGCTAAACGAGTTAATTAGTCACACGTTCTTTTGAGTTTCAGTCCAACTCAGCTCAAACCGAGGAAACTGGCTAAGTTACTGGTAGCTCTTTGACTGAACCTAAATCCGTAGTTCTTGAGCGGCGGTAAGCCTTTTAAAGATAGCCTCGAATAAAGCCTTTCACGTTCGCACAATAGAAGTCGGCCCCCGCCGGCGCAGCTTTGCACACAAGTAGTGGAGCTCGTAATTTTCAAGGTTTCATAAATCCACATTCCGCAGCCGCCTTTCTTGGCGCAGGAAGGAAGCTTCTAATTACAGTTCTCACCCTCTCCTCATTCTTCTTCTATCGCCAGTACCTGCAGATGGCCCTTCTTTCATGGATCGTACTTGTAAAGTTATCAAGATGCTAAGAAGGACCTGCAGCTTTCTAATTTTTAAATATTCACATTCTAAATTGCGACTATTTAGCAAATAACATCTATGCAAATGAACACTGCATATAGCAAAATAACTGGCTGCTGTTTTCATTATAGTTCCTGCCCAGGAGTCGCGGAAAAATATATTTTTGACAAAGTGGCGCTCTACTAAAATATTGGATGCTTGAAACCGAACGCTAAATTATGACTTTCTAAAATCGTTCATATCTTATCTCCTGACAGATTGTTCCCCGTCGTAAAATGATTTTTGCAACGTTTTAAAGTCTATCTAAAAACGTATGCATTTTTCTTCATGAATCTTTTACTTTCGATTCTTAGCTAAAATTTTACGGCTAAATTTTCCGCAATTTTCTGCATTATGCAATTTTTGCTTAGACAAGAAAAAGGACGAGCCCTTATTTTAATGCTTTCCGTCGTTATCTTTTTTTACATGGCAATTATTTGCCAAGCGCTAGAATATTCTTCTGAACAGTAAAAAATGATAAGTTTCAGCTGCCGATTGAAGGAACCTGGACTCCGCAAAATTTCATCTAAATTCGGATAATCTTGATTTTTGGGATTTGGCTGTTATATAAGTCAACTTTCTAAAATGAATTTTTTCGACGATTATCGCTAGAATCTTTGAATTGTGAAGAAAAAGATGATCCGATTTCCTGAAAAACAGAAGAGACCATCACGAGTCCGACCAAAATTCCACCGATAATCGACCCTACTGCGGCTCCAGCTTATCTTTTAAGGGCTCACAATACGTAACTCATCTTGATTGTCTCTTTCTTCATGCGCCAAGGAGTTAAATGGCGCAAGAACTAAATAATTATTTTCGTAGCTTTATCAGTGAGCCTTTCCTTGGGATGAGTCAGGTGCGTCGCCGCCTAGGCATAATTAAAAAACAAGGGTACCCTTCTTTTATTCACATTTCGCGCGATAAACTACCCACAGTTCCAAACGTATCAGCACAGCACGGCCGCAGATGCTTTTTGAAAAATTGCACCTCGGAGCACGTGGTGCCCAGCGCGCAACGTGAATCCCGAAAAAAAAATTATATAATTTTGCAAATTGGAATTCCAGCGCACCCGTTTTTCTTTATCAAAAAAGAGCCAAATGGAAGATTGACTGATTTACAAGTAGATCAATTCAAGGTTGATTTTCTCCAGAATCAGCAAAAATGAAAGGCTGAAACTGAATGGGTTTAAGATTGCGGAGGTCTGCTTCCGCCCGTTCCACGTTGTTCAAAATTGACAAAGAGTCATTTTGTGCTCTTCCGAGGCTTTCCATCAAATGCTATAATCACTTTTCCGGCTTTTGCGAAGTCTGATTTTGCACTATAAAACGATTCCATGTACGAACAAAGAAGCAAAAACCCATGATTTCAACTTTTGCTCGTTTTCTCGAAAACCGCGGTCGCAATTTTCTTTATCTCCCTGAGAGTTATTTTTATTCATTCCTAAAAAATACTCAAGAATCGCGACAACACGTCGTTAAACACGTTGTTTGCCAATTCGCAGAGAATTAGGGGCGCAAAAAATCTTGTCTCGACGAAGAAAAAATCCGTGAGAACGATGTCGACAAGATTTTGAAATGAATCAAAGTAATTAAGGACTATTTTAGTGGCAGCTAAGAGGAATTTTATTTCTTCGGAGGAATTAAATTTAATTAAGAATTAATTGTGAATAAGACAAAAAAAAAGTAGTTATTGTATACCTAGTTCCAGAAGTTCGTTTTTCGTAACATGCGGTTTATGTTCTATTTGGTGGAAATTGCGGTCGAAGCGACTTTTCGCGACTTGGAACTAGGAGACACTCTTGTCTAGTTTCAATGCGATTAATCAAGCGATAAACTTGACGGTACTCCATCAACACTTTAGCATAAGAAGCATAAATAAGGAGCGAGGAAGGCTCTTTTATTACTCCCTTCCACCAAACACGTTTTACTTGAATATAGACCAATCTCATCTGGTTCGATTTCGTTGAATGCCACTCAGTTTCAGACCCTTCAGATTTTAAATCTAGCACTCGGGGTCCTTATTCTTTGCTTGGTTTTGATGATGCCGACAAAGTCAGATAAGAACGGAGGAAAGGGTCTCGAAATTCAACTTGAATTTCTTCTGATTTTCGTTGGAACTCGTTTTCGTTGTCATAATTGCATCACGATTCTTGGGAGCGAAACCGTTACAGTATCTCAATGTTAATAACAAAATATTTAGGGTGATCCCGGGCTTACAATCAAGGTCCCAATTTATACACTTGACACTAATGGTTATCAACTACAGGTAGGTAATTCATCCCTGACAAAAGCACCATCGGAATATCCGTCAACGACATATTTATCTTCATACTTGACATTTTCATCAATTATCTCCTTGTCTCTCAGCGTATTAGGGGCGGCTAGACATTTCATAATTGAATTTTTCCAAGAGAAGAAATTTCAAATTTCGCAAATGTGACTTACCGGAAAAGACGGCAGTGTAGCCAACGTAGTTGGACATATCCACTCGGACCTCTTCAGCCTAAAAGATTTAAAGAGTTACAAAGGTAAGGTTTGTTATAAATTCAAAAGGGCCCCGCTCTTAGGTGAATGTAAATTATGACAAAATTCTAGGGTCTCTTTTAGAGATAAAAATCTTACTTTATGCCTTTGTTTATAAGAAATTGGGGAATAAAAAACCGCTAAATTGAGTTCAAATGGTTCGTCCTTTTTATTTTGACGTCCGTCGTAACGGCTCTTAGATAGAAATCCAAGGCCGAGGAAAAAAAGACCGTCAGACTTTATTTTCCCGTCGTTTATCAAAATTATTGAAGCTCTCTCAGTTTCGAAAAAATGTGGTCAGATTACTCCAGAGCCTGCGAAAACTTTTTCCACTTCAAAGTTTGAGTTTTCGCTTGTCATAATAATTTTCCGGGTTGGTTTTTCTTTTAGAACAAGTTTGGAAGTTGTAAAAAATTAAGTTTGATTATTATGATTGGGAGTACGTGTGAGAAATATTTGCATTTTCTGGTGCATTAAAATTTTTCGCTCTGACGCGGGGGAGCAGATATTTGAGATGATCATTTTTAGTCCTTTTCTTCGCCCTTAAGTTCATTTAGCTCTTATATCATGTTATGATTTCTGATCCAAAACAATGAAGTTTGTTCATTCGATATTTGATTTCCGGAAAAACTATCTTTTTCAAACGGGCTCGACAATGGAACAAAAAACTGGTAATTTTTTATTTTCCGAGATTTCACGCGCTTAGCAACGACCGCAGAAAAATGTCGAGAAAATCGTCGAAAAATCTTAAATTAAATCTGCCGCCTTCTAATTCTATTTCCTTGATTCCTCTTTCCGAGTGTTACGCAAGGAACATATTGAATATAACACATTGGGCATAGACTAGTGATAATATTCCTCGAGAGTGCGGCTCGCGAAATAACGACCACTCAATTTGAAGAGTTCTGTGCTTAGATAACGTGCGAAAATTACGTACGGCGATAAATTCTGATGCTCACACGTGATTTCGTGCATAAACTTTCAGGAACCAGGCTGGCAGTTACTTAGAACGTAGCTCTTCACTTTTAGAATCATTAGAATCACTGGCCATTCTCTGAGCGACAAGATGAGAATATTTTCTATAATAATATTTATATACTTTATAAGAAATATTACTAACGTATATTTCTGCAAGCTCTATAATTTTTTAATAAAAAATTGTATTTTAGAAGCCAACTCGCCAATCAGGAAGAAATCGCTTCCAGAGACAACATACCGAGCTCATCAAAAAGAGACGATTTTAACCCTTCCTTTTGTTCGGAAGAATTTACCTGTATCTGATATTGTAGATAATTGAACGCCTCGTTTAATCCGAGCTCCTTATCAGCTGTTTTGTGAGCTGGCTTGTCAAGTAGATAAAATTGAATCTAAAAAATTGTCAATTTGAAGAAGAAAAAATTGAGAAAAGAGATTCTTACGTAACAGATCTTGTCCCCACAGGTCAATCCTCGAAGCAGGGGTGGATATTTTGATATCAAACCATTATTTCAACCGTTTTTGATTTGAAATTTCAAAAGATAATCGCAATTTCAATTTTTTCAAATTTCATTGTCTTTGCAAAGAAAATGATTGTGCTGCCAATTTTGAAATTTCAATCATTTCATTTTTCAATTTTCAAAACTTTTTCAAATCCAGACTCGTTTTGCAGATTTTTTGCAGATTTCATTTTCATTTCAAATCTAAATAGGCTCACCGAGCGGGGGCGCCGAGCAGTGAGCCCGCCGAAAATAAACTGGAAAATCTTGCCTATAAAATAAATCTTTTGAATTTTCGAATTCGGGAAATTTCTCGCAAGCAATAAACTTTATATAGTAAAAGCTAAAAACTAACAATTTCAAAAGCCCACGAGAGCTGTCGATTTCGGAGCATTTCCGACTCTACGCGATTTTTTCGGAAAATCCGCCGATGCTTCCCAGTCGTCTTCGTTTGCCCAAGATCGCCGTTTGCCCAAGTTAATATATTTGATGTGAATAAATTTTGATTTATTGACAAAAATCGAGTGGTCTCCGCTCGCCTAAGTCGCTTTTTCCCCGAGATCGTCGTTTGCCCAACTTGAGGAAACGGCGATTTGGGTAAAGGGCGATGTGAAGTAAATTTGATTTATTCATCGCTTAACTTTATTTACAATATTGTTATTGACTCCAACGTTAATCCCGGCTTCTCCAATGGCAATCTTGGCTTCAACAACTTCAATCATGGTAACCGTTGCTCCGACGTCAACGGTGGTTTTTCAAGCGTCAATCCCGGCTTCTCAGACGTCAAGCTCGACTTCACCAACGTCCATTTCGGCTTCTACGTTAACCCCAGTTTCACGAACTTCAATCTTTCGGGCTCTGTTGACAATCCTGGCTTCTCCAGCGTCAATCCCGTTCCTCCTAGATTGGGTTGACGTTGAAGAAACCAGGATTAACATTTGCTAAGCCAGGATTGAAATTGCTGAAGCCTGGATTGACGATATTGAAGCCAGAATTGACGTTGAAGAATGCACGATTGGCGTTATTGATGCCAGGACTAATGTTTGAGAAGTCGGGATTGACATTGGAGAAACAAGAATTGAAGTTGGTGAAGCCAGGATTGACGTTTGAGTAGTCGGGATTGACGTTATAGAAGCCAATGAAAAAATTTATTGATCAATCAATTGAAATTATTTCACATCGCCGAAGATCTCCGTTTCCCAAGCTGGGCAAACGGCGACTTGGGGAAACTGCGACTTGGGCAAACGGAGACCACTCACAAAGATCCCCGTTTCAAAGAGTTGGGCGAATGGCGACTTGGGGAAACGGCGACTTGGACAAACGGAGACCACTCGATTCTATCCGTTTCCGCGCTGTTCTCTGATCCTCCGATCTGATCAGAGCAGTGTTTGAAACAGTGTTTGAAAAATGATGAGCAAGCGCTCATTCTCACTCACTCATGTAAAATTTCAAGGCCATTGCTCGCGCTCACTCGCTCACCTTAAAATTGCGAGATCTCTGCTCGCGCTCACTTGCGCTCGCTTACGACCTATTTTCGTAAAAATAACGTCCGATTTGCGAAATCTTTCCTGATTTCATTTTTAAGGGCGCTACCGTCGATTCCCCAAGTTGACCCTTGAGTAACTCGGGACTTAGTTATCTAGGCGGTCCCTATTTAGGCGTATTGAATAGATCAATCCTAGACCTTAACTTTAACAGAGAGGTTTCTCAATTGATTAACAAAAAACGGCTAAATTTCGGCTTGAAGTCAACATCTTTGCCAAAATGGCCTAAATAAAGGCTTGAATAACTCAAAAATAAGCCTGATAACGAAATCTCATTTTATTTTAAACTCATTATTTGAACATTGATATTTAAAGTGAAAGAAGGATTTTTAAGGGATCCCCTCCCGATTTGAAAAATTTCATCGAGAGCTTTTGCTTGGTATAATTTTAAAATGATCATCGTCTGAGGATCATTTCCATATATTATGTCAAGGGGCGTACGTCACGTGATTAGCCGTGACAAAGGCTTGAAAATGGCTTATTTTGATGAAAAAAATTACTAAGAAAAAATTCGCAAAATTTTCGACTTTTTAAAGTCGACGAAATCATATAAATGAGGGCTTTTTAGAAAGCTTAGACGAAGCTGAATCAGAAAAAATAGGTCCTGATAAAATCAATTGCCACAAAGAGGTGCTAGAGAGCATAAAAAGTCACAAAAATGGCAAAAAGCAGTCGAAAAAGTTTTTGTTTAGAGAAATTCTAAAATCCTTGACCAAATCGGATGCCTGTACTAGAGATTGTAGAAGAGGTATCAAGGAAAGTTTGGATAATAAAATAAGGGGAATATATTAGAGGTGAAAAAGTAGTTCGACTTTGAAAATGGCCTAAAACCGGGTTTTGGCGACTATCAATGTCTTTAGAGCGATTTTTATAGGTGATTCCCCTTATCAAATTTATTTTCTATACTAGAGATTGCTCATTTAGAAATGCTCTTTAAAATAAGCCCCTAACCTTCAAGATAGCTAAGCCCGAAAAAGTAGTTCGACCTCAAAGTTGGCGAAATCGGGGGATCCCTTAATGAGAAACGAAAAATAAGAAAATTTATTTTTTGAAAATTGTTTCTCAAAAATCTCCCGGGCCTTGAAAATTTCAGTGTTTAATCATCACGAGCGAGCGCTCATGCTCGCTCACTCATGAAAAAGTTTGGGGCTTCTGCTCGCGCTCGCTCACTCACGTTAAAATCGGGGAACCTTCGCTCGCGCTCGCTCACTCACGAAAAATTTCGGGGCTCTGCTCGCGCTCACTCGCTCATCTTAGTTTTGACCATTTTTTGCCTGAGAATCGAATAGTCGGACGAGCGCGGGCGCGAAGGGTCCGATTTTTGGATGGGCGGATGTGCGCGGGCACAACTCCAATCGAAAGACACGAAAAACAACCAAAACCCACCGAAAACCCACCGACCAACAAAGAAAACGGACGCAATTTACATAGAAAGGACCTATTTTACGCAGAAAATATCCGATTTTCTAATTTTCTGTGTAAAATAAGTCCTTTTCTCGGTAAAAAGTCGACTCGGGTTTGACTTTCATGGGATATGCCATGAGCAGAGATAGCGAAGCTGACGGCTAAGGTTAGCTTAGCTACCGGGAAATTTTTTTGACCAGCTTCGCTACTCTCAGCCAGGGTTGTAAATCACCCTGACCACCGCACCTCGAGGGCGGGGTGGTTGCATAGCACCTTGATATTTTTTGAGGTGGGGTGGGGTGGTCACGGAAGCACCTCAATTTTTCGAAGCCGTGGCAATGTACGACATTTCCAACTCTGAGTCAGGTTCAGGTGCCTGACTCAGGCCAAAATACTGGGTATTTTCGACCAAGTTCGTAAAATTAAAAAATTTCATTTTTATGCACCCTGAGGGTGAGGTGGGGTGGGGTGGGTGGATTTGGATCCACCCTGGTGATTTTTGAGGTGGGGTGGGGGTTCGAAGCCACCTTAGAATTTTTCAGGGTGGGGTGGGGTGGTTCTCACGGCGAAGTCGAAATGTCGGGGTGGTGTTAGGGTGGGGTGGCTGGGGTGGGGTGCTCTCAGCTACCGGGAGACACTGATGAGATCCCCCCTAAATCATAAAAAATAAAGGGTTCACTAGAATTATCCAAAAGGGAAATAAAGCGGGCTTACGTTTTTCCCCTCCTTGAAATCTGCAAAAATTCGTTTTTTCAATTTCATTTTTCAAACTGTTTTCAAATCGAAAAACAGGCTTCATCAGCTGAAAAGTGCGTTTTTTCAATTTCAAATTTATTTCAAAACCGTGCGAGAAGCTTTTCTGTTTGCAATCATCGCACATTTCATTTTTCAACTTTTTTTCATTTGCAAAGCTATTTCATCAGCTTTTTTTTGCAATTTCATTTGAAATTTCAGATTTTGAAATGATGAAATTGATGATTCCACTTTTTTGAAAAACGGGTTGATATCAAAATATCCACCCCTGCCTCGAAGGCGATTGATGCGCAAGTAGCCGACGCCAGCAGCTGCCGATAGTGCCGTTTGGAACTCTGGCTTTGGGTTGTTCAACGTTATCAACTGACGTGGACAAAGATGTTAGCGCAAAATAAGCTACAGTAATTCTCTTTAGGATCAGCTGCGATTATCCCGAAGAGTCTTGAACTGTTGAATAACCGACTTTTAGAAATTCTTCGTAGAATCGTTCCTTGACAACTGGGCCCATCTCGTTGACATCTGTTATATTTACTTGAAGAAATTTGTGTCGCTTCCCAGCGAAACATTTCTGTTGATGGTTTTATCTTGACAGGTTAAATTCATCCCGCGCCGATTTGAAATTAATATTTTGGCGCTCTAAAGTTCCTGTTGGCTGAAATCCGGAAGGCACGGAATTAGAAATTACTATCGCCTTGACCTGGTGTCACTCAAAGTCCCCGCAAATTTCATGATTCTCAGCTATCAAACTAAGCCGAAATCGTCAGACAACTCCGACGGTGAAAATTAGCCCACCGCGACATCTGTCATTTCTTGTTGTGGGAAAACCAAAGCCTAAACAACGATTTTAGTAAATTGTGCTCAATTCGCGGCCGCTTCTCATTTCAATTCATCTTTTTTTCGAGGAGGATGACGAAATTAAACTGCGTAATTATGGGCTTCGCTTTCAGCTATATTGGTCAGGTGGGCATCCTTCACAGAAAAAAGATGTATTACTGATACAGTATCAGTCGCGAAATTTTGCATTATACTTTGAAGTTATTTGGCCAACTCGATTTGCTACCTTAGACTCTTTTTCCAAAGAATCAATTAATTGAATCTTTTTTAGTGAGAAAGAAGAGTGCTTTCTGTTTATTGTAGATTGGAGTCTATTTTTAGAATAATGATGAACGTTATGAATGGCGCCCATGATACAATTAATTAGAGGCTATTTTTTATCAAGAATAAATGGAAAAAAATGATAAGCGGAAATGAGCTGTGAGGTTAATTTCAAAATTACGAACCTGGACGGCATCGAAGGTCTTATGCGGGTTTGCGGAAGGTGACTCGTTGTAGTAGTAAATCGTGTAGTCAGTGTGGTGGTGATGACCCGCTGAAAACGGCACGGCTCAGACTGCGCTCGAGAAAGATTACTACTCGATTCTGACACCGACCGTGGTCGATGCTGAGCTGCTTGATTACCACAAATCCAAAATATGCCACCGTCGTTTTTCGCGAGTTTTTTCGTTATTTTGTTTTGAATAAATTTATGTTCGATTCGCACTTTATAGAATCTGCTTCTATTTGACGTTCTTATTACAAAAATTTTGTAAAAAAGAAGCTCTTGGAAATTTCAAGCAGTGAGCTGTACTCGTTGGCTTATCTGGCGTCGAGGAAGTGGCCGATGCGATGGAATTTGTAAATTGTGCCAAAATGGAAAGCGATAACAATGTCCGCTCGCTCAGTTCTAAGCACCACAAAACTCTTGTAAGACGTTTTATTCAAGAATTCTTATGCAAGGTCTATCTTTCTATTTCTTTTAAGTTCATTTCAAAGGATAATTGTCTGTTCATTTCCTCGAGTGGCCACAAAAGGAGCCTATGAAGGTTGACCCAGTTAAAGTGAAAATAACTTCCTGTCTTTTGATCTGTTTGGAATGTTTAATTGGTTTCCAAATGGTTCATTTTTAGAGAAGCTTAGTATCAAGTCTGAGCCGATTCCTGCGGTTACGGGCTGAACAGAGCGCGTCCTGAGCTGGAGAGGCTGCATGCTTCGTGTTCTGAAAGAGAAAGAGAAAGTTAGTTGTGTTCCCATTCTAAAGGGATTTGTGAAGTAATGAGCTCATTTACGCAAGCAAACTGACTGGCAAGAGTGTAGCCACGGAAGAGCTATTTGACCAAAACTAATTAAAATGCTAAAGCGTGGAGGCCATTTCGGACAAGAGGCTTATGGTAAGGACTCCCAGAGTCAGGAGCCTTACGGGCTCCTCCCTTTTCGAAAAGAAAAACAAACACCGTCTGCCATCTTCTCCAAAGATTGCATAAGGTGCTTAACACGTTTTTGCTTTTTGGGCTGAAAATTTTACGAAATAATTTGATAAAATAAAAAAAACAAGAATATAGTCTCCAATTCATTTTGTTTGGGGCAAAAACTTTTGGGTAAAAAGTTTCGAACTATTCCTTTGTATGTAAAGATGTTCAATTCTAGCTACTTTCAGCAAGCATCTTTATTGTTGGTTAATATTGGAGACTCTTAGCTGCCAACGAACTCATTCTTTTGGCCAAAAACAAAACGGGAGCTTAATGAGAAACCATCGTTATCAAATTATCAAAAACGTTTTGGGGGTTGATCTTTCGGTAGAATCAAGATAGTCTACCGGTAAACAATCGAGATCTTTGTGGAGAGATAATCAAATTAGTTTCTTTCTGGAACCTGAGTTGTCTATGAAAGAAACCTTGCTGCTTAGCACTTACTTATTTACTTACTTGTCAGTTAAAGAATTTGAATTAAGTTATTGATTGATTATTGCGCGGTTATTATTTATGATCGGTAGACTTACGAGTCTTCAGGACTAGCTCCTTCCCAAAAAATCCAATCTTCTGTGGAAAATGCCCATTCAAAGGTGTACGCCTGTCCTTTTTTCGGAGTTCTTTTCGAAGACCAAAAGTTCGCATCGATGTATCGCACTTCTTGAGATCCCATTTTGTAACGTTCCAAAAATCTGACTCTAAGCCGTATCTTTAAAGTTGATCTGCGGGGCTATTTTCACGTAAAAGCATTTCGTGGATAAAGATCGTGGGTTATTGAATTGGGTGAATTTTGATTACTGACGTTTTTCAAAAAGCAAAGTCAAAAATGTGGTTAACGTGATTTGAATTTGTGAGTGACATTAACCCCGACAAGGTAACAGACTTTAGAAAAGCGCCTGAGCGATTGCCGATTTCGCGCATTTCAAAAAGAAAGGAGGCGAAATCTGATTACGCTTTGGGAAAAAAGTGATTGTGGCAAATTTGGCTTGTGGCAGATTTTAAGTCAGACTTTTTGAAACTCTTTTAGGAAGTTGCAGAAAAATTGCTAAAGCATTGAGTGGTTACTGGGGAAGTTGAAGTGGTGCTGGACCGGTTGGTAAATTACAGGTTCTGCCTGGCGCGTCTGGTTACATAGATTGTTTTTGGAACGTTGCCTTGTACCAATACTCGTTTGGATCTGGAATCTGCCAAAACCACTCAGGCGAGTGCATTGATATCTGAAAGCAAGGTGTGAAATTGGCGCTCTTGAAAATATACTAGTATCTTGCGAGAAAAATTAAAGAAAACCTGAGTTCCCAAAAACTGCAGAACTAAAAAGCTGAGTCAAGTCAAGGCCTTCTCCTGCATCTGGGGCAATTATACAGAAAGTACGTTTAGAGATGCATTAGACAGGAGGAACAAGGGAAACGATTCGCGAGAATGTCGAATAAAAATTCAATTGATACTAATTGAAGCAAAGCCCTCATCCTCTAAATGCAAGGCTTGCTTTTTTTTGGCCTGTTCTTCGTTTTATTTTTTGCTTTGGTTGCTTTTATCTATCTGGCACTCCTCAAAACAAACTAAGTACAATTCAGAGCAAATTCTGTTTAATTTCACTTTCAAGCAATCTTACTACCGACGAAAAAAGGTTGGGCGATTGTATTCACAATAACTAGGGCGTCTCGACGAAAAATATTTATTTTCAAAAAAATGCCCAATCTTTGAAATATCAATTTATCGGGGCGGCGCGAGGAAATGGTCGATAGTTCGTAAATACGAAAACTGAATCTAATAGAGCTTACGAGAAATTGAATCAAAATAATTAATCAGAAAAAGACCGTCTTTTCAAACCGTTGGGAGTTCTGAGGTCAATGAAATCTCTTATGAAATATATAAAAATTCTGCAAGAGGTACTCTTGATGAAATAATTTTTCGCGAAAGCGGCGAATTATTTCAGTTCTGGAGGCATCTAAAAGCTGCTATAATCTGTTACCTTTCCGCCATGATACCACAAATCGGATGCCGGGTCGTCGCCGAAACTAGGGTCCAACGAGTAGATTGAGCAATTTCCCGTAACCCGATCAACGGCGTAACTAAAAATGCGATGAGCCACGGCTTTATAACCGGTTTCGACTTTCAGCGCCAAAAATTCTAGCTTTCGTTTCTTTGAACAACTGCGAAAAAAATGCAATTTAGCGAACGTGTAAAATGAACAGTCACTTCATCAAAAGGAAGTCAACTGTTTTGGCTACTTAGCAAACTAGCAAGTACTTGATCCTTTCTCGGTAGACGTGTTTAGGGGCTTTTCTTAAGCATAGGTTTTTTATTGAAACAGCTTTTAGGGCTCAGATGCTTGCTATCCTAGCAAATCTGTTTTTCATAACTCAGGTTAAACTTTAGTTTCTAATTGCATCTAAATAAAGAGGTATTTTGCTTATTGGATCAGCTGTATTTAAATGCAAGAGGTCATTAATAATTCATTGTCCAGGAACTTATTCGAAGAGAAAAGTCTTAACAAAAAATCTCGTGCTTTCAACAAACACGAGTCAATTTGTTATTCAGGACAGCTTGAAACTTGTTGAAAAATATCTAAGTTCACGTAGCCGCTATGTTCCGCCCCGTTTCTCGTGCATTTTTCGCTATTTTGTTGAATCGCGTTTTCAGCAATTAGAGCAAAGTATAGATACCAAGAATTCGGCGCTTTCATTGTTAGAGTGCCAGCGACACCGCTAATTGCAGTCAACTGTAGAAGTAGTCTTACTAGTTTTGTAAAGAAAATTAAGTCTTCAAATATTTTACTGTAGCCCAACAGAAGTACAAGATAAATGAGAAACGCTGCTTACCCTAAATCCGAGCTAAAATCGTGGATAAACTCCATTTCTGTGAGTCCATAGGCATTGATAAGATCCGCAAATCCAGCCGTATCGAGTGTGTACCTCGCCAATTTCTTATCGTAGTCGTAGTGAATGCTTAATTTGTGAAAATCAGTCTTTATCTTCGTGTCCTTTTTCGTCGTATTCAGATAGGGTTGAAAGCGTACCTCATATCGTAAACTGGCGATTCGAAACCTCTTTGTTGCAGGGTTCAGATAATAAATTTAAGGTCAGAGGAAAAATGAGGACTCAAGGTGAAAAATTGGATTGGTATCGAGCTTGCGGTTAGGAAATCCTGAGCCGGACGTGACCATGATCCACGAAAGGGGAAGCGACCACGTCCTTCTTGTGGCTTTAAAGTGAAAATAAGATAGTCCCGCTGCCAATTTAATTGTACTAGGAGTATGCCACGGGGAACTAAGAACTTCCGATCAAGGAAGTTCAGCCAAGACCAACTTGAGTGCACGGCAAAAATCGCGCCACCTCGCAAGTCCTGCAAAAATAGCTTTAGTTGTTAAAAAATTGAAAAATTTAAATATCTCCTCTTTAAAAACTTTTCTAACGTGTGTCCGTACACCGTGAGAAAGATAAAACGAATATCTGTGTTCATTGAAAAATTGTTAATTTTTGCACACGTGTTCTCGCGTAACGGACACTTGGGGTAAATATTTTCCTCTTCGAATGCCTGGAGAATTACTTCAAGATTGTAATTAGCCGTGCTTGCCATCACGTGGCTTTTGACCGACCGGTGAAACTTTTCCGATAATTTAACAGTATAAAATGGTCATTTATGAGCGAATCAAAATGCCTACCCTTTTGATAATTCCTCAAGTTTTTAAGAGAATAAAAACTGCTCAGTTGTTTAATAGACTTTGAAGCCACAAGCGTTCACAATCTGTCTACGTGTATTTAATCCATAAGGTGCTGATATGAGAAGCTGTAGATCGGTAGCTATGTTTGGGGCGCATAAACCGGAATCAACCGGTGTTTTGATAGATCCCCCTAAGAGTAGATATAGTTCCATATTTTTTGGATAACTTGAAGCTGAACCCAGAACCCAGCGCCTTATCAGGGATCATTATTATTTTAGATTACAAAGGCAACTTTTGAGCAAATTGTTTTTTGGAGAGTCGTCATAGTTATTTGACAAAGTTTAAATTCTATCCGCATTCTTAAATTATTTAGAAAAGTCGAAGTGGCTAAAGCGGTAAATATTTAAGATCCCATTCCGTAAATGTAATCCTTGACTTCAAGTTTGCTATGCCAGGCTTTGGCGGACATTTGTGGAATTTCCGGTGTGTGCGAGGTCTGGCAAACCGTCAGATCCGGCAACAGAAATACTTCCGCGGGGGGCGTTTCTAATCTTACTCTGAAGATTTCGTACACTTTCAGGAGGCTCACGTTTTTATGTTTTAGCTTAAATTTCGGGGTCACTTCGGTAAGTCCTTCCTTGCAACACAGCAGTGGCTTCTTCGTCGATGTACTTTGTAAGGTCAAAATTCAATCTGCTTTTTCGTAACCTCTAATTTTCTGGTCAATTTTGACGCTGGAGGGGGGCTACAAAGGTGGCACTTTGCTCGAATTAAAAGAAAATGTCTCGTGATCGGGTTTAATCTCACTTCGAATTTTGCATTTAGAAGGTAAGAATGAGCCACTTAAGGGTACCCAAAATATATTAAATAGAGTTAATGACGATAGATCTCAGATTTAAGAGGAAATATAGGCATATAAAAAGCCCTAGGCATTAAAAGAACGATTTTTTAAGGAGCATCGTCTTTTGAAAGAAATTTAAGAAATCAGTAGTCTTCTAAAATGGTCCAAAAAGAGACAGGCTGAAATTTCAATTATCCCATTTCCGGCCGAATCGCTAGAAAGATGACATTGCAAATCTTGACACGTCTAAAAACGCAAACAGCGCTTTCGGTTAAATCAGATTGACCCGGGCGAGCCTGGACGACGCGCAGCGGGATGGAAACGGAAGTTTCTGAAAAGTCGAATGTCAAAAACATGTCAATGCTCGTTTCTAAGCGCAAACCTGTTGGTATTGAATAAAAGACATCAAGTGCATACGACGCGGCCTTGTCCGGATATTTGAGTCTTTTTTGGCAGCTCAAACATGTGTTTCGCAATTTCAACAAATCAAAATAACGAACAGAATCAAATCCGCGTAAAACATAAATTGAGACATTTGTCAGCCGCTTTCCTTGCACTCCACTGCCACGCTACTTTCCCACGAACACTTTTTATCAGATTTCATGAAAAAAATATTTAGATGATGGTTCAGTTTTGATGTTCTTTCGAAATTGCAATGTGAGAAATGCCGCTCAGGTGAGGAGTCGAATTCAGGTTCGCATTCCACAGCGAGGAAAAGATGGAGATTCTAGTCAGGTTGAAGATCACCCAAACAGAGCACCTCTAAAGTCGAATTCCCAGCTCAATTTACCAGTAAAGACATTTCAGAGACAACAGAAAAGGATGATTTTTTCCGTCGCTGGGCTCGAAAAAACCTGAGTCAGGGTCTAAAAAGCTTTCCGACTTCGCTTGAATTTGAGAATAAAATAAAAAATTCTTCTTGCGAGGCCGCTCTGGACGTTCGTTTTTTGAAAGCCGCTTCGCGGCTTTTCTTTAAAGATCTTTCAGACCCTAATTGAGGTTGGGCTAAGAAAATCTTTTTACGCATTCAGTGCTTGTTATTTTAATGCGTTTATTTTTTCCGTTTTTCAAAAACAAAGAAACTCACGTTTCGTTTCGCCTATTCGTTGTGTAACTGCACGTGAGTGTCGTTAAGAGAATTAGAACCCACCCGATTGAAAATAATTGCTTCGATTTTGTTTCTAATAAATATGGCTGGCCGCGCGTGTGTTTTAATTGCAAGCAACTGCGGGTTTGAAAAGGCGTCGTTTCAATAGTTTTCGCGTTATTTGCCGAAAATATGAAAATGACGGGGATCCACGTTCTCCTGGAATAAGCCGAAGAATGTGCTTTTTATTTATTGAAAATAAGAGAAACATTCCTCACCTGGCAGGTTACTCTAATTCAATTGTAAACTCTTTCATTATCTGATCAAAAACGACATGTAAAAGGTTGATAAAAGGGCAATTTCGGCCTATTAGACGGATAAACAGTTTGAGGACCCTGACTCAGGTTTTCAACACAGGTTACTGAGTCGAGCATGAAGGCTTTTCTGACGCTGACGAAGACTATTTATATTTCGCGCCACCAAAAGTGCAAACTTTCGCCAAGAGAATGTCATGTTCATCCCGCATTCACTCAAAACGGGGCGTTATGTTTGGCGCAGTCTCCACCGAAAACGCTTGTCTCTGTTAGAAATCTGTTCCTAGTGGGCTCGAGATCCGGCTCAGGCTCAACCTTTTTGACGTCCGTGACGAAATCCGGACTCATCAGCACTTCCAACAGTGGCACGAACTCGTAGTCGACACTCGTCTCGGGATTTTGAAACTCCGGGATGAAAATTGGACTGCCTAAATCAATTTTTACACGAGTCAGGAAGTAAGCTTTTTTGGAATTTCGTAATTTTTTAAAAGGCTGGTCGAAAATCTGACTTTTTCAACCCTTTCTCGGGTCTCAAAAAACGAAGCTTCTCGAGAAATGAATGAAAGAGGGATACCTCGCTTTCTGAATTTTGAAAAATTTGGACCGGCTTGGAATTTGGAATTTTTGAAAGGCAGGAATTTTCAATTAGGTCTAATTCCGGAATCCGGCGTGATTAGATTTTTTGATGAAAACCTTTGAAAGACTCAAGTTGCTTCGTGTCGCACTCGAAACCATCGTAGAGGAAGTGAACTTTGTTGCCGGCGAAATCCCACTTGGCAGTCGTGTAGATTCCGTTTTTTCGCACCGACATGATCTTTCGAAAAGGCCATAATTTATAGAATAGAAAGTTTGCTCGCCTTTACTGCTAGTTTTCTACAGTAAAAAAACAGAAAATCAAGAATGGTCATTTGCGAGGTCTTTGGAAAATGCGTCTATAATTATTTGCAGAGCTTGTTTTTAAAATTACGGAGGGTTTTGACCACGAGGGTGTCGTTTTAAGGGACTCTTTCCTGATCTGGGTCGGCCCCGGGTCTTTGGTCATTGAGTCTGCGGTAGAATTTGAGAAATTCAGTTCCGGTGTTGCGCTCCAGGTTGACGACGCTCTTCGTGGCGTAGAACTCATAATCACTGAAGCGTCATTTTAAATACAGGACAAATTCATCATTGTGACTTAAATAAGAACAGACAGTTGTAAAGCCCCTTAGCAGGCGCAAAAATCCTTTCAGATTTATTTTGAGACGCTGGTCTCGACACCTTCTGAGGCCCTACACGGGTTAATATTTAGAGACTCCTAAAATAAAGAGTTCATCGAATTTACTTTCTTAATCCTCATTTGTTTGTTTCGCGTTTTCGCGCGATCAGAAACACTAAACCGCACGATTTAACATTCTAACACATTCTTCTGTAAACATGACACTAGTAGAAGAATAGTAGTAAAAGAACAAACCTTGATACGATTTGAGAAGATACGAAAAAGAAGCTTACATATGCTGCATGTTGCTGTACGCACGAGTTACTCAAGTTATCTTATTTTGAAAATTAACTTCTCTTCATTATCATTTGAAATTTTCTTCTAAGAAGTCATGATGTCAGAAAGTCACCTTGTGAAGTTTGCCCATCTATCCGGCTGTCCCCCAACCGGATCGTCCGAAAAAACACACTGAAATAACAGCAAAGGGCCAAAGAATCTCATTCTCTGCAATTTCAAATGGATCTAATAATGGCCTGGTCTACTCTCTATTAGAATCGTTTCTTTGTTTTTCGCGCATAAATACAAACTTCGGAGGAGCGTTTTCCATGCTCAGATGCCTTCGTTTCCAACAACTACAAACAGAACGACTTATCAGATCATCCCGAGAAAGGTCTTGTTCATGCTCGCTAGCGGTAAACATTGCCAGTCAGAAGTGCTGTCAGTCAGCCCGTTAGAGATGTGATGATCTTTTGAATTTCAATGGAATTCATTCGGTGTAATCTCAGCGTTTTGACACGCCGCAGTCGGATGATGCCGCGGCCTCAATCTGCACCCTCTTCGGACGAAGGATAATTGTAAAACCCATGCTCCCCAGGCTTGGAATTTCATTCTTACATCAACTGGTGCTCCAGATACGGAATTTGCTTCGTCTAAATTTTGTTGACTCTCAGACTCTATCTCAAATTCAAGGTTCTCTCGGCATCAATAATAGACGATCAAGTATAATCTGCGTAATCACATTCAACAATAATTATGTTTTTCATCAAAGTTAACAGTAGAAACCAATCGAACTTCACGAATAGACATCAAGATCGTGCTCTTGATACTTTCAAGTGCGGACTGTTTATTCTCACTGTAAAATATCTCAACGGAAATGAACAACATAAGCAATTCTCTTTGTATTTCTTCTGTTTAGTATTATTACTTTTTTTAATCAATCGATTAGAGTTTGGGTACGCTTGATGCCGATCTTGGTAGCGTATAAACACATAAACGCACGCTTGGATTTTTTTATCGAGCAAGATTAAATTTTGATGGACGCAATTTATTTTGAGAAAACAAAATCAGGAGAGATTATTTTTGGTGTCCGCGAGATGGTATGCAAATATGCCGCGCTCGGGGATCGTGGAAAGTTTCAAATTGTTTTTCCAAAAGCATGAAAAGTCAGTAGGACACGTTCTGCGCCTTGCGCTGGAATGGAAGCTCCCCATAATAACTAAATATAGAAAAGATAAAGCGAAAAGATGGAGCTCAACCAAAGCAGTAACTTCTCACTTTGGACTGGTTTGCTAAAAACAAGGGATGATATAATTAGTAGTTTAAGGGGGTAGAACTAGATTTTTGGAAAAAAACGTGATTTTCGGAAGGCACTTTAAATAAGAAAAAACTGTTTTTACTTATGATTACGCAATTTCCTCAAAAATGTTGCTAGATAAATGGTTAAACTATCTTAAAATGAGATTTAAAAAACTTGGCTAGTCACGTGACTCGAGAAATTTGAGGACGCGAATACGCTAAAATTGCGATTTTCAAAGAGGTGGGTTGACGTTTCGCTCTCTAGCGCCAAAATGTGTTGACGAAAAAATTTTAAGAAAAATGTTGTTAGATCTAGGTTTGTTCTATCTTCAGCCGAAGAGAGAATTTGAAAATCTAAGCTCTCCTGGCTTTGAGCGCCGGTCTAGAATTGCCTATTTTCAAAAAACCTAGTTCTACCCCCTTAACGAGAAATTTGTAGTAAAAACTCATCAAAATTTTTGGTAGACAAAATCGCATCGGTTTTTAGCAAAATTTAGCCAGTAAAAAGTGTCAATGAAACTTTCTGAGAGAAATATGCGTTGTGTTTCTCCTAGAAGAAGATAATTTCCGCGTAAAATATCCGTCCAAGATCCGATACATTCGATTATTTGCTCAACCCTCTTGCGGGCACTTTTAAATTATTGAACGAGAAATAAACTCGTTGATGCCTGTGAAACATTCTTTTAGTGGAACGTTGCTTTAGAAAGGGCCCGCTGTTTGAATCGCTTTTGCACCTGTGGATTTCGTTCCTGTAGTATTTTAGCGTCTCGTACTCGATCTCCGCCGGGGTTGCGCTGCAGCTGGCTTCTTCGCTATCGTCGGACTTATCCGCGCCTTGTGTAAAAAAGATTAAAAACAGGCGCTAGAACTCACCGTCTAGATTTTAATTGGCTTATAAGAATTTCCAAGAACTCCGAAAATCAAAAACCTCAAAGTTATCTTGAGAATGAGACGTTCTAAAATGAAGCTTCACCGGCTTTATGAAGGGTAAACCCGCTTTGCGTCATTTTAGCAATAAAATAATTTCGAAAGCATAATATGATAAGAAAAGATAGAATCTTATCATTACAAATTCAATATCGCCGTATGTTTACGAAACTCGCTTTTACGAAAAATGAAGTACTTACATAATTGCTTGACAAGAATCTTGCGGATGATATTTATGATCAGCTCGACAAAGCCGAAAAAGGTCGCAGCCGAAATCCCCAAAAACAGGCCGAAGCATCCTCCGAATGAAGTGACAATAAACTATTACGCGCTATAATACATCCCCTTTGCTCTAAGCTTAATTATTACTAATAGGTTATAACTATAGGGCCTTATAACTAAGGGCCTATATTTTAGGGGTGCGGTAAGTTCATATTATATATAATCATTCAATTTATATGTCACTCGAGCCTCCAATGTCTGATAAATATCTGATGAATGGGTACTCAGCATACTCTGCAGAAGTGTTTCGTTTTTGTTTCGAAACGTAAAGTATGAAATCATCGTCTGAAATTCGGAACACTTTTCCTTTGATCATCAACTCGTTCGTTTCCATCGTAATTAATATCGAAGCAATGTCTTTCCAACGGTTCAAATTTGATTGCAGGTGAGTCAATAAGACAATTATAATTGTTGTTTTGAACAATTCCTACGTTGACTTCAGTATCGGTCGTAGTATTTATCCACTAATAAGATATAATCGTTTGATTGAAGAACACAAACAGATTTTGTTTTTATCTCACCTTGTGCCCGTATTGAATCTGTTTGGAATGAGGCGTTGAATGATAGCAGTCCTTTTCTCTCCCGTTGATAAAACATAGACTTACTCAATTGAATGCAAGGAAGTACCGTTAAATTTAAGTTAAGGGCTTAAGTATCTCGCAAGTTTTAGTTGAAATAATTAATTGCTACCTGTCTGTTTGGTCCAGGGGTCTAAATTCGCAGTGCGAATTCGCTTTATTGCGAAGCGATGCGAAGCGAAGCGAATTCGCTTTCGCTTCGCTTCGCACTGGAGAGCAGAATTCGCTTCGCTTTCGCTTCGCAAAAATTCCCAAATTTTCGCATAGATTTTCGCACATCAAGCGACTTTGCTTGATCAGAATGATCTTTATCAACAGGGCTTATCTAGAATCGAAGATGATCTCCTCTCCTATCGAGCAAGGGTGACCATTCGGGCAAGAAATCGTCGATTGGCCATCCGAATGCCCGGCCGAAATGAAGGGCCAAGAGTCGCACCGTGCGAATGCCCGGTCGAGTTGGTGATGGGATTTTCAATAGATAAAGGTTTGAAAAATAAGTTTCGAGAGGCTTTTGATTCAGTAAGAGGAGCAAGAGAGCAAAAATAAGTGTAAAGAATGCGAAATTTAAGAATTTTCCTCGGCGCGGGCTAGACTGAAATGCCCGAAAGCGCTGAATTCCCCGAAAGTGCCGAACTTGCCAAAATGCCCGCTTTTGCCCGGCCAAATTTAAGGGGCTGAGAATGCCCGGCAGAACACATTTTGCCCGGAAATTGTCCGTTTTCCCCGACTTCCCGATGCCCGAACGGTCACCTCCGCTATCGAGTTTGTTACTAACTTGGAATTATCAACAGTTAGATCCACCATTCGGCTTATATTGACGAGCTGAAAAAGGTACAATAACAGATTTTTTTGTTATTTTCTGCTTCAAAAATAGGTTTTTGAAATCATCTTTGCTTTTGAGTGGCTGATTGTTAAAGATTCTTGCCGAGAATGCGTTTCAATTCAAGCGAAAAAATTTTCGCTTTTTTTCGCAATTTTCAATGATATTTCGCTTCGCTTTCGCTTCGCACATGGGCGAAGAATTCGCTTCGCTTTCGCTTCGCAAAAAATTTGAAAAAATGGTTCGCTTTCGCTTCGCTTTCGCACTAGGATTTCGGCTGATATTTAGACCCCTGTTTGGTCAATAATGTTAAGTTCTTGTTTGTACAAGTTTGTACTTAGGAGAGCATTTATCAATGATCATGGATCGTTTTGAATTCCGGTTGATATTTTAGCCATCAAATTGATCAAAAATTGTTATAAAATTTAGAATTCGTTCTGTTAGTGATTTTTAATTGCCGAAAATGGATGAAACTGGCAATTTTTCTTGGCGATTCTATGATGCACCAATTAATGGCTCTTTTATAATTATTAGTAAATTATATTTCACTACACAAGTGATCTTCTTATCAACAGCTCCTTATCGCACTTACAATTCACCCGGTCAACCTTCGATTTGAACGCCAGCAACTCTCGTTTTACGCAGCTTATGTGGTCTGTTCTTTGAGGTTTTCATAATGATTATTTACGAATTAATAACGAAAGTGAAAATTCGCGGAGTTTCAGATTGCTTTTTCAATAAATTTGGCAAAATTGGATCTACGCACTGCGAAAGCATTAGAGCTAGAATTTTGATAAATATTGCTTTCTCACGCGGAGGCAGAAAATGAGTTCTGTTTCTTGGGGTAGATTTTAAATTTTCTAATTTCATATCTCGTCCACGTGCGGAACCAAACTAACTCGATTTTGATGTTTTTCAAGCTTTTTACAGTCTCAAACCAAATCATTATTATCACGAGAATCACCCTCTAAAGTTTAGAGTCTAAACTTTATAATCTAATGCATACATTCTAACTAACACTCTAAGCAAGAAATTTTGATAAAATTCTTTCGCATAATTTTGTTTTGTTCTAGTTCGCGGTATTTAGTAGTAACCTCGACGAAAAGAGAGCAGTTGCGATAGAGGCCGTCAGGTATTTTATCCGGGAAGAATGGAGCTAAGAATGTCCTCGAGTGAAAAATACTTTCTTCTGGAAATTTGAGTACTTTACCTTTACAGTTGCACAGAGCAAGTGTCCTTTTTGATGGTGAACACAGTTTATCTAATTTCTGTGAAAATTTTATGTTTTGAACCATCAACCTGTTGATTGAGCACTCATT